TAGTTTTATATATAAAAAGTTATTTTTCTTAAATATATTATTACCTTAAGGGAAGTCTAAATAAACTTTAAGAAACTTAAAGCTATTAACTTATAAAATAAAGTAAATAATATTAAAGAAATATAAAGTTTTTTAAAATTAATTAACTATTATTAATAATTTATAAAAAATTTTATAAAAATTATTATATTACTTATAGACCTTATAAAAAAAAACCAAAAGTTTATATAATTATTAAATATATAAAAAGTATTTAATATATTAAAATAAGCTTTTATAAGTAAACTAATGTTTATTATATTTAATTTAAATAAACTAGTTATAATTAAAACTAATACTTTAGATTATATAATTAAAGGAGTATTAAGTTAATTAAACGAAAATAGAAAATTAAAATTAATTACTTACTTTTTAAAGAAATTATATAAAATAGAACTTAAATATCTAATTTATAATAAAGAATTTATAATAATTATAATTATATTTAATAAATAATATTAAAGATATTATTATTTAGGAAGTAAATATAAAGTTATAATTCTTATAGACTATAAAAATATTATATATTTTATTATAATAAAAGAATTTTTAAAAAAATAAATTAATTATATAAAATATCTTTTAATCTTTAATTTTAAAATTAAGTATTATAAAGGATTAGAAAATAAATAAACAGATACTTTTAATTAATGCTTTAATTACTTTTAAAAAATACCCTTTATAAAAGTATAAACCTTATAGTTTAATAATAAAAGAAGTCTTAAACTAAAAACATTAAACACTATATTCTATATTAAAAAAAATAATCTAATATTTAATAATATTAAAAAATATATTAAAAATTAAACTATTAAATAATATTTAAAAAGTATTTTTATAGATTAAAAATACTTAATATTTAATAGATTTATTTAAGTATTAAAAAATTTTTAAAAGAAAGTAGTTAAAACTATTTATATATATTAACTATATAAATATAAAGAAATAAAGAAAACTATATAATAAGTTTAATAGTATTATAAGTTTAATAAAATTAAGAAATAAGTATAGAAAGTAATTTTAAAATATATTATATATAAAAAAGCAAAAGTAATATAATACCTCTTTTATAGAAAATTATAACCTTTACCAGTTTTAGTATATATTTAAAAATTAATCTCCTTTAATTATATTATAAAGCTACTACCTTTAAAAAAACCTATAACTAAGAATACTTAAGATATAATTTTTATAGTTATTAATTAATTTATAAAAATAGTATATTTTATTTTATAAAAAGAAAGCAGTATTATTAAAAACCTAATATATTAGTTTATTAAATATATCTACACTAACTATAGATTATTAAATAAGATTATTTTAAATAGAGGCTTAATATTTACCTTTAAGTTTTAGTAAATATTTATAATATACTTAAGATTAAACTATAAACTTAGCACTATTTATTACTTATAAATAGATAAATAGATAGAAAAAATTAACTAAATTATTAAAATATATTTAAAAAATTATATTAACTTTAATTAAAATAACTAAGTTAAACTTTTACCTATTATATAAATCTCCTATAATAATATATTAATAAAATTAATAAAATATTTATTATTTTATATAAACTATAAGTTTAAACTAAACGTTTATAAACTATTAAAGAAAGGAAAAAATATATAAAAAGCTATTATTATAGTAGATAATATTAAAAAATTATATAATAAACTGTAAATACAGTTTAAATTTATATAAAAAAAAATAAATAAGTTTACTAATATATAAAAGATTAAAGAATTAACCCTTTAGAAGGGAGATATAATTTATTTACTTTAATATTTTAAAAATAAAAATATAGTAAATATTAAAATAAATTAGCTAAGTAATAAGTTTAATTTTAAAAAACTTAAACTATATAAAATTTTAAAGAAAATTAATATAGTTAATTATAAATTAGACTTTTTTAAATAATAAAATAAATATAGAAAGATAATATACTTAATATTTTATATTTTATTATTAGAAAAAGTATTAATAGATAAGGAGATAAGTAAAATTATTAAAGATAAAATTATTATTAAAGAAAAGGAATTTAAATATAAAGTAGAGTTAATTCTTAATGTAAGACTTAACGCTAAACATTAATGTAAATACTTAATAAAATAGGAAAACTATAAAAAAGAATATAATAGCTAAGAACTGCTTATAAATATAAAGAATTTAAAAGCCCTGTTATAAAAGTTTTATTAAATAATAGGCCTAAAACCCTAAAAATAATATTTTAGGCAGCTATATTTACCCTACCTAACGTTTTAGTTTAAAGAAATAATTAATATTCCTTAAATTAAACATAAGTTAACTCCTTAATAGCCTTTTATTTTTCTAGCTTTTTTAATAACTTTACGCTATAAAATACTATTTTAGTAGTTTTTTTATAAAACTGCTGTTTTTATTTATAAATGTAATAAAAATAGGCTATTGCTTTTTTAAGCGCCTTTTCGGCCTACTCCCTTTAAGCAGCTAGACGATCCTTTTTATATATTACTTAAGCATTTAATAAAGAAATTAATATTTAAATAAATAAAAAAAAAAAAAAAAATAATATATAAACTTTAGCGCTTATATTATTAATATTATAATTAATAATCTTATAATAAACGTAAGTATAATATTAAGTAAAAGAACCCTCTGTAATAAAGTAAGTATGCTTTATATTATAATAAAGAGTATACTATAGTATTTTAAAATTAAACTCTTTAATAAACTTTATTAAAGGAATTAGCGTAATTTTTGGTTTTTTTAAAACCTTTTACTTAGAAATACTGCAAATAGATATAATAAGGAACATTAAAGAATAAGAAATTATACTTACTGGAAATAGGGGAACCTAAGACTTATTAATATATTACTGCAGTAAGGTCTTAAAGATAAGACTAATAGGAGGGGGATATTATATTACGACCTAACCTTTATAGTTTTAATAAAGGGTCTATAGGGTAGGCAGACTTTAGGTTATCTTTAAAAGAACCGGCTAATTAGAAAGAAATCGTATATAGATAATATAACTTATAATAATTAAGTTATCCTAAAATAATATAACCTAAAGTAACTATATCTAAAACAGCTAAATATATAAGTTTATATTTATATTACTTATTTAAATAGCTTAAATAGCCAGTTATTAATATAGTAATTAGATTAAATTTAGCTATTATATTTACTAACTATATAATATTAATAAAACTACGCCTGTACCTAACTTAACTGCTCCGCTAATATAAACCTAGAACCCAGAGGTTTGTCCCTTAGGAACAGCTAACCTATATTAACATATAGGAACAGGCCGTTACAAACAGCTAACCTATACTAACATATAGAACCCAGTTCGTTATAGGAAATAAGAAAATTAACAATTAGGTAGCGGTATCCTAAGAGGATATTAAGACCTATATATAAATATTAATAAAATCAGTGTTAGATTAACCTAGATAAAATATAAATAGTTTAGATCTTATAATTATTAAAAAATTAAAATATATTATAAAAGTAAAAGATTTAATAATATATAATATATACGTAAAGTTTATAAAAATTATGTATTAATGTTATGGATTCAGGCTACACCCAATCCCTATAACTCAGCGAAAGCCCTACAAGCCTTATATAGCTAGTTAAACTTGCGGCTGCCAGCAAGTTTAATTCGTATCCTTTTGCTGTTTATAGCGCAATTGGCAGGCGGTAGCCCCGTCAGGGAATTGAAGCGCTAGCTATCGCTTTAGCCCTCTGGGCCACTCCCTTACAATTAAATAAAATATTACGTATACTGCTTTAAGTTAATATTTAAAATAAAGGCTAAGATTAATTAAAATAAGCTGTTAAAAATATTATAATAGTAATTAAAAATATTAATAAGGACGTTAAAAAGGTGTACGAAGTTATACTAAGTCTAGCCGGAGGTAAACGTATGCGTAGGTATCTATTTACTTAAGTAGCGGTGATAAGAGATCTTCATTATACGTTGTTACTCTATTTAGAACTCCTCTTAGCCGCTGGGGTGTTAGATAGCCAGCTTGGGGTGCTGAATAGCCCTTCCCTACATGTACCTAGTCGCTTGGGGCGCTTTAGTCACTCCGATGTAGAAGTTAGATAGAATTACACCGGAGGTAGTTCGTTCAATCGTGTACTCATTTCCATTCCATTATTTGCCTTGATCTGTTGAAGTTGGCCTTTTAAAGAACAATTGGGAGCACTTGCTGTTGATTACAAAGTGAATATGTCCAAGAACCTGACAACTCTGGCGACAGACGCATCAAATAACTACAAATTGTATACAGTACATAATCGATTTACAACCGCAAGTCATTGCCAGTTGCCAAACACTGACAATGCATAACATTGACAGCTGCCAAACATTAATTGTTGCTTCTATTTATTACGAGCCACTTTTTATATTTCCCTTTCTTCCTCCACCTCTTCTTCCTCCTTGTCCCCCATTAATGTTCCCTCTACCTAGACATGTTCACTGTCTAGTTACCTCAACAACTCCACGAACAATCAAGCACAACTAATTTACAAGATGGAGGACATACAAGATCCATGCAGGCACATTTTCGGACCATCGCCTCCACCACCACGCGTAACATGGACGACCGAAAAGAAGCTTGAGCGAGAGGACATCATGAACGAGATGCAGCCACTTCTTCTACGCCTTCGCGGCAAGTGGACCGAGGAACTAGCCGCGGATATTGCAGCAACCTTGACGCCCCAGAAGCTTCAAGTAATGGAGCCACAAGCAAAGGGATTACTATCTGGATGGATCTATCAACAGGATGACCGAAAGTACGTTCAGTGGCTGAACGATGCGGAAGAAGACAGGACCTCTATTACGTGGGTCGATGAGGCGATAATTCCTGGCCCGGAGTATTGGTCGTGTACATTGCTCATGATATGCCAGATGAATGAGTTGGATGAGGCCGTGGAGAAGCTCACTCCTGAACAGAAACCCCTTTTCAAAGTGCCACTGATGATGATTAGAGGGTTTATAGAGTGCGTGGAGTGGCATAGGCAGCAGCGAAAGCTATTGCCACAAATGGATTTTCAAACTATGCAGCGTCTCATCCATTTCGAGGACGGCAAATAAAAAGCCTGCAATGGATCGGTGCACTTGAATGACGGACGAACGGAGTTTGCTGATCAAGTATTTGGTGTTGCTTAATCGATCATCGCTACTCAAGAATTTGGAAAAGATAGGGAGGGGTTGGATAATTAAATCTAGCTGCTCTTGACTCAACGATTGGGATAGCCACCGATCTATTTGGGAGTTTATAGTAAAAGCTCAACGTCATCGCTGATTCATGCTCTTGACATCTTCAAGGAGGCCAGGCAAAAGCTTAGCTCATCTTTATTAGCCTTCAATTGAAAGCATCTGCGCCTCAAAAGCCGGTATTCGTGCCTCTGCTTGTGCCTCAGATATATCTATTCGAGCACCCAGTGTATGAAGTTGTGTGAAGCAGTCAGCCAACAAGTTCATTAGAGCGTGTTGACCAAGCATAGCAATGCAGTATTTCCATGCATAATTCTTCAATGGTGTCTAATTCGTATCATTCACCTCAACCTATCAGTTTTGAAACAACGAGACTTCCTTCTCTTCCCTAAAATAATAATAATTTATACCCTCTCCAACTTCTCCATGATTTCTCATCTCTTATATCTTCCGCATACACGATGCCACCAACGATGTGATGTGAGGGCGCAAAGCCAACATCATATCCTGGGTGATGACCTTGCCCTCATACGCGCCACTGTTCTTCTTCTGAATCTTCTTCTTACTGGAAGAGAAGAGACTGAAAGAGAGCCACGCCGGCATTCACAGCGGCATTCAGGGCAATGGGAGGACTTGTCCTGGCTGCTCTTACGGGCGCGCTTCATGGTGGCCCACAGCCACCAAACAACGTCGCAAAGGAGTCGTTAACGAAACCTCTAATTCTTGTAGCTTATTGAAAAGTTTCTTTTATGAAAAAAAAAAAAAAAAAAAAAAAAAAAAAAAAAAAAAATACTATACTATAATTAATCAAGTAGCATTGTAATAATGCGGCTCCCGGACCCTAAAATAAGTTGAGATTGAGATACAATAACCTGGGATGGCTGATATTCCGGAGGGATCCATAGTATCCTTTTCGAATATCTCATCAACCAGGCTCTATCTGGCGATATCCAATATTTCTTCAAAATAGATTGTCTGGCTTTATCAGCAGGGGTATCCTTGTGAACAACAACGTCTCTATCGAGAAAGGTCAGAGGAAAAAAGAGAGAGACCCCGTTGTTACGCATGTCTGCATACGGATAGAAGCTTAGTATCGATGCTCCTGTTGAAGTATCGAAGATCTCAATATACCAGTTTGGCCCAATTGCGATTAATTGCGTCCCCTGTGCTGAGAATATTGCGGCTACCGCAGGGAACTTTGTGTGGATAATACATTGTCCATGATCCGTGGAAGCATTCTGAATACGAATTTGCGTCGTCATAACTTGTCCGTACCCTCGAATGTCAGCTGTCTCAATAAATGCCACATGCTGGTTGTCGGGAGACGTGACAATATCCATAATCGCTTTGTCAATATCGTCCGATGTATGCAGGCAATGTCCGGTGACAGAATCCCAAGTTTGTATAGTAGATCGATAAGTTTTGGTGTTAGGCATATGTTGAGAGAGAGAGAAATAAATATGGCCGTCCTTGGAAAAAGCACATTGACTACCCAAGGGACGACCCTCAAGTTGGAACCATAGTTTCCCGCGTGTGTATAGAAACTGTAGTGTATGTATTTGACAATACTTGGTCAAATCCCATATCTCTAATCGATCAACGAACAAGGTTGCAGCCAGTGGCGTAAAATTTGAAAAATAAACGCTATTGATCATCGGACGAGGTTGTCCAATGTCCAATCTTTCGATGCAGTTCATGTTTTTCAAGTCCCATATGCCGATAGCCCTTTCTTCTGCATGATAGAACGTTTGACCGTTTGGACTAAGAAACAAATTTTTAACTTTACCAGAAGTACGGGCGTTAGGATATGTAGATGGTGCAAGATGCAAGTCCCAAATCGTGACTGTGGTGTTTGAGTAGGTTGCAAGTGTTTTATCGTCGGGGGAAAAGGCTATGCGATAGATGAGGTTCGTATGACCAGTAAGCACGTGTCGTAAAACTTGATTTTCGATATCCCAGATCGTAATTGAAGTTTGGTCGCCTACGATTGCGAGTGTCTCATTGTTCGTGGATATTGCGAGCATCCCAATATCTCCAACTTGAGCGTCAATTTTTTTTTCAGTTTCTCCCGTGCTGATATTAATGAACCGAATTTCGCCTTTGTCTCCTCCAACGATCAGATATCGTCCATCATGGTCGAAGATGACTTCCGAGTTCTTAGTCCAATCGGCGTTAAGCTCTCGGCAAATCGCGTTTTCATGGAGATTCCAAATGATGATTTTTTTTGCCTCGCGAAAGGCTGCCCATTTGCCATCTTTAGAGATGGGTGACCGACGCAGTTCAGGTACCCAATTGACTTGAATCCTTGTGGATTCTCTAGACAGCAGGTTAGCAGCATTGTACTCCCCCGGAGATAACATGAAAAGATCATCTCCAGTTTGTGAATAGGTTGTGAACCAATCAATAACTTCCATATGATGCTTGAATGTATCCAGATGCCGTCGATTTTCGATGTCCCAAAGCTGTACATGCCTCTTCCCTATGACTATAAGTCTGCCATTTGGGGTTTGAAGATACTTCTTAATCTCTTCTTCCTCGACTTTCAACTCGTGGAGGCAAGAAGCAATCTTCAGGTCCCAGATCTGGACAAGACCTTTCTCGCAGGCAACTATCAATTTTCCACTAGACAAAAAGATAAGATCTAATGGCCTATCATTATTTCTTAATTCCAAAGTCTGGATATAGTCTGACCATTCGGAATCGACCTGTGGCATCTGTTTGATGTAGCTTGGACGAATTGAATCAAAAGTCTTCCGAATAATGCTGTTCGTTGGTGAAAAGACGAGTGCTGAGTTATAAATTTGTAATGGCGCTTCTTGAATTGCTGACTTAAAATAGAGAATAAATTTAGTAGCATCCTGGAGTAGTTTTGACATTTTAAAACACTGGTATCTCTGAACAACAAGGATTAGTACTTCACTTGGGGAAGCTGTATATTTGAAAGAAACTTACATGGCTAAGTCTTTCCAAGGCGCGTATTAGTTCAATTCCTTGGGTTAATCTTCTGAGCCAGGCCAATGCTTCGATCCAATTCAGCATCTTGGTTTCTAGCAATTTATGTTCTGGTCCTCCATCTTGGAGTACTAGCTTTCCCTCTTCCACATGGTGAATCCAATAGATGCATGCATAAGCCATCGCTGGGGGTAAATGCTCTTTAATTTCCTTTGATCGAACACCCCATATTCTCGCACCTGGATCCTGAAGATTGCAGATATCGTTGTGCAAATCTGTAGAGAGGAGTTGTAGACATCTCTTTGCTAACCAGGCATGGGTAGTCGTTTCTTCGATTTGTAGACTTTGGCAAGAACTATTGCCGCCATTAACACTAAATGACTTCTTGTCTAATAGAAAATCCCGGAATGAGAGATGAAACAGTTTGACCGGTACGTCTGTAGATTGGATGTCCAACACAGAAGAAAGAGGGTTCAATTTGCTGTATATTTCTCTTTGTTGAAATCCAAGCAATCTGGAAAGGGCGGCAACAGAGAGAGGGCTAGATAGGAGGACAACGGACCCGACAATCTTTTGAAATTCGCCGATAAATTTGTCTCTGGCATAAATTGGAGTTTTGTCCATGATTTGAGCCAAAATCGAACGGTACAAGTCTTCCACATAACCTTCGCCCTTTGTACTGAACTTCAGTATGTGGTCAAGTTTTTGATCTGGCGTTGCTGGCCACTGGTCGTTTCTGAGCATTCGAGATATTGTTGCAGCAGAGATAAATAGAGGGCTCGCTATCTGAACTAGTCGTTCAAATATTTCTTCTCCAGGCCAGTCAACTGAGAGTAGTTGATCTTGCTCCATCACTTCTGAATTTCGATTATACTGCTCTTTATATTCATGTATATCGCTTGTTAAAACAGTCCTAATGTCGTTCTGGATTATAGATTTTTCCACGCGATGCAGTATCATGTTCTGAAGGAAATTTTTGGTCTTGTTGAACTGGCAGCTTATGTGGTATTCTGGTCTGCTGGTAAGGAAAATCTTGAGTTTGATAGGAGAGGTGATATTGTTTTCGGTTAGGAGCCTGATCAGATGACCTGCGTCCTCCAATGGATCGCATTCGTCGAGCGCGTCAATAACAACCACAATCGTCTTCGGCTGCGCGGTTGGCTCAAGTGGAGGAAGTTCTTTGAAAGGACGAACCCACAATTCTCGAAACTGGGTCTCAAGCATCTTGCTTCCAATTTCTGGTTCTTCTTGAATTATATCATGGAGAACCTGCGTTAGAATAGGCTGCTTGCGGATCATTTGGCTCGCGATTGTTGCGAAATACCGCCGAGCAGTTCCACGATCGCCCTCACCTCGTTTGAAGAAAAAACTTGCGCCTAGATTGTCACCGTCTAGTTTCTTTGCCACTGTCTGCGCAATGGTAGATTTGCCTGTTCCAGCCATCCCCTGCAACCAGAAGATGGATGGACTAGATGAATCGGCTGCCCACTTGTATATGGTGTCAAGGATTTCGAGGCGCGTGTCAGGGTGACATTCACCCCTAGATGTATAGGAGAAGTCATCATAAGCTGCCCCCTGAGCAACTTGAAGCTTGCTTAAGATAAAGTCTCTTTGTATACTTTCGAGGAGTATTCTATGCGTTATTAGTTCACTGAAATTGGAGTGGGGATAAGGTAAATACATACAAATGGTAGTTTGACGAGTGCCGTAAGTTATTAATGAGCTCAAAAAGCTTTTGGAAAGATGTGTTTTGATAAAGAGAACAAAATCTCTCGCAGTCGTCCGCACACTTGGTAAGTTGGTAACTGCTCTCGTCAAGACTTTTAACTTTCTTTTCGACTCCATTGAGAAAAAATGGAGCCATTACTGCCATGGATTTGTTTCGATGAGAGTGCAAGAATCCAAGGAAAAACAAGCAATTTGCGTACGAGGTGACAAGGGAGCTCTCGAGAGCCTCTAAAGCCTCCTTGATACCATGCGAGACAGTGTTTGAGGTCAAGTATAAACCTTGGTACATGATGCATTGCAGAAGTAATGAAGTGACAGAAGCCAAGCCCCCTAGTATTTGAGTATTCAACTGATGATTTGCCGTAATGCCCTTTCCAAGATATCACCAGTTAGTCCTTATTGAGCTCAAATATCTCTGGCATCATGCTTACCACAAGGACGACCCGTACAGCAGCCCAAGGAAGGGCGGCATGTACTGGATCATAGCTGACTGCAACATCGCCTACTGAGATGAATTGATTGAGGATGGAGATGGTCTTTTCAACATATGCGGATGTCGAGTTACGAGTATGCTTTTCCTTGAATTGTTGCTCCATCGTTTCTTTGATGCTTAGTACCAAGTCGTTGACCCTTGGTCTAGCATCAGACGCCCCTCCTTGGTCAACATGCTTCTCGATTTCATTGATGAGATTTATAGCACCCTGGTCTTTTGACTCTTTCACTTCCAGCAGTGCTCGGTCCCACAGAGCCTTGGTAATTTTTTCTTCGGATCCTGTTGTCTCTATGTGCTCTAAATTCTGTGCGACTTTTGACGGATCTGGTCCTGTTGGACGTTATATTAGCTTTATGTAATCTTTGATTCGTCTACAGACTCACTATGGGTCAAGGCGACAGAAAACAGGACATTGCCTGCCTTGACAATTTCTTTATGGGCTGAGCGCTTTCTTCGGGACTTCCGGGACTTCCAGGTCTTCATTGTGAATACTATTGATAGCGAAAAGCCAATGCCTATTGTGAAGTAAACGACGTGTGGCAGGAATGAGGTTGAGAGGAAAGACGCGGGATAAGGCAGCAATGGCGAGTGTGAGTATACCCCAGCTGCAAGCTGCAGATGATAAACCACGTGCATTAGTTCTATTGGTCAGTATTAATGCAGCATGCATTCATGCAATGAGAAGCAACAAGAAGTGATCAATCCCTTATAATTTAGCGGGGCTTTGCAAGGTTGCGTGTTGTAGCCTCAAGCAGGCGAATCTATAAATGCGGTTGTTGAACAATTTCGGCTTTGTATGCATCATGTACGGGCACGACAAGTTTACAACAGTGGCACAGGCAATGATGAAGATGAGACGAATGGTTGAAAAGAATATCATCCTTGTGATACCCATTTTATTTATGTTCATGAACCCCCATACGCCGAGACAAGGTTATCCGATATGTTCGCCGCTGAAAAAATACAAGTATATCCTCTGCTGTTCTTGGATGGATGGATAGCCAAGATACATGAAAAGGTGAATATGAGCAAGGGTAGAAGGGAATCCTCTAAGCTGCTAAAAAAAAAAGGTGCAGAAACGAGACAAACCAAATCAATGACCCCCCTTTACAAGAAGTAATCCGCGACGGGCTTCTTAGCCGGCATCCCCCTGGAATCCTGCGGTGCGGCTTGAAACACGCGATACCGTCGAGCAGGTCCATTCTTGGGTCCGCCTCTCGGCTCAACTATGCCACCAGAGCTACGGCCAACGTCTCCATTGGTCCGCTGGAATATGCCCGTGCCTGATTCATCCTCAGTGAGCTCCAACACGGCGGCGACATTGCCGCATCGGTAGCAGTAATTCGGGGCAGACCAGACGGTGACAATAGAAGCGTCAAACATCTCCTTGAACCCTTCCATGACAAGCTGGTGCGCACGCGCAATTAGACTTAGATCGTTGCGGTGATTGAAAACTTTGACAATATCGGCACCAAATAAGAATCCAGCTCCTCGGGGAGACAGGCCCCATCCGTCAATTTCATCCGGATCGGACCAGAGGAGGTCACACATGGCTCCTTCGTGAGGCACCTCTTGCTTCCGGTCAATAAGCCTTATCTTGTCCACTGTATCAACTAGAGGACTGAGTCCGCCGTGGACGCAAAGGATGGCTCCCGTGGGGTTTCCTACGCTGCCGCTGCTAGACCCAGATGCCCCCGTACCAGGTGGACCCGTCTTGTCCACTGTATTTTTGCTAGAGCTGTCGAGTTTCTCTTGGGAGGGCTGGTTGGCAGACTGTCGGGGGAAACGGCTGATTATAGAGCCAGCCTGATCGCAGACCTCAATCTCGGTGTCGTCGTCTTCTGGAGAGCCGGGAGAGAGAGTGCTGGAGGCACCCAAAACGATGGCACCGAGGGCAAGATAATCGAATACGTCGCAGCAATAGCGCCATACATTTGCGCTGCCGTATTTGCGAAGACACTCGTCGTAAAAACCATACACTGTCGTTATCTGTCGAGACTCATGGTTGCCACGGATCAGGGTCATTCGGTCCGGGTATCGGACTTTGAGGCAGAGGAGGAGGAGGAATGATTCGAGAGAGTAGAAGCCACGGTCGACAAAGTCACCTAAGCAATTCATTAATCGCCAGGAAAAGATGATTGGGACTTGGATACAGAGCCATACCCATGAAGAGATAGTTGGTGTCGGGGACGTCACCGCCGACGCGGAAGAGCTCCATCAGGTCGTGGAACTGGCCGTGGATATCGCCGCATATCTATGCAGTTGCAACAGCGCATTGATTACTACCTGTCTGTCTTATCGCAGTCCCCGAGAGAGAAACTCACTGTTACCGGCGCTGTCACGGTGACGACGTTGCCCTCCTCGATGAGAAGCTCTCTGGCGCGGTGGCAGAGCTCCCGCACTTGGTCTTCCGGAATGGGGCGGCATGAGCGCAGCTGCGCGATCGCTCTGCAGGCGGCATTAGCAGGCAAACGATATTTTCGACTAGGACTGGTATGTGAACGGACTTGTCGAGATCGCTCATGATGGGCGGCAGAGAGAGAGAGAGAGGCTGACAGACGCCACACGAGAGGTGCGCCGGTCAAGCTGATGTGATAATCGGACAGCGATAAGAGATGGCTATGACATGTCGCGAAGGAGAGGCTATTGCAAACCGGAATCGCCGTTGGGCGTGGGAAACGGTAGAGTCACGCGAGGCGAGGCTGGAGACTGAAGTCGAAGATTCAAAACGGATCACTATCGCGTTCAATATGGAATTGGGCTGCGTCTCTCGGGCGAAATTATTAGAGTGGCATGCCGCTAAGCCCGTTAATCTCTAGCACTGATTGATCGCTATCACCCAAAACTCCAGCGGCTGCTTTAGCGCTCCATCAAGGACCGGCAGGCCCTGCAGACCAGAATCCTGGGATCAAGCATGAATGGAATTACATTGCGCCGTCCTCCGGGAGAGCTCCGACCTCCCACTAACAGCGCAGCCAATGAGAGCACGCCTAATCGGATGTCTGCGGCGATCATACCAGGCGCCTTTTTTCTGCTTGAGCTTGTCGATATCCAGCAGCTGTTGGGACTGCCAACCTCCAATTGGATGCGCATCGAGGTTTGAGGGAACATGCGACAATTACCTTGTGAGTCCTCAATGCTTACATACGCAGACATGCACTCTAAATATCACTGGTGTTTGGAACAGCACAACTAACAGCTGGTGCCAATCAATCTACAGCCTCAAACACCACAGTCAATCAATCCCGCTGACAGCCGAGGGATTGCCCACCATGCCGCCGCATCTGCACCCACGGTCACGCATGACCTCGTCACTCTTCGCTACGACAGTTCTTGCCAGCTTCTTTGTTGTTGCCCTGCCGCATTTACTGCCGTGCCCGGTCCCGCGAACCAAGTACGCTGATGGAGAGATTATTGTCGACGAGAACGGCAGACGGAAGAGATGGAGGAGGAGGGACGTCGATGCAAAGGACGGACTCGTACAGTTCAACCAGACTACAGAAGACGAGATTGAGCGTGCAACGGAGCGAATGACGAGAGAATGTCCCGTACCGAAGCCTGGAGGGATGCTGGGAGAGTGGCTTGGATTCCACGCCACGGACGACAAGACGAGAGCAAACAGATGACCATTGATACCACCAAATGAAGAATAAAAAGAAGCAAAAAGAGTAAAAAAATGCGAAACTTTGGCAAAATACTGTACTGTGACTGTGTGGTGGATACGGAGATCTACAACACCTCGCTCTGTTCTGACAAGGCTGGTTCGGCAAGGCTGGCATCCGCGAGAGAGGACGAGCCGACAGACCAAGAGGATCGGTTGTTGCGATATCCGTTCCACAATGACCTGATTGTGTTATCCTTTAAACAGAGTTGTTTGGGCTATCAAGCTCCAACCTGACAGATAACCTTTGTTGTTAGCTTACATGACTGCTAATAATAGTTTCCGCGCCCCTGTTACTACCCCAGCGAGTGATCAACACCACAACAGGCACATACATATCGAAATCGTTTGAGCCAAGACTACTCTTGGAACCTTATTATTAAGCCTGTATGAGAGGCCCAAGTTAGGCGAGTCGTTTATGTTTCTGCGTGGTTTATAAACTCGGAATGTAAGTTGAGAAACGTTCCGAAACTTTCAAACATGATGACGCATTGGCGCGACTCAAGCCAGACGGCACTTTCAACAGAAACTCTCAGCCATTACCTCCTTCGCCGCCATCTAGACCGTTGAGTTCTGCGGCTTTGTTTGTTGCCGGGCGATCTGGCGTCTGAGAATCGCCAGGGGGCTGAAACTTGCCCCGCGGTCTCAAACGTGGGATGCAGTCAAGCTTTTGGCAACTCTCTTACCCCAAACGATGACACTTACCAGATTCAGCTACTCTTTTGTCATTCTGCGACGCTTCACCTTCACCGTTGAGCTTCTACTACTCGCGCTACCCCTCAATACCACCGTGACGCGGTTTGAGCTTTGCTTGATTATGTTGCGCTAAGGTTGGATTTAGTGTTGCTTTATAGCTTCTGCCGGGAGACGATTCACGTTTCGCATTAATATTCCCCGACTCATGGGACTTTCGCTTACTGTTGTACTTTGGGGACTCCTGGCACTTACACATGACACCACGATAGCTGTGGCGATCAACTCAGATCAGATGTGTCATCAAAACCAGCGAATCACTCGATAGACCAGGGGCTCTACCTCCATTACCCCGTAGAGGTAGCCTATGGATATCATCACATCCGGTCTCAGGGGTTGAAGGCTCACACAAGCCACCACAGCTCCATTGCTAAGCGACCAGGCTCCGGACGAAGATGAGACGCCAGAAAGCTTGTGTACGGCAGCATCCGAAGTATCCTCCATCCACGAGGAGTATATATCATGTCTTTTCATCGCCCCTCAGGTTCTCGTTTCTTCTCTTTTTTCCTCAGGGTCGCTGCGCTTCACTCACTTACCATTCAATTCTTTTCTTTTCCTAAACAAGAGCTGTGCTCTGTTTCCTTTCGATTCACTGAAACCTTTCGCTTGATTTTACCAACCATTCCTTAAACCTTCCTTTCTTCTTACCTTTTCTTCTCTTATATCACACATCATTCAAAATGAAGCCTGCTTCAATTCTCCTCCTCGCCGCCGCTGGCCTTTCGTCCGCCCTTCCGGCTCAGTCTTTTGGCGAGACTGCTGTCCAGCAGGCCCGTGACACTCGATCTCTCTTTGGCCACGCCATCGATGCCATTGCTGCCCGCAACCTGGTTCCTCTCAACTCCAACACGGCGGCCCCCCCTCCTGCGGCTGATGCCGCTGCTCCCCCTCCCGCTGCCGATCCGGCTGCCGGCAAGAAGGAGGCTTCTGCTGCTCCTCCTGCTGCTACTCCTACGGACAAGAAGGCCGGCGATGCCAAGGCTACTGATGCTAAGGCTACCGATGCCAAGGCTACCGATGCCGCGGCGACCACCACCGCAGCTGCTGCCGCTACTACTGCTGCCGCCACCGACGCCGCTGCCACCGATGCCGCTACCACGACCACCGCGGCCGCCGCCATCGAGACCGGCGCCGTCGGCAACGGAACTGCCCCCGATAACGGCAAGGGCAAGGGCAAGGGCAAGGACAACGGCAATGGCAAGGACAACGGCAAAGGCCAAGGTGCCGACAAGGGCCAGGGCAAGGGCCAGGGCAAGCACGGCAACAAGAACAACAACAACGGCAACGGCGCTCTCAGCGCTGCCATCGTTGGCGCCCTCAGCAGCCTCGGCATCGACGGTGTCCTGGACGCCAGCTCCCTGGACAAGCTGAATGTTGGAGACCAGATCTCGCTGCTTGCGCAGATCGTCTCGCTGCAGACTATGAAGGATCTGCAGATGGTTGGCGGAAACGATATCGTTGTTGTGTTGAACCAGGGCTTTAAGAGCAATGGGCTCAATGTCAGTAAGTAATAACGTGACTCTCTAGATATTCGGTGTAGGAAAAATGTGTGCTAACGAGGATATTAGTTATTAACGCGTAAGACGGCATGAGAAGCGGGACTTTCGCTTGATGGGCATTGGGTAAAACGGGAATGAAATGGAATGAAACATGATAAGGATTAGGCTGGTTGATCTAGCATGGAGAGTATGTAAATCATGATAACCTTGGAAAATAAAAGAATTGTCAATCAATCAATCCGCGCTTCCGTCATGTGAATGTCGAAAGACTGTCTCTTGAAATGTGCACTAAAAGTACAAATACGTACAACTCAAAAGGTCCAAAGTAGAAAAGTGCCGCTCCGTCTTCAAGACACAATCCATCAACTCAAAGCACAGGTAAAACACCAACGACAAACAGTAAAGCGCGATTCGATGTAATTAACTCATACAAGAAACGTCATGTATAGGCCCTTGGAAAAATATTAAGCTTTCCCTTCAAAATATGCCCTCAACCTCATGTTTCTTCGCTCTCTCCAGCCCCTGGTAACTCCCATCCATCCGACCATTCATCCAGTCGATATCATGTGTGATTTCCCTTTCCTCTCCAATAACACCTGAAAAAAAAATGAAATGAAATTTTGACAGTATATACAAACATTCCTACTTACGAGAGGCAGCAGCTCATCAACGCCGCCCATCTCCAAGCCAAACAGATGGTGATATCTATAAATCAACCAACCACGGCCTTTTCGCTCAGACTTTCGAGAAAACCTCCCAGGTCTTCCTTCTTGACCTCCACGACAGAGTGCTCAAAGCTGTCGATCCGGACACGCGCGCTCGTCTCAGAAACAACCTCCTGGAATGCGTTGCCAAACTTGTTGAGGCCGTAGCCCCGGTCATTCTCGGCATCCTCATCATCCGAATCGTCTTCCGACTCTGACGAGTCAGACCCCTCCGACTCCGTCTCTAGTTCATCATCGTCATCGTTGTCGTCATTGCCTTGATTCGCAGCTCGCCGGGCCGCTCGTTTCTCTTCCCGGATCTTTTCTTTCGCTTTTTGGGCCTCCTCTTTCTTCTTTGCCTTGGCTTCTTTGTTTGATTGCCTCTCTTGTTTAGTGGCCTTGTTCATAAACACGGTATCCGGTCCTCCGCCACCTCCCGTACCAACGACAATGTAGACTCCACGTTTCTCGTTTAGGCTCGCCACTACCAAGGGCGTTCCACGGCCACCATGGGATAGTTTGCCGTGGGATTCTTTTTCCTGCTCAGCCAAAGCCTCTCCTATCCAGAGAGCCAGCTTCGTCAAGGCGGCTGGGTGGGTAAAGAGAGCGACATCTGGGCCATCTTTAACAACGCACATGCGGAAAGCGCGAAGGTGTTTGATTTGCTTCTTGTTGATGAGAGATGTTCCTGTTCGGTAGATCGCGCGGTGCAGAAATTGCGCCGTTGGTAGTCCAGCTTTGAGGGCATCAATGCTGTGAATGTATTGTTAGCATATTCAATTTCATTTCCATGCATTGGGCTTCTGAATGTAGCTCACTTTTCCAATGCATCATACGCTTCCCAGAAGCGTCCAACCCACTCCTCGCCCTGCGCAGCAAGCTCTGCCTCGTCTTCCATCTCGCGAGTCACTTGGCTTGACCCTGGGTTTGCCGTTTCCAAAGCTTGAGCGTGTTTCCCAACCTCTAGCAGAGCACCAATCACAACGCCAACATCCTGAGCACTGAGAGTGGCGCGCCAGCCCCAGCTGCGGACAAAGCCCCATCCATCCTTGGCTCCCGCTCGATCTTTGCCGTCCGTGTCAACCGCAGGAACCATCTCGTCCAAGTTGTAAAGCGATCCATATTTCAAAAGCTTTGCCCTCAGCTCGCGCTTCAGCATCATGTCCATGTGCGTATAGCTCTGTTTGCATTGCGCTAAGCTGACTCCCATTTTGGCTAAAAGCTTGTGAAGCCGCTTGATACCTGCCTCGCTCCAAGTTCTTAGTCTAGAAAAGAGATATGGGGAGTGCAGCATGCTGTCGTAGAGGCTCCAGTGTCGGATCAGAAGAAACCTCGGCTCTGGCGACAGGCGAATGCCTGTGTCTTCAGGGTTCCTGGCCGTGGTTGGTATGATGCCGTTGTTTTCAGGGGCAACTTTTCCATTTGCCACATCTGGCGGGTTCAATCTCCGGACTTCATCTCGCAGGAGCTGTCGCAGGCGGGCACCTCGCATGCCAAACCACCCTGACGGCTTCCCACCTCCACTAGAACGAACGGGCGCGGCAACGCCCGCTGATGACCTTCCGTATAGTTCCATTGACGTAACTCCTACTATAGCCAGCCAGAGAAGGTCATTGTCATCGCGGCCTAGTTCGGAGGCCAACGAGTACATCATGGATGATATGGGTTCTGAAAAGGACGAGCCCATCCTGTAGTATTGGTGTAGGACGGTTTCTTTCTCTTGCCGCATTCGTAATAGCCGCTTTCTTAGGGTGCGGGCAGAAACGTTTGGCGGAGGTTGGGCCCCTGATGGAGGCTCGACAGGGTCGCTCGACAGCACTCCAGGATCTCGAATTGATATTAGGCCTCTGGGCTTGGGCCTGCGAGGAGAGCTGGCTATGGAACTTGACTAAGATGTGTTAGAGAGAGGCATTGCTAAAAGAACACTCGGGAAAGAAGCTTTGGTTTACTTACGGAATTGCTTCTTCGCCGCTGGCGAGGCCGTGATTCCTCATCGTCGCTAGAGTCATCCTCGTTCAAGCTCTTTCTCTTCTGCCCCGCATGAGCTGGCTCTTCTTGATCAGAACCAACGTGATTGTCGTCGTCGTCATCGCCGTCGTCTTCCTCATCGCTGGAGTCCTCATCGCCCTGATCCTCAATGTCTGGCATATCCAGAAGCGCAAGATACGCATCCCGCTCCGTCATAAGCTCCCCCTCAATATCGCCGTCGTCAAACACCACGATGCCGCCCTTGCCCGAGTTATATGATCGACTGATGGCGCCTCCTGTAACTCCGGCCGGACTTCTCGACTGGTATGAACTTGACACTTGGTTAACGGGCTCGAGTGGAAAGCCACCAAAGACGTTGGCCAAGTTCCAAGGCCTATGAGCATCAAAGACCCAGACTTCGACGCCGCTGTATGGAGATTCTTCGCCTTCGGGCTCCAGGCCCAGCAGAGGGCCAAGATCGACCATGCCTCCAACACCAAGGCAGACGACAACCCCTCCGCTGCCGCCCTGCGACTCCATCATGGGGACCACGAGCTCCTTTCCGGCCTTCTCCAGGTCGCTGTAGCCCGCGACGGGCTGGATCTTGTGCGGAATGTAATCATGCTTGAGGAGGCGGGTAAGGATACGGCAAGCGCAGAGAGCGTCCGGTTCGAGCGCGACGAGGATCAGGACAGCCGGGGAGAGAGGATGTCGAGTGTTTTGGAGGTGCGAGTAGAGCTTGGATATCAGAGAACGCGGGAGATACATGGCTCGAAGCGGCGGATATGGATATCTGTATCAAAACCTATAGAGACGCCAATTGATAAAATAACGGCATGGAATAGAAGCTGCAAGTCAATGCTTCTTTTCTTTTTGTTTCCTGGATAGGAGACAATCACTCCGGAAACGCGCCCAATCCTAGCCTGGTCGTGACAGAAAAGGGAACTGGCGTCAGACACGGGCCAAGGCGCATAGCACAATTGAAATGTAGGAGGACGCAGTTTCAAGTTCAAGCGGCGTAAGAAAGGAAAATGGAGATGTAAATCAGATGCAGCATATCAATGAGGAGAAAAAAAAAAGAAGAAGAAAAAAACAAGAGACAAAATGCTAAGAGCAAAATGCTGAAGCCGATGCTGACGCTTATGCTTATGCCGTGCTGCTATAAGGCGAATTTTGTTGATGGTGAAGGGCCAAATGTTTGAAGCACACGAGGATGTTTTTGCGCTAGAAAACGCGTTTATTCATTAAAGAAGCGCCCAATTGAATGACGCGCACCGCGACGAGCAAGTGGGAAGGATCGATGGAGGGGTCCTGACAAGTGGGGCACCCGTTGTGACGTGCTTTTTCAATCTACGGATTGAGTACAGCGCTGTATTTATCGCGAATAGAAGCATATGACAGCTGTGGAATCTGCCTATGTAGGTATTGTATATAGTTACCTATGTTAATAATTTATACATTAGTAAGGTAGTACTTGGTTTCTAGGCAGAAGTCTTTGATACAAGTTGCATCATCTATTCATATCCTTCACCAGCTTGAGTAGAAATATCGAGGACACAGCTGCAGCTATTCCCAAGCTCATATAGTAGTAGCAGGCACTACGGAGTAACCTCCACTGGCCAAAAGAAAAAAAAAAAAAAAAAAAAAAAAAACACAAAAATAAAAACGAGGTGCTGGCCGGAGATGCAAAGCACGATTCAACCTGATACACGCATCATTTGTCTGTCCTTGCTGCAGGCCAAGGAAAAAGGACGGCCATTTCCGTCCCGTTATCCGCCAGAATCCAGACGCCGTTGGCTCCAGATCTTGGATTTTTACGCCCGTCTGGGTTTTTTAAGGTTTTGCGTTTTCTGATTCGTAAGACGGGGTGTCTGTGTATACATGCGAGTCAGGCATCTCGGTTTTCCGTCCGGCGACCAAATGCCAGCAAACTGAACCGTGTCTCGGCCCGTTCGGCTGTCACTTAGATTGGAAATTGTCAGCTTAACTATAGCAATTGGTGTGTTTCATCCACCGGTCCGTATGATACGGATTTCAAATAGGGAAATGCTGCGGTGGTCTGCGAACCAAGGCGTAACCTACACCCTCTTGGGCTTCCTGGGCTTCCTGGGACAGTGTCGCACAAGTGGGCACCAGGTGGTCGGTGGGAAAACCCGAGCCAAGGCCCTGGGAAGGGAGTGTGTCATGTAACCTGTGTTGACTCGAGGCTTGCTTGGTACCTACTCAAGCTACTGTACAAGTGTGGGCACTCACTCATACAAGCACAGACAATATGAAGTATTGGGGACACAGCATGCCCGCCACGGCAAGACTAAGACGGGAGAAGGCAGCATGTCATGAGGATGCAGGAAACGGCACTTGCGCAGTATCGTCTCGTATTTCAAAGGGAGGCAAGCCCAGGCTGCGAGGTCGCAATACTAGCCCATCATTACGATTCTGGACTGTCTCCATTCCGAAATTAAACAGCGGGTTCCATCTTCCGTGGGAGGGTGTCTACTAGCGCATCACGGCCACTGTCACTCCGTACGAGTTATTCTCACATCTGAATAGTCCGAGTCGCTAATATGCGGAGCACCAAGCCCATTTCTGTCTGGGACAAGAGAGACATCAAAGGTCTCTGCTAATCATGCGGTCAACGACGGAATCGGAGCCGGACAACAACCTGGAAACCCCCCGCCCTTGAGGTGTGGAGGTGTGTCCGGTTATTCTGGCCATGGTACGATGTTGAAAGACTAGCTCGCAGCAGGCAATGCGTCTCATGCACGCCTACCCGTCTGTGCGGGATCCGGGAGAGCGTGCTTGCACGGAATATGTGTACCTGAGCTGTGCTGGTGCTGGTGCTGACAGGCAGCCGGAGCTAAAAAGGCTGAATGGTTTCGAGCCGAGACATGTGAAGGACGAGGAGTCGGGAATCAAGGAATCGGAGCCGCGAAGAGGACGCCACTACTGGCCTCCTGGTATATTAGTCGACATAGCCGTAACACGCATCGTAGCCGTACTGACAACTACCACTGCAGGCTTGGCCATGACCCTGCTCAGACTAACAACTGGAACATGGTTCGCCGTCCTCGCCAAACCCCCGCTGCAGCTTCGACGTGCTTGAGCGGGTTGGGAAGCGGATTGGACCAGCGGCTGGCGGCTGTTACATCGAGAGACAGCAGATCGCCTGAGATGGAAAGCAAAGAGTGGGACTGCGTGGATTCGAGGGAGGACCAGCGTGGCAGCAGTCGGTTTCCTGACACGAGCAAGGCGTGGAGAAAAGATGGTAGTACTTTGTAGTATTATGTAGGTTTCCATTTCTGACAGCTCCACGGCCAAGTTGACGGAGAGGCGGAGTGGGAAAACGGAGCGAGTTGACAAACAAGGGCGGTGAGGGTTGACAGGACATGGCGGCGCCACCAGAGACGCATGTACTCCGTACCAGCACCTGATGAAGAGGTACTTGCAGGTGTGCGCATCTAGCAAGGTTCGTGCAGGTACAAGTACATACGCTTTCCGTACCTAATGTGCGCCTTGCAGCTGCGGCAGAAACGGAGTGCAGAAGCCGGAGCTTGGCGAGGGGGGAGTGCGCATTGCATCTGGGTTTGAGTGTGCGGTATTCGAGGCGAATAGAATCACCTAGGTCTGCTCTGCAGTGCGGCTCAGCTGAAGGATTCAGAAGGGGCATCTCGCAAGCGGCCAACCGCGGATGACGGAGTACCGACCAGACGGTAAGGGCTTACGGGTCTTTTTTTTTTTTTTTTGCCCTTTTTTTTTTGGCTTTCGGGTCGGAGAAAATATGAGAACAGATTTACTTTTTTTTCCCACCTCCGTCTCATCTCTTGTGCAGGCGGTGCGAGGGGCGGGTCAGACAAAAGAGAGACAAGCGGATGGGCGTCGCCAACAAGCGAGAGGTACAAGTACCAGGACGGTACATGGCCCAGCACCAGCACCAGCACCAGCGCCAGCACCAATACCAGCTTTGCCAGCACAAGCACCAGCACCAGCACCAGCACCCTGGACTCGGCAGTTCCGCAGCGCTGGAAGCTTGGACGCTTTTTGGGGTCGCCGCACGGCGCTCCCTCCAGCTTCAGGTGTGCGTACGTATACATAGTAGCTTGATGCTCCAGGGCGGATTGTAAGGGTGCCTACTAATTAGTAATTAGCAGTAATTTCAAAAGAGTACGGCTGACGGCATGGCATGGGGAGAGAGAGGATGCAGTTCATTACCACTATTACCTTGTACAGTAGCTGTTTCTGATGGGGGCCGACGCAACCCACTGATGGAAGCGCGGGCTGCGTCCAAGGTACCCGCTTGTGCCCGTACCTGAGCCCGTACCGGTACCAGTACCAGTACCAGCACCAGCACCAGCACCAGTCAGTACCCGTGCCCAGCCCCCCGGGGGCCCTCTGGAGCGAAAAGGGCACTACCGAGACCTGATGCCAGGAGGATGACACACCGCACCAGACTGTCGGGTCCGGCTGTTGTTGATTGTGCCACATTTAACCACAGCGCTGGGCCAGGTTGCTTGGACACGGCGATTTCAATGGCAGAGGCTGGACAAGATTCTGCGAAGGATGCACCGCTAGAAGACAGGAGGCTTGCTAGCCGCTGTCATTCTAGAGCCGTCGCCTAACAGCAGCCCAGGGGTCCGGTAGCAGCAGTCAGTCTGGTACCTCTGCTGTGCTGTGCTGTACAGTACAGTAGCTACAAGCTTCAAGTTAGTACCTTATGTGTGTGCACCTTTTAGTGCTGGTCGCACCGAGGGAGAGCTGCCCAAGACATGGAGGACAGGCCAGGGGAGTTTGATGATGGTCCGGCTTGGCGATGACCACTTTTGGTTTTCAGCTCAGTCTCTTGTCTCTCCGCTGTCTCCCGTCTTTACGCTTTTAATTATCCGAGAGAAAAAACCCTGATGAGTGTTCCTGGGAGGGTGTTATTCCGTGTCTGGCTCAACCCAAGGCCGTTCCCATTACTCGGTAACCTGGAATACTAACACGCCCCTAGCAAGCACTACCTTAGGTAGCTTCCATGGCAAATACAGGCCCTGCTTTTAGCGACTGGACCATCCACACTGCGCTGCTCGGCGGAACGGTCCACCGCCTTAGCTGTTTTGTGAGCTGTAGCGCCTCGCATGATGGAGTGCACACCAAAAACCGCTTGGCCTGTTCTGGGATCGAGTCGACCGAGAAACGAAACTCGGCTATGGATGACGGGGAAAAAAAAAACACAGGCAGCATCCAGAGGGAGGGGGCCAAGTATAATATAGTACGAGGATTGAGTAGGTAGTAATGCAAGTACTGTACTGTACACGTACTGTCCTGTACAAGTAGCATTGATGTGCTTTGCCTAGCCTTGCTCGCCTGGTTCTCGCCTCGCCTCGCCTCGCCTCGCTTTTGCCTTGCCTTGCCTTGTCTGCCTCGTAAATCGACCTATTGATTCATGTCCAGTTGATATTGATGGACGCTGCTCGCTACAGTGAGTACCTAGTAGATAATCCTGTGATGTCTGGTGCCTTTTTGCCGCACGAGGTTTTGGCCATGGCAGTTGCTTGAATCCCCCCCCAGATCTCATGTGGCTTCCAGCCTACGCCATCTCCTCTGCTACGCTACCCCTCTTGCAGCATTTGTCGCCTGAATGGTGGCTTCAGGCGTCGCCGCCCCTGCTGGAATGCGTCGCCGCTGCATCCAGCCAATCTGGTTCATCTCGGCTTGCCACTCTTGGCTGCTGCTCTACCGAATGCCCGTACAGTAGCTTCACTGTTCAAATTCAATTCAATCCGCCGAGTCCCCCAGCAATACCGTGCCTGGTTTTTGCTTTGCATTGCTTTGCTCTGTTGGCCGTGTCTCGCCCATTTCCCGCACGTTTACATAGTACGAGTAGTGCCGCTGTTAGCATTTGATCCCTCTATGATTTGAATCCTTCCCCCCCGCCTTTTTTCACTCAAGACTCCATATCTTGCCTTGGCAGCTACTGTCGCTATTCCAGTTTTTCCCATCGAGTCCCGACAGTACGGCGCCCAGGTAAACGGTAGCTAATAAGCCACTCTCCACCCGCTACCAGATCTCTGGCTCAGACACCGACCAACAACATAACCTTCACTAAACCTGTCTCGAGCCACGCCCTCACGCCCTCATTTTCCGGGCCTCCACGCCCCCCGGGGATCCTCCTTGCCTCGACGTAGCAGCGCTGGCAGGGTCTCGCACTGCTAAAACAGAGCAAACTCCCGCCATCCGGCCCCCGAGACTCCTCCAAGGGGACCCCCCCCAATCGCTGCTCCTCCTCTTCCTCACCCCCGACTTAGACTTTGCATCACTCACTTCTCTCGCTCGCCCTCTCTCGTTTTTAATTACACTAACCTCCCATCTCCGCATCCCTGCTCCGTGTCTCTGGCCCGAGTTCCCTGTCTGACGCCGCTACGAGTACAAGTATAGCATAGTACGAGTATAGCAGCTGTCAGGTCAGTGCTTACTGTATGTGCTTGTCTGACCCTCCATCCCAAGCTGCTGGGAAAACGGAGGATTGCGAGCCCAGAATCGCCTCGCATTGGCCAGTTCCTTGTGCCCACCGACCGGTGACGGACCCAGCCTACTGGGCCTGCAAACCAAACCAAACCAACTGTGTGTGTGTGTGTGCGTGCTTGCTCGAGCTGGTGCTTTTTCCCGTGTCCGCGGCCGGTTGTCTTTCTGGCTGTGGCTCTGGCTCTGGCTCGGGGGGGCGTCTGCTTGCATTGATTGCCGCACCCTCTCCTCTCAGCCCTTTTTGGCTGGCTGGACCACTTCTGCAAATCACTCGGGGCCCTTCCAATTCTGTGCTAGAATAGATCGACCTTGGCTCCCCGAAACGGAGTCCTTTCACTCATTTCTTTCCTCCCTTTGCTCTGCAACGCCTTGATCGCTGCGCCAGACACTGAGCCGACACTCGATCCAATTGGCCTTGGGGACTCGTTCTGGCATAAACATTATTATTTGATCCTTTCCCCCCTCTCGTCTCGTCTTCCAGCTCGCAAAGGCTTCTTCTCATCTCTCTCTCTCTTTCTCTCTCCTCTTTTCTCACTCTAGGCTGCCCTCCCTCCCTACATCTGCCTTAATACAGCTTGTCGTTATATACGGTTTGGCCCATCATGAGCCTGAATAGTGCACAAGGCCCTCCCGGGTCCGGAGGTGGCGATCATCACGGTTCCAGCGAGGACTCAACGTCAGACTATGCCGAAACCGTGGACTTTTCTGAGTTTACATCCATCGACACCGCCCAGATGGTTCACAGATACAAAAACGGGAGGTAGGTCAAGGAATCCCTGACAAAGATGTCGCCGTCCCTGGGTGGCAAAAAAAGGAACAATGAAAAGAAGGAATAGAGAAGGAAAAAAAAAAAAAAAGAAAGGCCAAAAAAAAGAGGAGCCGAGTCAGGTTCATGAAAGCTGACCACTCAACAGGCGGTATCAGGGCTGGTTTGACGAGCGCTATGGATTGCCAAACGACGACACGGAGCAGGCTCGCGAGCATCTCAAACACAGGGTTTACTCCGACTATCTCCTCAACGGCGAGTACTTTATTTCACCGATCGGCGACAACCCCCAGAAAATCGTCGATCTGGGCACCGGCGCCGGCTTCTGGCCCATCGATGGTTCGTATCCCCTCCCCTTTCTGTCAGCTGCTGAGTTGTGGAAAAAAAAAAAAAAAAAAAAAAAAAAAAAAAGCTCTTCATCCTCGATTCAGACTCAACTAACCCTCCTTTTTGCAACAAAGTGGCCGAGAGATACCCGAGTGCTCGTGTCATTGGCAGCGACATTTCTGCCATTCAACCTCCTTGGACGCCCCCAAACGCAGAGTTCCGGGTGGAGGATCTCGACGACGAGACCCGTCCCTGGACGAGAATCTACGCTGGTGCAGACCTCATCCACACAAGATCAGTCATACAGACTGTCCGCAACCCCGAACTATTTCTGCAACGAGCTCTAGAGTACGACTATGATCCTACGCGTTTGCCCCTTTGTTTATCTTTCACCCTTTTTTCAAACAACCAGTGTCTGACCGAGTCAAAATAGGGCTTTGAAACCTGGCGGCTGGATCGAGTGTCATGATCTCTTCATACCCCTAACCTGGGAAGACGGCACTCCCGCAATCGACCATCCCGTCCAACGCCTCTACGACCTCGTAAACGACGGCCCCTTTGCGCAAAAGTACGGCTGGCAGCTCTACTACCCCCCGACGCTGCCCCAGGTCCTTCGCCAGCTGGGCTTCGTCAACGTCCAGGAGCAGCACACGCCCATCCCCGTCGGCCGATGGTCTCGCCGGTCACGAGACCGCGAGATGGGCATGTTCAACCAGGACAACCTCATCGACTGGACCGCGGCCCTGCTCATCCGGCACGAAGACCTGGGCATCACCGAGGAAGAGGCGAGGCAGCTGTGTCAGGAGACTCTCATGGCCATGGATAATACTAGGATCCATGCTCGCCTCGACTGGGGCATTGTCTGGGCGCAAAAGCCGCTATGATTTTACAAAGCTACCATGGCTTCATGAACATTTGACGAAAAGCAAGAAAAAAGAATGAGAAAAAAAGAGATAAAAGGGGGCGGGTCGGACTGCATCAAGCTGGCTGAGGGAGGAGAGACAGAATCACTTTTTGGCACACAAGTCTTGTTACATGATGATGTCTCGCCCAAAGAGGGCCAGCTGGCGGCTTCACAAACGATACATAACGATGGCATATACTCTGGGTTTTCTTTTTCCTTCTCTCTCTCTTTCTATCTCTCCATCTCTCTCCATCTCTCCATCTCTCTCACTGTCTCTATCTCTCTCTCTCTCCCCCTTTTGGGAACTGCCTACGTGGGGGGTGTTTGTCAAACACAACCAAGCACCGCTTTTCTCCAAGACTACTAAGCGCCGAGAAAAAAAAATAGAAAGACAAAAAAAAAAAAAAAGATAGGGGACGAGCAAAACAGACGGTGGGGAGGGAACCACATTACTCGATGTTTGGCAATTTTCCCCATTTGATCCTATTTCCTCGATTTCCTATTAGCAGAATGCCTCATCACACGCACATATACACGCATAACACCCCTGGCACCACCCCAATCACGCAAAACGCAAAACGCAAAACCTTTCTCTACCTCCCCAAAACACAACACGTATCGCATACAGAGCGTTTGGAACATGAACTTTGCATCATGGAGAAAAAAAAACGGGTTAACGGCGCTGGGCTTTCGGGAAACTTGGGAGCGGATACGAAACGAAAGAACGGGCTCATTTTTTTGTTTTTGTTTTTTAGGTTATGGTTTTCTTTTGGCATTTATGGGTATATTTTTGGGTGGAGGTTACCATCAAAGAGGATTAAAAAATGCCCATTTTATTCTGGGGATTTTTTCTTTGGGAGGGACATGCAGCTCTTTTTTTTACTTCTCTGTGTCTCTCTGTGTGATTCCTCTTGGGGAGCGCTATTTTGGCGCTCAGCTATCTTTTTTTTTTTTTTTGCTCTAATCTTTTGGAGAGGGGTTTTTTGATATCTCTTTTGTCCTTCACTTTTCCGGAAACCCCAGCTTTAGGCTCTTGTGAGTGCCGTATTTTGTCCGGGGGTTGGGTTGGGCTTTGCTTGTTTTAGTCTGGATGTGGATAGAACATGTCACCACATCGACAGCGAAAAAGAGCCCCAAAAGAGACCAAAAAAACGAGGCCAACGCAGCAGCCCAAGATAGTTACGGTGTACGGGAGTTAAATGGATATCAAATGTGTGATCTGGCAGAAGTCAATCCCCCAGTGCTACCCTGTCCGGGGGGCCGTTTCTTCCCAATCACCCTGGTCTAGTCTCTCTCTCTGTGTCTTTTTCGTCCTACGAGTGATAATATACCCTTGTTCCGCCTACGTTCCCTCACACCCCTGTCGAGCTTTTTTCGTCTCTTTGCGTTTTACCCACGGCTCATTGTCCCTCTTTTTTCGAATTCGCAGAAACTCTCTTCGTTTTCTCTCGAAATAACTGTCCGGAGCACGCTCCGTGAGAAAACCACCAAAAAAGCACACACCCCGTCACTCGGGATCGGACGCTTCTCTCAGTCACTCCCTGATCGGTTGTAAGATGCGCATCTGTTCATCCGAAAATGCATTAATCCCACTTACTTGTGTGCATTAGCCGCCCATCAGGACCCCCCCGATCAACGAGAAAAAGAGGTCAGCAGTTGCTTGGTTACATGTAAATGCCTGATTCTATACTAGCTCCGTCTTTTTTTTCCTCATGCCTACATGTGACCGATCGGTTTGGCGGAGATTGCACGCTCCGATTTGCTTTGGCCGTTTTGTACTGTATCTGAGGGTGTACGAGTATATACTAGCCTTGCATCTTTTCTTATCGTTTGAGTCTTGTTTTCTCCGCTACTACTCCCCTCATGCAGCGGGAGTGAACGAACATTTCATCACACATCAAACATGGTAACACATCATGAGAACAGAAATAATACATCCCAAGAAACAATAATAAATGCGCTCAACTCATTCATATGAAGCCAAATGCAACACCATGCTCCAAATGTAGTAGAACTGCCGTTTACAGTAGCCAACCAAATCCAGGAGTGCATATGGAGGCGCAGGGATGACCGCAAAAGACTATTCCACACCATACAAAGTGTACCACGAGTAGTATTTATAATGCTCTAAATTATCGCCATGACGTTTTGCTGGGAGAAAAGGAAAATACATAAAAAGAACCAATAAACATACTAGCTCTTACATTCCCTGCCCCAGGCGGTGTCCCTCGTTTGACCGTGATTAGATTACATATATGGAAACAAGGACGTGCACAGCACTTACGTGGACCAAGTACCAGCGAGTACCCGTTACGAAAAGGATAATTATGGAGTCCAAGTAGCGGAGCGGTGCGACGGAACGACAATGAGGCCTTGGCGGAAAATAATACGTTGCGAGTCCCAAATTCCGTCGCTTTGTCATGGAAGGGGTGTCATGGTGTAATGTATAATTTCGGCGTCGGGCCATGGCTACCACTTACTACTTGTAATAAGTAGTTTTTCCCTGGAACCAATGACAGAAATGAGGTGAGATTCTTATTTCTTCAAAAGGCACGAGCTGCGAAAACGGCGGAGTTTCCCGATTCTCACACACCAACTGGTCCCAAAGCCCATCTCACCAACGCCGGTTCACCAACGCGGTTCACACACCCCCATGCTGCCCAGGGGCCCAACAACTCGTGGTTTCGGCGTGGCCAGCAAGACAAGCGACGCTGTGATCGACATCGATTGCTCGTGACGGGGGTTAAATGAGGAGTAGTGAATAGTTCTATTACTGCCCCGGATGAGAGCCTTTGCTGAGTGATGATGACTATAACGTTGTCTTACCTGTGCTGTATGTACATAACTTCTTCCCATAACTCGTGACTTCCAAAAAAACAAATGGTATACTGAAAGAGAAAGAAGAATAAAGAAAAGAAAATGCTCCGTACCGTGTACTTACGCAAGCAAATCCGGGAGGTGATATCTCTCAGTGCCTCGCCCCCCCTTTTTTCTCTCTCATCCGCCATGCTGATGCTGCGTGTGCTGCGTGTGCTGCGTGTGCTGCTCTAGTTTCCAAACATATTTCCTCCCTGCCCTCCTGGCCCGCCGAATCCGCTCATGCCGTTCCCGAAGCCAGCGTGATTAGGCCCCGTGAAGCCTTGAAACGTATCGGCATCCTGATAGCCAGCCATGAGGAATGACCAATCCATCTCTCCGTCATCACCAGAAGCCGAACTAGGAGGCGCCATGGCTGGCTGAGTGGTACCGAACCCGGCAGTCTGGTCCACCGGTGGAGTCATCATAACGGCGTTGTCCAGCGAGGTCGACGACATCTCGCGGTTACGTGCCCGAGGAAAGGCCACCGGTGGCTGCTCCTGGCTGGGGCTGGGGCCAGTACGGTTCTCTGAGCGTGCCCTTCGCTTCGCCTCGACACGCTCCTGAAGAGTCTTCATGAATCGCGGTATGGGAATTTCCTTTCCTGCAGCTCGCTGGGCTTCGTAATGGGCTGCCCAGGCTTTGACGAATTGGCCGCTGAAAACCCCATGCATTGGGCTGTGAAGATTGGATAATAAACCCCGAAGGTCATAATTCGCTTCGATTGCCGCCCAGGCCCTCTCTACCAGCGGCCCCGACATGCGCTTGCGTAGTTCCTGGACAAGGAACATGTATGCTGGAAACGGGAAATAATGCATCGCGTACCATCTATACGGTCGAAGACTCTCCGAGGACATGACTACATTATCATGCTCTACCCAAACAATGGCTTGCGTGGTGAGGGCATCTCGTTCCACATCGTTTAGCGGTATGGGTTCGCCGTTGTGTCTCCGCACAAGATAGTTGATGATTCGCATCTTGCAGAGCGCCGCTCGCGTCATTGTCATGGTGAAGAAGTGAAGAGGAATCTTGGCGTCGCAATGGGTCAAATACGTGCCCTCCATGTGAGCACAGAATCCTTCAAGAGTGTACGGAGGAGTATCTTGGCCAGCCAGACGGACCGTCACAGCGAGTGGCTTTCCGGGTTGCGGGGAGCCGGCACTCTTCTCCGGGTTGATCTTGAAGCTGTCTCGATTGCTGTTGCTCGCCACGGCCATGGAGAGCTCGACACGTGTCAGGGCAAAAAGCATTTCTGTGGGCCCAGTGTGTGGTTTCGGCGGTTCCTTGCCATCTGCGTGGAGGTCAGAATCATTAACGTTCAAAGGCTTCTTGCAGTCACAGCCCGAGGTGAGAGCGGTGACTGTTGAACCAGTCATCTCTCCAACTCGACGGTCATAAGAAACAAGTGTCCACCATAACCGCCGCCTCTGTTCGACCTCGAAAGGAGAGAGGCCATAGCCGTCCGGGTCTCGGTGAAGGCCCATCCGCTGGGCAATGCGAATGGCAATGCCCATCATGCAGAACACCTGCCTCGGGTCTATATACCACCGAACGGTCATCTACAATATGTGTTAGTGGGGACTTGGTACAAGATGCATCCTCTTTTTGGTTGCAGTGCAATCAACGCGAGAAAGGGAGGAAAAGAGACTTACAAGATATAAAAGATACGCCTGCAGTGTCAAAGGGTCGGGAATCCGCATGAAACTAGCATTGACCAAGGCTTGCTGGAGTGCTGGAAAATACCTGCCCAGGAGTTCCTGTTTCGTCTCTCCAAAAATCCTCTGGACTTCGGCATCCTCAATGGAGTTTATGGAGATTACGTAGATGGCGAACATGAGGGCCTCAATATTCTTTGGGGCCTCGTGAGGTCGAGAAGTCGCCTCGATGATCTTGCTCTGGATGCTAGGTACATGCGTGATTTTCAACAGGGGATTAATGTTGTCAATGTATATCTGCCAAAGCTGCAGTACCTGGACGGCAGAAGGGTGGATGTGAGTGACGGGAGCAAAGGAGCCCCCGATGATGAACGGGAAGCCATCTTGGTTTTCAAACATCTTGTCAAAGGCAGAATGAATGAAAGACCCCTTCTTGAAGTTGTCATCCTCATCTTCGGATGAGTCTTTCAACAGCTGCTCACTGGCTCTGAACTATATCATTACTGCAGTCAGTATGAGGATTAAGAGGATGAGGACAAGCGCCACAGGTAAAAGTTGGGTAAGACCCTCACCTCTTTATGGAGAGAAAACCAAGCCCCGGGCTCTTGAGAACTAATGGAACACACATGTTGAATTAGCCTAATGTCCCATGGTTTCCTTCCATACCCTATGTGGTATATTTCTTCGTCTAACACGCGGATGGAGATGGAGAACAACCTACCCGCGATTAGAACAGCCAAGTGCCTCTGGAGAGGTTTTTAAACCCTCAAAGTCGGTCTCTAACTCGTCAACGTCGTCGCCGGGGTTACCATCGGCCCTGTACTCGGGATCAATGGCATCGAATTTGACGCCATTCTGTGCAAGGAGAGTCTCGTACTTGCGCAGCCGCTCAAGCAAGTCCTTTTCCTGCAGCTTCTTGCGCCGGCGTCTCGGAGGCTGCGGAGCGACCACTCGACATTCCGCACCGGCCTTGACGCAGTTTGCACAGGGCTTGTTTTTGTCGCAGCGAACCTTGCGCTGTTGGCACAAGACACAGCTAGTGCCCCTGGTGAGTTTGATCACCGAAGGGTCAATGGCTGGAGGCGACTGTTGAGGAGGCCGGCCTTGGGAGGCGGATGGCGGCGGGGCCGAGCCGGGGCCAGGCATGCGAGCAGAGGCTTCTGCAGACATTGGCCCAGAGGACAGGCAATTGGGTGCTAAAATTGTCCGATCTGGAGGGCCGATCCAGTGGCATCAAAGGGCGCTCGGCCAGTGCTCTTGGCTAGTCAGCGGCGAGAGCTGGGACGGACTGATTGGATTGGCGGGCGCTGACACAACCCTGCATGCAGCTGAACAGATGAATTTGCTCAGGGCGCCTTTTACGCTGGATTGCAGCGCCTGTAGGGCTGAGGCTCGGCTGGGGCCGTCGGTTGCGAAAGAGTCGTCTCGGACCCGGGCCCAGACTTTGTTGGAGACGGTTCGTCTGGACGATATTTGAGGGGAGCGAGGAGAGAGAAAGCGGGGGCTCATTTGCGGTTTCAGGCGGCCAGGCCAATGGGAGGCGGATTAGCAAGACGGTGGGGATCGAGTTGGCATGTCGCCGCTTTTTTGCCTGGTTGGCGCATGAATGAATGCGGAACATGGCATGTTTTTGGCTTCTAATGTTGTTGGCGGGTTGATGCCGTGACGTTGATCATGACGTGGACCGTTGAATATTGAATGTTGTTGAATGTTCTGGAAGGAGATGGAATTAGTTTGTAGTTTGGAAGATATCAACTTTAATCTTGTGAGCGAGGATGGAAGGTACCTTATCGGATATGCCTATCGATACACGATTATATGAAAGGTACATGCTGTATTATGCATCTGCTCTGCTGGAATGCAGCTGCATGCAATTCGTAACATGCAACTACTAGGTACCTGGTAGCCTAGCATGTATATGCACTCAGATTGACACATTGATGCCGTCAATTCGTTGAAAACACCTTGAAAGGCTGCCCGTTACATATGCCTGTTACATACGTGCTGCTTTATATCTGGTAACATGACGATGCTCCAAAGGCCAAGTATATTCAGTAGCACGTAAGTCTGCCTATCCAAGTATTCGCCTTCACCGGGTACTGTAACCCCCAATTTGGTCCTGTGATACTACTGGTATAATGCCATCGCCGTCTTTGAGTCTATAGTTGAACAGTGTGTATGTGTTGGTGATCCCCTCTTGTAATCGTAAATTGTAAGCTTAATAATAAATACGCGCAAGTAATCTTGGCTTTTCGTACCCACTCGCTGCTTTGATGTACAAACTCACCCTCCAACGCCACTCAGCATTACTTGTACTCCGTATCAGTTGCGAGTTGTAACGCCAGCTACGCACCTGTGAGTGACTACAAGTATTCACCGCCTACTTCATCCTGACACCATCCTTCATTTTACATCGGCTCAACAAGATGGAAACAAGCCCGAAAATGGTCCATAGCGACTTATACGATCCAAGTTCGGGCTTCGCTTCGGGACCGAGAGCAAACGCCACGGCCCAACATGTACTAGCGCCCAGTTACGTGTCCGAGTGCATGTAAGTCAAGGGAGGCTCCCCGAATCACGGCACCGAAGAATGCTTGGACGGCCTCAAATGGATTGTTTTTCTTTTTTCTGCCCCGTCGGTCGTGTCATGCCGAAGATGGCCGGAGACAGACGGCGCCGGGCATGCGTGGCCCCATGCGTGGAACGAATGCAGGCTGTTTTCTCCTACGCGTATATACATACTTGGCCTCTATAAGTCTTCGTCTAAGTCTTCGTCGGTACCCAAGCATAGACAACCATATATACTGATTCAACAGGCTGTTTCTTGACTTGCTTCGTTCCCTCATGTGCAATATCTGATACACCACCGAAATCCATCGCAATGTCTGTCCCCCACGAAAAGATAGGGATGGAAAAGACACAATCTCCCATCCAGCTATCCAGCGATTCTCTATCATCATCACACAATACGCCAAATACCGATACAAAAAGTGACGGCACGACCAGCCCGCTCAAAGAAAAGATAGATTCAAAAACAAAAGACGACAATGCTGAGGCCGCAAATCCCCAGGGCCCACCCCGCGACATCGCTGAAGAAGCCTACAAGCCAAAGTCTCTCAAGTTCTGGCTCATCATCCTCAGTGCCTTTATGTCCATGTTCCTCGTTGCCCTGGATCGTACAATCCTCGCGACTGCTATTCCCACAATCACCGACGACTTTCACTCTCTCGCAGACATTGGCTGGTATGGATCCTCGTATATGCTTACGACGGCCGCCTTTCAGCTAGTATGGGGACGCGTTTACCGCTTCTACGACTTGCGCTGGACATTTTTATGCTGCATTGTCATCTTTGAGGCTGGTTCTGCTATATGTGGTTCTGCACCTAGCTCGTCTGTTTTTATTGCTGGTAAGCTGGCCATAGCCATAGCACATAGAGCAAAAATTATAAGCTTGAGATGATAATAACTAACAAGTCCTATAGGGCGTGCTATCGCAGGAGTGGGCTCTGCAGGCATCACGACCGGATCTCTACTTACTACTATCGACCTGATTCCATTGGCAAAGCGTCCCATGTTTCAAGGTACTACAAGAATCCCATGGTTCTCAGACGTCAAACTCGTATGCTAATTCTTGACAAACTAGCCGCCTTCGGTCTTGTGTTTGGCGTATCAAGTATCACCGGCCCTCTTATGGGTGGTGCGTTTACAGAAAACGTTTCCTGGAGATGGTGCTTCTACATCAATCTTCCCGTCGGAGCCGTTGCTTTCGTCTTCCTCTTCTTCTTCCTGCGGCTTCCCAAGAAATCTCATCCTCCCGCGTCAGTCAAGGAACAGATTCTCCGTCTCGACCCTCTCGGCACCTTCTTCTTCATCCCGTCCACCCTGTGCCTCTTGCTTGCCTTGCAATGGGGAGGATCCAAGTACGATTGGAGCAACTGGAGAATAATATTTCTCTTCATCATGTTTGGACTGACTGCCATCGCGTTTGCCATTGTCCAAATCAAGATGCCTGAGACTGCGTCGCTACCTCCCAAGGTCATTACTCAGAGGACCATGCTCGCTGCCACATTTTACATGCTCTTTGTTGCGGGCGCCATGATGCTTTTGGTTTACTTTATTCCCCTGTGGTGTAAGTTCAGCTCACTCTGTGGCCAGGACATTGGTGCTGACATGTTTCTTAGTTCAAACTACGCACGGTATCAGCCCTGTGAGATCCGGTGTTTATACGATCCCGCTTGTGCTGAGCCTCGTCGTCTCAGTCACCATATCTGGGTTTTTGACTCAGCGAATTGGATACTATTTGCCGGCTTTGATAATAGGCCCCTGCATAATGGCCGTCGGCGAAGGCCTTCTATATACACTCAAGCCAAACTCTGGATCCTCCGAATGGATTGCGTATCAATTTCTCGCTGGATTTGGACTGGGCTTTGGATTCCAGACCGCAAATCTTGCTGTCCAAGCTACAATCCCGAAGAAGGAGATTCCTACAGGGGTTTCTATCCTCTTCTTTGCCCAACAGCTTGGCGGCGCCATCTTTATATCCGTTGGTCAGACGGTTTTGAACTCCTTGCTCGTTTCTCATCTGGAAAATGTGCCCGGTCTAGACCCTATGACGATTATTAAGACTGGTGTGACTGAGTTGCAGGATGTTGTTCCTCCACAGTTCGCTTCCACTGTGGTTGATGCGTACAATTACGCATGTACACATATATTTATTGCTGCACTGGCACTGACCTGTGCTCAGCTGCTTTCTGGCTGCTGTGTTGAATGGGGAAGCGTTAAAAAGCCAAAGAACCAGCAAGAAAAAGCACAATGAACAAAGCATACATGGATTCATTTACCTGGACCATCGGTGTTGCGGCGATATAGACATCTGGAACTTGGATTAAATGCCAGATTTGAACTGGCTCTTTGTAATTTGGGAAATTGACTCTCTTCTCTATTCATGTACAATAGTTTTCGATAAAACATCTTGTTCAAATTGATATAATGGCAATTAGCCAAAATCAAGTTCATTTTTATCTATTTCAGTGCTGCAAACGCCTGTTCACATATCGTTCATGAATCCAACACCAATTTGTGTTCACAAAATTCGCATGCTGCTACATGCACCTATAAAACAACATCAAGATGCGGTTCCCTGGAGCTCAACTGAACTCCTGCCAAACCAAGCAAATCACTAAACACCACCAAATCGTCATCATCTCAGTCAATCCCAAACCTCAAAATGTGCAAAGTCATCAGAACCAAGTATGCTTGCCGACATACAGTCACCGAGTATGCATCCCAATGCTCTGAAGTGAGCGGAAGATGCGAAAAGGAAATCACAAACAGCAACTGCAAAGACCAGTGCCCAAAGTGCAGTCCCGATAACCGTCAAAAGAATATCGTGGACCTCTACGCCAAATACGCCCAGGAACTGAAGAGGCTAGCCGAGCTGGCAAAGGCTGAAGACTGTAAGACGATGATAGAGCAGCTTGACCAGCTTATCAAGGGTCTTCCAGAACAGAGAATCAAGGCTCTGGCGGAGATGCAGGAGAAGGCTGAGATTGAGACAGCGGTGAAGAAGCGAATCGAGGCAGAGTTGGCTCAGGGCTCAAAGGGGCGATGGTAGACTTGAGTTCCATCTTGGCCAGCTGTAGGGGGAGAAGTGCTAGGGAGAATGCCGGTGGTTTCGATATTCTTTGATAGGTACTCTAAAACAATAAAAATAAAAATAAAAAATCGCTCTGGTGTAAATTGAATTACTTTTGTTAAATGTGCATCAAGCCTGTAAAACACACTCTTGAGTTGTAAGATATAAGTGATAGCCATCGTCATAGAGGAGCCTCTTTTTCATCCATCCACAGAAGCTCTAATAACCATAGGTAAGCAGAAGCCGAGTACATTCAGTCCAGCTTCTCTCATTTATCTAAACATTAAGTGAGATTAAGAATTAAAAAATTAAGGTAGATAGCAATTAGTACCTACTATATGTACCTGCCTGCAGTTGAGCACCGAATCGTGCTTCAAGATGATATACATGTAGAAATGACCAGCTTAGTCAGCACTCTGCTGCTGCCTCTTAACCCCACGGCACGCGGGGCAGTTGCTCAACCTCCAACATCCCCAACTTCAAAGCTCAACTTAACGCGGCTCTATCGTTTCCTATCCGATATTATTCCCAAACTTCAGCCTCAACAACAGCTATCTCGTATACCGACCGAATCGCCTTCCGCCGGCAAAGTTCCAACATCTTCCGCCACCATGGATGCTCCCAGCTCCAACCCTCTTCTATCAACCCAGAAGAGCTCGCAGCTCCAGGCCGTCTTGCACCCGCTGGTGCTTCTCACAATCTCCGACTACATCACACGACACACTCTGCGGGAGCAAAAGGGCCCTATCATCGGGGCTCTGTTAGGCCAGCAGAATGGCCGGGAAATCACCATTGAGCACGCCTTCGAGTGCCACGTCCAGGAAGCACCCCAGGTCGAGGGAGGGTACCTGATCAACGCAGAGAAGTTTGGCAGAAGATTGGAACAGAGTATGCCGAATCCTCCAGCGACATCCCGTTACGTGCTTTGCTAACTGACTTTTTGCCAGTGTGCCTTGTGCATAAAGACCGAAAACTGGACTTTGTCGGCTGGTACACGCTGCTGTCGTCATCGGGCCCTTCGCCTACCATCCTGCCCATCCACAGCCAGATTCTCGAGAACTGGAACGAGTCGGCCGTTTTGCTAGGTTTCCACCCGCAGGAGGTCGCTCAGCATTCAGTTGGCGGTAAATTGCCGTTGACGATATACGAGAGCAACTTCGAGGTCGACGACGCCAGGGCGGAAAATGACGGAGAGGATAAGAAGATGGACGACGGTGATTCTGCACTCAAGCTTAGATTCCGAGAGGTGCCTTACTCCGTCGAGACAGACGAAACCGAGATGATCAGCATGAACTACGTGGCGAGCGGCGGTGGAAACGCAGCGGCTAGCGCCCCCGCTCCAACCGTCAAGGAGGAACGGCCGGCTCGTTCGATAGAATCAAACGGAAAGGGAAAGCGGAGGCTGGTGGAAAGTGAGGTTGAGGAGAGGAGAGACGCGGTGGTGGATGATGCGAGCGCTCTGTCACGCGAGGAGGACGAGATGCTTGCTGCGCTGACGGCCAAGGCCAACGCCATCAAGATGCTGCACTCCAGAATCCAGCTCATCATTACCTACCTGGAACGCTTGCCGTCCTCATACATCAACGGAGGTGACCAAGATGGAGAGAGCATGGATACAGACACTACCAATACTACGCCATCTTTGAACATTCTCCGGCAGATCCAGGCCCTGGTCAGCCGCCTCGACCTCGTCATCCCGTCAGACAGAGAGGCCTTTGAGAAGGAAGTCCAGAGCGAGTCCAACAACGTCAATCTCCTCGGCCTTTTGAACTCCATCATGCAAGGCGTCAACCAGGCAAAGGACGTGGGCAGGAAATTCCATGCCATTGAATCGAGTAAGGGCGCGGCAAGGCGTGGGACGCTGGATTACTCTATGGGAGTCCCGTTTAACATTCCTGGCACGGGCGATTTGCACGTTTAATGATGGAAAAAGGCTTTGTCTGAAAGGCTACAACTTTTGGTGTTTCTTTGTTTGCTCGAGGCATTATCATGGGGCGTTTTTATTTTCTTACATGTTCTACGCTTGGGAACGATTGATAGATAGGTAATGAATGATACGACAATGGCTGGCGTTTGCTCAGCCGTAATTAACTCATGAGATATTAGAACATGTGCATGCATCACGGCTACTCCCTTTTCAAAAAAAAAAAAACAACTCTATTCCATTTCCTTACCCCTTATTATTCGTCGACTTTGGTTCGTTTCTTAAAATGTGACTATAAACATGTGCTCGTCTGGAACTATATTTTAACGACAACAGCCGCACTCTGGGCATCGAATAGAAAACAAAAGCCACCCCTTTGTAAACCACCAACGTCCCTTAGAAAGTGCTTGTGGCCAACCGGCTCGCCGCATTCCTCGCGTCGATTCGGTCCTCGTCATCCTCCTCCAGACCAACCAAGTTGCCGAGTCCGCCCCCAAGCTTGCCCGACCCAGAATCCTGGCCGTCCTCGCCCTCAGCCTCGTCCAACTTGCCGACGCCCGAGGTGCTGCGGCTGGTGGCGTCAGACCGACGAGGAACGCCGCTCCAAGCATCTCCCTTAGGTCCCTGGCTGGCAGCGAGGCTGGTTCGTCGCACGGTAGGATGAGATTCACGGCCTAGACGGCTCAGACCACCTGAGGAATCAATGGACCGGATATCCGCTCTCACGCTCTCGAGGAGGGCCAGCGACCGACGCTCGGCCTCAATCTCGCGGAGGACAAGCTCCCTAATTTCCAGGCGCAGGTCACTGGCCGTTCTGTCGAACCACCGACGGCGCTCTTGAACGAGGCTCTGGGTGACTCTACTCGTCTTGTTGAAGAGCTGGGTTTCGTTTGTCCGGGCCTCGTCGAGAGCTGCGATGGCCTCGTCAACCTTTTCTCGCCTAACGCTGGAGCTAGCCTTGAGACGATCGGCAGCGTTCAGCTTGCTCCGCGTTACCTCCTGGGCTTGTAAGAATTCACGGATGAGGATTTGGCGGTTGGTGAGAGATTCCTTGACGATAAAGGCATCCTGCGAGTGGTACTGGAATGGGTCTCCAATGGTGGCGGCCTCGGCCGTGGCCTGAGCGGCGTGGAGGTCACCAACAGTCTGAATCACTCTACCGAGCTTCTTGTATGCGTTTGCCAATCCTGGGTGCGGCTCCTGGACATGCATGGCGCCAAGCTTTACACCGTAATCAGACTCGGCAAGCCCAAGGCCTGCAGGTTTTACTTGTTAGCAAGATAAAGGTAGTTCGCTTAGCTGATGCCCTGTCTTACCTCTCCTAGCCTTGACAAGCTTGTCAACCTTGTGGCCAGCATCCATGGTACCAAGGTAGAACAGTTTAACGACTGGACGAGCCTCTGCGAGCTCAGGGGTATCATCGGGAGGCGGAGCAAACTGCTTCAGAATCTTCCTGCGAACACCAGTTGCGGGCTGCTTTCTCTTCACCAGCGGGCTGTAACCAAAGTCGCTTTCAACAAAAAGCACCATCTCATCATCCCTCATCAATACCTCGTTCCCACACACGTAGTTGAACCATCGCTGCATCAGGGCCTTGACTCGGTTTTCATCCTCGTCTGTACCAGCGCCAGCCGATGTAATCGGGGGAGGGACAGCGGGAACCAGGGCCTCGGGATTTGCAGATATCAAGTGCTCTCCGAGCTTGACAAACTCAGAATGCAGACGTCGGACATCTCGGTACTGGGTGGTGCGGAATCGAGGCAGGTTCGTCTGGGAGCGGCTTGTTAGACTAATGGCACTGTCAATGAATCAGAACACAAGATAACTCACGTGGACATCAAATCGCAGTATCGGATCCTTCTTTCCTGTTCTCTCCAGTCCTGTAATCTTCGCCTGCAATCGGAATTGGGGCTGCGGAGGCTTTCGAGGTTGTTGCGCATCTTCTGACGGCACCTCTGTCGAAGCTGTTGACTGGGGAGGTCCCTCAGATCCGGCAGATTGAGGCACGGCTCCAGACTCTGAAGACGGTGCCAATCCCGCCTCCTCATGCTCGCTCCCTCCACCTGCTGCGGGAGTTATTGAGCCGGACTGCGGAAAGACATCGTCGCCGGTTTGTCCCAGGCCGTTGGACGACTGCGGGGTGTACGGGAAAGCGGGAACAGGAGCATCTCCCGTGAGGCTCGCAAACGTCGTGCGATCATGCTGGGGAGACGAGCCTGGAGTGTTGCCCCAGGGAGAATCCGCCGGGTCCTCGGTCTCGTGTATAGAGGCGCTGTAGTCCATAGTGACGGTCGGATTCAACAAAGGCTCGGGAGAGCGGCAATATATGGGTGTAGCGACAAGGTAGGCAGATGACGACGGGCCTTTGCGAGGAGAAGATTAGATGCGGCGACTAGATATGGCGATTCTCTCAGAATTGGGTGTCGCTCATGCCGCAGCCCGATTGGAAGCCCGGCGATGGTGGGTGCGCGAAGTTGATGTCGCCTGTGAAGCTGCTGATTCGGTTCGGCTACGTAAGTTGCGAGACATCCAAGTGGGAACGAGGCACAGTCTGGGGAGTGGCCGCTGGTTGGCTGATTAAGCGCAGATTATCGCGTCTAGCTAGACGCCTTTGAGCTCTTATCGGGGCTAGATGCGGTATAGCGCGGGGTATGGAGAACAAAAATTCGTTATCGAAGCTCAGCGAGGTCAACGCAAAAGATTGCTTCGTCATTGCGGAGCGCAGATACGATCCATCAATCGCAAAGGGAAATCAGATACTCATAGTCACAATGGGCAAGAAGAGATCAAGGGAGGAGGCAAAGGATGTGCCGCCCGCAGATGGTGGTGCTGAGCGAATGGACGAGGACAGCAGCGATGATGAGGTGAGACGAGAGACGAGGATCCATGGAAGCTGGGCTGACGTTGCCAGGACTTTGACATGGTCAATGTGGATTTTGAATGGTTCAACTTCGACCCCGAGATTGATTTCCACGGCACAAAATCACTGCTTCGGCAGCTGTTCGATGTCGACGCCAACCTCTTCAACATGTCTGCGCTTTCAGACCTGATCCTGTCACAACCAACGATTGGCTCGACTGTCAAGGTTGACGGCAAGGCCAACGATGCCTACGCCATGCTCACGGTCCTCAACACATACGAGCACCGCGAAAAGGAGCCCATGAAGGACATTCTCAAGTACATCGTGGACAAGGCACAGACCAACCCCTCAATATCGGCCGTTGCCGAGCTCATCACCACACAAAAGCCCGTGGGACTCGTCTTTTCAGAGCGACTCATCAACATGCCCTCTGAAATTGCGCCGCCGCTGTACACAATGCTCATTGAAGAGGTGGAGGACGCAGTAGAGGACAAGGAGCCGTACGAATTCTCCTACTACCTCATCTACTCCAGGACATACCAGGAGGTAGAGTCGACGCTGGACGTGGAGGACCGAAAACGCAAAAAGGCCAAGGAAGAGGCTGCGACTTACCACTTCCACCCCGAGGATGAGATTCTACAAAAATACGCCGTAGCACACGGCAGCTTCCGGTACACAAAAGAGGACGATGCGGTGGCAGACAGCAAGCGGGCGTTTCAAGAAATGGGCATCAAGACATTTGGACATATGATCCTCATTGAGGCAAGTAAATTCAAGGAGGCCGTCAAGGCCGTGGGTGACTATATAGCTGCGCCGCAATAGATGATGTGAATTGCTCTACGCCTCTGGTAGAAGCCTCTGCATCAAGTACTCAACCTCAACCTCCTTGGTCAAGGGAATGACAAAATCTCGGTACATGGACACCACCGCGTCCACGTCGATCTTGACGGGCTGTTCCACGCCTCCCAGCATCGACGGGTCCTTGCCGTACGTCTCGGCCTTGAGACGAAGACGAGCGAGGACCTGCTCCTCGACGGCTCTGTTGGTGATGGACTCGCCAATGGCCTCCCGGTTCTCGTCCTTGATGAGCTGCGTGTAGAGCTCAGGGTCCGACTGGAACTTGGACTCGGCGACAAATTTGCCAAAGTGAATTCTCCTAGACAGGGCCTGCAGACAGGCAATGTCGCAGGTAGATGTAGAGCCGTAGTTTTCCTGTGACTCTCCTCGATCCTCGCGGCCAAAGTTGGGGCACACCTTTGGTAGAAACTTTTCAATATAGAATTTCTTAATCTTGTCGTTGACGCATACGTCGTTGTTGTGTAAGATCTTGGGGTAGTTGAGAGGCTTCAGCATGGGCTTCTGGACAGCCTCTGGGAAGAAGGCGTATTCGTCGGGCGATTCGAAGCGGCGGATAAGGGATTGCAGCTTCTCCTGCTGGAAAAAGTACCAGTCGAAGAAGCTCAGGCCGCTGTCGGGGATGGGAAGGGCGCCAGGTGTGTAGATTGTCTGGACGAGGGGAGCTCGAGTCAGCAACATGACGATGGCTCAGGGCTTCTACGGATTGGCTTCGCGCATCTGTGACTCGCCTTGTTCAGAGGAAACTGCACTCTCTCAATGAGATGGTAGGTGATTGTGTCTTCGAGTCGGCTATATGACGTGTCAGAGGCTTGGAACGAGGTGAATTGGGGATTGGGAGCTCTGCATAGCCCGGACCAACTGACATGAGCTGGAAGCGAATGCGCGCCAGATCCAGCGCTCGAGAGCTATCGGCCATGTCCACTGCGGAATCCATCTTGGGGCAGCGTCAATCAAGGGAAAGGGGGTATCGCTCAATTTAAATAAGTTGGAAAAGCAGGATGGACCGAACGTCAGCCACGATATAAATAAGCTGAGCTGACAGGCAAGCAAGCTTTCGGCGCGCTGAATGCTGGATGCTGGATGGAGGAATGGTCGGAATTGAGCCCGGCTCCCGAGACCGGCGTCTGCCGTGGGAAGACTCAACGAGCCCCATCTTTAGCGGCAGCTCAGCTTACCAAAGGCCCCCAAGAGCGGCTCAGATCTCCATCGATCCTGGCGGGATGCGGACGAGCGTTTATCCAAGCTTCACGTGCCGGGTAAGAAATGAGGCGCCGCTGGAATGGTCAGATTGGGGAAGTCTTTGTTGCCAAAAGCAGCAAATGCTGGCCGTTTTAGCATGTGGTTACGGCATCGGGCTCGCCTTTTCGGAGTACGCCAAGTTGGCTATATATGTAGCATGGATCGCAGCGACTAGACGGAGTTCAATTGTAGTAACGAGATGCAGAGAAGAGATGTTTTGATTTACCATTTCTTAGATACGTACTCTGTACTGCCGTCGCTTCTTTCTGTAACTATCGATATACTCCTCTGGTTTCTGCTATCATCATTATCACCAAACATCGTCAACACATACCAATACTGAACATCCATGAGACTTCTAGGGTCCCCTGGCGATCGATAATCAAGTCCATCCTTTGACTCTAAACTGCTGGGGTCTGCCCTTGAACCCCCGGAAAGCCCCCAGTGGGGCATCGAGCGAACCGCACAGGCAACGATTGAAATCGGCCCTGTGCAAAAGCGAACTAGCAGAGACAAGCCGAAACGCCGTGCAACAAGCAGCTCCTCTAGCCGGTTTCTCATTTGATTGTTTATGCGTCGGTTCACAGGCCAAGGCGTGCCGAAAAGCCAGTCACGGTAGCTCCCTACTGTAATGTTACCTTTAATGGCAGCAGTACTTTGGGATAGCCTCTGGTGCGAAATGTATATGTACAAAGACTTCCATCATCACCCGCAGTGGTGCCAATTCCATCGGGTGGTTTACAACACACAAAGGGCAACTGGAACAGCTAGAGGGGTGGCTGGTAGACTATAGTACAATCCCATGAAAACCACCGCCTCGGCAGCAGCAATTTAGCAGCCATTTAGCAGCAATTTAGCAGGCCGAGCCATGTACTTGTACTTAATAGCCGGGGGCCGGTTGGTGCCGTTCGGCGCTCTCATTTTCTGCGCGCGTCATCCAAATTTCACACCCGCAAGCCATGCCCGGTTTTTGCGATGCAAAACCTCCATCTCGTTGTTCCCTTGACCACACAACGCACCCCTTGTCTTGCGCTGCCTCAAGCCCGAATCCTGAGCCTGCAGCGGGCCAGCCGTTGAGTAATGGCCGATTCGGAGAGCCATTATGCCTTCGACGATGGCCCCGATGACGAGCAGTCCATCATCTCTGTATGTCGCAAACCAGCACACCAAGAGGGAAAAAAACTCTGCCTACCGCAACAACCCGGGCCCATTGCATTGAGCCGTCATTTTTTTGCGATTTGCCATTTGCCCCCCAGAGCGCAGCCAGCTAACCAAGTCATGTCTCTTCTTTGCCGCAGACTCGAGGTCTTGAAGCCTTCAGTCGCAAGGTCACTGTGACGGCCAGCCAGCTCATGGGCCCAGCCGCAGAGGCCTCGGGAGCCCATTACCGCGCCGCCTTGGCAGAGGTTCACAAGCAGATGAAGCGACCCAGCGTGCAGCGCGGCATGTTCTCCATGGCCCGGTCCAGCCCTACCGAAATTGTGCGGTCCAAGCTGTCCACGGCCGAGATCCAGCACCGCGCCCTCACCCACCTGCCCGACGAGCTGCTGTCCAACATCCCCGAGCACCAGAACGCCTATTCGCTGTTCCAGGGCTTCCAGGCCAGCTTCCCCGAGTTGGCGGAGGATGGGAAGAAGCACCGCCGGCGGCCGTCGAGGGGCAGGAAGCTGCTGGAGGAGGGAGAAAACACCCCCGCAACGCCCAACAAGCTGGCCCAGCTCAAGAAGGAAAAGACGTCCATGGTGCACGAGCTGGAACTGCTGGGGGTGCGCAAGAGCATGGTCAGCTGTGAGATCCGCGAGATAGACAACAAGATTGCCAATCTCTACGGCATGCGTAGGATTGTGCTCGAGAGATTGGCGGGCTTTGAGCAGGACGAGGCGACGCTCGAGCACGATGGTAGGTTTTTGAACCCATGCCCCAGTAGAATGTCTTTTTTTTCTTCTCTCCTCTCTTTGCCATTCTCTGCTACTCTCAAGTTCCGTCTCTAATTAATCCTTGTCTTTTGGTTGCCCCGGTGTAGTCATGGACCTTGAATTGAAAATCGACGAAGTCCAAGCCATTGTCGACGAGGCCGAGGAGATTGCTCGCAACACTGCCACCAAGGATGAGCGAGATCTAGTGGGCGATGCCGACGACCACGACCCCGAATTCATGTCAAAGTCCGTCTATGAGAAGCTACCCGCAACCGACAACAAGCAGCGCAAGACGAAAAAGGTGCACCGTCGGAAATCCATGCCCATTCTGCACGAGCACTTTGCGCCAGGATCCAACATCCGTGAAATCCGAGCCCATCGCGATACAATTACGGCCATGGACTTTGATGCGCCGTTCGGCACCTTGGTTACTGCCGCTCTGGACGACACTGTCCGAGTCTGGGATCTGAATGCCGGGCGTTGCATGGGCTACCTGGAGGGCCACACGGCCTCGGTGCGTGCTTTGCAGGTCGAGGATAACATTCTAGCTACCGGTTCTATGGATGCCACCATCAGGCTATGGGATTTGAGCAAGACGCACTACAACCCTCAAGGCGGCAAGGACGTTGGCGATGACGACGAGGACGCTATTGCTTTTGAACACCCCGATGCGCAGCCCATCGAGCCGCCGGAGGGCAGCATGGACGACTGCGCTCTCTTTACGCTATCATCTCACGTCGACGAAATCACCGCGCTTCATTTCAGGGGAGATGTTTTGGTTTCTGGCTCAGCAGATAAGACGATCCGGCATTGGGACTTGGAAAAGGGCCGCTGCGTTCAGACGCTCGATGTCATGTGGGCGGCTGCTCAGGCATCGGCCATCGCAACGACCGATGACACCTGGAGACCGACTGGCCGAGCCCAGGGAACGACGGCCGACTTTGTTGGTGCCTTGCAAGTGTTTGAATCGGCGCTGGCATGCGGTACTGCCGACGGCATGGTCCGCTTGTGGGATCTCCGAAGCGGCCAGGTTCACCGCAGCTTGGTGGGACACACCGGCGCCGTGACATGTCTGCAGTTTGACGATGTACACCTAGTGACGGGCAGTTTGGACCGAAGCATCAGAGTAAGCCTATCCGTCCCTTTCTATCCCTTTCTACTTCATTTTCTGCAGCATCGACTAACAACCCACCTTGTACAGATATGGGATCTCCGAACCGGATCCATCTACGACGCCTACGCCTACGACAACCCCGTCACCAGCATGATGTTTGATGCGCGACGGATTGTCAGTGCGGCCAGCGAGGACGTGGTCAAGGTGTACGATAAGGTCGAGGGACGGCAATGGGACTGCGGAGCGGGCATTGCCGCGTCTGAGGGCGCCAAGAATGCCGCCATCGTCGAGCGTGTACGTGTTAGAGACGGCTACCTGGTAGAGGGTAGGCGGGACGGCATTGTGGGAGTATGGACCTGTTAGAATAGTGTAAAGTCGGCGCAGCTCAAGCGATGTAACGAAAAAAATTCGATTGTCTTGTACGTTAGGGAGAAATTTGGTTTGGGTTGTTGGGGGGGGAGGGTCTTTGTGTCTGATGGAAATATTATTCTGATGAAGCTAAGGGTTTCTTACTTGTGAGAGATGATGAGTGAGTGAGTGTGAATGTGAAGCAATGAGTGAAAATGAGACACTTGGATTAGAAAAACCTCAAAATGATTAGGATATTTACAGTAATATCCCGCATTCACATTAGTATGTTTGGGCTTGTTCGTTGATGAGGGAGTATTTATGGCGATGCCGCAATGGGTTGATAATTGATAGAGGGTACCCTACAATGAAGTGAAAATATGGTCTCTCATCCAACTTCAACTTTTTTTCCTCTCAATGCTATCCACATGCTTCACACAGCCAACCTATCTGCCAATCCATATTTAGATTAATGGTTTTCATTTCATTTCTTTCAATCAATACGTCCACATCGCAGCATGGCTTCCCTGCGCGACCAGGTTTTATCGCAATATCGTGATGCCGCAACCACCATCGCCGCGTCTCAACATGCATCACCCGACTCTGAAAATATCACGACCGATGCGCCTTCCAAGCCATCACAACCAACGGAAACAGATCTAAAAGCACTCGCGATGCAGGAATTACTACACCGCCAAGCCCATCTGCTCATCAAGTTACACGAATCCCTGCATCAGAATACAGACGCCGGCGTGGATGAGGAATTGCTACGGACAAGGCTGGATGACCTTGCGTCGGTCTGCATGACGGCGTTTTATGCGTATCGGTTCGATTTGTTGCCGTATTGCTGGAGATGGATATATACAGATACATTGATTCTCATATCATATTACGCCATTCTACAGGCTGCTCGACGGGATTCGTTTGAAGAGAAAGTCATGGATCAGGTAGTGGAGAGTCTGGACAGAGCACTTATAGTAGCCGGCGGCGCAGGAAAGCCCCTGGGAAAACAATGGATCGAAAAGACACTGGATCTACTCAGCCGTTTTTGGGACGAAACAGAAACATCCGAGGAAGAAACTCAACGGCCGCCAAAGCGCATTAAGAGAGACGCAACCTTTTCTACTTACGAACCATTCGATCGGCCAAGTCTCTCCGCGGAAAAGACATGTCCGCGATATGAGAACTGGACGTTGGAAAAGTTTGAAAAGTACATGAATGAGGAGAGCTCGGGTAAACCGCTGCCCATTGTCTTTACTGACTTGACGAGGGAATGGCCGGCGTTTTCTGATATGCCCTGGAATAGCCCCGAGTATCTCCTCTCTAGGACATTTGGCGGGAGGAGGCTCGTCCCTATTGAAATTGGACGTAGTTACGTCGATGAGGGCTGGAGCCAGGAATTAATCCAATTCAAACACTTTCTCGCAAAATACATCGACCCAAGCATCACTTCCTCCCTCGACGCAACACCCACACAGGCCGACGAGAAGCTTCAGCCCGAAAAAGTCGGCTATCTCGCCCAGCACAACCTCTTCCAACAAATCCCCGCGCTGCGGAACGACATCCAGGTCCCCGATTTCTGCTGGGCCGACGTCCCGCCCCATCCTACGGACCCTACCAAGGATCAGACGCCGGTGCAAGTCCCTCAGTTAAACGCGTGGTTTGGCCCTGCAAAGACGATTACGCCGCTTCATACGGATGGATATCATAATTTGTTGTGTCAGGTTGTTGGGACGAAGTATGTGAGGTTGTATTCGCCTGAGGAGACGGGACGGCTGCGGCCTAGAGGGATGGAACATGGTGTTGATATGAGTAATACGAGTGAATTAGACATTGGCGTCTTGGAAGGCTGGGATGAGGATGAGAACGAGGACGGCGAGAATGATTGGGAGAGTATTCGGAAAGAGTTGAAAGACGTTCCGTATTGGGAGACGATACTCAACCCGGGAGATACCCTGGTGATTCCCATCGGGTGGTGGCATTACGTCCGGAGTTTGAGCATCAGCTTCAGTGTTAGTTTCTGGTGGAATTAGACCAAGCATCAAATCACGATCACAAACACTTTCGGGGTTAACACCTTTGTATATATTTAGGACAAAAGCTACGCTGGTAAGACGCTTTTTTGCCCTCCTACATCCACAGACGAAAGCACAAATAAAGACTGACTAAGTAGCCAAACGGCTAACATGGGGCAAAAAGTTTCAGAAAAGAAGGCATCAGCAACGCAATCAAATCACACTTGAGAGCGTGCGTCTTCCACGCTCTCAGCCGTCACCTGCGCCTCCCTCCTAGCCTTGGCACCAGCCTTCAACGTCTCCCACTTCTCACGGTACTTCTCAAGCGTCTTTTGCATCTTACGGTTATCCTTCTCCAGGCGCTCCATGTGCTTCGTCATCTCGGCAAGTTGTTCCTCCAGTTCGTTATTCTTGCGTACCAATTCATCGTCATTCGCTCTCCCGCTTCCACCAGGGAGCGGCGACCCGCCAGGCATGATACGGTAGCTTTCAGCGAGAGCGAGAGCAGAGCTTTGGGCACTGGCTTCAAAAGTGTGGAGGCGTTTCGACAGTTTATCAAGCATATCCTTTAGCGATTTGTTTTCCAGACTGAGTTCCTCGATGGTGTTGTACAGTTCCTTTTCCGAGTGGCTACGCGTAATCCGTCGTCGGGCGCTTACAGAAGAACCAGGGGCTTCACGGGCATCAACAAAGTCATCGTCGTCTTCATCCTGAGGCAAGAAGTCGCCATGAGTTGAGGCTTCCAGCCGGCGCTTTTCCTTTTCAGCGTAGCTGAGGATGTTGGCATAAGACATGGTATGACCGGTAGAGGGAACAACGTAGAAAGAGTCAGCAGCAGTGTGGCCATCTCGGACGAGGGCGCGCATGGTAGCCTTTGAGTAAATCTTGGACAGATCCGGTTCAGCGCCGGGAGACGGGGAGGCACGAGCACGAGGTTGCTTGGTGGGAGACAGGTTGACACTGGACGAAGGCATGACAGATTCAGCAGGGGTGGCAGGCTCTTCCTGGATGAGCGGCAGACCGGCGAAAGCAAGAGGGGCAGAAATCTTGTTGATGAGGCTTCCAAAGGTGTTGTAGAAGCGGGTGTAGCCACCATCGTCCCTTGGAGGGCCTTGCTCGACCTTGGGAGACGCGCCGCCGTTTGCCGCTCCCTCCTGCTGCTTAGACACGGGAGTGGTGGGCGGGACCCAAGTCGGGCGACCAGTCTGGCGTTCCATAATGTTCTGCATCTTGGCCTTGGAGGCATCGCGTTTGGCCTGGGGGTCGACATTGCCCGGCGCCTGGTCGTTGGACACGCTGGGGCTGAGCGGCTGGCTGCGATCCTTGGACCGGATGCCCCTCGCCGACGCAAGATTGCTGGCAATGGACGACGACATTTCGCGAGGCATGTAGCGGCGCTGCGACAGGCCGGGCGGCTGGGCCTTGGTGACTGCGGCCTGGAGAGCGTCGCCCGCATCGGTGCCGAGGCCATCGCCATCCTTCTCCGACGCCATCTTCTCGCCGTCGTCGCGCATATGCGGTACTTGCTCCGGGGGCAGCTTGAGGATCTCGGCGAGCTTCCTGTGGTGCTCCTCCAGCAGCTTGAGGGTCCGGAGCGCCTCGACGCTCGACGTCAGGTTGGCGGCATTGGCAAACTCGCCCGCGGCCAGCGTGTGTTCGCTGATGGCCACGGTGGTGTCGGAGGACTGGCGAGTGGCCACGGCAGCCGCTCGCGCGTGGTCGTGCGCTTTGGTGAGCGGCGAGGATTCCATATTGACGATGTTGTTGCAGACGCGATGTCACGTCTATTCAGGTTATCGGGATTTGATTCGCCCCCTTGCGGGAGAGGCGTGGTGGTTGACCTGAGCAAGCTTCAGCTTCAGCTTGAGGTTTGAGGTTGCAGTTGTGAGATGGTACTTGCACATGCAGCTTCGTGGTAGGACTGTGTGCGCATAAGTGTGTATATTCTGTGCGGGCACTTTCGGCGTCCCACAAATGACGGCATGTCGACGGACGGGAGATACGCGGGAAAGACAGCTGAAGCCCGCAAGCCACCCGCGGTGGAGGAGGTATTTGGAAGTACTGCGCGATATGATAGTATAAGGCTGAGCCAAAATGGGCAAAAGCGGCCACTAAGCTGTCACTCACAGGTTAGCACCTTATTTAAGCTTTCTATATTAATTTAGATGATAGCTGTTGGTAAAGCTGTGCTACTACCTAGGTAGTGAGATCGAGCCATATTATATTGTAACTACATTCAAGGAGCACAGACTCACTCAAGCTGAGCGATGGACGTATGTGAAGAGTAAGCTCGTCTCGAGGTAGCAAATCTTTTGAGTGTATGGTAAGCGGATAAGACGTACAGAAATCGGACTTGATATGGCTTCAAAGATGTATATAGGTGGGATAAGGAAATAAGAAGACAGCTAACTAGTAAGAGACCAATAACAGAACTAGGCTCTAATACACAATGTGATGCCTCAGAGATACAATCACAGTTCTGACTCGACAAGATAGCTTGGTCATTTCTTTGAACAGCTAGGCACTGTATACCTCTTCACCGCATCTCTACTTCATAGATTCCTTTGCAGTGCATACCCAGCAAGGGCCCTGACTACTATATTCTTTGAACTTGGTTTAGATAGTATCAACAACTTTCTAAGAGGGGCTTTGTTTCCTACCCGAGTATAGAAGAACACCATAGAATACGGGAGCCCGTTTCGTCACATCACCAGCCCCCTTTGTTCCGTTTTAGTCCACTCTAGTGCATAAGATTTTATGCAAATTCAACGCATAGCATTGGCCTAATACCCCCCTGTCAACTTTTTCGAAGTTTTTGCGTAGGAACTTCGAAAAAGTTGACAGGGTATTAGGTCAATGCATGTTATCTAACCCAAAATACGACAAATGCAACTCTGATTAACCAGAATACAACCGCCGAAGTTGCAGCAGCCTCACCGTTGTTTGCACGCCAGAAAGTAGATATACCTGAGAAGTAGGTGGTCAGCGTGCAACTAATAAGTACATGTACATCGGTATAGTTTAAACCCGCAGGTCAATGAGTGCCAAATGCCTTTCCAGCAGCTGTTGGTTCTGCCCTCTTGCCGGTTTGGGAGGAAATTGGGGTGAAATGGAGGGGTGATGGAGGGGGAATGGAGGGGGACTGATTCAGGAGCTGAGCAAAGAGGGGGGAAGGATTGGACGCGGTGAAGAAACTGCGGCACCACCAGAAAAACGCGTCTCGCGGACGGTATTGAGCTGAAATGTATAAATAGAGGGTCAATTCCCACCTCAATAACCATATAATCTAGCAATTCTAACTTAACAATTCTCTCTAAACAATCACCACTATACACAATCTAGCCCTTCTATCTATATAATATCCTCTCACAACTTCGGCGCCGCATTCTACGCAGTCATGCCTCAATCTACAAACCCAACTCAATCCATGGAGAAGATATATATCGATCCTTTGGATGATGTTAGTGTCGTTGATGAGACTATGATAGAGCGTGAGGAGTATTTTCGTCAGATATATAATACTAAGCGGCTTAATCGCTGGCTTATGTATTGGCAGAAGTGCTTGCACAAAGAGACTGTCTAAATGCTCGCCTACAGCAGGACGATGCTGCTGAGCCTCTCGTGAGCTTCATAAACCATAGCATTATTTATTTATTGCTTATTTTCCACCAGGACAGCAATGATATTCTGGTTGACGATATCTCATTTACTACACATCTACTTTATAAAATATATAAAAAAAATTATAGAAGGCTACTATCGGATACATCATGGACAGAGCAAAATCGAGAAAGAGACCAAATAGATTCCAACATAGACTGGCAGCGGGTTATAGTCAAAAACTATGCTTACCTCCGACGCTTTCGAAGAGAAGGGTACCAAACTGCAGGAGACTATCGAAGTAGCCATTACATTCGTTTAAATAAAGTATAGAAATAGATAGCACATTCTTTCAATAGATAGTACCATATCTAGAGGTAATCCATCATCTCCAACAATACATAGCTGTTCAAGATAAAAAGTAATTAAAACCTAGTTATGAGTTCGAGTTACTCCTTCAAAGAACTTATTATGGATAATACGAGCCCAAATTATATTAAACCTTTGTTCTGTTCTAGTCCACCCTGGTGCATGAGATTTTATCCAAATTCAACGCGAAGTCTTCGCGGTGTCTCCAAAAATCCTATACCCTTTGCCTTTTTACACGGAAATCTGTGTAAAAAAAGGCAGCCCCATAAAATACCGGCTCTGACAGCCTGTATTTTATGGGGCTGTTGTTCTTTTTACATAGAAATCAGTGTAAAAACTACCAAAAATTTTGTGGGGCTGTCTTTTTTACATAGAAATCAGTGTAAAAACTACGTGGGGAATTAGGCGAATGCATACAATCTAACCCAAAATACAACAACCTGACTCTCAGGCAGTATCATACTGACTTGTATAAATAGAGAACTATTTCCCACCTCAATCACCGCATAATCTAACAATTCTAAGTAGACAATCACTACATCATCTAGCAATCCTCTCTACAAAATCACTGCTATACATAATCTAGCCATTCTCTCTTGCAACTTCAGCGCCTCATTCTACGCAGTGTTCATCTCACCCATCGATACCAACATAAACAATGGAGAGCATGTCGATCGACTCTTTGGATGACTCTATCATTATTGAAGAGGCAATGATAAAGCTCGAAGAGAAAATTCGCCAGTTGCATAATATTGAGCGAGTCACTCACACACTGGTTGAAGAAACCTTACGCTTGCACAAAGAGACTGTCAAAATTGAACGAGCCACCTACACACTGGTTGAAGATACCGTACGCTTGCGCAGAGAGACTGCCAAAAAGATTGCCAACATGAGGATGATTGTGCAGAGTCTTCGCGTGAGCCAATACCCACAATGTTGTTTACTTATATGCTTATTCTTCGCTAGGATATCAATGAGATTCCATAATTTATCATCTACCTATATACAGTCTATTAAAATGGATTACAAAATAGGCACTGCATTCTTTTAAGATAGACTATATACATAGAAACCACATTCGTTTAATACATTTGCTATATATACCATAACTGCGTACTTACTCGCGATATTTACGCCTCAACATATCTCCAACAATACAACAAAGCGATTAAATCCCAAATTACCTTGGGGCAGTTATATGTTCGGACTATTTCATGGGAATAAAGTGTAATTCGTTTCGTTTCTACATCTCCCCATTTCCACTACACATTGACTGTTGGATTAGTGCCATGCAATTTTATGGATGATCACAGTATTTTGACTATCAGATGCATTCTATCGTGTACTCTAACGAGTGTCATGCACCATCACAGCCTGAAAGCTGACTGATACAGTCGACGCATAGCGAATCGCCATTTAAAATCTTCAATAAAACCTTCAAATGATTTGGGGGTTTGTCCACCTATTGTTGCTTAGGTACCTGTAAGTACCTGTATTGGACTTGATTCAGCATCACTGCAAACTCAACTTTTGACGAGGAAAAATATTTTGGGATAAATTTCAACCACTAAAGAGGCCAGAGCCTACAAAACAGGAATTTAAGCATTCCTATTCCTGATATTTCCCTAGTAAGCTTTCAGTGGCACCTTGAGCGCTTCCTCAATACCCCCAGCTGCAGCCCTCAATGCACCATCTGTATCGAGCATTTGAAACACTGCATTCTCAACCAAATCTTTTTTGTTTAACTCGGCCCTCTTCTCAGCAACAATGTTCAACCAATCGTTCATTTGAACAAAGGCACTGCTCTCTTTCTGTACAGGTGGGACCAATTCTCGAAGATTCCAACCTCTAGTCATTCTCTCAGGCATTTTAATCTTTTGAAGAACATATAGCATCGTTACTCCCATGGCCCAGATATCTCCCGGTAAGCCACGATTTTTATTCTCAATCATATCTGGCGGGAGATACCAAGGCGTCCCGCCTCCCGGCCTCTCTTCGATTTTGCAAGCCATTCCAAAATCGAAAAGAACAGCACCTCTTTGGGGATTATACGCAATATTGGCCGGCTTGATGTCGTTGTGGACTATTCCTAGATTAGCTAGATACGAAAGGGCGGATGACATGTTGAGGAGGATCATATGAGCATCAGGTTGTGTAAACGGCGAGTAAAGCCCACGGCAGAGAGATAATGGGAGCAGTTCCAAATAGATCGCAAACATGCGGCCATCAAAAGCCTCAAGTGCAACAACATTTCTCTAGGGAGAATTAGAACACGGTTCAAGTGCGTATAAATAAATTGCTTACATGCTTCAAGTCTTGAAGTAGTGACTTCTCAGTCTCCCACAGTCTTGCGAAAATGGGTAGATGTAAAGGTGAATTGCCATTATATCGAAGGACTTTCACGACTAAGCGCTTCTTAGGTAGGCCAGAGTGTCGACAGGAAAATACTAATGTAGATCTCGTGGCGCCTAACTGTTTGATTCGCTGGAGTCGATATGTGCCAGAATCGGTAGCAGCGGGGTGGACTTTAATAACCGCCGTCTCTCGATCTGCAAGATCCAGAAGTGGAACGGCAGCCTTGTCAACTATCTCTCGGGTAGATCCAAGATCAGTTTCTGTTGATCCCGATTTACTTAATAGGCTATCTGTAGATTGAGTGGCAATGATTTCGGCTGGCATTCTGTTTTCGAGCCTTTGCCGCTTTGACATTTTTCCAACATCTGCATCAGCAGCTCGCTTGATAAGTGGCGTATTTGCTTTGTGAATCGAGACATTGAATGGCTTCTCGAGTAGCAAAAACTCAAAAAGAGGGTGATGGTCCAATCCCTGGTTTGCTGCAATCCTCCAAATGCCAGGTTGGACTGATTGCCCTTTTTTGCTCTTGAGCACAAACAAAGCGCCAGGGTCACTGATTCCGCAAAGCTGTACTTCAATATGCTCTGGCGATAGGTTGATAAAAAAGCAATCATCACTTCCAGGATCATAGAAGACCTGACAATTGAGTTCAATCGGTTCCGAAAACTGGACAGTAAAGTACACATCATGCAGTCTTTGAGCCACGGCGAGAATCTCCCTACCGCGGGTGATCCCTGAGAGACGAGTAATAGCTGGATTCATTCTCATATCATGACCATCTGGGTAGTCGGAATGTATAAGAAGTCGAGCATCTGGGGCGGCGGGCACGGCTCTGGTGAAAACAGTTGCTATATCTTCAACTGGGATATTGGGGACCCCAATCGCTTGCTGTCTAACAAACTCCGCCACACGCGGTTCTACCTGGGTCGTTGAGCCGTTGGACTCAGAGGGAGCATCGTGAGATGATTCACTGATCTCTGCTGCTATGACCTCTTGTTCGTTCGCCCGCGCTCTTATAAATTCCTCAACGCGTGGTTCTGCTTGGGTCGTGGAGCCGTTGGACTCGGATGGTTGACTGGTCTCCGCTGCTCTATCGTCTCGTTCGTCCGCCTGTGCTCTTATGAATTCCTCCACGCGTGGCTCTATTTGTGTCGTGGAGCAGTTGGATCCGGACCGGGCACCATCAGATGGCTGAGATAGTTCACGAACCTCCAAGGCCCTTGACTCTTCGTTTGCTGGTGCTTTAACCAATTCAGCAATGCGTGGTTCTATCTGGGTTGGGGAAGACTTGGGCTCGAGTTGGGCATCCTGAGATGGCTGAGATGTTTCACGAATCTCTGATACCCCAGTCTCCTTGTCGTTCGCCGACGCTTTGGCATATGGAGAAGAGAGTGGCTCTTTACTTGGTGAGGACATGATGTAATTTATGATACCGTTTCAATTAAACATTGTCGCCAGGGAATCTGTTTCATCCTACATACGAAGCACTTATATGTAACCGAGCTGGACTCGAAATATGGAGTTACAGACACGCTTGCCATGGTGCCAAGTGGCGGTGGGATCATCCCGTCTACCCCAGGCGCATACAAGTCTGGCTAACCTAAAAAGATTGATTATCTGGTGGCTCCAACTTGGGTGCTTCTATTTGAAGCCCATGATAGGAATCACATCATAGGTACAAACGTGGGTATGTGATGCGTGTGGAATGAGTTGGCAAATGGCACGACAATACCTGGACTTCCCAGAAAGTTACTATAGCGATTCAAGTACCTCTGTGACGGCCCATACCCCCGTCCAAGCATTTAACAGGCAAGGTCCCCCATCTCTGCCTAATTTTGAACAGGGGCCAATGCAGAACTTGCATCAAAGTGAATCTTTTGAACAAAAGTGCGTCAAATAAAAGACAAAATTAACAAAATCTATCACGATGCGGGATCAACGAGAGGTTAATATTCAATGTTCTTAGACCAGTTCTAGGTTGTCAAAACATCTGCCGATCGGATGGTAGCACGGGCAGTTACTTAGTAGCATAACTTAGGGGATGTGCCCTGTAGCTTAGCGGCCACCCTTGGCGCTAACTGAGCCTGTAGCGTCGTACAATGTTAGCCATCGACGTTACTAAGCGACGGGAGCTAAATCGGGATGGGCTTATATAGAACGACAGCAGCATCCGCTTCGATCATAACTATCCACTCTCTAATAGCTTCCATCCACATCTCACCACTCAATCTGATTGAGACGAGAAGCGCGACCGCGACCGCGATTGCGACCGCAGACTGACCGACGGGTCAGCGCATACACAATGCCTTTTTTCGAAGCTCCAGACCCGGTCATGCAAAATTCTCGAAACACGACATGGTCCGAGACGATTAGCAAAAAAAACATTGGTGGCGCTCGATCGCTCTGGGGAGATTACTGGAAGCGATTCAACACTATGCAAATCCCAATGTTTGGCGTAGAGGAGTATTTTAACACTGCAAAAGCAATAGCGGAAATTGCAGTTGACGAAAAAGACTTTGAGAAACTGTTCATGGAAAGAAATAAACAGCGGCAGAAGGAACTAATGGCTCAAATCAAAAAACTTTCAACAGCTTCTCATTTTGAAAAGAAGCGCTTCCCATGCTGGTCTGCGCAATACGCAGCAATCATGGTCTGCCAAACAGGCTGTTTTGAGCACTTCCTATCTCTCTTACAAGGCAACGTCCTTGGTTGGGAGGCGGATAGTGTAGAAGATGAGGTGCCAAATAACATTATGACTAACTTTAGGGAGGAGCAAAAGTTTGATGATGAAGAAATGCAAGACCCTACTGAAGAAGATGACTATGTTTTACCGATCTCTCCCAGTTGTGAAACACAGATTTTCACTGAGTATGACTGGGCCTATGCATCAGAAGAGCGCAAGGCTCGGGAAAAGTCAATCGAAGAGAAGGAATTCAGAGAAAAGAGAGCGGGAGATATCCAGTTAGTACCATGCTCCTATATGGCTATACTCATCTTATGGAAGCTCAAACCTTACTAGGGAGATAACTTCATCTGACGACGATATCAACACTCGTGAAGGGACACGTCGGCTACTGGAGAGTTCTGCTTCACGCATCTCAAGACCTCATGGCTCATTTTCTTCTCACAGAGCTGCCAGTAGAAGTGGGGTTGATTCCACCGTTAATAACCATAGCCATAAGCGTCAAAGGGTGGAAAGCCCAGCAACTAAGCTTTCGCCAAACGGCTCTATCAAACAAGCTATCGATGGATCTTCCAAGAAGAGATCCATATCCCATGGCGATGATGACGGCCGTGGAAATAAACGTCGGAAAACTCAAAGCCCGGTACCCGCTTTGGCACCAAACGCTTCCTCTTCCGTACAACAAACTACCGTCGAAAGCACAGAGAAGAATCCGAAGAAGAGAGTCAGATTTGATGGCGATGATGGCGGTGATGATCATGAACATAAACGTCGCAGAACACATAGCCCGGCGCCTACCTTGCCTCCCAACGGCTCCTCTATACCACAAACTACCGTCGAAAGCTTGGAGAAGGGCTCCAAGAAGAGATCCAGGTCTGACGACGTTGATGTTGATCATGGAAATAAGCGTCAGAAAACACAAACCTCGACATCCGATATGACCCCTCACCTCTCCTCCTCACCACAGCAGGCCGCCGATGGAAATGTGGTCAGAAAGGGATATACAGTTAATGGCGCACCCAAGTCTTGGAAGCGATCCAAAATAGGCAATCCGAAGCTGCGGCCATTGCGGAGGTCAACACGAAGAAGCGGCACGTCTACGTTCCAGGAACTGGATAGCTCAGGCAAGCCACGGCCAATTCGATGAAATCTGTTCAGTGGTGAACCGATGGGGCTCTGGTAAGGTAACGAGGACCGGAATTGCGGACTGTCAAGTATTCCCGAGAACATGGTCGTTATCCTGGCAGGGCTGGGTGCAGCGGCGTAGTTTGAACGACTGATACAGCTGCGAAATTCCGGGAGCATGGCATTCCTAGATTTTGTTCTTTGTCGCCAGTCCAGCCCCAAGAGTGATGGCGTCTTTCTTGTCCTTTTTTTTTCTGCACCGTTCTGGCTCTTATAGATATTGATACCCCCAAATGATATTGCTATAGACAGCGAGTAGCCTGTAATTGCCCGGCCACATTGTAGAGTATATAGAGAAATTATCTGCCAACCCGGATATACTTGGGATAGTGGAGAGCCTCGGTATCATCCGCATGGCTGTGGTATAATATACCGTTAAAGGCTGGTATCCCTTTGAAGCAGCGGCGCACGACTTTAAGCTTTGGATCCAAACTACGTCTTTGAATAAGACGGTTAACCTATAAAGAACCCTAAACTTAATGGGAAACACTGTGCGATGTGGCGGCTAGAGTATTTGATTGCTGAGCCAAATTGGGCGAAAGCGGCGATTAAGCTGTCAAAGTGTGTGTGTACGTGTTTCTGTTAATTTAGGGTACAGCAACCTTGGTTCGTATCCTCTTCGAAATAATTACCTGATGCTAAGGTAGGCTGTGTCGAAAGAGGATCCAAATAGGAAGCAATTGCACGCTCCGGACAAGGATAAGGGAAGATGCCATCACCAACCGTCGACGGGTTTCGGGTCTCTGCATCTCCCGACAAGGCGCTGAAACATACGTGTACAGATTCGACGGACAGCTCCTTAGTAATAACCCGTTGTCTAGTTTAGCAGCATCGCCTTGGGCCGCCAAAGGGTTCCACGGTTCTTCAACAACTCCGTCATGCTGGCACTAAGAGAAGCAAAACCCCACCTTGAATTCTCCTCTCCAGGGGGGCCTCGTCACATAATCTCGACAAGCTTCCCTGTCCTGTTTCGTCATTAGCCCGAAAGGACCAGTTCTTGCATCTCTGCGAGAGACTCCGTGTCCTCGGCCCCGATCAAGCGTCCCGTGCAAATTGCGCAGAATCGGACGGGGCTGTTCTAAGTTAGTCCTGATTTCAGGAGTCGGACGGTAAGGCGGGCGATGCTATTTATATAATATCTACTGCGGTATCATATCATGCTGGAAACGGTCGCGCGACGACGACGACGTCCTCGATTGTTCTGTGATAGTTAAAAAGAAGCCCGCTGCAAGAGACGAAGCGGGGATTTTGCCCACCGCTTACCAGAGCAATCAATCCGCGCTTTTTCGTCATATTCCACACTCTTCTTTCAATATTTCCATTTGCAACGAGTTATTACTTCCCCTCGACACCTGGATCAGCCGGCTCTGATCCGCCTTGTCCGTGCCTCATCCGGCCAGCTCTAGCGTTGCGGCCAAGAGACAGACAGAATGGACAGCAACAACGGGGGCGGCCTGGGCAAGCTTCTCGCCAAGCGCAGGCGAAGAGTCAAGACGGGAGGCCACGAATCAGATGCGTCGGGGCGAGAGGATGGCCGCGAGTTTGCGCGAGACAGCGACGATGCGGCGTCGATCAACGTTGGCGACGACGACGACATGGACGACCACAGCTTTGGGTCGTACGAGTCGGGCGGCGCAGATGCGGACGCCGAGTCTGAGCGGTAAGCATGGATTGTCTTCCATTTCTTTGGCATCTTGGTCGTTGAATTCACCACGCATTCCTTGTTGCATTTACCGTCATTATCATCATCATCATCAGCAGCAAGTGTCAAGTGTCGAAATGACAGGTAGCGCAAGTTACAGGCCTTGTAGCCTTGCATGAAGCTCCACGGCCAATCTGCAGTTAATATTACCTCCCTCTCCTTCTCCCGTCCACTTTGAGCTCAGACGCACGCTCCTTCAAAGCGCCACACAGCCCAGCTTCTCTTCCAATTCTTTTCTCTCTGCGCCATTTGAATCATCTTGTTTGTTTATTCGTCACTCTTTAACTACAGTTTTTTTTATTTCTTCTTCTTCTCGCCCACTCACACGCATCTCCATCACCCTCCCTTCGCTCGTATTCGCATTTCCTGTGTCCTCATTCGCCTCCGCCCACGTATGCCGTCAACCCCCTCCATACATGTGCATTGCAACCTCAGATCTGACACCGAATCAGAAGCAGCTCTCGCCCCCCACTAGCTCGTGCGACCACGACATCAGTTTTGGCATCTCCTGTCGTGCAGGTCACCGACTTAGACCCTCGCGAACGACGCCCGTCTCTTCTTTCTCGGCGCCTCCGCCGTGGATCCTCCAGGAGCTCGTCTCCGAATGCGTCCAAGGAGGCTCTAAGCGAGATAGCTCAGCTCCCCGAACCACCAGCCGCGGCGAAGACAACAGCCTCCCCTGAGAAGCATTCGATACTCCAGCCCTCGAGGCTCACGACCCTTTCTCGACCTTCCACCAGCAGCGACTACCGCCCCGTCATTGTCAACACGCCACCCACGCCCGTCGAGAGAACAAACCCCCTCGCCCTGCATCTGGACAAGAAGCTGCCGCCTGTCATTTCGGAGCCGGCATCAGCTGGGGATTCTTCTTCCTCCCAGGGTATAAGCGCACATCGAAGAACCAAATCGGGATCTGCCAGCATAGGACCCAGCAAACTGTCCAACATCACAGCTGCTCCGCTCTCGCCCACCCCTGAGATCGGCGAAGTCCAGCCCCCGAACTCCGCAGGATTCTTCTCGTCCATGTTCTCAGTCGCCCAAAACGCTGCCAGCACAATTAGTAGCAACATCCAAGGTGGTGGCATTGGGATTGGAGGAAACAAGAGTCGGACGAATCTTGCGTCTAAGCCACAGTCGTCGTCCCCTGCCGCAAGCCAAACGGAAACCGACCGTGCGGAACCCCCACCGCCTGAGCCTCAGCCCAGCAGCGGAATGGATAAAAAGGAGCCGGCAGTTAAAACAATTGGAACCGGAGAACTTAGCTTGAGTCAACTTGGTATTATGGAACCGTCAGCAGCCATGCCAGCCCCCGAAACGTCTCGATTTCCCGACCTTAACGACACTCGTGCGCGGTCCGAGTCTGCTCCAGTCGCTGACGGCCAACCCAGACTCGGAGATGACATTGTCCTCGACGAGTCGCTCAGCAGGCCCAGGTCGCTGTTTGAAGCCAATGGCGAGCAGGAGCAAGGGGGCTCGCAGTCTGACCAGGCCGATGAGAAGAGCGACGCGCAACGGAAACGGGGAAGCTCTACTGCCACCACAAATACGGTCGCACCGCCAGCGCCGGCTGGCCCAGCTCCGAAGCTCACGGGATTCGCCATTGCTAGCAAGAAGAGGAACCGTGATTTTCACACATTCTTCAAGAGTGTACCGGACGATGACTACCTTATCGAAGACTATAGCTGTGCGTTGCAGAGAGAGATTCTCGCACATGGTCGGTTATACGTCTCCGAAGGCCACCTTTGCTTTAGCAGCAACATTCTTGGGTGGACAACGACATTGGTTATGAGTTTTGATGAGATTGTATCTGTGGAGAAGAGAAGCACCGCCCTGGTGTTCAAAAACGGATTGATGATATCGACTCTTCATGCCAAACACATATTTGCCAGTTTCACTAGTAGAGATGCTACATATGATCTGATTGTCAACATCTGGAAGCTCGGCCATCCGACCCTGACTAGCACGCTCAACGGAGTTCGCCTAGAGGGCACCGGCGGCGACAAGACTGAAAAACTTGACGTCGAGGCCGGGAGCCTAGAACCTGAGACGCCGGCTGGATCCGATTCCGAAGGGGATAGCGATGATGATGACGATGAGGACTTTTACGAGGAGGACAGCGATCGAGACCCTGAACCTCAGGTAGCAGACGTCGGTGGTAATGGCGGAGACAGTGGCAAGCCAAATAGGAAAGCATCTGGCGCTGTTGCTCCCAGCGCAGGAGTGGTTGATGCGGCTGCCGAAGGACAAGCTCCCGCAGCTGGTGCCGGGTCGTTCCCGGGCCCTGCGACTCACGCTCCGACCGACTGCGGCGATTCCGACACACATTACGACAAGTTCCTGGCTGACGAGATCATCCCGGCTCCTTTGGGTAAGGCATTCAGCATGCTATTCGGTGAATCCTCTGCCGAGTGGATGGGCAAGTGGATTACAGAAAACCAAAAGTGTTTTGATTTGCAGATGGAGGACAAGAAGGGCTTGGGCCCAGACAGCCGCTCACGCAACTTCACTTACATCAAGCCCCTCAACGCCCCGATTGGCCCCAAGCAGACAAAGTGTATTGTCACCGAGACGGTGGACAATATCGATTTTGAAAAGGCGGTTACTATCAGCGTAGCGACGCAGAACCCTGACGTTCCCAGCGGAAACATTTTCCGCGTCAAGACCAAGTACTGTCTCTCGTGGGCCGAGAATAATGCCACTCGCGTGCAAGTCAACTGCACTACGGAATGGAGTGGCAAGAGTTGGCTCAAGGGTGCGTATCTCCTCCTCCTTTCCCTTTATTTTGTTCCTTTTATTTGCAACTTCTCTAACATACCAATTTCATATAGGCACCATCGAGAAGAACGTCAACGAGGGTCAGGCCCAGTACTGTAAAGACTTGTTTGCGGCCCTGAAGGCGGCTGTTTCTACTCGACCGCGGTCAGCTACTAACGGAAATGGGGCTGCAAAGGGCAAGAAGAAGGGCAAGAAGAGCAAGGCACTGCAATCATCAACCGAATCCATCAGCCCCAGTGCGCGGGCCAAGAAGGAAGAAGCAAACTGGGGTTTATTGGAGCCGGTGCGTCCCATCCTGGAACCCATTGTCGACATACTCAAACCGATTCTCACCGGCAATATTGTATACGGGCTTCTCGTGGGGTTGTTGGTTGCGACTTGGTTTGGGTTTGGTCTCACGCCCAACAACAAAAGCCCCGCGCCGTTTGGGCAGGAACCTGCCATGCCGAGCGCATACCGTCTTGCGGCATACGATGAGATGTGGCGCCGGGAAGACAGCGAGCTTTGGGGTTGGCTAGAGGAGCGCGTGAGCCTGGAGCGGCTCTCCGTGGAGCGGTCGAATGCTCGCAGGCGAGAAGCGGACCCCCGAACTTTGGAGGAGAGGCTGAGAGAAGAGCGGATGGATGAGCGAGAAGTACAGGAGGCAATTCGAGTCACGGAGGAGAAGCTCAAAGTGTTGAGAGAAGTCATGGCGAGAGGCAAGCCGCTATAACTTAACTGCACACCTCGTAAGAAGGATGCACCTATTTCGTTTTTCATTGTCTTGTTCAGGCCACACACATACGGCACAGCACAGCACCGCATCCAACGCAGCGCACATTACGGCATCATATCATACGTTTGAGCCCTTTCTTTAGTCAAAGTATTTTCCTTAGTATATGTATATGTATATAAGAGTACGGAGCATTGGCGAGCCCAGCGCAGGAATACCACAATTGTTTGCTACCTATGAGAGGTTGGGCATTTCCTACTAGTACCAGTGCCATGTTACAACGAGTTGGGCTCGCTTTGGGATCTGTTTGTACATGGCATGTATATCTGGCGAAAAGATGATTACCAATTCTCAATTCTCAATTCTCAGCGGTCGAATCCCAGGCCTAGAAATGTCTACCTGTCGAGACGATGTTACCACAAGAAACCTACTATGTACTAGCAGGTGAAGTATCGCCGCCGCTGCTGACACGCATATTGACTCAAGTATAGTAGCAAAGTAGTAGATTGTCGGAATTGCGGTAATATGCGGCAATACAATCTCACTCCAAGAGGCAACCGTCGCCAATACGGAATGGCTTTTACTGATTACTTTGTAAAGCCGCCCAAAAATGGCAGTTCTGTTTGGGGGCGGATTCGATTCACGGTGTTTGGAGGGTGTATGTGGGTTCGTCTTACTGGGCTAGAGGCCCGAGTCAGCCTTGTGAAGCTTGTAAGTGCCTTAGAGTGGCGACGCTGGCTCTGTGCTTTTTGGTGCCAAAATCACACGCAGCCACACGACGGCATTTTGGTGTGTGGCTTGTGTGAGGCACAGAAGCTACGGCTTTAGGTTCGCGACGCAATTAGGGGGCTAGACATGCCTTGGGGGTGGTGCAAGGGCATGCGAGGAGGATTGTGTCTCGGTCGTACCGATCAGGAACGAGAAGTAATAAGTGCGAGGTTTTACTAGATACGTAGAAGAGGAGAGAAAAATCAATAATTAAAAAAAAAAAAAGAAATGGAAATAAATTAAAAAATGAATTTTGGAGTGTTGGCTCGTGCAGCAAGGGGCTACGCATTTCTGCCAAAAAAGCCACATACCTACATGCACAGCAGGCCTTGCAGTAGCATCATAGCATCACGAATCGCCAGCATCAAAATGCCGTGAGAAATGGAAGAGCAAAAACACAGAGAAAAAAACAGATAAAGTCACCCCACTTAGCGAGTTGACGAGTTGACGTGGCTTCACATCTCCAATGCCAGCAAACAAAAACGCCAAAGCACATGGACGGAGTCACGGAGCTGGCCATGTAGCATTACATATGGCCCTTAGCGGCGCAATGTACGAATTGTATGATTTGTAGGTCACGACTACATGGAATAAGGGGGACCGGGCGTTGCGATTATGCCCGAAGAGCGGTCACGGTTTTGGTTGTGATTATGGCGGTGGCAGCCCAGAGGTTGGAGGCTCTAAAAACGGTTGGGGGGGTGGTGGAGGAGGGGAGGCTCAAGTCCAGCGTACCGTAGTTTTTTCGTGGTTGGGTATTGATGTGAGTACGTAATTGTACGGGACAAGGGACAAGGGAAGAGGGAAGATGGAAAAGAAAACAAACACCAAAAGTGGGTGTGAAGACGATACGTTCGTGATCGAATCTGAGACAAGCAACGGCCCAAAAGAGCCAAAGATGGAGATGGAGCTGGAACTGGAGCTGGAGAACCGGTGCTCCGTTCTCCGTCCTAAATGATGGACAGCATCAAATAGCAAATGAACAACAACACCGGCGTCAACGTCATTCTTTGCTGCCGCTTCCCTGATCTGATGCTGGCTCCAATGGTCAGATACTAGCGGCTCTCTGCGCCTCAGCTTTATCTCTGGTTGTACCTGGCTGTGGCGCAGCTGCCCCTCGGTTAAGCCCGTTCACGGGATTGTGCCAGAGTTGAGTTTGAGTACGAGTTAAACCACTGGCTGGACTACTACAGTACGCCTTGGCCCATTCTTACATTTTGCAGTCCAGTCCACGGCAACGCAAATAAACCGGACACTAGCGGGGTTGGCGATGATGCTTGTCAAGGGCCAAATCAAGAAAAAAGTGACCAACGTGAAGAAGAAATGAAAAGAAAAAAAAGTCGACAAAGACGGCGGTCCTCGTGATGCCCTCGTCATCGCAACAAGCCCGCCATCGCTGCGACTCCGGTGCCTTGCGCTCCAAGCACTAACACGATGCAGACCCCGTCACCAAAGGGTACTTGGCCTCAAGCCACAGTCGGGGGGCCGATTTGGGATGCACGACGCAGGGATCAGCCTGGCAAGGACAAGAATTGGCCCATCAGGAGGATCCCTTGGTCCCCCCTCCTCTTGGTCGCCTTGCGACTACGAATCGAGAATCAGCCGCGGAAGAGACCCCTGCGCGAGTCCTACTAAGCTCAAAGCAAAGTCCTAGACCTCATTCGCCCGTGCTTGTAGGACCTCGCCGTTGGCAAGCTGCCTCCAAGGCTCCAGCTCATGCGATTAAAGAAAAACACCATGGACGGTGCCTGAAAGGTGGCCGCTCGCCTCGACCTGCCCATCTTCTTACACTTTGCCACTTATTCCCCCCCGATTCAGCACAAATCTCCACAGACGGCCCCTTGGTTGGGAGAAGCCTGCGTCTGTACCTTGCCCTACGGCACCTTACCCTTATGCCCGGGCCCGTTCGCTTCGTCCACCAAGCACAGAGTCAAGGGCATAGCTACAGACCGCCATGGAGAACAAGAAAGTCGACGACCCTGGTGCCCTGGCCTTACGGCGTCTAGTCCGAAGCCCAACCGGCGGTCGTTTGGCTCCCAGGCGGTCGTCGACTGTTGCTTCATGTTCTTCCAGCAGCAGCAGCAGCAGCTCAGCATCTTCAGTGACTTCGTCAGTCGACGGCGAGATGCCAACTTCGTGTGTGTAAGTGACAAGCCTCTCTCGATGGAACCAAGGAGACGAGGGGAGGGGGCCAAGACCAGGACAAACGATTAGTCGATATCCTCGTTTCTGCTGCTCCGCCTCGTCGCCTCCCTACCCTTTCTTTTTTTTTTTTGTCTTGATTTTTTGGTTTGTTTGTTTCATGTGCTACGTACTCCGTACTAACAGTCGTTTTTTCTTGCTTCCTCCCCTGAAGCTCACGCAACACTTCGAGCGACGAGTGTGCCTTGTACAGGTTCATCGTATGGGCAGCCGTCAAGCGCAATGCCTGCCAAAAGATGACTTCCGAAGAGCGGCGGGAGTGTCCCTTGCTGCGCTGCCGCAAGAGATTCCCCAACCATGAGCTCATGCTGCAACACCTGTATTCCTGCGACCACCTCGCCGGCGGAGAGTACTGGTGCTATGACTGCGAGAAGCCCGAGCAGCTCAGCGATGTCAAGTGCAGACGCTGCTTGGGCCACCCGTCCAAGAGGAGGAAGATCATGACCATGGCCAAGAGCTTCTTCAGTTCGTTGGGCCACAAGCCAAAGTCTCACAGCCTGGCGCTGGTTGCGTCCATGGGCATGGGCTTGGGCGCGGGCGATGGCGGCGGCAGCGGGGGTGAGGACGAACCCCCAAGCTACGACTCCGTGCTCTTCACGCCTCCGCCTCCGCAGCAGGCCGAACTCTTCTCGACCGAGATACATGAGATCGGTTCGAGCGAGGTGCTGCTCCCCACTATCCCGGAGTGTGAGACCGAGACTGAGCCTATACCCGCCCCTGGGATGATCCCCTGTCTCCCCCCATCCACATTCCCCATCTCACCACCAGGCTCCCACCCGGGAACCGTGCCGCTGCCATCTATGGATGAACAGTTCATGGTACATAATTGGAGGCCTTCACCACCTTCCCCTCAGACTGTGGCACCTCAAAGCCTGATGAAGCCCAGCACAGCACGGTTGGTTGATCGTCCAACACTCCAGGTCAACACCCACCTGGACCAGTATCGAGGCCAAGGGAGACGACGCAGCAAGGTGCTGGCGCCGAGCTCCTCTGTCCGGTCGACCAGCAGCACCGACAGCACCGACAGCACTGATAGCACCGCCAGCTACAACATCTCGCCCATGTCGGGCTGGTCCAACGGATGGACCAAGACGTCCGGCTTCGAGTCTGCCTTGACGTCACCTGACGACCTCATCAGTCCTCAGAGCCTCCTGCCCGCCGGCCCTTTCTCATCAACCACTACCACTACTAATACCGCTGATGGCACCACCTCGACGAGACCAATCCCCTTTAGCAACTTGGAGTTTGAGAACATGGTGGCCAACTCGTGTCCATCAGAGCTTCCTGCCGACATTCCCATGTTTGACGACTTGTCCAACACCATGGATCCTCAAAAGACACAGGCGTCCATGGGCTTGGACCAGGCTGCCTTTTCCTTCAACGCCGATATTCCTTTCCAGCTCCCGTTAGCACCTCAGATGCCCTCAACCAATAGTGTCGACCTTAGCCTGGCACCGCCGCCGCCTCCTCCTCCTCCTGCACAACAGCAGACTACTAGTAACATTGAGTCAAGTCTAATGCGGGACGCCAATTCCTCCCGCCTCACCACCACGACGCAGTCTCTGGCCAGATCAGTCCAAGATGCGCTACGGATGCATGTTGCCGAATCGAGAAGCAAGCTCGACACCATCAATGAAAACTCTCTCTTGATGCAGCTCAACCAGATGCCTCTCTCCTCCGTTGCCGCAATTGGTCTGGAGACCATGACTGATATCCTGGAAGGCCGCCAGGCCTCATCACCTCTGAACCTCGTTTGCTTCCTCCACGTTGTCTTCTCTCTATCTCTAGTGATCCATGAGCAGGATGCCTCCAAGCACTCTGCCGCCCTCTTCAAGCAAGCATTACTGTACAGCGATTGGTTCTCGGATGACGATAAGATACCCTTTATCGAGGTCGTTTATACTCTTTGGAAACCGAGTCAAGTCAACGATGACGAGATTATCGCCTTGTTAAAGTCACGGCCACCCATTCCCAGTGCTAGCATGTCCAAGGGCAAACAGCCCGAACGGTTCCCCCAAGGATTGAGGTCCGACCCGTTGATACTAATCGCGGCCTACTTTCTAGATGGTACTTACACCCACTCAATCCTCCCGTCCCTTTCCCTCCTCCCTGTTACCAAGACGCTAATGTGTATGTATGTGCTGTACCGCAGAACTCGAGTACATGGCTATCAGCGAAAGCAGCTACACCGGACACGCCTCTGAACTTGCCATGCAGCACCACAAGGACGGCCTCGGCGCTAGCCACAATTCACCGTTTGCCATTGCAGCTAGGTTTATGATTGACAACATCTTTTCTCATCAATACTCCCACGTTCCAGGATTTGAGCTCCGCATGGAGAAACTCATTGACCAGATTAATTCTAGTGAAGTGGGAACCGTGCGTCGCTTGGAGCTAGAGCTGATGCAAGCTGGAAGGGTGAGATAAAGAGCCACTTTTTTTATTTCCAAAAATAAGAATGCAGTGACGGCTAACCAGGGGCGAAAACATCTAGACATACCTACCTCCCGACGCATTCTTTGACGAATATGTCGAAGTGGTCCGACGGCAGACCGACTCGCTGTACACGCAAAGCCCTTACTTCAGCTCGCGGTCGACGTACCACCGGTGCGGCATCCAGCTGCTGATGAGGGAGTCTAACAGAAATCCAGTCATTGTGGAGGCCGGGGTTGAGTCATCGGGGCCGTCTTCCGGATCGCTCGCTGGAATCGTGGGCGTGGTATCAGACGGCTTCGATGGCTTCGACTTTGACTCAATGGTCGACCTCAACCCGGACAATGGATTGGACGTCAATATTGCCGACTCTGCAGCCATTGCCGGCGCCCCACTCAGGGAAGCCGCCGAGTGGACACCAGGGGATTCGGCATATGTCACAGCACCAGGCAGTGCCGCCATAGCCACCACGCCTGCAGTGCCTCGGGCTCTGGACGCTGATGCGCTGCCGCTTGTGGAAGACGATGCGCTGATATCCCCAATTGGGTCAACGCCCAACAAAGCAGAGGCATCGGTGTCGTCGACCAAGGTCGAATCTGACAGCTGCTGCAAGATATGCGGCTATCGACCCAAGGGCGACCCTCGGTGGTTCGTGGGCAGCATGGCCAAGCACATGAGGACGATACACAGCGAGAATCCCCAAATCTTCCGATGCCCTTACCCGGGTTGCACGAGCCAGTACAGCAAACGCGCGGACAACCTGCGGCAGCACCAGATTGAAAAGAACCATTTCGTGGACGACGAGGAGAAGCAGGGTCGGCGGCCGCGCAAACGGAAGCGTCCGTCAGACGGTGGCGGGGAATCATGATTTTACACTCCTTTTTTTGTTTTCTTGCGTCGTCTTGTTTGGGAATCTTGTTTTCCTCATTTCTTTTGTCCCCTTTTCATACCCTCTCATTCTTCTTTGTTTCTTTTTTTTCTTCGTTGGCCATTTGAGACATGTTTGGAAATTCGCATGAGCAGCATGAGCAGGCGAGGCGTATATATGGGAACCGGGCCAAATACGCGATACAATGATTTGATATCCACGAGCATAACGACGGGCGGCGTGGGTTACACTCACATTCACATTTACATTCACATGACAGACCGAGGGACTTGTATCGGTCAAACGGTGTCGTTGGGTGGCATTGGGCATTTACCCTGCAGGGGAACGGAGGGTGACGTGGGTGCTGCCGGCGAGAGCAGCAGCCCCGTCTATCATCCGTGATATTACATGGTCCCTTTTTTTCTTCTTCTTCTCCTTCTTTTCTTTTTTTGGTTGTCTCCTTGTCATTCCTCTCTTAATTCTCCTCTCTCCATCTCCATCTCCTTGTCTCCTTGTCTACCTCTCACATACCCTCTAATATTCCATCTCTTCTCACTCCCTTGGGCTTTGGATTTCTTTTCGTTTCCTGTACAGACGGCAGAGATGCTACTTGTATGCACATGCAATGCAGAAAGAGGATTAGTGGCAGTGCCGGAGTGGTCTGGATGCTGACGGACCGTGTGTGGGCGAGCCGGATCCAAAGCGAAGGGAGCGAGAGACAAAACTGGCGTTTTTTTTTTTTTTTTCTGTTGCCAGCACGGAGCTACAGTTTTGGATGTACGGGGTAGTGCGAGGTACATGTACGAGTTACGATACAGCCTATTATAGACGAAGAACGAACGGGTCTCTTGACGGATCGCACAATGTTTGGGAAGTACAAGTACCTGCGTAGAGTCGCACGAGTGCTGGAAGTTGCAGTAGTGCAGTAGCGCAGTAGCGCGGTAGCACAGCGCAGCAAAGTACCAGTACCCAGCGAGGTGAGACATGCCAGGCATCTCAGCTGGGGTCCACGCATTGGCATGCCAGGGTTTGTCGCTCGGATCGCAATCCAGGCCAATTTTCACAAGCTGGATCCAGCAGGTGACCAAGTATCCCTCCCGCTTCCGCTTCTGGGGCCCTGGCGCGGGTAAAAGGCGCGTTGAGTGGCGGGAACTCGACACTGTGCCAGGGCGCTTGTGAGATTGGCACCCCATCCGAGGAAGAGAGGACGAGGCGGGATTGGGCAGAGGCTCACGTAAGTTTCCAACGGGCTGACATCACATGGCGCAGGCGCAAGGTGGCCAAGCGGACTTTGACGCGGTGATTCGACGGGATTGTGTGAATGGGATGCGAGCGTATCGTATCTGCGACTCTCAGCGGTGCTGCGCTGTGCTGTGGTGCGCTGTGCTATACTTGGCACGCAGGTAGGGGGATGGGAGGTATGACGACAAAGCACAGCGAAAGCCCTGCATGGTGGCCGGATCAAGACACAGGTAGCGGTACTTGTGGCAGTCGCGCTACCAGCATGCCAAGTACAGTAGGTACTACTACTATATACGATGCGATACGATACGGAGTACCCTGTGCATTTCAGTTAAGGTGTGTGCTACAGGTATGGACCTCTCTAACTTCGTACGCCTTTCCCCTGGGATATACCTGTACAGGATATTGATGTAATCGTCAAAGGATGAAGGGGGGGTATAGATGCGCGCTCGATGTGGCGGATAGATAGGGCTGAGGAGCAGCCGCCTGCTTTGATTCCAGACCCTGACCAGACCAGACCAGACCAGACCTGAACTGACCTGAACCTGACCTGAACCTGACCTGACCTGATGTGATGCGATCAAATGCGATGCTCCGGGCGGAAGACAGGGAGGGGAGTTTCTGTGCAACCGATGTCATCAGTCGCCTGCAAGAGAAAGAGAACTAAGGCTTAAAGGTACCTCCCGGCCAGGTAGCGGTACAAACCCACAGGCAGCAGCTGGGGGGGCAGTGCCGAAGGGAAGACGCAACCCCTGTCGCCTCTGGCGAATTGGGCGTGAGAGCAGCGATGAGTTCTGCCCGCCCAGCCCATAATAAACCCAGCCCATCGCAAATCCATGCCAGAGCCGTGCCGGCCAGAGCAAAAAGCAGAGACAGACAAAAAAAAAAAAAAAAGCGACAAGAGAAAAAAAATTCTCAGCGCCCAGCATTGAAAGGCTCAGTCAGCGGGAAGGAGAGAAAAGGAAAACTTTTGCCCCCATCGACTAGATCTTGCTTGTCAACCCCCCCCCCCCCTTCCCCCCCCTCTCAAAACAAACCCCCTCTCAACCCCCCAAGGTTCCCCAAACGCACACCAGCAGTTTGCCTGCTCGCACTTTTTTTTTTCTCTCTGGTCATTCTGCCCACACCTCCTACCCAGCGCGCACCTCCACGCTTTGCACGCCTCTGCCAGCCCCATTAACGACACCCCCGAACCAGGATTCCGGGTTTGCTGGAAGAACGAGGGACGGACAGGAAGCACAAGGACGAAGGACAACGTCGAGATCCAAGATTCAAGATCCAAGGCGCTGCAGACGTCGGCGTCGACGCTTGACCGTCGCGATCGACCGATCGAAGAGCCGCGACCGGCCGGCTGACGACGAACACACCCTGACGCCGACCGGGCCGTGCTCGTGCTGCGTGTGATTTTTTATTGTATTTTTTATTTTTACTTTTTACTTCTTCGCGCGACGCAAGAGTCGATCGATCTTCGACTCCTCCGACCGACAAGCTCATCATGGCTGGACTGGGCCAGTCCGGGCCCAATCCCCACGGCCTGAGTTTCCCCCAGCCGAACTACCGACGCAACACCTTTGCTCCCGCCCACGCAAACCAGCCAAACAAACAGTCTCCCGCGCCTCAAGCGGCCTCGCCCTACCAGTCGCAGGCCTATCCGCCGCAGCAGCAGCCTCAGGGCTTTCACCTCTTCAACACGCCGGCGTCGGTCAACCCAAGTGTCGCCAATGCCTCGTCGCGCGCTCCCAACATCCACGTCCCCAATGCCTTGCCGCGACAGCAGCGCGCCGCTCCGCCGCGCCAGCAGATGCAGTCCCAGCCGAACCCGCCGCCTATGCTCTTCCCGGCGACGATGAGCCAGCCGGTGCCACACGACTCGCTCCTCTCGCACCAGCACCATCAGCAACACCACCCGCAGCACCCGCAGCAACATCCGTCTCAGCAGGCATTGGGCCACGCGCAGCAGCAACACCATCAGCAACAGCAGCAGCAGGTTCAGCAGCAGCAGGCCGTACAACAGCAACAGGCCCAGCAGGTCCAGCATCACCCGCAGCAGCAGCAGCAACACCCACAGCATCACCAGCAGCCGCATCATCCTGCGTATGCCCAGCACCCGCAAGCTCACCCGGCAGCTCATGCTTCCCACCAGACACATCAGACGCACCAGGCGCACCAGGTACCTCAGCAGATTCAGCAACAGGCACAGCATCAGCATCAACAGGAACAGCTTCATCATGTACATCAGTCCCGCTCTCAACAGCAGCAGCAGCAGCAACAGCAGCAACAAGCTCAACAGCAACAGCAGCAGGCCCAACAGCAGCAGCAACAACAGGTACAGAAGCAGCAGCAGCCTTCGCGGCAGCAATTGCAAGTTCCCCAACCCCAGGCTCCGCAGCCGGTTCCGCAGCAAGTGCCACAGCCGGTTCCGCAGCCGGTCCAGCACCAGGTTCAACAAGTGCAACACCAGCAGCAACAGCATCAGGCTCAGCAGCAAGTACAGCAGCAGCAGCAACAGCACCAACAGCATCAGCATCAGCAACAGCAGCATCAACAGCAGCACCAGCAGTTACAAGCTGCGGCTCAGCAACCTGAACCTATTTCCCAGCAACAGCAGGACAACCATGCAGGAGAGGACCTGGACATGGACGGCCAACAGGACGGTGACGAGGACAACAGCACTCTGGCGCCGTCCAAGCTGATGAACGATCAATTGGCAGTTACTCAGCCATTGGGAGAGATGATGTCACCACCTCCCGAAGGCGGCAGTTATCCCACGCTCGAGGCCGTTCAGAAGGCAGTCTTGCGCTACTGCACCTCGGTAGGCTATGCTATTGTCATAGGACGATCCAAGAAGACGGTGCCGGGCCTGAAGAAGGTCTTGTTCGTCTGCGACCGGGCCGGCAAGCCACCAAGCCGAGTCAGCCCCGAGTTCAGAAAACGCAAGACATCTTCGAGGAAATGCGACTGTCCTTTTGGCTTCTTTGCCATTGAGCAGCGAACCCAATGGACTATCCGCTACCGGCCTGACCCTTCGCATTTGCAACACAACCACGGACCGAGTGAGAGTCCGTCAAACCACCCTGCAGCCAGAAAGCTTGACAGCAAGATGGTTGCCGCTGTCAAGCAGCTCAAAGAGAATGGTTAGTATTATTCTTTATAAAAAAAAAAAAGCTGTTCACGTCAAGACGGAACAAATGTGCAAGTTGGGAAAGGGAGAGGAGGAAAGCACCTGTGGAACAGAAATTCTCGCTAACCGATCGTATGTGTAGGTGCAGGCGTATCTGAGACACTGCAGATTCTTCAAACTGACAATCCTGATTGTCACTTATTGCCGAGGGATATTTATAACGCGCGAGCGGCTATTAATCGTAATCCGCAGAAAGTAGCAACGGGCCTGGCGGAGAACAGGCCGGCCATCTATACCAAGCCATTGCAGTCGCCCGAAGATCGCATACGAGCCGAGCTAAGGCGCGAGCTGGCCAAGGCTCGCGAGGACTTGAAAAAGGTTGAAGAGGAGAAGCAAAAGGAGATTGACGACCTCAAGGCCAAGATGGCGGAAAAGGACAAGCTGATAGAAAAGTTTGAAATGTTTATTGACATTTGTAACGGCAGAGTCATTCTCCAGAGAGAAAGGCTAGCTGGTCCTGAAGGCGGCGCGGCAGGCGGTGGTAATCCCAGTGGTTAGCTGCTCTGCACTGTGTTTGCCTGTTTCCTCCCCCTTCTTCCCTCCCTCCTGGCGTACCGGTCTTTGGTATACATTAGAGGGGCACTGGAGAGCAGTCGGTCGTTCCGGTCTACGGAGTCTACATACGGAGAGGCGTTAAGAATGGTACGGTGTGCTGGTTCATTCATTATGACTTTTTGTGTCCTCATGCAAGTATATGATGTCGTTGCTCATTTTCTGTTTGTTTTTCTGTTTCTGTTTCTCTTTTTCTTTCTCTCCTCCACTTTCATTTCCTTTTCTTTTTTTGGTAATCAGAGGAGGTGAGATTCATTTACAACCTTTCCAGATTCCGAACAGCGAGGGCCCTGTGCTGGGCTCACTCCCTTTTCCCTTCTCCTTTTGTCTTTCTCACCTTTCATCTTTTCTTGTCCTTTCTCTTTTCTGTTTGGCTGATTCGTGGGGCGTCAATTATGTAAACTGGTCAGAGGCTGTTGAAGGGGCTGTGCGATTTGATGGATAAGCAACGGGTAGTTTACGTCGGTAGATTTACTTGAACGGTCAATGTTTGAATGATGAATTAAACGCTTTATGTGGATATGGCCCTGAATCTCGTTGCTTGGTCCTGTTCTGGTTGTTCTGCCCGTTTTGGCGGGTGGATTTGGATGGGATAGTAAATGAATACGGTGGTAGTGTGGCTGTGCGGGAATCGACCCTGCCTGGTATTTAACTTCAATTTATATGCATACCTCTATTTCCCTATTGAGACGAGGGCTGTCCCATCTGCACAGATCTTACGACCCTGCAACGTGGTACAGCTAACATGCACGTAGGTAGCTTTGTCCCAGAACAGGAAAAAAAAAAAAGATGGGAACGACGTAAGTGGAGTGTTAATATCGGGATACATAGAAAAGCCGTTGGTAGGAAGTTCGAAAGGAGGCGTGGCGTGGCCGTATCACGATTTTCGACCAAAAAATGGGCGACTAAGGGTGTTTGCGGTTTTATTCTGCATCGGGAGGTTTTGAGGTACATTTTCATACACCTCACCTCTTTTAGGGGGGGGGGATGTGGTGTCGAGTTACCCGGTAGACGCACTCCCCGTGGGCGGCCCTCCATTTTTTTTTTTGTTAACCCCGCGGTGGGATGGGATGGGATGGATTTTTATTTTTTTCAGGGGAGGCGTGTGAGTTGGGTGATTTTGTTTTTGAGGGGGTTTGAGGGGGATGGTTGGGTTTAGGTTTGTGTGTTGTAGGTGGTTTTTTGTTTGGGTGAATGGGATTGGTTTTGGGGGTTTTGGGGGGTGATGGAGGGGGTTTGGATGGGTTTGTGGTGTTGATTGGGTTGTGAGGGAGATGGAACGGGGGATGAAATGAGTATTGGAGATGATTTTGGATGGATGATTGGGCGAGGTGTTGCTCGTGTGAGGCCTGGAGTTTGGGAGGAATACCTACATGTATGTACTCAGGTGCATGTAGCGATGGAATAGGCTTTTTGGGGGACTGAACTCTACTAGTAGTTGACGCCCTCTGAATCTTCAGGTACAGGGCGTCAGGGGTATGGCGTGGAAGTGTATTAGTACAGGTGATGAATGTACTCAATGTTCAAAAGTTACAGATTCCACATTGGATATCATGATACTTACCACTCATTGATTGCGTGTGTATGCTGGGCTTTTTCTCTACATCAACGCCTTGTGTTCCATCCACAAAAAACTATTCACTATTCCGTACTAAACCACCAAACAATGGCCCTCAACGCCACGCCTCCCGCCAATCAGGGTCCCATCGACCTTCTCCAACCCCACCCGAGTGTGCTGGCAGCCTCTGTCCCACCGCCTGACGATTGATTCAGCGACTAGGGGTCCCTCCGTTTGGGTTTGGGGTCGAGCAGACTGGAGGTTGGGGCCATTTTAGCTTCAGTTGGCAGCTTTGTTCCTGTTCTGCTGCCGTCTGTAGCGCAATTTGACTGCATGTATGTACTAACTCCGTAGCTGCGACGTACCATTTGCCCATTTGTCGGCATTTGTGGATTGATTGTATGCAAGTTGCTGTCTTGTGCGGTGAGCCTCCTATTCGTCCCTCAACAGCAGATTTTCGTCGTCTCTTCCTTCTTGACGCATCGTTTTTTCTTGTCTCTTCTCGATTTGTTCTAAACCCCTGCCTGCAGAAAACACGCTCGCTTGTGACAGAGCGAAACCCCGGAATCCGCATCTCGGAGTGTTTCTGGTCGGTGTATGTCCCGCGGTACCTCGAGCTACTTGGTGTGGCCGCATACCGCTACTGTACCAAGGTACGACTCGACCTGCATCAACGCCACGCCTGCATCTCTCCTTGTGAAACCTCCTGCTTTGTACTCACGAGAACTCCGAACCGCACACGAAAAGCATCTTCTACCTACCTGCTCTTTTTCTTCTTCTTTCACTTTCCCCCCCTGTCGAGCTTCTTCCTCTGTCCCCGTCCTCTGCTCGTGCCCCTCTCCACATCAACCCCTGGCCAACATTCCTTCTAGCCCCCGATAAACGAACAAACGAGCGACCTCGACACCCCACCAACGAACCTATCCCGAACCCGACATCTCTGGAGATGACCGGCTTCTCGACATAGAAGCTCCTCTGTCCCTTCTTTTTCTTGTCTCTTCCTCACACGACGCTCGCGCCATGGAAGTGACCTCGGCCAACGCCCCGAGCCTCGGCGCCTCCAACGGCAACGGCAACGGCGTCTCGGTCCCAGCGCCCTCGTCGCCCTCACCGACGCCGACGCCATTCCCGACCATCGAGCCCGAACGCGTGGTTGACCACCTCGCTGCCATTTGCGAGATTGCCCTGGGCGCATCGCGGGGCGATCTGGAGCTGCCGGGCAACCTGCTGCACAAGGCGTCGTATGCAGAGACCATTTCGCGGTGCACGCGCTTTGCCAACGATACACTCAATGTGCTGTATATCCAGAAGGACGTGGTGCAGTCCGGGTCGCTGGAGAATGGCAATGAGAACGGAGACGCGGCCGAGCATGGCAATGGCGTTGCTGGTGAGGATTTCAGTATTGCTCTCTCCCCCCCAACTTCCCCCTATCTCCATTGTGATTTTTTCATAGCTTTTTTTTTTTGTTTGTTTTTTCCTTGACTGACTGACGCTCGTGATAGCTCCCTCTACCTACGACTACACTCTTTCGACCGAAATCACCTCCACACCTACCACCGTCGCCACTTTGATTTTGCTCAAGGCATCGCAAGCGATTGATCCTTCTCGTCCTCTTACCTCTCAGATATTTATTACTAATCTACCTGGTCCTGCCTCCCTTAATGCCGCCTCGGGAGAGCAGGGCGTTGCACTCTCCCCGTGGGAGGTGCTCCATTCTCAAGTCCACCATGCCTTGGTGCCATACTTTGACGCAAACAGCAAGAGCCAGCAGCTGGCCAACGGATCCAGGGGGCGAGATATCGATGCCAAGACGGGCATTCCAGTTACCAAGAAGCGCTTGAACGACTTGGAGCTGAGTCTGCTTCACCTCCAGCAGAACGTCGATATCCCCGAGATTTCTCTGGCTTTCCACTCGCTTATTCAGAATGTCCTCGATGACGCCGAGGTCACCCAGACGAAGCCCTCGATGGAGGCGATTCCGAAGAATCTTCTCCAAGACAGCAGCTTCCTCAACAAGCTGCAGGCCAACGTCAACACCTGGATCAAGTCTATCCAGGGCATCACGAAGCTGACCAAGGAAACCTCGTCAAACGCCGTTCAGGAGTTTAGCACCGCCAGCCAAGAAGTCAACTTTTGGCTGTCCATGGAGTCCGCGTTGGAGGGGATTGAGGACCAGCTTAGGAGCGAGGGTGTCCTCCTGACACTCGACGTGTTGAAGCATGCCAAGCGTTTCCAGGCCACGGTCAGTTTCGTCGCTGACACTGGCTTGAAGGAGGCCAAGGAAAAGGCGCAAAAGTACAACCAGCTGATGCGCGACTTTCCGCTCGATGAGCTGCTGTCTGCCCCGTCTCTGCTCAAGGTCGAAGAGGCTATTACCCAGATTTTTGCTCATTTGATGAAGAAGCTGAAGGTGTGCCCATATCCCATCCGGAGAGCGCTGAGCTTGGCTCAAGCTATTTCGGCGGATCTAAACGACGTACTGCTTCGTTTACTTCCGGGTACTGAGCTTGTCAACCTGGGCTACCCGGAATTTCAGAATGTCATGCGAACATGCGACAGCATTTTCGTTGCCTGGGAGGACAACATCAAGGAGTTTACACACCTGGCTCGTATGCTCATCATCCGCAGAAACGAGAAGCGTATTCCCATCAACATCGAGAAGAACCACTCTGAGCTGGAGTCGCGAATCAAGTATGTCAGTGCGTTCCGAGACAACCACGAACAGCTGCAGAGGACCATTGTCAACGTTTTGGGACCAAAGGCCATGATCCCTGGCGTCACCGACATCACTTCCTCTGCCAACGCCACTGCTACTGCAGGCGCTGTCATCGAAGAAATGGGCGATGTGGATGCCGTTGAGGAAGTCAAGCGAGCCTGGGAAGCACTGCAGAATGTCGATCTCTTGGATGTGACGGACCAGGGCAAGGAGCGGTGGGCGCAGGCCGAAAACCTATACAATGAGCGCACGACGCGAGTTGAAAACTCCATCATTGCGAGGCTACGTGACCGCCTTGCCACAGCCAAGACTGCCAACGAAATGTTCCGTGTCTTTTCCAAGTTCAACGCCCTGTTTGTGCGGCCCAAGATTCGTGGTGCCATTCAGGAGTACCAGAACCAGCTGATGGATCACGTCAAGCAGGCTATCAATGGCTTGCATGAGAGGTTCAAGCAGCAGTATGGCCATTCTGAAGCCCATGCCATGGCGCAGCTTCGCGATCTCCCACCAGTCTCGGGTGCCATCATTTGGGCCCGTCAGATTGAGCTCCAGCTGGACGGATACATGAAAAAGGTTGAGGCTGTTCTTGGACCCGACTGGACTCTACATGCCGAGGGCCACAAACTCCGGGAAGAGAGTGAGCTGTTCAAGAATAAGCTAGACACGGGCAGAATATACGATGCTTGGCTGGCTGATGCCAATCGGCGCAAAATCTCAATCGCTGGACAGCTCTTCATTATCAACCGAGTGAGGTCTGCGGGTGGCATCCTTGAGCTCAATGTCAACTTTGATCCTCAAATCATCACCTTGTTCAAGGAGACCAGAAACTTGACTTGGCAGTCTTACCTGGTTCCTCATGCGGTGACTACAGTGTCCAAGGATGCCAAGAGAGTATACCCCTATGCCGTTAGTTTGATGGAGGGTGTCCGAACTTTGTCCCAGACGCTGCGCCAGATATCCACAATGGGCGAGGAAGCCATCCTCCTCAACGGATACAAGAACGAGGTGTACAAGCTCATTGGCGATGGTGTCCCGTTGAGGTGGGAGTCCTTTGTCAACTCACATGAGCTCTTTTATTCCGATCAGAGACAGATCCGCCCCTTGCTTCCTGGAAGCACCGGCTTTGGACCGGCGAAGAACACCGAGAGCAAGCACGGTCTGTTCATTTGGGGCTTCTCAGCGGCTGTTTCTGTACTTCAGTCAAAGACGGCTACCCTCAATTCCATCTACGCTACCATCGAGCAGGCTCTCAAGGATCTTGGTGCCTGTCCCTATGATGCCATAGCTTTCCAGTCCTACCTCGATACTATCCAGGGTGCTGTTGATCAGCTTAATTTGGAACAGTATGCTAATCTGGACTTTTGGGTGCGTGGTGTCAACCACAAGGTTCAGACCATCCTTCTGGAGCGCCTCTCCACCGCCGTTCAGGCCTGGATTGCTGCCTTTGAGCAAGATGTCGCCGAGGAAGACAGGTGGAAGCAGTCCAAGGAGGACGATGGAAAACAAGATGGGCCTACCATGAAGCGTCTCATCCTCGAAATTACCATGCGCAACCAAGTCATTTATCTTGACCCGCCATTGGAGTACGCCAGAGCGAGCTGGTTCCTCCACCTCCACGACTGGCTGGGCATTGTCTGTAACCTGCGCAAGATCAAGGCTACGCGATACCAGATGAGCCTCAACACCGAGGCTCAAGAAGAAGCCCGTTTCACCGACCTCCCTTCTCACTGTGCGGATATGCTCCACCGAGTTTACCTGTCTGTCGAGAAGAAGCTCAGGGAAGTGAGCATCTATGTCGACAAGTGGCTCCAGTTCCAGTCGCTTTGGGATCTCCAATCTGACCAAGTCTACGATATGCTTGGCGACCATCTTCCTCGATGGCTCGAGTGTCTCCAGGATATCCGCAAGGTCCGAACGACTTTTGACACACAAGAAGTTAGCCGCTCGTTTGGCCACATCACCATTGACTATGACCAAGTCCAGACCAAGGTGAATGCCAAGTACGACCAGTGGCAGCAGGAGATTCTCATCAAATTTGCCAACCGACTGGGCAACCGAATGCGTGACATCAACGCCGAGATTGAAAAGGCGCGAAAGAATCTCGAAGGCCAGAGCTCAGACACCTCATCTACCGCTGCCGCTGTGCTGTTCATCACGGCAGTGCAGAGCTGTCGACGCAATGCAAAGTTATGGGCGCCAGAGATTGACATGTTCCGCCAAGGACAGTCTACTTTGGTGCGACAGCGTTACCCATTCCCCAATGACTGGCTCCACATCGAGCAGATTGAGAGTCAGTGGGAGGCTCTCAAGGAGATTCTGGAGAAGAAGTCGAAGATTATGGAGGAGCAGTCTGATGCTATGCGAGCAAACATTATTGCTCAAGATAAACTGATTAATGAGCGTATCAACGAGGTTGTGGCCCAGTGGAATGAGGAGAAGCCCGTATCTGGAACCATCCAGCCAGATGTCGCCTCTGCTACTCTGACCACCTTTGAGACTCGCATCACTGCCCTGCAGGAGGAGTTCCAGCAGGTCATGAAGGCGAGGGAGGCTCTCGACATTCCTGGCAACAATGATAGCATTTTGGAGATTACTTTGGAGGAAGTTCGTGATTTCCGATCTGTTTGGTCCAATCTCTCCACTATTTGGACGAGTCTCAACGAAACTCGGGACATGCTGTGGACTGCTGTTCAGCCGAGAAAGATTCGCCAAAAGGTGGATGACTTGATCAAGAGCACAAAGGATATGCCTAGTAGAATGAGGCAGTACGCCGCTTTTGAACACGTCCAGGGAGTCTTGCGAGGCTTCCTCAAGGTTAATAACATCCTGTCCGATCTGAAATCTGATGCCATTCGCGAGCGACACTGGCACAAGATTTACAAGCAGATCAAGCCCCAGAAGCGCTTCTCACCTAGCTCCATGACTCTTGGTGATGTCTGGGACCTTAATCTCACTGCCACTGAAGTCATTGTCAAGGACATCATCGCCCAGGCTCAGGGTGAGATGGCACTCGAAGAGTTCTTGAAGCAAGTTCGTGAAACATGGCAGAATTATGCTCTCGAGATGGTCAACTACCAAAACAAATGTAGGCTTATCCGTGGCTGGGATGACCTCTTTGCCAAGTGCAGCGAGAACTTGAACTCACTTCAAGCCATGAAACACTCTCCTTACTACAAGGAGTTCGAAGAGGATGCGGTCGCCTGGGAGGACAAGCTGAACCGTGTTCACGTGCTCTTCGACGTCTGGATCGATGTGCAGCGCCAGTGGGTGTACTTGGAGGGTGTCTTTACCGGAAACGCGGATATCAAGCACCTCCTCCCTATCGAGTCTGGTCGTTTCCAGAACATCAACAGCGAGTTCTTGGCGGTCATGAAGAAGGCTAACAAGACTCCCTACGTCCTTGACGTGCTGAACATTCCCAATGCCCAAAAGTCCTTGGAGCGTCTGGCAGAAATGCTGAACAAGATCCAAAAGGCTCTTGGTGAATATCTCGAGAAGGAACGTGTCTCTTTCCCTCGATTCTACTTTGTTGGTGACGAGGACTTGTTGGAAATGATTGGTAACAGTAACGACACTTTACGTATTGCCAAGCACTTCAAGAAGATGTTTGCCGGATTGGCAGGCCTCATTATGGATGACGAAGGAGTCATCTCTGGCTTCACTTCCAAGGAGGGCGAGGCTGTCACACTGAACAAGGAGATTTCTTTGGCAAAGACGCCTAGAATCAACGACTGGCTCGCCCTGCTGGAAAATGGAATGAAGCAGACGCTTGCGGAGCTGTTGGCTAAGGCTGTGGAGGAATACACTCCAATTTTCGAATCTGACAATATCGATCGGGAGGCTCTAGTTACTTTCATGGATGCGTTCCCCAGTCAGATTGTTGTCCTCGCAACACAGGCTGCCTGGACGACAGCTGTCGAAAACTCGCTTGCTGCTGGCGGCCAGACATTGCAGACTCTTTTTGAACGAGAGGTGCAGGTCCTTCGCGTCCTTGCGGAGACTGTTTTGGGAGACCTCGAGGTCATCCAGCGCAAGAAGTGCGAGCAGTTGATTACCGAGTGTGTCCACCAGCGAGATGTGATTGAGAAGCTGGTCAATGTCAAGGCTGATTCAGCCGGCCACTACCTCTGGCAGCTCCAGATGCGTTATGTCTACACTCCTGAGGGCAACTTCCTCACTCGTTTGTACATCAAGATGGCCAATGCCAAACTCAACTACGGCTTCGAGTATCTTGGTGTCCCCGATCGTCTTGTTCGGACTCCCCTTACCGACCGATGTTTCCTTACACTTACCCAGGCGCTCTGCCAGCGACTCGGAGGTTCGCCGTACGGTCCCGCTGGTACGGGAAAGACAGAATCCGTCAAGGCCTTGGGTGTCCAGCTTGGAAGGTTTACGCTCGTTTTCTGCTGTGACGACACTTTTGATTTCCAGGCCATGGGTCGCATCTTTTTGGGTATTTGCCAAGTTGGTGCGTGGGGCTGCTTCGACGAGTTTAACCGTCTCGAAGAGAGGATCTTGTCTGCCGTTTCGCAGCAGATTCAGAACATCCAGCTCGGTCTGAAGCAGGGAGCCGAGAACGACAAGTCGCAGATTGAGCTCGTTGGCCGACAGCTTCGTGTCAATGAGAACACGGGTATCTTCATCACAATGAACCCGGGTTATGCTGGCCGTTCTAACTTGCCCGATAACTTGAAGAAGCTTTTCCGAAGCGTTGCCATGTCCAAGCCCGACAAGGAGCTCATTGCCGAAGTCATGCTGTACTCGCAGGGTTTTGGCCAGGCCAAGCGGCTGTCAAAGCAGACGGTGCCTTTCTTCGACAAATGTTCAAAGGAGCTGTCAAAGCAAGCCCATTACGATTTCGGTCTTCGTGCGCTCAAGAGTGTCTTGGTTAGCTCTGGTGGTCTCAAGCGTTCTCGTTTGGGCGATGGCGATCTCGGCGCCGAAGAGATTGTCGAGCCTGAGATTCTCGTGCAGAGTATTCGCGAGACGATTGCGCCTAAGCTGATCAAGTCAGATGTGGACATCATGATCAACATCGAGGAGGACTGCTTCCCCGGCGTCCAATACGTGCCTGCTAACCTGCACGCTCTCGAGGACGCTATTCGTACGCTCGCTGCTGAGCGCCAACTCGTGGTGACGGATCTGTGGATGACCAAGGTTCTTCAGCTGTATCAGATCCAAAAGATTCACCATGGTGTCATGATGGTTGGTAACTCTGGCACGGGTAAATCTGCCGCCTGGAAGCTCCTGCTTGATGCCCTGCAAAAGGTGGAAAATGTCGAGGGTGTTTCTCACGTCATTGATTCCAAGGTCATGTCCAAGGAGGCTCTATACGGTAACTTGGACTCTACCACTCGTGAATGGACGGATGGTCTCTTCACCAGCATCCTCCGTAAAATCGTGGACAACCTTCGTGGCGAAGACTCCAAGAGACACTGGATTGTGTTTGACGGTGATGTTGACCCTGAGTGGGTCGAAAACTTGAACAGTGTGCTTGACGACAACAAGCTGCTTACCTTGCCCAACGGAGAGCGTCTTAACCTGCCGGCCAATGTCCGCATCATGTTCGAAGTCGAGACATTGAAGTATGCAACACTCGCCACTGTTAGTCGATGTGGTATGGTTTGGTTTAGCGAGGATACAGTCTCGCCCAACATGATGGTGACCAACTACATCGAGACGCTTCGCAGTGTTCCCTTTGAAGACCTGGATGAGGATAGCGTTGCTACAGGCCAAAGCCCGGCTAAGACGCTGGCCGTTCAAGCCCAGGTTGCCGATTTGCTTACAGGATACTTGACGGAAGAAGACTTTATCAACCAAGCCTTGGAGCGGGCTCAGCGATACAACCACATCATGGAGTTTACAGTCGCTCGTGTCCTCACAACTCTGTTCTCGCTGTTGAATAAGGCTGCCCGTGACATTATTGAGTACAATGGACAGCACGCCGACTTCCCTCTAGAGTATGATCAGATTGAGGGCTTCATGGCGAAGAAGCTGCTCCTCGCGCTAGTGTGGGCACTTACTGGAGATTGTCCGCTTGGCGACCGAAAGCTGTTTGGTGATGACATTTGCGCATTTGCCAACTTTGGGTCACCACCCCTTGATGGCACCAGTTCGCTTATTGATTTTGATGTTCTCCTGCCCCAAGCTGAGTGGACGCCATGGCAAAATCAGGTCCCTAGCATCGAGGTCAACACACACTCCATCATTCAAACTGACGTTGTCATCCCGACCTTGGATACCGTGCGTCACGAGGATGTCCTTTATTCCTGGCTGGCTGAGCACAAGCCGCTCCTGCTCTGCGGTCCTCCTGGTTCCGGTAAGACGATGACGCTTTTCAGTGCTCTTCGTAAGCTGCCTAACATGGAGGTCGTCGGTCTCAACTTCTCCAGCGCGACGACGCCTGATCTTTTGATCAAGACGTTTGAGCAGTACTGCGAGTACAAGAAGACGCTGAACGGTGTCATGCTGTCTCCTACTCAAATTGGCCGCTGGTTGGTCATCTTCTGTGATGAAATCAACCTTCCGGCTCCCGACAAGTATGGTACTCAACGCGCCATCTCCTTCCTGCGCCAGCTTGTTGAGCACAACGGCTTCTGGAGGACTTCTGACAAGTCATGGGTGACACTTGATCGCATCCAGTTCGTCGGTGCTTGTAACCCTCCTACCGATGCCGGCCGTACGCCCATGGGCGCTCGTTTCCTTCGCCATGCTCCCCTTGTCATGGTTGATTACCCTGGCGAGCTCTCGCTTAACCAGATTTACGGCACATTTAACGCGGCTGTGCTCAAGATTGTGCCCTCGCTGCGTGGATATGCTGAGTCGCTCACTCATGCCATGGTCCGTTTCTACCTCGAGTCCCAGCAGAGGTTCACGCCCAAGATTCAACCCCATTACGTCTACAGTCCTCGTGAACTTACTCGCTGGGTTCGTGGTGTGTATGAAGCGATTAAGCCTCTAGAGGCATTATCATTGGAAGGTCTCATTCGTATCTGGGCGCACGAGGCCCTTCGACTCTTCCAGGATCGTCTTGTAGATGAAGAGGAGCGCAAGTGGACCGAGGAGTCTGTTCGCCGCATTGCTCTCGAATATTTCCCCTCCATGGACGAGGAGAAGGCTCTTGGTGGCCCTATTCTGTTTTCCAACTGGCTGTCCAAGAACTATGTCCCCGTCGACCGCGAGCAGCTCAGAGATTTTGTGTCTGCTCGACTCAAGACTTTCTGCGAGGAAGAGGTCGATGTTCCACTTATCCTCTTCAACGACGTCTTGGAGCATGTCTTGCGTATTGATCGTGTCTTCCGACAGCCGCAGGGTCACTTGATTCTCATTGGTGTGAGCGGTGGTGGCAAGACTACTCTTTCGCGATTCGTGGCCTGGATGAACGGCCTCAAGGTGTTCCAGATTAAAGTCCACGGCAAATACTCAGCTGAAGATTTCGACGAAGACTTGCGTGATGTGCTGCGACGATGTGGCTGTAAGGGTGAGAAGATTTGCTTCATCATGGACGAGGCCAACGTTCTGGATTCTGGTTTCCTGGAGCGCATGAACACGCTGCTTGCCAACGCTGAGGTGCCCGGTCTCTTTGAGGGTGATGACTATGTTGCCCTGATGACGGCTTGCAAGGAAGGTGCTCAACGACAAAACTTGCATCTTGATTCACCTGAGGAGCTGTACAAGTGGTTTACTCAGCAGATTGTCAACAACTTGCACGTCGTCTTCACCATGAACCCGCCCGAAGGTGGTCTGGGTTCCAAGGCCGCCACCAGTCCGGCCTTGTTCAACAGATGTGTGCTGAACTGGTTTGGAGATTGGTCGGATCAGGCACTGTTCCAGGTCGGCCACGAACTTACGCACTCTATCGACCTGGACAAGAGCAACTTTAACGCTCCCGATACAATCCCGGTGGCTTACCGTAGCTTGCAGCTCCCACCTTCTCATCGCGAGACGGTCGTCAACTCTATGGTGTACATCCATTACTCGCTGCAACGGTACAACAAGAAGCTGCTGACCCAGCAAGGCAAGGTCACGTTCTTGACTCCTCGTCATTTCTTGGACTTTGTTACCCAGTATGTCAAACTGTACAATGAAAAGCGCGAGGATCTGGAGGAGCAGCAGCGTCACTTGAATGTCGGTCTTGAGAAGTTGAGAGATACCGTGGACAAGGTTCGCGATTTGCGCGTCAGTCTTGCGGAGAAGAAGGCACAGCTCGAGCAGAAGGATGCCGAGGCAAACGAGAAGCTGCAGCGCATGGTTGCAGACCAGCGCGAGGCAGAGCAGAGGAAGAACACTTCCTTGGAGATTCAGGCGGCATTGGAGAAGCAGGAGGCTGAGGTAGCAATGCGGAAGAAGGTTGTGTTGGAGGATTTGGCAAAGGCTGAGCCTGCGGTCGAGGAGGCCAAGGCCAGCGTTAGCAACATTAAGCGACAGCACTTGGTCGAAGTGCGTGGTATGTCTAATCCTCCGCAGAGTGTGAGACTTGCACTGGACGCCGTTTGCACTTTGCTTGGACACAAGATCAACGACTGGAAGGCGGTCCAAGGTGTGGTTCGAAGGGAAGACTTTATCGCCAGCATCATCATGTTTGACAATGCCAAGATGATGACCAAGGGACTGCGGAACAGGATGCGCAACGACTTTTTGTCTAACCCCGAGTTTACTTTTGAAAAGGTGAACCACGCTTCCAGGGCTTGTGGTCCTCTCGTCCAGTGGGTCATTGCCCAGGTCAGCTATTCGGATATCTTGGACCGTGTCGGACCTCTCAGGGAGGAAGTCGCGCAGTTGGAGGAGCAGGCGCTCGAGACAAAGGCTAGTGCCATGGCGGTTGAGAAGAACATTGCGGAGCTCGAGTCTAGCATCAACACTTACAAGACGGAGTATGCCACTCTTATCAGCGAAACCCAGGCCATCAAGGCAGAGATGTCAAAGGTCCAATTCAAGGTCGACCGAAGTGTCAGGCTGCTTGACAGCTTGTCGTCTGAGAGGGCTCGTTGGGAGGAGGGAAGCAAGTCGTTTGAGACTCAGATCAGCACCCTTGTTGGAGATGTTCTTGTCGCTGCGGCGTTCTTGGCTTACAGTGGTCTGTACGATCAGACGTTCCGAAAGAGCATGGTTGATGACTGGTATCACCAGCTGGACTTGTCCGGTATCCAGTTCAAGTCTCCCAACCCAGTGACAGAATACCTGTCAAGTGCGGATGAACGACTTGGATGGCAAGAGAACACGCTGCCGGTTGATGACTTGTGCACGGAGAATGCCATTATCCTTAAGCGCTTCAACAGATATCCTCTCATCATTGATCCGTCTGGAAGAGTTACAGAGTTCTTGCAGAAGGAGTGCAAGGATCGCCGCTTGACTGTCACGAGCTTCTTGGATGACACTTTTACAAAGCAACTTGAGAGTTCTCTGCGATTCGGTAACCCCATTCTTATCCAGGATGCTGAGCACCTCGATCCCATTCTCAATCACGTCTTGAACAAGGAGTACCAGCGAACTGGTGGTCGTGTCCTCATCCAGCTTGGCAAGCAGGACATTGACTTTTCGCCATCGTTCAAGCTCTACCTTTCTACAAGAGATCCGTCGGCTACTTTCGCGCCGGATATTTGCAGTCGTACCACTTTTGTCAATTTTACTGTCACTCAAAGCAGTCTCCAGACTCAGTCACTTAACGATGTGCTCAAGTCGGAGCGTCCTGACGTGGACGAGAGGCGATCCAACCTCATTAAGCTGCAAGGAGAGTTCAAGGTCCATCTTCGACAGCTGGAGAAGCAGTTGCTGCAGGCTCTCAACGAGTCTCGTGGTAACATTTTGGACGACGACAAGGTTATAGAGACGCTGGAGACTCTCAAGACGGAGGCGGCGGATATCTCAGACAAGATGCGCAACACGGAGGGCGTCATGGCCGAAGTGGAAGAGATTACGCAGCAGTACAGCATCATTGCCAAGTCGTGCAGTGCTGTGTTTGCCGTTTTGGAACAGCTGCACTACATTAACCACTTTTACCAGTTTTCGCTGCAGTATTTCTTGGACATTTTCCAGTCGGTGCTGCGGGGGAACAAGAATCTGGCAAAGGAGACGAATCACAACGTTCGCCGAGACATTATTGTCAAGGACCTCTTTGTCAATACATTCAAGAGGACGGCACTTGGTTTGCTGCAAAAGGATCGCATCACTCTGGCTATGCTTCTCGCTCAGGCGTCACCATACAAGATGGACAAGTCAATGATTGATGTGATTCTTGACGAACGGGTTGCGGGTGTGGATGTTTCCTCTAACCCGGATGCCAAGGACGCAGCTTTCCAGGATGCCCGAAAGCTCAGCGTCCTCAAGGAGAAGCTTGATGCTATCCCGACCAGCGATTGGGACAAGTTCTTTACCGAGGAGCTGGCCGAGGCTGTGGTGCCCAAGGTTTGGCAAGAAGGTACCACGGAGACGGACCAGGCTCTTTACTCCCTCTTGCTGGTCAAGCTTTTCCGTATGGATCGCTTTGTGCCCGCAGCGGAGCGCTTTGCTACTCTCGTGTTTGGTTCCGACATGTTTGACATTGTGGAAGACTTGACCAAGACTGTGTCTCAAGTTTCGGCTACTCTCCCCATCGCCCTGGTGTCTAGCCCTGGTTTCGATGCCAGTTACAAGGTGGACAGTCTTGTGCAGAGAATGAACGTACGCTGCACAAATATTGCCATGGGTTCGAACGAAGGTCTGGCCAGCGCCGACAAGGCCGTCAGCAGTGCCGCAGAGACAGGATCGTGGGTTCTTATTAAGAACGTGCACTTGGCACCGACATGGCTGCAGAGCTTGGAGAAGCGCATGGAGTCGCTCAACCCGCACAGCGATTTCCGACTGTTCCTATCCATGGAATCGAGTCCCAAGATTCCTGTCAACTTGCTCCGTGCGTCGCGCGTGCTCATGTATGAACAGCCGGCTGGTGTGCGGGCGAATATGAAGGACTCGATGTCTTCGCTGTCGACGCGCGCGGTTAAGAGCCCCGTGGAGAGGACGAGGCTGTACCTTTTGATATCCTTCTTGCACGCTGTTGTGCAGGAAAGATTGCGATATGCGCCAAACCTTGGTTGGAAGGGTTTCTGGGAGTTTAATGATAGCGACGTAAGGAAACGCCCTTCTTTGGAATTTCGTTCTAGAGGTTTACTAACTTGTGTGATGATAGTACGAATGCTGTGCGTTTATTATTGACGTCTGGATTGAGGGAGTTGCCGGCAATCGAACCAACATTGCGCCTCAGAACATTCCGTGGGACATGATACGCTACTTGGTCACGGAAACGTACGGTGGTAAGATTGATGATGAGGGCGACTTCAAACTCCTTGGACAACTGGTTACGACATTCCTCACCCCTGCTGCCTACGACTCGGACCACAAGCTGGTAGAAGGAGATGATCCGCTCGTCGTTCCCTCGGGCACAGGCCTGCAAGACTTTTTGGCCTGGGTGCACAAACTTCCTGAACGTGAGCCGCCTACGTATCTTGGCCTGCCGGCGAATGCAGAGAAGCTGCTCTTGGTTGGCTTGGGTAGAAGCTTGGTTGAGAATCTGCGCAAGGTTACGGGTCTGCTAGATGAGAATGAGAGACTTGTGACGGATTCATGAGGAAAAGTTAAAAAGATGATTAGATGATGAATGAGTTTTTGAGGTTACGGGTTATGATGTTTTTACGTTGTGACTTGCTGAGTTTATTAGATGGTGGCTATATGTGCTTTCGTTTTCGTTTTTCAGTTTTGTTTTGTTTTATGAAAGGGATGCTGCTTAGTTAGATGTGATTACCTATGCGGATACCCGGAAAAGAACTTTGGCTGATAACTAGGTAGTAGTTTTAGAGGTATGCTATACATTTGTTTTACGACCTGGGGTGTGTGTGTTGTGAAGTTGGGTGGAGTGTGATTGAGTTGTGTAGATGGACGATATGGCATGATGTTGTAAGGCACAGGTATCTTCATAATGTAGTTGTTTAATGCGGCCTTTCCTTCAGATGAATCGGATGGCTGGTGTAAGTTTAGGTTAGTTTGATGAGCAGGTGTCGTTTGATGTGTGTGACTTCTGCTCTTCATGGTTGTCACTGTCTACGCGCGCCATGGAGATTTCTGGTAATGGTTGATTTTTCTCGTTATTGGCCCTATAAGCCTTTTACTTAGTGTATCATGATCTTAGTGGCCAAAATAATAATTGGTGCCTTGTAGTAATGATCTAGAAACGCCTGTGGCGCGCGATGGTGTTTTTCCGTGCTCAGTTCTTACGGAAGATCTACGATGCCGGTTCAAAAGGCGCAATATCACATATGGCGCAAAATGAAATCTCCATTGAAAAAACTATATGCTGCTTTGTTCAGGAAGTTTCTGTATGAAAATTGGATGTTGAGTTGAGGCGGAGTTGATGCTTGGGCATTTATACTTCTAGTAGGTGAGATGGCGTTTCAGGGGAAGCTCCATTTGGTGAGTCTTTTGGTGAAGATTTTGTGAGAGAAGAAAAGCTTTACAAGAGGGGGAATAAGGGGAAAAGCTTGTAAAGACTTGGAATTGCGGTTTATAGAGAAGAGGCTATTCTCAGAAGTTGCCATTGCACGGGATGGGGGCTACGATGAAGATTTGCAGCATGAGATGATCAAGGGCAGATGAGGCAGAGCAAAGGTGTGACTATAGATATGAAAGACATTTTAAGGATTTTAATGTGTACATTCAATTTTAGATAGACTAATGAACCTTCATTGTTGCCATCATTCGGCTGGCATAGTGCTGGTGCTGCATACCCCCCTCAGAGTATACCGCATTAGATATCAGTAATGAGTTCTAAGTTAGAGTTACAGCGCCTCAAGGGAATCTTCATGCCCCATGGGGAAATTGCAAGACTTTGCACGAAGAATAGGCTTGCTGTGGCGTATAGAATGTGTAAAATATATCGATGGAAACTTCCGAGGAGACCAAATAGACACATCTTTTACTTTCCCCTTTGGCTAGATTGAAGGCCAGAGCCCCGATTTCTTTCGTCTAGACATTCAAAATCCTTCATTATTCGCGACTGCGTTCATCACAATATCCGCGTTGTCCAATACTTGCATCGTACCAAGGTACTAGGCATCTTTTCTACAAACGTTAGTGGTTTGATCACCCCCTTGCCGATAGAGATATCAGAATCACTAACCCCCCTTTAGGCATTGATTGCTATTGCTGTATTATTTACGGTAAAAATATAGGTTCAGTCGTGATGTTTTTAGATTTTTTTAACAGCATGGGCAACCGCGACGAGACCAACGATGCCAACAATGTCAACGATAACGGCAAGGACGACATCGTCGATGACAACGCCAACACCAATGGCAATAAGAGCAACGACGATCACGAGATAAACAACAAGGTCGCGTTGTTCAATATCCCACCAGAAATTTTCCTCCCCATCATTGACAACCTGGGTCTGGGCGACCAATTCATCCTCTCACAGACAAGTCGCGCATTACGGCATGTGTTTTCTCGCGACTGGGTCCAAGAGATGTCCCAGCTGGGCTTCAAGGATAGTCTTAGGTTCTGGGCAGCAGTGGCCTCCCGCAAGCCAGATCACTGGGCATGTTCGCACTGTTGTAGACTGCATCCTGTCGATACCTCAGATACGCCGAATACGCCACGGGATCCTCCTTGTTTTGCTGAATATGGCATGGAAGATGTGAGCAAGGGCTATACACTCCAGGAGAGTCACGTCCAAAATGCCTTGAAGCTCCACCGCCTAGGGAATCAGCATCAGGACTATTTGGCCGGCCTCATGCGCCCTTACTCGACTTTTTCTAAAAGGGAATTCATGTTTGAAAACGCTTTTACGGAATCCTACACGCTAAACCCGAGGATTATTGACAACCGATTCATCATACAGGAGGAGTGGATCATCCAAGATGAAGACGAAGTCGATAGGGCGCTCTCCCAGCATGTCAAAATCTACGCCTGCCCACACGTCGGTGTCTTCGATGGAGGATATCTCCGCTCCATAGATTGGAAAATGCAGGCCAGCGAGCTGCTTCGGCGGATCAGACCGGGGGCCTTTGAAATTACGATCCTCGAGTCGATGATGCGACTCGCCGTAAAGGGACCAGGCTACAGCATGTATGATTCCTGCCCACGCTGCCCGACGGACTACGAAGTGGTAGTCTCCGAGGATCAACACACGGCGACGATCCGGGCTTGGCATGACTTTGGCGGAGAGGGAGCGCCTGTGGATACTGGCTGGGATGCACATGTGCGGAGTCCTGGGCCCGACGACTGGATGTATCGGGGGTTTGCAATGCGTGAGGATGGAGGAAGGGTTCGGAGGTTGTGGTTGAGCAGTACTTCTTGATGGGAACGGAACTGGCAAGTCATTATAGAGGGCCTGATGGGGTCGGCCTATTATGTTGATGATACCTAATGGATTGCCTAGACGCTATATAAAGTAGACTGAGGATACTGCCCATCTAGAACATTTTGAATGAGAGTGTGTATTGTTTTGGTGCTTTTGTTTTACAGAATTCTACCTTTGTTTCAGTTCTCATTAAATAAAGTTGTCGCATTCATTGTGTTGATGTGTCTCTCCAAGTACGACGGCCGCCATGTTTTCCGTCAAACGCGAAGAATGCGTAATTGGCCCTGCTGTTTGAGAGATGAACTCTCGATCACCCTTTGTTTTGTTTCTTCTCATATATTTATCGACTATTCTATTTTACATGCTGCTATTCCTGCTATCACAAGTTTCGCGATGAGTAACCTGGCGTTTGAAGTCGTGATCAAGACTTATCGCAATTTTACTCTCCTCCCGTCCAACTTGGAATGATTGCTACAGTCTGGTTCAGCAGATCTGGATGGTATAACTACGCTGGAGGTGTGATCTCAGAAGGACTGGTGGCCAACTCGATATTAACATGTATATACCTTATATCGATTAATAAGCAAATAAAATACGGGACACCAAATATGTGAATAAGACGACACCTTTCGCGAGGAGCTTTTTTGGGGTAGACTGATGCTTAGACACCAGAAGCGTACGCTTTTACGTTTTGAGGATGATGCATACGATGGGATATATAGTGCTCACTTCTTACCCATGTTAAGACGGAACAAATGTGCTGTTTCTTTTCTCTGATTTCAGGCACATGTTAGTGCTAATGAGCTTCAAGTGGCTGCATGCTGTCCAGATGAGATACCTGGTTGTAGGAAGCTAAGGCGTATGTACTGTGACGGAGCTCAGCTCAGCTCTTACAATAGTGCCAGGAGATGTACTTGGAGAAAGTATCCTTTGGTTTGTTGAACCCCGAGGAGAGACATGCATGAGCCGGCGCGACCAAAAGCGGTCATCTAGGGTAGGCATTTCGTATTGCTCGGCGATTAGAATCGTGATGCTTGCAGGATCGGCTAGACTAGTGGTGGTCTATTATTGAACTATTAGGAATTAGGTATTAGGCGCAGGCATTTCGCAGGTGGTGTGATTTGGAGGATTCTACTCCGTATTGGGCTGTTTATACGGAGCAGTGATGAGATGAGATGAGTATGTGAACAGTGAAGAGAGGTACATCTGTTGCCGCTGGAATGGTGGCGCAAACAAGGTACCGCATGATCTAAGAGGATGCAAATGCTGACCTGGCAATGCATCACCACTCAGCATCATTAGCACTCTATACTACAGTATCGTGAAGCTAGACTGACACTGCATCGATTAGTTTAACTGCGGCAAACTGATTCTTTCAGCTCACCTCGGCCGTGGCTCGATGGGGTCAGCTGCTCCCTTTTCCCCCACAGTACGTGTATTAAAAAAGACACGATCAACCTATTAGGCATAAAAAAGCAGCCCATGATGAGCATCGTCTCCCGCTTTGGGGGGAGCTAAGGAGAGCCTAGCTGTGAGCATCGTGACAAGGGGGAGCAAATGCATAAACCTTTTTCTTGTATTCCTGTGAAGGTACATATATTAGTGGTACATACAGTACAGAGGAAAATGGCAGGGAGGTTCAGAGGGCGTGATGCTTACACGCCCCCTCCCCCAATCCCTCCAAGGATGTCAGGGATGTTTACGGTGTGTGCTGTTTTATTGCCTGGGCACAGCAAGGAAATGGTGACGGGAGCTGCGCGTCATGGGCCGGATCGCAAGAATCGGCGTCGGCTTTTGGCGCTTGTATGACAAGGGACGATTCACCGTGTGTGGTTTGCTTGGTGGCGGAACGAGTTTGCAAGCTTCCCCGCAAATGGGTGACGAGTTCAGTTTGGAAGCTTTGAGTGGATGGACGAATGAAGGTGAGGCGATTGAGTAATGAGGATTGTTTGCATACACACACTCAGTTCGGTCATGCTTATGGTGTAAAGGGTATTTAAACCACTTATAGCCTCGATTTGGGGTGCATGGCCTTTTTGTCCTGTTGCTGCTATAACCTTTTCTTTTACTTTCCTGGGACGACTGGTTTCTCTCGGAGCATTAATCGACCTTTCTTATTCCCTTATCCTGTCGGCGTGGTTGACATTTTCTGAGAACATCCCATTTCGTTTCCTTGGTCGTACTCGAAGTACGGTACCCTGGCCGCGTCGCCATCTCGTTAGCATCTCCAAGTTGAAATAATCAGGCAGACATCATGGCAGGGTGGCAGTCTTGTAAGAAACGATGACCCACCATTATTTTCTCATCACAGTTGGCTAACATCCGCCTTAAAGGGAATCCCTTCAGCAAGAGGGAGACGCACAGCCACGGCTCCATCGTCGCATACAAGATTCTGACCTTGCTCTCGTGGCTTCTGTCCGTCGTCGTCACAGTCTACTATACCGTTGACGAGCCTCATGATGGCTTCACCATCCGCCGGCGCATATGGGACCAGAACTATCTGTATCCCAGCGCCTTTACCATGAACCACATCATTGGTGACATTTACTGGTAAACATAATTGCCTTTCAAACATCTCGCGTTCACAATGCCTAACATGAAGCGCAGGGTCGTACTCTTCATCCTCCAGTTTGGATACGTCACATCACTCTTCTCCAGCAATGCCGAAGTCGTTGCCGCAGCTGCTGGCGTTGGCAGCCACTTCATCCTCAACAACTTGTTTCACTTTGCATTTGTCATGCTCTTTGTGAACTCGCACTTCCACATCGCCGAGGTCATGTTGGTGCTTAACTTCTTCAACCTCAGCTCGCTGTATTTCCGCCACAACACCGTCCCGCGCTTCATCCACGTTCCTGTCGCCACGGGTCCGTTGGCATGGACGTTTGTGGCCATTTACTGGAATGGCGCTATCATGGTGCCGCACCCGCATAGCCTGGTGGCCAGGATCTTTGGAAACATCTTCATCTGGTCCCTCTTGGCGTATGGAGTCTTTTTCATTGTCTTCTTCAATGTAAGTCAAGTTTGCTCCACAACCTAATCTGTTCCCTCTGCGACAAATGCTAATCATCACCATCAAGGACTACACCATGGGTTTTGCTCTCAGCGTCCTCTCCGCAGCAATTGGCGTTGCCCAGTTCAAGCGCCAAGTCATTGCGTTCCAGTGGATCTTTGCCTTCATCATCATGGCCATTCTCTTCGTCATGACAGTCGGCGTTGCTGTTCCAGCCATGACGGGCAGAGATGTCAGATGGAGACGAACTAGGGTTACAGACCAGGAACGCGCGCCACTCCTCAACGAGGCAGCCGCCTAAGTCGAAACCAGGCGCATCAATTACTCACCAATTCTGCGAATCCAGAGGCGGTGAGAAGACGCTTGTTTCACAGCAGACAGAATCACCCGAAAGCCTGTTTGCAAATCACAAAATATTCTCGATGTCAATGGCTATGACGTAGGAGAAAGTAGCACCACAGATCTGTGAATCTAGGTTGGCTAGGAGCTTATCGCCATGTTTCGGTTCGGCGCACGAATTAAGTTGAGATTAGGGTATTGTTGTCCTCGTAATTGGGTAGCATTAGTGCTGTTTTAGGTCCGCCTTGAGTTGGTTACATAGCATAAAAATTTCATCAGATGCATGCAATGTTCCCTGGAATTGCCAGACAGGACCTTTTGTTCCGTCAAGACGGATGATTTGCTGTGAGACATTCTGCTTATGATCGTTCCTTGACGGCTCGATGACGTCGACGGAGCAGTGCTTTGGCCACCCGTATCGATAAGCACTTTTGGGCCACCCCTCGACGTGGCCATAGAAGAAATCATTACCCACTGCAACTATTCGCACATTGCATCTTGATATTGTCATTCGTGCCGATAACTGTAATCAGTTTTCATCTTATCATTTCATTTTCATGAGGTCGTGCAACAGATGAAGCCTCTCAGGCCGTTTCCCTTCCCGCTCAACATTGGAACGGATATTTGCCGGATATCTCGCATCTATGGGATCCTGAGGAGCCCTCGGGGCATGCGGTTTGTGAACCGCATCTTTTCTCCAGAAGAGCAGGCGAGGAAAGATCCCAGGTTGCGATGTCTTGAGAATCGCCCACTCGATAACACTTTTTTGCATGAAGGAAGTAAACCCTTTGAGATGAATGCTGGGACGGCATCGAGCAGCGAGGAGATTGCTCGACGGGATCCTGAGAGGTGGGCAGCTGCTACGTTTGTTGCAGGCAGGTAAGATGATACACACACATATATATACCATTTCTCTCTTGTCGGTGTAGTCACAAACAAGTGAAACTTATATATAGCGGATATTTCTAACTCGGGGTGATATTGCACTCACGTAGATTCGCTGCGAAAGAAGCCGCCATCAAGGCTCACTCCCACCGTCGCCTCACTTTTCACGACGTCGTCATTGAGCGCCGTGGCAGAAACGAGGAGCGTCTAGGGAGCGGACCGCCGGTGGCGCGGATCAAGGGCGATGATGGAGAAGAAGAGGACGCGAGTGCTATGATATCGATTAGCCATGATGGCGACTATGCGACGGCAATCTGCATGGCCCATGATCCGAGTGTGGTGAGTGTGGGCGGTGAAAGTGATGAGGGTATAGTGCGATGAGAAGATGCCTTTGGATTGTCGTATCTAGGTGTTAAAAGGGGATCTACGGAGTTGAAGGCGGGCAAAGGGTATATACATGTTTGGTTTCAAATGGTAAAAAGAATATCTCACCACTTACTGGCTCGCTGCTTTTACTGGATGCAGCACCTCTCTGCATAGCAGGTTCAGAAAACACAGCAGCACAATTGGCAAAAATAATAAAATCGTCGTCGCATGCCACAAAAAAAGGCATTTCCATACCTCGATGTACCAGGGACTCGAACCCTGAGCCTCAGTCTTAGGAGGACTGCGCGCTACCATTGCGCCAGCACACCTGTGAACGACAGTTGGTGGTTTGGACCAATTGTGACTAATGGAGGGCGCGAATTTAGCTTGCCCTATAAAGCTGTCGCAAATGTGGATTCTCGCCGGCAAACTTGAAGCTGAAAAAGGACGAGGGATGCGGTTGATGCGTGAGAGTGGCATGAGTTGAGTTTGGTGGAGAAATTGGAATTCGAAAGCTGCGTTGCTTCTTGGAAGGCGGTGCGTTGGGGCATTTCATTCTTTGCACCTGCCTCTGTATGATGGCCGATAGAACGTTTACCTCTACAGCACTGCACTTCTCAACACCTATAACTTTTCAACTCTAGACAGTCTAGACAGATCGCACGTCTTATGTCGTCTTTGTGACAAGATCGAAAATCGCCATCCGATACATATTTCTTCTACTACACGGCACCGTTCACGCGTATACACACAATCGTCTGACCTTCCATCATCACCAACTCTGCAGTTCATGGAAAGGCTTCTGATCCACTGCGGGGACGGAATGAGGCTTAGATGCTAGGATTACAGCCTTGTCTCCGTCGCTGCCTGTACGGAGTCCAAGGCCGGTATTCTAGGCTAGTCGAGGCGATGGATGGACGACCTGTGAGGCAAAGTGTGAGTGGGTGGGTATTCCCAATCACCTCGCAAGCACATGTTCTGGTTATGTGGCGCAGACGTTGAGAGTGGTGTTGCGACTTCAAATTCTTTGAGTTTGATGGATGACTTGACTATTCATGGCTAACAGTCCCAGACAGCGCATTCGCCAGATACCCGAGCACGCGATAGAGTCCTTGTAGGACGACATGGGCTAGCCAGGGCTCGACTTTTCGGAGCCGCAAACCGCTCTCTTGCCGACCATCCGGCTTGGGATGCAGTATGCCGACGAGTCCAAAGCGCTGTAGACAGCATACAGCATCTTGTTCCTCTTGACGCTCGATCTTATCTGATGTTGGTTGCGATGCTGCGCATCCATACACATATGAGACTTCAGTTAAGGCAGCCGCCCAACAGTCCCAACAGGATGGACATATGACACGCAATTGGACCAACCAGGCGCGCCTTTTTTTTGACTCATCCGGCCGGTGGCTGCAGCTCTGCCGATGCCGCTTGAGCCGTGCATAAGGAGAGCCGGCGCCGATGTTCTTTTGGCTTGTCAACCTAATGTCTTGATGCTAGCATTTACCCGTCATTAGTCAAGGGCAGTACTCATACGAGAGACATGCTTATCCAAAGGATCAATCACTGCTTCCTCATATCTGCGGAATCTCGTTGACCGCATCCCTCCCAAGGATTTAGAGAGCATGGGCCGAATGCTCCGTTTGCTTCCCCGTCCGAGTCTCTGCTTGAAGAAACGGTGAGAGCTTTGAGCTGTCCGCCTTCTCATAGGCCCCCCTTATTAACAACACATCTTTGCGCCGTACCTGTAAGATACGAAGCACGAAAAGTCCACTAACAGACGAATGCATCCCCATATCGGTCAACTTGTGGGGGGGCTAGCGCAGGGATTTTTGCAGCCGCGGTGCGGGTTGCAGTTCGCCGACAGGGATTGCGACACCCTCTGATGCAGGGCCTACAGGGCCTACAGGGCCTACATGGCCTATAAGCGGTGATGCCACAGGGCCTGCTACCGGGGTTAGAGGGCGATTGGGCGAATTTGCCGTCGAGCCTTCTAGCAGGGCCCACTCACCGCGTTCAGTTTTACAATGATCAATTGCACTTCAACTCATGCCGTTTCTCTACTTCTCACTCAATCCTTCTTTTTCTATCTCTCAGCCTTCTCTCTAGCGAAGGCGAACCTCTGGATGACGGCATCATGGACGTCGTCTTATCCCGCCTCGGCACGCAGCTGCTCACGCCCAGTACAGACGAGCTGCTGTTTCGGGAACCTCCCACCTTTCTAAGTCGGTATGTTTATCTCAATGGAAGGTTTATCTTGTCAGCAATTTCGTTATCTGGGGCACAATGGCGTGCGCCTCTCATTTCTTGCATGATGGATACATCCAATACTTGATTCTCTTCACACCCGTCTGATTTTTCTTGCTAACAATATTCCTCCGTATTGTTAGCCTCGGCATCGATACCGCTGAGACTGAATGGATAGCTCGCGTCTCCGAGTTTGCTCGGTCTGGTATTCTTCAGGGTGCGATTCTCGCCACTTCGGCGGCTTGGCTGACTTTTCGTCTTGTTCGGCATCGCAAGAACTCTGTGCCCACCACAAGGTCCAAGGCATCGTCGATTAAATGGCCCTACGAAATTGTGTCGCAGGCCGCCCGCATCGCCTCGCTGGTCTTTTTGACATTGGCTTTGATCCAGGGGAGAGTGCATCTGCTCAACGTTGTTGCCATTGCCTACGCTTTTGTCCTTGGCTTGATACGACCAATCAATCATGATCTTGCCTGGCGTCATTTAGCTCTTCATCAAGTCAACTATGTTTTGACTGCCACGTTTTTCGTTCAGTTGGCCGCACAGCTGCTTCCCTGTATTGAGATTGGTACTGATCAATGTATTGGAGATGTTGGCATCGTTGGTTCCCTGTCGTCGCTGGGTGCAACGGTAATTGTTGCTTTGGTCACTCCCCGAGAATGGGTCCCGCCCACCATCAAGCATGACATTCCAGGCTACACGGAACAAAACGAACCTGCCCCTGAAGAAACCTGTAGCTGGTTTAACTACTACTTCACCTATGAGTGGCTGACACCTCTCGTGTGGAAGGGCACCAGACAGAAGCTTGATATGTCTGGTATCCCCACATTGGCTTGGTATGACGAGCCCATGTATTTACTCCAGAGGATCAAGAAGGCCCGAGCTCTCTACAAAAAGACTCTGTGGACAGCCTTGAAATTCCAGCGTAAGGAGTTGTTACTGATGGCGATGTGGGCTGCTGCCGCTTTTACAATGGAGAACGTCTCCCCGTACGGCATGTATCGTCTTCTCGATTATCTCGCCAATCCTAGTGCTGCCACATATCACCCAGTTGTGTGGCTTATTCTCATGTTTGTCGGCCCCTTGTCTCGGTCCGTCTTGTTTCAGCAATACGTCTTCAACTCAACCAGATTGATTGTGCGAGTCAAGTCTGCCATGACACAGGAACTCTACCACAGAGCTTTGGAGTCAATGGAACTGGAAGAGGATCCCTTTGATCTCAAGGCAGGAGATTCCAAAAAGGAGAAAGAGGCGCAGGGCGCCCAGAAATCTACGTCTGCTGGACGCTTGGCAAATTTGATGGCTGCTGACGTAGATGCTGTCTATCGAGCGCGAGATGTAATTCTGGTCTCTGCGGGTGTTCCTGCGGGTACCATCATATCCCTCTACGGCCTTTATAAAATGATGGGCTGGGTATCCCTGGTAGGAACGGCAATCTTGCTTTTGGCCACTCCGATATCTGTGTACATGGGCCGTCAGATGTATGGCGCCCAAAGGCGAGTGAGGAAAGCCCAAGATACACGCATTTCTCTTGTTGCTGAATATCTATCTTCCATCCGCGCCATCAAGTACTTCGCTTGGGAGGATCCCGTCACGAACCGAATCATCGAGTCCAGGGCGGCTGAACAAAAGGAATTGTGGCGAGTGGCCGTCCTGCAAACCATGGTCAACCAAGTTACCCAGTGTTTTCCGTACATCGGCCTCCTCGTCATGTTTGGATTGCACGTCGGGGTAGAAAAGCACCCCCTTGACGCTTCTACTGCCTTTACCGCCGCCTTCCTCGTGAAAAACATCCGTAGGAACATCATGATGGCCAGTGCATTCTCAAGAAACTTTGCTGCTGCAAGCGTCGCCTTTAACCGGCTCGACAAGTATTTCGACAGTACCATGCCCCTTCTCCGATACCCCGTTGGACCCCTGAGAATCGAAGGCGCTTCATTCCGCCGAAACAAGAAGGCTACGTTCCGCCTTGAGGATATCTCGCTAGACTTTGTCGAGGGTGGCCTCAACGTTGTTACTGGTCAAAGCGGAAGCGGGAAGAGTACCCTTTTGCTCGCGATCCTAGGTGAAACACATCTAGAGGGTGGAAAGGTCACTGCACCTAGCGATATTGCCTTTGCCTCACAGTCTGCTTGGCTCCAGAATGATACCATCCAAGCGAATATCCTCTTCCAAAGCCCCATGGACCGCCCTCGATACGACAGAGTGATTGAAGCATGCTGTCTCAACATTGATCTCAAGGAGCTATCTGACGGCGACCAGACTGTTGTTGGCGAAAATGGTACATCCTTGTCGGGAGGACAAAAAGCTAGGGTCGCTCTGGCCAGAGCTCTTTATTCCAAGGCATCCCTCTTGCTTCTGGATGACATTTTTTCTGCTCTCGATGCCAAAACCTCTGCTGGCGTTTGGAAACACTGTTTCTGCAGCGATCTGCTCAAGGGAAGGACTGTTGTTCTCGTTACTCAGGTTCCTTGGATCTCATCTCAGGCAGACTTTTCCGTCTTACTCGAGAGAGGCCAGGTCAAGAGCGCCGAGCCCAACATTGGTGCAGTCCGTAGACCAATCCAGATTGCCGAAATCCTTGGAGGTGATGATGATGATATTGAAACCGAAACCGAAACCGAAGGCGGCACTGAAACTCCTCCTGAGCCCGAACTGCAATCGAGTGGAGACGCCCTCAATGACCCGGCAAAGGTGGCCAACGAAACTTCTGCAAAGGATATTGTGAACCAGGAAATGAAGGCATCAGGCAAAGTTGGCCGATTGGCATCCCTGGAGTACATGAGATACTTTGGACACCCGCTCTTTGCCATCTTTTGTTTGGTCGGCCTCGCGGGCTCCAATGTCTTCTTCTTTGCGTCCAGTTACTGGATGGGCATCTGGGTAGAGGCCTACAATAACAATGCTCATGTGGACATTGCCTACTACATGGGTATCTATGCCGCTTTTACCTTTGCTGAGTTAATCTCCTTTGGCCTCGTCATCATCGCTTTCGAATGGGGCGCATGGCGTGCTGGTCGCAAGCTCCACAATGACTTTATCCGCGCAATCATGAGAGTGCCCTTGTCGTGGTTCAAGACGATCCCCATCGGCCGCATCACTAACCGATTCTCTGGCGACATGGCATCGATCGATTCGGGGCTTAGCTCTATGCTCCGAGTGACTTTTGACTCCATCATGATGTTGTTTGCCCGTATTGCCGCCGTCAGCTCAATCATGCCAGTTTTCATGATCCCGGCCTTCTTTACATGCATCTTTGGTGTTGTGGTTGGCGAAATGTACACGCGGACAGCCGTCATCATCAAGCGACTTGCTTCATCCGCACAATCCCCCGTCTTCTCCCAGTTTGCCGATACTCTGGCCGGACTGCCAATCATTAGGGCTAGGGCGGGTATGAGTGAGACCTTTGGCCATGATCTAGCAGCCAAGTTGCGCGTGTGGTCGGCCGCAGCCGAGGCTAACTATAACTGCAACCGTTGGGTGGCCATGCGAGTGGACTTTGTGACTTCCCTCGTGGCTCTCTTTGCCGGCATCATTGCGCTCTCCAAGGTTGGAGTCGTCGGCGCTGGTCTGGTCGGTTTCTCCCTGAACAATGCCAACGGGTTGAGCCAGACCATTCTCATGCTCGTACGAGCCATGAACGATCTTGAGGTAGAGATGCAGAGTTTCCACCGTGTCAAAGAATACGTCAAATTGGAGCCTGAAGGTAAAGACGATGTAACATATGCTGAAGAAGGAGAATTTGCGGATGATGAAAACCTCGTCATTCCGAAGAATTGGCCCAAGACCGGAGAGATTGAGTTCCGCAACGTCACCATTAGATATGATCCTGATGGCCCCAACATTCTTACGGATGTTAACCTCAAATTCAAAGCCGGAGAGAGAGTTGCAGTCGTCGGACGAACGGGCTCCGGCAAAAGCACTCTTGTTCTTTCTCTCTTACGGTTTACGCACATTGTCTCTGGTCAAATCTTATACGATGGAATCGATATTACCAAAGTTCCCCGGCGCAGGCTACGTGAAGGCCTCACAATCATCCCCCAGGAAGCGACACTGTTCAACGGAACTGTAGAGTCCAATCTTGATCCTACTGGTCTCGTTCCCAAGGCGATTCTCGAGAAGGCACTGGAAAACTGCAGAGGCATCGCGTCATTTTCTAGCGATGATTCCTCTGATGAGACGATTGTCGATGGTGTAGATGACTCTGTCCACGGCCAGTCTCAGGGAATTTCTCTATCAACTCCCGTGGACGCCCGTGGAGAGAACTTTTCCCATGGTCAACGTCAGGTCCTGTCGCTCTGCCGTGCGCTCATCCGCCAGAGCAAACTGATGCTGCTAGATGAGGCTACCGCAAGTATGGACTATGAAACGGACAAGGGCATCCAGCAAGTGCTACGCACCGAGCTCGAATCTGCCGGCGGGGACCGCACGCTCGTGACGATTGCTCATCGCTTGCGGACCATTATCGATTATGATTCCGTTGTCGTGATGGGCGCCGGCAAAGTGGTAGAGTAAGTAGCCAGACCTTCAGCTGTGCGACTTTTGTTTTATTGCATGATTGCTAACTTTCGGTAGATATGGTTCTCCTCGAGACTTGTATAATTCCAAGGGCTTGTTTTACGACATGATATACCACAGTGGAGAGATGGAGGAACTACAGGAGTTTTTGAAGAATAAATAATGCTGTGATTTTTTTGTTAACCATTTTTCATTGTAGATAGAAAATAATGTTGGGGAGTATATGAATCCAGATAAATGAGGGTTCTGGCATAGAAGCGAGGATGAGAGATGATACCTTAAAAAGGGGTTGGGGGAGAATGAAATGCAAATGATATTCTGAATAATACACTGCATACTAAATCAGAGAGCTTCCACTTACAAACAGAGCTCTGCAAATCCAACGATACTTCCCCTGCAATGGCTGTAGGAACGATTCCAATAAGGAGAATTGACGATTGAGCGGCAACTGCTTAGCCTGGTTCTACGGAGAGTCCAGTACTTGAGGAATTTAGTCCAGGACATCAACTATCATGACACGGTCTATACGAAGTATTTTTGACGTCATTCTCTCTGACATCTCATCTCTTTAGATATGTACTTAATACCTAGTAGTAAGTACTTGCATGTCCTTCCCTACCCTATAGGCACTTATACGTGCGCAGATATATTGCTATTGTTTACTCAAAAGTTTCGGCCTCTTGAGGGTATGGTCAATATATCTACCTGAATATTACCAGGGGATGCAAAAAGATAGAGGCTCTGGTAGGTGGCACGACTTCCTATGATATTGCACAAAGCGACCTATCTAATAAGTGCCGGATGTCAATCATTCCATTTGTACGCTAAACTTTCCCTGTGACGCTCACGCGAGTCAGGGATGTCGTCACCGGAAAAGCCCAACAGTATGAGTTTGAATGTCAAACGCGTACATGAGGCTGGGGATAGGCCTTGGTAACAAGTCGTACAGTAATATGTGTAGGTGAGTACAGAGCATCTGCAGGCCCTGGTAGCTCCAGCGGCCATGGGAGACCTGGGCAGGCTGGGATCCCTGATCGTAATTCTCCGACTCGGCCGAGACAACAAACGGCTTGTCCAGTGTCATCTGATCGAATCCGCAAAGGTTCGAGGAGCTATTGAATTCACGGGCCGAGTTATTACTGAGGTGTCTGCCATGCCATCAAGGTTATGCAATTCACATCATTCTACGAAGCAGTCGGCAAAAAGCGTGCTCGAATACACTAAGAGCATGCATATGCAATCGCTCATGATACTGCCGGGCGGTGTGCGAAGATTTACCGGATGGAGCTCCATACGCGGATACACCATTGGCCACCTGCCAGATGCGGGGCTGTGCACGGACCTGCTGTCCGCGATTAGAAAAAAAAAAAAAAAGTCCAAACTTCTTAAAACTTCACATGCGCTGCCTTCGTCATTCTATCCCTGTACCTCATCGATATTGACGAACAGTTCTTGTCACCATGCGTTACATTCTCGTCTCGGGCGGAGTTATCTCCGGTATTGCACCATGCCGAGCAACACATTTTGACGCCTGCTAACAATTTACTAGGAGTTGGAAAGGGCATTATTGCCTCGTCCACGGGCCTGGTATGCTTCTATAACTCGTCTATGGCATGGCGGCACTTCGAATTCTAACCGCCCGAATAGCTCCTCAAGACGCTCGGATTGCGCGTCACCTGCATCGTGAGCATTATCCACCCGGTATCAACTTGAAGAATCTGGAATCGGTCCCTAACCTCAACGATAACGATAGAAAATCGATCCTTACTTGAACATTGATGCCGGAACCATGAACCCCAAGGATCATGGAGAGTGCTTCGTTCTGGACGACGGGTATGCAGCTTCAGCACTCCTTTCTTGCCCTTTTCACAACGAGTTTGGAAGCCAACGACAAGTGTCTTGTACCGAATTCCGATATTTCGACCCTGTTGAAAATTTTCACATAGGATGGGGACTGACTCTTGGTATTGTAGTGGCGAGTGCGATTTGGATCTTGGACATTACCAGAGATATCTGGGCATCAACCTATCCCGAGACCACAACATCACAACCGGCAAGATCAACATGGAAGTTGGTCTGAGGGAACGCCGTGGTGATTACTTGGGCCGTACCGTCCAGGTCGTCCCTCACGTCACCAACCTCATTAAGGAGTGGATTGAGCGGGTCGCCAGGATCCCCATCGATGAGTCGGGCGCCGAGCCTGATGTCTGCATTGGTACGTCTCTTCCACTTCCACCTCCACGGCTGCATGCTAGACTGGCCACCCGCTGACAACCTCTTAGTTGAACTTGTATATACTCTCTTCCAATCCTTATCCTTGCGCTCCTTCTAACCTTTCATTCTGCAGGGTGGCACAGTTGGCGATATCGAGAACATGCCATTCGTTGAGGCGCTTACACAACTCCGACACAGATGTGGCAAGGGCAACTTCATCAATATTCAGGTCTCATATGTTCCCGTCATCAACGGCGAGCAAAAGACAAAGCCAACCCAGCACGCCGTCAAGACTATCCGGAGTGCTGGTCTCATTCCCGACTTGGTAAGCGCTTGAATTTAACTTATTGCCTTTTGAATATTTGGCTAACAGCCCTGACAGATTGCCTGCCGTTGTGAACGTCCTCTTGACCAAGATACCATCAACAAGATCGCCCTTCACTGCCAGGTCGAGCCTGAGCAGGTGATTGCCGTCCGAGATATGCCTACTGTTTACCAGGTGCCAGTCCTCCTCAAGGAGCAGGGCCTCATTACTGTTCTCCGCTCGATCCTGATGCTGGACAGCCTCACTCCCGAGCCAGCCCAAGTCAAGAAGGGCGCTGAAATCTGGCAAAAGTGGAAGGATGTCATCTCAAAGAACTACACAGAGACCATCGATATCGCCTTGGTTGGCAAATACGTTGAACTTCACGACAGCTACCTCAGTCTCTACAAGTCATTAGAACACGCTGCTATCTGGTGCAAGCGCAAGCTGAACCTGATCTGGGTTGATTCGGAGCATCTTGAAGAGTCGACCCGGGAGGCTGACCCCGCCCTTTACCACAAGGCTTGGCACGATGTTTGCTCAGCGTCTGGTTTGGTTGTCCCTGGAGGCTTCGGCGAGAGAGCTACAGAGGGTATTATCAAGGCTACCCAGTGGGCTCGAGAGCACAACACTCCTTGGCTGGGTATCTGCTTCGGCATGCAACTGGCTGTTTGCGAGTTCGCTCGCAACGTGTGTGGACACCCCAACGCCACTTCCGAAGAGTTCGATGAGAATGCCGAGTACCCCGCCGTTATCTTCATGCCCGAGGGCTCCAAGGAAACCAAGGGCGGCACCATGAGACTCGGCCTGCGCACCACACACTTCCAGCCCGGTAGCGAGGATAGCAAGCTCCGAGCCATGTACGGCAACGCAGAGACCGTCGACGAACGCCACCGACACCGCTACGAGGTTAACCCCGCCTTCGTTGACGAGTTCGAGAAGGCTGGCTTGTCGTTTGTTGGCAAGGACGATACCGGCAGGCGTATGGAGATCATCGAGATCAAGAGCCACCCCTATTTCGTCGGTGTGCAATACCACCCGGAGTATATCAGCCAGCCGCTCAGCCCCTCCCTCCCCATCCTTGGCCTGGTGGCCGCCGCCATCGGATGTCTCGACGAGGTTACCAAGGAGGTCTGCGAGCTAAGAAATAAGGCAAACAGCACTGTTAACGGAACCGCTTAATGGTATAAGTACTGAAGGTCTTGTATAATTTCCTCGGCACAAGCCCCGAGGCCTTGAATTCTTGCAACAACATGTGTAGATATAGAAACCCAGGTTTACGTAGCAAACAATCTGTGGACTTTGGAAGTTGTTATCTTGATTAAAACGGTATATTTTATACCGACCCGTTTGGCCCCTCAGAGTGGGCAGGCTGTCGACTGTTCTCAATGCAGCCAGCCTGCCTCTCCAGAGCCACAGTGAGACGTCTTTGAACTCCTTCATGAGAGGGGGGGACGCTCACCTGCTTGGCGGGCTTCGCGGGTTCAAGATATACAATGTATTGGTAGCTTTAGATATACTCTTTTTAGATAATGGCTTGGCTTTCATCAAGCTGGATTAACTTGATGCTTTGGGGCCAGCATGCACCGGGCTAGATACCTCTTAATAAAAAAAAAGACTTACAACATCTCACTCACTCCGATTCTCACCGCCAATACCCAGCCTTGGGTAGACAAGCTACCTCTCAAGCTGATCATCATCTTTTTTCTCTGATATGAATGCTGTGCCAAATGAGCATATGCGAGTAATCTCATTTTTTAAACTATAGTATGAAGCCTTTCAGGTTGCTTCGGCTGGATCATACTGCGAGACTCACCTTTTCTTCGAGAGAATTTGATACTTGGTCAACGGTATTGGACTACTCCAATGGTGGAGGATGGATTTATTATGAGTAGCTATTGTGAAAGATTGATAGGGGGCTGAAGATGAGGCAGCTCTACATCCCTTCGCCGTAGAAAGGACGAGCAGAAACAGTCAGCTCGCTACATAGAAGTTTCCACACACAACAAGACACCTCCTCTTTATGGATACCCAATGGAAGAGACTTGGCGGAGAAAACAAAAGAAATAGATTAATTTGCAAAAAAGAGCAAAAAATGAATCCCATCTCCGAATGGCGGCTGGTGAGCATTGCTCCCGGCAGGGCTTGAACCTGCGACCTTCGCATTACCAAGACTTGAGTCGAGCGACTTGAAGTATTAGTACGAAGCTCTAACCAACTGAGCTACGGAAGCCAATCCGGATCAGAGGATTTAGTGGAATTTGACTCCACTTTCGGAACCAGGCGATGGCTCCGAATTCGTGAACGAGGAGATCTTATTATAGTATATACAGGTTACAATCTTATCCGTCGAACATAATTACTGGTGATCGCTCTCACGGGTTTTAACTCGCAAAACTACCAGTGCTAATGGGCTCTGTGAGCTTTAGGGACGTTGTTTAAACGTCTGTAGTCTCACCATGATATTTCTTCGTCGCTGAGCTTTTTGGCTGGAAAGGATATATGGAGGTAATCCGTAGAGATAGGCATCCTGACCTGGTTAAAACCATTATAAACGAGTGATATCAACTGTGAGAGTAAGCCAATCCAGTGCAGGGCTATCCATACTAATTGAATGCAGTGATTTGATAAATAAATAAATAAATAAATCACGGCTGTTGGATTTTTCTTGATCATATCATGAATGATATCCCTTCCTTGAAGCTCGCCAAATCGCTATATTCAGGGCATACCATATAATTGACAAACTAAGTAATGACTGTTGTGTTTGATTGTACAAAACTAGATCTGCGTGGACACCGTGACTCAATTTTCTCAGAGATTCGTTTTGATTTATCAATGGGGATATGCTAAAAGCCTCATACTCCAGACTCTCCCCGAAGTGCAGTAAGCTGCTACAGTTGAATTACTAATCGCAGCTGTGTGCGATTCCGGCCGGTATTCCTCTGGCAGCCAGAGTATATTCTCTCCATTCCATGTAATCCAAGAGCAATCATTACTAAATCCATAGCCATCAGCACAGAAATTATACTCCCCTTCCGCTGTAGTCAACGTCCCAACATTTGTAACAAGGTGCAAGCCATCAGACGTTAATGACATGGAAGTTATGTGGAAGCCATTGACTTTGGCTACATAACATTCATGGACGCACTCGCCCGTATCAGTACGCAGCAGCTGAATAGAGAAATTATCCAAATTCGATACTAGAACCAGCGATGGGTCATGCGTAAAGGCCACCGAGCCAAAAAATGAGTTACCTTCAGCCTTAAATGACCGCACACACTTGCCTGTAATAATGCTCCATACCTCGATTTTATGATATGAAGCTACTGCCATAAGCAATGAATCTTGTGAGAAGGCCATTCTATAAGGATATGCCATATCCACCTTTAGTTTATGGATCCGCTCGCCTGAATCAATGCGCCATAGCTGGATGTCACCTCTTGAAGTTGATACTACAAGCGATGAGTCATGTGAGAAAGCCACATAATGAACCCCATTTTCATGACCTTTGAGTTCATGGACACACTCTCCTGTATTAGCACTCCAGAGCCGGAGAATTTTATCTTCAAAGGCGAATGCCACAAGAGATGAATCAGGTGAGAAAATCAAGCAAGAAGCTATGCCACACATTGCATCCGACGAGGAATGCCCGAAGCCTTTCCATGCCCTGAGTTCCCATACGCAGTCGCCTGTATCAGCGCGCCATATCCGGACAGTGCTATCATATGAAAGCGATGCCACTAATGATGAGTCATGAGAAATGGCCACTGTACCTATATGCTCTCTATCGGCGCTTGGCGGGATGATATTATGGTTGTAGCAATCGGATTCCTCGATATAGTTGTCTATACTAATGTCCCACAGCTGGATAGTGCCACCGATTGATGCTGATGCTATAGTCGAGGAGTCATGCGAGAATACCACATGTTGAACTCCGTCATGGCATTTAAACATTTGAATACACTCGCCTGAGCTAGTATGCCATAGCCGGATGATCTTGTCACCCGAAGCTGATGCTATAAGAGATGATGTATGTGAGAAGGCTATAGAAGTAACTTCTTCATAAGGGCCTTTGAATTCTCGGATACAGTCGCCTTTATGAGCACACCATAGCCGGATGGTCTTATCTCTTGAAGCTGATGCTACAAGCGATGAGTTATGTGAGAAGGCCACAGCCCTGACTATATCTTTATGTCCCGTCAAGATTCGAATGCAATCGCCTGTTTTAGTTTCCCATAGCCCGATAACGCCGTCGACTGTGGTGGATGCTACAACGAGCATGTCTTGCAGGAAGGCCACGGTCACATAAAAGACATCATTCGCGATAGAAATTTCGTGAACACACTCGCCTGTGTTAGTGCGCCATAACTGAACAGTGCGACCACGCGAAGCCGCGATGAGCGACGAATCGCGAGAGAAAGCCAGGCAATTAACCGTTTTGTCATAGCCATAAAATTCATGTTCCCAGATACATTCGCCCGTATCCGTGCGCCATACCTGCATTATGGCATTTTCGTGAGGAATTGCGGATCTTGGCAGTATTTGTTGAAGTAAATACAATTGTGGCTCTGAAGCTGATACCACAAATAATAAATCATGTGAGAAGGCTGTCGCGAGGATATTATATTTCCGTTTATTATACTCGAACACCTGGATCTCGCCTATGTCCTGGCACCATAGCCGAACATCATCATTTGATGCCGATGCTATAATCGATGAGTTATGTGAGAAGGCCATATATTGAACTGGACTGTTATGACCCTCGAATGTCTGTATGCATTGACTCCAACCGCTCTCTACATTTGGTTCAAGAGATACCCAACTAGGTATTTTCCTCTTGAAGAGTTTCTTGATAATGCTCTTGCGCGGAGCAAATATAAGGATTGAAGAATAAATTTGAAGAGGCGCATTGGAAATTATATGTAAATGTGATTGGATGAGACGCAAAGCGTCATCTAAAAATTCAGAGAGAGCTTTATGGCCTTTCATCTGTCATTGGATTAACAATTTTATCTTGCTAAGTGTACTCCTCATCCTTTATAGAAGACTTACCGGTATAAGAGCTTGTAAGGTTCTAATAATTTTAATGCTCTCTGGTGCTTTTCGTATTAAACTTAACGCCTCAATCCAGTGTAGAAAATGCTGTTCTAGGAATTGAAATATTTCTGTATGGTTTTCGGCCTGATCTTTGGCTCCTTGAAGATGGAATACCCAATTCAGGCAGGCGTACTGAACTGGTGCAGGAATATATGAAGCTGCCTTTTGACAGTCAATAATAGAATCCTCCATCTTGAGTAATCGTAAATTACACATGTCCTGTCGGAGAAACTCTGTCATGACGCGCAGACAGTTGTCCATTATTTTCCCATGAGCTTCTGTTTGGTTGATCCACCAAGGGCACTGTTCTCGCTTTTCTCGCTTCTCGGGATCGACCAAGAAATCGCGAAAAGAGAGATGCAGTAGTCTTACAGGAGACTCAGCTGATGGTGGTATGCTTAAGACGGAATGAAGCATATCTAATCTAGTATCAATGACATCCCTAGAAATTCCAAGGAGTTCTGCTAGACTAGACACTGATAAAGGGCTTGCAAGTAGCACAATTGAACCAACAATATAGCGAAAGTCTTGCAAAACTTCATTTCGCTCTCTGGTAGAAAGCCCGGCGACCTGTTGATCGAGGACAGGCAGATAGGTTGCATCGAGCTTAGACTCCTGACTTTTGGTATCATATTCCAGGACTTTGCGAAGTCGATCGTCGGGGTTCCCGCATTTGCGATCAGCAAGAAATCGACATACAGTGGCGGCAAAAATAAAAAGAGGAATTGCCATTTTCACTAAGGTGTCAATAGTGGATTGACCAGGCCAGTCCTTGTGTAGCTGTCGATATTCTTGTACTGTTTTATTATAATTGACGCTTATTTCCCGTAGATTATGAGTAATAAAAACTGATAAGTCATGCCAAATCACAGGCTCTGGCATTTCATGGAGGATGACATGTTGAAACTCCCCTCTGATATCAGAAAAGCTCAGGCGAATTGGAAGCTCCGGTCGACTCGTGACAAAGACTCTTAGCCCTACATTTTTAACGCGACTTAACAGTCGAATGATAAGTTTAATATCCTCTTCTAGTTCGCACTCATCCAAGGCATCGATAACTAGAACAATAACACGAGGGTTTTCGTTCTTCAGAGAGCCAGCGGATAGAGGCTGCAAGATGAGCTTGTTGAATTGTTCTCGCAGTCCTTTGCTGCCAATGTCAGAGTCGGCTTTGATGGCGTTTTTGATATGAACAGCGATGGCAGGTTGCATAACTGTTAATTGAGCGGCTATTGTTGTGAAAAACCTGGCTGCCCTCCCTCGATCACCCTCACCTCTCTTGAAGAAAAAACTAGCGCCAAGATGACTGGTGCTGGCAAGAGATTGGGCAATAGTGCGAGAAACAGTTGACTTCCCAGTTCCAGCCATCCCATTCAGCCAGAAAATAGCTTTGGCGTGTGGGTCATGAGCCCAGTCTGATACACGTTGGAGCAGCTCAACTCGAGTATCTGGTAAACAGGTCGGATTGTGCTGCTCGGCGTAGGAGTTGAAGGCAGCCCCCTCAACAACTGGAAAATTAAAAGATAAAATGCTTTGGTCAATACTATCGATCTTCTCATCGACTTCGAGAATCTTCTCATTGACTTTAATATTATTAGTAAATAACAATATACTCTTAGAGCGGGCGAAGAAACTCACTTTTCATAAGTAGACTGCTGATTGTTTTCTCAGCCTCAATTCTGCTCGGAGAAATTCAAATTAAAAGATCTTTAGCGTAAGCAGCCGCCGTCATTACTGCATAGCCTTGCCATTCTGCATTCTTATGCAAGTCGGAGTAGTCGCAAATTCCACGGATAACCAGACAAGGAAAGTAATTCATTAGCCCTGCTGCCTCCATTTCAAAGCATAGTACATCGTTTTCAGCTGCAAGCTTATCCCTCAAGATCGCATCTTTCATTAATCGATTTGCTAAAGCAATAGTGCCATAGTGGATAGTTGGGTTATCATCATCCTCTGTTCATTTAGGTCGAAGCTGCAAATTAGACGGATCATCAAGGCAAAAGGCTCCGCAGCTTTTCTCATCCGCCGGATAGACTATTTCGCTTTAAAATAATTTGTCACTACTCTATTCTGGTTTCTTATAATTCCGTTGTAGCCTTCGCTTTTTAGCAAGAATGCCATTGATCATTTCCTCCAACTGGTAGCCGTCGGTGTCATATTACACTCTAAGTCCAGCTATCACCGTTCTCAGGACCATTGGTGGCTGGTCTAAGAACCCAATTTGTTGGAATGCTTAATCCTGTATTGTTTTACCAAAGTCATATTAAAATACACCCCCTTTCCCATTGCGAGGTGCACTGACAACGATGTCGCCTAGACGGATATCATACTCGGCACTTAGCGCACCGCCGCCGATGCCTACTAGTAGGCCAATTCTAATATTTGGAAAGCTATACAGCATATCCCTCGCAACGGTAGCCGCAGAAGCTATTCCATATTCGCCATCAGGCAAAACAGCGATTACCACATTGTATTTCCCCATTTTCCCCAAAGCATAGTCATTATTATCATAGGGAGAGACATTTTCTAGGCCTTTATGTTTCTCATCAAGAAAAGCTTCCGCGGCGACACGCTCTGTACTGATGGCGCAGATCCACCCAACGGTATATTCTTCAGGATTCGGCATAGTTCTTGGCAGATTGAGACTTTGTCAATACTAAGCTAAACTCAGTTGGCTTGGTCCATCATAAACTTCCGGAAGGCTATAATAGCATATTTCGAAAGAACAAAACCCTGAACATAGAAGAGATAAATTAGAAAGGAGATTCAGAAATTCAGGAAAGAGGGCTGCTGTCACAGCCCCGCTCGCGTTGGGCTGGATCAAGTTGCGGCTATTAATCCCAGTTGCTGCCCGATCCTTATATATTGTGGGCGAGAAGCTGAGAAATTGACAAATCAACTTGCCAGCCTATCAGTTTTGCAGCCGATAGTATCCTACTATGCGATAGGCTATAATCCGGTGCTTGATAAGATATTAATAACCAATGTGAAGATGGGTTCTTCAAACTCTCTCCCTTATATCTATCCCTGGATCTATTGTTCTCAGCACCAAAGCAAAAGTATTTATCGCCATGATATAATGTTTATCATGCCTGGCAATATATATATATAATTTTTTGAGCATATGAATTGTAATATGAGATTCCGTTTTGAATAGCACCGTTCTATATATTTAATATTGTAAGCAGGTACAGGTAGTTAACGCCTTCCTGGTGCAACTCATCTTACTATCATTATCCTTCAACCTGCTCGGAGTTTTAAACTTGCTCCTTGAGATTATATTCTACCAGTAATTGGTACTTATATATATGATGTATGCTTACATGTATGCGTATGTATGTATGTATTCATCCAGCCTGTATACTCAAAACTTAACGTGATATGATGTAAAATACTACTAGGACGACGTATCATGATAATACCATGGCACATTTAATGTAACAGTCGTGAATAGAGCATCGTCCGACCGGACTACTCGCACCAATTTCCCCAGGGGCCGCTTTAGCTCCTGACCGTTGATGAAAGAGGCTAGCATCTTCCCACTGGCGACATCAGAATGAATCTAGCACCGTCTTCACAGGTTCACATATTGGTGCCGGGAATTGCACAACATAGTTTTCAGGGCTTGGCATTTATTGGCGAATCGACGCTCTGGTAGTAGCAATGAACCTCAGTCAACTCTATCCCAGAGGTTCGAAATATTCGAATCAACTTGTGCCCAATGTCGCAAGTGATGAGTCAAGATGTGAAAAGTGGAAAAGGCCACGGACACCGGCTGTCATACGAGTGGGGATTAGTCGACTTCCTCACGCATGCCATAGAGCCTAGTAAATTGCATATACGCGCATCCATGGATGTCAATTAAAATTTAGAGCACTAGCTGGGTTGAATTAAAAGGTTTGCCTCATATCTGAACTCCTGGCCCCTTGATCAAACCTGTATTACGACGCTCGATTTTGCAGTAAATTAACTACATCCGACTTTTCATTCCGATATGCAAGATCAAGCGGCGTCTGACCATCCCTCCCTTTGGCTTCAATATTAGCCCCTTGCTTGAGAAGGAGCTTAGCCATATCTACCTTTCCATTCCTAGCGGCATAGTGAAGTGGTGTGCGGCCGTCATTCTGCCTAGCTTCGATATCGGCTCCATGTTTAAGCAATAATAATGCGACGTCTGTTGTCCCGTATGAAGCCGCGCAGTGGAGTGGTGTACGACCATCAGCCCGCTTAGCTTCAATATTGGCTCCTTGTTTAAGTAATAATTTCGCTACATCTTCTCTCCCATGTGAAGTCGCATAATGCAGTGGTGTACGACCGTCATTCCTCTTAGCTTCAATGTCGGCTCCTTGTTCAAGAAGGCATTGTACCACATCTACTCTTCCGTAAGAAGCTGCGAAATGAAGCAACGTACTATCAGTAACGTACTTATTCTCGGCTCGTACCGCCTTGCGCTCGACGTACTCCTTGGTTTGCCGCTCGAAGGCATTCTTCTGGCTGAGATTGGGCTCTTTCGGGTTGTCATCGTGCTTCTTGCGCTTGCGCTCCATATCGGCTCCTATCTGCATCCTGAGCTCGAGAATCTCGCGCTCCTTGCGCTCGTGCACAGCCTTGAGGTCCTGATTAAGCTTGGACTGTTCCTCTTTATTGAGGCGGATGTATTCCTCAAGTTTGCCGCACTCCTCCTTAAAAACGCGCTGCAGCTCAGCATTTTGCTGTACCATTTCCTCCTGCATCTGCTTTCTCATGTCTAGCAGTTCTGTTTGGTACTTCTCACGCTCGCGGATGATAACATCGTTGAGTTGTACGCCTGCCTTAGTGTCCTTAATTTGGTGGCCTAGGTTGACAATCTCATCTTGTAATTCCAGAACAATAGTTGAGTCTAAGGAGAGGATATGCCGGATGATTTCAAGGCAGCTTTCACGCGCCTGGGCCAGACGGAAGATGCGGCTTCCCATCTTATGCATGTAGCCCCAAAAATCCTCTGTTTCAGAGAGTTCCTGCTCCCGTTTTGCACCTGTGGCCTCGTCGATATGGCTCCACATGGTAGTGGCGAGGACGACTGACTGGTATACCTTCTCGCCGCATAGCTTCTGAAACATCAATAGATTGCGGCGCGCAGATCCGGTCATACGGATATCAGTGATACGATGCAGATAAATCATGCCGCTGAGCTTAGTACCCTCTTTAAAGGACTTGCTAAGCCAGTAGGCAATATTTTGGAGTACCTCCGCATCAGAGCGGTTTGTGTCGTCAAAGCCTGGTGTATCTATAAGATGGACACAGACTCGGTCGTTCAACATTAATTCGACATCTTCGACATCGGAGGTACCTGGCGGATATATTGTTAGCTGCCCTGCGTAATGGTAAATCTGATGGCTTATACTTACATGACTTTAACTCATGACCGATCTTAACCTCTTTGCCGGTACACATTGAGATGAAAGAGCTCTTCCCAGCACCTGTGACACCCATCACGCCAATGTATACATGTGTAACGCCAGTCCTATCTCTGGAAATATCAGCATCAGCCTGTGGTGAATCCGCTATTCCAGTTGGGGCCGTCTCGTGGCCCTCATCTATGTTGCTATCCACTGCCTGACCCTCTTCTGGGTCGGCTATTACAAGTATTTCAACATTAGCACACGTCGAAAAAAAAATATTAAGAATAATTGGGGCATACCAGATTTAGAAACGTCTTCTTTTTTCTGATTACCCCAAAGAGGCAAGAAGAAGTTTCTTGCTCTCTCCATGTAGGCGGGTGATAGAACGTCAGCCGGGAGAAGGTCTGATCCTAGTTAGTATGTTCTTTCTGGTATCTTGGTAGACCACTTACCTTTAATTGTTTGCATTTTGTCAACATCACTGGCTGGAAGTGTTTCAAGGAGTGCAGTTGCATATGCTGCTGCTGACATGGATGCATAGCCTCGCCACTCCTTAGACCAGTGTTTATCCGAATAATCACTGATGCCGCGAATTATGAGGCAAGGAAAGCTATTCAATCCTGCCGCTTCCATTTCGAAGCACAAGACGTCAAGTTCCTCTGCGAGTATATCTCGAGTCTGAGAGTCCTCCATAAAGCCATCTGATGAAGCGATTAGTCTGTAGTGAATTGCTGGGTTGTCTTCTTTTTCAGACCGTTCGGGCCGTACGACTAACGTATCCATGGTTTGGGCTGGGTCGCTTGAATATAGTTTATCAGAGTCACCATCTGGCCGGCCATAGTTTTTCTGCAGTCTTTGATTTGCCTCAAGCTTTTTCTTAATAGCTGCGTCAATCTCGTTCCCTTTTCTCATGTGCTTCGTGCTGAGCCCATTTACTGCAGTAAGTAGAGCTCTAGGCGGCGAATTCAAGTATTTTGTGGACCGGAAGAGTTTCTCCTGAATTGTTTTCGCATAATCGTATTGAACCACGCCACCTTGATTCCCCCCCTTTTCAGAAAAAGTAGGGACACTGACAACAACATCTCCAGGACGTATATCATGCCTTTTGCTGGGTGCCCCACCACCAACACCCACCATCAGACATACTCTAACGTTGGGAAAGGAGTGCATCATATCTTTTGCCGCCATCGCTGCGGCTGCAATGCCATTACCTCCCCGGGGCAGGACAGCTATTACGACGTTATGATTTCGAATTCTGCCTAGCGAATAGTGGTTTTCATCGTTCTTGTGAACACATCTTGGTGCTCCGTGCTCCTCATCAAGGAATTCTTGGGCAGCAGCGTACTCGATTTCGAGGGCGCTAATCCACCCAATAGTATAGTTGTTGGGGTCTGACATGATATATTAATGGGTGTTAATAATAAAAGAGAATCTTCATTGTGCAGATGTCGATGATGGTCTAAAACCGTTTGGATCACTGAGATACGTCCATCATATATCACTAAAATATATCTATCAAAAGCTATAAAACCCAACCCTTGTTCATTCCATCGGGTTTCAAGATTAGGCATTGTAAATTTAATTAATTAATTCTTTTTATAGAGTGCTGATAAGGTAGGACACATGTGATCAATTTTATGCGCGCAGTTGTGTTAGAGAGGGATTGGAGAGATGGAAGTGGTGGGGTTTCCATTCAATGAGACCATGGCGTAATCCCCCCGTCGCCTCATTTGATTGGTATACTTCTCACCGAAGAGATCCTCATGATTCACTTGGTTGACGGAAGCCACCATCATAATGAACTTGGCTGACACTCCATCACAGAGAATTGAGTGGTCAACAAAGAATCTTCACATGCGGACAAGTCACTGTACACTCTCAGCTGAACACACATGCATAGGCTCTTGCATATGATTTTAAACGTGTGCTAATGTTATTTGTCTCTTGGCCTGAGAGCCCAACACAAAGCTAAAGGATAAGGCAGCTTGGGCACCAGGGAAATCAGGCGCTGAGATTCTTGATCGCTAACGGAAACTAGCCAATGTATATTACCGCATAATTTTACACCATACGGCCTTGCGGTTGCGTACCACTGTTTCTTATCTGATTCTAATGCCATTTTGTTTTTAGGTTATCATCAAGCTGCAGCCATCAAGACGCCCAGAGTAGAGATAATCACCAAGGTCAAGGATGATCAGAAATATACCCATGAATATTACCCCATCTTAGTTTCTTTCGTTTATTGTAGACTAGCTAGGCTCATAGATTTATGTACCTACTTAGAAGTAAATAGAGTCATAGAACTTTTCAACTATGTCTAAGCTTGAGCAAATAGTTATCTCACTACTGTCGAGCTGGTGTAGCTGATAGTAACCTTACGCTCCATGGATTCCGTCGCTTCAACACCATATATTTACTGAATTTGCGATATATCGAGGCTGAGATTACCGAAATAGATAGCTTCAATTATTATTTGGGCTTGGCTTGCATTTGAAGCTATCCTTAATCGATAGGCTGGGATTAAAGCATTGTAGAAGGGACGAGATCCCCTTCCTCAAGTCTTAGGTAAGTGCACCAAGAGGATCTATCAGAAGGATAGCTGCGATCACCCCTACAATAACGCGAGAGATAATATTGGAGATAAGGGCTTTGTTCTGGGAAGACCATTGATGATTAATCTCTGCAGGACGGGGCCCTCAGCGTAACTGTGAGACAGTGTAGGCATCGTTGAATACCAAAAGAGCCAAGACGCTAGTAAATATAACGTTGTAAACGGTGTTGTCGAGTTCGAGGTGTCTACTCCACCCTAAGAAGGCCTGTGCTATACATCTTATACAAGCTGAGGTCCGTTTTACAGCTGCATTGCTTTTCGTCATCAAAAAGCGCGAATGTATTCATAGAAATGGATATTGAAAATAATTACGACTTCATCCGATTAAAATCAGCAGCGTGTATGTATATATTAGTGCTTATACATACCATACTCTGTTAGTAGTTGACGAGTTTCTGTATCAGTTCTTTTGAAGGAATCTAATTAGCAGAAGTGAGCATTTATTCTCATCATTTCGACCTTTGTTGTGGTCTTTGCATCTGTGGTTTCGATAATGTTAAAGGTATCCCGTTTGAAAATGATGGTTGTTTCTGCGGCTTACGCTGCAATAACATTAGTGTTTGTTTCTAATAGCCCGATTTCTAATTGATTAGGAAATGAGCAAGTATCCCTTTTTATGCGTAATATAAAGCAAGTAAGAATAAATTTGAAACTTAGCTAATCTAAAGTCGGCCTGTAATAAAGTGGTGAAGCAACCGCAGAAGCAGTCGTATCAGGGCAGTAATAATCACATCCTGTTTCCTCGTTCACTAGCTTATAGCAGTTATTACAACTTGAAGGGAGAATGCGGTGTGATTGCCGCCGAATTTGGCTGGCGCGTGCTGCTATTTTAAAGTGGTCTTCGCAATGAGGGGCCTAGCTATTGAGCCATAGTATTAAAAGCGACGCGGAGATTTCTTAACTAAACTCCGAGCAACTGTAGGGTTATTACATGACCGATTTCATTTACACTTTCGATACTCAACATAAACACCCTAAAAAGCAATGGCAGGAACAACATTCTTTTTCGTCGATGGCGCTCAAACTGACAGAGCTGCCAAGAAGCTGGTACGAAGCCATGTCATGAAGGGCAAGAATGCTGGCAAAAGATTCCACCGGCGATCAAGGCTGCAACTCGCACTGCCGAGGCTCCATGCAGGTGAACGGACAGTTATCTTGCGACAGGATCTGGACAAGTCACAAAAAGAGTACCATTACAGTGATGAGGAACACGCCGAGCTTACTTCTATAATGAACTGTCCTAGAAATGCGATACTGACAGGCCTACCGGTGAAAATCACGAATCCTTCAATGGACATTATGAACGAATGTGAGGCTCTCACACCCATAATAATTTTTCAATGACACTACTGACGATTGATACCAGACTTTGCCCGTACAATGAACAGACTTTATCGCCTTCACCGATGGCTTTCTATGGATGAGGTTAAAAGAATGTGGCTCCCTATCATTTTTGCCAATCAAGCAGGTATGTTTGCACGTGTCCGCCAGAGCCATGCCATCATCCTGACTTGTCATACTCTTCAGCTTACTATTGCAATGTCGCCCTTATGCAAACTTGCAATGAGATGTACTCCGATAATGGAAATAGCTCGCCCAAAGCATTGTATCATTTGTCACAGACATTCAATTATGTCACGAGACTACTTGCTGGTCCCGATGCTCTATCAGATTCCACAATAATGATTGTAGTGAACCTTATCAGCCAAGAGCTGATCAGAAAGGGATATGGCGACCTTCAAGTCCATCTTAATGGCTTACAGAAAATGATTCAGCTTCGTGGTGGTCTATCCAAACTCGAAGGAAATCCTGCACTATTGCTGAAAGTCTGCAAGTAAGTGATATAATAATACTGTCATCGGTGTAACGGCTCCGGCTTACATATAGCTTCAAAGGGTGGACATTATGCGTTCGCTTCAGCATGGTGGTCCATCACTATTCTTTCGCAATCGCTTTGCCAAGGTACGAGATACTCTGGCACTCACGAAACTAGACATCGTTGGTGATGCTGCTGCAAAGTGCCCACAGCACGATATGCTGGAACCATATCTTCATGACATATTAGTGGATACGATGGGAGTGGTGTTACTGTTCAACAATGGCGTACAACTTGATCTTGAAACTCTTCAAGAGATGATACTATCGCTTGGGTATCGCATCATACAGTTCCACCCTTCGGGAGAAGAACGAAGGCTATGGCTGCTGCAAGCCTCCTATCATATCGGCCTGACGATATTTACACTGACGGTCTTCTTACATGCTGGGCGCCGTCAAATTTTGGACTACGAGCGTGTAGATCGCCGACTGAAGGAAATACTTGACACTGATCTAGAAGACCACTACCCTGAACTCGCTCTCTGGCTGTCGATGCTTGGTGGTCTTTGGGCGTCTGATGGCTATGATGGGCACTGGCTTCCACCAAGGATACGGCCAATGGCAATGAGACTGGATATTCACAGCTGGGAGGAAGTATACACTATCATTGATCACTTCCCCTGGGTTCACGCCTTGCACGATGATTCAGGCCGTGCCTTGTGGGATCAAGCGCACCAAGACGAGTCAATACCGAGTTGGATAATGTTGTGAATACTAGTACTACATAGGTATGTAACTGTAATAAGCAACTCTTCTCCCTGACGCTACAGATCCAAAAACCCCACTTGCCTATGCATGGCAAACAACCTTACCAAGAAAACTTTTCCTTGACAAGATCTTCTGACAGCTCCCAGAGCCTCTCAGCCTCGCTTCTCGAAACAGCAAGGGGAGTTGCGGAATCACTTATCTGACAATCCACTAGGAACGATCCGTAATTCTCCTTCCCATTGACGGTCTCACCAGGTTTCATTTTGGGATCCAGTGCAGCCACCAGCGAAGTTGAAGCTCCTGCGCCGAGGCTTTGATGGATAAATATGCCTTTGGTCCTCATGCCGGCCAAGGCTGCCAGTTGTTCCTCATCAAAGTCCCTACCTAGCTCCGTTTGTATGATGCCCGGATGCACCGCCAAAGAAAGGATTCCGTATTTCTCATACAGCCTTTCGGTTGCTCCGATGCCAAAGAGCACGTTGGCTACTTTACTACGGTTGTAGCCGTCCAAAGGAACATATGATCGATCGCGACAGTCTGAAAAGCCCCATGCCTCGAGCATTGGATAGGGCGGCTGCTCTACCTCTGGTAGCTCTTTATTTGGCTTGTCAAAATTGATGTCACTCCAACGCATAGTCGCAATGGTGGGCGATAGGGAAGAGACATTGACAATTCGTGTGGTTCCCTTGGGTTTGCCGTCGGCAGATTTGATCAGCTTTGGCATGATCAAGCACGTTAACAGCCAATGTCCTATGTGATTTGTAGCAAAGTGCATCTCCAGTCCATCGACACTGAGTGTTCGCTCTGGAACACACATCACGCCAGCGTTATTCACCACGATATCAATGACAGGCACATCAGGCCAGGCCAAGACTTCCGCAGCTGCAGTACGGACCGACTTCTGGCTGGAAAGATCAATCTTAAGCGCACGGCAGTTGACACCAGGGAAGTCCTGCTTGATGGCATCGATACACTCCTGGATTTTATCCAGGTTGCGTCCGGCGAGGATCAGGCAAGCTGGGGACTGAGAGGCCTGTACAACTTATCGATCAGCATATGCAGTCCGAAAACTGACATATGAAACAGCAACTTACAAAAGCCTGTGAGGTAGAGAACCCCACTCCACCACGGTTGACGCCAGTAACTATGATGGTTTTATTGCGAATTCTATCCGGGAAAGCCTTGGCGACGTCGAGGCTCTCGGTGTCCCTGTTGAACTCTGGGTGCGATGTAACCATTGTGTAAGAACAGATTGCAAATGATAGAGACTAGGCAGCAAGAACAACGAATTCCAACTTGATGACTGTGTAGATTGTGTAACTTAAAGAATGCCAGAATAAACTCCAGGTATTTATACTCCGTTGAGTCGGACTTGACATATACTAATGACATCGTTGACTTTCGACCATGGTCCTGACAGCAAATGAAAGACTTGATGCTTAATCTAAAAGAGATGGATAGCATCCGTTAACTCCGGAAAATGGTACTTATTGTATATTAAAGCCATCCACGAATCTCCGTTGTGAAGGCCGTAGCCATCATAGCCAATTAGAGACTTGGTGCCTAATTCGGCACAGTGGCATCACCAAATTTATCGCGCAGCCAATCAGAGATTGATTTCCTAATTCGGCATACATCGTTGTCCCGCATTGATTGGCGCTGGAACATCTAGGGGCAGACAAAGCCTTATCTATGTATGGAGTACGGAGTATACTATTAGGGATAAGAAAGGTGGCAAGCGCGCTGCACTTATTCGAGGATGGATTGGAGGAAGAGATAGATAGATGGATGCATACTAGGTAGGCAGCGACCCGTGACTCAATACTGCCAGCTCTCTGGCCTATCCTATGGCCAAAATTCGGAATGTTCATTTACTTTGATCACTGGTTAGTAGCCCACTGCAACGCTTCTGGAATAACGGCCTTCATCTCTTCTGTGATGTCCAGCTTAATCGAATACTCCTCTGTTGCCCAAATGGTTTCTGAATGCTCATTAGAATTTAATTTCAGCGTGCCAGCAGATGCCGAAACCACAAAATTAAGTTAGATAGCACTCTTTAAAACAAGAAGATCTCCATCAATCTCATCTTTGACAAATTTTTCTGTCATATGTATCATTGGATCCAGCTCTGCAAGGAATACGGTGACATTGAGGTCAGTTTCTTCCTTCACCTCGCGGGTGAGAGCATATTTGAGGGTTGGGCCATCTGGATCGACCTTCCCGCCAGGCAGCTCGAAGACGTCTGGGAAGTAAGGTTCATGAGGCGTCCTTTTTAATAGGAGGATACTAGGTGTTTTTGAAGAAGACCGGTTGAAACTATAGCGGAGAATAGCTGCTCCAAGAACGACCTTGTCATACGGTTAGCCTGACGCAGAGAGTCGGGATTCTGGAAATTCATCGGCTGAAGAGTTGAGCCTTTGTAGGTTGACAGGTTTGCTGACTGAAGAGGATTAGAAATGCGTTGGTGTTGGCATGGCCATTTTGGCTAAGTGGCGGTACTACTGTGGGAGAATAATGACTGTGGTTTTCTTTCTGGGAGGCAGATTAATCGCTTGCTACGTAGTCCGTAGGTACTGTTCATCGTTGTAGCAGGTCTTATGGTTAGAAAATATAACTAGTACTCGAAAAATTGAAGTGTGAAGAAGACTGTGATTCTTGTTGGGGACGATGGATAAGTACAAGTACCTATATGTGTATAGGAGTGGGATTGGTTCATAGAGCAGCGGTCAGTGAATCACCGCTGAAACTCGCAGGTATCAGTCAGGCCCGCAGATTGAGTTGTGCCGATGAGCATCAGTCTATAAATATGTCTGATCACAAAATTAAAGATCGCCCTTATTGAATCAGGTCTTAAAACTTAGATTGAACCGCCATACTATCATCAAAGATATTCAAATATCACCCCTCAATACCCAACGGCAGCGTAGAGTAATGCGCATTTATCCCTGTCTCGTCAACATGATGCCCTGTTGATGGTAATACCTTCTACCATTTTGTATTGCGTTTGAACTTTGTTGTTCGGGTCCTTTTGCGCATTTTGAGTTTGGTCTTGAGCCCTGGTAAGCGGTTATGCTTTCTGTGCTTCTACTAGTGGTACGGCCTGAACCCCTAAGCCTAGCTTGACCGGCCGCTGCCGTGAAGGAACTGGCCATTCGACATATCGGATAGTATCAACTTCTATGAGGGGAGAGGTCCAAGATCTTCGGAGTCATCCTCGATTAGCTCTAGAGTCTCTAGGCAACGATCAAGTAGACAAATAGCGTCGCCTTCAATCTCGTAGTACTCGTCAATTTCAGGTAGATTTCGACGCATACGAAGGATCTCTCTAGAGAAAATATATGGGATGTCGTAAAGACGAACACATTATCTTGTTTCGGTTCCATTTTCGTACCTCAGAGTCATGGAGGATCTTTCGCCGTCTTCATTTTTCATATCGAAAAGAAGTTTCCTAGTCGGAGGGAAGAGATTGGATGGCTACCGAGCACGTGCCCATCCTCTTCGAATCCGTTCGGTCTTCCGCGTGACCGGAGGTCATGGTGCAATTCTTGTTAACATAGAGTGAGGGAGACTGACCTGGGTGATTAATCCAGAGGTAGGTGTGATATATGGAGAGAAGGCGGCTCTCCTGTTGACCCATGCTGTTGGTCTGGCTTCGTCGTAGAAGCTTCATTTCACTGCTGGCAAGCTGCTTGCTTGCACAACGTAACCAGTGGGAAGGGGTGAGTCAGTGCACCAAATAGAAGAACAATAAAAGAAGGGAAATAGGACAAATCACGAAAGGAAAGAAAGATAGAAAGGAAAGGAGGACGTAGAACTTCATGTGGTAAGTATCATGTTAAAATGACTAACACGTTATCTGAATGGACTCAAGTGGAACATCCTTCATACTGTACAATTGAAGCCTGGGAAGAGCCACAGACCATGTATCGCAAACGAAGCCCAACAGTATGCTTGCTTGTAATGTTCTCCAAGCTCACCACGCCGCATCTTCCCAACTGTGATACTCAAGGCCCTGGCCAGATTGATCGTCTGACTACCATCTCCTGCGTCGCTTCTCATACACTTGACTTCATTGTAGAAAGCTTCGCTGAATGCACGACCTGCAGAGCTTTTGATCGGCCATTGACAGCCTAAAACCGAAGTGGCTCCAGCATGAAGCAGGGCTGAGATGATTCCTAACGGTTCGTCTCCAGGAGCCAAATCTTGTGCGCCTGATTCACAAGCAATGAGTGTGAAATGTACGCCTCCTTGTGGTATAGCGGTATTAAACATGTCAACAACCGAGAGTTTGTCTATTCCTAGACGCGGGTTTTCCTGATTGCCGTTCTCGAAGATGTCTTCTCCATTGCTTAGAATGAGGGACGATTGAAGAACGTCTTCTTTGCAGTAGCTGGCATGACCGTGATAGTGTAACCATGTAGCTGCGGAGGATTTCTCAAGGAAACCCGATTTAGTTACTTCAGGTCCGAGTAAGACTTGACCTGGCAGAAGCGTTGATAGCTTTTCAATGTGCCTGAATATGAGACTGCGCTCGTCGGCATAGAATGGCTCTTCATAGACTCCAAAAAAAGCTGTCGTTTCTTTTGCATTCTGTTCTTCGCAATTCCTTCCGGTGGCGCAACGGTCCAAACACTGACTCAGAATTGCAGCGCTCGATGCGTAAACTACCAAATTACGCTCAATCAATGGTCTTTTGTCGAGAAATAAGGCATGTAATGGTATGTTATTGAGTTGCCCTGATGGAGAAAGCACTAAAAGATCGCCTTCCTCCGTGTAATCCGTCAGCCAGTCGACGAGAGAATTCATCTCCTGAAGCAGGCGATTGCCTGTTTTTTTATGTAGAGGATGCTCGGCCATATCCGGGTAAGTGAAAGCTTTGGAAATCCATGCTTCTACATGAGTGATCGACATCGATAATTGCTTCGACTGTGTTCTACCGTCCAATTCTCTTATAAAACATATTATCTGTGAATTATCCTCTGCTGTCGATGGTGGAACATACCAGTCAACAAACTTTACTCGTTGTCGGGAAAGGTTGGTTCTAGAAAGTGCTATATCAACGCTCTCTGGGCCTAGTTCTAGGTTCAGAGTCCGATTTCTGATTCGTGTAATCTCAGCCAGTGGAGGATACGCTTCAATACGTTTTCTAACCGAAGCAAGTTCTCGCGCTAAAAGTATGTGATTTACTCCAGGCTCATTTAGGGCGTCCAAATATTTTTGTTCTGTCTTTAAAAGATCGCAGGCCGTTTGATCGCTATTGATTCTCTGCAGTAGCTCTTTGGGAACCAATTGCTTTGCTCCGAGTGAGTCTGAGAATGCTCTGGACTTTCCTTTTTGTAGCCATGTCCAAGCTTCCGTCGGGTCTTTAAGATGTAAGCTTATGCGGACTCCTAAATTGTATATCTTGAGGCTTGAATCTTTGGCAACCAGAAGTCTTTTATTCATCAAGGATGTCAATCCTTCGATGGGTATGACACTCTGCCTCATATCGTCGCATAGTATTTCTGTTTTTCGCAATTCGTCCATAAAACCAATGAGTAACTCTCGTGATATATTTTCTGATGTCACTATTATTGCGTCGGAGAGTAGACTGCCAAGAGCCAGAGTGCTACGGATGATCAATTCAGAACTGCTTGTTTGTCGCCATAGCTGAAGAGATTTATTTGCCAGGTCCAGCGCGGACCAGAGTTGCGTTGTGGCCTGAAGTCGTTCTTCTGCAAATAAGCTTTTGTTTTCACTCAGTATTGCCCTGTAAGAAAGCCATGCCTGGAGAGCCGCCCTAGAGTACGCCTGCGCTTTAATCATTGGTGGCGCAGAAGGTAGTTGATTAAGATCGTTAAGATAATCCGTCGATAGCTTCGAACTCTCTGAGAAATTCTCCTGGCGCATCAACATGCTGACTTCAAGATCTACAACTTCGCTTCGTTTCAGAACGTCTGTTTGACTTGGTAAAAGCTTCTTCACCCTATCAATCCATGGCTTCTCAATTGATGTAGACTTCAGTTCCGGTTCATAGGACGCTCGCAAATTCTCCCATTTACCAACTAGCACACACTTCTGGATTTCACCCTCAATGTAGTCGTTCGTAGAATCCTTTTCAATCCACTCTTTCAGAATATCCATAGCAGACGATAGCCACTTGAGGTCTTCGGCGGATTTCTTTGGGTACTGCTCGGAAATGGCGAGGCGACGAAGCCCCAAGATAAAAGCAGCGTCTGAGCAAGCTTTGTAAGAATTTCCAGATTTGGCGATCTTTAGACTTTCTTCTGCTGCCTTAAGAGCTTCCATATTGCTTCCAAAACTTCCATAGATCATTGACATGGTGATAGCGAGAAGAGAATGGCTCTTTGGATCGACCTCTTCAGGAAGATTCGTGTACTGAGGCTGCAAGGCCTTGAGCGCAAAGCCATATTCCGAGGCATTTAAATTAGCTGAGCCGGCAGCGCGGACCAAAGCAGCGTTTTGCATCATCTCACTCCCCATTTCATCGGCTAGCTGCTGTTGGAGTTCTATCGCATGCTTGACTTGCTCAACATAGGCATCAACAGCTGGCTCAGAGAGAGCAGTTGTGAGGCACATCATCATTTGCGCATAATGGCTAACTTCAAAATATCTTTCCACAAGTCTTATCATTTGAACGAATTTTTCTTCGGCAGAAATTGTGCGATTAAAGGATATTCGGGAAAAATCCAGGTCGATATTACCGAAAGTATGGGAAACTTTGTTGAACAGTTTTCGTGCTTCTTTAAACGTATCTTCGGCCTTTGCGAGAATCGTATGATCAAAAGATTGTAGCTGAAATTTGAAGATCTCAGCCAGGGTGAGAGCTCTCTCTGTATCCCATTTATCGCTATGCAGTGTATCCAAAAAGTCCTGAAGCCGCTGTATCGCATCCTCTGGGGTTTTAATAAGCTGAATCTCAAATTGTAGTAGAGAGGAAGCCTCTTGTAAGCGGTCCATAGCTTGCAAGGCTCGCCGTAAAGAAGAAATAGTCGTTAAGGCAGTGGTTTTTGTGGCCCACTCATCGAGCAGGCCATGGAAGGCGGCAGCTACCATAATTTTCCAATAGAGAGACACCATTAATACCTTGAATGTCAAATTAGTCTTAGTTATTCTTACATGAATTATATAGACAACTCACTCTGTACTCTGAGATATGTGATATACACCGGGTCTCCAACGCTTCTCTTTTTGGCCCCTCAGTGCTAGAAATCAGCCGGCCTCTATCATCAGTTTCTGTAAGACTTTCGGCGGTTGTACTAAGTATAACAGGCTTATCTTAATTATTTCAGTCAACCTTAGTCATGCAGATTATACTTCGAGAAGATCATACCAAGATTCCAAGCACTGCCAAGCCGTTGCGCAATCTCGAGCGCAGTCTTGACTTTTGAAAACCTCGCAACTCGTAATGTGAGAACCCTCAAAAGTTCAAAAGCAACAGCGTCTTCATCTTGATTAGAAAATGCGAAATTTTCGCTCTCAATCTCCCCAGAAGATGGTCCTGGAACATTATCGCAAGTCTCTGCTGCTTGCCGATATCGTCCCTGAACGAGGTATAATTGGGCGGCTTCAATTGCTACCGCCCTCGTGCATCTAATGTCTTTCGGCAGCTCTTCGATAAACTGAGTTGCTTCAGTAAACTTCCCGATGGAGCAGGAAACCCGAATCTTATGCTTAATATCCTCAAGTGACGAGTGCGCAGGCTCATTCTGGTGGGTTTCCATTTTCTAATTAATTAAATATTTAAATCCGCCTGTGTGTTGCGCTGAACGAATGAAGGCTTCTATTTAAATACAGACCAAGCTGTAAAGGCAGCAAAATTTTGTAGGCAGAGAAATCCCGAAGCGGTTGGCTTTTCAGACATTAATCACTCAAGCCTATTATGAGAGCGCCTTGCAGTAGCAGCAAGCACATTGCTAATTATGCAAGGCTGTGGTCATGCGCTGAGACACATCGGACTTTTGTCTCTGGTGTGGCGGGGCACAGTTACTCGATCTTCACATTCATAATTAAATAATTCCTCAAGCCTCATCTAATCTTCTCAACACTCTTCTCCTAGCATATGTTGCAAATTTACATGTTCATCAACCATTTCGAACATTAGTTCAATGTCAGACACGACGGATCCGCAGACGCTCGGTTTTGAATCGGGTTTAGTGTTCTCAGATGAGGACGACAGCCTGTTGGGTATTCGGAACGAAGAGCGTGTGAACCGGTCACTTGCAACCCAAGACCAAATCGGCAAAACAGGCTACAGTGCTTACGTTCGACATGTTCAATACGGTACTTACGAGAGTAAATCTGCGTGTCTGCTTGGTATTGACTTCGCCTTCCGTTTTCCTCCGAAGGGATTTGGCCGCTTCTCCTCTGCGGAGATTGAAGTTACCTTTGAGAAGGCTCTCAACACTAGCAAACCCTATCTCCGCTCGACTGATGCCTCGCTGGATCCCGTTGTTGCCAATTTTGCACCTAGGCAGATACTTGGGCTGACCAAACCGCGGGACAATCACAAGATTTTGGAGATTAGCGCGCCTATCGTCTTTCACACACCTTTTGGACCAGCTCGTATGTCTGCAAAGTGGTCCAAAGAGACAACTTTCACTGAGGAAGGGCGACTTGAGGTTCATGGCAACTTGGCGCAAGATGACGATCATGACGATGGCGCAAACTCAGTCACTTGGGACCTAACAGAGAATCCAGTTAGCAAAGACGGTATTCTCCGCTCGTTCCGTGGCGTTGTCGTATTGTTTTGCCGCCCTGGAGATGCTTTTTGGATGCGCGTATCCGTGAAACCTGTGGTGAAGTTCGCATTAGATCCACGAAGGTTGTTGACTAAGAGACTGGTGGGTGATAGAGATGAACCTGTACTGCTCAATGGGCGGCAAAGCCTGGGTAACTCGTCATGCTTGAATTACAGTGAATTTGATCATGAGGACTTCCCCTGGCAGGACATGTTGAATCTACCGCAACCACTAGGGATCACGGATGGAGGACAAGTGGCCTAGTGGCGGCTATCTTGTCAGCGAGCTTCAAATCTTTTAGTAGTAATCTGGGAAGCAGCCGTCTGGTTAGATTATGGAGTAGGCGAGCTTAGAATTAAAACCTTTGCCCGGTAGGTTTGGGCCAGGTAGCATTGAGCCAAATATGTGGACATCATCTAGCGGTCATCTACTCCGTGCGCAGCTCTATTAAAGATAAAGGTTGTGATAACTAAATCCCATTGGCGTCAATGTTAGCTTACTGCTCAAGGATTTTGGACTTTATCAGCTTGCAATTACTATAGTTCTGTGATTGACTTCTAATGTACTCAGATATTTGGAACCAGCCAGCTGATAGATTCAACTGTTGATTCTCACAAGCCCTCAAAATATTAATTAAAGAGTGGACTGCGGGCTATAACTTACAATCAGGACACATCATCAACATTGGCTCGCAAATGGTCTGTTTTGTCATGCTCGCAACTAATTTCCCTTCCTCGTTCCAAAATCTCCCTTCACTATATGCTGTTGCATTTCCGGCGGTATTTGACCTCTGCTCCACTACATGCCAAGACTGCATATTTAATTCAGGCGTAAAGATCCGCAGAGAAAATTCCATGGAATACGAGAAAATACGCCAGTCCTTTGTCTGAATAGAATGCTAATGCGGATGCTCGCTCAGCCTCACTGCTTAGCACACTTAATACTCGAAACTTCTCTGTGGTAACCACGGCCGGTATGGCGATGGCGGGGCGCCGGATATTTGCTATATGGTCATAGACTCGGCGTTGTTGAAACCCACAGTCCTGGATCTGCGGAAGATGAATCGACAAGGATGGTTGGTTAAAGCTACATGTACCTAGCCATAAAAAATGTAGATGTAATCGTAAGGTGACAACCAACCACTAGGTACCTATAATTCTTGTCACATTTTAGTATTTCCTACTTCGTACAGTGCCTTGTAGTACTCCATGAGGTTGTGCTGTCTTACCGAGGTTAGATTTCTGGCTCTTAAAGCCCATGCCAATCCACGCGTATTAGTATTCCAGTATAACTAGCGAGCTGTTGCCTTTACTTCAAAACTTGTGTCATTTGTTGGTTTATTCATATAACTTACGCACCATATTTGCATATAACCTGGTACAATCTCTGTTCCACAACCCGCATGCTTCTTTCCAAGTAAAATGTCACTAAAGAATCGCAAAGACCGGCCGCTTGTTGTCTGGCTTGGCCGCCCGAGACATGATGGAGGAGATAATCTTTCAGCTTTTCGGAATGACTTCGACAATGCTGTACGCGGGCTGAGTTACCTTAAAAAGTAGTCTCAAATGAATGGCTAATCCTCTCTCTCTGCCAGATTCTCGACGCTGAAAATCGCAATGAAGTAAAAGCAAAACTCCCAGCTCTTATAGCAAAGCATGGCTCTATCGACGCTTTAGTTGTACCAATGGGCACAATGACGTATGCACCTTTTGACCAAGATCTTCTCAGTCCATTAGCCGCCGGGTATGGCATTACCGCCTCGTTTAAGGCAGGATACGATGAGTTTGACGTTGAATGGATAACAAGACAGGGAATATGGCTATGTAATCCAACCGAAGCAGTGGTTGAGTCTACTTCCAACATGGCTATGTTCCTAATTCTCGCTATTGTACGCGATACGTATCGTGCACAGCAGACTATCCGGAGCGGTTCTTGGCTCGATCATCTATATCCCACTCACCATGTCACGGGTATGAGGATTGGCATCATTGGAATGGGAAAAATGGGAAAGCGAATAGCGTCAAAGGCGAAAGCTTTCAACATGCGCATAAAATATTTCAATCGCCGTCGATTGAGCAATCAGGAGGAGATCCTGTACAGCGCCTCATATTGTGACTCTCTACATGCTTTGCCAAGCACGTCGGATGTTGTGTCGATCAACTGCCCACTCAATGGCGATACTCGCAATCTCATTTCTACAGCCGAGTTTGCGACAATGAGGCATGGTACTTACTTAGTGAACACGGCACGCGGAGCCATTGTCGATGAAGATGCGTTAATCCAGGCTATTGATTGTGGCAAAATTGCTCGAGCTGGGCTTGATGTGTTTTGCAGCGAATCTCGTATCAACAGCTATTTCCAAGAAAGCGATAAGGTCATATGCCAGCCCCATATGAGAGGCCTTACTCAAGGAGCATATAAGCTTGCTGAGATGGAATGTCTGGAAAATATTCGAACCTACTTTAAAACTTGGAAGCCTATCAATCCGGTTAATGATCTTTCGGCTCTACTTTAGAAAGTACAGACAGAGAGCAGATGTCAGCCATACATATCACAACTGGGTAATACTGGCGGGTCCGTGAGAAGTTTCGCCCTCAAAGGAGGTTGATGGGAATCAACAACCCTCTGCGAAGATGGATGTATTTTCAGATAAACATTACATAAAGGAATAACGTGCACTAGCCACTAATCAGATATGAAGGTATCCAAAGAAGGTTCTACATGCCAGGATATTACTATTAAAATTTTACAATGTTGTATCATACGATAATAGCGGCTACTTCACATACAAAGAAGGGGAAAGTATGGTATCAGAAGGGACACGCAAAAGTAGCAAAAGTATTGGATGAGATATTTCGACGGTATAATGTAAGTACTCCGCTGCACTTTACGAAAACTGCTCTTGTGGTATAGTATTGTGTTAGACTAAACTTTGTCATCCATCGCCATTGCTCCAACAAATGGCGAAGCTGAAATCGCTCCGTGTCAGATTATAGCGCAGTGGAATATTTTTATCCAATCCTGTCGCGCTGTTTACAGGAGATCTCCTGCTCCCGTGTCTAAATTCTAAATAGGTCTATTCATAGTCTATATCCTGCCAATTGCCTATCATTCCCGAATCCCACTCCTCAATGCCACGAGGCGTTCGTATCGCCGTTGGCAAATCTTCCATATCAATGAACTAGGTTCACGGTAGAAACATGGTACCACTGCCTGCCTAGCAAGCATCAAGTTAACCAAGACATCCGAGCGCAGTTGATCTCTACATACATAGTTCATGGCCTTCGGACTGCTACCCGAGCCGATGACATGATCATAGCAGTTTCAGTACGTAAACCTTTAGCTTGTAAATGGAAAGCTGGGATTTTTACGCTTCACTTTGTATTTCCGAGGCAAATGAAGGTTTGTATTGGGAGTACCGTGCCGCATAGTATCGGTGCGTCTTCATTTCGTATGCATTCAAAAGCATTCCTGTCTTTGTCAAATCCGTAACCCCAAACTCGTGACCGTTAGTTGATGCTGGTGGCGATGACGTTGAGGCTCACGGTGCTCACGGCTACCTACTCAATCAATTCACGAGAGGCAGTTCTAATAACCGTAAAGATAAATGGGGTGGATCTGTCGAAAACCGCAACCGCTTTCTGTTGGAAGTCGTCAAGGCTGTTGTGGACGAGGTAGGCGCGGACAGAACTGGTATTCGCCTAAGTCCCTTTTTAGAACATATCAAGACGCATACTGAGTACTTCGAGGACACATGGAAAGAGACCGGACATATTCTTTCTAGCCTCAGGAAACTAAATATTAAGCTCGCATATATGTTGTTTGTGGAGCCTCGCTTTAACCCCTCCTGACACGACAGGAAACCACCGTCAGCACTCCTAACCCCTTTGAAGATCGCGAACAAACGTTGTTGACATTTTTGGAGCAGTGGGATAAATTCTCGTCCTTTATTGTCGCTGGAGGATATACACTGGAGAACGCCACCAAGACGCTAGACGAGAAACATAAGAAGTATGACGTCGTGCTCGCCTTGAGGGGTATCATATCTCGAATCCGGATCCTCTAACCTCCTACAACCGGCCGACATTCTACACTCCGATGAGCGTTGAAAAATATAACGATTCCCCTTTCAGTAAAGAGGCTATTGATGCCGGCATAACTCCCTATACGACGTCGCAAGACGTATAACAGTGAGAATATATGATACTAGTGCCAGCAGTTGGCTATATTCTGGGTACAAACGTGGGGCTGGTATTCTTCTGCTAAATCCTTGAGCTTCCTCTGCAGAATGTAGACAAGTCACTATCCAACAAAGTAACTGGGTTCCTCCATCAGTTAGCGGCTTTGGAAAGTGGCTGTACTTTGTGTTCTCAGGTCCATTTAGATACAAGGCGACCACCTTGGCTTTGACTCTATGTTTCGTTACATGTCTTAAACGTCCCAGAAGTGAGACTACTAACCGAGCTGGATTCCGCATAATCCTAGTGCTACTTCAGGGCTTCCCCCCCTCTATACGTGGCGAAAAGGCCTCAAATATGAGTTTTGGGGTTTGCCTTCTTCTGAAGTTACCGTCGTGATAAAACTTCATGGATTGTGTTCTAGCCGTGAGTAATACTAATTTGTGTTCGGAACCGTGAAAAACGAATTATTACAGGGTAATTTCAAGGTTCCTTTAGCCAAGTTGATGCTGCCGAAAATTTACCTACCTAAATAAGTAATCTGAATACATATGTAAGTGGATCTCCTGCCTGAGAGGGAAACCCGCTGTTATTGTGGTTACTGATTCTGCAAACGAAATGAATTTTACACTCTACAAGCAGATTTACAGCAAATACGCCTTTTATTTTGCAGGTTTAAGGAATCATCATTAGAGGAGAATGGGATTTTTCTTTTGTTGGATATTTTGTTTTGTTGGTGGTATTTTCCGATCTGTTCTATTCCACGGTCCGTTCACTGTCATGTGTCGCATTAGCACGTGCTCCCTCCCGAGGATACTTTGTTCCAGCTGATCTGGCCCGTTTGGGACTTGCGAAGCTCGATGGCTAGTCATCCGCACACTTCATCTCTAGATCGGCTCCATTGCCGTTGCCATGATTGGGCAATAAACGACAAATAGATCATGTCCCAGCGACATCTGCTCGCTTCCGCTTCGGCAGGGGCTTTCCCCACAGGAATGCAACTTTGTGCTTCCGTGGGCAGCGACCAGAACGCAGTCATGCCCCCGTCACGAGGGATCTGCCGATGCAGAGTACAAACTTTGTGAGCAAATTCATCGGTATCATCTTTTGGGAGGTCGCTTCTCGGACTTAAGCCCAAATTCCTGTCGCGAGGAAGCTTCGAGGTACAGTGAGATGCAGCTCGAACGATGCAACAAGAACATATGATACTGCCTCAGGACGGCTTTAATCCCCGAAACCAACAAGGTTTCCCCACGATAACAGTGGGTACTTGTTTGATCCTTCTCCAGGCAGCGCTGGACTTTGTATTATTATTGGTACGCTTAGTGGAAATTCCCGCAAGGGCCAAATTCAGCAAGCCGAAATGAAACTACTTAAGTAGCCTGGTGACTAGTGAAGCGGTATTCTGTTTCAAGCGTTGGGTAGAATCTTGTTAATATCTTGCCGGGACTGGGGTAGTCCGTCATAGTCTCCGATGACGCCGGTAGTTTGAAGGAAAGTTTATGAGTAAGAGCTAAGTAAAGCCGAATAAGTTAACAACTATTGAGGGTATTTAACCAGCTTTACCCAATAGAACCTTCTCTTACATGCATCTCGCTTCCCGTGTGTACTAATTTATCCAAACTTAAACATCCAGCTATTAGCCAGATTGTTTCATCTTACCAACTTTCTATAGGATTCAAATCTTAGTAAAACATCAGAAAGATGTGAACTTAGTAGGAAGTTGTTGGTACATCTTTGATTCGTTTTTGATCCGTGCCCTAGCGGTGACCTCATGTCATGGTTGTCATGAGATCCGTTTTGCGTAAAGTTAAAGAGTGGAAAACAAGGCACAAGGCCACAATTGGCACGGGACTATCTCGGCCATTCCAAATTAATGTTTAAGACTACTGCAATCTGCATGTTGAGTTAGATCCCATTGAGAGAAAGGGAGACACACAGGTAGTATTCGCAAATATATACAATACTATCCCATAAATGTGAGGGCAATCTCCTGCCTCTTTAGTAATAGATGTTTCTACCAGGGATAGTAAACAGATATTTCGTTGTGCTTGATCAGGAACATTGGTAAAATGGATAGACATTGTGTAGCTTAAAAACCCTACGATATCGCCCTCTTGCTGTGGTAGCTGATCAACACTCTCGTCGACCCATCTCATTGTGCCCCCAGACAAACGACCATATCCGATATGTTCTCCGGACTGAATCATCGGCGCTCTAGCGTCCTTGCTTTTGGCCTTGTTGCCACAAGTTCTCTTGCTACTGCCGGACCCTGCGATATCTACTCATCTGGTGGTACGCCCTGTGTTGCTGCGCATAGTACAACCCGTGCTTTATATGGGGCTTATTCCGGGCCGCTGTACCAAGTATCACGCGGATCTGATGGTGCTACGACTAATATAACGCCACTTTCTGCGGGTGGCGTTGCCAATGCCGCTGCTCAAGATTCCTTCTGTGCCGGCACGACTTGCCTCATCACCATTATCTATGACCAATCTGGCCATGGTAATCACCTTACCCAGGCTCCACCTGGAGGTGCTGCGAGCGGACCTCAGCCCAATGGCTTTGACAATTTGGCCAGCGCTGTTGGAGCACCGGTTCGGTTGAACGGCCAAAAGGCGTATGGCGTCTTCATCGCGCCTTTCACTGGATATCGCAATAACGCTGCTAATGGCACGGCCACGGGTGACGCATCGGAGGGCTTATATGCTGTCTTTGATGGAACTCACTATAATACGGCTTGTTGCTTTGATTATGGCAACGCTGAGACCAACAGTCGCGACACGGGCAACGGCCATATGGAAGCCATCTACTTTGGCACTGGCGATGGTTCTGGTCGTGGAACTGGATCTGGCAGCGGTCCATGGATCATGGCAGATCTTGAGAACGGCCTGTTCTCCGGTCTTAGCCCTATTAACAACCCTGCTGACCCGACCATATCATCTCGATTCGTCACTGCGGTCGTTAAGGGCGAGCCAAATCAGTGGGCGATCCGCGGCGGTGATGCGACATCTGGAACGCTTTCGACATTTTACAACGGCGCACGCCCTTCAGGTGGCTATAATCCAATGAGTAAAGAGGGTGCTATTATTCTTGGCATTGGCGGAGATAATAGTGATGGTGCCCAAGGCACGTTCTACGAAGGTGTCATGACCTCTGGCTACCCGTCAGACAGCACGGAGAACTCAGTCCAGGCCGATATTGTAGCGGCTAAATATGTATACGACACTTCCTTGATGACTAGTGGCCCTGCTCTTAATGTCGGCTCCTCCATCTCACTGAGAGCTACGACTGCCTGCTGCACGACGCGCTATATTGCGCACACCGGCGCCACTGTTAACACTCAGGTTGTCTCAACATCTAGCAGCACTGCCCTCAAGCAACAAGCTAGCTGGACAGTCCGTACAGGTCTGGGAAACAGTGCCTGCTTTTCTTTTGAATCTAATGATACTCCTGGAAGCTTCATCCGACACTCCAACTATCAGCTCATGGTCAATGCCAACGACGGCAGCAAGATCTTCCATGAAGACGCAACATTCTGTCCACAGGCTGGACTCAACGGTCAGGGCAATTCATTCCGTTCGTGGAGCTATCCTACCCGTTATTGGCGTCATTATAATGCTTTGGGTTATATCGCCAGTAACGGCGGCGAGCATGAATTTGACTCTGCTACCTTGTTCAACGACGACGTGAGCTTCGTGGTCAGCGCTGGCTTTGCTTAGTCCCACAATGACTGGGCAGCATCGTTGTGACATTTGTCTAAGTCGCGTCTCTCCCAAGTCATTTTCCTGCCTGGCTTGTTTGCTGTCGTCTACGAGGGAAAAGAGGAACATTGTATATAGACATATAGTCCGACTTGAACATAGTAGCCAGCACCTCTAGCGTATATAAACAACTATTTGAAGATGATATAAATGAAATGTAGAGCCTGAATTTCCCTGTTTGTAGCCTTATGTAAATGAAGCAGTTGACAAGGTTGATTGAGAGACTACATGTACTGCGGGCCGGCTTGAAACTGAACATAAGATACTGTACCTAATTACCACCCATCTTCTTTAATAAACGCACTGGGAGGGAAGATAAATTTGGAAAACGTGCAAGGTTGCATATCAATTTAGTTAAGATGGTTCCTTGAGATGATAGGTACTTTGTCTATATGACCTCTCTTCATGCCAGAATAGCTATGCGATTCACATTTGTCTTGAATATTTTTGCAATCAGACTGTATACTGTGTTTATGTTGCATCTCTTTTAGCCGCATTCGGGTTGCCTGGTTCCATTTGCCAACATCTCTCCTCAGAATTGCATGTACTCCCATATCTTGCCTAACTGCATCAAATTCCTGTAATTCTGTGTATCTCGAGATAGCTATAGCATCTAATGTTGTTACACCAACGCGTCACTCTTGATTGATACCTCAGTTATGGATTATATAGATCCCAATGTGCTTAGTGTGGCATCTTTCTTCGGAGTCCATGCATGAGATTGCGACTTCTTTGTAAAAGCAGTCTCGTATCTGCATCTGAGTATCTTCCCATCTGTGAAAAGACCGCTCCACAAGTAAATAGTCAAGCCATTGGTCCACCGTAGTACACTTCAATAGAAATACCACATGGATTGCGCTATCTTTAGGATGCGTCGTAGCTGGTCCGCAAGCACTTCTTTATGAGGCGAGTTCTGCTTACCACGTCATCAAGCAGGCCTGTGATTTGTGGAGAAAAAGACACGCTCAGACTCATTCCGTTGATGATCCCCAAACAAAGGCTTTCAATTTATCGTATGACACAGCGAGATCCTCATTCACAAGAACCATGTCGTAAAGCCCAGAAGCATCTACTTGCTCAAGCTCGCGTTTTGCTCGCCCAAGTCTCTTTTCTATGCTTGCATCAGTCTCCGTGCTGCGTTTCCGAAGTCGAGTTTCCAGTTCATCGAAACTTGGTGGCTTAATGAAAACGTAACGGGGGTCTATGATGGCCCTCTCGCGCATTTGCTTTACACCTTCGATATCAATCTCCACCACCACTACCAAACCCTTTGCCATTTAGTCTCTGATGGTCTGTTTGCTGGTACCGTAGTAGTTGCCGCTGAAACACGTATATTCGACGAAAGCACTTTCGGCAATGAGTGATTTGAAATCGGGCTCCGAAACGTAGAAATACGTGTTTCCTTTTGTTTCGCCCTCTCGAGGCTGACGCGTAGTATGGGATACTGTCCTCGTAAATATGCCAGGATGTGCGTCATCCAGCATCTGAATCAAGGTTCCCTTCCCAACCCCCGAAGGTCCAGATATAATAATTGGTCGAACGACTATCGGTTCTGTTTGTGGTCTTGTCAGCTCAAGTTCCAGACAAGCCCGTTGAGATGGACACGACATACTGGAAGCCATCATGGATATGACTCTGAGAGTAATCGGAGTTGAAGACAAGATGTTGCCTACTTTGGAGGCGCAGTTCTCTTGAAATGGTTTAAGGTTTTGGAGAGGATAAATTAATCCCCCGCTAGCGGTTAGTTGAAACACCTAGTCAGGGATCAACCCGCTAATTTGGTCTCAAAGGCGGTTTAGGAGGCGGAATACGCCACTGCGGGAAGATCCCGAGCCAGCTGAAGTACAGCAGTCAGGTACCTAATATAGCGTGGAGGCTGATTACTTGTGTCTGCTGCTTTTTATAGGGGGAAAATACAGGTACGGTGATATCCCCATTCTGATGTCTGACTTGGCATATTGAAAGCCATCAAATTGCAAATACATCATCTGCGTGGGAGAAATATTGATGTAGAAATGACCTGATGCGTGATCGCTCGCTTTACGATAATGGTTTCCCATCGCTTAGACGAGGGATCTTTGGCCCTTATCGTATCGTCAGTGCTGCATCAAATCGGTTTCTTGCTATTTCTGCCCTTCTGCTTGAGCTCCATCCCAATTGCCCTATCTGGATCTATACAATTTTATGAGATACATTGCTAGATCCAGTGAGAGTAATATACACTCCATTGACTGGAAATAATTGCATAATTACAGAATGACATTCTAGCCAGAGCTCCACCGACAAATGCCAGCAGCCGAGGAGCTTATGTTCCTCTTTTTGTTTCTTAGAACCAATTAGACATCATATGGAAGTTCCTCACACGATTATAGATTGCGGCATGTTGCGAATACCCATGTAGTATCTAAGCTTAGCTCTCTTGCTCCAAAGGACATTAAATTATTATGTATGAGCATCTAGAAAATGAAGTTGAAAGAGTAACAAAGTTAGATGACAAAGAGTGACATCTTTAAATGACAAAGAGTGACAATATTTGATACAATAACAATGTTCGATGATAAAGAGTGACAACATAATGTTAGATGATAACCGTGCTGCGCGTCGACCCCGCTAACCCTATTTCAACCCCCTAACAACTCCCTGGCCGAATATGATACATCATATCACGACCTCTTAACAAAACTGTCTTCCATTCTGATCCTGGACCATAAAGCCAGACACTCCAAACTCATCCGGGACAGTCCCCGCTGCGTCCAGGAAAGTTAATGGGGCCGGGGCTCCAGCTTGTGGGTTATTCCCAGGCTGCAACAGCGCAAAACCTTTGCTCGAATTGGTATTATAGGCAAGCGTTACGTCGGTCGGCAGATTGGGGCTGCTGTATAGAGTGCACGACCTCATGTTGTCATCCCCAGGCATGAAAGTATGCTTCCACACCCAGTTCGTGCAGCTAGTTGGGTTTTCAAGACATTGAGCGGCACAGTCGCAGGCAGTCCTGAAGCCATCTCTGAAGAAGAAATGCCGCTCTGTGACGACGCCCGTTATGTCGATACCCCGATAGTAGCGGACGCAGCCGCCATCATTATTTGGAGCCTGCAGATTCGGGAAGCGTTGCTTGGTGATTTTGTTCTTGCAGATTGCCCAATCAGAGTAGCGATTAAAGTCTGGGAAGATGTTGGGGTCCGGGGTGTGGCTCTTATTACCACGGCCGCCGTGATGGGTGAGAGGACTCGCCAGAGCGGTGGAGGAGAGAGCGACAGCGAGGATTGTCGAAGTGAAGTGCATTTTGGCGAGGAGATTTGTGTTGGAGAGTAAGGTAGATAGGAATGATCTGTGGCGGAATGGTGAATGATGGAAAGTCTTGTGATTGATGATTGTGATTGATGATGGTGAGAGAGTACGCATCTCTTGGCATGATGGACCCTTTTATATAGATATCAGCATGGCAGGCGCTTTCAATAATCTATAAATACGGCCATCTATTGCAGTGTGTGAATGAGGTTGATCTGCCACAGCTTGAAGTCGTCCGTCAGAATGCAATAATTCCAGGGTGGCGCGGATGGTTTTTAGCCCGAAGCCACGACTACACATGTGGCTCAAACTTGAAGATGACGAGAATAGTCTGTGGTTCGCCATCGATAGTGATTCTATATGATACTTGTGGATGTTCGGCAATGTTAGCTGCTCAATTGCGGCAGTGCGGTGACAGTCCAATCAAGCCTCGTCCTAAATAAAACTAGTGGCTGCTGACTGGCGGATACATGTACATGTAGTCTTAACAATTGATGCCACAGCGGGAGTACCCTTCCTTCTCATAGGCACCGACGTCCATACGATGTCCGTTTAACATCTTATTCGAGAGAAGCTGAGAACATTTGCTCGTGAATTAAAAGAATAGTGTATATTTTTAGTATTGGATTGAATCTTTCTTCCTGTCCTAGATGCCTAATAAACGAGCCGAAAAAATTAACTTTGACTAACGGTCTATTTGTATTCCGTGAAAACGCCGGTCCCGGCTGGCGAGAGATGGGGAGGAGAAGAGTAAAAGAAATAGTGGACAGTGATATGATAGGGGAAGGGTAATCATAATGTAATAATATAAATTGTGGGTGGGGGGATATTCTGTGTTGACTTTGTTAATATTAGAGTTACTCTAGGCATCTCTTTGGTATACGCATATAGCTACACACTGAACTAGCTACATTGATGTTTTGGAAGTGAACACCAGGAAACTGCTACCTGATTAAGGTCATTTTTATCTCATTAAAAGTAACCAAAATGTTATGTACCCTTCTATGCTCTTTAGACAATATAGACACCCAGTGGTTTAATGTAACATTAGATAAATATAAATCTAGAACTTGTAATTATCATTCGGATTAAGGACTATTATTACACAAAACTGCTACAACTTATCCTCTACGCTGACATAAACCTACATCTTGGTTTATTGCCTTGGGAACTTTTTTCTATTCTTGGAGTATAGGACTGGGATAGTACGATAGTTATCTAGTGACAAGTGATAGTTTTTTATAATTTTGGTGTTGCCCCATGGATGATAGAAACAGAAATAGCTATTTCAACATGTAATATCAGGATACAAGGTACCTTAGCAAATGTCTGGAGGCAAGAAGCTGTAGTGGAAGATATAATCCAACGTTCAGCTTGTCCCTTATAGCTCAAACAAAGCTATAAAAGAAGAGGCTGTCCCTCTTTGTTGAACAGGTTCAGAGATAAATCCAGTCTTTGTTGTATACTTAAGTGCAGGATGGTGGCTAGTCCAGGGTTGTTCACCTCTTTGACTCCATCACTCTTCCCTGCGTTCGATATCTCCTGACAGCAGAGCACCTTGGGCATCCTTGCCCAAGTTCTTGGTATACTGCATATCTACTCATTTAATATAAATAACTGCATTTGCCTGCCATTATGGATCTCTATTATTATTATTATTATTAGTCGTTTATTCTTACTAAGCCAAGATGCTACTTAGTAAATAATAAGATCGAAGTAAAAAAGAGAAAGCTCTATGAGAGGGCTTGATAATTTCAGAGGCGACGTGGATGACATTACCTATGCTCCAAGTATTCAGAAAAGAACAATTAGGTAGAGATTTGATGAAAAGTATCACCAAGATCACTCAAAGTGGCACCCTACAACTTATGTTTCACCCAGACGAATTCCCCTCTTCTCATTAAATAGCATGCTTAGGTGAGCGATGACCGAGCTTTCTCTGCGGACTTATCTGAATTGTTTGCTATTTCGAAGTAGAGCTCCGACTTTCTTATAGTATACTATTCTTTCTTTTCATAGTTCTTTGTTGTACTTCTAGAATGTTCTCTCTCTTGGCAAGAAAGCAACCTTGACATTCTCCAAATGCACAGAAAACATGCATATTTCCTTCACCTCTTCCAGCCCGTCTAGATGAAGTGTAAAATCCATTAAGATCTGAGCTAGCATGATATTCATAGCCACGAGAGCAAGTTCTAGAGTTCAAACGGATACATGTAAGCAACGCTAGGATTTATCAGCAAAGGGAGGAACCACATATACTTACGTTTACCGGGACAGCTGCGAGTCACTCCGCCAAACTCCAACGAGCATTTTTCTGTGAAAGACATCAGTTTCATTTCCTCATATATAGCGCGCAGAAGTGTATTAACAAATATTATCTGTCTTGATACGACAAGGAGAAAACTCACCCATCTCATATCGAATGTCTTGACTCGCTTCCAGCCAGCGCTGTGGTCTGAACTCGTCTGCGTCATGCCCGAAAATGGATTTATCGCGGTGCAGAACCCAAGGAGAAATCCCAACGGTGGTCTATAAATATTATTAATCCACTTTGTGCTAATTGGGTGCTTGTTCAATTAACACTACTCACGCCTTCAGGTAAGAAATAACCATCAATCTCTGCTCCTCCCTTTGGTACGACGCGAGGCAGTGTGGTCCCCGTCGTCGGGTGATAACGCATAGCTTCCGCTAAACATGCCTGAAAATAGGGAAGCTGTTTAGTCTCTTCGAAAGTGGGAGATGCTGATATCTGGCCTTGCTCACGCGCAGCGTCGAGCTCAGCATGTAACCTTTTTTGGCAGCCGGGTGTGCTGGCTATGAGAGTCAGCGTGGCCGTTAGAGTAATTCCCATGGTATCAAATCCGGCGTAAAGCGTTGTGAATGCCATAGCAATGACATCGTCGCGCTTTAGTTGCGGATTTTGCAATCGCAGGCCAATCAGCTTTGCCAAGATGTCTTGGTACTCGGGAGCAATGCTATCCGTGCTCTCTAGACGGGGTTCCATTTGGCTCAAACACCACTTCCCATGAGGCAGTCAGTCGGCCTGTGTGAGTTATACATTCAAGGACAAAAGGGATCAGCGCAACGTACGGGAACTGCGGGATAAGGGGCGTGTTTGTCAAATAAGTGAATACCGAAGCGCTTTATTACCCAGCTGTTGAAGTCGTATAGCCAAGGAAAGAGACCCGACCAATGCGCATAGGCAGACGAGATCTCATTTGCACTTATAGATCCGTCATCTTTGCCTACATCCAGGAGACCAAGGCGTTTTGAAAACAATAAGTTGGTCAAGAGGTCTAAGGAATAATCTTGGTCAACACACCTACTTTCAGCTCAAGCTAACGGCCGTCTGTTGTGCTCACCAATGGAAAACAGATTAATCCACAATGAGAGGTCAACTTTCTCTCCATTATTCCCCATGATTACTTCCGCAAACCGTGAGATGACTTGATGCATCCCATCTTGGAGATCTTGCATTGCACGCACTGTGTACGCAGGGGTGATGAGTCGACGGTGAGTGCGGTACTGAGCCATGTCCGTCTCTCCCATGAGATTAAAGGCCTCTTTCTCCTTGCGGGAACCACAACAAACTTGGTGGTGGAAATTAAATCAGCTTCCACGTCCAAAATCTAGTCTAACAAATGGTATTTTCACATACCGTACCAGTCTGATTTCTCAAATCGACTTCCAGCTCCTATTGAGGAATCGACAACTCAGTTTATGAAAAGCTCTTTTCAATACGGGAGAGAAATGTACCATACAACAGCTGCATTGCCTGTGGACTGGATACGCTGACCTCCTTTGGACCAATTCTAACCACGGAGCCATAGCGATGGTGAAGAGCTATCTCAATGCGATGCATCTTTAGGCTTCGGAACTGGCGGCCCAGCCATAGTCTAGTTAGACTTGCAACCACGGGTCCAGGCACTTTGGCCAGTGGATGGAATATACGCTGGTAAGTGCCATACAAGATGGATGTAGCAATCCCAATAGCAAGCGTAAGCCGGAAAGGACGATTACTGACGTCTAGAAGTCTATCATAGACTGACTGAATGAAAGATGATAGTGCCATGATTGATTTGCACTCCCTGACAAGGGCTTGATCAACTATTTTGCAGTATTCAGCCCTGCCTCTACGCTCCGTATAAGAAGGTAACTATTAGCTCGAAAGCAAAACGTCCAATCTCGAAGTACGATCTAGATATATTAGGGTAGTAATGGCTGCTAATTTTTGGACTCGGTTCTAAACTCGGGCAAACTTTAGATCGGGCCCCCATCTAGAGCAGGGGTCATTGGGTTTGGAAAAGAGTTTGTCTTGATGATTCATGTCTGACAGATGGACTTTATGTAATACCGATGTGGCACTTGTAAAATCCAAAGCTCTCCCCCCCCACTCGCGCTATTCCGGAAATGAAGATAGAACAGCCGAGGATTTGATATGTTTTTTGAATAATAGTATTGAGTCCACGGTTTAATGAAACAGGTTAGAAGGGATAAATACTAGTGATAAACCAGCACTACTGTTTATACGAAGTACTTAAGGGGAGGTTTAAACAAAGCTGGGTTTGTGCCCCTTGCTAGTGTGATTACTTGAGTAATCTGCAAAATCGATTAAGCGTTTCCGTCTGATGTTGGCTCCCCAATATGGGCCGTTGCATTGTTTTTTTGCATCTGATTCCCCAGATGGAGTGAGAATTTATAGTTAAACTCGGCCCGAAGCCAGAGCAACGCCACTCTGGTGGCCCTGTAATATTGCTTGGCTTGAAGGATATTACGCTACTTGTTCCACTTATCTAGTATTTCGTAGCACAACCTGGGCACTTCAAGTACGGATCCAGTCGAAACTTATACCCCTGAATAAATGCAATAGTACTCACCAGAAATACGGGAAAAGCCCTGGGCGCTCTAGCCCAACTAGGAAAAGCTACATTAGCCAACTGAACTTCGAAAGACCCCGGCCAAGGGGCAACATGGCCAAAAATAAGTAGAGGTACTTATATATATGCCGATCAGTCAATGTATTTCACTTGTAGTAGGCCATGGGATATTAAAGTAAGTTATCGATCTGTTTTATATAGAGTGTATACATACCTAATATATGAGAAAGCATACGTCGCTGTATTGCATCTCAGCGTTGTATATATGAAATTATTCCAGAATGTGGGTACTTCGTGACCGTATTGCAAAACTCAACGCTGGTGAGCTTGGATACTTGTGGGTGATTTGGAATCTGTACTTGCACGTAATATTTGGGAGCTCACTAAAATGCGGAGGGCGCCTTTACAGTATCATTTATCACGCGGAATGTCGGTGACCAGGCGGAAAGTACTCTTCAGTCTGGAGTTAGTTCATCATCGCATCATCTAACTGGATGCGAATAACTGAGTCAAGTGAATGACTTCATGTTTCTCCATGTTCTAGCTTGAGTACTCATAATAATATGCTGCCTTTAAAGTCTTGATATAACCCCTATTCTAGCATAGCTCATACGGAGTCTAAGTCCGCAAACAGGAATACTTGCTGACCCTTAGTCTCGTGTATATCCCCACACAGCATAACTGGAGTTAACAATATCCTGAGCTTCGACTCAACGTTTACGGTCGGGGAGCACTGTAGCCCGGGGCTTTGTGGTTAATAACTCCGAGGACTATGAAATTGTGAACCTGATCAACAGTAAGGCGGGCCGTATGAGGAAGGTCATGAGAGTTATGTTCACCGCAGCTTTCGAACGAAGGATAGGCGTACTCTTCCTCGGAAACCCGGGTTAGCCTACCACAACAGACGACCCGAGTCACGAACCACTCAATGAAAGAACAAAATTTTGCTCCAGACCCACTCGCAGCTTCCTTAGGCAAACTAATACGACCTCGTTTAATATATCGCTAATCCCTTACCAGAGCAAATCCATTACTAGATGTGGACCAAGGTACACCATGTTGCTTCTCGCGCGGGTATCTGATGTTTAGCGGCTGATGCAGATCAAACTCGATAAGCGCTAAGAACTGGCTAGTATTTGCGAACACTCCGCATTATTATTTAGTTTGGTGGATACAATGCATTATACTCCACAGCACACGATGCGGCAAAGAGTGTTGCCATATTGGGGAATTAAACCCACTATTCTTCCACCACTTGTCTCCATTTTGATTGCCTTGGCAAGCATGACTTCTCTTGCGTGACAGAGGAATATTGAAACGTGTTTCTCGTAATTGAAATGCAATGTAGGAACGGTTAGAAATCCCCATGGGGTGTAGTTATTTGGAAAAGAAAAACGGGTACCTACATATCTGGACACGCTCTACCAACTGGGCACGGTACTTGTAGCTTATAGTCTTTGAATCTTCCAACTTGTCAAAGTTGGATGTATGCTTCATGCTGGCTATAATTTCCTCCCTAAGCGCTGGGCAGAACTCCCTAAAATGAGTAACATGGCTGAGAACACTGTCAGCTGGCCAGATGGAAATCAAGGTCAAATCGAGTTGCCGGCGTCTTGTTTCATGCCGCTGCTCTGGAGTGGAAATGGTGCTTCCACTTCTCCAATACTGGTGAGAGAAAACAGCGAGGCCCCAACCAAGATAAACTCTATTAGCATCCCTCTGCCGCAGCTCAATGAGACGCTGGTACCAACAACAAGCGGAAATGCCGTGGTAGTATCCACAACGGCTGCACACCTCCTTGCTGCTTGGGCATCTGTGCTGGCAAATTATTCCGATGTCGAATATCCGTACTTTGGGTACACCATTAGGATGCCAGATGGCCAGGATCACCTCTTGTGCCACGCCTGTGTTGCCCAAAGTGGAAATGGCCAAGATGTTCTTTCATCGGTCATGGTGGGTTCTTGGAATCAACACCCATATGTTCAAGGGGGCCTTGAGCCCAATTACAACACACGATTTATTAATGATGGTGGAAATTTGTTCAATCAGGACTGGGAAAAGGTATGTGCATTGAATTCCTATACCATCAATCGGATAAACGGGTTTATCATCCTTCTTCTTCTTAAGCTAATATGAGGCCATACTATCTAGGAACCGATTGTACTTCAGTATTCGGTGGTAAAGAGCCGGCATGAGCTCATACTCCACCACAACACTTCCTCTGTTAGTACTAGATACGCAGAGCTTATCATAGATACATTTCAAAGTATCTTGCAGAGCATCATCCATCACCCTCAGCGCCAAATCCGCGACAATGCCATTCTAGGCCCACTCAATAAGGGCCAGATTTTTGACACAAACAATGTTGCTTTGCCTTCTGCACAATACACTATCCCTCTCATCTTCGGGTTGCAAAGCTTGCTTCACGGCCCCTCTCCCGCGATTGCTTCTGCACACACCAATCTCACCTATGAAGAGCTTGATAGTCTTACTAGCCGTCTTGCTCGCTATCTCCGCTCGCGGGGGCTGGCAGGTCCCAGCAGGCGCATAGCATTATGCTTCGAGAAATCTCCCTGGACAATAGTCGCCTTGCTGGGTGTGCTAAAAGCCGGCAGTGCATTTATCCTCCTAGATGTAGCCTTGCCTCATGAGAGATTGGCTACCATTGTGCAGGCATCCGAGGCACGTACGGTGTTGTGCTCAGAACAACAGTACGGATTGAGTTGCAACATAATCAACACTGACGATACCATAAACCTCATAATTGCGGATGGCATGGGTATTGAGTCGTTGCTTCTTGAGGAGATGGCTGATACCCTGATCTCTGATCATACTGTCCGTCCTGAGGATGAAGCATATATCATTTTCACGTCAGGCACAACTGGTACGCCCAAAGGAATTGTGGTTCAACATGGCGCGTTCTCTATCGGTGCCGTCACCCATGGAAAGGCGATGCTTCTCGATGCCAACTCGAGAGTGTTGCAATTTGCATCATACAGCTTCGATGCTTGCCTGGTGGAAATACTGACAACACTCATCCATGGCGGCTGCGTGTGTGTTCCCGCGCCCTCAGAGCGAGGACCCGGTATTGAATCATTTATGGAAGCAATGGAAGTTAATTGGGCTGTTTTAGTGCCATCCTTTGCTAAAATTTTAAATCCTGACCAGCTACCCTCACTCCAAAAGTTGGTTCTGGCTGGCGAAGCACTGGACAAACAAGATTTGTTGACGTGGACACCACGGGTACAGTTGGTGAACGGTTATGGACCCAGTGAGTGCTGCGTAGCGTCGGTCGTCAATCCTGTCCTATCAATAGGATCTGAACCTCGAGAGATTGGCCGTGCTGTGGGCTGTCGAACCTGGGTTGTTGACCCTGCCGACCATCATCGTTTACTCCCACTGGGCTGCACGGGGGAGCTGCTGATTGAGGGTCCAATTTTGGCTCGTGGTTATCTAAACGACGACAAAAAAACAGATGCATCATTTATTCGCAACCCTCGATGGGCGAAGCTTGAAGGCGCGCCTATGATGGGGAGATTTTACAAGACGGGTGATCTCGTCCGGTATAATGAGAACGGCACGCTGTCCTTTGTTGGTAGAAAAGATACACAAGTAAAGGTCAATGGCCAACGACTGGAACTGGGAGAGATTGAATACCACCTCAGAAGGCTATTGCCAGCTCGATCGCAGGTTGCTGTAAACGCTATACGGCGTCATGGCAATGAGCACACCAGGCAGCTCCTCGTAGCCTTCTTCCAGACTGAATGGGAGTCCAATCAAGGACCTCTCGACCATTTCACTGACGAAGTCATTACTATGACGCCAGGAATGCAAACAATTATTGCAGAACTGCAAAATGCACTCTCGGCTTGCCTTCCTGCTTTCATGGTACCGTCAATTTTCATCCCGTTGTCGAACTTCCCCGCTCTACCATCAGGCAAAGTAGACCGATCTCAGCTTGGCCGCATATCAAATCAACTGTCATCCAAGCAGTTACTGTCTTACTCTCACACCGACCCTGGTCGCGGCACGATCCAGAGACCGGTGACGGACATGGAAGTACGGATACGCCAGCTTTGGGCGGCGGTATTAGGGATAGAAGAAGACATGATAAGCACTGAGGACTCTTTCTTCAGGCTTGGGGGTGACTCTCTCGCTGCCATGCGGCTCACAGTTATTGCTCAAAATGATGGTCTTGCCTTGGTAGTCTCAGACATCTTCAAATGTCCAACGCTGACGCAGCAGGCTGCCATGGTGAGCTTGAGCAGTGATGATGAGCTGAATATTGCTAAGCCATTTGCGCTCTTGAACAGAGACATGGCCTCAAGGCATGACCTTGTGGCCAAAGAGGTGGCCATGATGTGTAATGTTGACGAGGATAAAGTCCAGGATATTTACCCATGCACACCGCTCCAAGAAGGTCTCATTGCTTTGTCTATTCAACAAGGAGGATCGTACGTGAATCGGTTGGTGTATCAATTGCCAGACACCACTGATATAAGCCGATTTCAAGCGGCATGGGAAGAAGTTATATCCAAGAGCCCTATACTAAGAACCCGAATTGTCCAACTCGAGCATCTAGGGATGTTTCAGGCTGTTCTCAGTCAAGAAAAGACGAAGTGGCAAGAAGCGGATGATTTTGGAGCGTATCTTAGACAAGATTCAGCTCCAATGGGTCTAGGTGATCCTCTGGCTCAATATGCGATTATTCAATCTCAGGGAGCAAAGCGATTCGTCTGGACTATTCATCATGCTATACACGATGGCTGGACTGTCCCGCTGTTGTTGAGAGCCGTCAGCCTCATCTATGAGAACTCTACACCTCTTGTCCCGTTCAAACCATTTACCGGTTTCATCTCCTATTTACAGCAACTGGATGCTGAGGCCTGTCGCAATTTCTGGGTGTCGCAGCTAGAGGGCGCTCAGCCTGTCCCATTCCCTGAAGTTACCCATCTCGGACAGCAGATTTGTGCTGATTCCGTCATCTCAAGAACAGTGCGTCTCTCTCAAAAAACTGGATCAGACACTACCGTTTCATCTCTACTTCGAGCCGTATGGGCTCTGGTTGTTTCACAGTATTCTGGCACCAACGATGTAGTATTCGGAGCAGTATCTGCTGGTCGCCACGCGCCCGTTCCTGGCATTACAGCCATGACTGGTCCAACCATAGCAACAGTGCCCGTGCGAGTGACTATTGATGGCAAAATGCCCGTTTCCGCCTTGCTGCAACATTTACAAAAACAATCCACAGATATGATCCCATTCGAACATGCAGGACTCCAAAATATTCGCAAATTCAGTAGCGATGCTGAGAGCGGTTGTTCGTTCCAGAATCTGCTCGTTATCCAACCCACCATCCCAATGGATCACGCGAATCAACTTTTTCATCACCAGCTTGAAGAAAGGGATACCTCAACTATGTTCACTTACCCCTTGACCATGGAATGCAAGATAGGCGCCGAAGACGTGGAATTGGTCGCACAATTCGACAAGCGCGTCATCGATCCCCAGCTAATGAATCGCATACTTCGTCTCTTTGAGTATGTTCTGCTTCAAATTACGGACGAGAAAAACAAGTTATTGGACGTTGGTAGTATCGATTTTATCCATCCAGATGAATTGCTCGAGCTCCAAATGGCGGCGGGAGAGCCGGTGAAGGCAACGGCAGCATGCCTCCATTTTCTAGTAGAGAAACGAGTCTTGACTCAGCCCAATGCCGCAGCAATCTGCTCCTGGGATGGGGAATTCACTTACGAGGAGCTCTCATCTTTGTCGAGCCGGTTTGCAAATCATCTAATTGCTGCTGGTGTAAGACCTGAGGTCATTGTTCCTATATGCTTCGAGAAGTCTGCATGGGCCGTGGTCGCAATGCTTGCTATCATGAAAGCGGGAGGTGCAGTTATGGCCTTGGATCCAGCCCATCCAATCCAGAGACTCGAGTATATGGCACACGATGCAAATGCATCTTTGATCATTACGTCGCCATATTTAGCCCACCTCTTCAAAGATTCTTTATTCGGGATTCAAATTCTGTCCCAAGAGCTCCTGGATTCTCTTCCGAACAAACACGGGAACCCTCAAACTTCTATTCAACCTTCGGATCCAGCTGTTATCATCTTTACTTCTGGTAGTACTGGAAATCCAAAAGGAATTGTATTACCCCACTCTTCATTATGCTCGAGTTCTGCTGCTCATGTGAAGCCTTTTGGTATTACCAAGAATTCCAGAGTTCTCCAGTTTGCCGCATATACCTTTGACGAGAGCATCGAAGATATCTTCACCACCTTGATTGTTGGTGGCTGTATTTGCATCCCCTCAGACGTCGATCGACTGAATGATCTCACAGGCGCAATTAACAAACTTCAAGCAAATTGGACCATCATCACACCAACAGTCGCTGGCCTTCTTAATCCTGCTGACGTTCCTTCCTTGAAGACTATAGGATTTGGAGGCGAGCCTGTCACCAAGGCCCTCATTGCCAAATGGAGTCCATATGCACGAGTCATGAATATCTATGGACCGGCGGAGTGCTCAATGACGGCCATATGTAATACAGATTTACAAGTTTCCGACGCGAGTTGCATTGGCAGACCTGTGGGCAGCAGAGCTTGGATCGTCAACCCGGAAAACCACAATCAGCTTGCTGTGTACGGCAGCATTGGAGAGCTTTTACTAGAAGGACCGATATTAGCACGAGGATACCTAAACGACGAGGCGAAAACGTTAGCGGCCTTTATTATGTCTCCCATTTGGTCGCGTGGATCGTCAGACGGAATACCACGTCGATTCTATAAGACTGGAGACTTAGTGCGCTTTGGCGTTAATTCCATGCTTCAATTTGTTGGCCGGAAAGATACCCAGGTTAAACTACACGGCCAAAGAGTTGAATTGTCAGAGATTGAGCATCGGATTTCTGTAACTGGGAAGTGTGGCGAAATTATGGTATGCATGCCCAAAGCTGGGCTTTGTCACCAGCGCATATGTGCTGTATGGGTGCCTCAAGAGGCAAAATTAAGACAAGACGTTGAAAGGAGCAAGACCACAAGCATACAATTATGGAGCGGCCCAACGGAATCCTACATCTCGAGACTTCGAGAGCACCTACACGCGGTGCTTCCAGTATACATGATTCCAAGTTTATGGGTTGCAGTCCACAATATTCCTCTGCTTCCTTCCGGCAAACTCAACCGACGGACTGTATCGCAGTGGCTCTCAGAGATGGATCTAGAAACTTTCCAGAAATTGAATCAAGGTACCGAAGAGAGCGACTCATCCTCGGATGGCCCTACTACAGATATGCAAAGACGGCTTCAAGAGATTTGGGGTCGCGTGCTTAACTTGAGCCAATCTAATCTATCTCTCCAGAAGTCATTTATCCGCTTGGGAGGAGATTCTATAAGTGCAATTCAGGTCGTCACCAGATGTCGGTCGGAAGGAATCCATACGACTGTCCAAGAAGTTTTGAAATGCCAATCTATTATCGACCTGGCTAGACAGGTCTCTGTTATCGAATCCGGTTTGGCCCTAGTGGAGAGTGAAGAAGCAACTGGAATTCTCTTCAATCTCTCCCCAATACAGCTTATGCATACAACGCTTGTTCCGAGAGGGACTAATCACTTCAATCAGAGCTTTCTTCTGCGACTCGACAAGCATGTGGCCGCATGTACTATTAACAGTGCAATAGCAGCCTTGGTGAAACATCACTCGATGCTTAGAGCTCGGTTTTGCCAAGTTGAGAATAATAAGTGGAAGCAGTTTATCACAGACAATATTGAAGACTCTTACAACTTCAGAGTGCACGCTGTAAAGCAACAGACTGACACACTATCCATAATCGAAGAAAGCCAACGAAGCTTACACATCCAAAAAGGACCGCTTTTCGGGGCACATCTCTTCGAAGTGGATGGCGAAAACCAGATGCTATTTCTTGTGGCACATCATCTCGTTATAGATTTGGTCTCCTGGCGTATTATACTGCAGGACCTGGAAGACATATTACAGACAGGAGTCTTGTCTTCTCCTAAGTCTCTATCGTTTAGGTCCTGGTGTGACTTGCAGGCAAACTACTCCCGCGAGCATCTCGAGACTACCGATACACTGCTACCATTTAAACTGCCAGCTGTGGGACCTGACTACTGGGGAGTAGGCGTAAGCAAAAACACGTATGGCGACGCTACATCACAGACCTTTACGCTCAGTTGCCAAACAACACTACAGCTCTTGACTGACTCAAATCGTGCCATGGGCACCGAGCCACTGGATATCATGCTGGGTGTGATTTTGCACACGTTCAATCAGGTTTTTAATGACCGCAGCCCTCCAACGGTATATAACGAAGGCCATGGGCGGCAGCCTTGGGACTCAGCGATCGATTTGTCGAGGACTGTGGGTTGGTTTACAACCATTTCGCCGGTAACCATAAATTCCACAGAAGATGCTATTGACGCTGTGAGGCGTGTGAAAGATATTCGACGTTTGATCCCAGATCAGGGTTGGGCATGGTTTACTTCCAGTCTTCTTTCCAAAGAATCTCCTGGTGAGGCTGGCATAACCTCTCCACTGGAAATAATGTTCAACTATCTTGGACAATATCAACAGCTCGAACGAAGTGATGCGATAATTAGACAAGTTATGCAAGAAGGGTTAGAAATCATGGATGTTGGAACCGATGTCCCAAGACCTGCCTTGTTTGAAATATCCGCTGTCGTCGAGAGTGGACAAATGAACTTCACCATCTACTACAATCGCTGGGCTAAGCAGCAAGCAGAAATTCAGATGTGGGTTTCAAGCTTTGCAAACGCCCTTGAACACATCTCTGGCCAACTATGTGGCATGGAACCGCTACAAACACTAAGCGATTTCCCATTTTTGCATATGAATTATGATCGATTGGCGGAGTTTGGAGAAGCAATTACCGCACAGACTGCACTGCAACTCGGGGCTGATGTAGAGGGGGCTTACCCATGCTCACCCATGCAAGAAGGATTGATTCTTAGCCAGATGAAAGACGATGGACTTTATCGCATAGTTCATATATGGGAAGTAAAAACACGTCAGGCGGGTCAAGAGGTTTCTCCTGAGCGTTTACGTGATGCTTGGTTGGAGGTTGTTAGACGACACTCTTCCTTGAGAACCATTTTTCTTGAATTTCAGCCTGCATATGCCTCGAATACTCCTCTGATTCAAGTGGTGGCTAAAGAAAGTTTCGATATGGGATCAGTAACGTGCTTCAGCCATGCAGATCCAGCGACAGCTCTTGAACAGCAAAAACCCATGCTACAATCGGGGACATTATCACCTCAGTTCCTATCCATTTCCTATTCAGAAGACGGAAGAGTTTTCCTGAAGTTAGAAATCAGCCACATCATTGTAGATGGCGCTTCAATGTCTATCCTATTACGAGACTTGGCTTTGGCATATGAGGGCAAATTGTCCAACATGCAAAGACCCCCGCTCTATCAAGACTATATCGCTTACCTTGAGAATACGAACCGCACACTCGCTGTCGATTATTGGAGAACTTATCTGGCGAATCTATCACCCACTTTCTTTCCTATCCTCAATGACAATATCGCAGTGGAAGAACTTCAAGCGATGCGAGTTAACCTGACCAGAAGTTCTGAACTAGTGGCCTTCTGTAAACGAAACGACATCACTTTAGCGACACTTTTCCAGGCGGCCTGGGGATTAGTGTTGAGCTGCTTCACTTCACAACAAGACACTTGTTTCGGATTTCTGGCTTCCGGGAGAGATATCCCCATCAATGGCATCGATGACGCTGTGGGATTATTTATTAACTTGTTGATCTGTCGCTGCAATCTGAAACCCCAGCTCCAATTGAAGGAAGTCCTCGAGTCTGTGCAATCAGATTTCGTAAATAGCTTACCGCATCAGCATTGCCCATTGTCAGAAATTCAACATGCCCTTAGTCTTCCCGCTTCAACATCACTATTCAACACAATAATGTCCTTCCAGAGGAAGTCAGACGATGGTGAAAGCGCACTCGATTTTAAGATGATAGTTGGAAACGACCCAACTGAGGTAAGTCATGAACAAAACTCAAGTATAGTTCATTTTTTAACTCGTATGTAGTACGATATAACCGTCGATATCGAAGCCACCAAGGAGGATATTGCAGTTTTTCTCCGATACAGAACAGCTCGCTTGTCTCCGGCACAGGCTTCCAATGTGGCAAGCACGCTGGATCAAACAATTTGCCAGATATTAGACGCACCAAGCATGCCCGTCGAGGAAGTCGATTTCTTCAGCAATTACAACCTATCCCAAGTCTCTCTATGGAATTCCAACTACCCAGATACTGTTGAAGGTCTTGTTCATGATCTCGCCTTGCAAACCTCACTCAGTCATCCAGACATCTTGGCTATAGAATCTTGGGATGGGAAGCTCTCCTATCGTGAGTTAGATATTCTTTCCACAAAGCTTGCGAATCATCTTCGCACTCTCGGAGTTGGGCCAGAGGTCAAGGTGCCCTTGTGCTTCAGCAAGTCACTGTGGATGATTGTTTCTATGTTGGCGGTCTTGAAATGCGGTGGCGCATGTGTAGCTCTGGATCCTCGATATCCACGGAATAGGCTACAGTCTCTTCTGGAAGATGTTGACGCAACGGTGGTACTCAGTTCTCCCGAGCATGCAGGTATCTTTGAGAATCCAGCGTCCGACCTGCTCGTAACAGTAGTGAGCTCCGAGCAAATGAACAGTTTGACTTCCAGCAGCCACCAGTCTCAGGAAATAGATGTTACCCCTGGAAACCCAGCATTCGTTGTATTTACATCTGGAAGCACAGGCAAACCTAAAGGAATTGTTGTTGAACACAGGGCTTTCTGTACAAGCGCCCGTCAGCATGTTGTCAGTCTTCATATCGACTCAACTTCTCGCGTTCTTCAATTCGCAGCATATACGTTCGATGTTAGTCTCTGTGACATTTTCATGACGCTTATGGAAGGCGGATGCGTTTGTATCCCGTCAGAAGAAGAGCGAATGAACAATCTTGCAGGAGTCATCAACAGGCTGAAAGCAAATTGGATCTGCCTCACTCCAACAGTAGCCAGCCTACTTCACCCCGAAAAGGTTCCTTCAATTCATACGCTAGCAGTTGGAGGAGAAGCATTACCACAAGAAATTGTCAATCTTTGGGCGGATAAAGTCGCTCTGATTAACGTTTATGGTCCATCTGAATGTACGGTTTGGTCAATGTGCGCGTACGGGCTCAAGCCAAAATCTGCTCCTCGAAATATTGGTCGTATTTTCTCATCTTCCGTCTCCTGGATTGCAGATGCCAAAAATCATAACAGACTTGCGCCGATTGGAGCAATTGGAGAGCTTTTAATTGAGGGGCCGACTCTTGCAAGAGGATATCTGAAAGAACCAGAAAAAACAGCCGCTGCATATGTTGGAAAGCCGCACTGGCTTCAAAGGCTTTTCAATGATCCAGAACGATTGGGTAGAATGTATAAAACTGGAGACCTAGTCCGTTATGAGTCCGACGGCACCATGACGTTCATTGGCAGAAAGGATACGCAGGTCAAAGTGCGTGGTCAACGAGTAGAGCTTGGAGAAATTGAGTATCACCTCAGGCAATTGACATCTCCAGATTGGATATGTGTAGTTGACGTGGTAAAATCCAGAATTGGGGCTGCGGAGCCCATTCTAGTTGCATTTCTCTGCACTCAAGAGAAGTCGGCTGATCCTAAGAACGGAACGACACAAGATGAAATAGACAAGACAGAAAAGACCAACGAAAAAACAACATACAGCATGTCAACCACTCTTTCAGATCTCGGAATCACAGGATCTCTATCCACTGCCTTGGCAGAATTCCTACCTGAGTATATGATTCCATCAGTCTACATACCGCTGAGGCAAGCACCTACGACCTCTTCCGGCAAAACCGACAGAAAAGTCTTGCGCCAGATCTACAATGATGAATTGTCAACTCAACAACTCTCGGCTTACATGGGACTGGAAAGTATAAAGCAGGCTCCCTCGACGCAAAAAGAAATAAAATTACAAGAACTTTGGGCGACGACTCTCCAGATACCGTCAAAATCGATCGGAGCTGGGGACAGCTTTTTCCGTCTCGGTGGAGATTCATTCTGTGCAATCAAACTAGTCAGTCTTGCAGGTTCACATAATATTCAGCTGTCAGTGGCAACTGTCTTCCAGAATCCAACGCTGCAACAGATGGCGGCGGCTGTTGAGAAAATCGGTACTGCTGAGCCTCAAAGCGCTGAATCTTTGACGATTGAGCCGTTTTCGTTGTTGCGACTTCCAAGATCACAGGATTCAAGAAATCCCCTTGAAGGAAAGGAAATATTGGGGGAGATTTCTGACCTAGCAGAGCTAGCAGGAATATCGTCCATCACTGATGCCTATCCTTGCACTCCTCTTCAGGAAGGTCTCATATCTCTATCCATTAGTGAGCCCGGAACGTATATTGCACAGAAGACGTTTGCATTACCTGCTTCTATGAGTCTATCCCGATATTGCTCTGCTTGGGACACAGTTGTTAAAGAAAATCCAATTCTGCGATCCCGAATCGTCCAGACGAGAGATCAAGGCATGTTGCAGATAATACTTGATGATGTAATTGAGTGGCAGTTTGGCGATAGTCTAGACGGCTATTTAGAGCAAGATCGTCGGATTCCAATGGGTCTATACGATCGGCTGACACGGTATGCTATCATAAATGATAATGGAAACCAGTATATGGTGTGGACAGCACATCATGCAGTGTACGATGGGTGGTCACTTCCACTGATAGAGCAGGCGGTGGACCGAGCCTATAAGGGACTTGCTACCGATTATCACCCTCCTTTTAACCAGTTCATTCTCAGTGTCATGAAGATTGACAACCAAGCAGCTATGCGTTATTGGCAGTCCCAGATAGCAGGTTTCACTGCCATAGACTTTCCTCCTATTCGGTCGTCCAGTGTTAAAGCACGTGCGTCAGCTACTGTTGAGAGCATCTTCAAAGTCAACGCCAACCCTGTCGCCTCTAATAACATAACTATGTCCACTATTATTAGAGCTGCCTGGGCAATTTTGGTAGCCCGCCATGGTGGAACTAAAGACGTTGTATTCGGAGCTGTGTTGAACGGACGGAATGCCCCTGTCCGTGGGATAGACAACATGATCGGCCCAACGATAACCACAGTCCCCATCCGGATTACGCTGGATGACGCTGAACGTTCATCTGTATTTTTAGAAAGGGTACAAAGGCAAGCAACAGACATGATCCCATTCGAACAGACCGGATTGAGCAATATCGGTCGTATTGGTTCCGATGCATATGCCGCATGTCAGTTTCAAAATATTCTCAGTATCCAAACAGAAAACAAGCTCAGTTCTGTGGACGTGACAAATCCGAACCACTTAGGAAATGCTTTAACATTCCCTCTGGCGGTTGACTGCACAATCTCTAAGGACAGCATACTTGTTATAGCTCAGTTCGACGAGCAAATAGTGTCGTCGGCGTGGGTGCGTTCAACACTCCACCAGTTCGAGCATGTGTTGGGCCAGCTTATCTCTGCGCAACCCCATACTACGATTGGCCATATCACAGCTTGCAGCCCTCAAGATGAGCTTCGGATAGAGGGCTGGAATGGCGAATATCCTACAATTACTAAGCAGTCCATAAGTGATTTGATCCTACAACAAGCAGCACTTCAACCTGATGAAGAAGCTATCTGCTCTCGAGATGGAAATCTGTCTTATCGCCAACTAGACAACCTGTCCGCACTCTTGGCCCAACATCTTCTAAGTCTTGGGGTTGCCAGAGAAACCCGCGTACCATTGTACTTTGAGAAGTCTAAGTGGATGGCTGTGGCCATGCTTGCAACCATGAGATCGGGAGCCAGTTTTGTTCCTTTGGATTCTTCCCATCCAATCAAACGAGTGGAGGGGATCATACGTGATGTAAACGCATCGGTTCTCCTCGTCTCAGAAAAGCAAGCAGATCGATTATCTACCGGCTCGGCCCAGCAAATTGTTGTTTCAGATGCATTGATGCGTAAGCTCAGTATCAGTTCCACAATCCTAACAATGTCGCCTTCAATAAATCCATCGGACATTGCCTACATTCTCTTTACATCAGGTAGCACTGGACTGCCTAAAGGAGTGATGATTGCGCATAGTTCATTGGCTACTGGTGTTGTAGCGCATGCTAACGCACTGGGAATGGATTCAAAGGTACGAGCACTTCAGTTTGCCTCTTACGCATTTGACGCAAGTATCACCGAGACTCTTGGTACTCTTGTGTACGGCGGTTGCGTATGTGTCCCTGCAGATGATGAACGACTTGAGAACATCGTTTCAGTTATCAACGATATGAAGATAACCTGGGCGCTCCTCACACCATCCTTTGTGACCCTAGTTGATCCTTCGGATGTGCCGACTTTAAAATATCTAGTTTTAGGAGGAGAGGCACCAACCGAGGCTCTCATACACAAATGGAGGGGAAATGTGCATCTGTTTAACGCATATGGGCCTACAGAGTGTACTGTTGTTTCTCTCGTAAGAAACATAGGAGAACCAAGCTCCATCCACGGCCCAATGACAATTGGGCGTGGTATAGCTTCCCTTTCATGGGTGGTAGATGTGAATTGCCATGATCGTCTATCGCCTATCGGTGGGATTGGAGAGCTTCTCATCGAAGGTCCGATTCTGGCGAAAGGATATCTCAACGATGATGCTAAAACGAAGCAATCATTCATTGAGAATCCAAATTGGGCAAAGACTAAAGATGGCAAAAGTCGCCGGTTTTACAAGACTGGTGATCTGGTACGTTACAACGAAGATGGTACAGTGCTCTTCGCAGGCAGACGCGACATCCAGATCAAGCTTAGGGGCCAAAGAATTGAGATTGGGGAGATCGAAAATTACTTATTCAGTACTACTTGGATTGAGAACGTTGTCGTCACTATTCGATCGTCTGGCTCAGGAAATGAGAAATTGGTTGCAATCATATCGCCTCGATCATCAGAGCAATCTATCCAAGTTGATACAGATATAGAGCTCTTCACTTCATCTCAAAGGGCTCAGTTTATAAACCCTCTAGAAAAGCTCAGAGACGATATGATGGGGCAGCTTCCTGAATACATGGTCCCTACAGGGTGGATCCTCGTCAAATCAATCCCCCTATCATCTTCTGGTAAAACTGACAGGAAACGATTAATCAATTGGATTCATTCATTGAAAGATGACGAATTTTATACTGCCACACAGCTGTTTATGTCGTCAGAAACTCACGGAAGGCCTGCCTCATCAATGGAGACCAAGATCCGACAGGCATGGTGCCAAGTTCTGGGACACCCAGAACATCTTGTCGGTCTAGATCAGCCCTTTCTCACAATTGGTGGTGATTCTATATCTGGAATGCAAATTGTTGCTCAGTGCAGATCAGAGGGTATTCATATTACATTAAGAGATATCCTTCAGTCAAAGACCATATCCAAGCTAGCGTTACGTGCAAAGGCATCCCTGCCTCTTCCTATGTTCAGCGAAGATGATGGAAATGAGGAAGAGTTGATGAAGCCCTATTCATTGACACCTATTCAACAGTTATTTTTTGAGCATAACCCGAGCGGGAATAACCACTTCAACCAGAGTTTCTTGCTCCAATTAACGAAGCCTGTGTCGTCTGAGATCTTAGCCAATGCACTGCAGACAATTGTTCAGCGTCATGAAATGCTGCGAACATGCTTCAAAAAGGTGCAGAGTCAGTGGGTGCAACAAATCAGCAACAATGCTTCAAATGCCCATCGATTTCGAGTACATGAAATGGTCACTGAGGATGCAGCCAATAGCATCTACGCGGACTGTCAGGAATGTCTTGATATTGAAAAAGGCCCATTGTTCGCTGCAGAACTGCTCAACATGTCCGATAATGCCAAGAACCAGCGGCTCTTCCTATCTATTCATCATCTCGTCATCGATCTAGTATCTTGGAGAATCCTCCTGCGAGATCTTGAAACCTTGCTGCGTTCAGAATCTTTGTCGACTGACCGACAGCTAAGCTTCCGCTCATGGTCACGAATGCAAGAGCAATTTATCACTAATCAGTTCGCGTCGCTACCCCAGTCGAGGCTTCCTTTTGAGGCTATTACATCTGATTATAGCTACTGGGGTATGCAGAATGAACAGAATCTCTACAGGGATGTAGTAGAGAGAAGATTTACACTGGCACAAGATGTAACAACGAGTCTATTCAACAATTGCAATAAGGCTTTTGGGACAGAGCCACTCGACATAATGCTCTCTGCTCTCTCATATGCATTCAAACACACTTTTGACGATCACAAAGGCGCATCAATCTTTAATGAAGGCCACGGCCGTGAAAGCTGGGACGCTTCCATCGACTTGTCGGAAACCATCGGCTGGTTCACTATACTATGCCCGGTTACTGTGACTCTTACAGAAAAGGATGACATATTTGCAGCACTCATTAAGACAAAAGATACACGAAGAGGAATTCCAGATAATGGTTGGGCTGAATTCAACCGTCAGCATTTCTTCGCCAAGAGACAAGATACAAATATGAACCCATCGCCCGAGATTTTGTTCAATTACGCCGGCAGGTTTCAGCAACTCGATGACACGGAGGCTGTTTTGCGGCAGCTTCCATACCCGGTCAATGCTTCAGGGGATTACAGCCCCGATGTTCGGCGTTTCGCTCTCCTAGAAGTTGCGGCCGGTGTGGAATCTCAAGGCTTGACCTTCTCATTTGCCTATAACTCCAGAATGCGTCATCAAGGCCAGGTAGAGGAATGGATCAACAGGACTGAACAAGTATTACAGGAGTACAGCCTCCAGCTAGCGCATCGAAAGTATCGGCCCACTCTAAGTGATTTCCCCTCAGCTATCGGGATGTCTTACGAGAGTCTTGACCGACTTATGTCGACAACGCTTCCGCAGCATGGATTATCTATTGATATGATCGAGGACATGTACTCCTGCTCACCTATGCAAAATGGACTACTGATTAGCCAAAGCAAAAGTGCAGATGTCTATGATGTTGACATGACTTGGAAAGCATCTTTATCTTCTCAAAGGCCAGGCTTCGTTGACGTTTCTCGATTGCAACAAGCTTGGCAGAGAGTGGTAGACAAGCAACCTATCCTTCGGACCGTTTTTGTCACTTCCAATTCCCAAGAACTCGCTTTTGATCAGGTTCTTCTAAAGAATGTCGATGCTGAAATACTGATTGTGAAGACAGACGCCGATAATGCCTTGACAAGCTTGAACGACTTACCCAGGAGAAAAAATAAAGAAGGACGACCGCCACATCGTCTTGCCATCTCTGTTACCTCTACCATGGATGTTTATTGCAAGCTCGAGATTAACCATGCATTGATAGACGGAACATCTACAGCGATAATTATGAATCAACTCAGCCAAGCATATGATAGAGATCTTACGGCAGTTACAGCAGTCCCGTACAGCCAATACATATCCTATATCCAACTGCAAAACTCCAACGAATCTATCAACTATTGGAAAGGATATCTATCCAACACTGAGCCATGCATCTTTCCATCTCTCACAGACGGCGTTGTTTCGACCGAGCGCCAATTACGAGCTGTTACCGTCAGCGTCGACGACACAGTGGCAGATGTGGACAGATTTTGCGAACAGCACGGCATTACTTCGTCCAACTTGTTCATGGCCGCCTGGGCATTTGTGCTTCGTGCCTACGTTGGCACTGATAGTGTTAACTTCGGGTATCTAGCCTCTGGACGAGACATTCCTATATCTGGAATTGAGCATGCAGTAGGGCCTTTCATAAATATGCTTGTCTGCAGCGTTCAATTTGATAGAGGAGCCTCGCTGGTGGACGTTGTTGGCAAGATGCATGCGGACTATGCGCAAAGTCTGCCGTATCAACATTGCTCGTTGGCGGACATTCAACACAGTCTCGACACTTCGAGCCAGCCACTCTTTAACACTGTCTTATCGCTCCAAAAGCAATCATTAAACTCTGATCCTTCGTTGGATAGCACTAGCATCTCCTTTCAAGTGGTAGATGCCCAAGATCCCACAGATGTAAGTTGGAAATATTATTCAGATCACGAAAGTACATTAAGCGTCATCTAACACTTAATACAGTATGATGTGACAGTAAACGTTCTCATTTTGAAGACGGGAATATCAGTCTCATTAAGCTATTGGGACTCTTGTCTGTCCGACAATCAGGCATTGAATGTCGCCAGTAGCTTCTCTGCTGCATTGAGGGGGATTTTGAGTAATGCAAAAACCGTTGGTGACCTGAATCTCTTCAGCGAGTATCACAAAACACAGATTCAGGGCTGGAACAAAAATTGCACTGATCCTGTCAAGAACTGTATCCACGAAACATTCGAAGAGCAGGTCAAGCTTCGTGCGGAATACCCAGCCATCTCTTCTTGGGATGGAAAATTCACATACTCAGAGCTGGATTTACTGGCTAGTCGACTGGCTCATCATCTCAAGGGATTGGGATTGAAGCATGGCGACTTTGTGCCTCTCTGCTTCGATAAATCTTCTTGGACGATTGTTGCCATGATTGCAGTTCTCAAAGCTGGTGGAGGTTGTATCTCCGTGAGTCCGGCATTCCCCGCTCCTAGGCTTGCAAAGATTGTCAATGAATCCAACGCACACATCGTTCTTGTCTCGCCGAAACACGGGCATCTGTTCTCGAACTTGGTGGACCAAGTTATACCAGTAACGGCAGATCTCGTTGAACAACTTCCCGATATTGAAATACCAGCTTGTACCACTGTGACATCTCAGAGTGCAGCTTTTGTTCTCTTTACCTCTGGATCTACCGGCGAGCCAAAAGGAATAGTGCTAGAGCATGGTGCCATTTGCACCAGTGTCAGTGAACATGGTCCAGCCCTACGCATTGGCCCGGATTCACGTGTCTTGCAGTTCTCCGCCTACATATACGATGTCTCTTTTGGAGAGATATTCACGACTCTTATGCGAGGTGGTTGCGTCTGTGTGCCAAGCGAAGAGGAGCGCGTCGATGGCCTTGCCGAAGCGATGAACAAGCTAGAAGTTAATTGGGCTTTCCTTACGCCCACAGTCGCAGGATTACTCAAGCCTGCAGAAGTGAAGACTCTGAAAGTACTGGTTCTTGGTGGAGAATTTGCGACAAAAGATAATATTGAGACTTGGAGCCCGAGTTTGTGTTTGATCAACAGTTATGGGCCAGCCGAGTGCGCTATATGGTGTTCATACAACCCAGGTTTGCAAGTTGACTCTTCGCCATTCAATATTGGAAGGACAACCGGAAGTCGGCGATGGGTTGTAGACCCGAATAATCACAACATTCTGCTACCTATTGGATGTGTGGGTGAATTGTTGGTAGAAGGGCCTACACTGGCACGAGGCTACTTGAACGATGCCCAGAAGACCAGCAAGGCTTTTATAGAACACCCGCAATGGTTAAGTAAGGAGGAAGACTCCACTCTGCCTCCACGACGGTTCTATAAGACAGGTGATCTTGTGCGTTACAATTCAGATGGAACCCTTGACATTGCAGGGAGAAAAGACACACAGATAAAGCTACATGGACAACGCATTGAGCTTGGAGAAATCGAATATCATCTAAAACGTGCTACACCTGATGGATGGCACTCTTCAGTTGAATTGATAAAGCCAGCAGGAAGAACACTTCTGGCTGCCTTCCTTGGAGTTAACGACGGCGAAAGTCGCCAAGAGGCCACAATTCTTCCTGTTACATCTGACTTGCAAGAGATCATGCTTCAAATACAATTCGAATTGACAAAGTCCCTCCCTCGGTACATGGTACCAACCGCATATATCCCAATGACGACTATCCCTTTGACAGCTGGCGGCAAGACAAACCGAAAGATTCTGCGGGAACTTGGCCAAACAATAACAGTCGAACAGCTCAATTCTCTGTCGCCCTTGGTAGCGAATAAATCTCCCCCAAAGACGCCTATACAGAAGCAATTGCAGGAGTTGTGGGCAATAACACTAGGCATTGAGCAAAAGTTTATCGGATTGAGCGACGATTTCTTTTACCTGGGAGGAGATTCTATATATGCTATGAAGCTCATTGCCGCAGCACGCCAAGTCGGATTGGGAATTTCCATGGCGGCCATCTTCCATCAGCCAGCACTGTCAAATATGGCGGATGAATTGGTTCACATTGATGAGGCTGTTGAGAAGCAGACTTCCTCATTTGATTTGCTTCCCACACCGGATTTAAGAGCTGGCATTCTCACCAAAGCAGCTCAAGTTTGCAAGGTACCTACAGCTGCGATTCAAGATATATATCCTTGTACACCACTTCAAGACGGTCTTATGGCTCTTTCAATAAAGAATCATGGTTCCTATGTTTCTCAAAGCGTATACACTCTCCCAAGCAGCATTGAGATAAACCGTTTCAAAGAGAGTTGGGAAGTTGTCTTCAAACATACTGATATACTACGAACAAGAATTATCGAATCTACGGAATCTTCTTCACTACTTCAAGTTGTCATTGACGAAGGTATCCAATGGATATATGAGGATAAACTTGCCAAATATCTTGAGGAGGATCATAAGTGTTCGGTTGGGTTTGGCAAACCGCTAGCTCGCTTTGCCTTGACAGGCATCGATTCAAACGACCGCCACTTTATCTGGACGTCCCATCATGCTCTTTACGATGGATGGTCTAAGAATCTTGTTTTGAGTTATGTTTACGCTTACTATCAAGGAATCGAAATAGCGCCGCTGCTCCCTTTCAAAGATTTCATCCGTCATCAGGAGAGTTCCAGTTCCAGCGAATCTGCCAATTTTTGGAGGGGACAATTGACACAGGCAAACCAAATTCACTTCCCCTCATTACCTTCAGCAGATTATCAAGCTCGTACTGATCGAAGAGATTTCCATCACATCAAGTTTCTTCGCGCACAAAGAGCAGCATCAAACATCACCTCATCAACCATTATTCGCGCTGCATGGGCAATTGTTGTCAGCCGCTACTCATCTTCGGACAACATAGTATTCGGTGCCACTTTAAGTGGTCGGAATGCACACGGTCTCCCAATTGAAAGCATCGCCGGACCTACCATCACCACAGTCCCAGTCCGTTGCCATGTTGATAAGACAGCACCTGTGGCAACGTTTCTGAAGAGGGTTCAACAAGAAGCAGCAAATATGTTCGCTCATGAGCAGTTTGGTCTTCAGAATATCAAGCGGCTTGGATCAGAGTTCCGGGAGGCTTCCGACTTCCAAAACTTATTGGTGGTGAATCCCAGCCCGACAGAGTCATCCGTCGACAGCCTGTTCCACGAATACGCTATTCCAGGCCATCAAGCCGACTTCCTCACATACCCACTGACAATCGAATGCACACCGAGCTTCAGTTCTGAGGGCCTGGATGTCGTGGCACAGTATGACTCAAAAGCAATTTCTCCAGAGCATATATCACGCCTCATACAGCAGTTTGAGCATGTCCTTAGTCAACTTACATCTGAGAATGAACTGACGACCCTAAGCGATGTGGAAGTTACCAGCCCTCAAGATAAATTGGACATTCTAAGCTGGAATAACCAGACTTTGAAATACACTCAGTCATGCGTACATCACATGGTCGAAGAGCGAGTAGACCAGCAACCAAATGCTGTTGCAGTATGCTCATGGGATGGAGAACTGACTTACGCAGAATTGGAAAAATTATCCAATCGTTTAGCACAACATCTTGTTGAATCTGGCGTAGGACCTTCAGTAATGGTTCCGTTTTGTTTCGACAAATCACTGTGGGCAACAGTGGCTATGCTGGCTATACTTAAAGCTGGCGGCTGTATTGTGGCAATTGATCCCTCACATCCTCGAAGTCGTTTAGAGACAATTATCTCGGAAACAAAGGCGAGAATAAGCATCATGGAGCCGAAGCATGCTAGTGCGCTCCAGCATCTGACTAAAATGACTGTTATTCTCGATTCTTCTTTCGTTGACGGGCTGCCTATAGTCGCTGAACGTCCAAAGGTTAACGTGTCGCCACAAGATCCTGCAGTTGTTGTATTTACCTCTGGAAGCACTGGAGTCCCGAAAGGAATCGTCTTGGAACACGCAGCTCTATCTTCTAGTATCGTTGCCCATGGACCTATACTTCGAATCAGTACGACTTCACGAGTCTTGCAGTTTGCATCATATACCTTTGATGTAAGTATTGGCGAAGTCTTTACGACTCTCACAATGGGCGGCTGCATTTGTATCCCTTCCAACTATGATAGGATGAATAACTTGGCCGGTGTGATCAACACGCTAAACGTGAATTGGGCATATCTTACTCCGAGCGTTGCAACGTTGATCACTCCAGATGAGGTTCCTAAGCTTGAGGTTCTCGCACTTGGTGGAGAAGCTCCAAGTCCTGAAAATGTTGCAACTTGGTCCACCGAGGTACACCTGATCAATATATATGGACCAGCCGAGTGCTCCATCTGGTCAACTTGCCTGCCAGTAGTTAAACACAATTCACAAGCAACCAATATTGGATATGGTGTTGGCTCAAGGTCCTGGATTGTTGATGTGGAAAACCACAACAGACTAGCTCCCGTGGGATGCATTGGGGAGCTTCTGATCGAAGGTCCCATTCTCGCTCGTGGATATCTAAATGATGAAAAGAAAACGGCCAATGCTTTTATTTCTCGGCCTGGTTGGCTTCAAGTTGCCCCTCGGGGAGAAGCTTTCAGGGTGTACAAGAGTGGTGATCTGGCAAGATATAATCCAGACGGCTCAGTAGTCTATATTGGACGTAAAGATATGCAGATAAAGTTGCATGGACAGCGCATCGAGCTAACAGAAATTGAACACCAAATTGCAGCCAGTTCTCTCATTAGCCAGATCATGGTTGCGATGCCCAAGTCAGGCTTGTGCAAAGAGCAACTCGTCGCTGTTTTAACACTAAAAGAACTGTCGGCTCCCTCCAGAAACAATGAGGACTGGTTGCTTCCGATCCAAGATTCCATCGTCCCGGAACGAGTCTCTGCTCTGTCAGAGATTGCATCGGCAGCCTTGCCGCCTTACATGATTCCCTCCCTTTGGGTTGTCGTGGCCAAGATGCCGCTTGGAACAACTGGAAAGCTAGATCGCCGACAAATCCTTGGCCGGCTGGAGAATATCAGCAAGGAAACTCTCGGCAAGGCCTCGAATGCCACTGCTTCACATATTTCAAAAGCACCTGAGTCTCCCCATGAAATCATCCTCCAGTCGGTATGGAGCGAGGTGCTCAATGTCCAGATCGATGATATACACCAGCCATTCTTTAGTCTTGGTGGAGATTCAATCTCGGCCATGCAGGTTGTATCTCGTTGTCGAAAACAGGGAATATCTGTTACAGTACAAGACATCATACAGTGCAAAACTATATCCAAGCTGGCAGCACGCGCGCAACCCATTCGTAAAACCATCTTGCTCGAACCGGAGGACATCAGAGCACCGTTCCGACTCTCTCCTATACAGGAAATGTTCTTCTCATTTTCACCAGAAGGAGAAAATCATTTTAATCAGAGTTTCCTGTTGTATATTACCAAGGAAACTGATCAAACTACATTATCTAGTGCTCTCAACTTCATCGTCGAGCGCCATCCCATGCTAACTGCTCAATTCGAATTGAAGGATGACTACTGGACTCAGCGCATCTCTACCGACTTTGCAAAGTCTTATAGCTTTGAGATACATCACTTGGAGGATGAAAGTGAGATATCAGCTATCCAGAGAGCAGCACACGCAAAAATAGATATCCGAAATGGGCCGGTATTCGCGGTCAATATGCTCAACATCAAGAACCAACAGATGATTCACCTTGTCGCCCACCACCTGGTTATTGACCTTGTTTCATGGCGTATCATCTTACGAGAACTAGAAGAGTTCCTAAGAGATGACCAAATCTCTATACAAGAAGCCGATCTTTCGTTTAGAACTTGGTGCAAACTGCAGTCCGAGCAGGTCCAAAAACTAGGCCCGTCAGAAATCGCAATGCCGTTTGAGGTCGCCTCCTCCAACTACGAATACTGGGGTATGGACCAAATACCCAATCTTTACTGTGATATCATTTCAGAGACATTTTCTATCAGTCAAGCAATCACATCAAAGATTATGGGAGAGTGCAATATCCCTCTCAATACCGAGCCTCTTGATATTATGCTCTGTGCACTCATTGGCTCATTCCAGACTGCATTCCCACATCATCGAGTTCCACCCATTTACAACGAGAGTCACGGTCGTCAATCCTGGGATCATGCATCAATAGACCCTTCTAACATTGTTGGTTGGTTTACGACACTTGCTCCCATCAGTGTGGTGGCAGGGAACGACTCCAGCTTCATCGACATTCTCCGTCAAGTCAAAGATGCTCGTCGACAGACCCTTGAGAAGGGACAAGCATACTTTGCTTCCTTGTATCGGCCTAATAATTCCACAGGGTTGTTGAAAGAGCATTTTCCCCCCGAAATCATTTTCAACTACTCTGGACGATATCAACAACTGGAGCAAGAAGACGCAATATTCAGGCCAGCCAGTGATCTGGGTTCTACGGTCTCTCAGATTAGTCCAAACATGCCGCGTTTCTCGCTTATTGAGGTATCAGTCTCTGCAGATAAAGATCACCTGCATTTCGAATTCTCTTATAATGGTCGTATGCAGCGGCAAGACCAAATATTGAACTTTATCAAAGGATATGAGCGACTTCTGAACACTTGTGTGGACGAACTACTGTCTTCAAAGATCCATCAATCGTTGAGTGATTTCCCGCTCCTTGAAACGACATACGAGGATCTAGACAAACTAGTGAATGAAACATATCCTTTAATAGGAATCAGCCCCGAAGATGTAGAGGACATGTATCCTTGTTCACCGATGCAGCAGCGTATTCTCGGCCACCAAAAAGAAGTTACTACCTCTTACAACGTGCAGAATATCTGGCAAGTCAACACAGGAGCTCATATACCGCAAGTAGAGCGTCTCAAAGCTGCGTGGCAGAAAGTCGTCAGCCGTCATCCGATTCTGAGAACTGTTTTTGCTCAGAGTGGTTCTACAAAGAATGAATTTATTCAGATTGTTCTTCGACGTTCCAACGCCCTTGTCAAACATATCAACACCGAATTGGATGACAACAGCACCTTTGAATTTGTGGCCAAACAGCCTCCTTTGAGCTTCGGAATGATACATCCGACACACCAGCTCTCGTTTTACACCAGCACAACAAATTCAACCTTTGTAAAACTTGAGATAAGCCATGCCATAATTGATGGATTCTCACACCAAGTTCTCCTGCGCGATCTTCAACTGGCGTATGACGGGCAATTAGATTCTGGTCCCGGTCCGCTATATAGTCGTTTCATCGATTATACTGTAAAGGGAGACCATGAGACCTCATTATCTTATTGGACGAAATATCTCGATGGGCTAGCTCCATGCAGTATGCCCATTGCAACAGTCGAGCATCATCTGCGAGGTGACTTGAGCTCAGTGGATGTTAATGTGGAACATCTAAACAGCAAACTCTATGCAACATCTAAATTGCACGGGGTCACTGTTGCCAACATTTTCATGACGGCGTGGGCAGTGGCACTTCATAACTTTGCCACGAGCTCAGAAGTATGTTTCGGATATCTTGTATCTGGTCGCGATGTCCCGATAGAAGGGATCGAAGACGCTGTTGGGCTCTACATAAATCTTGTCCCTTGTAAATGCACGATATCTCAGGGTAGTTCGCTAAAACAACTGCTAGCGAAGGTTCACGAAGATTTTGTGAAGAGTTCAACTCATCAGAGCTTCACTCTGACGAATGCTCCGAGCGGAGACTTCAAAGGGAAATCCCTGTTCAATACTGCAATATCTTTCCAGAAGGACGATTCTTCCAACGCTGAATTGGCTTCAGACAAGAGTATTTCGTTGGAGAGATTATGGTCAAAAGATCCTACAGAGGTCAGTAATTGTTGACGAAAATTTGTACCGATCAGAATACTAACACTTCTACAGTATGATATTGTGTTAGGTGTCGCTGACAGAGGCGATGCATTGCTGGTATCCCTATATTTTTACAACGGTAGGATTCCAGAGACTGAAGCTCAGGCTATCGCCACGGTCTTTAGCCATGTGATTTCTTCTATCATCGATGGGTCGGACGAAACTATTCAGCAGGTCTTATCAAGACATCATTCTTAGACAGTGTAGCTAGATCTTCTGCATCATTCTTTTCTCTTCTTAGTTAGTTTTCTCAACACAGTAGCCAATTATCCCTCACGCCAATGTGAGCAAATAGTTAAATAGAAGACACTAACGTTACGTTTGTTTACGTAAATGAGACGGTATTTCTTCTATTAATTTCCCCCTTGCCACCACTATATCTATCTTTAATCTAACTTGACTTCACGAAACGGTGACTGTTACATTGCCTTGGAAGTTCTCACTTGAGTTCCCTACAAGCACAGTGAACTCTCCAGGCTCAACCACGTACTGCATCTTGCGGTTCCATAGACCCCAATCCTCCACTGCAAGGTCAATCTTGACTGTTGTAGACTTGCCAGCCTTGACAGTGACCTTTTTGAAGCCCTTGAGCTGGTATCGTGGCACATCCACAGACGCAAGCACATCCTTGACGTAAAGCTGAACAACCTCTGCACCATCTCGTTGTGATGTGTTTGTAACCTTCACAGAAACAGTTACAGTATCAGATGCAGACACTCGAGATTTTGAAACGGAAATATCAGAGAACTTGAATTGGCTGTACGACAAGCCATATCCAAATTCGTAGAGAGCAGTGGGATTCTCTAGAACATATGTACTGCCAAAGACGATTGTGCCGTTGTCATACACATGGCCGGGATTGGGGTACGACCGCGCAGAGTTGAGGTAATCGTAGTAGATGGGCAGAGTTCCAACATCATACGGGAAGCTCACAGAGAGTTTTCCTGAAGGATTGACGTTGCCATATAGAACGTCCGCAAGAGCATAACCGCCTTGCTCGGACTGGTAGAATTGTTGAACAAGTGCTGATGCCTCCTCCGATATCCACGGTTCGGTAATGGGCTTTCCAGAGCTGTAGACAACGATGGTAGGCTTTCCAGTCTCGGTGATGGCCTTGACCAAGCGAGGCATGGCACCAACGAGGTTCAGGTTGCTGACGTCAATATGCTCACCAGTAGTCGCATTAAAGCCACTCCAAAGCTCATTCTGGTCGCGAGACCAGGTTCCAACAACGACGATGGCGACATCCGATGCTTCGGCGGCTGCAATAGCCTCGTCAAATCCAGATTCGTCGTTAGACCAGCGTTCACAACCCTTGGCATACGTGACTTTGCCTTTGCTGACAGAATTGATGCCATCGAGGGGAGTGACGCCTCGGGTCATTGCAGTGTGAATTACATAGTCTCCATACTGGACATTTTCACGCGTCAGCAAATTGTTCTGAGCCATCCTGAAATCTCAATACTATTGTTGTACTCACGTTGACATAGCCATGAGCCATGGGACCAATTACAGCGACATTGGCATCCTTCTTCAAGGGCAGGACATTTCCGTGGTTCTCAAGGAGCACAATGCTCTCCGAATCAAGTTGTCGGGCTATTTGTTTGTGTTCTTTGGTGTTGATGTACTTGAAGATGTCTTTGTCGGAAACTCCGGTGAAAGGCTTCTCAAAGAGTCCCAGGGTAAACTTCGCGCGAAGCACACGAGAAACGGCGGTATCCAAGACGTTCTCACTTAGTTTGCCGGACTCAATCAGTTCAGGGATAGATTCGAAGCTAAAATATCCACCACCCATCTCGACATCGTTGCCAGCAGGCAGGGCCTATAATCATTAGTTTTTTCTACTTTTTGAAGAAACATAACTTCTACCATACCTCTAGAGTGATGCAGTCATTGTCCTTAATTTCACAGACATAAAATGCATTGGCAAGGCGAGCAGTGCCACCAGCGTCGGAAATGACGAAGTATTTATATCCCCATTCTCCTCGAAGGATATCAGTAAGGACTTCCGAGTTTGAAACCATTGGAACGCCGTCGTATGAATTGTAAGATGACATGATAGAAGTGGCGCCGCTGTCGATGATGGCTCTCTTAAATGATGGGAGGTAGAGAGACCGTAGCTCCCGTTCACCGCCGTGTACTGGAGAAGTATTGATGCCCTGCTCCGGCGATGCAAAAGCAGCCTTTCGTAAAGAAACCACAATTAGCTGACTTGCTCCAGGGCTATTGAGAGAGTTTAACTTACAAAATGCTTGATTGTTGCCGAAACACCTTTTTCCTGAAGTCCTTTGGCAAAGCTGTATGCCATCTCTCCAGTTCTAGCAAACAGTGTTAATACACAGCCCAAATGGGATTCCTTGGGTAAGTAGGCCTACAGATAAGGGTCCTCGCTGAAACATTCCTCCACTCGGCCATATCTCAACTCTCGAGCAAGATCAGCTAGTGGAGCGAAAAGTTGATTGACTCCGAGGGCCAGACTCTCCGTCGCAATGGCCCTTGCCATCTCTTCTACGAGTTCGGGGTTGAATGAGCACGCCATACCAATGGGAGAGTTGAAAATAGTGGCATTCAATCCCAAAAATCCGTGAAGGCCTTCGCTCTGGACAAAAGCCGGAATGCCTGAATGGCGTTAATAAAGCTGATCAGGAAATCCCAACATGGTAAGTCTGACCTAATTCTGTTTCCTTGGCCAGATAATCTTGTGCCAATTGGGCAGCCTTTTTAACTGTGGTCATGTTGGTATAATAACCCGTCCAGACTGAATTGGCTCGGTATTCCATATTCCACTCGAGACCCGTTTTGTTGAACGTGCCGTATGTGAGATCGAGATAGTTGGACATGTCGCCTTGAATCAATTGAGCCATCTTTTCCTTGACAGACATGCGTTTGAGCAGATCCGATACTCTGTCGTCAACGGAAGCGTGGGGGTTCTTGTACAATGGGTGATTTGCTGTGGCCTGCCCGACGGCCGCCAGGGCCGCAGTACAGATACATATGGACGATTTCATTGTGAAAGTAAGAAGCAAAGATGCCGTCAGTCGGGGGAGTAAGCATTGAGCCCATGCGTTGAACCTCGTGGGTTCAAGCGCAAGCTATTTATCATCATCTTTGGTTCACGGGTAATGTTATTCATCGAAGTCCCGGTGATTAGATCAGTTCAAGTCTAGGCATGAATCTGCAGTTCATCGTACATAAGTGCTGTCATTTATCCGGAGGGGTTGGCCATTGTCGGACTTTCCGTGATGGGGCTATATGCTATTTTTCGTAACATCTGCACAGTTGCAAGCGATCCTTCAGCACCTGGCCCTTGTGGTTAGCTCACAGTCGTGATTTCAGGCGAATCATATTCTCTTGTTCTCATCGACCGAACAAATCTCGCCAAGAGGAATCTGAGGGGAATGGCATGTTCTCAAAGGTGCCGGAGCAGCGTTAACCAATGTAGTCGAACATTGTAACGGAAGAACGACACCCGTGTTGTTTATACGAGGTTAGTTCCTCGCCGGTCTCTGTATCCGGCGCTCTATTCGCATTGCTGGCAGAGTTAGGAGTGCCCTCTTTAGCCATATAAAGAATCCCCAATTCACATCCATGACGATGCATTAGTTCCATCTGGTTGCCGAAGAACCACATTGTTGGTAGTACAATACCTGCGTACCCTGGAGTGGTCAGAATGCGCTGATTGGCGCGCGTATTCTCTCAAGCTGCCTCTTTTATGGACCTTAATTAACCTTCTATCTGGACAATAATTCAACTGCTGCAGGATATAATATGACACACTCTTATGAATGAATGATTATATCGCCTGGAAGAGGAGATCAGTATGCAGTCTAGCGACAAACTATATATGTTGTTTAGGCTAGAATGCTACCTCAAAAAGCCATCTAACTCGTCATAAATCAAGGCAGCCACTCTGCCCCACAAAGTAACTGACCGAGAAAGTCTATAAACTCATGTACTATAGAGGCCTGGGTAAGATCTCTGGCAGCTCCATATACAAGCTGCTATTCTATACCACCTATCAAAGGCCGGTGCTGGCTGGCAACAGAGGAAATGCGAATCGGACTTGAATTTGCCCGGCTTACAGAGTTAGATATCGCTCACCAAAGTTTGTGGCCCTAAATCATGATTCATATTAAATTCAGTCATAGATTTAGAATAAAAATCGTCGAGAGCTGGCTACAAATGTAAGAAAACAGCACAAGGTGACGGTGTCTTGCAGCCATGCACTATCTGCCATATCTCGATGCTCGGCTCGAAAGCGCCATACTGTATGAGGTTCGTAAACCAACGGTCATTGCAAGGGACTAGATGAAAAATACCTCGCATGCACGCTAAGGTCATATGCGCAAATAGGTATACCATATCCGTTATGCTACGACGCCACAGTGCACCGGTTCTCTCGTAAAGCGTTATGCTCTAGTTTCCCGGATGCAATTTATATAAATAGCCAACCACCCCAAAGGATCATGTCGGAGCCTAGAAACAGCAAGAATATTTGCAAGTTGACACAGCCGTTCTTTTCTGTGAATCCAATTGACGACCATCAACAATTATCAATCTACGAACTGTTTGCCGACAAAGCTGAACATGGTGGGTGGAGAGTGCTCATCACAAGCTAACAACACTGGTAAGCCGCGCTCGAGGCAGAGAACTCACAAGCCGGCTCCAGCCCTCGACGTGCCAGACATTGAAGAAAACGCGCCCGAGAGGAAACGCATTCTTAATGTGCTAGCACAGCGCAGATACAGTCAGTGATGCCTTGCCCATTATAACACTGACGGCGACACCCCCAGCTTGAATATGTTGCTTACCCGTGAGTGTAGGAGAGAAGAAGCGCCTGCGACGACAAAACGAGAGGAACAAAGAAAAGGGCCAAGAAATCAAAGAGACTAGCAATATCACAGGCGAAGCTCAGGACAATAATGACAGAGAAATCGACGCTGAATTCATTTCAACTTCTGGCCAGTCTCAAGGTACTAGTGGCCTGAATGAGATTGACTTCAGCTTGGCGGGATGGACTACGACCATGTTCAACAACAACATTAGCGGCAATGCGTCGATGCCATTGTTACTTACAGATACATCAATTTTTTCGGACTTTTCATCTACATCAATAACAGAGGAAAGCTCTGGAGAGGAAGGTCTCGTTTTCAGCAACAGCGAAAGCCTAGATGGGAATTTGACCGACATATTACCACCAACTTGGGACAGCTCGTCTCCGTCGTCGTCGTCGGATGGTAGCTTTGCCGACAGCTATCTCTTACCTGTTCACGAACTTACACTTCTGCGGGCCGTCATGAGAATAGCAGAGCGCATTGGCTGCCGCCAATCATTGTGGAATCTGGAAGCCGTCTCTCCATTCTCCCAAGGAACCGCCACGCCGAGTGAACAGCTCCCCTTTGCATGGAAGCCCACGGCCTCTCAGCTTCTGGTGCCGCATCATCCGCTGTTGGATTTTTTGCCGTGGCCAGGAGTTCGTGACAGGGTGATTAACATATTCTCGATGCCCGATGAGATGCGGCCCCCCAACGCGACTGGCCCGCTTGCCTTGGTCAATTTTGCGTATGACATTGAGGATAACTCAGAGGGTGTGCGCATCTATGGCGGCGATCCGTATGATCCGAATAGCTGGGAAGTGGGACAGGTGTTATTTGAACGATGGTGGTTTATCTTTGACCGAGATGTCATTGAGAATAGCAATCGCTGGCGCCGACTGAGAGGAGCACCGCCGCTGGCATTGAAAGGGATGCCATCTTGAGGGGGTGCAATCTATCAAGCTGGATCCGGACTTGAAGCGCCACCTGTTCTCCACTCTCTTGTTCAAACGATGAATTTGAGAGAGTTTCGGGTCTATACCTTTGGTGAGGCATATGACAGCTCACTCGGCGTAAGACCAAGAAGGATGATCAGCCCGTTTAGGCCTGTTGCAGAAGCAGAGGTCCGAAGCCAATTCTAGCTGGTATTACCTGCCAGCGCTTTGTGATATATCTTCGTACTATAGAAGACGGCAGACGAGCGGGTGCCTGCATCAGGTATTAGGCGGACAACGAAGCGGGCGTGAAGTCGGACAAGTGCAGAGTATCCGTACAACAGGAATGGGATCCATGCCGAGATATATCTCCGCAACCCCACGTGGAGTCTCTACCAGATCCCGAACTCAGATGTTATACTAGCATTATCAGTATTATCAGTACTAGCAGTGAAGTGGCCTGTTCGGTGAATTCTGTCGGTGGGTTTCGGGGTTGCATCGAGGATTACACCGCTGTTGGCTTACACGGACCGTCGCCGGCATGGCTGATTGCCAGCAAGCTACTCCGTACCAAGCTATGGAATGCTTTCCTAGGCAAGACAAACTACCTAGGTTTTACAGAGTAGTGCAAATAATTCACCGAGGTACGACAAGTATTAGGGAGCGGGCTGTTGTGTATGCGGTGTAAGAGACCAAACAGGGCAGACTATGCGAGATGGCTGTCACAGTGCTTATAGAGGTATCTGTAGAACTGTACGTGTATGTTGCACTGCACCCATTTTGACTTTTATGGCTGCGGGAAGCTCCAATATACTACCTAGGTCTTGCTTGATTCAGCCTTAAGTCTGACGGCTCAACCATCGATTTCGTCATTGGCAGCGCAAGTAAAGCAGATGATCTGGCTTTTGTAGATTTCGAAAGCAAATATGAACGCATCTCAGCACGTTGCAATGAGGGTGACGATACCCAGTATCGGAGCACAGTGTGCGATTCATACGGAGTCATAGGTAGGATGGAGTGCGGTGAGATCCTGTCAGACGGAAGCAAGTACAGCGGATGTACCGGGTACCTCCACCTGCGACTTTTATGACAGCGGGGGAGGGGTGCTCAACAAATTATGTGCCTGCCTATGGATGAATCACATGGAAACACCTGGATTGGCATCAATAGATCCCTAGTCAGTAGATGGACGTGTTGATTGGGGAAATCTCTACCAATAATGGCCATCTGTTTACCGCTCCATAATTGCTTTTAATTAGAGGTTGGTTTTTTTATTTTAGTGATTGCTGTTGTTGTTGTTGCAGTTTGCGGGTACATAATGCCATCAAGTAATCAATCGGCCGCCCATCGCGGGACTCGGAGATATTCCCCAAGAGGAAGCACAAGACAGCTTCGTCATGGATGGTCAGCAAAAATCCCTTGAGACACTGACTCTGTGTTTGCATCTTTCCCTCTTACAAGCAGCTGCAGTTGCGGCTGCAGATACTCGTCACCTACTTGTACTGTACAGCATTAGAACTGCCCGTCCATATTAACTATACGAGTACGAGTACAGACTGATCCTTGCGCTACATTAGCACATCTTACATGCGCAACAGGCCTGCGTCTTCAATCCCGGCCACCATCAGCAAGTCCTTGCCCTGTAGATCCTTCTCGAATTTCCGTGCAACAGTGAGGTCTTTTCCTTATGCTACTACTATAATTCCGCTGTAAAACGGCCTGCATCTGGTCAATACCGCTGCATGCCCAGGCGGTTCTACTACCTAAGGTACCTAGTAGTATCTACAAGCGGAGACCCTGCGAGTACCGCACAGGTACCCAGTACTTCACCATTCCTAACTCGGCGGGCGGTGACCCGCAATTGGCCCAATCACAGCCCCTCCATAATTCGGAGAGCGGCCCATGGTCGCATCTGTCATTCATTGTTCCGCATACAAATTTCGGCCATCTTCGTCGACGCCGTTTTACTTTAATTTGTGCTCCCCCTCTTAGTTTTCACCTCTTCTTCCTGCTGTATCCAATATAGCTCTTGATCCTCTCCTCTGCTCCCTCTGATCTCCTCCTTGCCTCTCATCCCTACCTCTTGGCCCTCTCTTGCGAGAATCGCCCGAATCCATCTCGACAGATTTGCGACCCGCACTCGGCGGACTGTCGGCGCCGTTGGTTGAGTTTAGTCTGGCTTGTGAATAATTGTTTCGACAGCTGTCGGTTCGACTTTGCCGCTCTTTTGCAGCATATCTAGTCGAAGCGGCGCACCAAATCGCTTCAATTCATTCATTAATTCTCGCCCTTTGGCGGTCTCTCTTGTCTGTGGTGGGTTGATCCGTGTGGCCGACCTCCAGTCTGACTCTTTCCTTGCTGACCCTTCGCCCTCCGATAGCAATAGGAACCTCCGGCGCATGAGCAATTAACTTGACTCTTTGCCATTCGCATCTCCAATCGCATTGTCGTCCCTTGACCTTTCCTGCTGATCCCGTTAACATTGCCTTACTCCTTGCTACTCGCCCAACATGCATATCAAGGATTTGGTCTCCGAGACGGAGAAGACGAAGGCCCCGTCCTTCTCCTTCGAGTACTTCCCACCCAAGACCGCTCAGGGTGTTCAGAATCTGTACGATCGCATGGACCGCATGGACAGCTTTGGACCCAAGTTCATCGACATCACATGGGGAGCCGGTGGCAATATTGCAGAGCTGACCTGTGAGATGGTTGTTCAGGCTCAGGCCGTCTACGGCCTTGAGACCTGCATGCACCTTACATGCACTGACATGGGACTCGACAAGGTCAATGATGCCCTGCAGAAGGCGTACAAGGCAGGATGCACCAACATTCTTGCCCTTCGTGGCGACCCTCCCCGTGACCAGGAGTCGTGGACTGCTGCAGATGGAAACTTCCGGTACGCTCGCGATCTGGTCAAGCACATTCGTGACACATATGGCGACCACTTTGACATTGGTGTTGCTGGCTATCCTGAGGGCTGCGACGACAACAAGGACGAAGAATCGCTGCTTGACCATCTCAAGGAGAAAGTAGACATGGGAGCTGGTTTTATCGTCACTCAAATGTTCTACGATGCTGACAACTTTATCCGATGGGTTGGCAAGGTCCGCGAACGAGGTATCACCGTTCCCATCTTGCCTGGAATCATGCCCATTGCCACCTATGCCAGTTTCCTTCGTCGTGCCAAACACATGCAGTGCAGAGTCCCTCCAGAGTGGATGACCTTGCTCGAGCCAGTCAAGAATGACGATGTGGCCGTGCGTGAAATTGGTAAGACTTTGGTTGCCGAATTGTGCAGGAAGCTCCTTGCCAATGGCATTCACCATCTTCATTTCTACACCATGAACCTTGCTCAGGCCACTCGCATGGTCCTCGATGAGCTTAACTGGACCCCTTCGCCCGAAAATCCCCTCAAACAGGCCCTTCCCTGGAAGCAGTCTAAAGGCTTTGGCCGACGCGACGAGGACGTGCGTCCCATTTTCTGGCGCAACCGTAATAAGTCCTATGTTCTTCGTACCCAGGACTGGGACGAGTTCCCCAACGGTCGATGGGGTGATTCTCGCTCTCCGGCTTTCGGAGAGCTCGATGCCTACGGCATTGGCTTGACTGGTACCAACGAGCAAAACCGCAAGAAATGGGGCGAGCCCACGTCGCTCCAGGACATTGCCAATACATTTGTCAAGTACCTTGAGAAGAAGATCGAAACTCTGCCTTGGAGCGAGTCAGCCCTTGCCGCCGAAGCTGATCCCATCAAGGATGACCTTGTGGCTCTCAACAAGCGAGGTCTTCTCACCATCAACTCGCAACCTGCAGTTGATGGTGCCAAGTCCAACCACCCTGTTCACGGCTGGGGACCTTCAAACGGCTACGTCTACCAAAAGGCTTACTTGGAGTTGCTGATGCCACCTTACCTCTTGGAGGAGATGATTAGCCGCCTTGACGACTTCCCTAATCTGACCTACTATGCTGTTACCAAGGATGGTGGGCTCAAGTCCAATGCCCCTTCAGACGCCCCCAATGCCGTCACCTGGGGAGTCTTCCCAGGCAAGGAGATTGTGCAGCCCACCATTGTTGAGTCCGTCAGCTTTCTGGCCTGGAGAGATGAGGCCTTCCGACTGGGTATCGACTGGGCCAAGTGCTATGATGCCGACTCTCCTAGCCGTGCGCTAATTGAGGGAATCATGAATGGATGGTATCTCGTTAACATTGGTAAGTCTCTACACACTTGGTTTCTTTTCCAGTAGACTAACGGTATCTAGTGAACAATGATTTCCGTGAAAACAGCACCATTTTCGGATTCCTCGAAGGGCTTGAGGTCAAGGATCTCGCCGTCCCCGTCGCTGGCACAGCTTAATTCGGCTTGACATAGTTCTCCAAGGGGTTGAAAGCCTTGCGGATTGGACAATCCGCAATTTTGGGTATTGCTTTCTCTTTCCCGACTATGACTTTAATTACCCTCCCTATTCTTCTTCCTTTTCCATTCATAGTTTATTTCTTCGTTTTGTTTTTGGCACAGATGACAAAAAGCGGCTTTTTTTTTTGCACAGAGGCGGAGTCGGTGTCTTTTTCAACAAAAAGCTACACCGGCGGCAAAATCATGACAACGGGGTTCTATTTTTACCCGGGGCGGTGGGCGCAACGGGACGGAACGAAACATCTGGGTTAAATGGTCGAATTTCGATCCATTGGGCATTTGCTGGTTTCACGACACACAAAGGTGAAAGAAAAAAGAAAAAATTGGGCACAGAAATTGGCATGGAGCCCCGGTTCTACTTTGGAATTGCATATATTATATCTCAACGATACCCCCGCCTGCGGACATGTTTATTTGGTTTTTTTTATGGTTTTATGAGTAGTAGAGATAGAGACTGGCATGAGAGGAGAGGAGTGTTGGGGAAGCAGAGGCAGAGAGAGAGAGGAGCATTAGAGAAATTGGGATGATGGCGAAAAGAAAATCATGTGTGGAGTGGCATGATAGGATATACATGCTAGCATGTATATCTATATAAGTATGTACTATAATTATGAGTATATACCTATATACTACCTATATCCTAATCCTAATGCATTGTGTTGTAACCCCATCTCCCTGTCTATCTATCTTCATATGGAGGATAGAATAGGGCTGAATGAATATCCTTAGTCACGGCATGGCCTATTCAGATTGCTTGCCTCTTCTAGACAAAAGCCCTTTATCAAGAATTTTGCAGACAAGAATTTCTCTGTAGTTCTTTATGCCGTCTAATTACACTGGTGGCTTAGTTCCTTACAAGTACTACTAATGGTCCTTCGTCCATGATATTGTATCCATTTTCGTATATCTTGCGTCGAATCTATGCCATATTCGCGCTAACCTATAAACACTATCCCTTGCCATGCCTTCTCTCTTCCTCACTTCGTCTCCATACCGTTTCATTCCCCCCATCATTCAACCCAACCCTCCTCATCACCGACATCATAGTCCATGTCTACCTGTCGCTCCCGCATATGCTCTTCCGGCGAGCCAGCGTCCGCATTCCCCTCATCGTCATTCAATCCCGCCATTGCATCGCCATCTTCAGCATCCTCATTCTTTTTGGAGGATCCAACGGGTGGTAACGGGGTGTTGATCCAGGAGAGTTCGAGAGTGCCACTAACGCCAGGTAGTTCTTTGCCATTCAGGCTGTAATAAAATCTCTCAGCTGTCTTACGATCTTGGAAAGATACGTATGTGACAGAAGCAGTGGTTTCTACAGATTCGAATTCACCCAGGTTCTATAAGAAGAATACGAGTTAGTCGGGCTTCTTTTATGTCATTTTCTGCAGACAAGTCGCAGAAAAGCATTTTGCTCCAAGGGGAACGAATCAAGTTCACTTACCAAGAGGAAGTGTCGAAGAGCCTCATCCTTATCAGCGGGAGTAAAGTCAACGCCGGCAACGGCCAGCTTCCTTGGTCGATTATCCAGCGAGTACTGAGCGTACGCAGCATGTCTTCCCGCCTGACCTCTAAACGAGCCACGGCCTCGAGGTGCAAAACCTCGGTCGCTACCCCGTCCACCGCGCCCTCTATATCCTCGACCTCGCGAACTGTAGCCACTCCCATCTTCTGCCGCATCAGGGTCAATGCCGAGAATCTTGGCCTCCTGCTCCAATGCTGCCAACTGAGCACGTAACATATCCGTTGATGATGAAGACCCCGTAGCTTTAGCATCTGTCGTTGCGCCACTCTTTTCTGCCAGTCTCGCTTTCAGTCTCTCGCTTTCTTCTCTGTGCCTTGCCAGTAACTCCTGTTGCTGCTTCTCCAACTCTTGACGCTGTCGTTCTAAATCTGTTCTTTTTGCTTCTCTCTCCTGGTACTGCTTTTGTGCCTCTTCCTGCTTCCGCTGAAATTCTTCCATGTCAATCTCAGCCTCAGGTTCTGTTGGTACGGCAGATCCATCGCCGTTGATTTTAGATAGCACACCGTCTCCATTCCCCGCTGTCGAGGATGGCGCCTTGACACCTTCTTCTTTGTACCAAAAGACCTTGACAAATCGGTTATCAAAAATGACTTTTGGCGATCGATATGCTGCATTCGCTGACGCCCACTTGTCATATTTCACAATTGCCAGGTGCTTGTACGGCTGCATCGAGACGTCGACCACTTCGCCAAATTGTGAAAAGAACACGCGAACCTCATTTTCATCGAAATTTTCCTCGGGGATGTTTTCTACAACGATGGTGCTCTTGGTGCGATCGCTAACGGGACCTTCTGCCGAAAAGGGGGCTCGCGCGCCCCCTTTCTTCCCGCCACGTCCTCCGCGGCCACCACGACCGCTACGACCTCGACCACGACCCATCATGTCCATAGGGAATGAGTAAGGGTTTGCGGCTTGACCTGACATGCCAAGTACAGCATTGTTGGGATCGTATTCTAGAGGGGAGAAACGGGTGTTAGTCTGTATTTACATGTCTCGACTTTTGGTCAGTGAAATCTCGCAATACATACCTTCGACTCCGGAAAACATGGGGGGGACGTAGACGGAAGAGTTCCCATGGTCATACATGCACTGGTTTCCACGAGAACAGTATCCCTTAGTATCAAAGTCTCGACATCGTCCTCTCCGCCGCTGCGAATGTCGTCCACCACCAACGGGAGGCATCTGTGCCATGAATTCTGCCATGCCAGGATAGGGAAGTCCCATAGCCTGCATCTGCATGATGGTTTCAAGAGCACTCTTGGGATCGAAGTGCTTCATGCCTGGCATTGAGTCCACAGACACGTATCCGCCCATAGTAGAGTCGTCCATCCTCCCATGGTTCGAGCCTCGTCTGGGTTGCTTGTATCCCCTGCCATACGCCGGCTGCTGTCCCTCGTAATCCATGTCATCTGGCAGTCCTCGCTTCCTCGAGCCACCTTGGTGCGGCGCAGCACTCTGCACACCCGAAAACGCAGGAAGAGGAGGAGCCGCAGCGCCAATGGCATTGGCGGCAGGCTTCGGGGGCGGTGGAGCACCCGGTCGATAAGACTTGTACGCGATCGCTTGGAAAACATCGTCGAGGAAGGCCTTTGGATCTGTAGCAAAGTGAATCAACGAGTCAGTACGACATCCCCCCATTCGCAACTGGTTTCACCACCACAAGCGCGTCTCGAACGAACCTTCGGTCAAAAAGTCGGGAATCTCAGCTTCGCAAAGCTGTCGCACCGAGTCGGCGTCGCCATCGTGTTTGAGCAGAGCAATGACATAGTCGGCAAGCACATCAGAATCTGCATCGGATCTATACAAGAAAGAAAGGAGAGGTCAGCGCCGGAACAGCAAACCAGGCATCAAGAGGAGCGGCGCGCATCCCCGGTTGCGGGCAGACAAACGTGTTTTCGATGCGCTTGACGATCCATGTCTTTAGCAGTGGCGCATCTTCTTCCGGGAACAGCATGGTTCGGTTTTGGAAGGAAAAAAGGGAACCAAGGAGAAGAAGAAAAAGTAAATGATCAATGAATCATGAAGGATATCATAAATGCGTAATTGGGCTAAATTCGAAGTTGTGCGCAACAAGAAACAAGGATGATTGAGCCAAATGCTCTTCTCTTCCTCTATCCTCACTTCTGATGGCGAAAGGAAAAATAGAGGTTGGAGGTTGGATTCTGATTTGGCACAATAGCAAGGCAAGGCTGCGCCTGACGATGGCCGAGGGAAGGTGCTGCTCAGTGGCTTTTAAAGTGGAGCCCAATATCACTTAGCCTATCTGTCAGCCCAAAAGTTAAGATAGGTACTCCGTAGTTGAGCTCTTGATAGATTAAATTTCGTATTAGCTGGTGTAGAAGCTGCTATAATCCAACATGGAAGTTTCTTGTATCATGATTTTGACTACCATATTATCGACTAGGCAAAGAGTTGACTGATGCCAGATTGTGCCTTGATTTATCTACTCCTGCACTTGTGGTACATCTAGGGCCAGAGAAATTTGCAGCACAATGTTGTTAGAGCTCACCAACTCGCCAAGCTCTCCTGTCAGACAAGCTAACCAACCATGTATGACGGGTTAACTCTTCAAGAAAAGAGATACGACAAGTGTAAGATGAACAATAGATGTCCAAGTCTACGCATTAATCACATTATCATGGATACGTGGAACGGGGTTTTTTTTTTAAGTTCTCATAAATTTCATTCATTCGACTCCATCGGCATAACTACATGCATGAAAGCCGCCAAGTGAGGCGTCCCTTAATTATGACCTCAACCAGCATCCACGAGTATTCCCTTTTTTTTTCAACGGGGTGGTATTTTTTTTTTTCTTTCGTCACTCAACCGTAACCGTCCATCTACCTTCAGATCAGCAGGGCGGCGAGCCCTCTGGGATAGGAGTAGTGGCCCTTAATTTTCGCTAGCAGCTGGCTGACATATTGTGCCCATTTCGACACGAATGGTATTTCTATCGGCAAATAAGGGAGCCGTTTACAGCTTGTCATAGTACTGCAAGATATATTAGCATCACATCTTAGGAGAGACAAGAATGGATCATGACTTACGTTCTCAACACCGGGAACCTCAACCTTGATACCCTTGCGCTTACGCATCTCAGTGACGATGGTACCGACCTTGGAGGTGGCATCGAGGGGAGAGCCACCGGGCAGGACCTGGTAGTGGTCGAAGACGGACTGGGGGAAGGCCTGGCCGGAGGTGGCTTGACGCAGATCAGCGTTGAAACCGAAGGACTCCAAGACGGGCAGGTAGGCCTTGATGTTGAAGAGAGGAGTTCCGGGACGCTGCTCCTCGTTGAAGACGTGACCACGTCTGCGGGTCAGGACACCGTAGACACCACCCATGGCAGACTCAGGGACCTGAATCTCGACCAAGAAGATGGGCTCCTGCAGAGCAGGCTCAGCCAGCAGAGCAGAGGCATACAGGACACGACGAGCAGTGGGAATGATCTGACCACCACCACGGTGGATAGCATCAGCGTGCAGGGTAACATCAAGGATGTTGAAGCGGATAGCACGCATAGGCTCCTCAGCAATGGGACCCTCACGAGAAGCCCACTGGAAACCAGAGACGACGGAGTCCTTGATTTCGTTGAGGTACTGGACGGCCTTGGTCTGGTCAACCAGCAAGTTGGCACCAGTGCCATCGGGACCGAAGGTCCAGATCTTTCGGGCATCGGTGACATCCCAGCCGAAGTCGTCAGCCAGGACACGGGCACGAGCCTTGAAATCGTCACGGGGGGCGATCTTGCCAGCCTCAATGGCACCGGCAAGCTCCTCGTCCATGGGCTCAGCAACCATGTACAGACGGTTGTGCTTGTTGGGGGACTTGGACAGAGCAGTGATGCTGGACTTGGCCTGGACGGTCTCACGGTACTGGACGACAGGGTCGGAGATGATCAGGGGAACACCAGCGTGGTCGTTCTCAAGATCGTTCAAGCAAATCTCGAGATGCAGCTCACCGGCACCGGCAACGACGTGCTCACCGGACTCGGAGGTGGAGATGAGGACGCAAGGGTCGGACTTGGACAGACGCTTGAGACCTTCGACCAGCTTGGGCAGATCCTGGGCGTTCTTGACCTGGACGGAGCGTCGGACGACGGGGGAGACGGAGAACTTCATGACCTTGAGGTTGTGGGCAGTCTCGCTGGTGGTCAGGGTACCAGACTTGAGCAGGAACTGATCGATACCGACCAGACCGACAATGTTACCGGCAGGCATGTCGTCAATGGGCTCGACCTTGCCGCCCATCATGAGAACGGTACGCTGGATAGCCTTGATGAAGAGATCATCCTTCTTGCCGGGCAGGTAGTTGGGGCCCTGGATGCGGACCTTGAGACCGGAGCGGACAACACCGGAGAAGACACGACCGAAGGCGTAGAATCGGCCCTTATCGGAGGTGGGAACCATCTTGGAGACGTACAGCATGAGAGGACCCTTGGGGTCACAGTCACGGATACCAATGGCAGCCTCGTCGTCCATGGGACCCTCGTACAGGGTCTCGACACGGTAGCGCTGGGCAGTGACGGGAGAAGGAAGGTGGAGAATCATCATCTCCAGCAGGGAGTCAGCAGCGGGCAGGAAAGTGCGCATGACGGCCTTGAGCAGCTGCTTGCCCTCCTTCTGTCTGTCCTCGGGGGTCAGGGTGAGCTGGAGCTTCTCGAGCAGGGTGTTGATCTCCTCCTTCTTGAAGTTCATGACGGCAGAGAAGATCTTGAAGATGGGGTCCAGAATGAACTGGTTGAAGGCACGCTCAAGCTGCTTACCCTCGTAGGTGCCAGACTTGGTCCACTTCTTGGTGTGGGGGTTGAAGTAGTTGTCACCCCAGAGACGCTCCATCATCTTGTTCTTGTCAACACCGAACTTCTTGGCGTAACGGACGGCGAACTGGCGGACGGTGAAAGCCCAGCCGTGCAGACCGGAACCGAAAGCGATGGTTCCCTTGTAGGGGTAGACCTGGAGGTCACCCAGAGACTTGTCGAGGTAGGTGGAGATGATGACGTTGACGGACTCGATGGTACGAGAGAAGGACTGGTACAGGTCCTCCTTGGAGATCTGAAGCTCGAGAAGAGCACGGTCGACCTTGTTGATGATGACAACGGGCTTGATGCGCTCACCAAGAGCCTGTCGGAGCACAGTCTCGGTCTGGACGCAGACACCCTCGACGGTGTCGACGACGACAAGGGCACCGTCAGTGACACGGAGAGCAGCAGTGACTTCGGAAGAGAAATCAACGTGACCGGGGGAGTCGATCAGGTTGATCAAGAAATCACGGCCGTCGGTCTTCTGGCCAACAATGTCCTTGATGTCCTCCTCATCCTCGAGCTGACCGTACAGGGAGATGGCAGTGGACTTGATGGTAATACCACGCTCCTGCTCGTCGGCACGAGTATCTGTTGCTCGGGCTTCACCAGCCTTGGCGGTGGAAATGATACCGGCCTTGGCCAACAGAGAGTCGGTCAGGGTGGACTTGCCGTGATCGACGTGGGCAATGACGGACATGTTTCGGACATTGGTGGGCTTGTCCATCAACGCCCGGATCTCGTCGACTGTGAAGCTATCATGGGGAACGCCGCGGTCAGCAACATGGATCTAACAAGGAGCTTAACTCCGAGCAAGGGAAGCTCGCATGGCGACGAGAGAAGTGGCAGTATGTGTGTGGGTTGGGTTGGAAAAAAAATTTCGGCGGCAGCGGCATAGGTGCGAGCCCCTCCAGACAGGACAAGAGGGGATGGCTTCACAACACCAACAGAGGCCATGACGAGAAGCAAGAGGCAAGAGGACGATGATGAAGCTCAGAGTGAACAAGTACAGATGCAACAGAATCAACTTACTTCACCATCTTGGCGGTATTGAGGCTCGGAGCCTGCTAAAAAACTTGAATGTGTTTTTGGTGGTGTAGGAGGAAAAAAGGAAGAAAAGAGCAAAGCGGGGTTGAAGAATTTGACCCCGCGCTTTATGCTCAAGCGAACTAAATGCTGCTACTGCTGCGTAAGCACAAGCTTGTGCCTAGAGGGAGCGAATAGCAAGGGAGACACGAGTTATGTAGAGGAACAGCGAATCGATCACTGCTGCTCTGCAAGAAGTGTCGGGTTTGATGGGGAAGAGAGGAAGAGGGTGGGTTGGGATTTAAGAAGGGGAGGGAAAAAAATATTGGTGCGAGAGCAGATGGGCGCTTGCGACTCACAAGGTTTAGGTGAGGCATGACTAGCACGGGCAGCTTGGGCTGGGCCACCTTGGCGGGCATTTTACTGGACAGCTGTGAATCCACCCGGCGAGAAAAAAAAGGGAAAAAAAAAAGAGGATCAGTGCGCAGCAAGAAAATAATAATAATAATAAAAAGATAAGTATGAAAAAAAAATTGGTCCCCCCCAAGTGCAAAGCTATCGGCTGCGGTTGAATTTTTCTCTTGCGTCTGGTGGGGAGACGAGGCACGAGGTGGTACATGCTATGGCACGATTGGAGTATCTGAAGTGGGCACAGCAACAAGCGGCATCGATGAATCCAGCGCCGAAACAAGCTCAGCGTCATTGCCCACGCCAGAACTGCTCCATCAGGGCTAGGGCCACAGCTGCGAGGGGCGCCGCTAGGCTTCTAAGAGCTGTTTGTCAAGCAGGAAAAGCAGCCCGTTATTTGCAAAAATTGGAAAAATTCAAAGCTCAGAGTGGAGGGCAGAAGCCCTCACGGTGATACGACCTAAAGCCCGTCGTTCGATGGCCTGGCTGGAAGCGGAAGCTGAGAGGCCCAGCGGCTTATCAAGAGTACCTACTTGCTACCCAGGGATACGAGCACCTTGCCCGAGTGCTGGTACATGCATTGTGCACTGCCGCCGCTGTCAATGGCCGCTATTGTCGTGACAATTACCCATATTGCCGTCCTCTCAGCAGGTGGTAGCAAAAAAAAAAAATACCTGAGCTACAAGCCTATTAGATGCTGTATTAATCAGCGCTGAACTGCCGTACCTGTACTTGGGCATCGTCAGTTGCTCTCTCCTACCTACCTATATATTGCCCCTCAAGCTTTTGTATCTCTACTGCATCAACCTCGTATCGCCCTCTGCATCTCCAACTCGCCACCAGCGTTTGTCATCATCTCCTCTATCCAGCAAAAAAAAAAAAAATTCTTCGTCAAACTTGCTGCTGCAACAATTAATCCGCAGCAAATGGAGGGGCTCGAGGAGGGGCAGGTGGAGCCCTGCATGCTCATGCTGTCAGCCGTGACTCTCCCATTGGCCGCTTTGCTCATATCGCCCAATCCGGAATGGTGCCGCTATTTCGCACTGCTGTAGCTCCATCTCGGCTTGAAGCTTCCCCAAGCTCCAGTCCTACAGGCTGCAAGCATCTCGAACTCGCTGAACCGTACTTCAATTACACTACAACTACTGTATATCCAAGGTTCTTTTCGCCTTACTCTACATCATCAGTCACTCGCCGCCCACACTCAGCCATCAGAAAAATTAAAAAAGAAAGGATTAATCGAGATAAAAACAACAGCGCCGTACTCCTTCGCTTCAACCTATTCAGCCAGATGACTCACGCCGACGCCTCTAGGACGAACCCAAAATTCGCGAATATGCATCTTCCACCTCTCCCGCCAGCTCCAACAGCGACACGATGACAATCTGATGAGTCAAGTTTGGCAACCTATCTCTGTGCAGTCCGATCCATTCCAGCGGTGGCGTGGCCTCTCCCATGTCTCTCAGTTGAGGCGTTTCGATGATGGGAGGCTCCAGAGCGAGATACTCATACTTGGACTGTGGTACATTCACCTCGGCCGTAATCTTTTGCTGCTCGCCACCTTCACGTTGTCCTTCTTCAGCTTCCAGCACACCTGTGATCTTGACTGCCGTCAGGGGCAGCTGCCGACCCCATATCTCTTCGAGCGACTTGGTGTGCTTCGCCCACATGCCTCGAATGTAGCTGATGCGGGAATAGTTCCAACCAACTTCAACTTTGCCTTCAAAGGCGCTCTTAAACAAGTAGTCGATATGGTTGCTATTCGGCGCTTGCCATGTCTGCATCGCCGCTTCAACTCTCGGTACCTTGAGGATTGTACCACCCCGCGATCCCGTAGACCGCTGCACCACATCTTCGACAGACAATTCACTCAGCGCCTTGGGTGCTTCGATGTTCCTAACCCCTGCTAATCCAATCCGAAGCTGTCCCAGAGTCATCCTCAGGATGCTGTGTATTCGTCGTTGCTCAATACTGGCAGCAAACCGCGCATAGGCGTTGAGCGCCTCCATCTTGAACACCTGATGATCGTAAAACGTGTTGGGGAACACGCCCAGGTTGAGTGCCCGTAGCGCCACGACAACGTCTGTGTCGAGCGAAATCGGGGACTTGGCCATGGTGTCGTCCTCTGGTAGCTTGGGAACCCTCGTCGGCCCTGAGACCGATGGACGTGCCGCCGTGGATTTGCGTCTCATAAACTTTTCAATCTCCTTGAGCGACAACTCAAAGTTCTCTCTCCTCTCCTGCATTAGCTTCTGTATAGCTTGATAGAGTGCGACCGCTTGAGCGGCTGATGTCGCCGTGCCAAATACTTGCACGGCATCGCCATCAAAGATTGCCACGAGGCGGTCTCCTCGCCCGTCACTACTCTCTCTCACATTGTACATCATAAACTCCAACGAGGTAATGTCTGCAATTAAAAATGCCTGGTAATCAAATGCGGCCTTGACACGTAGCTCGTTGAATGCGATTGAAGCTTGCACAAGGGGTGTTTCATTCAGGGCCTCTTCCCGCTTTGGCCAATGAATCGAGGAGCGTAGTCGGAAGTGCTGCAAGGCAATGAAACCACTCAGACGACCGGTACAGTCGATACCAATCTTGTCAAAGCCGAGGCAGAGATTCTGCTCCCAGTCTGACGTTTTCTTGGATGACACCCAGAACTTGTTGATCTCAAAAACTGATTTGCCTATCGCCTGCCCCATGTCAACGCTGACGTCGAGGGCCGCGATGGATATCGTCGCCGTCCACGGGAAGGCAGCTGTGGCAGCCACCTGCTGGTATCTTTGAACCAAGTGTCCCTGAGATGTCTCCGTAGCTAGCTTAGGCACTGGCGGTGTGGAGTCTGCTCTTCTCAGGTCTTTGGGATACCAGATTTCGCGGAAGAGCAAAAAGTCTTGCACTTGCTTGGCGTTGACAGAGACCTTCATAGGACTCACACTGAGGATGGCCGAAACACCACTTGTGCCGCTTACGTGCTTGCTATTCATGAATGAAAGAGTGACTGTGTCGACTTCGAAACTTGCAGTCGATTCTCTCGAGTATACATGCTGCACTGAAGCTTGTGGCTTATAGAGAACACCGGATATAGCAAAGAAATTACCGTGCTCTTGTGAAGAGACCGTGTTGAGCGTAAAGTAGACATTTTCGAAGCTTGTCGTAGCGGCAACACGAGCTATAGGCTGACAACTGAGGGAGAACTCCTGTCTGCAAATCCGTAGGCCCAGATTCAGCTTGACGCGACCCAATACCGCACTAGGGTCTGCAGTGAGGATGTTATCCTCATCTCCAGACTTCTCCGGCTTCAATTTCGGCGGCTCGGGCTTCGGGGCTGGCTCATTGTCGCTATCGTTTCTCACTACTTCCTTCACGCTGGACACGATGTCCATAATGAGTGGAACGACCGCTGGGTACAGAATATTGCTCGAAGCATCAATCTTGACTTCACCAGACAGTGCAGGGTCATCCTTGCCATTGTCTCGATATTCTGCCTTCCATGCAAGCCCAGGACTGCGTAGGACTGCGCTGGTTCCAGAGTCATCTGCAGTGAACTGGCCGTATTTCCCTGCCAAGGATGGGCGATCGCTTCGTAGTGGTCGAGCAGAGCTCTTCGCACTTGATACATAGACCACCGCGCCTGCAAAATCGGCGTCGACGAGCAAGCTCTCAAGTCGTTTGTTTCCAAAGATGCTTCGTGAATTCTCAGTCGTCGGTGCACTCTCAGCTTTCTTGCTGGCGGTGGTGTTGCTATTGTTCTGCGTCGCCTCGGTACTCCACTGTAGTGATGCTTGCTGCACATTCTTTGCTGATAATGATATTGATTCAACCAAGTTTGCCGCAGGCACGATGAAGGCCGACGTCAATCTCAAATCCAGCGGCTCGCCCACAGCTTGGAATGCCAGACGACGGGCGTCTGGTGTGGAAAAATAGGCAATGTTGAAAATGACTTGCGGAAGAAGCGCCGAGTGCAAAGATCTCATATTCCGGTCTTGACCAGGTGGTACGGTCTGCAGCTGAAAGTCTTCTATAGCCAGTCGCGCGGACCTCTTGGTTCTCGTACCGAATTCTATGAGTCGGATTGACAGCACCAGGTCCTCCTCATCGCTTTCCTGATGGCCACTGTCGTCCGCAACATTCCAGGAAGCACGGATGTTACGCAGTTCGAAACGATAAACAACTGATCCCAAGATAGAATCAAGAATATCAGTATGCTCTGGTAGTACCACGTCGTCATTGATGGATATCCGCGGCTTCGATTGTCTAAGTTTCCTTAGGTAGTCAAGTTCTCGCGATGTGTCTAGGTCCTTTATCTTTGTTCCGAGGTAGCCCAGCACATCAACAGCCGTAGAGGTTGTCTCCGGTGACATATTAACGTCAAAGTCATCGCTTCTAAAGTTGAATGACCACTCATCCTTGCCATCATCTCCAGGACTCGAGCTGACGGATACTGTGAAACTGGCACCAAAATTGCCGCATGATCGCATATTACCTTCTATTCCCTTTTCAATATCAAATCCAACGTGTCTGAGGTTCAAATGGACCTCTGGATACTTGAGGATAGGACCGTGTACTTCATGACGATTGGACGCCCGCAAATACGCTTTATCCATAGAAAAGAGCACATGGGCAATCGCCTCGGTATCAGACTTCAGTGACGTCCTGGCAGCAACTTGTAGTCCTGCAAAGGCAAGGTGGACGGCGTACACGAGATTAGAGCTCGGCTTTTGGACTTCGGGTGTCTCGCTAGTTCCAAAGATGTCTTCTATATGTTCCTGTATGGCCTTGGCTTGCTGCTGAACCTCCTCAATGGCGGTGGAGATTTGTGGTCGGTTCAGCGCTGTGAGGAGGTTATATATTGCCGACGCATCGAGGCGCATTACTTCCACAGAGCAGAGCACATTTAATATGCTTTCCGCCTTTTGTCCTTGGCTCAATGTGACGCGTCCATTGGTAGGCGGTATTTGTAGCAGAGATATAGTGCGAGACTCGTTCTTGACATTGATCTGCATCTCATGAGAATTCTCCTTGACATCAAAGTCAAAGATGATTTCTTTGGAAGAGTTAGCGGCGCACGCTGCCCGCGCCACGACACCAGATATTTGATACGTTAGAGTCGGGACCAAAGGTAGTCTAATTTCATAAGCATCCAAGAACGTGGCAATATTAACCTTGAAGCTGGGCGGGCGATTGGCCTTCTCAACTGGAGATTGCGGTGTTGGCGAGTCTGGAAGTTGTGTCTTCAAGCGGTAGAGTTGAGCGATTTCATCTCTGAATAGGAGATCGAGAACTTCCATGAGACCGATAGGATCCTGCTTCACAGAAAGAGTGAAGCTCTGGCTACTGGCCGTCGCCTTGACTTTGTGCGCTGCCGCTTCATCGGCCACCCGCAGTTCATGGGACACACATAGGCTCGGCTTTCGGAATTGAGACGTGCCTAGAGGGTGTGAATGATTATGCAGCATGGAAGTGACAGCATCGCAGTTGATCATCAGACTCGTGAGAGTTGCGCCATCAGTCGTATCAAACGTGAGTAAAGATGCCTTCAGTCCATCACCTAAAGTCCTTGCACTCAAATTGACTGTCTCAAGCTCAATGGATCCTTTAATTAGCTCAAGAGCAATATGAAAAGCGGGTGATGACTTTTTCGATAGTTTTGCGGCCTTCGAAGCTATCTTCTGAACACGGGGTGCCGGTGGTGGACCATGGCTCTGGTTTCTGTTGTATAATCTCAAGATATCGTCGGCAAGAACACAAAGCTCCCAGTTCAAGTTGACCGAGGCATTGCCGCAGCATATGTTCAACACAGTTACAGGAGTAGTCCCTAAAACGGTGGTGGCAGGGTCGCCCAGTTTTCTCTCGACTCTTGCAGTGAGATCGACAAAGCCAATTTTGTTTTCTTTAGGTCCTGGATCAAGTACAAGGCAGATCTTGCCAAGTTTGCAGGCACCAAGGAGAGGATATAATATTTCGTCTCCTTCGTCGTCGAGTTTAACATCGCCAAAGATTTTCTTTAATAGGATAGTACTTGAAACATTTCCCAAATCCCAGTTTCTCCACTTCTCGAAAGAGCTCACTACGCGCTGAGCTGCGTCGGGTGGGAGTGTCGGCGATTGACCCCAACATTCTTGTATCAGGCGAGCTTTTTCTATTTCATTCTTAGTGTCCCAAATTTGGCGAAGTCGCGTTATCATCTTCCAGGAATCAGTCGTTCTCAGGTGCTGATGTGCAGATCTGAGAACAGCCGAAGGCCTTATAAGGAAAGCAGGGTCGTTTGTCGCCTCCCCTACCTGCAAGAGACGTAGAACAAAGTATTTGACGCAGGTAGAATGGTGCTCATTGACTTCTGTCAGCAGCCGCTCTAGCTCTGTAGCAACAATTCCCGTGCGATGGATCAAAGAAGCCAGATATTCAATCTTGCCAGATGCGGTTCTTCCAGCGATTGAACCAATATCGGCATCGAAATACGTAATTTCTTTAGCTCCCAAAGAGACTCTAACGCCATCTATTTGCAGCACCACAGCCGCTTGTGGTTTCTGAACGGATGAAAGGCGCTCAGAGGCAGACATCTCGATGGAGCCTAGACGTAGATCTAGCGAGGTCCTAGAGTTGACGACACCCTGCTCTTTTGTAGTTCGAGTCACAAGGGAGACCTTGGAAATCGTCAAATCATACTGATCTAACTCTTCCTCAGAAGGATCCGGCGAATCCAATGTTGATGAGTTGAGAAACCGAACGTTGATCCTGGGTACCTTGACCATAATATCAGTCATTTCCCCGCTAATGCTCGCCTCCTTTTTAGATTTGAAAATGTCCGTAATGGCGCTGGATTGGAGAGAATCTAACACATCTTCGGGCTCGGTTGGTTGCAGGGCGCCCAGCAGAATAGTTACATGTCGAACAGCTTCAGGTGTAACAAAGGCGCTTATTCCGGAGGGAAACTCGATAATGGTGCTTGACTGCGCGTGATTTTCACTCAGATCAGCGGGATCAATATCGTTCAAGTCCTTTTTCAATCTATTAAAAAAGTCCATATCTTCACGATCAATGGGTGAGAAAGTCGCGTCTCGAGAATTCGGTCTGACGCCCTCTAGGGGGAAATTTGGTGTGAAATATTGGCTCGAGAAAGCAATAGCCGACTGCTCAGGGTTTTCATGTGCTGAAAAGTCTCCAACAGTACTGTAGAAGGAAGACCGTCTACCAGGAGAAACAGACTGTTCAGCCTTGTCAATTTCAGAGCGAGAGCCTCTCATCGCCGCAGATCGTATCGACAAACTGTCTCCAAATCTCGATGGCCTACGCATCGTGCGGGGACTGTTGAGACGGAAGCTGCTGCTACTCGAAGTGCTGGCGAAAGACACAAATGACTTTTGGCGAGTCACTCTCCGCGAGCGGGAGCTCGCTGTACTCGGAGCCGAGATCCTGTCATATTCAGCTTCAGCGAGGGGTGGTGGAGGTGGTGGCATGCACTGCGCAGGAGGATCGACCGGCTCGGGGATAAAATCACCACCTGTGCCAGGAAGAACTAGAAATGGTGTTCGGTCAGTTCGCTGATCCTCACGGTAGATTAGGTCTTGCTGGATTTTGCGCTCCTCCGAGAAATGGAACTTCCTTCCAATAGCGGCAAGTCGAACATCTGTCTTCAGATATGCTTGGGTTTCAACAGGGTGCTGAGGACGTGATTTGTGCCTCGCCGCAGACTCCGCATTTATGCACGAGAATTGAATATTCGGTATGAGCACATTTGCCCGCTTAGAATAATGTGACTGGGCCCAATCATTGCTATTGATGTCGATAGTATCCGTGGAGAAGCAGAAAACGCTCTCTTCAACGTGTATCCAAAGGCGGATTGATTGGACGACAACACGGACAAATGTTACGTCGTAGAAGATTAGAGACGAGTAGGGAACAAGGGCATTCTCAACATCATCAAACGTAAAGCCAAATGCTGGCCCTGCTTTGGTTAATGCCGCCACAAAATCGGGTGTGCATTCCCCGGCAACAGTGCCTACAGAAACATCCCAGTTACAAAGGTATGTCGGCTCCGATGGAGGTAGACCAAATGTGCGGTGGCCATACACCCGAATGCCATCAATAAACAGCTGTGTGTTGGAAGACGACACACTGGGAGAATCCAAATTGTTATCTGAGCTGCCCAGGGACAGGCTCAAGGGGCTTAGATCAAGGTCCATATCCATATAGTAGTTTGTAAAACGCAGGTCCAGAGACAGAGAGGCCAGTTCGCCCTGCAAATAACGTTTGGCAGAGTAAATATTCGTAGGAACCAACAGGCGAGGGTCGTCCAGTTTGATAGCCAAAATCACATCAAGGTCATTGGACTTTTTGGGTGGGGGGCGGACAGCTACCATCTCGGCATCCGGATTTTGTATCTTGGCCTGCAGTTGCTCCTGATATTCATCCTGAGTTTTAAAATGGACGTTTTCGCCGAAATAATTATCCTTAAGTACCATAACGTATCGGACCAGGAACCCGTAGAGGTAAACGCACGGTGATTGTGCGTGGACATTCAAGACCAAAGTATCCGTATTCGCAGGAGAAGTCGTAGCGTTGTAGTGATAACTTCCGTTCACCCCCAGGCCCTCAATATGGCCTAGTTCCTTAGATTTCACAAAGGTCGCTTGGGTGCTGGACTGAGAGGCATGAAGTGCCAAGTCAAGAGTGTCCGCTCGTACATCGAAAGGAATACTGTTTGTGCTTGGTCGAAACTTATCGAGGGGTATACAAGTTTCAGCTTTCAGTTCCGGACTAGAAAGAATGAGATATGAATTTTCGTCCATTGCAGTTGCTTTATCGATAATGTTCCCATCGTTGACATTGAGAAATATCTTGACGTTTTGCAAGCTGAGGTGGAGGTGATACAGAAAAGGTGTGAAGACCAGGTATTCAGCAGGAGGCCCTGCCGCCCAGTCGTCAACCAAATCGACAATCAGAAAGATGTGATCTCGCAAGAGATACATATCCATGCCATCGAAAGTCAGGTTAAAATGCCAGTTACGTAGTGTGTTCCATGAAAGAGGGTTAGAAAGATCGCATGAAATTTTCAGAGCACCAGATCGCCAGAGCAAATCATGATTGACACTGCTCCACAACTCAGAAGTCGGCAAATGGACGTTCAACTTGTTTTTAAACCCAGCCGAATTTGCAACCATGTCCATGAAATATCTGATGGTGGAATTTTGGGGAAGCTTGAATTCGAGCCAGCCGGCAGGGCGAGGCTGGACTGCTTCGCTTTTGGAATTTTTCTTGCCTCTGGCCCGATGCTTGCGCGTATTGCGAGCCGTATCCGGCTTGACCATGGTCTCTTTACCACGCCAACGCCAGTTTTTAGACTCCTCCCTTATAGGGATGCGCAGCGTGACTGTATCTTCCAATTCTACCAGCAGATCAAACTGCGTAGGCACTCGCCATGCACCAACTGGGAGTGGCCCGGTAGCGCTGCCATCTTTGGACAGCGAGGGCACAAAAACACGCTGTAGATCAGCTCTTTGCCTGTCGGCCCACGGTCCGTAGTTCATCGTCCCCCCTTTCACCGATAGCTGCACTCCCCATGCTGGTGGCTCCGAACCGTTGATGTTTAACGACGGATCCATTCGCCTCTGGCGATGAGCTTCTTCGGTTACCTTGCCGACAGCATCCCAGTATACAGTCAAGAAGCATGCAGGGCTGTCAAGAATGGTCGAAACAGCAGCATACTCAACGGGGGACCAGCGAGTTTTATCATCCATGTCCTGATCGTCGAGATATCGTGATAGACCTTGCCATTGGACAACTCCAGGGACGTGGGCGGACACAACCCCCCCTCCAGCTCGAGCGTCGCTTGAGAATGACTCGACAGACCTCCGCCAGTACGGCACCAAGTTTCGCAGGGAACTAAGCGCCTTGCGTCTTTGCTGGCGGAAATACGACTTCCTTGGGACAGGTTGTGGTTCTTGAGGAACGCTCTCCCGCTCCCGTTTAGCACGTGTCGCCTGATCTTCTTTAAAATCTAGGTTGTCCAGCATTTCTATCACGGGATGCTCCAGTTCTATCTTGAACACCTGTCTGTACTGATCCACAGTCTTTGTCTCTGTGGCATCAACGTCTCCAAAGAGAGAATCGGCCTTGACGATGAGAATTGCCTTTGTGTTGTCATTTCCGAACACCGCCGCGGCCTTCTGGCATTCTATTTGAATAGGGAATAGTTTGAGGATGAAAGGCAGTCCTTCCGTTTCGTCATCTTCGCTTTCCTCGTTACTACCGCTATTCGAGCCGGTGCTAGGTCGACTTCCATTTCCATTCAGCGGTTTATTGTTGCTCTTCTCTCGGGATATGGGAGCTCGTTCGGACGAATCCTCATGGGTTGTATTTCGCGATCGTAAACCTGTGTCACCTTTTTCATCGAACGCCCCGGTGCTTGAGCTTGCGCCAGATGAAGTTGGGTCGATGATGCCGGCAAGAACCGAGTCGTATGCCGGGCTGCGGTTGTAGACAAACCACTCCAGGCCGACAAGGTTCACATTTATACGGCATGGTAAATGAGAATTCCTATCTCTTTCTGATGCTTCGTTTCCTTTTGCCTTCGACGCGAATATGTCGGCCTCTCTTACGCGGCGCAGCCAGTATCGCCATGTGATGTCTCCATGTTGGATAAAGAATGTTTCGTTCGAGCCGTGATATCGCAAGCCGGTAAAAAAAACTCGCCCGGCTAAAAGCGAGACCTGAAGAGCCTGGATGTCGAGATATATGCGGTATCGGTGCCAAGTCCAAGTCCTGATGCCATAGGACACGATGGAGCCGAACAGTCGGTTGAAGTAGAGCAAGAAGAATATGGCGAGGATTGCGGAAAGAATTATAAAGATGAGAAACTCGCTGGGTAGAAGCATCAATTAGTTTCACAGCAGTTGATCCCACAGCCAGTGTAACTCACTAATTGAAGGTCAGTCGCGGCTGGCCAGATCCGACACCTGGGGTCACCAGATGTTCCATCTCGACGACACCTTCGTAGAGCTTCCCCACGCCTGCCAGAGATCCAATATCATTGTCCGTAGCCGCCGCTCTCCGAATGTCCCGGGCTATCGCGAAAGGCGTTGGTTGATGCTCAATGCCAGGACAGTGCTCTTCTGCATGGCTCCGAAGATGCGGTATAGAGGAGGTGCGCTTCGACAAGGCGCTTCGAGGCTGTTGGTGACGAAAGATGAATTTCGAGGTCCAGGTTCTCTGGATGCTGGAATTGGGATTGGCGTCCACTGCGGTTACCCCCTACGCAGCACTGGAGCTACCCGCTAAATTGCCCTTTTCAGCAGTGACCATCCACTAGCGGCCAGTGGAGCTTTATGCACGAGCTAAGCACGCAGCACATGCTTTGTACATCATCTGAAAGTACTTCCGCGCCAACCGCTGGTAGACGGGTACATCCTCCGGGTCCAAGCTCCGGCCGCGAGGCCATGTTTGGGAGCCAACAAGCACCATGACCAGCCGATCTGATCTTGTGAGCTTCGTCACACCTCGTCTTTTTCCTCCTCCTCCATAGACACGGAGCCGTCTTGATCGCTCCGAGTGCTGTGTCGCAACAGCACTTGCCCGCCTCCAAACGCAGCCCCTGGCAGAGCCATGAGCTGATCCCCAGCATTCCTCCCAGCGCTTTATCCAGACTCTCCCCCGATCTCCAGAGGGTCGCGTCGTGGCCATCATGCCTGATCATGGCACCGGCCAGAAGTTCACCACTGCCACCACTGTGGTAGCAGGTGTCGCGTCCATCATAGCAACGCTGCTGTCGATAATGTAAGCCGTCTGTGCTCTTCTCTTCTCCTGGCGGCGCAGCTCCCTGACCAGCCTTGGCAGTTCCATATGGCTCCAAGCAAAGAACTATCGCAAGCCGCTGCTGCAGCGCTATGTCGTCCGCATTCTACTCATGGTGCCCATCTACTCGATCGCGTCGTGGACAAGCATGGTTTCCTTGAAGGCCGCTGCCTTTGTGGACCCAATTCGAGACATCTATGAGGCGTTTACGATATACACCTTTTTCCAGCTTCTTATCAACTACATGGGCGGAGAGCGTGCTGTCATCATCATCCCCCACGGTCGGGCCCCAGTCCATCATTTGTGGCCCATGAACCATTTCCTGCCCAAGGTGGATATCTCAGACCCTTATACCTTCTTGGCCATCAAGCGGGGCATCCTTCAGTATGCGTGGCTCAAGCCCATCCTGGCTGTCGCTGCCATCATCATGAAGGCTACAGATACCTACCAGGAGGGATACATCGGAGCTAAATCCGGCTATTTCTGGAGTGGTATCATCTACAACATCAGTGTTACTGTCAGTCTGTACTCGCTTGGACTGTTTTGGGTTTGCATGCATCGAGACTTGGTACCGTTCCGGCCGGTCCCCAAGTTCTTGTGTATCAAGCTTATCATCTTTGCTTCCTATTGGCAGGGATTCTTCCTATCGATTCTTGTATGGCTTGGTGCCATTCCGGACGATGTCCAGGGTTACACTCGCGACAACCTTGCTGCAGCTATCCAAGACGCTCTTATCTGTGTAGAAATGCCCATTTTCGCTGTTGCTCACTGGTATGCCTTTTCCTGGCATGATTTTGCGGACAACCGCATCCAATCGGCTCGCATGCCACTCAACTATGCCTTCCGTGATGCGTTTGGGGTCAAAGACCTCATTGAAGATTCCAAGGAGACGTTTAGGGGAGACAACTACGGTTACCGATTTTTCGACTCCGGAGACAGAATCATGGCCCACGAAGACTCCAGGTCGAGATTTGCTCGGTTGAGAGAAGGGATGCGGTACGAACGCGGAGGTAAAGGCAAATATTGGATTCCCAAACCGGGGGAGGTGAATGCGACGTCGCCATTGCTGGGCAATGGATCGTCCAGCTCGACTCGTCCTGATCAACTGAATGAGAATGCGCACGGCACATTTGAGGAACCTGAAATTGATGCCGATGAGGAGCATCTGTATAGCAAAGCCCGGCAGTTGGAATACGGGGATTGGAATGTAAGTTGACAATCTCTCTCCGAACTGTGCAAGTGCTTATGCTTACCCTACGTGAATAGTATCCAGTCATTACAGCGAGCGAGCCGCTCAGGGAGCGTTATGCTTCTTGGGCAAGCAATTCGGAAACCAGGCTCTACTCTTCCCCGTCTCATGCCAGCACGCCAGCACGTAGCCACTCATTTAGTTCTTCATTGCACCAGCAGGGCCAGCAGACCGAATCAGAGCAACCACCGCCGGTGGTTGTTATAAAGAAGAAGAAGAAATCGAAGAAGGCTGTACAGCCTACAGAACCGAGTCCGGCTGATTTGAAATCTCATCAAGAAGACCAGAGCAGCGCTAAAGGAACATCAAGCTACGATGGCAACAGAAGCCCCGCTGTAGAGGAGAACGAACCATGGGCCTCCGCCGAACGCGAACATGTAGACGATCACTCGCCCAGTTATCAAGTTCCAGACTCTGACGAGTTTCGCAATGTTTGGGATGGCGACAAATAAGTAGCTTTGGTTTTGTTTTGTTGCTACGGAAAAGGTAAAAAACTGCTAGAAGAAATTCAGATCTATGTGTCTACCCTGGGCCAGACAGGCATAGCGAGGCGTTCTTGGGGTGTCGGAATTAAGGGAGGGGGAAAATACCAGATTTTTTTTCTTGATGTATGCGGATATGTACTCATTATATACCAGCCGCTATTCGTTCAACTACTACTATTCGGTTTGCTTTTTTTTCTCTCTTTTTGCTATCTACCCGTCTCACCAGACAGATCTGTTGCTCAAACATGTGAAGCAAGAGAGGCATATGTTGAAGGGTGTAGCTATTAGCTCTCGCAACATACTACAGCTATGTACTATATCTATATTGTTTTTATCCTTCTCTTCTTTATTCGGTATTTACAACATCAAGACCTATGTCCCCTTGGACATGTCAATCAATATTTTCCTCGCATCAGCCGCGCTCACACTCCCAGGACTTGGTGGTGTCGGACCGGTAGTCCAGTTCGTAGGAGAACTGCCGAGCACAAAGTCGAGAGTGCCTCCGTTTGCAAAAATGTCGTACCAGCTCGCCCAGCCCTTATTCCACGCCTTGCCATTGACTTTGAGCGACTGGACGTAGTATACATCTTCGCTACCGCCAGTGGTGGTGATCTTGAGCGTCTTGCCACCGCCCAAGGAGATAGTCAGATCAGTGAACCAGGGAGATCCGATGAGGAAGGTAGTCTGGCCCGTCATGGGGTACAAGCCGATCATGTTCCACAATAGCCACGACTCCATGGCTCCAGCGTCACTGTTTCCGGGTAGGCCGCCCGGTGTGGGCTTGTAGTACGATTTAGCAATAAAGCGACTTCGTTGGACAGCGAGATCTTGTCTGTTGACGAAATTGTACAGATAGGGGGTTGCAAAGCTGGGTTCGTTTCCAGGGTTGAAGATTGTGCTGCCGAATGCGCTGTTGCCAGAGTAGATGCCGGGTTGGAAAGTCATCTCAAGGCGCTGGACAAAAGTATCTGCTCCACCAGAGTACTGAACAATGGTGTCTAAATCGTGATGAGCATTAAAAGAGTATTCCCACGGGAGAGCCTGGTAGTAGTAATCCGCCCAGTAGCAGCCACCGCAGGAGATGGGGTTTTGAGAGATGAAGCCGCTGGTGTTTCTTGGGCCAAGGAAGCCCGAGAATCCAAGAGCAGTCATGTTAGTATTCCAATGGTTGCGCCAATTGTGCGATCTGTTGAGATACTTTTGGAAATCGTTTTGAAGACCAAGGCCGTTGGCAACGGTAGCCAACGAAAAATCATTGACCGAACTGCAAGGGGCGTTAGGCACGCAACATTAATGCCATAAACGGGGTCACTTACTATTCAACAGCTCTGCTAACCGACCGTCCAAACGAAGGTGTGATGTAGCCATATTTCAGCCAATCTGACAGCGCACCTCGTCCTTCCTTGGTCGAGCCTGTAGGGTCTCGCGGATCCTTGTTGTTTGGTGGAATGACTTCAGCATTCTTCACCATGGAGGCATAGGCGCCTTCCCAGTCGACTTTGCCGCGCACACCCTTGACAAACGCATCGGCAAAGACGTTGTCGCTGTTTGAACCTCCTTGGACAGCGCCGTTCCAAAATGAGGAGCGAGCATCCGACACGTAGCCTTCATGGCGATAGATGTCTACCATGGATCTAAGAAGCTCTTCATGGTATGCCGGCTGAAGGATGTGGAGTAGAGCGGTTGTGCATCGATGCTGTTGACACGGTTAGTTACAGCTGTTTTCAATAAGAACCGCGTAGCTTACAGTGTCCCAAAAGGTGAAAATGTCATCATAGTAGGGCTCCCCAGAGGTCCAGAGAGGATTTTCTCCTGTCTTGTTAGTCGGAAGCAGGTGCATGAAATACAGGGCTGAGTAGAGCTGGTTCAACTTAGTGACATTTGTCTCGCTTGTCGTCACCTTTTGCAGTACTTGTGAGTTCCACGCATCTCGAGTTCCTTGGCGAACAGTCGCGAGACTGGTCCCCTGGGGAATCTCGGCTTTGACATTGGCACAAGCTTGAGCCTCAGAGACGAACGAGACTCCAACTCTGGAGACCACAGAACGCTGCTGGAAGGTGAAGAGGGCGCCGAGCCTCGCAGTCTGGGAGCTGTAGCTCGTCTTATTGGAAAACTCGGACAAGTTTGCTGTTGTTAGGCTTGTTCCAATAAATGTTTTATAGGTAGCCGGCGCATCGAAATATCCACAGAAATAAACCGTCCATGGGCCAGCTCTGTTCCATCCCTGAATTTATATTAGTATGCGGCTCATATCATCAGAGAACCAAAACTTGGCTCACATTGTTATAAGTTCCATTACCGGTATAATAATAATATCCGGGCTTGGTGTCTTGCTGGACATTAATGCTGCCTCCTAAAAAATGCTGCTCCAACCCTTGGCCACGGTAGGACGACAAGACATGGGACACGTCAACAAGCACGTTGAGATCCTTGCTCACACTAGGGAATGTGTACTGAAACATGCCAGCTTTGTTGGTAGCTGCCATTTCTAAGACTGTACCAGAGCCAAGGCTCGCTTTATAATAGCCAATTTCGGTAAAATCAGGCGCGGCACGAGTGTCATTGATAGCATCGCTCAGAGGGTTTACAACAGTCCCGACTACGGGCATCTGAGAAACGACGCCGTATTTCGGTGCGCCGCCAGTTCCGCTCTCATGGAGCATCGTGAAGCCCGTGAAGTTGCCATTTGAGAGATAGCCAGAGTAAGCATCGGTGCCCGAGTAAAGATCGGGACCGAGCTTGACCATGCCTAGTGGTCGTGAAACACCGGGAAATGTGTTTCCGCCATTGATGGTCCCTGTCTATACAGAGTCAGGTTGATTCGGTTAGGCATGAGATGCGTACTCGATCGGCCACTTACACTGGTCAAAACATAGCCGGCCAAGTCAGCGGAAGGAACCGCAGCGGAATTGACCAGCGATGGTATGAAAGGCAATAACAATAACGAAGAATACATTGCGACTATAAGTATAGACAGCCCTATAGAACTACACAACATGCTCGCGGAGACGTGCCGTTGGACACGTCGATCCCACTAGACTTATATGCAACTCTCAGACCGTTGATCTTACCCCCCTTCAGCAAAGGGCCAAGGGCGGAAAGCAACATGACGATGCATTCTCCGCACGAGAAGCTGCAATGGCACGGTTGCAACAGGCATCCCGAACACACAGTCACGTTCTTGTCGGATCATCATAAGCGGGCGGCGACTGAGAGACAACGTGGGATGTGCATGCCATGTGAATGGTCCAGAGACATGCCTTTGTGCTGGAATAGGCAAAACGCTAGTGTAAAAGGCCCCGGAGATCTGTGAGGAGAGGGCATTCAAGTGCCGATGTGGCACAGCATTAATACTCGTATCAATCAGATCTCGAGAAATCGGGATCGCATGCAGATGCGCGCTTTAGTAGAGAAGATGGACGCCAAGTCGGGACAAAGGGTGCCGAGTCCAGGAAAGTGTGTCTCTCGGCCGGAGTATGCAAGACAAAGTAATCAATCATCAATACGAAGTAGTACTCGAAATTACCTAAATCTAGCGCTGCTCTGGCCATCCAGGGAGCCGTTCAAGTAGCGAGACATCAAAAAGAGCACGCGCCAGGCGGGATAAAGCCGGCAAGTGAGCGCACAAACATGTCGCCTGACCTGCGAGGACAAGCTAGCAGAGAGCATTACGAACAGGATTGGATTGCATAGGGTAGGATTCTATCCTCGAGGCGCTTTTTGTTCTCGTGGCGCAGCCCCAAAACAAGTTAGGCCCAGGAACGCTGTGTCAGTTCCGGCTCGGGAGCGAATCTTGGGGATGCCGTGAAATCGTGATTTGCCCGTTTCATCTGTTTCGATGGTGTCTCTCTCTTCTCACGTTATTCTCGTCTTTGTCCTACATGGAGTTCTCCTAAAGAAGCAGGGCGAGAAGAGCAACATCAGACGAAAACCACAAACACGGAGATATCTCGTGATTGCAACATGCCCCTTCTCTTCACATGCATAGGCCAAAACGGTACTGTACAATGCAATGGATGTGGGGGTTGTTTTTGTTCAGCCAGTGTCGTTTCTCACTGTTTGAGTCGGAGCAAAAGGGCATCGAATCGTCGGATCGGAGAATTTCAGCCAATCCACCCGCATCGCCGGATTAACATGGCGCCGATAGCCTAACCTTAGCGGCGTGCACAAAAAAGCGGGCGCTCGCAAACCATCCGCACACAATGACAATATCAACACACACCACGGCAGCCCCAAATTGCTGACGCCCTGGCCGTTCGTGTTGTGGACATGTGGGCGCGTGTTTGCCGTGGAGTCCCTCTTTTTCCTGCATACCGCTTGCCACCGACACAGGCGGTCTGGAAATATTTGTCGATAACGCGGGCAGAATCCATTAGGCCCACGTCTGAACCGTACTGCTGCTACATTCCGCCTTTTCTGCCACCCGCCAGACAGGACCATCGTCCAAGCTGCCTCGTCACTGAGAGCTTGGATCCAAAGCCAAAGGGCGGAATCGAGTCGCCAGGCCCTTGTGCGCTACAGACTGCGAGCCGGGCGCCCTCAATCGAGGCCCGTCGTGCGCAATGGGTCGCAAGCCGAATCCCCTCATCCTCGAGTATTTCGTCCGCGGGCCCAAGCTCAACGACAACAGCAACCGCTATCCGCACACGTGCAAGCAGTGCGGCGAGAACTTCCCCAAGGGCCGCATCGATAGCCTGACGACGCACATCACCAAGAAATGCCCGGCCATCTCCGACTCGGACCGCATGCGAGCCTGCCTCGAGCTTCACGGCATCACCACCGCCAGAGCTGCCATCGAGCGTCCTCAGGGCGGGGCTCCCGTCAATGGCCAGCCCACCGCTCAGCTCGCGCTGCCGCAGGGTTGGAGTGCCCTGGAGACTCTCGCCGAAGCATCGCGCCAGGTCGATCTGAACGAAAACAATCGTGGCCAGAAGGCATCCGACACCCCTAATCCTGCTGCTAATGGCGGCGGCTTTGTGCCAGATCGACTGGAGCTGCAGGAGCAATTCACACTGGAGAATCCTCCCGCAACGTACGACAGCCGTCCGCAGACAAGCACCAGCCTTAAGAAAGGCCTTCAGCAGTCCCCATCTCGCTCGACGTCGAGCGTGGGGCCTGACTTGGCAGCTTTTGCAGGCAATGCCGTCGTGCAGGTGGCGTCACCGACTCCTGAGCTTTCACCAGAAGAACGTCTTCAGGCTCTCCTCCCCGCCAGCGAAACATCGCCAGACCCATCCAACATCTCTGTCGCTGTTGCCGCCACTGCCCGCTTGAATCCGTCCTTTCTCGACCCTCAGCTTGTCAACACCGACATTCCACCGCCGACTTCATCTCCTCCAACCGTAGAGGCTCAGGCAACTATCGATCCAGTGCCAGCCTCCCTACCCACCACGCTGCCCACCTCTATACCAACCACTCTCTCCGATGCGAATGTTTCCCAGCCGTGGGGCGAAATGACATACCTGGCTACTACTACCCCTATTCCCTTGCTCACGGAGAATTCTCCAGCACTGCCTCTAATGAGCCGCGGTGGTGTTCGAATGGACACGAGCGATGGGCTCATCAATGGCAGAGCACGCCACGCACGGTCGAGATTTACCCCTGCCAGACGCAAGGAGGTTCAAGAAGTCCGCAAGATAGGCGCTTGCATTCGATGCCGGATCCTGAGAAAAAACTGCGGCAAAGGAACGCCCTGCGATACTTGCCGCAAGGTCCTGGCACCCCGTGTCTGGAGGACTGGCTGTGTTCGCACACGTCTACACGAACAACTTGATCTATATGCTGCTGGCGTTCAGGTCGTTCTATCTCAAAACCGCATCAATCTCATTAAGGATCAGCTCAAGCTCACCAACGATGGGAGCTTGATCGAAGTATCCCATTTTCCCGAAGCAGGCAAAAAGATTGTCTTCGGGGCCTTGGTGTACCCACTGGAGCCAAACGAAACACAGGCGGAGGCTCGTGGAGACAAGACACCATTTCATCAGGTCATCATGATTGACCAAGATTCGGAGGATATCCCGGCCAAGGCCGAGTCGTACATGCGAGATGTGCTGAGTACCTTTATTGAGCGTGAGCCGTCAAAGTTTATGAGAGTGACGCTCGAGGCTGCATGTCAGCAGCTTTCAAAGGGAGAAGACGACCTCCTCAGGAAGGCCTTGGAGTTGTGGGGTCTTGTCGAGAGCATCGATCGCGAACGGCAGTGGACGATTCTAGAGAAACCGAGTGCCGAGGGAGAAGAGCCGAGATGGATAAAGGAAGCACAAAACGAAAACGACGCAGACATTTACACCATGATCTGCATGCAGCTCAACGCTGCCGCGGAGCGAAAGGCTAACAGCACCTCCAAAAGTCTGTTGAACCACATGGACAGGCTGCTCACCGACAGCAAGACAAAGGTCGGATTCAAGATCTATCTCACCGCCATCATCTTCCTCAACTGCGTGGAGAAGTCCACCTGGGCGTTTAAGGCTTGGGAGCAGGACCATCTCCGCCCAGGCTGGCCCCTTGAGCGGGACCCAAGCGTGTTCACCCAGCAGGGCGGCAATTTGGCTGGACTGCTGAAGATGCTCTTGTCCATTCGCAAGGCGTTGCCTCAAACCATGAGGGGCCTAGATGGGAAATTGACAGTTCAAGACAAAGACCCGGAAATCACGGAGTACTTCCATAATCTTGATCTTGATTGTAAGCTTTGCCCAATCCAGTCAATATTACGCTTCATATGCTAACCGTGTCACAGTCGATACCATCGAAGCCCGCCAAAAAAGCTCACAATTCTCTCCTGCCGACTCCCGTTCCCTCGAACTGGCGTTTTGCTCCCATCTTTTACTTCCCAACCTCCCGGCCTAAAGACTTACGAGTTATGAGACAACGACCTGGCGCAACTTCTTTTTTTCCCTTTTTATTATTATTCCATCACTCTAATTACCAACATACTGTGATTCTTCGATCGATTTAGATGACTAAACTGACTTTGCCTCACTGGCCCGGAGAGATTTATTTTTTTTATTACTTTTCAAGAAGAAGGGAGCGGCGCGCATTTAGATGGTGGGCGGGAAACAAAAAAAAAGTACAAAAAGTATGCAAACATTTAGACGAAACACTTTCACGATACGGAGGAACAGGAATATCAAGGGGCAAACCTCACATTCCCTTTCCTTTCTTGCGCCCCCCTCCCTCCGAAACAATCTTCGCATGACTCGGCGTTGGTTCTGGTCCCCACGGTTTCATCGGGCTTCTTTTATTTTTCATTCACAAAAAGCGAGGCACAAAAAAAAGCATGATAGATGGCCTGCTCGGTTAACTTTTTTCCTTTGTAAAGGGGAGGATATTCATCTTCATCTTTTTCTTTTTTCCTTTTGTATCTATTATCCAAAACTACATAGAGCGATGGCGCAATTTCCGGCTTTTTTTTTAAAGACGCCCACGCGCGCTGATTTATCGAATCATTTCGAGCGGTAGCCACACACAAAAAAACCAGTTCACACATTCAAAATGGGAAAACAAATGCTATAATAGATGATTGAATCTCTCTTCTTGTTTCCAACCCCGCCATTAATAATTTGCATCTCCCATGACTCCTCTATAAACTCAAACACCCAAATCTCCCCTTTATCCATGCCCAAACTTCTAGGTCGGCGACATGCTTCCACTGTCCACTCGCGAAACGCCCTGCCCCGGACGCTTGGGCTTCTTGAAGCAAGCGAATTCGTTCTTGCTTGCCTCCCTGAGTTTCTTGAGCACGTTGCGCATCTCAGGCAGCTCGTTCTGCAGCCGTGCGCGGGCGTCGTTGTCCGTGCGGCTGTCCAGCTCCTGGTAGATTTGGCTCTGCAGCTCCGAGGCCTTGTCAGTGGTATAATGGCTCAGCGTCTGGGCAATGAACTCGACGTCGAGGGTAGCTTGAATGAGGGCGCTGAGGGAATAGCGCGGACGTTTGCGAAACGCATCCAACAGCTGCAAAGATGTCTGCTCCAGCAAGAATGAAAGGACCTGAGGTGTCAGTGAGGCAGCCGTAGTGGAAACCTGGGAGTGGACAAGAACAAGCGTCAGAAGCGTCTCGTATACGTATGGCTTGGCCGTCTGAGGCCGTTCTCCTTGCGCTGGTGCCCAATCATGGTCCGCGAGGCCAGAGTGGATGATCTCACGCAGCTTCTCAGTAGCCTGCTTAGTGTAAGACTGGAAGAGGCGAGCGTCGATCTGGCCAAGCACGTCCTTGATAGTCTTGGACTCGTCCGTAAGCTTGACTGAAAATGCATTCTCAAATTGCGAGTTCAGATTAGGGACTACTTGAGACCGCAGAGCCTGCAGATTGCTCAATGTAAGGAGCATTCGAACGTTCTGATACAAGTATTAGCTTGGTGATGGACGAAAAATAGACAAGGGGAAAAAGCGTTCAAAACTTACTCGGTCTCCGGCATCAAGTGTGCTCTTGCCCACTGACGATGCAGCAATGCTGGAGGTAACCCCGTCCTGGCCAATGGACCACTCGTCATCCGTCTTCTTGACAGATCGCTCTGCATTCTCCACCATACCACTCAATGCCTTGTACAAGGTGGTTACGTACTGGCTGCGAACCATCTGGAGCAGCTTGGCCGGCGGCGGTAGAACAATGTCGCCTGCTCCCGGCTTCGACATCGCCTCGGAGATGTAGAGAATCTTCTGCATACCGGATAGAAGAGCGCCCTCGAATGCAGCAAAGCTAGCAGGCATCCGCGTAACATCTCCCGACTCTGCAGACGGCAGCCAGTCCTCTATAAACTTGATATTCTCGGCGTCCCGGTTCCACGCAGCGCACAGAGCTGTTACGCATCGCTCTCTGGAGACACCGGTCAAAGTCTTTAGTTGCTCGAGAACTTGGCTATTTCCCGAGCGAATGGGATCGATGGTGGCAAGGTCAGAGGCACCTGAGCCGACCAATGCCAGCATCCTGCAGAGATAGTACACTCCGCTAATGGAGTTTGACCAAGGAGGCCAAAACGCCAGCTTCTCCCAAGGCTCACCCTTCTTTGGCGAAGATGGCGGCGGGTTATTCGGGTCAAAATTGAATCGAGGGTCCCGTGTAGAGGTTGGGCTCAGGGAATTGCCGAAGCCGCCAGCTGAGGCTGGTGAGTTGGGCGAGACTGGGAGCGGCGAGAAGACCACACTAAGATCTTCAGGGGGCAGCCCAGCAAAGAAGTCATGTATGTGTCCACGCAACAAGTCCACCAATTCCACGATGCCCTTCTCAAGGTCCGTAACATTTTTCTGTGTTAGTTGGTGATGCCCTTGAGACTCATCGTTATAGCCTGTAGGCAGCGTCCTCTGAATATTGCCCTCAATGAAGCCTTGTGCAGTCTGCCAAAACTCGAGGAGGTCCCCAAGAATGCCCTGAGGAGACATTAGGCCGGTCAGAAAAGCAAGCATCTTCTCCCACAGCTCAATGACATCTGCGGAATCGCTCGAGGTTGGTTTACTGTCGATGCTCTGTCGGCCCAGTGTACGTAGGTGTGTGGCCACAACTTTATTAGAAGGCTTCTCATTGGCCGCAAGCCTTCGACGAAGCACCTCAATTTCTGCCTTTGTGTGCTCGGCCGTTGACTGAATCTTGGATTTGAGGTATTCGTATCGACTCAGTAACCATACCCATATCGGGTTTTCGTCGACACCAAGTTCCAGCAGTAGAGTGATGATGTCCATGTGCTGATCCGGCCCACGGCCAACGTGACTCTCGGATTTTGACAATGTGTGTAAGGTAGACAGCCTCTTCCATGCATCCCGTTTGAAACTTTGGATTTGGCGATCAACGTCATACCATACCCGAGCTGCCACCATGATCTGATAGAGCTGGTCATCTTCTGGCATTTGACGGTCGATGTTTTTTGATACTGCGCGCGCATCGTCGGCAAACTTCCTGGCGCGGTTGTATGCTTCCACCAAGGTCTCGTAGTCTTTCCTCTTGATACAGTCGGATATTATGGTGCTCAGCTCCAGTGGATCTTTGAACTGGTTTACGTATCTTTGGAATGACCTCAAGTGTTCCTCCTTTTCGCGCCCTCCCAGAGCTGGTCCCCACACATCTTCGGCTTTGGCAGAGACATCCAATAAGGGAACTTTGATGCCCAAAACACCGTATTCGCTTTCTTTAATCAGAGCATTCTTCTTTCGAGAGTCGGACGACAGGGCCAAGGGATTGTTTAGGCCAGCCCTGCCGGCACGTAAGCTCGTTCGACTGGCATGGCGACCATGGACGGAAGCTCTTGCAGGATTGGTCTCGGTTCCACGATATTTCATTTCTCTGTAGACATTGTCTATAGTTGCCTTTGCCTTGACAAATCTTTCAAAGTTGCTCTCCACAAGCACCTTTAAAGAGGCTGACTTTTGATCGATAGACTGCGAAAGGATATCCAAGCCCTCGAGCAACGTGCGCGTGTCAGCGTGTTCGTGTACCTGCGATAAGAACAGGGTCGGCGAAAAGGTAGTCGAGGACAGCATGAATCGGTTGCCTGTCAAGATGCGATCAGCCCCTGCTGCGGCAGACTCAAGGTGGGAGACTCACGAAGTCGCACGTCATCATGTGCCGGGAGGCCAATTTCTCTCAGCGAACGAACAACGCTGTCTGTGGTGCCCAGGGGATCTGGCTCGTCCTTTAAAACATGGTTGTTGGCAGCTGCTTTTCCTACCGCAGCCTTGCCATCGCCGGCGGCAGACTGGAGAGCCTGATATCGCGACTTTTGGCGGCTGTGCTTCTTAGAGTCGGCTTCGTCCCCGGAGGAGTCGTGGTCATCTTTCTCTGCAGGCCATTCTGAGGGGTACGAGGTGGGGAGCTGGTAGAATTCGAGGATTGTTCGCTCGTAATCGGACATGTTGTCGGGCTCGACGCAATGGCGGGGAGGATGAAGCTCGCGAGCTTAGGGACGGTGTCAAGGATGGCGGGACAAGCTCATGCATGCGGCAGCGGGAGATTGAGATTGTTGGTTTTCGGCCTTGAGGGATCAGGAATGTGTTTTGGCGAGAGGCGTAGCGACCATTGCCTTGGTCGAAGCAGGATCAGCTCCACGATGCGAGCACGCAGCTGCTGCTTCTCCAATGCAAGATCATGTACCACCTGAGTTTAGCAGCAGTCGAGGTACCCCGTACTATTCCAAGGACGCATGCTGCAACTAGCCACAAGCCACACCAGCCTGGTTTCAGAAGAGCAGCCACAGGTCATGTCAAGCCACGGGGTCACCAGCCACCAGCTGGCAGCTCTCTTCGCTCTCTCGCTCTCTCGCTCTCACCAGCCTCAATTCCTTAGTCATGGGGCGCTAGTTCGTGCAAAATCCAAAATCCAATCAAAAATCTGGAACACGGGGAAGGCCGAGGCAAAAAAGCTCAACCAATTAGGCGTAGCTCGGAGCCTGCAGCCGCAAACCGAACGGCTCCGAGGCGCCTGACCGAAGCGGCAGAGCGGAAGAAGGGTCGAAATGAGGGAAATTCCACAGGCGCGCCACAGGCCGTGTGGCTGGTGCTCTCCACTCAGCTCGCTTTGGAGCCACTCGCAGCGCAGTAACCAAGGCTGAAGCGTGCATATCGCCGGCTTTCAGTTTCGCCCATGCCGGGCCCGAGCCAAAAAACTTTCAGATGGCCTTGTTTATTCCTTTTTTTCTTTTATTCCCCTTAGATACCGCCAGCCGACCTCTTTCTTCCCTTTTCTCTCCTCTCTGGTAAACCGCCTTTATATATCCTCGACATATATACACGCACACCATCACAATGCTGGCCATTCGCTCTCTCCAAAACCCTGCCAGGCAGTGCCTGCGAGCAGCTCCCCGCGCTGCCGCCACCTGGTCCATTTCCGTATGAAACAACAGCGCAACAGGCGGACTCGATGAGAATATTGGCTAACGTCTGGTCCAGAACAAGCGATTCTACTCTCAGGAGCGAGTTGCCAAGTACGAGGGAACCAAGGATGCCAATGTACGTCTGCTCGACACATAATATGCGCATTTCCCCCCATCCGCGGCTCTCTGCATGATTTGCTGTGTTTCGTCTATGTCACCAATAGTCGAGGGTGGGGAGGAATAAAATTCACTCAAGGCGCAGAGCTTGGAACTTGTGCAGCTGCCCCGAGAAAGATGCTTACAATGTTGATAGGGCAACTTCCTCGTCAGCTTGATTGAGGGTGATGGTATCGGTCCCGAGATTGCTCAGTCCGTCAAGGACATCTTCGCCGCCGCCAAGGTACGACCACTTGAGACCACAGGATGGAACAATCCGCAAGAGGAGCAACAGATGAAGGCTAACAATGAGATATAGACCCCAATTGCTTGGGAGCCCATCGATGTCACCCCCATCATCAAGGACGGCAGGACCGCCATCCCCGACGCCGCCATTGAGAACATCAACAAGAACAAGATTGCTCTCAAGGGTCCTCTGGCTGTAAGTGGACTAATACTGATATAACTCCTTTCAGATCGCAACAGACGGATTGTGCTGACACATGTACTAGACCCCCGTTGGCAAGGGCCACGTTTCCCTCAACCTGACTCTGCGACGAACCTTCAACCTGTTCGCCAACCTGCGACCTTGCCGATCCGTCGCCGGCTTCAAGACCCCCTACGACGGTGTCGACACTGTCCTGATCCGAGAGAACACCGAGGGCGAGTACTCTGGCATTGAGCACGTTGTCGTCGACGGTGTTGTGCAGAGCATCAAGCTCATCACCGAAGAGGCCAGCGAGCGTGTCCTGCGATTCGCCTTCCAGCACGCCGAGTCCATTGGCCGCACCAAGGTCCGTGTCGTCCACAAGGCCACCATCATGAAGATGTCCGACGGTCTTTTCCTCAGCGTCGCCGAGCGCGTCGCCAAGGACTTCCCCAACATCGAGTTCGACGCCGAGCTGCTCGACAACACCTGCCTCAAGATGGTCACCGACCCCAACCCCTACAACGACAAGGTCCTGGTCATGCCCAACCTGTACGGTGACATTCTGTCCGACATGTGCGCCGGCCTCATCGGCGGTCTCGGCCTGACTCCTTCCGGCAACATCGGTGACGAGTGCTCCATCTTCGAGGCCGTCCACGGTTCCGCCCCCGACATTGCCGGCAAGGGCCTTGCCAACCCCACTGCCCTGCTGCTCAGCTCCATGATGATGCTGCGCCACATGCGCCTCAACGACCACGCCAACAAGATCGAGAAGGCCATTTTCGACACCCTGGCCGAGGGCAAGTCTCTGACCGGCGATCTCGGTGGCAAGGCCAAGACCCACGAGTACGCCGCTGCCATCATTGAGAAGCTGTAAAGAACGAACAGGCGTTTTTTTGTCACTTTTTGATACCTTTGTCACCTCTACCGCTGCCTTTTGCACCACAGCAAAACTACGCAAATCCATCAACTACACAACCCGCCATTCCGCAAAAACTCATAAACAACTCATTCCACGTAACTGGGGCTGCTCCCGTATGAACGTATAATCGAACGCCCCGGTTTACTCGCGCCATACACCATCTTGTTCACTCTTGAAAAAAATTATTTTCACTAGGAGGGGATTTCATTTTATCACGGTTTTCCAAAAGTGTATTGAGATATAGCAAGCATTCAGTACATCGAGGACCCCAAAAAAGGGAGGGGAGAGAGGGGAGGAGGGGGAGGAGGAGAAAAAAAGAAAGCGGTTTAGAATCTGTATGTACAAACTACTGGAACGTGTGTCAGTGCGTGGGTATTTGGGCTTCGCTGCTTGAGTTCCATCCACGGCATGGCAAAATCATCAAAAAACAAGTTTAAAAAAAAGAATGATACCATGAGCCTGTGTCTTTTGATGGTGTTATAATCTTGTACGCACTACTCGGTCAGTAGCCTCGTTTTTCATGCGGCAAGGGTATCGTCGTCGGCATCACTTCTGTCACACGAGCAAGAGAAGGTCATACCTTGTCTCCGCACGACCACATGCGACATGCGACAAGCGTACAAGTAAACACGGCCCAGCCAAGGAGAAACAGAGAAGACCAACGTTGCACGATTATTAATTTGTGCTCACTTTGCAACTCGCAGAAATGACGTAGCTCAGGGTAGTCTAGCATTAAGTAGAAGAAAAGAAGAAAAAAAAAAAAAAAAGGGTCTACTCTATAAAATCTAGACCGTTCAGAAACACGCCTATGAAGTCATGCCGGGGGTGTCACCACATCAAAACGATCGGACCATCCCATCGGAGCGGTAATAGGGTGTGTGCCGAATTGGGCGTGATTTACAAGCCCGCGTTGATTGTTTGCCTTGATATCAGGTATACACCGGATTAGGACTAAGAGATGATAAAGTAGCACTCGAGAGCGGGCGAGTAGATTATATTGCGGATTGGTATTTGAGATGCGAATTGATAGAATTGTCATCAGATATCCAGACTATGATGGGAGAGTCAAAAGAACTCAGATGATTGATATAATACAAGTACAGATTTGATACAGGAGAGACGAAAGCTACCCGCCGCCATCATATTGCAAGGAGCTGCGGTTAGACACGGTAGAGTAGAAGGTGTCCAAGTGCCGCGCTCGTAAAGAGGAAGGGAAAAAAAAGTGGTGTCGTAAATCGTGACGTCTCAGATTCCTTGTTACAGCCCAACCCCAGCCCAGTCCATGTGTGTCCATTTCCGTATCGTACGCCCGGTGAAAAACAAATCTTGTCCAAGACCCCAACTCCGACCCAATGCAGAAAAAAGGGAAAAAGAAAAAAGAAAAGGGCATGCCCAATTGCTGTGTGGCAGGATTGGCTTCCCCAAGTGGCTGTGCAAGGCCATGTACACGCACGCACACTTTTTTGTTGCATCTTGGCCGCTCTCTCCCGTGTAAGAGCACCGCATTCCAACCGTTTGAAAGCGGCCATGCAAAATATAAAAAAAATGAAACCCCCATGGGTCCAGAACCCCTTTCCCTCTAGCTGAGAAAAGACAAGCCAAACAGGCCCCTAACCATATTGCCGGATCCTCCGTCCAGCACGGCGCAGGCTTCCCTCTCGTCATCAGCCCATTGCTTGTGGAGGGAGCCCGGGCGATAAGCAGATCCTCGACGGTTGGGCCGGCTGGGGTAGAAGATATGGACGCGGTAGCACTCGCTGAACCTCGCCCACTTCCAGTCGCGCGGCGAGCGGCAAGCGCCGACCTGGTGAGTGGCTCGGATGACGATGCGGTAGGACTCGTCCGCACAAGGCTGGATCGTGATGTCATAGTCCATCAGGCACAAGCCACACGATCCCGGCGCCTCGAAGCAAGGGACGAGGCCGTCGCCGCCAGTCGCGGGCTTCTTGAGCAGCTCGGGGATGGAGTGGCGGAAGGGCGAGGTCGCCGGAAAGAAAGAAGTGTGCTCGCACAGCTTGAAGTCGCGCGCGCCGGTGCATTTGCGGAACTCGGCCACATCGCTACCAGCTACTGTCAGGACGTAGGTGCGCTGCAAGAACAGCTCGTCGTCCATGATCTTGGCCGATGTCGAGCACTGCACCGTCATCAGGTCTCGCCGCTCGCTCTGCTCGGTGCACAGATTCGCCAGCGGGATGCCGTATTCGGGTCCGTACAGGTGTCTGTTCATGGCGAGCCTGGCATGGATGTAGCTCAGGGTAAAGGGGTTGCCGGTTGGAGAGAATCGATCTCGGCTCATACACTTGAGTCTTTTCCCATCAACGCCCAGTTCAGGCCCAGACTGAGGTCCAGTCGTCTCGACGAAAGGATGAAGCCTGTTGCACGGGTGGCAATAGACAGTGCCCTTACCCAGGGGGTCCTTTTCGATCATGGGGAGGAAGCGCTTCTTCAAGTACGGCGGCAATGCCTTGTACGTCTGTGGAAACAGAGCATAAGTGCTCCGGCAGGTGAGCTTGAAGCTGAGGATTTCTGAATCATTGAGGTAGTCTCCGATGAGGAGCAGAATATCGGAGGGGACGTCGAGAATAGGAGTTCCTTGGGGAGCATCGTTGACGGTTGGAGGAGGTGTAAAGGCGCGGAACCAGCCACCTCTGCTCCAGAGAGTGGTGAGAAGCTGATCCATGTTGAAGTTGAAGTTGAAGATGAAGATGAGATGAGACTACCAGTACAGTATGTTGGGCACTGCTGATAATAATAGCCGCGAGGCTGTGGGGCTTTCGATGATTGATGTAAGTGTTTCTGTTTGTATGTGTGTTTGTGTACGTGTGTGCTATAAAGCTACAAGCCTATGTCAAGCTTCAACCAAGTGGCGATAGTGATCAACAGCAAGATTCAGATCGTAAGATGAATGAACCAAAGATTAATGGTAAAAGAGGAGGAAAACGAGAAATATGATGGCACAAACTACTGAAAGCTAGAAGAGCGGACATCCGGCAAGTTTAAAAAAGGCGACCTGGGCATAGCCATAGGTAGCCAGCAGAGCAGGCGGGCGAAGCCCCAGTGCTGGGTACCGTATTGCCCAAACAGGAACTTGGCGGGGGAGTGCAGTGGGGGGGCGTGCTGGTACAGGTACCGAGACCCCTGTAGCGATGGAGCGTTTAGTGAGATTCTGCATGCACTCCCCTAGGAATACGACTCGTACATGTGCTTGGACAAAGTGGTATAATGCAGTTGAGAATGCAGTACAGAGTACTGAGTAGGTAGTATTTGCATGTACGCAGTATTGGGGATATTTACAAGGTCCAAATTATCAATACCTTGGTGGGTAGACAGATAAGTTGATGATGGCCTCCTCCACAAAACACACAACTACCATGAGGTTAAAGACTGCTACTAATACCGACTTAAGCAGATTCTGACGACATTGTGTCGGAGCCAACGCATCGGTTGGGCGCGCAGAAGGGGTGGCAATCGGCCATGACGGTGGCCCAGAAACACGGAACATGGAAGCAAGACAAGGTCTCGGAATATCGCGTGTCGCAGCTCCATTTTCCATCAGAGAGGCTGGGGGCTTCGGTGGCGCTGTGTAAGAAAACAGCACAGGCACAGGGTCTTTATCCAAAGCTTCTACTGTACAGTATCCTGTCTTACAGGTCAATATTTAACCCATGTAAGCCAACGCCATGGTCTGCTTCGTACAGGTACAAATTCATGCAAATACCACCTTGTATACAAGTATATGCAGCGGCCCTTGTCCGGAGCCACTGCGGACGGGATTCGGGCGCGTAACGCGTGCGCTGCGTCGAGGTGCAGGTGCAGAGTGTGGCTGTTTGTCGTCCATGGCAATGATGAATCATCATTTCACACCGAAATGTGATTCCATCCTGGCCTCAGCCCCAGGTTGAAGCCTGCAGCTCTTATCAACCATGCAGCCACGGGATTGTTTTACGGTACAAAGTACAGGAACATCTAGACCTACATCTAGACTTAGAGTACATATACTTGAATGCTAAGCATACAATTATTTGATCATACCGAACTGTGATTCCATACTGGCAGTACGCAGATAGCGAGTACTGCCATCTGGATGGAACAATCGGATGCTTTGCAGCGAGCAGCTTGCCCCAAGTGACCACTAACAGCCACTACTGCCGCTGCACGTATATCATCCTGCATTCCTACGTGCAGCTGAAATAAAGAGCAGTCATGTGCGCTGCTCTAATCTATCAAAACCTTCCAGTAACCTTGCCCTACCCCTCACCAACGCGGAACCCTCAAGCCAATGACCTCGCCATGCCATCAGCCACCTTCTCTAGACGCCGCATTCAGCAGGGTCACCACGCAGCAAATGTCTCTGATCAAATCGTCCCGTATCTGGGGTAAACGGAGCAATTGCTCGCATGTCGCCAGTCTCACCCGGAACCGGAAAAGGAGCCTGGAGCTGATCTAATTGAAGCGACGGCGACGCGCAACCTCGCCCCCTAGACTCTCTGCCGTGATCTCGACTCAACGCCACCATGAATTATCCTTGCTCTTCAGCTCTTCAGCCGTTCAGCCGTTCAGCTGTTCAACTCCTCCCTCGACCTTTTCCAAGCTTCCCCAGCTATCTCTGCCGCTTCCGCGGTCTGGAAGCCTCGCCTCCCGTACGGCCAGCAGCACTACTGGCAATGGCGCACAATGTCTCACCCTGACGCAAAAATAGAAGCTTCCGAGAGGCAAAAGAAGACGAGCAGCGGCAGGCAGCTCCACTGCTTATCTCCATACCAGCCTTGCACATCGACAAGGAAGACAATGCAGAGGGAAAGGGTTTCGGAGCTCCGTTCAAAAAATACATTGATGCCACGCGCACAGCTCCTCAAGGCCGGGGTCAACCTCAACAGTTGCAATCGATGGCTGCCCGCACTCACCTCTTGCTGGCCTCGGTCTGTGTCAACATGGATCGACACACCATGGCGGGTACCGGTGATCGGCAACGGCGCCAGCTCTAGCGCCGCGCTCATGGACCGGACCAAACCTACACGCAAGCACTACATTGGAAAAGATGATCAAAAGGAAGGCCACAACGACGTCAACAGGGACAATGTGAACCTTGTGCGCCAGCTTGTGTCCTAGCCAAGCAAGCCACAGCCTGATAACACCATCTACGCAGCGCTCCGGCGTCATGCCACTACCCTCGATCAGTGAATGCGGGACACAGAAGCAAGCCACAATCGCAGCATCGCCGTGGGGTTGCAGACGTCTGATTTGCTGGCCTCCCGACACTCTGGCTACGCGTCCCGTCCTTTATAAAACACTGCAGGAGTAACAGGGCTGCCGTGTTGCCGCTGCTGTGCGACGGAATCCCTCTCATTCCAATCCAGCGCTGTTCTACGAACGAGTTCCGGCGTGCTTGTACCCTCATCTAGCAGTCTGAGCCGCGACTTGTGCCTACTTATGCCTCTGTTGATGCCATCACCAGCACACAAGTAGTCAAAGACGGCCCATCTCCACCCTAGCTTAGTTGCATGAATGCCCACGTTTCAACGGCAAACGAGGTGTGTTGACCACGGCGCTGATGGCACGAGATTGCCAGTTGAGCTTCTCGGCATTGATCACGAAACAGGAGCCGAAGTAAAACTGTACTACAGAGCTCGTATGTGCTACGCCTACGGAGTACACTGCCAGCAATGAGGAATCGTGCATATCCGTACGCTATGCCATTGGCCTATATAAGCATATTGTGAAAACACGGAGCATAAAGATGCAGGCTAATGCCGCGTCGAGGGTATCTTCTGCGACTCCGCCTCCCCTCACCCAATACCGGCACACCTGGCCTTGTCTGGCGGGCCATTCACTCCTGTCGATGCCTTGTTTGCCAACGACGTCCAGCCGCTTTTTCATCGGGCATCCACCGATTCTCCACATGCGGAGTGATACGGAGCGATTGGGATCCAGCAATCGAAGCACTGCCCTCGATCGGCCGATGCTACGACCTTGAACAGCCTATGGGATGATATGAAAGCCCCCAAGCCCCCAAAGAACCAGCCTATCTTTCCCACACATGCCTTTATGCCAGCTGTGCATATGATGTATCATACTGTGACCCAACTGAGCGAGTATTGTGAAGATGCCTAGCAATGGGTTCAGTGTGGCCTGTGCTATCCGAGTAGTAATACATTTCTATGGAATATCGTCACGTCGAAACAGTACCTCTCTTTACGAAACATTTGAATTGCACGAGATGATGGTGACTCTGCTCCATCGTGCATAGCTCGGAGGATACTCAGCCACAGAGTATATTCTTTCCAGTGAGTGGATGAGGACCCGTACATTCGCGCACATATACGTCATTCATCTGCATAAATGCAATGCCGCTGGCGATCCATTTGCTACATCACGGTAAGTAATTTACCTAAGTGCCTGTTCTTGTGTGTGGAAGACAAGGGATACAAGTCAGGTGGCCTTGTTTGGTTGGCTTCCGGCTGCATATCCAAAGTCCAGTATTCCCTGTCTCGTCGAGCGAGTGACGAGACTACGGTTGGTTGAGGCCGGATTGAAGGCCTTGGCACACTACTTTCTCATTCGCAGCTTTGATACGACAGTCGAGCGTTGCGAGCCACCAATCGGTGTTGGGGCAGGACAGGATAGGGAGAAGCACATTTTCATTAGCAGTGTACAAGTATCGGCTCTATCAACACGGGTCTATTCGCCTACAGCGTGCGTGATCAAAATGCTTTGACGCAAAAGCTAGCCTTGGAAAGCAATACCCGACGCAACATGGGTGTGCAAGTATGCTTATCTACATGTAGGCATGTTGCGCTCACCATCGGCCGAGACAGCCTCGTCTTGCCGCCGGCTTCGGCTGCCGCAGATGTACGTCAAAGGCTGTATTTGCGTCGAATGGGAGACTGTATATTCTGCTTCATCCCGCTGAGAAATCCATCTGCACCCTGAAAAAAAGGTACGAGACTTGCAAGTTGAGCCTGTAAGTGGGCTGATGTGACGGCACTGCCCAGAATCCTACACTACGATGCGTCCTGGGTTTCCAATTTTGCCATCTGTGCGTGTCCATGGTTTGACCCAGCCTTCTTACTTTGCCATTTTATAGCATATCAAATCTGAGTGTCACAAATGAATTCTAAAACCTCGCTATGTCTCATAAGGAGTCAGATATTATTTTTTATTCTTTTTGTAGAGAAACGATGCTGCCGCGTGTGGGAACACTTTCAGATACCCTATACTATTCGAATGCAACATGATTGTCCGTCAATCTCCCCTTACATGCCTTCCCGTAGCCAAGCTCACTCATCAAGAACACATTTCTCCTCTCTTCTGAGCATATACATGCAGATATTTGTCTCTGCGTGATTCAATGCGGCCCGTGGAGGAGGCCAAAGCGACGCACCATGAATCTCCTCTCCGGCGCATCGCTGCCAATCAAGCATATCACTTCAAATGCATGTAGGATCGAGCTGCCAGGGTTCTCCCTGTAATTTACGACACAAGTTCCTAAAGAAGTACTAAAATATATTACATTCTTTTCTTGGGCAGAGTTCTTGCAACATGCAGGACAAGCACATGCAAGAAAGGGCATCTATATCAAGGTTCAACCGATGGCCTTTCTTATGCCATCTACATAGAGATTTCGTCACGTCTGTGCACACATCAACCACTGCATTAACCCGTCCCGTTAATTCTTTTCTCCTAAGCTAAACTAAACTACCTATACTTGTAAATCTCCTACCCAAATCCGAAATTGTAACGCAGCATCCCCATGGATATATGCTTGCGCTTCGCTGTTAGACGCCTGTGCCGTTATGCCATATATGCTTCCCCCAACCGGCTCGCCCAGTTCTGTTTCGGTCCTGCAAAAAAAAGGTATGTACAATGGAAAAAGGATTTCCCCATTCGCTCCTCGCTTTGTAGCTGTATCAGTAGTTTCGTACGCGATTCTTTCATAGTCTCCCGCTGCGAATCTCCTTGTCAAAGATCTTGACTCCCCATACGTCGTAAAACTGCAGTGGTCCCACCGTCTTGAACCGTAGGCGTGACCCCCCGTTAAACTCGTCATCACTATCGCTCTCCGAGTCGAGACTATCTAGCGGAAGAGGCGGAAACATGTTGTGTGGGCCTAGGTTCGTAGCAGCCGGAACCTTATCCTTGCTCTTCCCCTTGGCCCGCTTGTTGTTCTTTCGCTCATCCGGAGTATCGTTGGTTTCATCAGACGGCCGGATGACTCTGTCGACGCGGTCGTCTTCCATTGCGATCCACTCCAGCTTGAGTTCTGGATAGTGTGACAAATTGTCTACAATGAACCTCAGGATTTCTCTAACAACCCAGATGCAAGTGTCGTTGTTGCGGAAGTGCAGGATGTTGATTGCGCGCAAGCTAATGAGACCTGAAAAATATTGCATGAAAATATGCTGCTCAAGTTAGCCTCTCGTATCCATTATGATTTCTTGCTTTATTGCTTCATTGTACTTACCACAGCCTGGATATTCATGCTCAGTGCCAACTCCTCGAGGTTCCGCCCCTGGGTGCAAATAAGAATCATCGTCTTCTCATTGCAGTCCCAGCGAGTGCCGCTAGCCTCATCTTTGATCATCAATCGCTTAAGCTTGCCAATGTGCTTTTTGAGCACAAGCCTGCGAATCTGTTCCATAGTTGTGAAAGTCGGCAATGAAGTAGTCTCGGGCTTGTTCTTGGGGCTGCGCTCCAGCAGGAAGAGGTCATGTATCTCTTCGAGCTGAGAGGCAAAAACAAGAAATTGGTTGCTCACGTGGTCCGTGAAGATGCTCCTCAAAGGCAACGGCCGCACCTTGTTTGCCTTTGTGAAAAAGGACCAGATAGCCGCCTGGTCACCAACATTGAGAAGGGTTAGCTGCTTAAGGCATGATAGATTGATTGTCTGCGACAGAACAGAGGCTTTGACAGGGACAAGATAAATGCTCAGGGACGTGAGCATCAGACCTCTAGTGCGGCGGACATAGTCACTCATACTGCTGGTGTTGACGCCCGCTGCTCGGCGCTCCGACTCATCCATCTCTTCCTCGATAACCTGGATTTCGTTCTGGAGGTCAGTGACCATGGCACTGAAGCTCCTGAGTTGGGCGTCAGCATCCTTAATCTGCGAATGATCTATTGCCGAGCCCTGGGCATGTAACTCATTGATCTTCTTCCCAATGGTTTCGCTCTGATTCCGGAAATAGTCCAGTTTCGTCATCAGGTTCTCCAAGTTGACTTTGTGCGCAGATGGCTGGGCGGCATTTTCAGTCGTTTTGGAGGGGGCTACGGCCGTACTAACACCAGGTGTAGGAGTAGCAGAGCCCGAGGAGGAACCAAGTTGGCCAGGTTCCGCTTCAGAGGTGTCCCCTTCCACGGGCTTAGGATCGGACCCATCTGGCAGATTTGAATCCTCGGTTTCTCCAAACACATCGTCGATAACTTCTATGTGAGCAATGTCGATATCTTCGGGAGACGCGTCACTTCCGTTCCTCTTTGGAGCCTTGCTGGACGGGCTCTCACCAGAGATCGTTGCCTCGTTCGCCTTGGAACTGGATCCTTCCGCAACCTCCTTAGCCGGAGGGGATATAACAGTTGCCTTGTCTTCTGCGGCTGATGAGCCGCCCTGTGATACACCGTTGGCCGTGCTTGTTGCAGCCTCCTGATTTGGGGGATTTGGCTGCCCGCTAGTCAGTGCCGAGGCTTCGACAGAATCTACATAATTCCGCGCAGCCTTGGCTATGGTATCGAGCATATCTTGCGCTGTGGCAGAGAAATTGGAAGATCCACTGGTAATCGTCATGAGTTTAGTAGAGGCGTTCTTTATGGATTCAATGAATGCTTCTCGAACATCTGTTGCCGAAACTTCCGATTCCTTTTTATCCTCCTCCTGATCAGATTCAACGATAGCAGCCGCTTTACGCGGTGCGCCAGGTCCGGGTGGGAAGAGCTGGAATATTCTACCAAGAACGGACTCTTGAAGTCTACGCTCTTCGTACACGCGAAATTGTTTAGAGTCAAAGCCGCCGTTGTTATTCTGGGCGGCGGGGAGAACCTGAAACTCGTCTTCGACATCCGAGTCGTCTGCGTCGGAATCAGGCGGCGGCCTACGCGACCGGCTTGCCAACCCATCCGAAAAGGATAGTTGTAGCTCAGTGAGCGTCGAGCTAGAGTTCTTGATGCATGCATTGAGCTCGCTCACGATGTCGAGATTTTCGATATCCAGCACACTGAGGCTCTGGAGGTTCTTGAAACCTGAAAAAGTAGAAGGCTCCTTTGCACCAGTCACTCGCTTCCCAGCCTTGTTCTTAGGCGCTGATTTGGACGACGGCGGGAGCAGAGCAGGCGGGGGGCCGCTGACAACAGGCGGCACAACACCCGGAGGCGGAGGCGGAGGTGGCAACAAACTCAGAGGAGCAAGCGGCGGAATGCCTCCCCAATGGGTTGTCGAATCTGGCTGGGGGTGAGGATCGATGGAGACGGGCAGCGGCGGCGGCTGCACGTAATACGAGTCTCCCGCCTGCATCCGTACATGAAGTTTCTTGAGCGATGCGATTCGATGCAGCTCGCGGTAGACAGGTCTGCTGAGCTCCACACGGATATTCCATCTAAAGCGCCGAGACTTAGCATTTCTCGTTCTTACAAGAAAACCCCCGACACTCGGGATCAAGGGCGCAATTGGGCTTGATGCACGCAACAACTTACCGGAAAACCTCGAGCGACCTGGCTTTTCTGAGCGTAAGATGCAGGAGCGTGTTCAAAAACTTGCCGCAGCTGGCGCTATACAAATAGGATTGGTAACAGCACTCCCCCTTAAGACCAGCGCTGAGAGTGTCCATGGATAGATCCCTCAGGTGCTTGGCATAGTCATAATTACTGGTGGTAAAAGTATCAAGACCGCCAGCAAGACCGTCGATGGGGGAGTCGAAGTTGAGATCGTCATCGTCGGGGAAGATGATGTGAAAGTTCCTGTATAGCTGAGCCGAGGCGAGTTCGTGGAAGTGGCGCGAGACGAGAGCAAGGCATATCAGATCGCTCTGGGAGCACTAGACGAGAAGGCCAAGGGGTATATGTAAGCATAGGGTTGCAAATGGGTAGTAGATTCAAATTCTCCAGAGAGATGGGCCTGTAAGAAGGGATTCCGTACATGTGAGATGATTTCCCGTTGAGTTTCGGTGGGCAAGTCGACGAAGGTAAGCCGCTGCTTGATTGGCTGGGCCGCCACCTCGTCGCCGGCATCGCTCGTGGCCATGGTGGGATATGTTGGGAGAGCGAAAGCAGGCAGGCGAGAGGGCGACGCTGGTGAGACGAAGCGCGCTCCTCAGGGCCACAGACGATGCCAGGAAAAGATGTCCTGACGGTTGGCGAGGATCGTCGGCGAAGAGCGCGCAATCAGCCGATGAGGAGTGGCAAAAAGAGGAGATGCGCCGCTAGGACGACAGAATGGGATTGCGGCGCAAAGAGGCGGCAGCGTGACCAGGCGCCGGTATCGAGATTGATCGAGTAATGATGCCGATGACGATACTGGTGTCGATACAGACGCCGACGTAGGAAGGGAATCGGAGGATGTGAGATGACGATGCCCGAGATTGCGACAGCACGAGATGGACGGCGTGAGGAGAAGAGAGGAGAGTAGCGAAAGAGTAACGAGTGCTCGAATCAGTGCAAAACTCAAAGTAAGTTGGAGCCAAAATGGCGTTGGTTGAACAAGGGCAAATCTGTGGCGCTTGTGGTGGACTCTCGGCCTTTGTTCCAACTTGTTTTGTCTGGGATCTCTCGACGCTTGGTCTGGAGTCGGCCTCAAGTGGGGAGGGAACTGATGAAGAATCAGAAGATGGGCCAGGCGGGTAGAGGGGCCGGTCAGCGGGGTGGATGCGAGGCCAGGCGACTTGTTTGGGCGGTTGGCGCTAAGTTTTGGAGAGTTTGGCCCTGTAATTATGGGGGTGTGCTGGCTTTTGGCTAGGGCCGGGCTGGGGGGCTTGGCTGGGGGGGTTTTGGGATAGTGGATGGGAGATGGAGTAAGACGACCAGACGATACGGCTGAAGGGACTGGACATGGAGTGAGGGGCAGCGGCGGGCGGGGCTGCGGCAGGTTTGGAGCTGCTAACCCGATGGCTGATCTGGGCAATCTGCTGTGGTCGGCTTCGTTCCATTGATGGCGTGCTCTGTCGGGACGAGTTGCGGAAGAAGACGAGACGAGCTGAGCAAGATTCACGGCATCTGTCTTCCCCATCTTCAACCCCTGTCTCCATGTCAGCACTTGAGGGCTTGAGGGGAGCGCTGCCGAGCAAATGCATGTACCTGCGTTGTAGCTCATCCAGCTCCCATGGTATTTGCCACTGCAAGCAATTCATCGCGCTCTCGAAGAGGGCCACAGCCGTCTATTGGTCACAACTCAGGTCACAAGGAGGTCATTGAAGCCGCGCTGACGGAAACGGCGCCAGCCGCCCAGGGTAGTATGTATTAGTACGAGTAGTAGGCGGCCAGAGGGACATGTTGAGCCGAGGAACCGTTGGCAACTTGTAAGTACAGTTTTGTAGACACGACACGACATGAACACCGGGGCTTTTCCCAGCTTGCTTAACGATAAAGCAAAACAAGTGTCGCCGGTACATTATATATAAGATTGATGTCTGCTGCCTTGCTGCTATTTTCCACGGCTATTAATAACAGCGAGCCTTTATTTCGATGAGTCATAACCTGCGTGTCGACTAATGCACTCTGCACATCAATACAGTAACAACGGCAGCAATTGAACCTGGTCTGAGAGGATTCCACACACTGTATTTTGTGTCCGCCCAACAACACAACTTAGCAAGTCACTGGTCCATCCTTGTCGTAGTAGTGATATGGATAATATAGTACTTAGCTAGGAACCTGAAACAACAGCACTCCATGATTAACACTCGATGAAATCAATTGACGCTCTTCCCAGCTCCAAATACATCAACACCACTCAACTCTCTATCCCAATACAACCTCGTGATATCTTATTAACCACTTACAACTCCCATCAACTCAACTCAACCAATACACAATCCAACCCCCCCTGGCAGCAACCAAATGCAAGGCAGCCCGGTTAGGCAATTGCCGAGCGGGCCTGGCGATTCTCGCGCCACATGTCCTGCTTTAGCCGCCCCCATCCTTTAGACGCCTTTGCCAACCAAAACACGCGTTGAAGCTCGTCTTCCTTCTGCAAGCTCTTTACGGCAGACTATTTCCCTCTCATTCCCCGGTCGACATTGAGAAAATGCCCGCATCTGCCTAAACGATTGTCCCTGCAACACGGGGCTCCGTGCACGGCTGTCAAACCACACGGACGTACCAGTGACCTCGCACGGGGGCAGCTGTTGGTGGTGACGACATGTATCAGTGACACGGCAGAACCCCCGTGAACCAAGTGGGCTGTGCAAAGCATGCAAACACCTGTGCTGGATCCGTCTATTTTTCAAACCAGCTAATGCAAGTGCTGTTGTTCTTGGCCCTTAAAAATAGCCGTCTCTGTCTTTCGATTTTCTCCAACAATCTTCATTCACCCTCTGCTTCATCCACCGCTCTTTTCATTGTCGCTCTTTGATGATGCGTGGGTAGTTGGAAAAGATAACGGAAGAAATTATTATTCTTCTTCTTAATTTATTTTCGTCATCTTTTTTTCCTTTTTTTTTTTTTTTTAAGTTTGTTTGCATTGCACTTTCGAGGCTCCAGACTGAGACGTCCATTCGTTCTCTTTACTTGCTCCAATCGAGCTCGATTCCCGCCACCTCACCCAACCACATCTTGCCAACCAACAGACTCTCTTCCTTGTTGTCGACTTGAGCAATACGGAAGCAAAAAGGAAAGAGAAAGAGGGAGATAGAAAACATACACAAAAGACACCATCGTCAAGATATCGACGCCATGGCAGACACCGAGGAACCGCAGTTCAATACGCTGGCGGAGAGGATAGCTGCGTTGAACAAGCAGAAGAACTTTAGCAGCGTCGGCACTCCTGAGGCCGCTCGCAAGAAGCCTCCTCCTCCTCCACCTCCTGGGCGTCCTTCTGCCGAATCCCGAAGCCAGACTGCCCCCGTCGTGACAGTCAACGGCTCGGCTCATGAACAAGCGCCTCAGCAGCCTCCGAGACCCGTCAGAGCGAATGCTGATGCACCGCCACCTTTGCCTCGTCGCAACACACAGAATGCGGGCTCACCAGAGGCTTCTGTCCCTCCGCCATTGCCCTCGAGGACTGGATCCTTCCAAGCGTCGCCTGCGCTACCCCCACGACGGCCATCAACGATTACTGTTCCCAAGCCCTCGGGACGGCGCAACTCTGCTTCATCAGAGGCATCGATGCTGTCTACCATGTCGTCTCTGTCTTTGACCAAAACGAACTCTTCTACCACGAGCAATGGGTCCAACGGGACTGTCGTGCACAAGCTGCCACCGGTCTGTGACATGTCCAGCTTGCCCCCTCTCCCACCTACAAAGCGGGAACTAGAGGCAAAGGCAAAGGAGCAAGCTGCCGCAAGAGAGGCGGCTGCTAGAGAAACCACCGTAAGGATGACGGCCAGACAGACGGCAAGCCAACCGGCCATCGAGCCACCCAGACCCAGCCTTCCTCCCAGACTGCCATCAAGGCCAGCCAAGCCCCAGCCTTCGACAAGCACCGAGGCTATAACAAAGCCTACACCAAAGCCTACGCCGAAGCCTACACCCGTCACTGTTCAGATCCGGGGATTCGGCAGTCGAACAGAGCCTCCCAAAATGCCTGCAAGGCCCAAGATTGATGCCGCGGCCGATGACGGGCCCCCTCCGATCCCAATGGCCTCTCGCCCATCAGTGGCCCAGATCCATGCCGCTTCTTCCCGAACGCCGCCGGTTCCAGCAGTGTCTAATGATTGCTGGGTATGCCGAGATTGGAGCGGCCCTGATGGCGTGGCTGCCCAATATCCCAGAGAACAGCTCCCCCAGCATGATGTCGTGGGATATCTTGCCCGCGTGCTCTGCGACCCCTTTCCGTCATACAACGACAAGGCAAGGGCCATCTTCACGTGGTTCCACCACAACATCATGTATGATACCAAGGCTTTTTTTAGCGGTAACATCAGAGGCATGACGCCTGAAGACACGATACGGTACGGTGCAGCTGTATGCCAAGGCTATGCGGACACGTACAAGGCCATTGCAAACAAGGCTGGTTTGGAATGTGTTGTCGTTGGTGGTCATGGAAAAGGGTATGGCTATACTCCTTTGAAACAAGGACAACGACCACCGCCTCCTGACCCAACTGGCCATGCATGGAACGCAGTCAGGGTTGACGGTGGTGTCTGGAGGCTTCTCGACGCCTGTTGGGGAGCTGGCCACATTTGCGGAGCCAACAACTTGTTCAAGAAAGAGTTTAGCCCCGTCCAGTTTACAAACAGCAGCGAACGGTTTGGTCGTACCCATTTCCCGTCTGACGGCAGGCAACAGTTACGTAATGACGGCCGCACAATTACCTGGGATGAGTACTACATCGGGCGCTCTCAGGGTGAACCGGTGGAGGTCTTTGGTAATTGTGGCCAAGAGGGCATTGCTGAAGACACTATCGAGCCTGCGTCAAAGCAAATATCTGTGCACAGCGGCCAAGTTGTCCGATTCCAGTTTGCACATCTATGTGAGCACTGGAAGTCAGAAAAGCATGGCCTTGGGAAGCCTTCCCTATTTCTGTTGCAGATTCACGGCCTCGACGGCCGCAACGATGACTTTATTCCGATTGAGACGGATGGCTACTGGTACTGGGCTGATGTCCACGCCCGAGACCTGGGAGCGCCAGGGCAGTCGGTCATGGTACTGCAACTGACTTCGATGGAGGGACGAGACGCACGAGGCGTGACGGCTCAACAGTATCTTGCTAAGAAGGGGCGGGTTGCGATGGCGTGGGCGTATGTTGCCAAATGGGACTTGGTTTGAGGACGAGGCAGGATGAGCGTAGTAAGAGAGGGGATTTGGATTTTGAAAAGAACATGGCACGTGGAACCGGGAAGACGGGTTATTGATACCCTCCGATATACGAATTATTGCACTGTAGCTAGCCCTGGTGTTTGGGAATTAATTTAGTAGGTAAAGACGAGAAACGTCTTGGTAATGGTATTCTGGAACGATGTATGACGAGGCTTGATAGGATAATGGCTGTCATGAGATTTGATAATGTTTGTTTTCAAGCTACGAACAATCTTTCATCAATTATTACCAGATATTTTGTACAGTATAGAGTAGCACCAGCTATCTGTTTCGTTGTGATGGAACCCAATACATCTTATTGCCATATTACGCCTCTATTAACACCCCCAGCCGTTGCTCAAAACCCCCTTCACCACCTCCTGCATCCTCTTTCCACAAGCTCCACACCACTCTGCACACGCCCTTCGAACTGACAGACTTGCACGTGCACACCCCCCTCCCTTGGAATTGATGACGAAACGCCACTTTCGCTTTTCCGACTGCTGGTTTCAAAAACCTCGAAGTTGATCGACGTGGCAGAAACGGAGCAAATCAGACGAAGCTTCGCATTGTTGTGTTTCTACCGGCTCGCCCCTTTTCTCCGGCATTGGGATCGCGACGGTGCTTGTTTGATGGAATTTCAAAGTCTTTTATTGCGCGTTTCAATGAATTGAAGATTCTTTTTCTTTCTTCAATCCCTTTTTTGTCCTTTGCGACGGGGCTGTCGAGCTCTCGAGCTACATACACAACCCTCCAAACTTGCGCCTCTACAACACCAACCGCCAACCACCAACACCAGTCCTCACCCAATCAAACAATGCAACCGGTCCAATTCATCGCCCTCTAAACCTCCTTCACACACACATCCAAAATCCTTCCAAACAGCCTCCAAACCATGGCTCCCTCCGGCTCCCCGCACGCCTCTGCGGCAACAAGCCTCTCCCGCACCGAAACGCTCAGCCTCGCCTCCCTGTCCGGCGCCTCGCTCGCCATCCTCGCCAACACCTTCCACGGCGACGGCGAGCCCCTCATCGCGTCGCTCGCGCTGTCGCTCATCGCCTTTTCGCTATGCTACGCCATGATCCGCTGGCTCGGGCCGACGTTTATCAAGGCCGGGTTCCGGGGCCGCGACCTGAGCAAGGTGAACGGCGCGGAGCTGCCTGAGTGCATGGGCGCGGTGTGCGCTGCCGTCTATCTCATTACGGTTATTATCTTCATTCCGTTTCCTTTTTACAAGGACATTGTGGCGGCGACGAGCGGAGGCGGGAATCGAGATGTCGTGGTGGAGATACATCATGCGAATGAGGGACGGTTCCTGCACCGATTCCCTCATAACAAGGTGAGATGCCATTCTCTAACTCATATATGAGCTACACATACTCATCATCATCATCACTATCATAGCTCGCCTCCTACCTAGGCGCCATCATCTCCCTCCAAACCATCGCCCTCCTCGGCATCGGCGACGACCTCTTCGACATCCGCTGGCGTCACAAGTGGTGGATCCCAGGCCTCGCCTCCATCCCCCTCCTCGTCGTCTACTTCGTCGACTTCGACGTCACCTCCATCGTCATCCCCGTCCCGCTGCAGCCCTTCCTCGGCGACCTCTTCGACCTCGGTTTCCTCTACTACGTCTACATGGCCTGCGTCGCCATGTTCTGCCCCCAGAGCATCAACATGCTCGCGGGCATCAACGGCATCGAAGTCTCCCAGTGCATCGTCGTCTCCCTGCTCATCGCCTTCAACGATTGCCTCTACCTCTTCACCCCGTATCCTCATCCCGCGACAGACTCCCACCTCTTCTCGCTCTACTTCCTCCTCCCCTGGATCGGCGTCTCCGTCGCCCTGCTCGCCCACAACTGGTACCCGGCAAAGGTCTTCGTCGGCGACACCTACTGCTACTTCTCCGGCATGGTCTTCGCCGTCGTCGGCATCCTCGGCCACTTCTCCAAGACGCTCGGCCTCCTGCTCGTCCCCCAGCTCTTCAACTTCCTCTACTCGTGCCCTCAGATCTTCGGCCTCATCCCCTGCCCGCGCCACCGCCTCCCCAAGTTCAACGCCCGCTCCGGCCTTCTCGAGCCCTCCGTCACCCCCTGGTCCCCCGATCGACAGCCGCACCCTCTCGTCGGCAAGGCTCTGCACCTGTTGCACCGCCTGCGCCTCCTCCGCGTCACCACCGACGAGGCTGGCCTCTTCGTCGAGACGAGCAACCTGACGCTTCTCAACCTGTGGCTCGTCTGGCGAGGCCCCCTGAAGGAAAACCGCCTCGCCTGGGAGGTGACCTTGCTGCAGCTGGGTGTCGGCCTCTTTGGTCTCTTCGTCAGGCATAAGCTGGCGCTGCTCATCTTTAAGGAAGACAACTGGGGCAGCACAGGACAGCATTAAACCACCCACTATACTAGAATTTCTCAATTTCCATCTATACATGTACATATTTTAATTCCTAGAGAGCAAGCAATGAGACACCCTCAAGACTTCAATCACACTCTGCAATTGTCTCCAATAGCATTTAAAAAGACTGAGAGTCCAATTTTCTTGCTCATAGTTCTATCTGGCTACCTGACTTTGAACTGATTCATAACAGAACTTTGGTCCCAACTCGAACAATCGTCTGTTCAAGAAAAAAAAAAAAAAAAAAAAAAGAAGATCAAACAGATTTGTCTGCATCCATTATTTCACATGTCGTCGTCTCAACCCAAAAGCCACAGATAACCCAGTGGCTCATCCATCATCCTATCCGGCCGCCGAGCAGGGAATCGGAAAGAAATATAAGAGTTCCCGCTCTATCAACCCATCCATCCCTTCCGCCCACCCCATCCAGTTAAAAATCATAAATAAAAAAAAAATAGATAAAAGTACACAGGACCCTCTCCCGCCCCCGCTCCCGAAAAACCTGGTTTTTGAAGTGTTGGTGGAAAAAGCAACCTTGTCCTGAAGTTACGCCCCTCCTCTTGAGAAAAGAAACAAAACATAATTTCCCCGGCCCTAGTGTCCAGCAGACTCCCTTTTTTGTATATCCGGAGTGCTTGGTTACCTTGAGATGCCTCTGACTGGCCCCAAACCTTTGGACCAGGTCAAGGATCCAAGATAGCAGGTAGCCTTGTCGTGTAGGCTCAACTCCCTGCATCGACCTTGCGGCTCGGCATCTCCATTGGCGCCAATTCTTCCATGTCCCTAAGTCGTCTTCCCTTTCCCCTAAACGCCCAGTAAACAGAAAAGAAGAGTAAAGTAAAAGAAAATAATCATGGGCAACATCCGAGCTGCCCATTAGCCTTGTATAAGAAATTGCAATAACTCCAACCTCCATTTTTTGAGACACGTCCAGTTGATTTCTCTTCCATTGAACGCGTTACACGCTCAATCGCCAATACCTGCAATGGACAACACAAAATGAACTCAAACGGCATCCTATCCTACACGATTCATGGGTGGCCATTTGTAGCGGCGGCTGTTGCTGTTGTAGGGGTAACCACCGCGCCTTCGACTTTCTCCATGGTTGCTGACTCTGCATTCTCCAGCTTGATCTCATCTGCTTCCAAAGGAGTAGACTTTGTAGAAATCAAACCCAATGAGGGTTTCACCGCTGCCTTGTTCATCCTGCTCTTGGTGTAATCGCTAAGGCTCAATTTCTTCTTGATCGGACTCGGAGCTGCGATAACTCCGTTGACGGTTGTGTTGATACTGGAGATGATTGCTGATTGAATAGCAGAGCTGCTTGCGGATAGAGGCGTGGTCGCACTTGGAGCAGTGGCCGTTGAGGCATCGAGTGCGGGCAAGGTAGGCAACTGAACTCGCAGCTCTGGTGCCTTTGGCTTCTCTGGGGTAACCTCCGCCTCACTTAGAGGAGCGGGTGCTTCTTCAGGAGGAGGAGGAGGGAGCACATCGGGCACTTGCGTATCTACTACGTCTTCTGTTGGAGGAGGAGACGGAGGCGGCTGCAATTCTATCTCAGATTTCGATGGGTCCGGTTTTTGATCGACTTCTGCGTCATCAACGTCCATGGCATCAGCCGTTGAAGGCCGCGGCGAAATAGACAGACGCTTGCGGTCCTCCTCAGCGCGAGCCTTGTGCCGGTTGTTGAGGAGTCGCTGAGAAAGCGAGATGATTCTCTTCTTGCGACAGGGGAGATCTTGCGGCTGGCTGAACCACTCGTCGTCTACGGGGTCTGTCTGAATGCCCATGTCGCAGTAGATGGGCCGCGGCGACGCGGAGGATTGCCTAGCTGGTATATCTGCCGAGCCCTGGCGGGCTGTCGTAGATTTGGAGGGGTTTCCAAGATTCGGTGACCTAGAGCTAGCGGGCGAGCCGGATTTGCTTCGGGAGGTAGTGCTGGCATCAGCATAGCTGCCGATGTGAGGGGTGGAGCCGGTTCTAGATTTTGACTTGGAAGACGTTGACGCCGTTGTGCCGTCCGATACTCTCTTCTTCTTCCTCGGTGGCTGCTGCTGCTCTTGCTCCATACGGCGGAAAGAGTCTTCCACCATGGCCACTTTGCGCTTGTCACGATCTGTAGGCTCAGTTAATATTCCTAGTTGATCAAAGGAGCCTTGTCGCAGCGGGGTTCGATCCCTGCTGGAGGGCTTGCTCCGCGCTGGGACCGAATCATCTCGGCCCTCACGCTCGGCATGCTCGTCGATATGACCTTCGCTGGCAGCACGACTATTTGTCGCATGGCCGGTGCTGCTTGGTGAGATGGTTTGGGCTTTTGTCTTGCGTGATCTCTTCTTGTTGCCGCGGGACTGACTCTTGCCGTAGAGATAGTGTCGATGGAATCGTGCGAAGGCGCAGTTATTATCTTGATCACATGCACAACCACCATACTCTGACAAAATCCGGTCAATCCAGTTGGAAATGGCCGTGTACTCTGTCTCGTCGAGTTCAAACTCATCCTGTCCCGCGCCATCATCATCGCTGAGGCCAAGCAGATGTAGCCAGCGCTGACAGACGCTCTTTTCCAAACGAAAGTCCCACGGCAGAGTAATCTGCTCGCTGGGCGGGATGTACCGGTCGCTGACGAGCCAGAAGTGGTAGTCCGATTTGTTGGTGAGAAACGTGTCTAGCTGAGCGTTGGGCTTGCAGCTTCTCCGGACGTAGCGGGCTAGGGAGCCCTCTTTGCGTGTGTCGATGTAAAGCGGTAGAATGGGATGGAAAAAGACAAAGGGGAGTGGCGACGAGAGATCAGCCCACAGGTTGTCACCATCTGCGCAGTAATCTTTCTGGAAGCCAATCTCGCCATTCAACTCGATGAGTGGCACGTCCTTTTCGATGGAAGACGTTGACTTGAGAGAGCGCCAGCGCAGGGTGGTGCCATTGTCAAGTGCCTGCGTAGCGTCCTTGATCTCAAGCTTCGGTCGCTTTCTCTCAAGTGCAGGCAGTGCGTCTTGGAAGACCTCTGAGTGTCTCCGGCCGACTTCCTTTTCCAAGGCAGAAGACGACTCTAGCCATCGTACCAGAGCGGTGGGAATGGCAAGATTGGCAAATGCATTGGTGCGAGTGTCGGGCACATCGCTGTATAGGGAGCAGAAGCTCTCGGAGTAGTGGTGGATTTGAAAATCGTCGGGGAGGTCGGGAGGAGTCGTGGCGGGACTCGGGGGGTGCGTAGGATTCGCCCGATTGTTCCCATACGAAGGGCTTCGCTTGGAAGGCTGGGAGCTCACGGACAGGGAGGGTCGGTGGGAGGTTTTTGATTTCTTGGCTGGAGGTGGGTGGTGGTCGCCATTGTGGCCGTGCTTGCCGCCTTCTGAAGGCCCATGAGTACCGTTAAGAACAACTTCGCTGGGCCTGGTTTTCTTCTTGTGGCTCTTGGAGGGGGGTCGCTTGACTTTTTTGTCGATGCTCTCCGGTTCCAGGATGGAATTCCTGAGCCGTAGAGTGCGCTCGATCGCCTTTTGTCGGTTCAGTGGTCGGGGCTTGCAGTCGGCACACGAGTGAGAGAAGTCCTCTCGAATGGCCTCCTCCCGATTCTCGGGATAGAAGCAGTCAATGTGCTGCCATGTGTCGCATGTCTCGCAGTATATTGTGTTTCCGTCGTCGTCAGAGAAATTGCAGATACACTTGATTGTGTAGGGCTCTTCCTCTGGCGCCTCGATCTTGTGGGCGACATCGTCGGGGCCGGTCGGGCCCACGAGCGCGATGTGGTTGGCCTGGTTGGAAACTGCGGCTTGCGTCGACAGCGGAGCTGGCTTGTCGGTCATAGTCCAAAGGAGGACCACGCTGGGTAGTCGATGTCGCAAGGGATGCGTGGATTGATTACTGTCGCGGTCTTGAGGGCATGACGGCGCCGGTCAGGACGCGCGCCGGATGGATGAGCTGGAGCGTCGAGCGGCTGAGGATCGCGACCAGCCGCGTCATACGCCGGAGCGGAAACGATGGCGCGGTCGAGTCTTGGACAGGCGGCAGGCGGCGTCTGGGCACTTTGAGCGTCGTGATTTGGGGATTGACTCAAGGGCAGAGGCCTAGTCGTCAGCCGTCAGTAGGAGCGAAAAAAAAATGGGCGACGGGGTTGAAGAGGAGGCGAGAATCACGAGCACAGCTATAGGGGTTTTCATACGCGTCGAGGGCGATGGTTGGACACTGAAGGGCGTCAAATGTTTCTCGCCTCGGTCGTAGAAAATTCGAACACGAGCGGGCGGGAGGCGACTGGATTGTTGGTCGAGGATGGTGAGCAGGCTGGTCTGCGAGAGAGTGGGATGAAGGGGGCAAAAAAAAGCGGCCGTGGGAAACAAAAGGAGGAGAGAGCAGAGACGAGGACCAGGCGGCAGCAGCAGAGGTCGGCGGGCGTCTGGATTGATCGGGCTCCTGAGGCAAAAGATTCGTCAACGGCCGGCAACGGGGATGGAGGAGGAGAAGGAGGATGGGGAGGAGCGACGAAACTGAGAGGGTGTCTTTGCTGCAGCGCGAGAACGAGTGCGGCGGCACCCTCGAGGTACGTACCGGCCAGGGTGTCCAATCATGCAGCGTCGCCAGTCCAAGTCCAAGCCCAGCCCAGCCGTAGCGGCACATCCAATCCGGTGTCGAGGATTCCGGGCCCCAGAGAGGAGAGTCCAGAAGGGAAGGGCAGCGAGCGAGCGAGCGAGCGACTGAGGGGGTACGAGCACGGCACTACGGGAGCAGCAAAGTACTGTGCTGCGCTGTGCTGTGCTGTGCTGTGCTTCGTAGTGCCTGTACCGTACTGTAGCAGCAGTGCCCGTACAGTCGCACTAGCATGGAGCGAGCGCTCATCTTGCTGCAAAAACGCAGCTTGCAGAGGGCGGCACTCATCTCAGCGCCAGGCGACAGAGGCAACAGGCGCTAAGCCCAACGGCGAATGGGCGGTGGGATAGCGACGTCTTAGTGTGCGTCCAAGGCCCATCCATGCACTGGGGCCGTGGGCGTACGAGTACCGAATACCTGCACGGAGCGCCGAGTACCTCGCGGGCTGGCACAGTGGTGAGTGCGCGCCCCCAAAAAGCGCGGCGAGACGGGGGGTGCGCATGTAGTGGTGGCCGGTCGGCAGGTATTCGGTGCTAGTGCCTGGAGGCAGTAGTACGACCGCTCGCAGCGCGGTTGCTGCCTGAGGCGGCGACGTCTGGCGGTGGCATTTGATTGCAGCCCATTGCACTCAGGCCGGCTGGGCAGGGTACGGAGGTACCCAAGAAGTATAGGGAGGTAGTGATAGGGTGCGGAGGAGGTGATGCAGTCCAGCAGGAGAAAATCTGACGGCGAGGGAAATCAAGGTCGAGAACGGGGAGCGGAAGACGGATGCGAGAGAGAGGGGAAGGGGCCGCACATGCGAAGAGAGAGGAGAAAAGAGTGTGCGCAGGCTTGTATGCGCGTCTAGATGCGAGTGCCGTCTGTAAGGTTTTGGGTGGGTAAAGGCAGCGGGTGGGTAATGCGAGAGCCTCTGGATGGCAGGCAGTGCAGCGCAATATGAGAGGAGAGCGTATGAGTTGGTGCTTGGATGGAGTCAGTCGGCATGTGAGATGTCCAAGGGGGGGCCGGGCGATGTTCCTGCACTCCATACGGAGTACATGGCCGCATGAATAATCTTGCGACCGTTGGACACCGAGACGAGAGAAGAGGAGCAACTCACTCGCCGCCATTTGTGCAGCGCCCTCTGGCTGGCATGTGAAGCCATGTCATGTCATGTCGTGTCGGAAGGAGATGGCGATGCTATCGACGCTCGGTGGAGCTGGAGGTTTATAGATAACAGGATTCAGCCGCAGCTTGGCGAGAGAAGCCTGCCAACCTTGTTCAGGACGGCCATGTTGCCTGAGGAGCCATGGGCGGAGGCAGCAGCCAGTCGCATATTGAGCAAAAGGCAGTAGAGTAGAAAGAAAGATATGATGGAGTGAGGGGTCGGAAGAGATGAAGACGATATGTGAGGGCAGAGGTGTGACGACTTCTTGTACCTGGACAGGTTTTTCTCTCTCTCTCTCTCTCTTTGTGTTCTGTTTCTCTGATAAACTGAGCAACAAATGAGAGTTGTTGACCTGGCAAGACGGATTTCCAAGATCAGAAAAAGTGAATCTGATGGATTCGAAAGCCTGTGATGCGGAACTGGGAGTTTAGCGCCCAGCCGCTGTACTGTAGTGCTACTGTAGGTATTCAGGCACATGCCCCCGACAAGAATAGAAGCACAGCAGTGGCGTCACTGCCCAGGTGGTCAAGGCTTGCCCGCCGGAAGAGGCCACTGCCAACGGCTTCCGTACTGTGCGGATGGTGTGGTTGCAGTGAGCAAGGCTGGTGCGAATTTACCACTTTGAGCCTACACGTCTGACCCAATCAATATGAGGCGGGAAATTGAAGTAATTAGCAAAATGGGACAGGATAAGATTTGAGTGGATGGGACGTGACTGGACGAAAAGATGGCCATGCCGGCAGCTGCTCTATTGGGCTGCATTTTTCTTCATCCGACGCAGCAGCAGCAGCCTTTGCATTTGCTTTGCCTGCTTTGCTCTCCATGCTTTGCTTGTGCAGGGCAGCTCGCGAGTACCTGCAAAGTACCTGTACCAGCGTCGCTGGAAGGAGTACGGAAACACAGCCCGCTCCGTACTCCGTCCCTACGACTCCGTGCAGGGCCTGCATACAGCTGCTATTGATGGGTACCTGAGTAGGTACGGAGCAGAGGAGGTATGAACGTTCGATCCAGCTCCCACGGCACAAAGGGGAGGCCGTCAATGAAGCCGTCGACTCCCATACTCGCACCATGTTTTCCCTCAATACGGCACACCAACAGGGCGCATTCTCTCCCCTGTCTACGGAGTACGAGTAGGCACCTACCAACTACTGGCGGACCAAACGCTAATACTTGTAACTACGACAACACGCCCTGAAACCCAACAGACACCATCTGCTCGTACTCGTACGAGTACTAGTACGGAGGCCCTCTCTCAAACTCGCTGCACCAACTTTGGCACAGTCAGAAAACCAACCCGAACTTGTCCCCAAGCGGGGAACATGCCTGCACCACGAAACAGCACCGCCGTCTCATTCGTCAGACGCCAGCCTCTAGTCAAGCCTTGCGCTCGTCATCCCAGCAATAGCCCTGCCGTCACAGCCCCCTGATTGGCCAGTCACATCAGCAGAGCACAATAACGGACCTGAGCGCTGCGCGGCGCGCGAATCGCGTCGCTTCAACCTTGGGTGCGAACTGGGGGGGTTTGAAGCTGGCCAATGAGGCTGTCTGCGCAAGATGTCGATAAAACCTTGGCTGGTAGCTACTACTGTAGGTTTCAGCACCTAGCGTGCATACGACTGGTCGTGTTTGTTTTTGTTTTTGTTTTGTTTTGATTTTTTGTTGAATTTCCACATGTCGCTGGGCGTTGAGCTTGCGACTTTTTTTCTTTTTTCCTTTTTTTTCCCCCTAGGGTACTCTAATGCAGCACCAACCAGCAAATCCGTCATACAACAATTTGGCCCCAAAGCACTTTCGTCAGCACCGTCAGCCTACGCCGCACAGCCTATTGCCGAGTTACAGAGTAGAACGCGGCGTTGCCCCTTTGGAAATTCCCAGTAAGATTGCATTGCGTGTCCCCGTGAGATGGAAATGGGGAATAATGATGTCGATGATCCTACGCCTGTGTTCCCCCTCATGGCTGATCACTGACGCCCATTCTACGGCGCACTGAATGGTAGAATCCCAGCCTCCGCAGGGCGACATCGTGTCCCCATTTCGCTCCCGCACTACGCTCCTCTAACCTGCGCCTCCTCCGGTCCACCAGCCTTCTTCGTGCCACAGTCCAAGCCTGCGCTCACAATGAAAGCACAAAATGGGTAAAATCAAAAATTCCGCCTCCAATGGCCCCGAAGGACAATTGAGCACGGGACGACTCCGCGATGTGCAATGCAGGCCTCCCACACTAGTACTCCGACTTCTTGATCTCGGAGTACTGAAACAAGGTAAGTATGAAGAGGAAAAGAAGAAAGAAAATAGAAAGCCGCGCTGCTGGAGGATTGTTTTATAGAAGATGGCCTGGTCCGTGCGCCATGGCCCCACAGCGCTGCCTAGAATGTAGTGCCTGAGGCAGAAACGACTAGAGCGAATCAACTCAGGCTCCGTCGCTTGCCAAACGCCTCATGCAAACGCCGTGCCGCAGTTGAAGGGGGCGAAAGACGGGGGAAGAGACGGTGAAGCAAGGCGAGGGAGAGAGATCGGCCGCACTTGCTCATCTGCGGAAGAGAGAGAAACATGAGGAAGGAGAAATCCAGCATCATTTGGCCAGTCTTCAGATGATAACCTGTGGATGGCAAGACGTGACTGCTGCTGTATGGATCCTACCTACCTAGTACGAGTACGGAGTACCTATGTAGTAATTCAACACGCAGGACAAAGCACAGTCGCCTTCCACTGCACCTTACTAACGTCTGGTGGCACTACTAGAGCCAAGGGCGCTACTGCTGCTTCTGGGTAGTTAATACTGCCTCTATTACTGTACTTGATTGCGCTTGCGCTCATTGTGCAGCCACGGAGTACGCCGTATTTTACGTGCGCAGGCCATGTACCTGTACCGGGCAGAGCGCATGCAAGGAGTATCAGCGCTACCCCAGCGTTATCTGTTTTGCCATGGAAGTGGAGACTGACTCTCCCCCCTGGCCAATCGTAGCCCCGGCCGGGTCTCATGACGCATCCAACCACCGCTGAGACGCAGCACGGCAGCAGAGCGCCCCGTGACGTTAGTGGTTTGCTGCCGGCGTCACTGTACATGCCCTACTGCCATTAACCAGTACGACGGCAAGCAGCGCCAGCCTCACCTCTACTTTTATCATCCATCTATTATCTCAGCCCGCCTGCTTTCGCCTCCGTTATAGAGCCGGCATCTCTTCGTCGTCTTTCATCCTTTTTTCTCTCCATTCTATCCTATTCCAGACTTATCAACTATTCGTAACGATGCGTTTCTCTACTACCGTCGCCTATCTGGCCACCTGCCTCGCCGCTCCGGCCACGGCCCTCGCCATCTGGGGCGAATCAGCCTCCGCACTGGACGCCAGCCTCAAGGTTCCTGGCGAGAACCCCATCGAGTTCTGCAACGCAGACCGCGATGACGACCTCATTCAAATCACCAAAGTCGATTTGGCTCCTAACCCCCCGAAGCCGTAAGAATCTACCTCGACAAATTCTCCCCGCTAACTGAGGCTAATGATTCCCGATAGCGGCAAGACGCTCCTCATCACAGCCTCTGGTGATGTCAAGAAGACCGTCACACAGGGCGCTTACGTCAAGGTGACTGTCAAGTATGGCCTCATCCAACTTCTCACCACAACTGCGGACCTGTGCGAACAGCTTGGAAATGTCGACCTTTCCTGCCCCCTTGAGACTGGAAAGATGACCATCACCAAGAGCGTCGATCTGCCCTCTGCCATTCCTCCGGTAAGCCTCTTTCCAAACCCATCAACGATGGCATCCCATGCTTACATATCTCGATAGGGAACCTACAACGTCCTTGCCGACGTCTACTCCGCCGATGACGAGAAGATCACCTGCTTGAAGGCCACTGTCAACTTCCCCCGACCGAGCCTGGGTTCCTTTGAAAACACTGAGGAATTGTAACTTTTGCTTTATGCTACGAGAATGATTACGGTGAATTGGCAACGAGGGAGATAATTCGGCTTGTGATTTTCAATTTCTTTTGACTGCTGGGTGTTTTGTTGTAATGGCATTGCTACGGCTGAGTTTGCTTCTGGGCGAGATATGTTGTATTCCTGGGGTGATATTCCGATCCGGTTCATAGGCACATCATTGCGGGGCTTTGTTACTCCTACTAGAGAATGCATGCGTAATATTGATCCCTGATAAACCAGTATACAATCGGCTGTTGATAATCATCTTGATATTATATATCTGTCTCGAGATATCTAGCTTCTTCCGCAAAGCCCTGCACCATCTGTCCATCTCTTCTAGTAATATGACTGCGTGGGTAGTGGAACGTTTACGCTCCCATTAGGTCACGCGCTCGTCTGTATACAGTGTCCTTCTCTGGGTCCCAAGGATGGTCTTTGCTCGGCATTTCGATGACCGTGGGGATCCCCCCGTTTTTCTGGGACATGTGTGCCTCTATGGCGCGTCGTATCCGATTGGCAATCTAGTCCTCTCGCCGTCAGTTCACTACATTTCACCGCCACCATTTCAACCTCTGGATGAACTGACATGCTGGCTGATCAATATGACGCCGACTTCAGGTCTCTTAGCTAATTGCACAAATGCCGCTTCGATCTGTGCGTTTGTGGTCTCGCTTTTGACAGTGAAGTAGTTTGTTTCTTCGGAGTCAAACACGTGCTGTAGACTGTGTAAGAAGACTTGCCAGCATCTCTAGTAGTAGCACTGCTATTGTAATTGCGGGAAGTGAAAAGATTGCATGTCCTTCAGGTGCAACTCACGCCGATGCCCGCAAGAAAGGGACCCGTTTGGTCGGGCTGTATGTGATGGATTTGCGTTAGCAAGATGCGATTCCTCAGCTAGACAGTGAGCGATTTTAGTCCAGAGGGCGAACTTGCCATTTCGGAAATGATGGAGAGGAACTCCACCTTCGAGAGATCGACTTTAGTAGCCATTGCGAGGGCGGACAATGGCGATTCTAGGTGTATAGATGGAAGAGATTTGACGGTTGTTGGAAGCTCCAGATGACTGCTTTTACTAGACTAGGTAGGTGTGCCTGGTAGTTGCATGTTTGAGTGGCCCCCGCGTTGAGCAGCTGAGGAAGATGTACTTTGGATGAAAGTATCGCCGGAGGCACAAGTGGCACCGAAGGGAGCAAATAGGCAACATGTACTACCTACGTACTTTATGCTTGACGAGGCTGTCTGTGGCTTGTTAAAGAGGCTTGACTGTCCTGAGGCTGCTGTGAAAAATGATGGCTGTCATACCCGGCATAAGCTACCTATATATTATCATCATTACAACAAGTCTATTAAGCCCCAGCTACTACATCACCTTGAGGATTTGAGGATTGCATCAATAGGACTAAAATAGGTACTTGACTCCAATGTACCAAACGGAACGTCACTGGGGCGCCCCGTGCGGTGGACTTGCGCTTCCCTTCTACTAATAGGAAGCAGAGGCGCTAGGCTTCAGACGGAAACCTTCAGCAGCAAAATCTAGCTCCAAAGTAAACAAATTCGCCGCCAGTCCAACATTTCTTTGCGACTTCTTTTTCTCTCCAACCACCACCCCGTCGTGGCCATTCCCTTTCTTCCCACGGTGCGATCAGACATCATAGTCTCTGTCGCCTGTGATTAATCGAGTGCGCGAGACTTTCGAATCTCCTCCTGCGAAGATGCCTAGACTCGTGCGGCGGAGACCGCTCTGGGAGCGCATCACGTCTATGCTGAATCCCATGGACTTCCTCCTATGGCTTTCGGAAGAGCTGGAGACGAGGGACTGGGACTCGAAGCTGGCGGGCACACAGCTTGGTTTGGGCATGAACTTTGCCTTTTTGCTGGCGCGCGCGAACTTCGGGTCATCGTCTGAGTGGTCTGACAGCGACATCTTTGGCGACGATATCAACCCTTCGTTGCTTTCTTACGTAGTAAGTCCTCCATGCAGCCATCGCATGGCGTCGCGCTTGATAAACTAACAATCTTGGTACAGACTTACCCCATTGTCTGGGGCCTCGTGCTCTTCTCTTTCGCCAACGCGGCTTATGCCTTGACGCGAACGCGAAAATACCGACTTTTCGAAGCCAACATCGAGCAAGCCCCGTCAACACCCTCGGCGCGACGAGTCCAGGTTCAATCATCTCCTATGACGACATCCTCGCCGCTTCAATACCTCGCCGACAAAATAACATCGGGCTCTGCCGAGTCGCGAGCGCATCCGGATAAGAAACGAGATGTGTGGGAACTCGCGGTATGGGACCCTCTGCCCATCTCCCTGAGACTGGTTTGCTTGTTCAGCCCGGGACACGTTTTGGCCTACCTCCTCTTTCTGCCGCTGGCGCCGCTGGATCCTCAGCCCAGTGTAACTGTCTTCAACACGATTCTCATGCAGGTGGTGCTCTCTGGGCAGATGCTTTTCCTCTCTTCGCGATTTGCGCAGCAGGCAAAGGATAACGCCATCATTCAAAAGGAAGTCATGAACGAGTACAACACCAAGTTTGTTCATCCTCGACTCAACCCCGTTGTCAGAGATGTTGGTACCCAGGTTGCGGCCGAGCACTCTCCCAAGGGTCGTGGATTTGTCCAAGTTGGCACACCGACAACACTGATTAGGAAGTCCTATGCGACGCGAGCTACCTCTTATACCGATTACAGCGATACCATGTCTGCTGGTCGCAGCAACATAATGAAGCCGCAGATGTTCAGCTCAAATGCCCCAGTACGCTCAGAAACCACCCCCACCAACCTAATCCAACCTCGCTCTACCTCTACGTTTAAGCAACACATGATGGCTGATAAGGGCACGGCTCCCACTACAGCCCCAATGCTAGCCTCAGCTGCGGCCACGGCTCCTATACCACTCTCGGTTACGTCCGCAAACACTACCCCTTTTGGAGGCAACATGGGCATATACAATCACAACAAGTCACCTCTTAAGAAGACTATCGGCCTTGGCACCTTTAACGAGCCAGCCTCGCCCCGAAACTCGCGAGAGATGGCGGCGCTGGAGCAGCAGAGGCAGCCTACCAAGCACGCTGATTCGTACCGGTCAGCGAGCGCTCTCAGCAGAAGCGTATCGAACCCTTTTCAGGGGGGGACAAGAAATAGGGGAACACAGCAAGACAGATCGATTAGGTGGTAGCCTTCTTTCGTGTTGCCAAAACTTGATTAGACTTATGGTGCCATCAAGGCAACGGATTCCCATACTTATGCGATGGAATGAATGTATTATTTGAAACTATATGGTAATATTCTCTGTGCTTGGATTCAGTATAGCATAGCATGTCTTCGGCGTTGGGCTTGTTGTTTTATGTGTATTTGGGGGGAGGCTATGGATAATGTGTATGAAGAATAATGCGACTTGGAACAGGCAGAGGAGGAGGAGTATCTTGCTTGTGTATGTGATATCTACGTCTTCTTGTTTGGGAGGCATGATGATATTTGCTGGGTGTCAACTACAGGCACCATAAAAGATTGAATGTATGATTTGGTTCCTACCAGCCGCCTATTCTTACCACTCGAGACGTGAATAGCTGCAAAGAGCAGGCACGAGTGGCCATCTTGTTGCATCACATTGTTGCCTGGGCAAGAGCTTAGCCCCTCATTGTTTGCGGTAGAATATAATTCGTCTGATATCCAGGACCGGGATTTCTAGACTTTGCACAATGAAGCTCACGCAATACATATTTACGGCCCTTGCCTTTCTTCGGCCCCGTTCGAGCAGCGATGAGTCTCCCGCGGCGTTCCCCCGTATATATCGATACATTGTCGATACATGGGTTCGGCGGCCACTGGCTCCTCTGATCTCGTTGACGGCTGTCGCTGCGCTCACCCTGCACCTCCTCAAGATGGCGTATTTCCTACCACCCAAGATCTCGGACGCCGCGATTCGACGAACTACATCTACGCCTCAGGCAGCTCCCGCACCCAAGAAACAGCAGCAGTCACTCATAAGAACCTGGACGGAGCGCCGACGCACTGCCTCGTTGGGAGAGTTTATGAAGAACATGTTTCCAAGTCAGCGCCCTGAACGCGGTGGCACCAGCAGGGGGCAGGGATATTGGGAGCAGATGGAGAATGAAGGGAAGGCACGGCCTCGACGGCGCATGCCAGATAGCCAGTACAGCGTCGGGGACGTTTCGGCGGATTCCAGTCATATTGCTCGCTGGAACGTCCCGAGAGAGCTCTCGGAAGACCAGCCGTCTGGTTTGCCGCAATCAATGCAACAGCAACAACCTGCTGTGCCCGCGAACTCGGAAGCCTCATCGCCGCCGAATGAGATACTGCCGGACCAGAGCTGGAGTTGGAGCCCTCATAATGGCTCTGAAAATTCAATCTCTGTGACGAAGGTAGGGGGGGTTTTACAGAGCAACTACGACGAAAGTAATGCCCTCCACACGAGCAGCTTGGGTATGGATACACAGACTGTGGCAGAGGGAAAGCAACCTCTTAGATATGATTTGCGCCGGGCAAGAGTCAAGGCTCGACGACGCGAACGCCGAAGCTTGAGGGAAAGCGGCGATTATCTGGGTGTGCAAGGAGTCAATCCCCATACCGGAGAGCTGGACATTATGAGTCCCTCTGAAAGCAGTGCTGGAAGCTCAGCGAGCCATCAGGGGACACCACACAGCCTTATGAGTGCATGGCGAGATATTTGGACCAAACACCACAGGCCGGGAGGCTCGCCCAATAAAGACGAGCACATGGAGGGTGAAGACCTTATGATTTCAAGGTCACTGAAGGGGAAGCAAAAAGTGAGAGAATTGAACAAAGGCGTCAGATGGAAGAGACGTGTGGGCGAATGGTCTTCGTTGCAAGAGCCAGACTTGAGCCCCATCGCTCAATCTTTGAAAAGTGCATCCCTGAGCTCTCGTGGGTTTCACTTCTTCCCCTCCCCCCCTTACATATCTTTTACAATCTCAATCATGTAAAAGAAGTGCTAACATTTCTGGGTTGTAGGCAGGCCATCTCACGTTCAGCATCCCCCTCAGGCAATCCAGCAACCAACAGACGTCTCTGACGGTGAATCGCTGCAAGATACCAATCCTCCTCATGCTAAGCCTCTCTCAATCAAGGGACTTGGCAGTCATAACGCTGCTTCATCGCCAGAAGTAACTCCCCCAACCCGCAGCTCGTCCAATTCCACGGTTATTCGGACCCCTCGTCGACAAAGTCTTGCGAATCCTCCTCTCATGTCTTAGGAGCTCCATGAGGGTGAATCAGGCCTTGACGAATCTGGCTCCCATGCGAGCTCCAACCCTGCAGATCAACCCGAGAACAAGCCTTTTTTAGGCATAGCAGCCGAAAGGGACGCCAACCAGCCGCGCGCGGAGGCGAGCAATATAGCCCTTTCGGCAACCCAATCTACCCAGTCGATCCTAGCTTTTGGTCGGAAACCAGAGCGCTACTTCTGTTTCCCAGGAATGACGAGCATGACTCTGTTCAGCCCGGATCAACACTCGAGGATAGTCAGAGAGCCGCCTCCTTTGACCCTTCTCGAACAAAGCCCGTTGGAGGCCACGTCCCAATTACAATCTACAAACAATCCCAAAAGGGCCCTGAGAAGGCCATCGGAGACGCATCGGAACCCACACGATGGGAAAGCTATCGAAATAAAGACAGTGAAGGGGCTGAAGCAGGTGATACCAAACATTCCAAGAGCACAAACATCAACCGGCCCGCTGCAGGAAGAGTCAGTCACCGCAGAGCTTCCTGCAACCTCCCACCACCCACATCGACGACTTTCCAAGGTGGAGATAAATCAGGATATGAGAGAATTGAAGGAGGGGGTAGCAAAACTGGACAAGCAGTGGTTGGAGCAACCTTGGTATCTTCAAACCAAACCCGGGACGGAACACGAGCAGACGAGCAATATCTTGTGCGAAATCCTGGGCAAGAGCAGCGAGATCAAGGACCCTGCCTACATACCCACCATCATCACTACTGGCTGCAACCGCCAAACTCCTCCCTCAGCCTCTCAGCCGGAAGAGCCGATAGGCCTGGACCATCTCCTTCAGCCAACCGGAGCCCGGCAAGAAGAATTGAATTGCAGTGTGCCGGCAGTGAGATCATCCAGGAACAACTCGGGCAACTTTCATTCAAACCCAGCCATGAGCTCCAAGCAGAATCCAACCTCACCAGCAGAGGCCAGCTTGGTAGGCGAACCACGAGCAGACACTACATGTCTGGAGCAGGAGTCTCACAAGATGCAGCTAGGAGAGGGTCTCTGGCAAGGCAGACGTTCAGTGAAGGCTATTATGATGGCTCCGGAAGAAAGCTCGTTGCGCAAGTCAACATTTATACAGGACCAAACATTACAGGCTGCGAATCAAAGCAAGAATCTATCAGCAGCAAGCCAAGATACGCAACAATTAGTGCCCGAGAGCGAAACAAGTCTAGCAGACCACCAAGTGCAGACACACAGCCCTCCGGAGAAGCATCGAGTCAGCCCAGAGCACGGAGGCGAAGACGACACCGAAAGTCTTTTGCCAGAGGACCAGAAACTTGAAACCAAGGCTCTGAATACAAGACCAGGGGAAAAGAGTGATGATAAATTGGAGGCAGAGGAACAGCTTACCGAATTGCAGCGTTTTCTGCCGTACCTGAAGACTTGGGCTCAGCTATACTGGTCAACAGTCTGGCCAATACTTGATCTACGAACTTTACGAGTCCCGCATGAAGGGCCAATGCCTTTGTGGAAGGCCTGTCTGTTGATAGTGCTCGCAACGCCGGCTGTGGGCCTCGGGTTTGTGGCGGTTGTCCAGGGAATGAAGTTTGTCATGTTCGTGGCCTGGCTGCTGGATTACTCTGCGGATGATGAATCGGCAATCTGGGCCTAAAGATGGGCTGTGGAGTCAGCATCTTGGCTTGAAGCTGGACAGATTACTTGCATTTCGTCCAGGGGGTTGGTTCGGGGTAGTTTCGGCCGGAGAAGTCGCGAGAACATTTTCTTTGCCGTAGTGATTAATTTGAGTATGATTATTATTATTATGGCCTATGGTTTGTGTTTTTTGTCTGTTTCAATGTGATTGCTTGCAATATGATTCGACGGCCGCCTTTGTTTCAATTTTTATCTTGCCACATCGTATAAGTGGATGACTTTAATCAACATCTGAAATCAGTATTACAAGAGAGTATAGTAGTTAATTTGGCGATTTTTATTTAGTAGATCCATCTGGGATACCCTGGAGGTTAATTCCAAGATATATGAACTTACAACAGAGCTAGCGCAATCAGAAAAGTGCTAGATGAGCAAATGGTTGGAGGCAGTGAGAATATGTTGGGAGAGGGGGTATTCGTTGTATTGGAATATACCTTAAACTGCATGTACGTCCAGTGGATGTAACTTTGACTGCCTAATATATCATAATTTAAGCATTGAAGCCACTTGGTGATACTGTGCAGCATTTAGCACTGGGTTTGGTTTGACTTTCTCCTAAGCGGCGATATAAAAGGTCGAGATGTCTACAAACCTAAGACCTCCTTTTCTCATTCATTCAGTCATCATACCAGGAGCACCAGCAAGCCATGTTTCGCACCGGCATGGTTAGAACTCTTCAAAGGAGAGCAAACTTTAGCTCGCTAGATACAGAACGGAATGACATTCTACGGAAAATATACGCACCGTTCGCGAAGCTGACCAAGGATTCACCTGAGTATAATGCTCTGGCAGAATCAGGAACGGTCTGGGAGGAGTATTTCCAGCCTGGAGATAGTGAGCGGTATGGGTATTTGAAACTACAAAAGGTAGGTGAGAAGATTGTCTCTCTACTCTATCCAGTATCTCTACTCTATCTAGTAGATCTACTCTATCTAGTAGATCTAGTAGCAATAGTGATGCTAATAGCGGAGCAGTTGTACACGCCTCTGCTAGAAGGTATCGATGCACAGAGAGCCTGTATATGGACTCCAAGAAGCAGAATGTTTCACAGTCTCATCGCGGGATACGCCCACCAATCCGTCTTTATCGAGAACAACAAGCTTCTGCTAGAACACAGCCAGATCATGGACAAACACCTCAAAAACGTTTTTCCTGATCTTGCTATGCCAGCTAGCAGCCTCTCTCAAATAGCACTCCCCGAAGCTCACTGTCTGTTGCCCAACGAGGATGCTAGCCAGGTAGCAGAGTTGCGCAATCATATCGTTGCATCTCGCTGGGTTACAGATGCTGCGTTACGCAATCTTAAAACGGCAGGGCTTTTTGAAGATGAAATTCGATCACTTTCAGCTCTTCTTCTCAGAGACACCACTGGTGAGAAGCTCTACAAGTCGGGATGGGGAGGAAAAACCACACTCGGAGATTACCGACCAACGCCGATACAGGTAAAGAGCAATCCTCTTACCATATTCCCATATCATCTCGAGGTTCCAGCATGCATGCGGCGCTTCATACAGTGGCGCGATAGAGTTACTCGGGAGAAACGCCTCCACCCGCTTATTGTAGCCTGTCAGGCAACTGTGTACTTTTTGCATATACATCCCTTCTTTGACGGCAACGGTCGAGTGTCTCGACTGTTGATGCAAGATTACATGATTCGACACGGCTATGCCCCGGTGGTGATAAAGGACCTAGATCGTGAAGAGTATGTGAGGATGATTAGAAGTGCACAGGAAAGCGACCCAGAGAAGCTTATTTACACGATTCTGACAACTCAGTTGGAGGAATTAAGGAGATTTAGGCGTTACAGGTGGATGTTAAGTGAATCAGAATATCTCTCTTGATAGTGGTTCTTGACATTATGTTAGTGAGGTATGCTAGAGCTACAAGAGCTACAAGAGATACTAGAGATACTAGAGATACTAGAGATACTAGAGATACTAGAGATACTAGAGATACTAGAGATACTAGAGATACTAGAGATACTAGAGATACTAGAGATACTAGAGATATAAGAGAAATTATACATTGCCACTGTTAAAAGGAGTTCCTGCGAAGAGCTCATGCCTAGTGGCTCTTTTCATGGTCAAGTTCCTCTTTCAATAGGCCATTGCACCAGCCCGCTTACGAGATCAGCAGAATTCGTGAGATGAGTCAAACACATATCAAAAATATAAGATGGCGCAGGCGAGTACCCCGATCTCAACGACGCCATTCCAACCGCTCGTCCATCGGACCTCGAGGATAACGTGATGGCCGATGTCGGCCCACAGTCTACAGCAACGACCACCCAGGCACCACGAAAGAAATGCTAATAGGAAATAATACAGGGGAAAGCAAGATGAGCGCCCTAAATCGCGCCAATCAATGTCAAACGGAATGCATTGCCGTCCAAACAAGGCAACGGAGGGCGTGTCGAGATACCATGTGCTAGGCACTTATACGAAGCAGAGCACTATAGGACATTGTAGACCAGTCTGAAAATTCACCCAATAAATGCCATCTTCAATAGTCATTCCACGTTACATCGTTCACTTTTCGGGTTATCAGACTCCTTTGAAGCAAATCTCGTAGCCATCATCCATCATCTTCAAACCCCCCTAACGCCCACTGTTCAACCTCCAAACAGATCCCACGCCAACATCTGTTGGACACACTCTAAGATTAACGGTCAGTAACGATTGCGTTAATGTCAGGTATTCAAGCACGTTTAGCAGTAGAGGCATCCTTATATATCCTCGCAGGCAAAATGCATGCTCGAACTCCACGCAACAGCCGTGCCGGCGGCACAGGTGGCGTAGGCGGTGCAGGCGGCTGTAAGTTTCGCTCTCTAATCCATGTAAACACCATCCTTGTTTTAAAATTCGGTTTATCAGGGCATTGATCCTTCGCCGTTGTCGTTATCGTCGTCGTTTCCAGATACAGTGTATTCGCTGATATTCTTGCCAATTTCGTGGTGGCCTCCGTCGTTATAGTTACCGTATCCTTCTTAGCCGTCACTGAGGTTGTTGACATCGTTCTTTCTTCCAGTGGTTGTATATGCAGCAGAAATCTTATTCTTTCAGAAGATTTCACGACAATTTTGAATATCTGATTGGATTCTGGACCCGGAATTACAAAGCCTTTCGACTTATCCTCGTGTTCATGCAGAATAGTGATATAGGTAAGTGCCGGCTTGGCGGGCGAGTGGAGTTCGAGCATCGTCATCCCTTGCACGCACTCTGTTGGCTTTCGACTCATCTCATAACTGCAACAGGGGGCACTTACTGACTGCCAGGACGGAGGAAGTGCCTTGATCAGGCAGAGTGGTGGTGATGGATCTTGTTGACTTGGTGTAATGCGATGCATCTTGTCTTTGAGGATCATCTCCGTCTTTATACATCCACCATCCATCACAGAAGCTGCTCATAAGGAATGGCCGATGCCATATGTGAACTATATGGAGAGTTAAACTATGTGGGGGGTATGATTTAAACTCAAATTGAGAGGCTCAACAAGGCTGGAACATCTGGTTTAACAAGGCTGAACCAGCTGTATAGCCTTTGGTGGAGAACTCTATTGCGTTGAGTAGTTTGTAGAGCATGATTCTTCGGGCCGACGACTCTTGCCAAAGTCATCGTTTCAGCTCGTGAGCGACTGCTTATTTCCGGGTGCCATATCTCGTTGCCGAGGAACCTTGAAGACTAGGTAAATGCTAATCGGTGGCATCTTTACAAATTCTGCCGTCATGTGGTCTTTAATACGTGAGACAATACGGAGTAATGATGGCCCTGTAAACAACTATCAGCCAGGAACCACAACGAGAAAGAAGCCACTGGCATAGGGCTGTTGCCATGAAGAAAATGCTTGATAATATCATCCATGGATCCTACCTAACCTCGTTCGTCAGAGCGGATCCGCTGTGGGCAACAAAAACCGTACTATGCTCCATCTTGTAGTAATGGAATGGATCCATGGATCCCAAATCGACAACGCATGACACGGATTGAGGGCGAACAATTACACGCTTCACAGACACGAACCACAGGCTGCGCAGACACGGCTAACACGATCGCCCCCCTGTCGAAAGCATATGCAAGTCTCAAGTTAGGTAATCCCTTGCAGCCAACCAGCTCAGCCCATTTAGCAATCGCCCGCTTCATCTGGCTGGCAATTCGGCTTGTCAAGGCAAAAAAAAGTGCCATCCTCTGTTTTGCTGGGGCAAAGCGTCGACGCACTCCGATCATCGGAGACATGCCACCGGTCAACATCGGACTTGGGAGCTGTGATTTGGGCTTCATCCTTCAGGATAAAGCAACAGCATCTTGCTGCTTCCCTCCCCCGCCTTTCTCTTTCTCTCCATTATCGGCTTCGTTATACCAGGTGTGCACATTGTGGACTGTTGCAATTCGCAGACGCGGTGAAATAGTAACAGCTTGAGCTTCGGTTTAAGCTCCATCGCCGCTTACCAGCTTCACCTTTCCACAGCTTCCGTGCCCCTCCTTTGGCTTAGAAAAACGTCACTTTTTGTGTGTTTCGGCCGCCCTTTCCCATCTCACTCCTCCCTTCTTCTCCCCCTTCTCCTCTCAATCACGACACAATGCCTGTATCAGTATCAACCCCGCAGACCCTTTACGACAAGGTTCTCTCGAGCCACATTGTCGACGAGAAGCTCGACGGCACAATCTTGCTGTATATTGGTTCGTCACCTGGCTCTCTCCTCCTTCGGAAGCTTTTAGCTAACCAGAGGGGCAACATTTAGACAGACACCTGGTCCATGAGGTGACATCACCGGTATGCCCGCCCAAGCCTCGGATCCCAACCATTGAAATCGCCGATTGATGAGTTATACTGATATTGTCCCTGCAGCAAGCCTTTGAGGGTCTCAAGTCTGCCGGTCGCCAGGTCCGCAGACCAGACTGTACTCTGGCCACCACCGATCACGTACGTTTCCATTATCGCATTATCCGTCACAGCCGAGGAAAGAATATGCTAACCCAAGCTGTGGCTGTGTAGAACGTCCCAACCACATCTCGAAAAGGCATCAAGGACATTGCCTCTTTCATCAAGGAAGATGATTCTCGGGTACAATGCGTTACCCTCGAGGAGAACGTCAAGGAGTTCGGTCTGACATATTTTGGCCTGGGTGACAAGCGCCAGGGAATTGTCCATGTCATTGGACCTGAGCAGGGCTTCACCCTCCCTGGCACCACCGTCGTCTGCGGTGACAGCCATACCTCTACACATGGTGCGTTTGGCGCTCTGGCCTTTGGCATTGGTACCAGTGAGGTGGAGCACGTCCTGGCTACCCAATGCTTGATTACCAAGCGCAGCAAGAACATGCGCGTCCAGGTTGACGGAGAGCTTGCCCCCGGTGTCAGCTCCAAGGACATCGTCCTGCATGTCATTGGCAAGATTGGCACTGCTGGAGGTACCGGTGCTGTCATTGAGTTTTGCGGCTCCGTCATCCGCGGCCTCAGCATGGAGGCCCGCATGTCCATTTGCAACATGTCCATCGAGGGTGGTGCCCGTGCCGGTATGGTTGCCCCTGACGAGAACACTTTCGAGTACCTCAGGGGCCGACCCTTGGCTCCCAAGTACGGATCCGAGGAGTGGGATAGAGCCGTTGCTTACTGGAAGTCCCTGGCCTCCGACGAGGGTGCCAAGTACGATATTGACGTATTCATTGACGGCAAGGACATCATCCCAACGGTCACCTGGGGCACCAGCCCCGAGGACGTTGTCCCAATCACTGGCAATGTTCCCGACCCCGAGACTTTTGCCACTGAGACCAAGAAGGCCGCTGGTCGCCGAATGCTCGAGTACATGGGACTCACAGCTGGAACTCCGATGGAGGAGATTGTTGTCGACAAGGTCTTTATCGGTTCTTGCACCAACTCCAGAATTGAGGACATGCGAGCTGCTGCCCACGTTGTCAAGGGCAAGAAGATCGCCGCCAACATCAAGCGAGCCATGGTTGTCCCTGGTTCCGGCCTCGTCAAGACACAGGCGGAGGCGGAGGGTATCGACCAAGTCTTCATTGATGCCGGTTTCGAGTGGAGAGAGGCTGGTTGCAGTATGTGCCTCGGCATGAACCCTGACATTCTGTCGCCCAAGGAACGCTGCGCCAGTACCTCAAACCGAAACTTTGAGGGTCGCCAGGGAGCTGGTGGTCGAACTCATCTCATGTCCCCTGTCATGGCTGCCGCTGCTGCCATTACCGGTAGGCTGACTGACGTCCGCAGGCTGGCTGAGTACACTGCCAGCCCTCATGTCCAGGCTCGTATCTCCCCCAGCCCTCCCGTTGAGGCTGCCCACGTCGATGAGCGCGTCGAGGATTCTGATGAGCGAGAGGCCATTGGCGATCAGCCCCTGGATCTCCAGCCCCACACCAACACCTTGACACCCAAGGGTGATTCTACCGGCATGCCCAAGTTCCTCACTCTCAAGGGAATTACAGCTCCTATGGACCTAGCCAACGTCGACACTGACGCTATCATCCCCAAGCAGTTCCTCAAGACTATCAAGCGGACTGGCCTGGGATCGGCTCTCTTCCACAACCTGCGCTATCTTCCCGATGGTGCCGAGAACCCTGACTTCGTCCTGAACAAGGAGCCGTACAGGAATTCGAAGATTCTGGTCTGCACCGGTGCCAACTTTGGCTGTGGCTCCTCTCGAGAGCACGCCCCTTGGGCCTTGCTGGACTTTGGCATCAAGAGCGTCATTGCGCCCTCGTTTGCTGACATCTTCAACAACAACATGTTCAAGAACGGCATGCTTCCCATCCAAATCTCCAACAAGGCTGATATCGATGCCATCGCTGCCGAAGCTCGTGCCGGAAGAGAAGTGGAAATCGACCTGCCCAACCAGCTCATCAAGAACGGTGCCGGTGAAACAATCTGCTCTTTTGACGTTGAGGAGTTCCGAAAGCACTGCCTGGTCAACGGCCTTGACGACATTGGCCTGACCATGCAGCTCAATGATAAGATTGTCGAGTTTGAGAAGAAGAGGACCATCCACACTCCTTGGCTGGATGGCACTGCCTACCTGAAACGAGGCAAGGACGGTAGACTGGCTGCCAAGGCGGTGCCCGTGCCCAAGACAAATCGCGGCGATGAGAAGAAGGAGCCTCTGGAGTGGTAGTTTGGGTGCTTGATGATTTCTTTTCTAACGTCTCCTTTTAATCTGTCTTGTGTCTTTCGTTCTTTATGATATCTCAAAGACGAATAATTACGCCGAGTCTATCATTAAATAGCCCAGTGCGGGTTGATAAGACAAAGGGATGAAAATTAGTGGGTATAGCCTTTAGGTAGCTTGCCATATTGGCCGAGGGCCATGAATCAAAAGGGAAACGCGTCGTTTGTGCGCACGTATACGAGACATGAAGATTATACGCAGTTTCTTTGTTCTGCTGATTGATAACGTGATCCATTTTGTTTGTCAGTTTATCGTGGCCAGTATTGATAATGATTCCAATGATACGATCGGATATCAGAATGAACCCTTGAGGATTCCAATATGGACAACAAATCCGGCCTCGGGACGGAGCTCTGCAGGCATCATCTGTCCTGGCATTCTCCAAACTCGAAAATGCTCCTTAAAGGCCACTAGCCAGCTATTGAACACATCATCGTTTCGTAATTGCTGTGCCACAATGCATAAACAAGGAAGCCCTTGGCCACTGTCCGTCTGACGTAACTTGCATATATCGACACAGGTCTGGATAAAAGGCTGTATCAGGGCGTAGTTGAAGACACAATCGCAAGCAATGAGTGCGTCGAAAGAGAAAACCGAGGGGGAATTGGTCAGCGAAGACGAGACTTGGGATGTTTCCCAGTCGAGGACTTGGAAGTGTATGTCCGCCACGGCGTTCAGGGGGCTTGAAGGAGAGGATTTGTTGGTCCCTCTCTTGGATTTGCCGGTATGAGATTTGGATGATGACGGTTGATTTTCAGCAATATTCTGCAGGACGAGCTTTTGGACGTAAGGCTGGTCCGTGAGAATGTATCGCGAGACCTTGGGGGAGAGGGTTAAAGCATTGAGGGGCGAGATTCCGCATCCGAGCTCGATGATGGTGCATGATGGGGTGAGAACGGTGCGGAAGAGCAGGTTTGAAGGGGAAGCAAGCCATTCTGCGAAAAGAGGTGTGATTTTCCAGAGGACTGTTTGTGTTGAGGTTGTGTTAGTGCATGTTGTCACACCAAGCATGCGGTATCTGCATCTTGCCAGAGGTTAAACGCAAGGCAGAAGCCAGGTGAATAGAACGTACCTGCTCCTGTCGTACCACCTTTACGACTTGAAGCTAACACGCCTGGAGATTGGTGAATGGTAATGTCTCTCCCACCAAGTTGCAGATCCAGGACCGAGGCGTGAGAATCGATGAAGCCTAGTCCTTGAGACGGGATGTCGTTGGCGTAGAGGAGAAAAGTCTCTAGGACAAGGTGTGATTTGTTAGCGAGAGAAATAAGATTTCGATTATATAAGGTAGGGTTGTGAGCTGCGGAGAAGGATAAAAGTGAGAGCGTACCTTCCTCGGGATCCTGGATTTCATCCTCGAGGTGGGAGATGAGTTGTTGTAGGGAGTTGGCCATGGATATATTCCTATGTAAGACAAAATCCCAGCTTTTATGAAACAGTAAAAAAAGAAGTGAAACTGCAAATAAAGATCAAACGCCGTCAAACGCTGCGCTAAAGCTCAAGAGCATGCATGCACGCCAAGTGGAAAACGAAGCATCGTCGTGATTATACCTCAATTTGGCACAAAGACCACCGTAATTCCCGGTCGCCGTATAGGGTAAGTCAAGGCGCGCCAACGACCCACTTTGCGCATCTGCTCACAAATCGAATGGCGAGTTTACGCTGCAGTCAGATTCTTATAATAACCCTTATTGGTACTGAAACCTGCCCAATACGGATCCATCGGCCATACTCGACCGACTATTCATTTATAATTGTTACAAAGATGCACCTCAGAAGATAAGTGAAGACCAAGTTGAAGCAAAATCGTATCAAGAGCTGTTATATATAAGCAACTTCGCAGGCTATGAGAACAAACCATTACAGACGGCCAAACAAGACATCATATGCAATTTTCGTCATATAAGAGTCAAACAAATAATACCCAACAGCCATAATTTCACCTTCGGTCCTCTCTTTTGCACATAGAAGAGCATGATACAGACTATCCTGTCCCCCACTCCAATCGTCATCAGGAAAAGTAGGACTATCGGAAAGAGGAAACTATATAAGGGGAAGAAAAAAGTAAGAAGCTATTCTTAGGTGCAAAACAATACATAGCAGAGCTTCCTTCATATAAGTACCAGTCGCCCGGACCACCAGCGAGAAAGGAGAAACATAAAAATAAAATAAAAAGGAACCATCAACAGAAGAAACCAAAGCAACGTTGAACAATCTACACAAGCCCGTCGTATAAAGACAATGCCGAAACAATCGTCTCGTCTCGTTTGCTTCCCTCTTTGAACTCTTCCATGTCCAGGCTGCCGTTTTCATCCTTGTCCATCATGCGGAAGATTTTTCGAACCCGCTTCTCGGGCGTATCTTCGTCCTCGGGAAGCTTGACCATGGAGCCAACCTATGACCGCCACGCGTTAGCTTTATGACAATGACTCGAGGTTCATAACCACTTTATCCCATACCATTTTGTAGATTGCCTCGACGATCTGGAGCATCTCATCGTAACTTATCTTGCCGTCGCCATCGATATCATACAACTGGAACGCCCAATCCAGCTTGTCTTCCATCTTACCCCGACTGGTAACACTCAGCGCACAGATGAATTCCTTGAAGTCGATACTACCAGACTTGTCGCTGTCAAACACGTTGAATACATGATCTGCGAATGAACTCGGGTCTCCAAACGGGAAAAATTGTCGGTAGATCTTCTGAAACTCCTCTTTGGAGAGCATGCCCGACGGGCAGTCCTTCAGGAAACCTGCATCGCAGAGTTCCAAAGTTAGAAAACGAAATTCGTTGTATAATTCAGCCCAATAGCGAGACGAGCAGATGAGGGACTTCTGATGGGACAGGGTAGAATGCAGACGAAGTTGAGGGAATGAGGGGATCCAAGACTTCTCCATCCCCTGTATCCCGGTGATGCTCACCTTTGTACCATTGCTGAAGCTCCTTCTTATCAAAATGAGTCGACTTCTGGAGCTCGGCGAGCTGCTCCTGCGAGAGCTTTGACTGCCTGCAATTGGAAAGCGAGTAAAATGTTAGCCTCAGCATGACAAGATCCAGGGCAATGCGTGTGTGCCAATCAGCTCCAGTAGAGGCTAGCAGAATCCTGACAGCTAGCCTCCCTTGTTCCCCCTCCCCCTCTTTCGTCGTAAGTGCTCGTGCACATATTCCTTGGCAATATGGGAATTCAAGACTGTAGGGGGGGTTGCGCAAGGCCCACTCACGATTTGCCCATATTTTTCCTAGGCCGATTAAACAGAGACTGTACTGAATGGAAAAGGAGCAGGCGCTTGATTCTTAGGAAGATGACGGCTGTAGAACGAGAGGGCGGCAAATTCCGCGAGGGAAGAAGGATGTCACGAGGTGCGCAGTGGTGAGGGTATCAAATCCAAAGTCTCCGGTGGAATATTGCGCAATCGACCGACGGTTAGGTATCTCGTCACAATTCGGCGCTCAAGGAGAATCAGCAGTGGGATTCGGCTTTGCGCTCGTTCTCGTGCTTGTGCTTGTCAGAGAGATGGTCGTCGCTCGTCGTGGGATGTCCGTCGTCGTAATTGCTGCAATCCTCCGAGGCTACCAGAAAGTATGAGTGCAAGCTCGGACTAGAAGCCAGATGGCGGGCCAACAAGGCAAAGTAATAGGATAGGCAGGATAGACCCGGACCGTGTCAAGAGTTCAGGCCACCGGAGGGAGAGGAAAGAAAGAGGGTTATATGGAGGACGGGGAGGACAATGAGGTCGGTGGGAAGGATATTCGTAACAAAGACGCACGCACGCAAACAAAGAAATCAAAGAATGCGCCGAATTCTAAAAACGGCTTCTTTTTTTCGGTGAGGCTGAGCCAATAGAGTCGGCCGTCGAAGCAAAAGGCGAGGCGAGGCGAGGCAAAAAGGGCTGCGGTCTGGAGACTTGGCTCGGGCCAGAGGCAGATGATGATGGGGAAAAGCGGAGGGAGTCTGTAGCAGAAGGAAACCTTCGGAGAGGGGCCACCTTGTGACGACTGGAGCTTTTGCTTTGCAAGAGCCGCATCGCCCGCTAGGGAACTTCCAGCGCCATGGTCTCAACTGTATTTGCTCTGAGCCTGCCGCTAGCTTGGGGGCCTCCAGGTGGTTGTTTCAGCGTTTGTCAGCGCATCACGTCGTCGTCCAGCGGGCCTGTGGCGGGGTTGGACACAGAGTCCCTCGGATCGGGGCTTTGTCGACAGAGTTGCCGACCGTGTGTCTGTCTTGCCCAAGTGTGCTAAAAATACGAATGAGGAAGCTCAGGATTGCAACAAGCTGCAGCCAAGCCAATACTTGGCCAATTCTGGACATCTAGAGAAAGACTACTGGCTTAATTTCTGTATATCAAGATTGCAAAAAAGCGCAAAAAGAGAAAAAAGATGGGGCTTCACCGGGATTCGAACCCGGGGCCTCCTGCAAAGGCGATTCTGAAGAATCGGGGACTTCAGGTGTATTTCCCGAAGCAGGAATCATACCACTAGACCATGAAGCCAGTTGTAGACTTGAACCCATCGCTGGTTGAAAGCGGGAGAGTTTAATACAATTTATATACGCAGCTCCCTTCCGTTTGATCCAGAGCCGGATTGGCTGTCTCAGTTGCCCCTTTCATCAGATGGCTAACCTGCAATCAATCAGACCGAGAAGGAAGCTCCTGTTTTGAACTTCAACAGGAACTTGGCAACTTGGCAAGCCATTAAACTATCAGACAGACACTAAAGTAGGTGGTGCACCGACTGTTTACTTTTATTTCTTAGGCATATCAAGACCTCGTATGATATGACTTTTATCCACAAGCACATTGTTTCACACCCATATTAACATCCTTGAATCATCACCATGCGTCAGCATTTTGGCCTTTCTTCTCGCCGCCCTGCTCAGTCTGACAATGTCTTTTCCGGCAAAACCCTCTCACACAAGCATTCCAGGTTATTTGGGACCGGTCTTTCGAAAACCTCAACTCAGTCACGCCCATACCCCTTAGAAACACCAAAGCCAGCCGAGACGGCGGATCTAGACTATGAAGAAGACGTGAAGCTTTGCAGCGGATCGAATCTTGCGCCTATTGGCTATGAAGAAGAAGAGATCTTTGGAGCTGATGCTACGCCTTCGAGCAATTGGGGAGCCAGGTCTCTACCGCATTGGCACGAAGCTTTCAAATTCTCCAACTCGGGGAAAGCAAGCAGTCTACGTAACCGATAGTGGAAAGATCACAGATCGCTTCCGCTTCCCCCCAGGAGTGAGGATGGCCATGGCGATGCTCGAGACTCTTCTTTCACCAGCAGCATTACAACTCTGTCACGTCCAGTAATATTGCAGAGCAGCGACCACTTCCCCAGGATGATGAACGACCTTAGGCTTGATGGGTCAGGACCGGCTCTTTTGATGTCGGATATCAGCCGCCATCTTCGGAAAACATCCTCCTCATATCCATCTCATGGTAAAGCATCGACTCGGATTCAGTCACCAGAATCAATGCTTCGTCCAAATAAGCTTAGTCTTACCGACTTGTCTCGCTTTAGCAAAGCCAATGACCGCCTTTCGAATCTCCGCTCTACTCTGTCTTCGAACGAAAGTTATGATATGACTATGGATACTACCTCCCCCGAGGTGATGGAAGAAGCTGTTACTGCCATTGCGGAGTGGCAAGGTCAGCCTCGACCAAGAGCAGCACCATATAATCAGTACGAACTGGTGGAGAGCACAGATGTGCTTCCCAGCGACTCTGCCTCGCAGCAACCGAGCCCCTCCGGAGCGCGTCATCCGATTGGTGCTCGTAGCTCATCGAAAAAAGCGAGAGGATTGATCTGGGAGAGCGTTGATACCATTAAAGATCAGTACGATGGTATCAACGAAGCGAATAATCGATTGGAGAGCCCTGCTCCTACCGTGCGATCGCCATGCACACCTTCAAATCAAGAGCCCCTTCACAAGAAGACTAAACGGAAAGCATCTGTCTTTTCTCTCCACAGCCTGGCCAACCCCCTTTCCAAGCACCCGAGATTTGGTCTACGGAAATGGGCCAGCAGCATGTACCAACAGGGGAGTCAAAGGCTCAACCAGGCCCGACTGAAGTGGATACGTCCTGCTCGACAAGATCGCCGGATGTTTGAAGCATGGAGATTGCGCCATCGGGGGACGACCCAAGAACCATCTCCTTGTAAAGAAAAAGCTAATAGGAACTATGGCATCTATTCGTCTGAGAGCAGGGTATGTGCGAATGAGGACTGGTGGATGGAAGGCGTCAAGATATTTGAGGCTCCCAAATGGATGAACTTTAGCGGCTTTTCTCGCTCTTGAGTGAGGCAATAGCTTGGGCGTGCATGTTGAGTTTCAGGCCGTCCTATAGATGAAATAGGTATTAGATTCATTCGATGAGTGTATAGGCTGTCTGTCTACATTATTTTATCCAAAAGAGAAAACCAAAAAAAAAATATATATATGCAATGTTCCCCAACTCCAAAGTCTAATCCAACACCAAGGCGCTATTATGTGCTCAACGAATAAGGTAGTTGCTTCACCAGCATTCACAGCATGTATCGGAACTTGTCTGCGTGTCTCCTTTTCTTCCCAGGAACAACCAAGCCCTCTTCCTCGACGGTAGTGCCGTCTGCTTGTCTCTCCTTTTCAGCCTTGTCCATCTTGTAGTTCTGTCGCTTCAAGTAGAAACGCAGGATGACAGCCAAGATGGCTACGGAAAGCATGGCCAGTGCGCAGGTCCACATACCGCGGGTGTAGTAGGGCGCCTCACGATCGGGATAGAGGCGGGTGCCGATGAGGGGCCCGCATTGACCGATGAGCTGCATAAGGGCGAAGCCGCCGCCCTGACGACTCTGGCTGGCCTGGTTGTTGATGTTCCAGGCGATGACGAGGGTGACGACATTGAAGAAGCCGATGGCAGCGGGATAGACTGCAAGGTAGCGGACGAAGGCGGGGATATGAAGGGGGTGGGAGAGGGCGAGGATGGCGTAACCAAATGCTGAGGAGAGGGCGTGGAAGACAATGGGAGCGGTTCGGGCGGCGAGGCGATCAGACATGTGAGCGGTGAAGAGGACGATGAAGAAGGCGAGGAGGTAAGGAGGCGCGCTGAGGGCCTGGGCAGTAAGACTGTCATGGCCCATTTCGGTGAGGATTTTCGGCAAGAAGACGGGAAGGGAGGAGTATGCCATGTTGGTGAGGAAGAACATGGCGGGAGTGATCCATGCAATGGGGTCGCGGAGCACGGAGAGGAGCTCACGAGCTTTGATACCGGATGACTTCTTATTGGCCGTGGAGGGCGAGGAGGTCTCGCGACGAAGGCGGAGGCGGGCAACTTTCTTCTCCCGCTTGGTGAGGTAGTGGGCCGTCTGGGGAGAGTCAGGAATGACGCTCCAGGCTATGACGGAGACGATGACCGAGGGGAAGCCTTCGATAAGGAAGAGGAGGCGCCAGGGCGCAATGGGGCTGAGCTGGCCAAGCTTGACGATGACCCACGCAAGAGTTGATGCGAAGCTTGTCGCAAGGGGTGCCGCTGAGATGAAAATTGCTGTACGGAAGGCCAATTCCTGCCTCTTGTAAAAGAAGCTCAGATAAAAAGGAACGCCCGTGAAGCCTGCCTCCCCGATGCCAAGCATAACCCGCAGCGTGATGAGCATCGGGTACGACACGGCGATGGCTTGCAGCGATGCCGTCACCCCCCAGGTCAGGACCAGCACAGAGACGTAGATGTGGGCCGGGATAAGCTTCCAGAGGAGGGACATCCACTCGAAGGCAATGTACGCAATATAAAAGGACGTGAGCGCCCACTCGTACCAGTTGTCGCGAGGAGGGCTGGACTGGAGATCCTCGTCCATGCCGGCGATGCGCGCGTTGCCGATATCTGGAGAGATGGAGTGTTAGCCAAATACAGATTTCCCAATAGAAGATGATTCATTGTATCAGTGGAATGCGACATACTGGATCGGTCGAGAAAGCTCAGCATGTAGAGCAGCGCCACGAAGAGCACCAGCTTGCGGTCAAACTTGCGCCTCACAGCCTTGTCCTCGTCCGGCGTGTATAGCAGGAAGCTTTCCACGGAGCTGACGCTCAGACCACGGCTTCTTCCCCTGCCTCCCGCTGTCGATGGTCCGGCGTCGACATAGTCGCCCTCCATGAGGCGCTCGCTGCTATGGCCACCTCCGATCTTGTATTGGTCCTGTCGCCTTTTCCCACTGCTCACCATCTCATACGTCTCCGAGCCACCACCGACCTGGGACCGCAAATCGTCGTCATCGTCTTCATCGTATACGTCGCTGTCTAGGTGGAATTCCTCCCCCGTCTGGGCAAATGACGGGGACTCAGCGCGGGGGATATGGTAGGCCATTGGCAGGCAATCTGGACGATAAGAGACGGCTTATTCTCTGTGCGCGGCGGCGTGATTGGCGGTCGAGGATGGTCGCCATGCGGTTGCAATTCGCCTCCAAAACAAGCACAGACTGGCTTCTCCCTCTCAGTGCTCCGTATTCTCTCCCAGAGCGGGAATGAATTGGCGGCCCAGGGGGTGCTGGGGAGGAAGATTAAGAAGCTGTTCTCTATAAAATTGTCCCCTGCCAGCTTGCGCGATAGCTACAGTGCAACTCCTATCCCTAGCTACACGTGACAGGGGACGACGTCATATGCTGACTTTGGCGACTTATACGATATTTAGTAAATGCAACAGGCTTTTTGCCAACAAGATTCCACGATGCTGCTTTGTGTTTATTTAATTTTTGCTTTCTTTCACTATCCCCTTTTATTTATCTCTTGTGTATTTTTCAACGACCCTCGTGCAGTACTGTATTGTATCGTATTGTTGTGCATTAGTAACTGCATGCTAATATGCTGTCGCACCTCACTGAGATGCGCCTTGTGTTTCACCAATGGCCTTTGAGCTCTCACAGAATAACGAACAATATCGTGACTTCATGGATTGCATCAATTTTTAAATTAACCTGGGCTCATCCATTACAATGTCCTTGTGCTAATAGTTACACGCGCCAATCCACCTATGCGATATCATACATATAATAATGTCTGTCGAATCCTCTAAGCTTTCTCCCAAGCCCAATTCCAAGCTCCCTTCCATGTCGCGCCTTATTACACCCAATCAGATCCATTAGCAATTGTGATAAGATTGATACAACTTATCCATTACTCAGAAGCCTCCTTTTTGCTAAACAACCGTCGCAGACCTGCCCTCGAGATCTTGCGCCGCAGAGAGTGTTGCTGGTCAACGGGCCGGCCGGCGGCATTCTGGCTGTTCGTGCTTCGCGGTCGTGAAGAACCGGCTGTTTGCTGTTCACGCTTTGGCTCGCTTTCCTCCTCGCCTACCCTTAATTCCTCTATTTCTCTCATTTCACTCTCAAAGCTCTCTTCATCGTCGTCCTGAGGCACGCAACGCTCCTCGTCTCCATTGACGACGACGTACCACTCGATAGGCGCCCCCTGTTGCAGCTCATCACGAAGCCTTTCTAGCCAGTTACCTTCATTCCTCTCCTTGACGAGAGCCTCATATCTGGCCATCTCCTCCAAGACGTTGACGCTTAAATCTATGCGAATGACGTGGTCTGCGACATAGGCAAACGGTCGCGCCGAGATTGATGTTTCCTCCGGGTCGTACTCCTCCAGCAGCTTCACAGGAGAAGATTGGTTGACTAGGACACTGTCCTCAGAGTCGGGAACACGTGATGGCGGCACGGTTAGATTGTCATCCTGATGCGCAATCTTCTTCTCCTCTTGTTTTGCCTGCCCCTGCTGGTTCTCCAATTTCTGCTCAGGCTGCTGCGGTGGTACGCGCTGAGGCAAGTAGTCAAATTTGGTGCCAAGGCGTTCGAGGATGACCGCTGAGGTGGCGCGTCCAGTGATCCAGTCCGGCGCGGCATCATCTAGATCCTCCAGGATAACGAAAATGCGGATCAGTCTACGCGTCCACCGAAAACCGTGACACAAGTAGGTTGGCATGATGGGGGTGAGCGATGATGCTCTGTGTTGTGGAATGAGAGGGAAAGTCGAGAGAAATTCGAGAGACAAAAAGACAGAGAAAAAGCCAAAATAAGCTGTCAAGGGTTGAAATTCATCAGAATCTCACATGTCCCATCTGAATCGCGCGCATTGTTTGAAGCACAGAGAGAGCGCGTGTTAATAGGGCAACGCATGCCTCTAGGGTCAGGAGCCACTAGAAAACGAAGGCAACCGTCTCTATCTTCCTAGGTTGCCGTCTTTTTTCTTTTCTCCTAGTCCTTTTTTGTCTCTGGCAATCTGCGAGGACTCTCTCTCGCCCTCTGCGAGTGAAAGGCCCAGAACAGCAACAGAGGAGGGTGAGGCCTCTCTGGAAGTTGCAGCTGGGAGGATCGAGGCTCAGGAAGGTCGAAGGAGCGGCACACCAATCGCCCGACTTGTGGCACGTGTCTGCAGTCTGTTTATTGATGCGACGGAGTGCCTTTAGGTGGGCTGGTGGAACATTAATGGCTTGACATGGAGGTTGAGGCGGAGAATATTGCTTAGGTTGCAATTAAATCAAATGACAGGCTTGATTGCGCAGGGTTGACGGTTGACAGGTATGTGGATTTGAAGAGATGAGATTCGGCGCCAAAGAGAGACTCAGCAGCATCGAGTTTTCACAATGCTGTTGGTAGAGGGTAGAAGCTCTAGGTACGAACAAGCACAAACTCGATCAGCCTCACTTGTCTTCTGCTTGCTAGTCTAGTGTGTAATTTGACGGGATGACAGCACCAGCATCCCTGCTAATTTAGTACCTGTATGGAGTACATGTAGTCTGCATGACATGGAGCTTCAATGTCTCAGATACTTGCCTAGCGCCTGATACGCCCCGCGTCCTTGCGCGAAGCAGATGGTAAATTACTGGGTCGTACTAAGTTGGGGAATATCCCAGCCGTTAATATCGAGGTATTGATGACAACAGCTGAGCTCTGGGGGCGCTGCTTCAAGCTCGGAACGAGAAGGGAATACCGTGCTGTCTCTCTGTCAACCTGCCACGCCGAATATTGCACAGATCCACCACCAGTCTATCTCGTATCGGCAATTTCTCTAATATTTTCCCCTTAGGAAAGCAAGTACCTAGTAGTACTGTAGCTGTTTAGCAGGTACCTGGTACGAGAGTTCGGATGGCTTGACATTGTACCTAAAACTTTCATCACAATTGCCGAACGTGGCGGATGTCACTCACGCGTGGGCTGATGTATAATTTCGGCCAAACGGGGGTGTGATAGAAACTCTATGGGGACGTTAATAACTGCTCGTCTTCTCCTACTCCCATTTACCTAGTTATATGCTTCAAAATGCCAGAGTGATGCTACGATACTGAAGTCCATAGGTAGCATTGAAAAGGCCCATTATTTGCGCATCCTCTATAAGACACTACTGCACTTACACGCGTGAACGAAGTCCCCGCGGATACGGTTTCCATAAGCATTAATGCTGTTCCTCTTTCACCTTCTTCTAGCATTATACGGCAAGTATGACTACCACCTACGCTTCCATTTTCTCTAGCAAAGTAATTGCTACTTCCGACGTATATAACTATGGGGGTAGCACGGTAGGGTGGTGAGATTGGTTATAAAAAGGCAATAGCCGAGCATTATATTAGAGAGTGACGAATACCACCCCACGTTGGCTATTCAACATCCCGGTCTCAAATTCAAAGCAGGCTGGGTAGTACTAATAGCAGAATATATAGGAAGTAGCAGAAATAGCGGGAGTAGCAGAAAATAGCGGGAGTAGCAGAATATAGTGAGAATAGTCCATACATTAGGAAATGTATATTTGTTCTAGTAATGGTAATAAAAGATCTTCATCCTGCGTTATTATGACATTCGGAACTCCTAGTCGCTGGAGTGCTGAATGCTGAATAGCCCTTCCCTTATATTATAATAACTGATGCAGTTTGAAGATTTGAAACCAATGGATTGTCCTGCATTCTATTTTGTTGGAAAGTTCGCTGGTCGAGCTTTTTTTATCGCAGCCCTGATGTCGTGTTCATCAACAGGAAATCGTATAACACCTTCCGGCATGTCAATACAGGAGTGGCCATTGTCAATATACCAAGTCAGTTGTTCTTTAAAGCTTCGCCGGAGTAAAACCCTATAAAGAGACACAGCGTGAGAGCCTTTGAGCAGGTTGCAATAGAATTCCCTATGCCTTCGTATTATAGCCTCAGCGGCCTGTCGAACCTCCTCTTTCTCATCATCGAGCTGCGCCACAACAGCTTGGAGGATCTCATCAGGCAAAACTAGTTGCTTGCTCAAGACCTGTCCAGCCGCTCGTTGGACGAGCTGATGATCATCTTGGAAATATGCTGTTAGAACCTTCAGAATCTCAACTGGCAAGGACGATTGCAGATCCAATTCTGAGATAATATCGTATCGGTTGGCTACATGCTGATCCTTAAGCTGTGTTATATATTTAAGAATCTCAGCAGGCAAAGTCGGCTGGTTGCATATGGTTACAAAAGCTGACTTTTTGACTTTATTATCCTCATCCTCCAACCGTAGTATTATATTCTGAAGGATTTCGTTAGATAAGGGCGACTGCGGACGCAGAGCGTAAATAGCAGCTTCTCGGACTCTCGGATATTTATCATCTAGATGGGCTGCTATATCCTTGAGGAGGTTGTTGGGTAATGCCGGTTGCTTGCCGAGAGCCTCGAGAGCAGCCACCTGGACTTCCTCATCCTCATCCTCAAGTCGCAGTATTATATTCTGAAGAATTTCGTTAGACACGACCGATTTGTATGCTAGGGTCCTAATAGCAGCCTCCCGAACACTCGTATACTTATTCTCTAGCTGGGCTGCAATGGTCTTGAGGATGTTGTTAGGTAATGCCGATTGCTTGCCGAGAGCCCTGATAGCAGCCACTTGGATAGACTCGTTCTCATCCTTGAGCCGCGCTGCAACATCCTCAAGAATGTTGTTAGGTAAGGCGGGTTGACGGCATAGAGCCTCAATAGCAGCCATTTGGACAGATTCGTCCTCATCCTTGAGCCGCGCTGCAACATCCTCAAGAGTGTTGTTAGGTAAGGCGGGTTGGTTGCCGAGAGCCATGATAGCAGCCACTTGGACAGACTCGTTCTCATCCTTGAGCCGCGCTGCAACATCCTCAAGATTGTTGTGAGGTAACTTCGGTTGCGTGTTAAGGGCCCGGATGGCAGCTTCTCGGACAAACCAGTTTTTATCCTTAAGCAGTACTGTTAAATCCTTAGATATCTCTTCAGGGAAGACCATCCCTAGGCGTAAGCCCATAATACCAACCTTTCGTGAATCCTCGTCCTCATTCTTAAGTTGTGCCACTGCATCCTTAAGTATATTAAGAACCTCGACAGGAAAAGCCGGTAGCCTTTGTAAGATTGTAGCTGCAGCTGCTCGAACAAGATTGTTTTCATCTTTAATCCGTGTAGCTACAGCCCCAAGAGCCGTGCTAGGTAAGGCCGATTGATTGCCTAGGGTCGTAACAACAAGCTCTCGGACAAACCCGTCATGGTCCTCAAGCAGTATTACTAAGACCTTGAGGATCTTGTCAGGCAAAGACGATTGTTGGCGCAAGGCCCAGATGGCGTTATATCGGACGTCCCGGTCCTCGCACGCTATCCAGGAAGTTGCCCATTCAATAAAAATTGCTGGTATTGCGACCCGTTTGTTTATTGACCGTATAATTTTTCTTTTCATATCGTCAGACCCTGCGCGAAAGGCGGCGTCCAATGCTTGCTCAGGAACCTCTCTCTCGTTCAATAGGTAGTGATGGGGATCTGATGCGTACTTGTAATGATAATGCAATAAGTAGTGACTGATAAATGACGAGACTTCTTCGAAATTGGGATCTGCTACGAATTCGCATTCAAAGAGTAACCACTTGGACAGTTGTTGTTCCAGGCCGGTTCGAAATGGTAAGTTGCTCGATACCTCACTCAAGCAATGCATGATCAGCCGTTGATGCGTAGGACCTAAAAGGTCGAGTGGTTCCTCTTCGATTTTCTGGAAAAACTCTTCGATATTGGCGGACATTCCTTCTCTCCCAGTATCAAGTAATCCCGCAACAAAGCGCCATAGGATATCGTAGCGCGCTGTGTATTTGTGTTTCTGAAGGAACTCGATAGGCTCAATCTCCTTTCTGCGGCCGAGCTCCACACAATTGAGTGGTTCTCCAGCTAGCCATTGCCGCACAAAATACCGTGCCGCAAAGTATTCCTGGAATGTAAGGTGTATAAAGTGATAGCTTCGGTTGCGGAATTCTGCGGAAAGATTCGAGGCTCGCAGAAATGATAGACATGGGATAGTCTTGGCTGGCAAGAAACCCGGGATGGGGTCGGATATGCGGTTCAAATACTTTGTTTCAAACTCAATTACATCATTGTATAGTCCAGTAAAGGCAAGGCTCTCAAGGAAGGAGATCTCATCCTTAACGAATTCTTCAATCTTTTGGCGACTGGCATCTTGAATATGATCCAGTGTTACCGGATTCTGGCCATGCGTTTTCTTGAGTCGCAACATATCCTTCCTCCACAAGCTAAGCTCTATAGCTTGGTAAAGGGCAGTCATCGTCTCCGGCATATCGCTGTCAATATCTTCCCAGGAATAACAAAGCGCATCAAGCTGGATTGGGATGCGTACAAGGCCCTGGATCAGCCAATGATTTTGAACGAAGGACTGAACTTTGTCGACTGTTTCCTCATCAATTTGGGCTGTTTTCGGGTCGGTAAAGACTATTTTGATATAGTCCTTCACCTGAGCTGGGTAGAATCCGATCGTTTCCAATTCGAGATCCAGGTCAGATGGCAGCTTGCCGGATGGCCGAGAAGTGACTATGATGTTGGGCTGTTTTAAAAGCTCGTTGAGGAAGTTAGACATACTGCCTTCACTCAGATCCTGGGATACCTCATCTAGTCCATCAAGGAGAAATAGGGTCCTGCTACTGGTAGTCTCCAACTCCAATGCCTGGGCCAATTCTCTCGCAAAGTCAGGCTTATTATTCGGCAGAGAAAAATATTCATGAGTGAAGAGCTGTTCAAAGTTGTATCCTGCTTGTTGTCGTCTTTCTTCCAGCTTTAGGTTTCGCAGAGGCACCCAAAGGACGCGGTCAAATAAATTGTTCCATTCGCTCCATGTACCTTGAATGAACTCATGGACAATCTTTTTGCATAATGTGGTCTTGCCAACTCCCGCGCGTCCTCGAATCAAGATTCTTCTTGGTTGTATTGTGCTACCGTTGGGCCCTTCGCGTTGATTAAAGATTGCCGCTAATTCGACCTGCATTGAGTCGTCCGGTGTCTCAAGCTTCTGTCGATGAAAGAGGGAAAACGGAGAGGGCGTTTCGTCTTTTAGCTTTGGTTTGGCTTTGTCTTGGGCAAGCTGTTCCACAATGGCAAGATTGATGTAGCACTGATCCATGGGTAATAGGTCGCCCGAGAGTCGTTCAATCTTGAGGTTGTCTGCAGTATAGTGCTTGTTTCGTATCCAAGCATCTGCGTCGTCAAGCAAGGAATTTGTACGAATATCCTGGAGAATTTCTTCGATTTTTCCAACAACACAGATGTAACCCGGGTCTTCAGGACCTTGAAATTTATTCATCATTATGTGAGATCGATCGAGTGGCAGCGGGTTTTTGACAATGTCTAGAGTTGCTGAAGAACTATCAACTAGCTAACAGGTGTTAACCTATCATCCGCTTGCCGTGAAAATAGTATAAAAGAAAAGACAAAATAGGCGAGGGTTAACTACTTACCGGCTTTGGCTGACAAACTAGGTCAAGTAGGGAGGACGGAAGCCACGAGCTCAGCGGGACTTTACGATGAAGGATCGTCATGCCCAACTCATAGAATGTGTGCACTTGGCAAGGATACGTTTCGTCTTGACACAGCTGAGTAAATTTGCGCACAAGTTCTTCGAGATGGAGAGTCGATCCCTTTACTGTGCCGAGAAGGGTGTTAACTTTTCGGCGTCGGATTAAAGCCCAGGCCCTCAGCCCAGGTTCAGCCCAACTTGCTACGTCTTGGAACGAAGTGCCCCGGAAGGGCGTAGCAAGGAAGACAATCCCGCGTGTTGATTGTCTAATAGCAGTGTATTCATTTGGCGGATGGCTAGCAATCAAGAGAGCCTTCATCAAAATAATGCCCCCAAGACATGATGCAATAAAGACAATCGGGCGGTCTTTCTTCTTCGCATGTCTAGTGTTTGGCATAGGACGTCGTTTGATACCAGCAAGCAAGAGCCGGGCAAACACCTTGGCTGTCTTCTGGATCAAATCTGGCTGTTCATAGAGGTCGGCTGGCCAGTCACACATAAAGATCCGGGCAGAGCCTACTCTTTCCGGAAGCATATGCGGACATGCCAGCCAGTTAACGTTCTCATCGGGAGACTTGGACTTCCACACCCACGTGTCGGGAGATTTCGTGTCCAAGCCATGGATTGCAATGATGTCGATGTCTGTCTCGGTATCGGCGCCCGGGGGAGGGTGGATCTGGGTGAGATTAACACCCCTCTGTCGCGCCATCTCTAGACCGGCTTAATGTGCGATGCGCTTTTAGTTTCTGGAGGAACCCAAACACTAGCACTTCGTACAATTTGAACAAGAGAGGAAACTCAGAGCAATATAGGAAGGGGAAATGGTTCACAAATGAAGGTAGCTTTGACAACACACAGGCAAACATGAACTTGAGACGCTGGGCATAGTTGGGCGGGAAGACGGCGAATCAGGAATGCGAGTATTTATCATCACAATATTGTACGGCATCGTGAACAGTGTTACATGACAGCATGATGCCCAATAGCATTGCAGTTGGGATGCGGCACGGCGCTTCCGTGTCATAGGCGCTGTACCAATCCTTCTGCCGGGTCTCTGACCAGTGATGTTGCTTATAGCCTGTCATCCTGTCGATTATGGGGCTTGGCGAACGGCAGGCTCCCGTCGTTAGCACTGCCATGAGAGTACATATAGGTAGCTTGATACATGGGTATGTTGTAGTTAATCCATCAACTGATACTGAACATCACTATACAACACCAATCAGTGTGTTGTCACGATAGTTTCGTACCTCACTTACAGTATGTCAGTAATGTTATATCCTTTATGCTGCTTTTACAGTACTGAATTTTCTGCAACCGGTATGCAGTCGCACATTTCTCGATACCCAAACTGCTTAACCTCTCTAGTACATGAAACGTTACCGCTAAAATAATCCTGGGTTTCACCACTGTATTTCAACTTTTCACCAGTTACACGATTCTAGGCGGAACTTTTCAACTCCAATCAATTGTCAATTTGCTATTTATATCTCTACCCCCCTTTTGCTTATCATGCTATATCCTGCAAATGCCCGTCATGCGTCAAGTTGAGATTGATCTTTGCTATTGGTCCCAAAAACATACCCAAAACATCCTTTCCGTTATGCAAAAATGCGACTATCAATGCTCATGTTTCGTTTATACATTTATGCAATGTTGGTATATGGGAAAAAGAAAAGAAACAGAAAAGTAAAAATGCAACAACAGTGTCATTCTTTCGTTGCCTTCGTATACCGAGGCCCGGACTCTCTTGGTCACGCCCTCTACAAACTCACGCCTCCGTCATGCTCGATTCCTTCCATGGATCCCAATCCAAAGTCGAAATCCATGTCTTTGAGCATATCACCAAGCTCTGCATCCGAAATGTTAATGTCCATGTTCGTTGGCACGGCGGATGGGAAGTTGTTCGCGCTGTCAGGCTCTTGCCTGATGGGTTCTCCGGATGCCAATTCGGGAAGCCTGGTGAGCAACCAGGTCTTGAATTTTCCCAAAAGTATAGGATCATCAGCGGCGGTGTGATCAGTCTTGAGAATATCCTTTGCCTTGGCTTTTAATCCTGTGTCCGAGGGCAAAACTCCCTTATCCATAAAGTATGCCTTGGCGTATTGCTGCAAGCCCCATTCCAGCTCGCGAGAGCAGAAAATCACGGCCGGTTTCTGGTTTGGAGATGATGTCAACTCCTCCAAGTAGCTGTTGACTGCTGAATGTCCTGCCGTAATAGACTTGGCACCGGTTCGCATCTCTACTTCGACATCGTTAATGACCAGTTCGTGGTCCTTGCGAATGGCATATGGTGGTGCAAAGCCCGTTCCACCTTGTTCCAGCGCCCACGCATAGCCAGGTGGGAGACCCGGGCCGGAGTCGTTGATTATTCCAATGTCTCTTTTAAACCTGTGAAGCCATTCTGCGTTATCGGCGGCGGTGTAGTTCCAAGGATCGTCACTAAAAACTTCGTCAGCGTGGCTTATCTAGAGGGTGTGCATTAGAACTTACTCATCATACAAGATCCATCGAGCTTGGTACTGCAGCTCTTCATCTGTTGGCACATGGCGATTGGGATTATTCTTGGACATGGTAGAGGTAACCCATCTCTTGAGTTCCTTCTCTAGCCTCCTGTAGCAGTTGGCATCGTTAAGGAAGTACTGGAACGACCTCAAATGATTGCCGTTCTCATCAAGCCTAGACTGGAATTCAGAAAAGGGGTTTGGCGCAGCAGTAGAGAGAGAAATCGAGATTTTCTCAGATGGTTTGCTGGTTATCCCAGTGGCGCCCTTAAAGGAACTTGATAGAGTCGTTTGACCAGGAGCATTGCGCTGCCTAAAAGCTGCAAGCCATTCATGATTATCCGCCACAGTTTGGTTCCAGCCGTCATCGAATTCGTAAATGGTAATACGAGCCTTTCGTTGCAGTTCTTCGTCTGTAGGCTCTCTACCCATAGAGCGCTGCTCCTTGAGGAACGCAACCAGCTCAGACTCCAGCCTGGAGTAGTTGTGGATGGTGGAGTCGATCGAGTTTGGATCTGTCGACCGGATCGACTTATGCTGGACATCTTCGCTTCGGGGCAGATGCGCACGCCGACGGAACGGTGCGAGCCATCTCGTCGATGCCGTGATCAGTCGCAACAACCAGTTAGCAACCGCCTCCGAGGGATGAGTGCACACTTCTTCGACTCGTCCCACAATCTTACGCGCTTCCTCCTGAAGCTCGTCATCCATTGTCGTGAGGCCCAGCAATTGCTTGGCCTTGACGTATTCGTGGAGCTGCCTCTCCATGGGGCACTCCTCGAAAAGGTTGTCCTTGCCGTTAATCTTGAGGGTTTGAAGCCTGTTTTCAGCCGCGCCACGGAGAGGACCAAACCTAGCTGTCTTGACAATCGTCTCGTGGCTCATGATGATGTCACGAAGCCATGAGACCTGCGTCGCGATTCCTTGCAAAGATAACAACTCGGAGGCGAAAATGATACGACATCCTTCCAGCAGCATGTCTTCGTCGCTTGGTGACCGGCCGTGTTGATCCCAAAAGTTGCTGCCGAAATAGGCCAGCTCTAGTTTGATCAACTCATAGGCATTCCTTGGCGATTCGGGCGGAGATGCGCCAGCATTGTACGGCAGAGGAGATTGTCGTTCATGATGAATCAAATCTATATTTCAAAAGTTAGACGCCTTGATCTGATCTATGGGATACTGTAATGGTCTCATACAGGGAGGGATCGAGTTCTCGACCATGTCCAACACAGGTACTTCAAAACCCCAGTCACCCTTCCAGTCCGCCATGGAGTAACCAGTCTTGAAATGCTCCGCAAGGTGGTCAACTCGAATAGTCCAAGTATCCATCACAATGCCGCAGAAACCGCACCTCGACCGAATCTCGGGAGTTGCCACTCTCCAAAGTTTCATTGCCCAGTCCATGAATTTGACGTTGTGAACCAACCGAAGGTGCTGGTTCAAGTGGTCCTTTCGATAGAACGTCCTCTCTTCCAGAGACCGCTCCTGACAGGCCGAGTGGTTGTGAGTCTCCACGTGGGCATCGTCTGGGTTCACCTCGCCACAGAATACGCAGCACATCTGCCCGTTGTCTGGGTTGACAGAGCGAGGACCATCCGGCGCACACACCCATCTCTCCAAGGACAGGTGAAGTGATTTCTCATGCCGCTGCCAGTCGTGCTTGGTTCGGAAGGTTTCCGTACAGAAAGTACACTGGAAAGTCTTCAGCGGGACAGAGAGGCTAGTTGAGCCTCCCTCCTTGCCAGGCGCCGCCCTTCGCCTCCTTCGCCGTCTTCCCTTTGTGCTAAAGGCCGCCGAGCCGAAGGAGCCCCATGACTTTTGCGAGCCATGAGAGAAGGCAGATCGAAGAGAACCACCACTGGAGTGGGATGTTCCCACACTGCTAGCAGAGGACTGATTGCAGAGTGACCTGCTTGATCCGTCGTCTGTATAATTGAAACTATAAGGACTGTTGAGACCGGAAGATACTGCAGATGACGACGATGCAGTAACGGCCCTGGCAATGGCGGTTACGGAAGCCGGTTCGTGTTCAGGAGGAGAGTGCTCCCAACGCTGAAGCGGGTTCATGGACTCGAGAGCAGGTGTTCCTCGTCTGCGTGGGATATCGATCGAGGCAGACAGATTACCAACATGGGGAGAGGTTGACCTCGGAGGCTGAGCCTTACCGCGGCGCCGGGCATTTGCCAACCAATTGGTTATCTGGGTTTTGTTGAGGCCAGTCTGGCGCTGAAGCATCTCTTTTTCCTCGTCGCTGGGATAGGGGTGTCTGTTATGAGTTGATAACCATGTTTTCAGAATCCGGACTGACTCTCGAGAGAACCTGGCACCAATCTTGGGCGGGGTTCCGGCCTTGGCACTGGCAATGCCATCATCAACTGAACCGGTTGTCTGCAGGTTCATCATGTCCAAGAAGGATGGGTTACCGAGAGGCTTCACTGGCTGGATGTTGATGAGGTCTTCCTGAGAAATGGAGTTGATGGGCATATCAGTGGAAGACCAGGAGAGTCTGGTAGACTCGGGGTTCAAACTATCAGGGATGACTCCCCCAAAGCTGCATTCGAGCCCCAAGGCAACACAGCTAGTACAGTAGCCCTTGTGAAGACCTTCTCTGATTTTTTTGCAAGAGTATCCGCCCAGGACGCAGTGAGCACAGGGATTCTCCGGTGTCTCCCAGAGCAATGACTCGGTGATGTCTAAGGGAACGGACTCGACTCCCGGGATCTGGGAGAAGTTGTTGTGTTCAAAGTGCTGAAGAGCACAGAAGCTGAAGTCATCCTCATTGACATTCTCGAGCACAAGACCAATGTCATCCTCGGCAGGGTTTCCGGTGGACGACATGTTAGGTACAGGTGGGTAGACGCTGTCAGCGGCTAGCCCAGCATTGTCCCAGTTGACATACTCGTCCAGCTCATCAATGGAGGTCATCTTGGTCGTTTATGTGAAAGGGCGCGCCGTGCTATCGTCTTGAGCAAGCGGAAAGGCGTGCTCACTTCATCCAACCAGAAGCCACAGAATGAATGACTTGGAAAGGGCGCGCGGCAGGGTCTTAACAAGACAAGATGAGTCGACCCCAGATGGCGTCCCACCTTCGGATCCGATCCCAATGAGAGAAAAACTCCGTCCTTGGCCACTAATGATCTGAGCCAAGAACAATTGAACGTTGTGGGATTGGAAATAAAGATTCAAACGTGATTTCAGTATTGACCTGTTGAAGAAAACCGCAGTTGGGATTGCAATAACAGGAGAAATGTGGCTCGAGACAAGGCGGACCGTTGCCAGTTTTGTTCATCCGCGCCTGTCCAAAAGGCGGTTCTGCCTACCCACGCGATCCCCAGCAGGGTCTCGCCGTAACGAGGACAGACAGCCCCATCTCCACGGCTTTGTGGCTCCCACAAGCGGTGCGGCATGGCGCTGGAGCCAGTGGGAGCAGAGTCATGAGTCTGGGCTGGTGGAGCAAGCCTCAGCCGGAGCCGGGGCATGCAAGGCAGGGATTGGCGGCGTTACGGTCGACATGAACTTGTCAATTCTGCGCCCTTCGTTTGACAAACAAGCAACCCATCCAACCGTGTGTCGCGGTACTGTGTGGGGGTCATGGAGAAGAGGCGAAACTGTAAGATACTACCTGTATGTACGGAGAAGACATGCCTCTTGGATCTTTTGCACACAGTACAGACACTATCTCGACGGTCGATGCGCAAATCGTTCCCCACGCTGATACATAAACATATAGCCCGATGACGGCCTCACTGGCTCGACCCCCTACCCTTCCGTCGTGGCCTGCCTCGATTACTCGCCAGATGGGTGTGAATCAATACGACGCCGTTGCGCCATGCGGAGTGCGGAGAAGGTAGGAGATCACGGATCTCTGATTACGGACCAGACGGAGTAATCATCGCTCTAGTACTCTATTGAGCACTAAAATTTGTTCCGTGTTATGGACACCGGCCTTGGGATTCTTCTTTGTTCCCCGACATGCCACTGTCCCACCCAGCCGATTCCTTGATTGCTGACTCCGCCAATTCTCGAGCTTCGCCGTGGCGGTGCGAGAGGTGCGGTGTGCTTTTAAAGTGAGGTGGTATTCAAGGTGCACTGCTCCTTGCTCTGTCTGAAATTATGAGTGATTCAGGCAGAATGCTCAGGGAATATACCTGGGAATATACCTGGAATAGCATGACATGACGAGAATGGGCAATCTGCTGCTGACAAACCTGTGGTCGTATGGTGATACGAGCCATGTGTATGTACGAGTATGTAGCATCATCTCTCAGACAGACTGACGCCGCCATTTAGATCTACTAGTCCGTCGAGAATTGCCCGATCTCCTCCAGGCAATTCCTGCAATGGACTGCTTCGTACTCGTAAGTGGCATGACAAACGCTTTGCATCCGATTATCAGAGCCGCCGGCGACACTAGAGCCCATAAGGCAGATGACTAGTATCTTGGGCGCCAAAGATATCGAAGCAACTAGGCCGCCACTACGCCGTAGTTGCTAAGGCATATGAAGATGGAGCGATGCCGAGTGGATTCACCTTGAAGCACGAGGACATAGTATAACAATAACGTTATACCTCCGAAACTAGCTCGTCCCATCGTCGTCGCCTGGCCCCGCGCGGACAATCCTGATGCCTGGCAGCTGGCGAAGGCTCTAGAAACTTCGGCAATAGCGTCCTTGTGATGGATGGTGTTGGCCGGTGGCTTCTGGCTTTGTGGACTAACCGCGAACGTGGTGCTGACACCGAGCAAACTCGAATCGGCGGCGTCAAACGGCACGTGGTGGGGCGGACGCTGGGCCGCATTCCACTTTGAGGACGGACAAAGTACGAGTAGTTCGCGGTGAGGCTTGATCAACATATAGCGAAGCTCTAAGTCGCCAGCAGCTCCGAGTCAGGAGGCCGTTGTTGTTCACCCCCATGGCGGTCAGTCTTGTCGCAGGCATCGTGGGGTTTGACGCCATTGGGGCCCTTTGGTTTGGGTGACTCAGGAAGAAGGTGTTGATTCTACTACGTTCCATTGGCTATCGTTTCAGATTCATCTCGGAAATGAGATGACCCATATCGTTTCTTGACAAGCCTGACGGTGAAGCATTGACGAGTATCTAGCTAATTGCCGATATTTACTTGCCTGGAGGTTGGAAGCCGTCCGATTTGTCACGTTTCGAATCACAACCTCGCTTGAACAAGGAGAGATGAAGACAAAGCCGGGATGGAATCATACATGGGACGATTCTACGTTGGTAGCACATGGCCTTGGAAAAGAAGCGTGACAAACAAACAGAATCTACTCGCACCTGTTTGAATTTCGTCTATATAGACATTCATAGGTAAGATGAGGATTTCGGATGCCAACATGAGACGACGGACTTGACGACGTGGTACTGTCTTTCCGAGAGACGATGGTTTTTGATATTATACAGCATTCCTGGCTGTAAAAATGATTCTACTCACAGGTGATGTTTTCATAATATTATCAGTGTAAGCTGGCATAGTGCAGTACACTACAGTTGCAACAGCTAGCCGCATTGAGCCGCTTGATTTGAATTTATCGAATATGTTTCGCAGAATTCCGGGGTTCTACAGTGGCATTGTTTATTTTGATAAATTTCAGTCTAAACTCAAGGCAAGTGAAGAAATATTGCGTGTCACTTCTATTCGACATGTACGGTTTTATCGATATTATCAAGTTGGCAAGAGAGAAAATGAGGAAAAGCCTGTGACACTTTTGATTGCGAGTAAAATCTCACACTCTTTTTATCATTACGCCTGACTAGGATTTATACTCAAACGCCTCTCTTTTGATCAAAGAATTGATGGTTTCGAGGCATTCGTGGACAGATGATAAATATGATGAGATTTATTCCATAATCTCTGAGTATTTTACTGCACCATTCCGCTCTAATATGCATGTGGTAGCCACCAATCAGGCCGAGTCAATTCACTCTTCTTCTTAAAGCCATATTTCCAAGGCTTTGCGACTCTTGCATCGTTGGTGGATTCTGAAGGGCTGCAGGATAATTTTTAACTTCCAAGAGCCTCTCTTATAGCACCGAGAGTGTTTGCCATTGCAACTCCTGGTAATACTCATCCGTTGTTCTGCTTGATGAACATCAACTGCTCCAAGATGCGGAGTTATGCGTTCTCCAGTTGCAGAATCTGTTCATTTAATACATTGCCCGCATTCTTGAATGCGGAACACAGTTTCTTGATTTCTCTGTTGTATCTAGCTCGCATATTTAGCCGCTAATCTACATCTCTAGGTAGCATAAGCCTTGCTTTACACAGTTGTCCACCGTTACAATTATGAATGGCAAGGGCGAGCTCGGCACTCATGGTAGCTGGCAAGGTTGGCGAAGAAAAACAAAGTCGGTGCAGCTGCCGACCTATAGGATCAGGAAGAAGAAAACCTGTCTCCTTGTGTAGCGTATCCTTCCGGTGTGGCGTGCAGTCAACTGACGGTGAATCGAAACTCGCAGACACAATGAGAGAAGCCACAGCGGTTGGGTCACATTGAAGGCGAATCAGAGACCTTATCTGTCCTGCAGGTTGGATCGGGCTGGCACTTTAAGGCAAAAATTTCTTCTGACATTGGGGATAGGATTCAGTCGGTGACGGAAGATAGTTTCAGCCATGCAGCTTCGGAAGAGACCCCGCTCAGGTGTAACTCGACATCTTCCGAAAGCTGGGGTTGGGGGAAAAAAAAGGGGGGGGGGCGGATCTGTGAGAAATGCGAGAGCCTGGTTTGTAGGTGAAGGTATTCAGCTTGTCTGTAGGGATCCAAGAATTGCGACTATGAAGTGCAACTCTCTCCGCTGTGTGTGATCTTCTGTGTGAGAGTGAGCTCGGGCTACATAGGTACTCAGATCGTCTACCCACGATTACACTACGGAATACAATTGCTATCAAACTAAACATCATGGACCCTGTAAAATCTTTATACATGGAGGCAACTCGCGACAGAACCGCTGATGGCCAACAGAGGACAACACACCCAGCAAACTCACCGTCATCAATGCAAGGGGTATGGATCCGCGAGAAGAGGAATCTCGGTAAGAGTGATTTAGGGAATGTATGACTTGAACGTCACGAGGATTGCTCGAGGACCCTTTCCACTCGAGCAGTGAAGCGGATCAAGAAGAAGGACCTGCCAAGCGCACCTGAGCGTGAGATGCAAGCCATGGCCAAGTTCTCACGAGAGCCCGTATTATCCATAGTCCGTACCTTTCAGAAAACCGCGATGATGACCCCAGCAATTTATTACGTGCTACGGCTGGTAAGAGGACAAGAACTCGCTCTCCATAGCAATGGAGTTATGCGAACGCGGAAACTTGGGTCAATATATTAAGGATCAGGATGCCCTGCCGGAGACTACGGCGCAGAGCATTACACAGCAGGTATTAGATAGCTTGGCCTCTATGCATGGAAGAACACACGCACATCATGACTTGAAGCCAGAGGTACTCACCTTCTAAGCCCCATGCCAAAGGGTTCCAGGCCTAACCGGGGTGCCTAGAACATTCTCATTGCAAGACTCAATCCACTAACAGTCAAGATCACTGATTTCGGGTTCACCAAACAAACCAAGGGCCAGCCTGGATACTCTATACTATTGGGTACAATGGAATTCTTCCCTCCAGAGATCATACTCGCATCTGAGATTGAGCAGGGAAAAGTGGACGTTCGTCCTTTTCCCGTCGATATGTGGTGCTTCGTGGAAACCGTTGCTCGAATGCTTACCTCACGCCTTACTTCATCACTGAGAGTTCGTTTCAGAAGTACTGCATAGACAGAGTATTCCCGACTGCTGCATTTGAAATAGCAAAGATCTCAGACGAAGCCATTGACTTCATTGCCTCCTTGACGAAAGCACAATCCTCTAGCAGGATGACAACGGTGGCAGCAAAGGCGCATAAGTGGACGAGGAGCAGTATATCGGAAAGACGGCCATCTTCAACCGCTACCAGCATAAATGTACCCCCAGCAGCCCAGCCTGTGGCTAGAAGCTCAGTTGTTACTCGCAATTCACAGTCACAGTCACGGTTGCAGCTGCAGTCCCACATACTTCAATGGGGAAGCTGAGTGAAAAGCATATTTCGTTTGAACTACTTTTTGGGTAAAACTGGGTAAAAGAAACAAAATGGTTGGTTGAGTTATCAATCAACCAACCGGCGTGTTAGTCGTTTGACGACGCTGAGGGATCTTGGGTGTCAAAGATGATGAGAGGCATCGGCGAGCCTGAATTGTTGTCGATTTACCTTGTGAATAGGTCCTTGTCGAGTTGTAAGCGGGGAAGAAAAAGGAGAGAAATGAAGAGGCAAGCAATTACAGTAACGGAGTCACTTCTTTGTATGTATCTGATATATAGAAACAAAAATTGCGTCATACTACTAAGCTTACAGGTGCTCAATACACAAGGTAGAAGCTCATGATATGACGCTCAAGTAGACAGACGTAGACCCAGGACGGCCCGTACAGGGATCAATCAAGCCACAAACACCGGCCCATGCCTCGCGAGAGGTGAATTACCCTCTCTTTCAATTCAGGCAGGCGTACCTGCAAATCTTCCTTCTAGATACGCCGTCCGTCCATCCAAGACGCTATAAGTCAGTTCCTTTTCCGATGCGCCACAATGGATAGCTGTATTTTGAGAAGAAAATAACAAGAAAAAAAAATTGAACAAGAAGAAAAAGGTCATTGACCAAGTAGCAGGAGCTCATTGGCCATTGGCAATCATGCCGTCACCGCCTCCTATCATTCACTCCCCTAGTTCCATAAGTTCTCGTTCTTTTGCAGCGAGCATCTCTCGCATTCGCTCAGCCTCTTGCTTCAGTAGCATTCTACGTTCTGCCTTGATTCGCTCGCTATCTGCATCGTTATCTAGAGATCTAGATGTCGCGTTCAGCGGCGTAAATCCACCACCGCCTGATAGCCTCGGCGATATGCTAGCAGGAGACCTTAGAGGCGGCAACGAATATTCTCCCCGATCCGCACTGGTAGGCGCGGGATTTAATGGCTGATCGGCACTTGTTGATGGATTGAGGATAGATTTGATGGAGGAAATTCGCTTCGCACTTTCGTGACTATCTGCGCCTTTGACAGAGTCTGTCTCCGTTGATGAGAACGATCGTTTTCGGGTGGGTGAGAGGAAGGAGGCAGGCGATAGGGAGGACTGTCTGTCGTCAGCTATTGCTGAGTTCATCGAGGCCAGTGGCGCCAGTTTATTCTCGTCATTCATCGACGGTGGCATGCTGCGTGAGGCCGTACTATGTTGGTGATAGACTGCCAAATCAGACGCAGACGCAGATGGCAGTGGTGAAGGATTTCGACTCGAGCGCATCGCTGGTTCGGGTTCGATGGTCAGAGGGTGGCCAGGGCGATGTCGAAGACCTAAATTTACAGATCCGTCCTCGTTGATAGTTCCCCTCTCCGGAGTCCTCTCCTGGCTTTGAGTTTCGACTCCCTCCATGCCCTCATCCATATCCTCGTCGTAAATCGCGGGAATCACTCGCTTTCGTCTTTTGATGGTGGCCTTCTTCATAGTAACTGGTCTATGCACACCATGTAGTTTGTAATAAAGTCCTGAACATCACCCCAACTGGTTAAAAATCATACAAGCAGAAATGAATGCCTAGTATCAACTCACCACAAGCATTGCAGATAGTATGTCCGCTTTCATCTCTCCTCCATAAAGGGGTTATTGTAGTGGCGCAGTTCTGGCATGCTATTATGACCGTAGTATCTCGCTCTTGCGACTGGAGGGCATTGATATCGATTGGAACAGGCTCATTTTTGGTCTCAACACGGCCATGGCATCCCCCTTGCCGCTGCCCAACATTAAGCTGGGCGCTTTTAGACATGCGATTATTGTATGCAGGACATCCGTTGCATCCTTCAGCGCCGCCAGTCCCGTTACAACGGCCGCCGCCGGGGCAGGTGCCTGACTGCGTTGCATCGGCGGCCACGTAGGTTGCGCCAGCGACATTTGGTAGCAATTTCGGTGCAAGGGAAGAGCTTGGCTTCGCAGCGGACGGCTGGGCCGAACCGGTGCTAGGTACCAGGTTGGGCGGCTTTTTCAGGCTTGTAGGCCGAGCAGCATTCCGGGCCTTCAAGTATAGGCCACAGGCGTTGCAGATAGTAGCACCCTGGGGGGATCTCCTCCAAAGGGGAGTTCGGGTGGTGTTACAGTTACTGCACAAGGCGTCAGCAATGGGATTCAAAGCAAAACGGCATTCCATGGGTCACAAGAGAAGCTTACCTGCAAACCTGCCCACCTTGTTCTTGCACATTTGCTGCCAGCGTTTTTCTGGGTTTGGGTGCACTTGACGCACTCCTAGGACTGCCGGCAGTCGACGAGACGTCGTCATCGATGCCTACATTTTCTTTTTCCCTTGCACTCGGAGGAGAACTCTCCCCGGCATGCTTATGCCTCTCGCCATCGTTTTCCACCGAAGAAGCTGACTTTATGGGCCCAGGCGGCGTGGTTTCACGATTCTTGGCTGACATAGGTCGAGAGGGCAAAGCTGTCCTCGCCGAGCCAGCTTCCCGCTGAGGGCCGATGGGCGGCGTCCCCGGCTGTAATGTTTCACTCATTTCCGCGCCGAGAGTTCCTAGGAATATCGAAGCCTGCTCAGTAGATGATGCCTAATACCACGAGATATGTTGGGCGTGGTACGAGGGCTGACAAATAATAGTGGCGCAAGCACGGACTCGTCAACCGGCCTCCGAGTCTACCATTTGCAAACGGGGGATGGTCGGCCTCGAGGTGGCGAATATATCAGGGCAACGTATTCTTGGAAGCACCGATAGAGAGAGTCGCTCAAAAGGCCGAAAAGTGACGACAGGTGATGGATCAAGATATTGGCTGGTGGTGGTGACGAGCCGGCAGCCACGTTGTGCCGAATCCGAGTCGTCAGGAGACAGGTAAATTAACGTATCAAACGGTCAGGATGGGGGCCAGATGGCCGAATGAACAGGCCACACCTCGGCCGAGAGCTCGTCGACGCAGCGTAAATCGTCTGGGCTATCGATACGGAGGTCGAGGAACAGCCGCAGCTTGCAGAGGACGGAAGGGTTCGAGAGGACCAAGCAAAGCCAGCGGCGAGTCCAGGGTTGGGCAAAAGTTGGAGGAATTGGGGAGCGGGGCCTTTGGAAGCGAGACGAGATGAGAGTCAAGGCGAGTCAAGGCGAGTCAAGGCAAGGCAAAGGCGGGGACGATGCGATGCGAGGCGATGGGCGGTTCGATTCGAGATGCTTCGGGCGATGTGGTGTGATTTGTGGTTCAAGCTTTTCCTGCAGCATGTACAAAGCTGGGTACTCGACTCTGTAAAGTGGCCCCCGATCTCTGGCCGAATCTGAGCCAGATCTGGAATATAATACGGAACGAGGCTGTTGGATACGGAGACGAAATGGTCGAGGCACAATGGCTGAGCAGATGCCGCAGAGCCCGGCAATCAAGATGCCGCTGTTGACGATGAGAGAAGCACGTTGGGCTCGGCACTAGAATAAATTACGAGTCGGTACACCGACGACGTATCTGCACTGGTAGTTGATCTGGGTGGTATCGAGGCCGCAGCGTGTTGGGCTGGCGTGATTGCCGTGCTTCTAGCACCTCAGAAGCGTCACTTCAGCATGCAAAATGCCCCGAACGAAGCCCCAAGCCCACTGCAAGCCCACTGCAACCCACCGCTGGTCCGCCGCCAACCCACCGCCTACGCAAGGTGGCCAATGAGGCTGTCGTGATACGCTGTCAAGATGCCTTTGCTTACAATAGTCGCCGCCTGATTGGCCGCAGCGGCGCAAATCGGTCGTTTGCAAGGGGCAGCCACAACCTCGCGCCTGCGTCGGCCATCGGCAAGGCTAGTCCCGTTGCAGCCTGCCCAATTTGACGCGATCAGACCGATAAGATAACGCGGTACCTGGATCAACGTACCTCGTAGCTCCAGCCGTCCGGACCTGTGATCTGCAGAAATACATCTTCTGTTCTTTGACGCTGTACAGTAGAGCAAACACCGCTCTCGCCGTCCTGATTCCACGATCTACCTGGCCAATTGCGATCGCATATCTGCCAGCTCCTATTTTCCTCTTCATCTGAGGCCTGAGCTCGACTCAATCCCTCCCCAGCCGCCCGAGATGGCCTCAGACATCGGCAGCCCCAAGCGGGAGCTCACGCCCACAGCGTCCCTCTCGTCGATCCCCCAGAAGCGCGCCTTTGACGAAGGTCACAGTCCTGCTGTGCCGTCACCGTTGAACCCAGACGTCAGGCCATCTTCTGAAGCTCAGCATGCCGACGATGCATCACAGTCGGGGCGTTCCAAGCCCGTCAGGACAAAGAAGGAGACTCTCAAGAAGCGCGAGGCCAAGGGCGGCGACAGCAACCCCGCCACTCCAGATCCCAAAGCTGGACGCGAGGCTGAGCAGAGCGAGAACAGCCCGTTGCGCTACAAGCTGGCGCCGCCCAAATTATCTGACTTTGACCCCCCTCGAGGACCTGTCATGACGCTGCATCATCGGGTTGACGGGCCAGGTGGAGAGGCAATCGAGTTCATGGAAACCTCAGACCAGTAAGCAACTATGTTTTCAAAGCCCACCGACCATGCTAAACTCCAAAAACAGCGTCTTCAACAAGAAAAACTTTCGTTACACTCCCTGTATCGCCGATCCTCTCTTCCCCTCTACGTTATACTATCGACAGACCGAGCCAGAGCCTTTTGGGCCAAGAATGAGCTTCGAGGATGCCGCGACTCACGTTTTCTTCGACAAATCCGGCCGACAAGTCACCACTGACAAAGGCTTCCGTATGGCGCGGGCCAACGTAGCCGTACGCGAAGGAAGATGGTACTGGGAATGCAAGATTACACAGGGCATACAGCCACCAAAAGACGGCGACTCAAAGTCAGTCGGTGGGAAGCATGTACGTATGGGATGGGCTAGGCGGGAGGCCTCGCTTGACGCCCCCGTCGGCTTCGACGCCTACAGCTATGGCATCCGAGATGTCTCAGGAGAAAAGGTCTTCATGTCCCGGCCGAAAGAATTCTTCCCTCCTGGCGAGGGCATAAGAGAGGGTGATGTCATCGGCCTCGAAATTCAGCTACCATCCGAGCATTTGCATAGGAAAATCATGGCCGGCCACTATAACCCTGCCGTAGATGCAGCGGACGAACCCGCGCCGTCAACTGCAGAAGCAGCCAACATTGTGCGCGACCGAGTGCCGATCCGATTCAAAGCGCACACATACTTTGAGAAAATCGAATACCATACTACAAAAGAGCTAGAGGATCTTATGAATCCTTCGCCGGCCGCATCAGCAAGCTCATCGACTGACGCTCCCAGCCCTACGCACCCCACACCTGCCCTTCGCACACTTCCCAACTCTCACATCAGAATCTACAAGAACGGCGTGCTCATGGGTACGCCTTTTGAGAATCTCTTGGGGTTCCTCCCCCCAGCATCCAAGCCAATGCCCCAAGTCGGAGCCCGAGAAGGCCTTGATGACGGCATGCTGGGCTACTATCCTGCCGTCAGCGTGTTTAGGGGCGGCGCAGTCGAGGTCAACTTTGGGCCAGATTTTTGGTATCCGCCAGCGGATTACGACTCTACAAACGGCGAGGTGGATATGATCCAGCCTGATGGCCTCAGCGCAAACTCTCTCCATGCTGTTGTCGAGCGCTATCAGGAGCAGATTGCCGAGGATATTGTCTACGATATTGTTGACGAGGTGGACTTTTGGATGCAGGATGGTGGTGGCGCTACGAACCAGGCGGGCGTTGATGAGAAAACGAAAGAAGTGGCCATGGCACCTGGAAGGGAAGAAATCAAGGAGTTGGTACAGGACGACTAATTTATGTGATTATTGTATCACATACTTACTGGAATAAGCCTAAATCAAAAGATACCCAAATACGCATACTACCAAAAAAAGAAATAAACATAGCAACCAAGAAAAAAAACTGCTAATGTCATTATCCAAAACCCATATCGTGCTCATCTCATTACCATAAGAAAGGGGGTATCGTTCCATCTCATGAAAGTAGACAACTTGTTGTCCATTAAGAGTGATTCTTTTCTTCTGCAGGGGCATCCGAAGGCAGCGCATCATCAGGCCCTGAGACCTCTTTCGGAGGTGCAGACTGTTCGCCTTCTGGAGAGGTTATGATGACTGGTATGATTCCCGCAGCTGCTGCAGCTTCTGTAGCTTCTGTAGTGTCCATAGCCTTTGCAGCTTCTGAAGCGTCTTTAGTATCTGTAGCTGGTTCGCTGTTCTCACCGGATTCCTCATCCGCAGAAAGCTCTGCTAGACGCCGGGCCGCGGCTTCGTTTCCGGCCGCTGCCTCTTCACGAAGAATACGCTCTTCGCGGCCGCGCTTGTAGCAGTACCAGAGGACCACAAGCAGTACTGCGCACAGTTAGCTTCATTACAACATTAGACAACGAAGGTGGAAACTCACGGCTTAGAGCGACGCTCCAAATGACATTCATGCCAATGAAAGCCGGCCATCTTGACTTCAAGACTTCCACAATCGCCCTGAGCATCCCAACAATTGCACCTGGTTTCTTCACCAGATCCGCCAAGTTCTGGCCCAAGAGCATCCTCTTGGCTGTGCCCTTCATGCCGCCCTCGACTACCTTGATCCCCTGAGACTCCGCCGCAGCGGCCAGAAGCTCTGGTGCCAGCGTACTGGTCAGTTTTTCAGGAAGCTGTGTAACAAGTTTCTGCAGCGACGAGGGCAGTTTTTCAAAGATCTTGTTGATGGAGCTATCACGGTCCTCAAAAAGCTTCGTAAGGTCATCGTAGGCAGTGGGCACGCCGTTGACAAGATCCTTGAAGACCTGCGTGAATTTCTGGAGGAGATCGGACGAGTCTTTGGATTCGGACACAGCCTTATTGTTTTTGGCGGAGAGGTTTAGGCGATCGAGAACGCGCGTGAGATCCTTCTCCTCGCGCTCGGCCTCTTTGGGCGTGACGTTTTCGGTGTCTGGCTTGAGCGTCTCGCTAGGCTTGGGGTTATCCGCTGGCTTCTTGTTTCTTGTAAACAAGAGCGACAGCCGGTTGGGTTTCTTTTCCGTCTTCTCTTTTCCATTCTTTTCTGGCTTTTCTTCGGCAGTCTCATCTGGTTTCTTTGCGGCCGCCGTCGCCTCCCCAGCGTTCTCTTTATCCTCGTCAGTGTTCCTATTCGATTCATCGCCAGAAGCTTCATCGCCAGAATGCCAATCTACATCGTACGTGTAGATGCGCGGCGGTAGCGGTGGTGGAGGGCCATCGTTGCTCTGGGCGAGGAGCTCCTCGAGGAATCGCTCGTCTTCAGGCTTGAGGATTGTTTTTTGGTGCTGGAGCTCCGAGCTAGACGAATCATAATTCTCGTCTTTCTTTCCGTCTTCTTTATTTGAATCCGTAGCTGACTTTCCCTCGCTCTTTGTGGTCTCCTTTGCACTCTCCTTCTCTTCTCTGTACTTTTTGAATTTCTTGTAGGAAAAGTATTCCAGCATCTTGCTCTATCTCGGTCGCAAGGGTCGGTGTAACGGTCGTGAATAGGTCGCAGTTGTTGGATAAAGGGTCGAGCGATAGGAATTTGAAGATGCAGAGTATAGGTGAAGTATCGCCTCCCTGGAATCTGATTAAATTAGTAGATCGTTGACACGTGCAAGCCAACTCGTCACGATGTCAACTTTATCCGAACAAAGGGTAGTCGTGAGAGTGATGTCATTGAGTACAGCACCCCTAAGCTTTGACCAATCACAACTGTAGCGCATCTCAGCCAAAGTCCTGGTGTGAGAGTACGTACCCGCTGCATTCAGCACTGTAGGTAGATGAGCCAAGTGATATCTACACAATACATCCAATTTCATAAAGACAACAAGAGACACATAGTAAATGATCACGATAGAGTTGTTCAGCATATTTCTTCAGTTGCACAACAAAGTTGTTCTAGGGTATCATTCTTAAATGGTAGTACCAAATCCCGCCCATCATACAGTCATGTATATCCGTGATAATACCAGCCAAGGTAATTCAGACGACAGCGCAAACTTTGTCGCTTTCGCCGTTAATTCATATCATCTCCTTATTCCTCCTCCTCGCCTTCGCTCTCTTCGTCACCTCCCTGCTCATGCACAATCTCATCTGCCAGCGCACTCCTGTGACCACCGCTCTGTCTTCGCCCCCTTCGATACGCCTCGGTCATTGTGATGGCTCTCTCTCCAACGTAGTGGTCCCCAGTCCATTCCCGGGAGCATTTGGGGCAGCTCGTTCCTCGCCGTGACCTCCAGAATGCCTCTTGACAGATGTCGTGCAACCGCAGTGTGCAGTCGGGATCTGAACACCTGAGCCCCCAGGTCACAATCTCCTTACATGCCTCGCAGAATTTAATCTTCTGCCACTCACCAGGTTCAGCGTCTGGATCATTGTACATATCAATGAGCCAGGGACGTAGCTCTAGGAGTGCTCGCGGTGTCAGCGAGTAGAAACCCTCTCTGCTAATCTCAAACCAGCCCCCCTCAACAAGACTTTCGAGGACGTTTTCCACCTCGCTGTGCTTCAACCCCCTATCTGTCGGAGCCTGTGACTGATCTTCTCCATCCCCCTGGCTCTCCCTGCGCGGTGGCCTTGCTAGTTTGATAGCTTGCATCTCGGTAATACAGAGCGACTCCAGCCGGGGCCGGTTAAACTTGTCAAACATGGCATCGAGAACCCGCTTGATGAAGGATAACTCCTCTGGGCTGTATATTGTGGCGAGCTGCGTCTGGGGGTCGGAAGTGGTGTTGACGAGGGCAAAAAATCTCTCCTTGGTGACCTGGTGCTGCGTGCTCCGAATCTCATAATCAAACTGGGATGCTGCGGCCGAAGCTTTGTCGATGTAGTCAAGGAATACCTCTTCCGAGACCTGGTCGGGCCTGCATTCTGTACTTTCTGGATCGCCAGCATTGTCGGCGTTGATGATGGCGGCAATTATTGGCTGTGCTTCTTTGTAGGTCAATGTCCCGTTGGCAAGGAGGGCCTGAAGAAAGGCCCTGTTGCCATGCCGGTATCCGGACTGGTTATCCATGGATCGTGTTCGATGGGCTATGCGTTCTTTTATAAGTGAAAATGAAGAGAAGGGCCCTTATGACGGTAAAAGTGCCGGATGGTCCCAAGAACTTCTGCCGGCTCTCACTGAAGCAGATTCACAAAACGCGTGAAGAACGCGTGCCTCTTTAATCGAATGTGGCGGTGCGTGGCTTGGCTTGGCTACTAGCACTCGAGAGATGATGAGAAAAAAATGGCCATTATCAACCCCTAGCTATGATGATGATCCTTCATCTACCTCTATATTATGTCTCATAGAAGATATACAGAACCAATCCGATGTATTTTAAATACATCTCACCATCTGCATAAATTGCCGAGCACTATTGCGCATCTACATTTCTCTGGATCTATACGGTTACTACCTAGATACTGAGTACAGGAAACCACTTAGTAGATAGCTGTATTGAGAGCAGTTTACAAAGTTGATCTCGTTAAAGTTATTTATTATTCTTGCTAGAATCCTCTTCATTGTGGAATAGACTTCTTCTGCTCAAGATTTACCATGGAACTTATACTCTTCAGTTGATGCATTGAACACAGTTCTTGGTGTATAACTGCGCCACAGCACCGCTGACTCATCACTTCGGACTGGCTAACCACTACACGTCGGCTTTGTCCTAATGAAATTCAATTCATCACTGTGTCAACACAAGGCAAATCCCCAAAATACTGACTGCTCTTTGCTGTCGATATATAAATTACGCCGTACCACCGAGCATTCTCGACAACCTCATCGTGGCACGCAATTGTCGCTGGGATTTATTTGGAGCTGCTCTTCCTTCGTATCCCTCAAGGTTTACAACACGATCTATCAGTGTGCTCTTTGAGAGGTCACCAGGATTAGCAAGCGTCTTATCACGCATCTACTCAAGCATCTACAGCCATCCTTTGTCTCTTCTCTTTCGGCTATTTGTATGGGATATCCGAACTCTTGAAGGCGCTTCAGGTCAAGGGGTCACGAGACCCACGTGTCGGGATAGGCAGCGTGTGGTCGTGAAGCATTACAGCAGCAGCACCCGTCTGGAGCGAGCTGTATCATGATCTAGAAGCCATGGACACCAAAGATTTTGATGTGGTCCGCATTGCAAGGAGCGATGGAGCCGACACCGGACCAGGGTATTGGCCAGTGACAACGCCAACACCAGCGGCTACCACCGCCGCTAAGAAGACAGGCAAGGAAGCCACTGTCGCAGATAAGACGCCGCGAACAAAGCCGCAGATGACAAGGTTAGCTGAAGATGACCCGAGATTTGTGGAGTGGCGGATCAAGTTGGGAATTCTGCTGAAGCAGGAGCTTTCACCCAACCCAGACGGTAAGATTCTCCTCCCAGCAAAGGCGCTGTGATGCTGCTTGGACACCACCTAATGACGTTTTCTCCACACAGAAGGAAACCCGTGGTATGTGCAATTCCCACGAGGCTACTGGTTATATGAAAAGTCCAAGCATCTGTGGGTGTCTGGGTACCCCACCAAGACAAAGCTATTCAAGAGTCCGCAGGAATTTGGCGTCCACTTGATATGGCTGCTGTCAGCATCCAAGGACTACAGCGACTGCTACTGTGTTCACTGCAACATTCATGGTCCTTCAAAGCCTCTAGCTGCTTTTGAAGAGGCGGTGGCAGCGCAACCTACATCTCAAATCTCAACTCAACCCTCTATCCCAGCCCCATCCCCAGTCCCTGCCCAGGCTCAAGCTCAGGTGCAGGCGCAGGCTCAGGCTCAGGCTCAGGTGCAGGCTCAGGCTCAGGTGCCAATTCAACCTCCTATTCAGGCCCTAAGCGAAGTCCCAGCGAAGCCTGAGAAGCTTGAGAGACCCGTCAAGGTAACGCCAGTTCCTTTACCCACAATTCCAGGCCAGCCATCTCTCAAGCCGGCCAATATTACCCCTCGTCCACAACCAGTGCAGCAGCCTCAGCAGCCTCAGCAGCCTCAACAACTCCCACAGCAACTGCCACAGCCAAAGCCTATACAGCAGACTCCTGTACCGCTGCCCACACCAATTCAACCGCGTGAATCGCGCGAGCCGATCCAGCCCACACAATCCGCTCAACCCACTCAGCTTATACAACCAAACCTGTCCCAGCCACTCCCTACAGCTGTCCCGAGTCCTTCAGCTCCGGTGCCTGCTGCTGCGCCTGCAGGTGCCACACCGCTTCAGCAACAAACACTTCAGCAGCCAAAACCCCAGGCTATCCAATGGTCACTTAAGGGGCCACTGCTCTTCCGGGCTGGAGAGCTCGTATGGTACCAGACCGGTAATACCTGGCGGCTTGGGATTATTTCGGCCCCTGGTACTATGACCCCCAGTGGTATGACATTCGAGTTATTACCTATTGGCCATGCCGTGGTGCCTCAAGCAAATGTGACCAAAGCTGAGGCCGACTTGCGGCCATTCCACTGCTATAGCGTCCCTTCCGTCGACATTGCAGAACTCAAGGACAAGGTGTTTGACGATGTGCCTTGGGAAAATCTGTTTCAGGCTGCGGGGAACAATGCAGTTCGACGAGATCTTATTAACCTCGATGCTTCCAAGATGGCTGCCTCAAAGGTCGATTTCTCTCACTCACTTTGGACCCGTCGCGGTGACGACCCCACCGGAAAAGCCGTGTCCTATTACGGCTGTTTTTTCGGTGCTGAGCGCCTCGAAATCGGCGATGCCGTACGGGTGAAAATGGCAGGGGCTGAAGCGAACTCCAGCCAGACAACCGTGATGGGCTTGCTGCACATCTTCACTAGCGCCGACTATCCCGGCTCTGTTTTCTTCCGCGGGCCAATCTATCAGCTGTCGAAGGGCCCTAGTCCCGCAGGCACCGTCATCGACGATGAGAAGGACAAGCTGCCCCTCGCGCTGCAGGAGGAGGTTCGATGGCGGACACAAGTCACGCGAAGTCGGCAGTGGTGCTGGATTCTCATTAAGGATAATGTTGTGTTTAAAGAGCAGTCTATTCGAGGCCGCTTTTACCCTACGCATCGACTGATGCCTATTTACAATATGAATGACTTTAGGGGCCTAGTCGCGGGGCAACCGTTGAGGGATCAGCATATATACTTGAATAATCGGATGGATGGAGCAGGAGGGAGACACATTGGGCGGAAGGCGAATCGACTCGATACGCTGGGGCCTTGTGTGCCGCACACGGCAAGGCTGGTGCTCGAGCCACACATCATAGAGGAGTAGTTATTTGACTTTAGGGGATGGGCGTAGTTCAAGAGTGTGATTTGTTTATCATTTGTGAAGAAAATGGAAAGGCAACATGGAGTTGGAATGCCCCTGAAATGGATGATGGCATAATACAATAATAGTGTGTATTTGTTCGAGTTGGTAGGTAGAGTATACAATTCTTTGGGCAGTGCCGTCACAGAAGGAGGTACATATAAGCGTAACACTCATAACAGATATACAAATATATTTATATATACCAATCGCCACCCTCATCAAAGAGAGAGGGGGGGATGGGACAGAGAGAGTGTGTGATTCTTTTTTTCAAGTTGAGCCTTTTTCACGGTAACCAACATGTGGTTAGAACGATGGGGAGACGAATAATCAAGGTTGACAATATGAGTGTTAAGGAGATGATCAAATAAACGATGTGGGAATGTGAGGAAAACCAGTCGTGCTCTCTCGCTTTTTGCGCTTAAAAACAAAAAAAATCTCAACCAAATAAAAATCACAAAAAAGACCAAGACAAAACAAAACTACTCGTTCATCAATGAGCTGACCATTCCGAGTGAAGCCATCTTTTTTTCCCCTGGCTCGTCCACCGTATCCACCACGCGTTGCCCTCCTCTTAGCCAGTAGGTAGAGCGATGGATCCGATAGATCGCTGCTCGTTTTCCATCTCTCCCTTTCTTTGGGTTGTTCATGACAAAGGAAAATGAGAGTTGCTGCTTTTCTGCAAGTTGGCTGGACCAACACTGAGTAATATATAATGGAGAGAGAAAAAGAAAGTCGTCCCAGATGAAATTCGATGTCTGACAGAAAGGGGAGAGGTGAGGAAGAGGAGATGAAGAACGCTTCAGCAGGGAAACGACGCTCTAATAAATTCGAATAACATCGTCAAAGCCGTCTATGTAAAAAACAAAACAGACGTAAAGGTGAATGGAAAACGTGACGGGAAAAGAAAATCGCTCAAGGATCGATGCAGACAACAGCTTCTCCGTGCTGGTCAAACCAAGACAGACAAATCCTACGTGACTTTAAGATTGTCCAGTTTGACTTGTATCTGTTTAATAACCTCCGGGTCGGGTATCGGTTCCACCTTGCGAGGCCGAGCACGAGGAGAAGCCTTTGATTTTGGATTTTTACACTTCCTGCATTCCGTCCCATTTGCGGCGTCCGTGGGATAAACCGCTTTACACTTTTCGCATTCGTAGTGAGGTACACTGTTGGGACCAAACTCGTCGCCAGGATACCCAAATGGATATTTGTCCTTCTTTGGCCTGTCACATATTCTAGTCAGCACTTGATCACGCTACTTTCACGAAGGCATGAGTCTGAATGAGTCAACTTACGGGTCTCGAGGGCAGTCTGTGCAGCGAACGTGACTGCATCTCTCACATATTTTAGTCCCAGCCATGAATAGCGTCTGGCACTCATGACAGGTTCGTCGGACACGTTGGCGAGGCTTTTTATGGACAAGGTCTTGGCCTCCCGTCTTGCTTGGGCGTGTAAGCACGATTTTCTTGTCCTCCGGGCCGTAGTCGGGCAGTATCGGGGCGTTCTCGCGGTTGGCCTTGATCTTAGCAGCTCTCCTTTCGCGACTGGCAATGGCCTCGGCCTCAGAGAGCTTCGGTGGGTAGCGCGTGCATTTGGTGCAACGGCCGTGGTTGCAGTTGGGGCATTCTTTAGCAGCGCCAAAGGTAGCGTTGCAGCGATGACAGGTTCGTCGGATGCGCATCCTGATGGGCTTGTCCATGCGAAGTACGGTATCGCTAGGGATGGCGTTCTGCCACTGCATCGGTTGAATCTCCAGGCCAAATCGTTCGTTCAGCTTCTTGGCTCGCTCTTCAAACAGCTCCAGCTTGGAGAGTTTGCTAACCCCGGCCATACCCTCATAAGCCCGCGCTTCGGTGGTTTTGACGGCGACATGGCTAATACTTGGACTATATTAAAAGGCTTGTTAGCACACTGCAATTGAGGGCCCGGAAGTGCCAATGATTGATTGTCGCATCACGGCAAGTGGCCGAAACAGGGCAGATGGGCAAAGCCCAAGAAAGCAATTTCAGCGTCACACATACGTCTTGGGAGCGCCTTCAGCTCTGGGCGCTGGAACCGTGACAGGTGCAGCTTCGCTGACCTTGACAGTCTGTGAGGGTGCGACAGCTTGTGGTTGACGCTTAGAGCCGGCCGAGTCGCTTCGCCGCCAAACGCCCTTGACCTTGGAAAACACCTTGCTCATTCCCTTCTTCTCCTTCTCGACCTTGGGCAACGATGCCTCTGGTTGGGCGGAGGAGCTCATGGTATCGTCGTTGGTTGCAACGGTCGTTGTCTCAGTACTAGGTGAACCCCAAAAAAACCGTTTGGCACGTTGAATCCGGTAGGCTGGTAAACGGGTATCGAAATGACAGTCCTAGGTGACCTGTCGAAACAATCGGAATCCTTCCGCAGATTTTCTTTCCTTTTTCCGCACTCTCCTTTTTTGCCTCTCTTTTTTTGCTTTTTTTGCTCTGTTCGGGAATAGCTACCGCTACCACGGTAAATAGCGATCCTTCGGGGTCGTAGGTTTTTTCGTTGGTTGGGCAATGCTGGAATTGAAGTCGACAAGCGTTGTGAGGGCCTGGACCTAGAAATGGAGGGGGGAAACGGCCCAACGACAGCGCATCATCTGACGACGTGCTGCGACTGAAGTGAAGCCGGACACAGCGAGGACTCGAGGGCTTTGGAGTGGTGTGCGAAGATTAGAGTCTGAGGAGAGCGACGGGTCGCACAGCGTCCTGGAGGTCCAGCGGTTTTAGCGCTGGTGCCGGGCTGGCCCAGGTGCTGCTAGGCCTGCAGCTTCAGCAGTCTTAGCGCGCAGCAGCTCGCACCGTGGACGCACCGTGGTCGGACCCCTGCGTTGCGGCGACCGAAACAGGCCAGCGCGGCGTCAGATGTACCGTGCAGGGTGCTATTCGCACTTACACGGACCGGCTCCAGCAGTCCGGGATGGCTCCTTCCTCAAAGCAGCACTGGCTCCCTGTTATCTGCAGGCAGGTACAAGGCACGGACGCCAGGAGGCCAATGCCAGGCAAGTACCTACCTGTACAAGCAGGGCAGGCGGAAATCGCCTCCGCCAACTTGGAAAAACCATCACCACGAACCACATTCCTGGCATCGAAAGTGGCGAAGAAGAATTCATCGGCTCGGCGAGGTGGAACCCAGGCCGACGGAAAATCTTGTTTGGATTTGCCATTTACCTACCGACCGTCGCAGGTGCAGGCGCCGGTGCTGCACGCTGCCTCTGCTGGCGACAAGTCAAGTCAGTCCAATGCTGCCAGCTACGACCAGTCCAGGTACCGCTACCTGTACTCACTACTCACTGCACCGTGCGATGCAAAACTGGTGGGCGAGACTCTGAGCAACCGCGCGACTCATGGGGAGCTCCTATTTCAAGCCCCCACTCCCTAGGTATTAGCAACGGGCGACGATGGGGCTGCTGCCATGGGTGTCCAGCGCACCGGAGCCTGGCGCGGGGTCTGTCCATTTTCCGCCCCAAGCACGCTGGGAAACACGACGCCAACGACGCAAGAGGGTCCAGACAATGGCCTGTGGTTGGGCGAGCAGAGTTTCGGACCCAGCACGCTGGGAGGATGGTGTGCGGGAAGCGTGTTACGGGAGCTGCCAGCGGGAACACCAGTCTTTGACTCCCGTCAATCCGCACCCAGCCCGTCGGGTCCAAGCAGCGGCGGTCGGGCTTTGCGCCAGACAGATGGCACTCCGCCAAGATGGACAGGATGCATCCATCCAGACACCTACAGTAGCGCGCTGCAGCACGTCCTGCGTCTGTGAAACGCGCAGATGTCAGTGCGTGCGAATATCCTGCTGGCACCACGATTGGCGCACCAAACATCGAATCGAGGAGGTGATCCGGCCATGGGAAGGTGGGGGACCTTTCCGACGAATCCCGGCTCGCTCTGGTTTTACATTACTGTACGGAGTACGGAGTACACGTGTATCCTCCCTACGGAGAATTCCATCACAATACTGCGACCAGGCCTCCGTTGTCGAGACAGCCTCTACCGAGCACAGGGCGACGGCCTACTACGTCCGAGCATTGGGCATTTCTCTCAGTCCAACACATGGCTAACAGGGCTGCAACATGGCGATGGAATTACCGACTTTTGAGCTTGACATGGGCTGTCGTATTCTAGCCCTATCACAAGTAGGCGAAACAAGCCCGTGCTAGTGCTGCCAGGAGTGCTTTGGACGTTGACCGAACGGCCTGTTCTATCTTTCTGTACCGACCCTAGGGTTGATCGACCAAGCTCCGGCAGAATTCATCCAGGGGGGAGGCTGTCCTAAACCATTTCGGCAGCCTCTGAAGAAATCTCGGGCGCATGGGTTGGCCTTTGATTATCGCAAAACTACTATATTTCCGAGTTTGTACATCCCTACTCATGCTCGGACATACCATTGCAACAACCTCGCGAAAAACGCGAGGCCGTTTTTCAAGGTTACTACTATGATGTGGCGCGGTAGATACAAGTACGATACAGGTATGTATTTGCGAACTCATACAACCGCTCTGCATAGCTCCAGGGCAGGCCGGTTTCGTATCTCACATCTCTGGTAGGAATTATTACTACTTCACGGAGTATTGTTACTCGTCCTACCCTACCCTCTATAGAACCGAATCCGTCCGTCCGTTGTCATACCCCAAAGAAGTCGTGTGAATCGCGGAAATTGCAAAATGCCTTCTTCTTCTACGGCCATTTCTGGCAATCACTGGTCTGTGCTGGGAACGTGGACAACAACAATCGCAAATTAGGCACCGGGGAGGAGTACGCCGTACCGGCTACCAGGTATCAGCAGCCAGCTTTCGCGTCTGGCACCGTTGCTCATGCAAGTCGACGTTATGGGCCACCTTAGTCTCTACCATGAAGCTTAGGCGAGACTTGCAAGAGTTCGCCTGCACACGCCATCTACGACGCCAACTCTCACAACTATCGCGCTTCTAGAACGGCGAAAAGTACCAGCTACTGACTAGCAGGCTGCACATCAACAGGAAGCGTCCATGTCTCGAAACAGGAAGCTGGCCCGACAGTATGGCGTCGAATCCCCGCACGACACGACATTTTCTGACACTGTGGCTCTACGTCGGCGAGTTTTCTGATGTGTCAACTCTCACACAGTTAGCTCAAACGCGCCCGCTAATTTGAGACCCTGTCAACTTGGAAGGTGCATCATGCAGCACGTCCAGATACCCTAGCCAGGCTTCGTTTCCGCGGCTTGGCCTCTGTACCCGGTTACGACTCAAGAGAAGTCACAGCAACCAAAGGAACATGCTTGTAAACTCTGCTCCCCTTGATGGCCTGAAGGGGGGGGATGCCTGTGCCGGCACGTAACGAGCGGCGAGAACAGACCAGTCACAGACGGCAAAGGACCGATGCTTTCTTGGCATCCTTTACCATCCATTGCCACGAGCCAAATGCAGATCCACATCCACTGACGGTGAGTTGCTGAGGGCGATCGCTTAGCATATACTAGGCGGTCACAACCCGGTGTTGGCCGATTGCGACGACGACGGGAAAGAGGCAAAAAAGCTGGTAATCTAAATACAGGCGCAAGCATGAATGCGAAACGTCATGCTGAATTTTGCTTCACCGACAAAACGAGGCCACAAGTGTAATGACCCCGTGGCGCAATGCCCAAAAGCTCTCAGTTGCCTCGCCCCTTGGGGTAGCATTGCCGATAACATCATTTCGGGATTTTTTGCCCACATACCTGGGCAACCAGGCCAGCTGGTACGCTCTACAGTTCTCTCACCAGCATGTCGCCACACACTCCAACAGGGTGCATGTGATGTGGCAGAAATATCTCCCCTTTGTGTGAATTCGATTTCTGGCTCTTGGTCAATGAGCTTACATTATCTCCGAGGCGAGGGTCTCTCTGTTTGCGGGGAGGCTATTCGGATGGTGTGCATGGCTGCAGATTGCTTCAACAGCTGCAGACTACCAGTAGCGCACCCAACAAGCCGTTACATATTAGTACGCTGCGTCCCACAGTCCTGGAGACCGGTGCAACAACGAGACAGCGTGGCATGCAGGTCGTTTCATTCTTCCGCGAAGCGAATGGCACCCTCTGAGCCACGCATACAACCAGATGAGCATACAAATGGCTCGTCACAAATAATCCCAAACACAGAGTGCATTCCGTGGGGGCGCTTCCCTCGGTTAGACAGCGAGCATCGCTTCTCGGCGAACGATGATGTTGTTACATCATAGAGGTGAGTCCGACAACTTGCAGTCTCATGTGTCCTATAAATATGCATACCTGATATGCAACCATCTCTCCGTATTGGTACTGGCCATTCTTTATTTCGCACAGTGGTCATCGATACACGTACATACCTACAGTATTACAGCAGCTCTTGCTTCCGAGCAGCCCCGCGGAAGATGAGCTAGATGATCCGAGCATATGGAGTGGTATCCATGTGATAATTGCAGGGTTAAGTACGATGTACATGTGGTAGAAGTGAGAAACTGCGTCAACCGCGAACAACCTCTTACTTCACAGAGCCTTGCACAAAGTCAGGGCTCATCGCGCTACTACATGTGTACCAACGCTGACGCTTCTTAGGCGAATGCAGAATTGGGGGGCTGATTCTTTCAACGCCAATGTGGAGGCCCTCCGGCGTCTCAAAGCTGCTGGCATTCAAAGTCGGTGAGCCTCCAGCGCTTCCCACAAGCCGGCAGTCAGATCTACTTGTGCAAGCACGAGTAAGCTTGGATGAAGCAACTACTAGCACTTGCAGTCTAGTGCGAGCTGCCATCCGATCGGTTTTGCACTGGCCCGGGAAGCAACCCGATTTTCGTCGCCCGTCGGTGGAACCGGGACCATCAGCGTGCGTCGAGGACAGCGCGCCCTGCATTGCACCCTGGGCCTGGGACCGAGTATGTGGATGAGCCAATGGGCCGGGCAGCTTAATAATGATACCACCACACCATCACTGCCGCTCTTGAGACAGAGCTATTAGCCTAAGTTGCAGCAGAATGCAATGTGAGTGGTTCTGTTTTTGGGTTGCAATCGTACGATGATAGCCACGGGGAAACGTCGTTGGGCTTCCGAAGAAATGACGTCCCATCCCTGCCTCCCTACAACACATCTGCTGCTGCCACCTCCTGTCTTCAAGCTGTTCGAACAAATGGCTCAAGGTACCGAGACCAACTCCCTCCTCCACCAAAAAAAAGGGAGCGTTCCATCACTAGGTCTCGCTTGTGCTAACCAGCTTCAACTGCCAAGCTTCAATATACGATGAGTGGAAAATTGCCAAGCCCGAAGTGACATTCCAAAAAGCCTTTCGCAACACCAAGCGTGGAACCAACGATGAACTGTAGGCGAGGTGGTAGACTACTTCGTATGTATAGTCCCGAACCCTCGGTAGAGAGGCAGTTGTCCGACAAGCGATTTCACAGCTAGCAGCAATATTCAAAGTGCGGAGCAAGACTCGGACACAGGCCGACGATATGCGGCCAACTACTGCCCGAGGAGGGGCAGTGATGTAACTATCATTCGTATGTTATTGAGTGATTATTTCCTTTTGTTGACAGCATCTCCTGGAGGTACCATTGTACATACAGCTACTTTGCAACCTGACGGTTTACCTCCTTACTTACCTAGTATTAGTAGTAGTACGGGATGTCTCATGGGTATCGAAGCAGTTTGCCAACAGTGAAAGTGTGGTCTTCAGATTGCAAACAACCCCGTATATCGGGACAATGAGATAGGAGAACTGCTACTCCAGTAACTGACAAATGCCTATAACAAAGTTTAACCCTAAGCTTTATAACTCCGGAGATTCCAGTAGACGGAACTGCCATCCTTGTTTCCCTAGCTGCGGTTAGATTCGTCTAGCAGATTAGAATGGAGTCCTCCACTACGGAAGGCCACTTTAAAACGGACATCTTGCGTGCAGATGCTGACTTTGAATGATGCAAAATCCTTCCACGGTCGGAAAATAAGTAGAGGTAGCTAATTTACTCCAATAGCAGTTAGTACTGGGTCATGGTGTTCATGATGAATAATACATAATACTCTGTTCTGCGAGGAGCTACCCTAGGCCATGACATGTTTGCATCTACTCTCAATGTGATTTGAATGCCACAAAGGAAAAGGAGAGAGAGGGGGAGAAGCAAATATGAAGATAACAAGAGGGAATATTAAATTGCATTAAAAAAACTAGTTGATAAATCATATTGTAATGCTATGCTGTGTAGAAAGCAGCATGTGGAATCGGCTCTTCACCTGTTGGTATGGCCCAATAGAGAGTCTTTAGACGCAGGCGTTCCATACTAGACAATAGAATTAAAGTCAAGGGAAATGAGTGATGATCATAAGATATTATAGTAAACAGTGATTATCAACTTGATTGTATTTTGAAGATCAGATAAATAGCTAGATACATGTCAATAGAGGAGTGCGAGTGGTTGCTCTCTCGATAAATTTATACTGTCATTTCTAAAATTGACGACTCTTGGCGCCATTCTTAGCCACGGATACACTGAACTGATCTCGCCTCGTTGAACCAGTATCCAGTCCACTTGCCAGTATGTCCATCGTTCCAGGTTTGCAAATCGGCAATTCCAGGGGGCCAGATGCCACCAGAGTTGAGGTTACCAGAGGTGGCGACGCAGTTGCCGGGCTCAACAAACATTGAGCAGATCCAGCCTAAAGTATGAAATCATTTAGAATATGGAAACTCGAATCTCTTGGGAGCTGTTTATGGTACAATGCTTACCTGAGTCGGGTCCGATTGATCCCAGAGTCTCCCAGGGCGAAGTCCAACAGCCACCATCGGTCATTTGAACATCTATGCACAGGTTGCTTGGTGTCCAGTTGCTAAGAGTTCCCGTAATTAGAACGTTTCAAGAACATGTAATGAGCGAGAGATAACTTACGGACCGGGGCAGACGTATACACCATCGCCAGCAACTCCGAGACTCAGCAAAGAGCTCGCGATAATTGCGGTGGTAAGTGACTTCATTTTGATTCAAGTGCCTGGAAAGAACACCCAAGAAGACTGTATAAAGTTGTTTTACTTTAATGATTAAGCATATTCAGCGCAGGATTCACCTCCTTTTATAGTCAAGATTTTCCTTTACGTAGACGTGGGCAGGTTGTGATAATAGTACCATCGTATTTCACAAGCGTACATGCATTAATAGCACTTGCAAGCTGTTTGGCGAGCATCTCATGACTTTTGTGGACAAGCTCGCTTCCTCTACGCAGAAACACCTTTCTCGATCGAGCTCGAGCTGGCACTACCCAAGTGCCGATGTTCCGAGTAAGCTGACAAAGTTCCACTTTAGAGATGCGTAGTTGTAGGCTTCAACTCCATCAACACTTGTGATTTGCGGGAATTGGTAAAATTGAGTGCCGTGGTAAACTACTAATATGCCGACGATGCGGTGAAAGAAGATTTGTCTAGTCGTGGGATTTTGGGCTGACAACCGCATTACGCTAGAGGCATTATTGAACGATTGGTAAACATCTAATCTGAACTGAAAAGGCATATAATGAGAATTATAGTATTTGTTTTACAAGAAGAAGCATGCTGTAGCTTTCTTTCTATAAGCGAGAAAGCCGAAGCGGAGATGTGCAGGGCTGAGCTAGATGCGCTTATTGGACTGGGTAGGCATCGGGGATATTTATAGTATGGCGATTCCAATCGAGAATTTGCATTCTCCTAATGCCGGAGCTTAACATGGGTATCGTGTGAGCCTGCGTTCTTCATGTTGAGTACCTTATGTATATGGCTTTAGTGATTGGCATTTTAAGTTCAAACAATTACTACTAGGTAGCTAGTTTCGAGTCCTAGTATACAGATAAACCGGTTAGTTAGTTACTATCTGAGCAATGGGAATATTTATAAGAATGATGGACATGATCGGAAGACAGCATGTGACTCTACCTAACTCTTCGATCTAATTTACCGGTAAGCGGGGAAGTGGGAGACGGCTCTCGTTAATTTCAGGTATATCACCCGAAAGACACCACACCTTTTACATGTGTAACTCCTTGGTAAGCTATATATATGTGTGTGTAAGTTTCATGTAGTTGCTCTAGTATTGTGCTGTGTGGCTCTATAGGTGCAGGATGCTGACGGCTTAAGTTAGGGGTTGGGGATCATGCATTTGGTTGGAGGATGATGATGATTTAATAGTACAGGTGTGGTAGACTAGTAAACATGGGGTTTGAGACACCACGTGCGACAGAATATACTGACGAATAGAATATGAGATGCTGGTTATTCATGGGTGGAATAATCGGCTATATATAAGATGGAAGCGGGCGTTGAGGGAAGATGGGTGGTGCCATAATGGATGTGGAATTATATCGAGGGTTGTCAACCAATAGTGCTTCTGGGTTACTGAAATGATGATTCATTCGGAATTAACGTAGTATTCTTGTGCATAGGCAGTCAAGGACTGGTTATCCTTAATGGTCTTTTCAGAACAGAGTGGCGAGGCTCTATTCACTCTCACATCTCGTCGTCGATAATGGTGAACTATGAAGATGATACCGAGAATGGGCAAGAGCAGTAATCTTATCTCTGTTAGGATGTGGAGAATCCCTGGATATTTTCAAGACATACGCAAAGTCTACAATAGCATGGCCGAATGAGAAAGTTGCCTCATATTGTGCTTCATTACTCTATATTCATTTTCTCGCGTTCTCGTTAAACCAGGTCTCTAGTGACTTTCAGAGCAACATGATGCAAAGTACAAGTACAGGCGCTACAACGGCGCCAATGTCGTCACTTCGGCTCATTGCCGGCAAAGGGCGCAAGTACCGGACACCAGCGCCAGTAAGGAAATGAACTTTGATGCGACAACGCGTGGGCGCGGAAAATATTGTCTCAGCACCTCCATTTGATCCTTCGAGTCACCTCTCGCAGCAACCAACCGCCCGCAACAACCGCCATCACCACGCATCGCTCTCTCTTCAGCGCGCCAGACTGTGCAAAAGTTCACTGCACGGTCACCACTCTCATCCCCTCTCGACCTCTTCTCTCAGCTATATGACCCAAGAGCCTCTCAAGACTCCAGCACCGCTTCTCAACACCAACCATCTCGACTCCCTCCACCTCTCCCAGCATGGCTCTCTTCCCCGCGATGCCAGTGGCCTTGGTCGAGACCGCTCCGGCTCCAGCCTCGGCGCACAGCATCTTCGCCCCGGCCCGGACCAGCATCAGCCCCTCCCGGGCGACGATGCCGGGGTCAATGCCGACCAGCTGGACGAGAAGCTACGACGATTGAGCCTTGACAAGGGCCTCGACGATCGCCCTTCTGTGCCTGGACAGCGGATTTCCGAGTATGAGAAAGCTCTGAACCCCCAAGCTGCAAAGCAAGGCCCTGGATTCCAGGTCATAAAGCGCTCAGAACCCCGCTCGGATGGGATCCGTCTCGATAACTTTCCAAATGGTGTGTTTTCTCCTATTGTACGGCGTGTTCACGTGCGAATACTCTACTGACGTATACTGCCAGAGATCCTGACGCACATTTTTTCTCACCTGCCGCCCGACTGCCACTCCTCGGTGGCGCTGGTGTCGAAGCGATTCTGGGCCCTGGTTACCACTCATCATGCTTGGCGCATGGCGTTTATGCGTTATTTCCCAGGACACACTATCCTAGAGAGCAATGGCAAAGCCGCCGCCGCCCACCCCTTGACCGGCCCATCTTCCGATGTTATGCGCTTCGAGACTCGATACTTCCCTCGACTTACATCGCTGGCTACTTGGAGAAGCGAGTATCTTTTGAGGACTCGCCACCTGAGGAGCTTGGCCCGTGGCAAGCCAGGGACTCCCTCGGGAGGGAGCTTGTCTGGCCGGGTCGGCCGCGCCGGGAAGAAAGCAAGCGCGGTTTTGACCTACAACTCGAAGCTGCCCTGGCAGGTGACCAACCTCCACGCAGTCTTCTTGAATGGAAAGAAGCCGCCACGTGTTATGCAAGGAGCCGGAGATCTCGGTGCAGCAACCATTAGCGATCCCACCACTGGCAAGATTGAAAAATGGGGTCTTGAAGATCTATTTACAACCCCACAGCTGGATGAGGTTGCTCCTAATCTGGTGCCATATGGCTTGGGAGACGGCCCAGCCGGTGTCCCCAACGTGATGGATGTGAGCTATACTTACGGCATGATATCTGGCGAGGGATTCCCAGGTGGCCGGCCGTTCTTCCGAGGGGTCAATGAAATGCGTGGCCGCTATATCGGTGCAGAGATCAGCGCTGTGGACACCCACCCGGACATCCCCAAGATCCCCGAAATGTCTGATGCGATTTGCAGCGTATGGATAGCCAAGTCGTCGACCGTTACATCAACCACTCAGTCAATGTGTGGCATGCTAACAGGCTCGGCTCTCGGCATCATTACTGCCTATTCGCTTGGTTGGGATACCACGGGCCCGAGATATGCCAATGGTGGTGTCACAGCACGATGGGTCATTAGCCCTGGTGTCCCCATCATATCCCTGAAAGTTGACGACAGCTTCAACCAAAAGCGCAAGTCATCTTCCAGGGTCTGGGCTGTGGCATTGAATGCGCTAGGCGAAGTTTACTATCTATGTGACGTGCCTATCGGAAAACCAGTTCGAGCTTCTGCAGAGGAAATGACGAGAAATGCCTGGTATGCTGGCCGTACAGTATACTGGCACCTTCTAGAGGCAACTCGCAGAATTGCTCGGGAGGACGAGCTGGACAAGAACGCAACCCGTGGAGGGTATTCGCCCCGATCACCCTCAGCCAGCATGCATCTCAGCCAGGAACAGCTTGTGGCTGAGGCCCGAGAAATAGAAAAGTTTATGCGCTACAGGCCCTCCCACTTCCGAAAAGTGTGCGAAGGCTGGGATATGCAGCGGAAACTAGAGGTGGATTTCGCAAGTGATGATAGCAAAGGTGCTGGGGAGAGCATCTTCGTGATTGACTGCGGTCTGGCCGAGAACCGCCCTGCTGGTATTCAACGTTACTCGCGTTCCTTGATACCTGTGCAAGCCACTCCTAGCGAGTCAACGACACCTCTTGCTCCGGTTTCTACATCACTGTTTGGTAGCATTGGAGGGTTTGCCAATCGGATTTCCCCGATTTCCGAATCTCACACACCCTTGTCTCCGCCGCCGACTCCGAAGTCACCCCCCATGCCCTTGACAGTTATTCATGACTGGTCCAAACAAGTGTTTGATCTCAGGGGCTACAGCCACGATGTTGTGACGTCCGTCGCTTTGGATAACTCACTCTCCTCGCTTTTCACGCTAGGGGAAGACCCTCTGCATACAGCAAATGAAGCGTCCTCTACGACGAGTCCTTGGGCCGATCACGGGGCAAGAGAAATCCCCGGGCGTAGAACTCGCTTCATCGTTATTGGAACCAACAGAGGTGCGGTTCTTGTTTGGAATGCCCGGGATGACGATAGAACCCGTGAGATACAACCACTACGCATTCTTCAAACAGAGTCCCCAGAGGTAACTGCAGTTGCAGTTTCTGGGCTGTACCTCGTTCATGGTGGCAGTGATGGTCTTGTGCAAGCCTGGGATCCTTTGGCATCCACGGCTGAGCCTATCAGGACCATCAACGCCAGGTCAAATGGGCGAGTCCCTCGTCACATGTTGGTTATGAATCCAGCACTACAGGAGAGTACGTACGCGGCCGTGAGAGCCATACACCTCGACCCTGATCCCACAACCCTTCAAGGTGTTGTCTCTTTTGGAGCATTCTTGCGATATTGGTCATATGGATCAAATGGTCATGCCGCAGGCCGTAAACGACGCGTCCGACACTCTGACATGGACGCTCGGCTCGCCAGTCGTCGTCAAGGCCATGCAGTATCAGGATACATTGCCTCTGAGGAAGCTGAAATGCGACGGGAAAATGAACAGCAGGCTCGCGAGCACAGCCGCCGCCTCAAGAGATTCGGCGCGCTGGGCGACTTGACCGAAGAAGAGGCGCTCCTTTATGCCCAAATGGTCTCCGAAGAAGCGTACAACGTAGAGGAGCAGCGACGGGCCAGCGATTCGGCAGCTGATGCCAGCCTGGACACTGCTTCTTCCGTCAGCGAGAACACTGTATCGACTCTGACGCCAGATCCAAGTGTCGCCGGTCCGTCTGCTTCAGAAACCAGTGGCGTGGCCGAAGATGAGTACGAACAGCAGATTCAACAGGCAATACGATTATCCTTGATGGAAGGGGTCAACAACGATGTGGCACAATCGCCTCTGGATTCACGAGGTAACAGCTCTGGTGATTTTGACTTTCCCGTGAATGTCAAGTACAAACAGAAGAATGGTAAGAAGGGGACTGGCTCGCCGTCCGCAAGCCACACACCCGTCGGTGGTCCTTCACGACACACCACTACCGAAGATGAGGACTTGGCCCTGGCCCTGAGTCTTAGTATGCAAGACCAGGAACGATACTCGCCGCCACCGCAGTCAGCAGATGCGGACTTGGGGCTTGGAATTCAGCATGAGGAGTTTCCCATTTTGCCTGGTGATGGAGCTGGAAAGGGGAAGGGGAAAGGTGTGCAGAGGTGGTGATGGAGAGAGTGTGATCTTGTTGCGAAGAAGATGAGCAGAAATCGTTTCATTCTACCACATGGGCACGGTATTGCCGTGTCCCATCTTTTAAAGAGTGCTCTAATCAGATGCTCGAAACCATTATTAGTGCGCGTATGTTTTAATACAATCGTTGCTTTTATAACCCATCCTGTAAACATTTCCTAAGGAAGCAGCTGTGTGCCCAACGTGCGTATGGTAATATTGTACATGATAATTCGAATATCCAACAAGCATCCCATACGTTATTTAATGTATACTTTACAGATTTGCGTCAACGGCCAAGAAGTCGTAAACGGCGATCAGATGAAACATGACGATACAATTGACATGCAAGAGCTGAACCGTTACATCACTCATGCAAGTATCCAAACGCTTATTACGAAAAAGAAGCACATAACGCTGCCAATGGACACATCTCGGCGCCATGAAAACGCACCACTCTCATCGCCATCCTCACGATTACCATGACCACCCGTCTCAACCGGAAAATCAGGTGTCAAGGCTCTATTAGAAGAAGATAACGTCGCCGTGACGGAAGACCCAGGATAAGTCAGTGTCTGCGACGACACGACCAAGCCGCTGGGACCGATAGTGATAGTCTGGTTATCTATGACGGTTGTCTCGAAGTTGTTCAGATCGCCGTCTTGGTTGATGGCATATGTCGCGCCGTTGACAACGACGAGAGACGGAAGGACTTTCCCCACAGTGATGCCTCCAACTATTTCGTATTCTGTGGCTTTAGCGTTTGCCGAGGGCCCGCCGATGGTTGTACCGTGGAGGGATATGCCCCTTGGGCCGATTGAGATGGTTTCTCCGTTGATGACTGTTTGATTGGGGGCCATGTTGAGGCCATATGTGATGGTTGTAGAGTGCAGAACCACAAGAGAAGTGCCTATTGCCGTGAGCATCTCTCCTCCCGTCACGATCTCGTGAGTGGGCTGCGGCGACGGCAAGATGAGAGTTTCGCGACCGACGGCAATAGTTCCTGCTCCAAGAACAACTCTCTGACCGTTGATACTGGTGGTGGTTTCTTGGAGTGGGATTCTCACAGTGTTGCCGTCGATGATAGCTTGCGTGCCAGAAACTATTACTGGAATACCTCCCAAAGTTCCACTTGTCGCTGCCGGTATAGGAGGAGATGATGCTTGTGGTGCGGGTTTCGTGATTGTCGAGCCCAGTCCCACAACTGCAGTTGGGAAAATAGTGAATACTTCGTTTCCAACTGTGACTGTAGTTGTCTGACCTGGCTTCAGGTTAGACACGGTCTTGCTATTGATAATGACCTGTTCTCCCCCGGCGGTGAGTTGAAACGTGGGAACCGGCCGCTGCTTTACGCTCTGCGGGGTATCAAATGTAAGAATATCGCTCTGCGAATCGTCTATGGCCTCTACAGTCTTGTGATGGCCGTCTCCAATGTCGCCAGTAACCCATGTTTGGCTATAAACGGGAGTTGGTTCAGGTGAAAACACCACGGATGGATTCTTATCGGTCGTGATGAAAGTTACGACATGCCGAACTAAAGAAAGAAACGGCCTCATTGTGACGATGACTCCACCTCCACCCTTCCCAGCGGCATCAGGCGTCTGTGTAATAGTTTCAGGAAGATCAATGGAAAACGTGGGGAGCGGAATCGGGAGGTCAGACATAAAAAGGTCGTACGAGGGAGAGGCAGAGGAAGGGGCTATGACAGTTAATGTTGACGTTGAGTTGGATATACGGGTGGTACTGAAAACCGTTATCAGGGCTTCGCCAGCAGGAGAGCAATAATTTGGCGTTGTGATTGGTGAATAAGGGGGAGTGTAATCAGTGCTGTTGCCATAGAATGTAACTGTTGAAGTATAAACAATAGAATATTCTGTAACGGCCTTGTCACTAGCCAGTGGAGTACATGGCTCTGTTGAACTTGTGCTTGGTAGTGATGAAGAAGAGGTTGGAAACGTAAGTTTTTCGTTAGTAGTTGCAGCAGCTGATGAGCATTCCGATGCATCGCCATTTCCACAAATAGTGAAAGAACCAGTAGTAGAACCAGTTGTTGATGTCGATACTCGAGTCGGAACTTCTATTGTGCGTATATCCTCGGTCGCTGGAGGCGGAGTAGTTCTTCCGGGGTCGTCGATTTCAGTGCCAGTTATGTCCACATTACGTGATGGGGAGGACGTTGAAGGAGACACAGAAGATGGTAGCAAGCTACTTGTGGTATTATCTGTTGATGGCACAGACGCTGTCTCGGATATCGATAGTACATCGTGCTTCGTAGTTGGATCTGCCAATTCTGAGAGTGTCACCCCTGCTGCTGTTGATGCTGCCGTCGATAGGCCATGCTGAACAATTTCAATGCTGGTGTTGGACTGAAACTTTCGCCGCTGGTGATGATATAGAATCTCTGCATGAAAAGATTAGTAACACCATTTCCACACAAACAAAGCCAAAACCTCAACGCACCTGATCTTACAGCTGCCGTAGCACACTCTATTAAAAGTGATGCGTAGAACAACAGAACATTTGCGTGTTTCATCGTGCTCCCAACGGCCTGAATCCCTCAAGTCGGTGAGTGACTAAAATGGAGCGTACAGATGTAGAAGGAAACAATTTGGTAGGCCATCAGAGTGCTATCACCACCGGATTGTAGTGATCAAGAATTACCAGGACTTGATAAATTCACTAGAAGATACAAAGCAAGTGCAGGATTTTGCACAAACAATGATCAGTGCTAGAAGTAGGCTCTGGGTTGTATAAGGCGAGAGGCAAGAACAAATAATGAATGGGCTCGGTTTGCTACATGTATGCATGGGAAAGCCTTGTGCGGAGCATATGTGAGTACGCCAACGTCGCACATAGGCACAGGTACAACGTATAGCACACGGCATAGATCATAACTGCTGTGGTCTGCCGCAGACGACAAGAGGCGAGTGGAAGTCGGCCTTCAAACTACTCCGTGCATCCCCTAACAGTTGTTAGCCTGGTGCTAGGACCAACACACGGTCTCGAGCTCCAGAAAAGGAGACGAGGTATCGAGTGACTTTGGCCGCAGCCATATGACACATAACATATTCTGTATTAGAGCAATATGGGTGGTAGCATGGACTTCCAGCTGCTGTTGCTTGGCCCTGGTGATTCTGTAACAGCATTCTGCAATCTTGAGCTGACCGAGCCGCGAATATTGCGGCTATCTGTACGTCCATGCTTGAAGGATTGGGCCAACTCCGCAGCCTGCGTTCAGCCATTCCGAAATTGAGGCATCGAGAATGGGGACACAACGCTAGACGATGGAGAGAGCGAAATGGGAAGACGCGTCCATCCAACCAATAGACGTGTATGTATTCTGGGTGTTGGGAGGGGCATGAGCTAATAATTAAAAAGGGAGAAGATGGTCTTATTGTCTCATTTGAGACTTGAGCCTGCTGTCTGTTAAAATTTCCTGCAGGAGATGGGCTGAATAATAGCCCATGCCCCGGCTGCAGGAGGATTCACTGTGTGACGCAAGTATCAAGGACATGGCTGCAAAGATGGTCGAGAAAATGGCCGCCTTTCAAGCCTCCGCTAGAGAGCGGGTGGCGGAGAGCGGGTTATGCCTCGAAGGGGGTGCTTTCCATGATTGACCGATGTGTAAGTTGAGTAGCAGTCGGGGCCTCAGTAACGGCTGGGTTGCTTATTGGATGGTCCGAATACACGGATCGCGACAGCTTCCCATCTCAGCTTCGTGTGAGCACTCTAACTTCGGGTGGTCTTGTTCTCCCTTGGTTGCAATATTTTCTAGTCGTTCCATACCCTGCATGGCTCATTGAAATAGCGGGTGCGTACCAGCAAGAGAGATTATCACAGACTAGTCGGCGGAGGAGAAAACCTGACATTTGCTTTTTGTCTATTGTCTGAGACATTGCTCCCTTGGCTCAGCCGTTCCGCAACCTGTACAAATAGAAAGGTTATGCTCGGTTTGTGCACACCAGACCGCTTGTAAATCCCTTGCTCAGCCGACTATTGTTGCTACTAGCAGCTGCAAGGAGTAGTAGTGCGGAGAACTTGGCATCTAAAGGCATGCCATCGATAGGCCATGTTCTTGGTGTCGTTGCAGGGGGTGCCATCCTTGTTTCACTGGTACCGTACACCATCCATTTCATAGCTCCAAGGCCGATTGACAAGTCATCTTTTTCATTTAGAGCCCTGTGTGTTTGGTTCGACTCCGCATGTCCATCAACGATTTGGTTTTTTAGCTTTCAGCGGTGCGGAAATGGCGTTCGTATCGAGAGATGAGCATGAGATTTCGGGAATAGCTCTCTCAGCGCGTAGGATCCTTCGTTGGAAGATGTAAATGGTTGCGATTCAGCAAGGGGTTGGATAAAGGTCCTGGCCTGTCTTGTGTTGCTGCTGCAGTCCTCACGATTTGATGGCTGTGTCATAATCTGTGGTCGAGAGAATGAAGCTGCATGTGGCTGCGTAATTGATGATTTTGTAACCGTTGGATCGCATGGGGTTTAGCCAACGAATACAAACAAAGTGCACGTCTTTTCTGGAAAATATATGTCATATGGTTTGTGATTGCTGCTAGGTGGTTTGCTTGTATGTTGTCGAGGAAGAAAAGCCCTGCGTCTATTTTTTTTTCCCCCCGAAGTTATCTAGGGTAGGTAGCTGTTGGTGTTGTGGCATCGTCAGTACCAAGTACAATGACTACCGCTGTTACAAGCCAGTAACTCGCGCCATTCTCAGGTATTGCGAACTTCATCAAGCACAGTCGCTTAGCAGGCAGTTAGAGTTTAGTACCTAGTGCCAAAGAGGTACCTTCAAGTTATAGCAGTTGGGACACCGAGGAAGGCACCCACCCTCTTCATATTCATATTGATATTACCTGCTGGCTATTTACCGCTTGACCATGCTTTCAACCCCAGCAGCATCGCAAATCTCATTACTGGCCTCCAATGGAATACTGCCAACACATTTTGAAGCCACTCAACCCGCAGGAGTCTACCAAGCATCTGCTGTGCTAATCTCACTTGGAGGGAGTAGCAATACGAGTACTGGTGGGCAGCATCGCTAATATTCCATCGCGGCAGACAAGGCACCCGTATGCGGCAGGGAGCTTAGCTCCGGCACACACGTCCCCGGTCAGCACTTTACTTGTACATGGCGCAAGGGCAAGCTACAACGAACGGGAGTCAGTACGCAGAGCAGACAAGCAGAGCACTGGTGGGCGTTTGGACCTCGACTCTCCAAGGAGGGGCCAGTCGCTTGGCAGCCTCTACAGTACGGCATACCGGGATACTCGAGACGAGAGCAATGGCTCGCATGATACGGGCAGTGGTACATACTCGTACGACTGCCTGGGTCCTGAGAACCGTGTGGGATGGTGGGGAGGGCGGGTGGCTCTTGTTGATCCCGGCTCTAGCCATCGAGCGGTGGATCCCATCTCCAGATACTGCTGATCCTGGGCTTTGACCCCGGCTGTCCAGATGCTGTTGCTGGTGCTGTTAGACTCCCGTTCATCTCAATAAGCCAAGTCGGCGTTGTTCTGCTGTTGCAGTATGACGATACCATGGCTGGCCTCGGAGGCGCCGTGCGCTCGTTTGAACGCGAAAACCATCGAGGAACATTCGCATTCCAACAACGTTGAATGGCCATAGACAGCGCTCTGTATTTTGTACCAGAGCAACAATTGATGTGCATCACGCAGTCACACCGAGTCCAGGGCGGTTGCCAGGCCAGGCATGTGAACAGCGCCCATCAAGCCTAGTGCGGTGCTGGCTTGTATTCCGTACATGTCCGAAACCTCGTGAAGCCTAAAAGTACAGGCAGGTAGACTACCCTCATGTCTCGCCATCAGTGTCTGACCCGCATGGCAGTTGGGCCGAGCACTCTCAGCACAGCTTCGTCACCGAAAGTGTCGCCAGATCTCTCATTCTTCCACTCTTGTAAGCATACTCTGAGTAGCATTTGCCAACAGGCTGTTACTGGCGTTGAAGTGCGCAGGTGAGCTGACTGCTGGGCGTACTTGCAGAAATAAGATTCATGTACTACCAGCACGGGCACTTTGATGGGCCAAAGCGCTCCCTGCTTTTTACATTTCAGACACATGGTGATGATGAAATAGAAGCGGTCAAGCCTAGACTGTCTCAACCCGCGTTGTTATTGCAATATGCTGTCTTGCATTGCAGGCTCATCATCCAGGGCGCTACGTGCTTCTCTGTAGCTGCTCCAAGAGATTCGAGCACTCCATTTTACAGGTATCAAGGAACATACCCGGTGGCGCGTCCAGAAAGCGTGGGCCACCCCCAAAGTGTCGCCCCAATGAGGCATTGACAACTGAAACCATTCCCCATCCCTGCTCCCGTTCTGGCTGGCAGCCATTACGGCTAGATATTACTACTGGCATTAGCGCTTCCGTGAGCCATTGATGGCTTGGTGGCTAGACCAAACTGGCGTTGCTAAGGTGGTCGGAGCGCGCTTCAGTATCAGACATTCGGGATAGAGTCCCTGCTCATCCCAAACTGACAGCTGGAATGTTCTAAATGGGCCCCCATCGGGTAAGTGGCAAGTGTGCAGAACAGATGTCCATCCCTTTGGGTCGAACTGTCAAGGGCGCCGCCCCATTTCCCGACGAGGTTTTTGGAAGATCGGTCTAAAGCACCCGTGTTGTGTACATGTATCCAGTACTCGATACCGTTGGCAGCATCCCCCCTGGCACGAGGTACACCACCAGCCATCCATTCGAAGGGCCACTGACAGGTGGCCCAAGCCTTGCATTTCTATCCCTCACCTTCGTTTTTCTTCATCTATACACCGCAGAGGCAGTCCCGTGGAACCTCATGCTGTCCAAGAGCAAGGTGTCCTTGCTGCGTGAATCTGCCTGCCGGACCACGAGGTTTGTGGCGTTCCCAGTTAACTGAACGCTGCAGATTCCCTACGGCCCCACGACCTTAATCTTATGGATGCAGTGCTGCGGTAGTGTCAAGAGTACAACGCAGAAGCTGAGAGACTTTCATAACACCAGGCTCTTCATCCCCAGCAATACTGTAACCTGGGGGGATTCTTAACACGAAAGCTTGCGGCGTCGCAAGGTCGCCATCGACGAAATGCGTCGTGATGTCCTAGTGATTGTAGCAGTAGCCGGTCTTGCTTATGCAAATGACCCGGCCCCGGTGTCATTTGATGCCGGAGATTGGTATGTTTACTTTTTTAAAGCTGCCTTCTGTTAATACCAACATCAGCGTTATAAACACTCGTCATCGTGTGACTAATGTCGAATTGATAGGCTTGGTATTGATGGTAACTGGTCAACCATCAAAGTCTTACTGGGCTCGAACTCGGATCTCGTCAATGTTCTTATGAGCACGTCACTCTCTGAATTTTGGGCCATTGGACCTGGAGGCTGTTTAAAAAGTACGTCCCAATCTCGACTTGATCGGGGGCCTCCGTTATTCGCAAGAGATTTCGCGGGATCAGGCCATAAACGTCCATCTATCAATCAAGGAGCTGACTCGGGCCTCATAGAGGAACCACACTGCACGGCTGCTCGCGGTGGTATTTACACTCCATTTGCATCTAAACATTGGTCATACATGGGAATTTGGCAGCTCGGTTTGGACTACTTGGGCTATGGTGGGAACGGCCAGTATGGATTGGACACAGTCAATGCATACAGCACGATTACCGATATTGGATTCGGCATGTCCAATGTCCTCATGTCTGCGATCAACACAACAGACTACTATTTGGGCTATTTCGGCCTCGGTATTACACAAGGCAGCTTTGGTCATGAAGTCGCTCAATCACCTTTAACACAAGCCGTCCATACCTTTGGATGGATTCCCAGTTATAGTTATGGCTATACAGCTGGCGCTGCCTACCGTACGTCTTCAGTTTACCTACATGAACAGCCAGTGCTAACATTAAAGGACAGGAAACATGCCCGTATCGATTACCTTGGGCGGCTATGACACGGCTAGATACGTGCCACACAGCGTCGACTTCACCTTGACTCCGCAAGACAACATGCCTCGCGCCTTAATCAGAGGCATCGAAGCATCTGTGAATAAGAGCACCACTAAGCCCAAAAAGTGGCTATCCGAAACAGCAAGCCTTTCAGACTGGAACAACTCTTTCACAGCCTTGATTGATAGTACCACGCCATATCTGTGGCTACCAAACACAGTCTGTGATGAGTTTGCAAATGCATTCAACTTGACATATAACAAGACATTTGATCTATATACCCTTACGAATGAGCAGTATAACAGCTATGGCTCATCAGATTCCTTCACCTTCACCTTTAGCTTTTCGAGCTTTGATAACCATGACAATTTTGGATCTCCTCTGGATGTACCGGGCCTGGTAAACATCACTGTGCCAATGCGAGCATTCGTGAGCCTATTGCAATACCCTTTTATGAATCAGACAATCAAATATGGAGACCCGGCCGTGCCATATTTTGCACTTCGGAGGTCTCAAAATGATTCCGCAATCATCATCGGCCGATCGTTTCTACAGGAAGCATACCTAATAACGAAGTATGACGAGGCTGTATTCTCAGTTCACCAGGCCAAATTTCCTCAACGGCCTATAGCAGACGCAAACTTGATAGCCATCAAGCAACCTAATAACAGCCCTTACCCGCCACCACCGAAACAGACAGGCACGAAACTAAACACAGGACAAATGGTTGGCATCGCTGTTGGTGCCATTCTACTGTGCCTATTCTGCCTTGTGAGTGTATGCTATCTGTGCCGCCGAAGAAGATCGCAGGAAAAGGGCGAGGAGACAACCACCAAGGAAACCAAGGACAGCGCATCCACAATTGTTCCGGATACACCAAGGATACCGAAGCCTGCCTTGTTTTGTAAATTTACACGACGCAAAAGGTTACAGAGCGATGTGACAAAGTCCACTACCACTGCCGTTCTCTCACATTGCATGGAGGCTCCAGATTCGGAAATCTACGAACTCCCAGCCCCTATGGCTCCCGTTGAACTTGATGCAAGTGATGGAGAGGATAGCGGCTCAATAATTTGCGATACTATTCCAGGCACGGACACGACAAGGAGCCTCAGCGCATATGAGGTAGCGAGGAGGAAGATGGACCGACAGCTTCAGGGCCCTGTTCCTGAATACTCGCCACCTCAGCTAGAGATTGTGCTGCCGCGAGAAAAGGCAATATCACATGATACCGGCGCAGCTTATGCGGCCTGGAGTAGGGAAACAACACCTGTCTCGCCAATGAAACCTGGATCGGGAACCAGCTCTCTTCCAACATCGCTTCCCTCACCCATCTCTTCTGGGTCGGGGTATAGTAGTCATCCGGACAATACGTCGCAACCAGCTGTTACCCCTGTTGCGACTCATATATCAGACAGTGGCTCAACAGGTGTGCACGAGCAGAGCGACGAGGAAAGTACGCGACTGGGGGCTAGGTCAAACTCAGGAGACTCAGAAAGCCAGGGCCAAAGCTCATCTCCAATGGCGTGCCAGAAAACCCCAATTGACCCAACAAACATTGTCTGCTTGGGCAATCTCCCAGAAAATATGCAATCGCTCAGACACAGCATCATGTTGGCGCATATCGTGAGCCAAGAGAACCGCGATAGCATTAGTAGCTTCACACCCCGGTTCAAAGCTGAGTTCCATCTTTCCGAACAGAGTCTAGGAAGCAACTATACAGATGAGGAAGAACGAATCATGCATGAAGTGACGCGGCAAGCTACATTCTCCCTTGCCCGGTCAAAAGGGGAGCCATCCTCTGCTGAACCGACAGGAGAGCGAGGAGAGGAGCACAATTTGGGCACAAACAACCCTTATTCTTCACGGGGAGAGGAACGAATAGATGGGAATGACCTCATCCATGTCCCTCAAATGGCAGAAAAGCGATATAGCTGGGAAGACTAACGGCCAATTTGCCAAAACTCTGATTCTGCCCGGTAAGATAAACGTCAAGTATCTGTACTTTCTTATTGTACTTCTTCCTTTTATCACTCTTTGTTACAGTCCTTTCATTTTTCTCTTTTTTTCGTCTGCTACATAGCTAGCAGTGGAGTTTTCTTTGGAGGAATGGGGCTGGTGTATTCTCCGAGCTATTGGCATTTCACAGGTGAGACCATGAATGTATTCAAAAAATCTGGACCAGGGAGTTTTTATGGCGGATCTTATACCACCACTTTGCACCGCAATTTTTTCTTTTCTGTTTTTATACAGATTCTTTTTTGTAACTTGTACACCAGAGATGACGGATACCTATATATATATATATAGTATGAGCAGGTTGCCAGAGGAGGGCATGTTTTGAGTGGTGATGGCGAGGCTCCTTCACATGGCTCTCTGGCTTCTCTTGTCGCATGCTTAGATAGAAATAATAAAGTTAGAAAAAAAAATATCAATCAGATTCGTGAATACTTTCGCTACTAACTTGAATCGTCAGGTAGTAATGGCCTAAACAATAGCCCATACCCCATTCTAATGCACTCTATGAATATCATGTTTCGCCTCTATCTGCGCACGCCTTCACCAAATTTCCTGCCACCATGTTATTGCTCTCAACATCTCCTTACGAGTCTCCTCGTCCCCATTTTCAGTAAAAGGGTCAAAGACGGCGCGTTTGCATGCATCGGCCATCTTCGTGGAGCCTCCGCAGACGGCAAAAATGGCCCTCTGAGGAATCAGCTTCTCCAGCCGGGGAGCTTCCTTGCGAACCAGATCTTGGACGTAAATCTTCTCGCGCTGGTCTCTTGAGAAGGCCGTAAAGACGAGCAGCTGAGAGTTTTTCTTGGCTGCATCTTCCGCGAGCGCACGCCACTCGTCCTCGAAGAAGTAGTCAGCTGCGCGGTTACGGTTGCCGAAGAAAATGATCATGGGTGCTGGGAATGGATGCGTAAGGCGTTCGTGGATGAGGGACCGCACGGGAGCGACGCCGGTGCCCGTGGCCATGGCGATGAGCGGCCTCTGGGCATTGGCGGTGCCGTGGATGGGCGAGAGGACATGCTTGTAGGAGACGCGGAGGGTTGCGCCGGGGAGGAGGCTGGCAAGATAACGGGAACAAAGGCCTTCCCGGGGCTTGCGGAGGATGGTGCGATATTTTACCATGGCGACCAAGAGGTCGACTCTGGTGGATGATTCGTGTGAGGGATGGACTGCACTTGTACCTCCGTTGGCGATGCTGAAGTCGCGGCCGCGGATGAGCGGGAAGACGTCGAGGAGACGCTCCGCCGGGATCTTGACCGAGGTGAATTCGTCGAGGACCTCGATGATGCTGCGGCGAGAGCGCGTGGCGTAGTCAAAGTACTCATCCATGTATTCAGGCATGTTGAATTCGAGCAACCGCTCACGGTGGTACTCGTCAGACGAGAAGTAGGACATATTCTTCAAGAAGGAGCGGCGCGGGATGGCGGTTATGTCGATGTTGTTGAGGAGCAGGTCGCGGAGCGTACATGATGCCGGAGCGTACAGGTTGTGCGGAAGGGACTTGCAGGCCGACAGGTCAAGCGGCCTGTCGGCGACGCTGTTCCAGTCCATAAGGTCAATCAGCTTCTGAACGTCATGCGGGAAGTTCTTTGGGTAGAGCGTGAGGCAGTCTCCCGGGACGCATCTGACCCTTTCACCAGATGGATGAGCGGGTATGTCGAATGAGGCGAGGCGGACATCCTGCCAGTGTTCCTGCGGCGTCAATCTTTCGTTCTGTGTCAGGGTTGCTGTCCATCCGGCTGGTATCGGCAAGAGACCTGGGGGTGGCAGGTTGGGCTCCGTGGGCGTGGCATTGGTGTGGTTTATTGAAAGAGAAGACACATTAATCTCCTGAATCTTTTCAGAGAGAGCATTTAGAGCTGGGCCAAGAGACCAGCGGGGAGGAAGAATGGTGTCCTCGGGGATGGGCTCCAAGCCCGACGGAGGTGGGTAATGCTCCAGGAGGTGCTTTTTCAGGTCCTCAGCCCATCTGATGAAACTACCGTCGATGCTAGAGAGATAATGTATGAGCTTCTTGCCAACGTAGATTCCGGGCCATAAGAAAGAATATAGTTGGGCCTACCCATCTGGAAATTGTTCATCTGCTTCATAAGTGTCGATGAATGTGGCAGCGCCAAGCTGGTCCAGTCTGCGCACAAGCTTTCGCGCAGCCCAATTAAACCTGGACACAAGTCGTTCATGATTAGTTTACATGACCATATTGAGACATAGAGGTAGTGTATGAAAGGCATTTTTCATACTTGAGATACGTGCTGTCGCCAAGGCCGAAGCAAGTGTACCTCAACCGACTCAAGCAGTTTGGTGGCAACTTTTTCCGCAGGAGCTTTTTCCAAAAGAGGAGCGAGTTGTGAGGCATGTCACCCTGGCCGGTTGTTGAGATGACAAAGATGACGAGCTGGTGCTGTAGTAGAGCATTCTGCAACATGGGGGTTGTCGTTAATCACATGTTCCCGGACATCTTCTCCTGTTAAGCGACAGACAACGTACAAGATCTGTAGCATCAAGCTCCTCAACATGGCTCTCGAAATGGAGCCTCTGGCACAGCCGGCCAAGCTCTTCGGCTATATCCTGGGCATTGCCTGTTTCTGACCCATACAGGACCAGGACGCTTCTCTCTTGGCTTGCCATGGCGACAAGGGTAGACGAACTGCCGAACGCCAATCGGATTGTTGCTATGCGTGCTCACAAGGAACAACTATGACTCGCATAGTGTCGAGAGAATTGCTTCTTCTCCAGAGTGTAGATGCGCCTATCGCATTGGCATTTTTATTCTTGTACGAGGAGTCTCGCTAGTTTGCATGTAGGAGAAAAAAAAGCGGGTGTCCGATGCCGGGCTGCAGCCGTTTTTGGTGGAGTCCATCTGATCTTATCGGTTCATGCTGCTTTATCTGATCAGAATTGCCTCTCCCGGCATGGAGCCACGTGCCGTGACATGCAAGCAAACGAAGTTAGTAAATCAAGACAATGGACGAAAATAAGGTTAAATCTACTGTTTTGGACAGACTGATGATGGTATGGACCTTGAGAGAGTTTGAGCAGGATACATGTATAGAATTCGGCCCGCAGACTTGAGTTCCTAGGAAGCTTTCCTGAGCAATGATTTATTTCATGTCGCAAGCATCATGTGTGAATCTGATGCCAAGGTACAAACCAACACAACACAAAGCCTCACTTCAAGCTACTATGCGTGATTCCATGTTTGCGTTGCACATGTCTGCAAAATCTCTTTGCGCTCAGCAACATTTTATCAGTGCTTTTTTAGTCGCCAACGGACTGGGTATCTGGGGACGGCTTGCTCCGTTCTTGTGGCTGGGCTAGCAAACAGCTCGGGGCAAGCTCTAGACACAACTACAGTACCACAGGCAACCTCGGCTGCTGGCAAAGACACAGAGCAGAGCCAATGAGTCGGGGAACCGCTGTTTCGATGATGCCCAATCTTAGTACCTACATATATAAGGCAGCATGGCAGATGCCCTGCGCAAACAAGTGTCTGCCCGGTGAAATCAGATTTTAAGCGAGACAATCAGCAGTGCTGAAGCTTCCCAGGATTGCACTTGTTTGGCCATGGCTCGGGCCACGTTGCCCACCTTAGCTGGGTGGATCGGCGACCAGGGCATCGAGATCCCCCTGTGCGACCATCCTATCTGGACGATGAGCCAAAGTTGAAGCTCAACAGATGGATTGGTCGCCGTGGTCCCTTGCAGGTGTTTTAGGCATGTTGGTCGTGTCTCCTGTTGCCTGTGCCTGTGCCGCAGCAAATAAGCCCGAGTGGGTAAGAAACCGGAGAGCCTGAGTAAGAGGCGTTGGTGAGTTGTCGGTAGCTGCACGTCCACATCAGACGACTGAATAAGCGTGGCTGCCGTCACGTCATGCTCGAGCTGCGTTACTGTGCTCATCCCCTTTCCCACCGATAATATGGAATGCAGTACTCGTATGGGATCCATCGATATTAGTATTGGATTGCAATGCTTGGGAGCAAACTGCCGCCTCCTATGTAAATGCAAGGGAGGCATGGCTGGAATAGGGGCTTCTGATGCAGTGGCAGCTGCCCTTGAAACAAAGCTCCCTCACGAAGCGCAGCATACAGTATTGCCTTAGCACTACCTAGGTAGGTACGGTGGTAAATTATGGGGAGAAGCAAGTTTCACAGCGTTTACGGGCGGTACCTGCCCGTTGGCAGCGCGGCAGGCACGGACAACCTTGGATGCACTGCATTGGATGATGTACTGATAGCACGGTTTACAGTTCTGCCAGGTACCGTCTGTCCATCTGGATTGCATCAACCGCGCCTCTGTAATGGAACCTTATAACATGGAGCACCCACAGTGCCTGTATTACTAAAGTACCTACTTGCAGCTTGCGTGTTCAACTCCGCACCTGCTACCTGTGCAGTAATAGTGCTCCATCGCAGGATATTAGGCCATCCAGCAGGCATCTTAGAATAGGGGCGCATTGCAGTGCCTTGCCTGACCACCAGCTTCCACGAGTTCCAGAATGTCAGGAACAAGATACACCTTGACCGCATCTGCCCAGGGGCCGCCGGGTACTTGCAACGCCGGTACTGCCTGGTAGCGCTACTCGGTACCCCAAAGCCGGGGGATACATGCCACGACTTGCGCAGGAGGGGTCTGGACTTGCCGCAGCGCCGCCTGAGCTCCGCCCAAGCTCTGCGCGAGTGCTGCCTGCCTTCCCCTCCTCCCTCGTACCTGCCGGGTCGCGGGGTACCTGCCTGCCGAGCCTGAGTGCACCTGCGATGCTCGTACCTCCCCCCCTGCACGGTCCTTCCCAAGCACCACCTCCGAAAAAATATTTCAGTTATCGCACGCCTCGCCTCTCCTCCTCCCCTTTTCCCTTTCTCTCCATCACACACCTTCAGTCAACCTGTGTTTCCGCGCAACGCATCGACGTCTGTCTCCTCTCAACTTGTTTCTAGGGCACCAAGCTACCCTGACCCAACTCCCTCCCTCATTGCACCAGAGTTCAAGTCCGACTCTCTTCCACAACCACACGTCATACGCCGACTATAGCATCTCCTCTCCATCCGACTCGTCACCATGTCTGCTACCAACGTGGAGAAAGGCCCCGACGCCAACCCCGTTAATGACGCTGCAAACGCTCTGGGCAACCTCTCAATCAACAAGCCTGCCGATGATAAGGCTGCCGCCAACGAGGCCGCTTCGGCCAGTGCCGCTGAAGGTCGCCGTCTGTACATTGGCAACCTGGCATATGCGACAACTGAGGGAGAGTTGAAGGATTTCTTTAAGAGCTACCTTGTGTAAGTAGCCCCTCGTCCTTTGCACCTTATTTCTTTGTTTCTACCTACCACGGCATTTTTGGGGGGCCTCTTCACTTCTCTTTGACCTTGAGGCCGGTGACAAAGCACATCCCACCGTGAACGCTTCGGCGGCCCAACTTTGCGACGGTGTCCTGATTGGCGGTGAATGTCACTCCGCCCCGGCATTGCTAGCATTGCATCACGCGATTAGCCTCTCACCTATTTCTCACCCCCGCAAGCCCTCAGTAGAGCCTGCAGTTTGCCTGTGCCTCGGTTTCCCATCTTTCTACTGCCAATCTCTTTTGTTCTATTTCATTTCATCATGCAGAGCATGTACTGACGGCCCAATCCTCGCAGCGAGTCTGTCTCGATCCCCAAGAACCCTCGTACTGACCGCCCGGTCGGCTACGCCTTTGTCGATCTCTCTACCCCCAACGAGGCTGATCGTGCCATTGCTGAGCTCTCTGGCAAAGAGATTCTCGAGCGAAAGGTTTCTGTTCAGCTCGCTCGCAAGCCCGAGCCTGCTGGTGAGAAGCCCGAGGGCGCCAACGGAGAGGGTTCTGGCGCAGAGGGAACCCGCCGCCGAGCCTCTGGCCGTGGCCGTGGTCGCGGCCGTGGTCGTGGTGGACGCGGTGGCCGTGGCGGCCGCAATGCCACTGGCGTAAGTCTCTCCCTTCCGGGCTGTTGTCCGACACGGTACTGACATGATTGTTTCAGGAGGGCGATGAGAAGAAGGAGGATGCCTCTGCTGACGCTGCCGGCGAGGCTGAGCCTCTGAAAGACATTACCAACACAGCCTCGGACGAAGCCAAGGGCGACAAGAACGACAAGAAGAACCAGAACCGCCCCCAGCGTGAGCGCCGCGAGCGTGGCCCTCCTGCTGACGGCATTCCTTCCAAGACCAAGGTCATGGTTGCCAACCTGCCATATGACCTGACCGAGGAGAAGGTGAGTTTTGTATAGCCCAAGTTTATGAAGATGCGTGCTAAGTTATATGAGAAGCTCCTTGAGCTCTTCAAAGAATACGAGCCTTCGTCAGCCAAGATTGCTCTCCGACCCATCCCCCGCTTCATGATCAAGAAGCTTCAGGCTCGTGGCGAGGCGCGCAAGGGACGTGGCTTCGGCTTCGTCACCCTGGCTTCCGAGGAGCTCCAGCAGAAGGCCGTTGCTGAGATGAACGGAAAGGAGATTGAAGGACGTGAGATCGCCGTCAAGGTCGCCATCGATAGCCCCGACAAGACCGACGAGGAGGCCAATGCTCCCGCAGCCGCCAACGGCACCGAGGAGGTCGCCGCTGAGGCCCCGGCTGCTACTGCTTAAATTTAAGCGCGGCAATTTTTTTTTCACAGGCTGAACACATTGCCGCCTACGTTTGATGAGTACTCTTTATGATATGGCACGCGATTTGGACGATTTCAATTATGACGCCAGGACTGGCTTTTATATCTTCATTGGGGCTGGAAGGGAGCTACATTCAAATATTGCTTCAACTCTTCATATCCCCAAGACGGTATAACGTGCCAGCTACTTCTTGACAAGTTAATATTTCCCCTCCTTTGGAGCATGGGATTTGAAACCGAAAAAAAAAGGCCGCTTCAAATGTTTTTTTATTTTTCGTAAATGCCTTTCCTAGTTACTATTTTCTTTTAGCTATGCGGTAACTCAAACCAAGGGCGGCAGGCAAAAAGGAAAGCGAACACGAGAATGAAAAGAGTATATTTTGGCTGTGATTTGCTGCATTGTGTCCTTTGAGTGATGTCTTTGTCTTGTTTGTCTCTCGATGGCTTTCCTTTCTCTGAGTATTCTGAGTTGTGCATGTGTAAACAGACAAGCCTGCCCTTTGTTGCAATTGGCGAGGGATTCATTATACGACTTGGAAATGCTTGTACAATTATATCAGGCATCGACGATAACAAGCATGATGGATGCACCAGTACATGGATAATGACCCTGGTAATCTACCTCCCAGTTAGAGCTGCCCAGGCTTGGCGGGCGCAGTTCTTGATCCCATGTCGGCATTGATACACAATCTACTGGATTCGGGGTCCGCTTGGAGGGACGCCTTGTTTGCAGTGTTCGAATTGATTCTCGCCGCCCAGATCAAGTTATCACGGTGCAGCAAGCTATACGAGGGAGAGTCGAACCATGTGCAAGGTGCAATGCTCGTTGTATTCCGGTTGCTGCAACTTGAGGATTCCGATAATACCAATGATGGCTTGGATGGCGATAACGGGGCGAGAGGCCTGCGTCTCAATGGAGACAGCGCTGGTGCTATTTAGTGGCTGCATGTGCTAAATGATAGGCATTTGATTCATTCCCTGGCACAGCATGGCGATAAGAGGCAATGGGTGGCATTGTCCAGGGCCAATAGCCTGCGAGCGGCGCAAAACCTTGGGGGAGGGAACAATGTATTCTATCTACCAAGGTTTAGTCCACATCAACTCTAAATGGATGATATAAAACCAAAATAAAATAAAGACCGGAAAAACAACAAATGTTTGTTGTTTATCTCTGAGTTTCATCACTAATTAGAAGTTTGCATATAGGATGTCAAGAGATTTGGATGCAAGTGTACGAGTATGAAAAAGGTACAGGCAGCTTTTGGTGGCATCTGACCTACTGTTTTGGAGACTTTTGCGTCTGAACTGTAATGTGCAGCAGACCTGCAGAGCACGGCGAAATTATGGGGTTTCATGTTTGGGGGCTCCAAGACCAAAGGCCCCGCTCCCCTTGCCGCGACAACCTCCCTGCTGCACCAGAAACATCACGCGCCAGAGCCGTCGAGTCGTTGCAAGTTCGCCTTTTGTTTTTGTCACAACTCGCAGCCGCTGCTTTTGCCTTTCCTTCACCTCTCCATCCACGCTCTTCTTCGGAACGCAATGGCTTCCAAGGCCATGTGGGAGGTCGATCCCGAGACTCGGTCCAAGGTACGGCGCATCTTCTTGCTTGCTCCTCGTCCCCCCTTTCGCCAGCCGGCGCATCGTCTGCTTTGGCAACGGCCCTGATGACGGCCAAACAACTGACCTGGCCCTGATTATCCTACTATAGTTGGCCGCTCTTCAAAAGGAATCCAAGAACAATGTCTGCTGCGACTGCAATGCCCCGTCGCCACAGTGGGCGTCGCCCAAATTCGGCATCTTCATCTGCCTGACGTGCGCCGGCGTCCACCGCGGGCTCGGCGTCCACATCTCCTTTGTCCGAAGCATATCCATGGACGCCTTCAAGGCCAACGAGATTGAGCGCATGCGCCTGGGCGGCAACGAGGGCTGGAGGAAGTTTTTCGAGGAGCACGAGGACACTAAGATGAGGGGGCTCACCTGGGACGACGCCACCATTGCCGAGCGATACAGCGGCGAGGTTGGCGAAGAGTGGAAGGAGAGGTTGACATGCAAGGTTGAGGGACGAGAGTACGTTCCCGGCGAGAAGAGGCCCGTGACTACACAGTCGACCCCCGCCGCTGCGAAGCCGTCTACTCCTCTCGGCGGTTCCGCAAACCGAAGCCAGAGCCCCCAGCAGGGCGGAAAGGTCAAGGTGGACGACAAGTATTTCGCCAAACTGGGAGCAGACAATGCCTCACGGCCCGATGACCTGCCTCCCAGCCAGGGCGGAAAGTATGCTGGTTTCGGAAACATGCCTACCTCCGACAAGTCCAGCCAGGGAGGGATGCTGCCGCTGTTTGACGATGTTCAGAAGGACCCAATGGGCGCCATCACCAAGGGATTCGGCTGGTTTGCCTCCACCGTGTCCAAGACCGCTAAGACGGTGAATGATGGATACATTCAGCCCACTGCGAAGAGCGTGAGTTATTTCCCCACTTGTTTCTATGAGTCCCGCTCTGCAGATTAGCAGCAATTACTCTACTTAAGCTAACACTTTTGCTTTCCCCTATCTCTAGATTGCCGATGGCGAGTTTGCCAAGCAGGCCCAGTTGACGGCCGCACAGATTGCCAAACAAGCACAACTTGCCGGCAAAAACGCACAAGAGGGCTTCACCAGATTTGTCGAGGGCCCCGACTCCAGCAAGCGAAGCGCACCTCTGGATGCCAGCCGCAAGGACTTTTGGGATGATTTCTCCAGCCTGGCGGAGCAGCAGAAGCCCAACAATGCCATCGGCACAAGTGCTATAGGCATGGGGAAGAAGACGACCCCAGGAGCCCCGGCTCAGAAGCCCAAGACTGGCGATGAATGGGATGATTGGTAAACAGTTAAGATGATTTCATGTTTGCTGGCGTTGGAGTACTATGGCCTGGAGAGATACACTTTGACGAAATATGAGCGTTTGGAATAAATTGACAAGATGATAGCCGTCATCCAAGACACGATGGCCCATATACCAATTATGACGAGTGACCTCGAGGCGAATTCAGCTCGTTGAACGAGCCTGGATGAAGAAACGGCATGACGGAAGCCGCTGAGACGCGCCTGTTAGATACCAAGTAGGTGGGTATGCATCTGCTTTTATGTGTGTACCTGCTGCTCAGACTACAATAGGATGGTATTGCTGGAGAATAATGCTGCCAGGGGGAGAAAAATTCATGTATATACAAGATGCATCTAAATAATAATTCATTTTTCCCATCCCGTAATAATTATGTTGTATCCATGACATCTCCTGCTTTCTAACTTGGTCGAATCAATGATATCTCTGGCCCGACGCCGGGATGATGTCACGTGAGTGAGTATCCGAGGTTGCACGGGAGCCGGCCCTAGCCGGCAGCTGTAGGTTTCGGGTTGTCTCTTGGCCCGGCTATTTCATGCTCGTATGTCGAGATCAGGAACGTCCCTCATTCTGGTCACATCCAACCCATCAAACACCCAGAAATTACAATGTCTGCCCTGCGGATTCTCGTCCCTGTCAAGCGAGTCATTGACTATGCAGTAAGAAGAGCCCCGATTTCCCATTGTCCGCTTTGAGGAGCAGGCCAATTGATCCAATCGTCAACAGGTCAAGCCGCGAGTCAACAAGGCCCAGACGGGCGTGGAGACGGCCGGCGTCAAGCACTCGATGAACCCATTCGACGACCTGTCAGTCGAGGAGTCGGTGCGAATCCGCGAGAAGAAGCATGCGCCCGGCGGCGTCGAAGACATCTGCGCCTTCTCGGCCGGCCCTCCCAAGGCACAGGAGATTCTGCGGACGGCCATGGCCATGGGTGCTGACCGCGGCATCCACGTCGAGATCAAGGAGGGCGAGGAGTTGGAGCCGCTGACTGTGGCCAAGCTGCTGAAGAAGTCGGTGGAGGAGCAGAAGAGCAACCTGGTGATCCTGGGCAAGCAGAGCATCGACGACGACGCGGGGCAGACGGGCCAGATGCTGGCGGGCCTGCTCAACTGGCCGCAGGCAACGCAGGCGAGCAAGATTGAGTTTGGGCCCGACGACGCCGTGACGGTGACCAAGGAGATTGACGGCGGCGTGGAGACGGTGCGGGCGAAGCTGCCCATGGTAATTACGACGGACCTGCGACTCAACACGCCGCGGTACGCTACGCTGCCTAATATTATGAAGGCGAAGAAGAAGAAGCTGGACAAGAAGACGCTTGAGGACTATGGATTGACGAATGAAAAGAGGCTGAAGGTGCTGAAGGTTACAGGTGAGTTGACTGAATTTCTACATGGCTGTCTACTCTTCCGGGATGACATTGAGGCTAATATATGTGTGATGAACAGAGCCGCCGCAGAGACAGGGAGGTGGCAAGGTTGAGGATGTCGATGGGCTGATTGGAAAGCTGAAGGAGCTGGGCGCTCTGTAAAAGGGGGGATGCGTACATTGTAGATCTGGTATACTTTGGTTTTAACTAGACGTTCCATTTACACCTGGTATGGTAGATAGTCTATTACAGAGGAAATGATATATCAATGCGACGTCTACCTTAATCAATCTTGCATTATTACAAAAACTTAAAGTCCATTCTCTATCGGATTGCACCTCTACAGCCTCAGCAATTGACTACTTACCTCTACGTCAACCAATGCCTCGACATTGTTCCATCTGTCCCGCCATCTACGGCTATTAAACTCATCACGTCAAACCTAGTGGCTTCGCAGCAGTTACTCGCATATGCATGTGCAAACCATGTAAACCATGTAAACCATGTAGGGCCACGCCCTGCCGCCATGCCATGCCACCTCTGCCTGCGCCTTTCTGCATCTCCAAAACTCGTCTCTCCCCCTGTCTTCTCTTCTTCTCCCGCAAATCCCGCGCAATGACTGCATTGTCAAAATAGGGCACACGAGCCACAACGATATCGGCGCCCCAGAGCTCGCCCAAACAGGACAAGCCGGGCTTGTCAGAGCGGCACTAACAGGCTTGCAACGGCAAATCCAGCCAACCATTGGCCAGCAATTAATCGTTGGCCCAAAATCATCAATGAGCAGAAAAAAAAAACCGATGGCACTAAACTATTATCTGACCCCTCCGGTGCACCCTTTTCTTCCTCTCCTCTTTTTTTTCTCTTCTCTTTCTTCTCTTTTCTTCTTCACCATCTGTCAGAAGAGTCAACAGTCCAATCGCACTTTGTGCAAAAGCCCGCATCAGCTCAATTCAATCGTACCAAGAGTGCCTTGTGCCTCGATTATATATCTTCGACCTGCTGTTTCTCAATCCGCCCTTATGAACGGGCGCCCGTCGGAGTTCACTTCTCAGGTATGTGACTCTTGTCTCGCTCTGTGCTGTGATGTATATCCACGGCTCCCCACGTGCCTTTTACATACAACTCCATTCTCCCCCACATTGGGCAGCGTTGGAACAGCCCTTGTTTGCTTGAATTATAAAGCTCTGCGTCAATTGCTTTCAAAATGCTAATATTGTGTTCTACAGGACTATCTCTCTGGTTGGTGTTACCGTGACTCACCCCCTCATGATGTCAACTAACAAGAAGCTTCATATAGACCACCTGTGGAGGGCTTTGTCAGCTTAAAGCAGGCCTCCCCCAACCGATAACTGCCTCTCACCACCTGTAATTTACAAAAACAAACCTCGAAACCTCAATCCGAACTCGCCGCTGCCATGTTCTCTAAGCTGGCAGCTAATTTTGCCCAACGAGCGGCTGGCTCTGCCGCGGGCACCACTCGCCGGGTGGCTTTCCAGACGCGATTCGTGTCCAGCCAGACACTTGCCAATGGCAGCAAGGGCAGGGCAATTCCTTTCCAGAAGCCTGGGTCTGTTCCCGCCACGTTTACCATTCGAGTAAGATGCGCCATATAGATCCTTCTAACACATATACATGACTTGTATAAACCATGTACTGACATGAATGTCTAACAGGATGGTCCCGTCTTCCGCGGCAAGGCCTTCGGCGCCAATGCCAACATCTCTGGCGAAGCTGTCTTTACCACGTCTCTGGTTGGCTACCCCGAGTCCATGACGGACCCCTCCTACCGTGGCCAGATTCTTGTCTTCACCCAGCCCCTGATTGGCAACTATGGCGTTCCCTCCAACGAGCGCGACGAGTACAACCTCCTCAAGTACTTTGAGTCTCCCCACATCCAGTGTGCCGGTGTTGTCGTCTCCGATGTCGCCCTCAACTACAGCCACTGGACCGCTGTCGAGAGTCTGAGCGAGTGGTGTGCCCGTGAGGGCGTCCCCGCCATCTCCGGCGTCGATACTCGAGCCATTGTCACCCACCTCCGAGAGCAGGGTTCATCCCTCGCTAGGATCTCTATTGGTGACGAGTACGACGCTGATGAGGATGAGAGCTTCGTCGACCCTGGCCAGATCAACCTGGTCAAGCGAGTCAGCACCAAGGCTCCCTTTGTGATTGAATCCCCTGGCGCTGACCTCCACGTCGCCCTCATCGACTGCGGTGTCAAGGAGAACATCCTCCGCAGCTTGGTCAGCCGAGGTGCCTCGCTCACGGTCTTCCCCTACAACTACCCGATCCACAAGGTGGCCGATCACTTTGACGGAGTCTTCATCTCCAACGGCCCCGGTGACCCAATCCACTGCCAGGAGACCGTCTACAACCTTGCCCGCCTGATGGAGACGTCTTCCATCCCCATCATGGGCATCTGTCTCGGCCACCAGCTCCTCGCCATGGCCGTCGGCGCCAAGACCATCAAGATGAAGTACGGCAACCGAGCCCACAACATCCCCGCCCTGGACTTGACCACCGGCCAGTGCCACATCACCAGCCAGAACCACGGATACGCCGTCGACGCCAGCACCCTGCCCAACGACTTTAAGGAGTACTTTGTCAACCTCAACGACGGCAGCAACGAGGGAATGATGCACAGGACCCGCCCCATCTTCTCGACCCAGTTCCACCCCGAGGCCAAGGGCGGCCCCATGGACAGCTCCTATCTCTTTGAGAAGTACCTCGAGAACGTCCGCGCTGCCAAGAGTGCTCAGCGCGTCTACAAGGACAACCGACCCAGCCAGTACGTCCTCGACGTCCTGAGCAAGGAGCGTGTGGGCGTCGAGCCTGTTCCTCTTGTCGGCTTTGCTTAAAGAAGAGCCGAACTCTAGGAAATTTGAATCTTGAGGGTTTTTCTATTTAGGGCGTTTTGAAGTAATTGGGGGAATTGACATTGTTTTCATGGTCTTTGCTTTGAATGCTATAGTTACTCTTAACTAAAAAGAATCACAATTATTTCATATCAATTACAATCAAATAATCGCCAGTGACGACTTTTTGACTATTCCTATAAGTGGTAGGTAAAATAAGCGTCATGATCAGAATCACCGGCTTATCGTAGAATTGTAATTGAAGCAGGCACTCTTGTAAGTAAAACACTTGGACACAAGATCACAAAGAGATGTACGTAGTAGGTTAGGAGGTACCTAGATAGATCGACCAGACGTATGTACGTAATCGTAGCAGACGTAGGAGGTAGGTGGAGAAATAAAGATTCACAAGTCTTTCCAACGGAAGAGAAATTGGACAACTTCAAAATATACAAGACTCATACATCTGTATACACAGGTATCCTACATTAATTCATACACGCATAGGTCCTCAAGCAACCCAATGCAGCAGCCCCTCAGCCAAATATAGCAAAATTCATATCCATCTTTCCCTCGTAAGTCCTCCCGTGTTGCCACACTATTATTGTTATACCCTTTATACCACCCTCCCTAAACGCCATGAAAACCGCTAACTCCCTGTATCCATACATCCGTTCCCCATAGAGCCCCCATCCTCCCCCATATCACGGCGTGATAAGACCCCCCCCCCCCCCCCCCCCAATTTCACCGTCATCTGGATATATCTAGTCCCAGCTACTCGCAGGATAGCCGCTGCCAGAGCGACGGCTGGAGCCTTGATTGCTGGGAACATATCGATCGCCCCGGGATCGAAAGTGGGGTGATGCTCGTCGCTGCCGAGGACCGCTTCCGCGTCCACCACGGCGCTCTGCTTCGCGATGAGGAGGTCGAATGCCTTCGAAAATCTCGCGGCCTCGATCCACAAAGTTGTCGCCGCCCTCGAAGGAGTAGCGGTTAGAGTTGAAGTGGGAGCTTGTGTCCTCATTTCTGTAGACCGATATATTGTCCAGGCGGCGGCGAGCGACACTCTCGGCTACGGCCTGGTATGGAATGTGAGGGCGGGCTTTGGTGCTTTCAACAACATGGTCCAAAGAGCTGGCGGTGGAACGCGGACCTGCACGCCTGCCTCGTGGCCCGGTGGGTGGCGGGCGCATCGTCTCAGAATCCCATTGTCGGCTGCGGTCACCCTCAAGATCCCTTCCTCGGGCACGATCATCCTCGCCCTCATCCTCGCGATGGCCGCGATGCGCCCGAGGGCCAATGGGCATAGCATTGGCACTTCCGAGGCCCATACGTGGCGGCGGCGGTCCAGCAGGGGCAGGTCGTTCTGGTTGTCCTGCTCTCGATGTAAACGTAGATTCTACCAATGCGGCCTGGACTGTCCCACGAGAAGGTCCATCCGTATAAGCCACCTGCCAGCGGATTGACGACCGTCTACCGCCAGCTTCTTCCGTCTCGATCCATTCGTCGACTCTCTCAGGGGGGATAAAGTCTACCGAAAGCGCCTTGCGGTTGCTTTCATTAGGCCAGACGGTGTCGTGGAGTGCAGTGCGAACTCGTTGGGCGGTGGCTACCGAATCGAATGCAACAAAGGCATGAGTACGGATCTGGTCCAGGTAGAATCTGGCAATGGCGTCCTTTCCCTTGTTAGAATCATGCGTGGCGGCAAGGCTGACGAGATGGTTCTGGAGATCATCGGGGCGCAATGGGCGCATCAGGTTGCTAATGTAGATCGCGGTAGTAGGCGCGTGCAGCGCCGGCTCCACGCTCCTCTCCATCTCGACGGGCGGAACGTCTGCCACGGTGGAGGATTGTTCTTCGCGCGAGACACTGGTCATATCAATATCGGCGCTCGTTTCGTCTGCAGCAGGGGCTTCATCAACACGTGCACGCTTCTGTGCTATATCTTCTTCGGTAGGTAGCGGGCTATCAGAGCGTCGCTTGCGCTTCTGGGCTTCTGGCGTTGGTTCGATAGAAAGCTCTTCAGTAGGCTCATGTGTGGGCACCCGTGAGGGCTCCTGCGAGGGTTCTTGTGCGGGTTCTTGGGGGGTTGGGGAGGCAGTTCGTTCGAGGGGCTGCTCGTTGCCAGTTGGCGGGCGACTGGCGGCTGTCGCCTCACGATCCTGACCAGCATCGCCTTCTGGAGCTTCGGAAGGTTTCTCAGAGACCGGCGCGGTTGACTCAGGCTCAGCGGGAGCTGGAAGCGCAGGGTGATCCTCCATTGGCTGCGCAGGCTTGGCTTCCTGGCCTTGATCGGCTGTCTCCTCGGGGGATGGATCACGATCTTTCGTGAGAGAGGGCTGCGCGGCTTCAACGGCATCCGGTTCGACAGCTGCTGGCTTATTCTGCTCTTCCGATGCATTTTCGCCTTCCTGCTGCGCGGCCTGTTCGTCGGCAGCCTCCAGTCGCGCAACTAGCTCCGCCTTGAGACCGGCATAGGGCAGACCGCGGCTCTTGAGCTCTGCTTTGAGGTCGACAACTTTGAGCTGCGACCAGTCGGCCATGGTGATGCGTTTGTAGATGCACTTCGGCACCTACTACCAATGACTCGAAGGGGGGTAAAAGGGCGGCGGTTTCTTGTTTGCTTTGTTGAGTTGCTCGTGCGAAAGGGGGCGAATGCGGCAGGCGGCAGAGCTTTAGATGTGGAAATGCGCGATGACGAAGCTGGTTGGGGCCAAATGGAAGAGATGGGCAGAAATGCAAGGCTTATGCGACGAGTAAAACGACGTTATGGATGCAGATGCGAGTTGGAGAGCAGCGCTTTTCTCCGGCTGGGTTGAAGGAGAGAGGCTGCGAGGCGCGTCGCGAAAGCGTTAGACGGTCAAATGCTTGTGAAGCTGCCCCTGCAGGGCTCCAGTTCAGCTGCATTTTTTGGGCCAAGTGGATGGACCAAATCGTGATTATGTAACCGACGGGTATTCCGATTCCGGGCTAGCGTCCACTCATTGGCACTTCCATTTCACTTCCATTTGTGCTCCGTACTTTGTACTTTGCAACTGAACTGACGCTTTGCGTTTGAATCCAACCAAGGCGTCAAGGCTTGTATCACGACGCATAGCTGCATGGAGTAGTACATCAGTAGCGCATTTCCTGCAGACGGTTTCCAGTAGCTGGAAGCTCTGGCTGGTTTGATGCTGCCCCTCGTGACCACCTGCTGCGAGCGACACTGCCATGTCCGCATTTGCTTTAGTAGTTTGGGGTTAGGCCTCTGCACAGGTACTGCATCTACTGTATGTATTGTACTCGTACTGCCCGAGATACCTACCGCTTCCCAATGACTCCAATGCTCGAGGTTCTCATTCTCTGGGGTCTGGCCATCAGTGCACTCGCTTCATCGGAAAGGCAGCATCATGATTTGCCCGTCCAGTGCAGGTTAGGCGTTTTACTTCATGCGTGAATTGAGTTTTGACTTTTGGCGGATCCCAGTGACGTGAAGCATGGAAAACACATACTGTACATGGCCCATGTACCTTGGAAAAAGAGCCAAGCAGGCATAGATGGATTCCCACCAGGATCCGATCCGCTTCACAAAATGCAGGCCTAGCAAGGTTCCCCGCTTCAACTCAATCAGTACCGGTGCATCGCTGGCTAAAATTCATCGAGACCCGGCTCAAGGTGAGCAAAGTGGGGGTGATCAAAGTATTACTCCGGAGTAGGGGCAAACGCTTGTCCCCGCTTTGGTTTGACGTTGACTCTTTCTCTCGTGAGTGCCGTCAGGCAGCTCATGGAGTAGAGGCATGAGGTGATTTGTAGGCGGTGACGGTGACGGCGACAGCAGTAAAAGGTTAAACAATAGTAGTAAAAAAAACTGAGTTCCAGATTCATTCCATTCATATCATAATACTACAGCTAGTTCTTCGATGAACACGGCGGATGCTATAACATCGACCCGCAAGATTTACTACACAGCCAAGCTTCCGCTGGCGATTATATGGCGTCTGTATTGCTGCCATTTACACGTCGAGGCCGTCAACGACGACTCCCTTGCTCCAGTTCCACTGAAGGAGCCTGGTCACCTCGTCTGCACATTTATCATCCACCAGGGCGCTGACGAGATACAAAGCCGCATCCACGCCAGCGCTCTGACCCCCCGCGGTCACCACCCGAAGACCACCGAGGCGCATCGCCGCACGTCTCACGATGGACTCGCGACGTGTGTTGGATTGCTTGAAGGAGATGCTTCCCTTTCTGTTATGCAAAAGACATGATTAGCAAACAAGTCTGCCCGTAGATGTAGAATCATGGTAGTGTGACAACTTACCGGCCGTGAGGTCGTCCAGCATCGGACGCGCGGCGGGTGTATGGGCTTTCGTCTTCAGTGAGCTCAAAGCGAAGGTTGTTGACGACATATCGGGCATCCTCGATGACGTCGGTACGCTCAGTCAAGAGTCGGGTAGCAGCATCGCTGCAGAGGTTCTCAAATTTGGTAAAGTGGTCGGGGTGGGTGGTGGCAGAGAGGCCACAGAGGATACCCTCTCGGGCGAGCAGGTGTGAGCCGGTGCAGACGGACAGGACGGTTCGTTCTCTGGCCGGATCCTTCTTCTGAAGGTCGGAAAAGGCGGTGATGAGGCCAAGTGGCTCAAGTTCCTTTTGGATGATCTCATCGACGTTTCCGCCGAGGATGACGAGAACGTCAAAGTCATCAAGGCGTTCATGGGCCTCTCGGAAGGTGATTTGGGATTGCACAATGGCGCCTTGGGTAGAGAGGACCTGGGGCTCACTGCCAGCCAGAGTTATCTCAAATGCTTTGGTGGCTGTTTGAGAATGCGGGGAAAGCTGGTTAGCATTTGGGCCCAACCTTGACAGCCTCGCAATACGTACAATCATCAGCAAAGTCATGCTGCGCCTGGGCAAAGACAGCCAATGGGCCTGCAAAGTCAAGCATATCAAACTTGGGATGCAGAGCAAAGAGAACGTCGAGGGGTTCCTGGTCAGCAATAGCTGAAGTCTTATTCGCAGCCATTGTGAATGCGGGGGAGGTGTTCTGTGTGGGAGAGAGACAAGTGTGTGTGATTCAGATGGAATTGACGGCTTCAGAGTGCAAGCCGACAGGTGGATGATGCGAATTGAGGGATGAAGAGGAGGTAGACGTCTTTGACGCTGTCAATTGAGATGTTTGAGGGTATAATCAAGGCGGATGAGGAGAGGAAAAGAAGAAAGAAAGAGTAAAAACCAAAGTCGAGGAGCAGAAGAAATAGCCAGTAGCTCCAAGTGAGGGGGAGGCGAGGAGGGGCTCGCGGGAGGGGATCACGCGATGACGGTTCAATTGGTCCAGCAGCTGCTGCCTCAAGCTTCAGGGCTTCATCAGGGCATTCGGGCGGTTGGGATGCTGACCTGACTGTGTGTGGCTCGATACATGTCGAGTGTCTGCGACATTCACGGCCGTTTACGTACCACCTTTGCGGAGCCCATCAGCAGGTCGATCGAGCCACCGACAGGCTACTGAAGCTCGGGTGCCCGGGGCTTGCAGCGCTAGCAGCCAACGGGTCCAGCGGGCCTCCAGCGGGCTCCAGCGGGCTCCAGCAGGGCCTACCAGGGCCTACCAGGGCCTGTAGTGCAGTGGCCCAGAGCTGCTTGCAAGTGCCCTAAGCTGTGCTTCAGTGGAGTCATGCGGGAGGGGATCATATTGATCAAGTCATTGCGGGGTAAAGGTACTAAGGGAGTTGGGCCCAGCGCAGTACCGAGAACCTGCTGTGACGCCCGTGGCGGGGTGCGTCGGAAGGTTCCCTTAACATTTTCTGCTCGTTCTGCGCCTACGCCGCATCCGGGTCTAGCGCAGCCATTTCCTGCCTGGCCTCTACAAATCTGTCGCTGCAAGCTCGACGTCCTCTCAAAAGCTTGTTCTCCATCCGGCTAAACCTCAGCAAATCCAGCGCGCAACACCATCTCCAAAAACGCGAGGTCCCTGATTTTGGCCAGCCTGACGCCTGCAGCGCATCTGCTGCCTCTGTTCCTGCTGGAGAGACCTGCCGGAAGCATCCACGATCCAGGCGGTGGCCACGGTGGCCTCAGCTGCGGCCTGGTGCACATCTTGCCGTGATGGCTTCTACAATGTGAGTCGATCGCCCATCAACGGGGTCTAGTTTATGGGGGTTGACTGGCCTGCACCTCGGATTGATTGACTGACCCACCGTGGCAGATCCCTCAAGGAGCTGTCCAAGGCCATCAAGGACTTTATCGTCGAGCCAACCCTGCCCCTTCCCGATGATCTCAGCGAAACAATTGCCGGCTACTTGCGGAGGCGTGAGAAATATGACGAGGCTGCGTCGGATCGGCTGCAGGAGGAGCTGCTGCTCATCTTTGATAAGAATGTTCGGGGCAACCCTGCCGCGTCTGGCGCCTGGCTGAGCATCTTGCGCCGGCTGTTTACTGTGCTGCGGACTCCCGAGCGAATACTGGTGTGGCTGGACGCTTGCAAGGGCATTCTCGACAAGACGGGATTCGACAAGAACGTCGTGGCCGAGGCCATGGAGATACTGAACGAGATTGTCACCGTTTCCGACGAGTACCACGATGACATTGGCAAGGACTCGGCGTCGAACCCCCTCATCGATCGACTGTTTGAGATATGGATGGACGATTTTCACCCTGCCCGTTTCGAGGGCTATCAGCCGTCGGAGCACACTGAAAAGATGATAAGCGATGCGCTGGGGCAGTTTGGGAAGAAGCGACCAAAAGTATGTACATTCATACGTTCACCGCCGTGTCTTCCCATTCCCATCTCTCTTGTTCCCTTTGTGTTCTTTTGTTAACTGCTCGTTACTAACCGGCATCCAGGAATTCTTCTCCTCCTTGGACGGCTACCTTATCAAGAAAAAGTACAGAAGAGCCAGTCTGAATTTCTTCTGTTCATTTATCCAGTCACAACCGCCTCACTTACATCAAGTGGCTCAAACCCCTTTATTTACCGATCTCTTGACATGCCTTCAGCAAGACACTTCGACCACTGTCATCTCGGCTGCGCTGACCGCTCTCATCATGCTACTGCCGCACATGCCCAGCTCTCTGGTGCCACACTTGCCCACTCTTTTCAACATCTATACCAGGCTACTCTTCTGGGAAAAGGAGAGGTCGGGGACCATGGAGTCGCCCTTTCACGATTCCGAACAGGCAAGCCGGTGGGAGGTTTTTGCATACGACCCGGAGACGGAAGACACCAATATATCACACCTATCCAACTACTACACGGTCCTATATGGCCTATACCCTATTAATTTCATGGACTACATTCGCAAACCGCAGAGATATATGCGCCATGCCAATGTGTCCGGTGCGGACGAGATTGAAGTACAGCCGACGGAGATTCGGCATCAGTCAGAACAATTCAGGAGATGCCATATCCTTCACCCTAATTTCTATACCCTCACAATCGAAACGGAAAAGACAGATTTTGGGCGGTGGATCAAGAGCGAAGCCGCCGAAGTCGTCGCCGAATGTATGGCGCTGTGTATTGCACCAGAATCCCAGATGTTTGGCGAACACGAGCTATTGCATCTTCCAGACTCTTCGGCTCAGGCTCTCAACGACGAGTTGAGCCAAGTGAGGTCAGATCCTGGGTTGCTGAGCAGCTCAGTAACCAAGGTGAATTCGTGGAGGAACACTCACATGTCGGCGACAGAGTCCGTCACCAGCGACCGTACTCCCTCAACATTGATGCGGCGTGGCTCCCAATCTAGCCATCACTCGGCAAGAGACTCTGGCGAAGCTGCTCGAGCCAGGGATATGTTTGGCGTGGATAGCCCCTCTGGCACTCAGCTGCTCCAGTCGGCTTCCCATACTCAGCTTCAAGATCTCATCAGGTCGAATAAGGCAATCAAGAGCAGTCTTCACCAATCCTTGGCAAACGATAGCGTGCCTTCTCTTGCTCTAAGTCATCAGGAGTCTATTGTCGATAGGCCATCTACGATGATGACGCTGCCGCCGCAAACTCATACTCCCGTATCGGCTGGGGACAGTAGCAACGCCCAGATTGCTCACCTGCAAAGACAACTCATCTTGCTGCAAAATGACCTCAGCTTTGAGAGATATCTCAAGCAGCAACACATGGCCCATATCGGCGAGCTTAGAAGAAGGCAAATGGCGGAGGCTGCTACAGAGGCAGAAATGCAGAATCTGATTATGATGAACCGAAACCTCAAGAGCCGCTACGAAGAGGCCAAGATGGCTGAGATGCAGGTCCGCAAGGAGTCAGAAAAGAGCCGGGCCATGGCGAAGAAGTGGGAAGCAGACCTTGCCAACAAGCTGAAAAACCTGCGTGAAGAGTCAAAGAAGATGCAGACGGAGATTGAATCGGTTCGGAAAGAGCTCGAAGAGAGCCTGCGAGAATGCGAAAAGCTACGGAAGCTCGTGTGCGACGCCGAGGTGAAGGAGCTGAATGCAAAGCAAAACATGCAGTCGATTGAGATACACGGCGCCGAGATTGACCGGCTTAAGGCGGAAGTTGAGCGACTGTCGCTCTCGGAACGAGACTATCAAGCGAGGGAGGTTGAACGAATGGCGGCGGTCAACGCAGCCGAGGAGGCCCAGAACCAGCTGGAAACGCTCAAGCTGCAGTTGACAGCTTCGGAGGCAGAGATGCAGCGAGCAAAGAAGCTTTTCCAATCCCAGGTGGCAACGCTCCAGGCACAGCTCTCTGAAGCTCGTGACGAGCGGAACAGACCAGCGGTAACGGTGAACATTGCAGTCGAGAGCGCTCTTGCGGCTAGCCGTGCGAAGCAGGCAGAGATGCAGAAGCAATACAGCCTGCTGACGCGCAAATACACGGTGCTGCAGTCGTCTCTTCTGGATATGCAACTGGAAGCATCGCTTGCAACGGAAAAATCGAGCATCGCGGAAGGTGAGGAAGACGGCATGTCGTCGTCTACAGGCCCAATGTCGATGAAGTCAAGGCCGCTGCGACTTCTCTCAACGACGGAAGCAGCCGAGGGAGCAGGGTACAATATCACATCTTCTCCCGGATCAAACCCTGGGACTCCTACATCCTCCGTGCTGCAGCCACTACAACCAACCAGCTCTGCGGGTACGGGTGGGACAGATGGACAGTCGTCGTCGGCCAATCTGTCGATGAGCCCGGAAAGAAGCTATTTCAGCGGTAAGTCGGACATGGCTTGCTAACCTCATGCACCCATATTTGATGATTGGCAGCACTAACACACGCACACAGGTGGACTCCAGAGTATGATTCGAAGGGACAGTAAAGACAAGGCCAAGGAGGAGTCTGGCAAGCCCAAAAAGGAGAAGAAGACGCTGGGACTAAGGGGGATCCGGGGATTTGTTGGCAGTAGCTAGTTGATATTTGGGTGGATTATTGCTCCAGATATCGATTTCTCTTTGGGTGAAAATGAAGGATAACTGTATGCATATTTGCAAGGGCAACTGACTACTCGTGGGTATACGATAGAACCGGACATGGAACAGTGGTGTGGAGTGTACATGCATTTGGGAGCCGATGATATGATGACTAGAGCCAGAGCCCAGGACTATGGACAATAATGAGGACACGAGTATAATTTCTTGGTCAGAGAATTGGGAGAAGCAGAGCCATGTTAACGAGTATTTTGCCGTGAAGCACCATTTCCTTTTCTTTTTCTTTTACTTATATATAGGTACAGTCTTGTTTCAACCCAAGATGGAAGACATACTACAAAGTGCCAGCTCTTAAACTCAACCTCAGCTTCAAGACAACAATCACGTGCAACTGAGAGAATCACAAGCTGAGACAACAGAATGGAGGGCTAACTCCAATAGTAGGGGCGCCATGCAGGTACAGCTTACGAAGCCTGTGGTCCCCGAGCCTTTTAACTTTTTCCTCTGCGTTAGCGGGAGCCACAGCGCGGGATTCGGAGCCGGAAGGATTTGGCAGCAAAAGTATATGGGATTGAATTCAGGGGATGGGACATTCAGTTGGATTGGTCTGTTGTTTTGATAGAAGCCCGAAGTATATGAGCTGGGCTGCATTTGTAAGTGTAAGTGCGGTGTAGTTTTTCTTTTTCCTTGGGAGGGAACTGCACCTGTTTGTGCTTAGCGGCTAAATGGAATACGATGCTTGACTGCCCTTTTGGTGAACACGAGGTCACGAGGGGGGGTTGTATGGAGTACTAGGCGGTATAGCAGGTGGTTGGTGTTGGGGTTAATTGTTATTTGAGTGTTGGCTGAGCTTGGAATGGCTGTGTTGTAGAGGCGAGGGTGTCTGGGTAGATAGCAGTTGTTTTTCGCGATATGTTGTGATTTTTTTGGGTATAGAAATGGACTGTTTTGTGGAATACAGAGAGGCATAACCTTGTGTCGGCGTCTCGGACCGAAGAGGAGCGAAAAGACAGCATCTGTCAGTGGGTTTAGCGCGCCACGAGCGAACCGGGGGGATGCCGGGCAGCCGCTGTGGCGTTTTTTTCTTTCTATTTTTTTCTCTCAACTGTCAGTGACGGTTCGCTGTCTGTCACAGGGATTTGATGGGTAGAGGCGATGGGTGACGTGGTGGGTTGGACGAGTCACGCTGTCTGTTCGTATCGCATTGATCCCTACCAGGTTGCCAGGCCTGACGCTCGTTCTATCGACGATCTACCGACGATGGCGATGATGCTATGGCATGGCCAATGACGTCGTTTTCGCCATTCGGTCTTGGCGTGGGCACAGCATGAGCTGAATCGAGCGGCATTTTCTCTTTTCTCTCTTCTCTCTTCTTCCACGGCTGCTCCACCGCGACCAACAAACCGGGTTGCTCCATCTTGGGTTTCCATATTTTTGGTGTCTTTTGGTGGGCCGAGTTGAGGCCGTTGCCAATGAGTTGCTGCTATGGATGGCGATGGCTTGCTTTGCCCTCGTGGCCTGTGACACTTGAACCCCTGTGGCTTGATTTAGAAGAGCTAAAACCGATCTACACAAGAACAGAAACAGGTAGAGAAAAACACCGAGATGGACAGAAAGAAAAACAGCTCCAGAAAAAAAAAACGAGGCGGTGGTGTGGTGACACTGAAGTGGGTGCGTTTGTGCATTTGTGCCTTGCTTTTTTCGGCATCCACGCCAGAATCTCGTATCCCAACTCACTCCGCTTCCGCTGGCTGACGTCTCTTCTGGCTTTCCTTTTCAAGGCTGACCTCCCTTTTCCTCGTCATCTCTTTTCTTTCTTTTCTTTCTTCTTATACCGTCTCTCCTCTAAACACCAAAACAGTCGCTTTCATCCTTATTTCTTGGTCTCATCCCCCGTGGCTGTCGACCTTGTCCCTTCGCTTTGACCTGTGATAGCAAGTAGACATATCATCAGCCATACTTTGCAAGGACATTCGCTTGTTTTGCTCGGCTTCATCTCGTTCGCTTTTTTTGGAACCGACGACACCTGATATCGCCACCTCAGCCCCCCGGATTTCCGTCTTGTCATCCGGATCTCCCGCCGTGTTATATAGAGGAATAAGAAAGCAGCTTTATCGACATCAGATATTGTACTGGAATTGAACAAAGGAAAAATGCCTTCTTCATCCACCCTCCTCACTCTGGCCACGGCCATTTCGGCCGTCAACGCCGCCTACCAGGGCTTCAACTACGGCTCGACCTTTACCAACGGTCAGCCCAAGGCCCAGACTGATTTCGAGGCCGAGTTCAAGACGGCTGCTGGTCTCGACGGCACCGATGGCGCCTTTACCAGCGCCCGTCTGTACACCATGATCCAGGGCGGCACCCCCAACTCGCCCATTTCTGCCATTCCCGCTGCCATCAACACAAAGACCAGCCTGCTCTTCGGCCTGTGGGCGTCTGCCGGCGATGCTGCCTTTGCCAACGAGATTGCCGCTCTCAAGGCCACCATTAGCCAGTACTGCGGTCAGCTCGACGGTCTTGTTGCCGGTATCTCTGTTGGTAGCGAGGATCTGTACCGAATCACCCCTACTGGTGTTGCCTCTCATGCCGGCCCTGGAGCTCAGCCCGGAACTCTGGTTAACTACATCAACCAGGTCCGTGACACCGTCAAGGGCTCTTGTCTGTCTGACGTTCCCATCGGCCACGTCGACACCTGGAACGCCTGGGTGCTGGACTCGAACAAGCCTGTCATCGATGCCGTCGACTGGCTCGGCATGGACACCTACCCCTACTACGAAAACACAAACGCCAACAGCATTTCCAACGCCAAGTCTCTGTACGAGGCCGCCCTGCAGAAGATCCAGAACGCTGGCCCTGGCAAGGAGGTCTGGGTCACTGAGACCGGCTGGCCCGTCAACGGCGTGAGCTCTGGCGATGCCATTGCCTCTACGACTAATGCTCGTGACTACTGGGTGCAGGTTGGCTGCCCCAACTTTGGCAAGACCAACGTCTGGTGGTACACTCTTCAGGATGCCGCTCCCGATGCTCCCAACCCCAGCTTCGGTGTCATTGGCAGCCAGCTGACCGAGACGCCTCTGTTCGATCTCTCCTGCAAGAACATCGACACCAATCCAAGCAACCCAACGTCGACTTCCGCAGCCCCCAGCAAGCCCTCTAGCTCCTCCGCTGCTGCTTCGTCCACCAAGGTTACTACTCCCACCTCTGAGTCCAGCTCCAGCTCCAGCTCCACCTCCACCTCTGTCTCTACCACTACTAACTCAGAGCCTCAGTCTACCAGCTCAGACTCTCAGCCTAGCAGCTCGGACTCTCAGACCACCACCGACTCTGGCTCCCAGTCTACTACTGCTTCAGAGCCGCAGACTACTAGCTCGGAACAGCAGACTACGACCTCGGAGGCTCAGACTACTGGTTCCTCGGGCTCTCAGACCACTGCTTCAGAGCCTCAGTCCACTAGCAGTGCGTCGGCCTCTTCCGCCGCCCCTACCACCTTTACTACTTCTGTCCCCTTCCCCAGTTCTAACGGCTCTGTGACCGCCTCACCTACTGGTGGCTCACCTACTGCTCCTGGGTCCAGCTCGAGCGCTTCTCCTTCCACGACCAACGTTCCTGGAAGCAGCGGTAACAAGCTGAGCTCTTTCGGAGCCGCTGCCGCTGCCGTTGCCGTGGCTGCTTTTGCTCTGTAAAAAGACAAAAAGCTTTTGGCCCCGTTGGTGTAAATAAGGGCCTTTTTTTAATGAATCAGAAACAAAAAGAATGTCGTGAGATTGATCTCGAGGAGATACATACAATGTGGAGGAAATCATGTCTTTAATGAGTTTTGACGGGGGTTTCGGCATATCTACCTAGAGAAACCTCGGTAGATTTGGTTGTTTGGTTTCTTGTTTTTAATGCCTTATACGTCTTGTCTATGGATAATTTCCTGTGGACTACTTAATGAATGGCATTGGCACTTACGGATAAAGGGGGTTAACGGATTACAAGGATGAATGATCACACTCCTTTATGATGGATGATATAAAGATATAGGACTGAAATATATGACAATACTATTTATATTGACCACTTGCACATGGTGTACTACATTTATTGATATTGCGAACGCAGGCATCAAGGAGGTCCATACGTCGAGCGGTCGTCGCCAATAACGTCCCAAAACTCCTCCACAAACTCTCTCTGTCCTGCCGTCGCCGGCCTCACGGCGAGATACCTCCGATTGTCTACGGGCGGATTCCAACCCCCGGGATGGCCGTCAACCATGACACCACCAGCCTCGACAAGGACGCACCAGGCAGCGGCAACGTCCCAGGCCCAGGACCCGCACTCCCAAAAGGCGTCCTGCTGGCTGGCAGCGACACGGCAGATTGCGAGGGCGGCGGAGCCGGAGCAGCGCAGGGAGTTGACGAAGCGGCCGCCATCGGAGGCGGTGCGGAGGAGGGTGGTGAAGACTTTGAGGTTGAGGGCGAAGTTGGGGCCTTGGCGATCGGTGCCGAAGTCGATGGCGATGCAGGCCGGGGAGAGGCCTTGGAGGGGAGATTTGGGGGAGAGTAGCTGCTGCTGCTTCGTAGTATTTCCGTTGTTACTGTTGCTCTGTGTGGTATGATATACGCCGTGGCCCTTGATGGCGGCCCAGAGCTCGTCACGGAAGGGATTGTAGACGACGCCTACGGTGGGCAGTTTCTCCACGACGAGGGCGATGGAGACGGCGACGTCGGGGAAGCCGTGGACAAAGTTGGACGTGCCGTCTATGGGGTCGACGATGAAGGTTGGGTCGTCTGTGATGGTCTGGCCGGGGTGGTATGTCTCTTCGCCGATGAAGGCGAAGGAAGGATAGTGGGAGGCGAGGTTTGTGCGGATGAGGGATTCGACTGCTTTGTCTGTCTGGGTGACGATGTCGGCAGCTGGAAAAGAAGCAGATTTATATGAGTTAGTGATGCTTTTTTAGCGGGTGAGAAGGATGGTGAAGGGACGGACTGTTTTTCTTGGAGGAGGTTGTGAGGGGGGTTGGGTTGGCGGAGAGGATGATGGTGCCGGCTTCTTTGGCGACGGCTATGAGGCGATCACGGAGAGTCTGGAGGTCTTGCAATGCCAAGTTACTGCTTGGACTTGTGGTGGACTCCATTTTGGATCGATTGACACCGAATCCTGTGCTAGAAGCAGAAGACAAAGACGAGGAGAGGGAATCAGAGGGCGTGTTTTGAGCATCATATACGTATCTCGTATGGACTCCATTGTGGACATCTATTATGATATTTCATCTCCAGAATTATACTGATTGAACGAGAATAAAAGCAATCTTGTGGATGAAGTTTGACAAGTGCATGGATGCGTGTAAGTGAGGCCATCAAGGTTCGTCGGCAACAGATAAGCGCCGTCATCGGCTAGAGATAAGCCGCCATTATTCCCAGATACGAGCAGCGGGAATCGTCCGCTCTCGCTAGCAAGTTGCAACGCCTAAATCGAGCACGTTTTTTTGGACTCGCGCTTCCCAGTAAAGCTTCCCCTCACCGTCTCACCGGGGCCCCTCCTTCCTCAGAGTGTGCAATGGCTTCAAGCAAGTGCTGACCAGCCTAAATGCCCCCAAATACCCAGCCCCACGTGATTGTGCCTACAACAGGTAGCAATGCCCGTATACTCCCTCTGCTAAGCCGGAGATGGACTCCAGTAATGTAATGTAATCCAAACCTCTCTCCCCTTCCTACATACCTATTCCAGTCACCGAGATTCCTCCCGCTTCAGATGCATCGTGAGGCCGGATCGGAGCCGGATCCGCTATTATGCAGACCCTAGAGCCAAGGAGCTCCGGCGTGCCGCAGCAGCCCTATCGGGGCCGAGTCCGGAGCGGCTGCCTCACCTGCCGGTCGAGAAAGGTCAAATGCGATGAGCTCCGGCCGGTTTGTCACAATTGCACGAGGCTGAAGCGGCGCTGCGTGTATAAGCCGAGAAAGAGTCAGCCGGGCCAAGCAGTGACACCTCAGACCCCGGAGCAGCTCATACCGGACGGATCTGCTGATAACAATGCCTCGGGATTTGGACAGTCGGCAGAGGTGGAATTAGCCTCGCAGCAGTATCCGAGTCCGCTGTCTGAAGGAAAGGATGGCGTTTATATACAAGGGATTTCGCTTGATGGTGACCTCAGTATTACTGATGGCACCGAAACGAACCCATTTCTATCGCCGGATAGCTCCATCGTGGATATTACTGCGCGCTTGGAGAAGGCGCTGCGGCAAGATGCCATATCTGGCACCACAGACGATGCTGAATTTGAGCCCGCCTCGCCTCCAACCTTGATATCCCGTGATATAGAACTCACAACCACTATCGATGTTTTGGCCATTCGAGAGGTGCCTCTGCAGCCGTCGATTTCATTCTTCATTGAGAGCGTCGACTGCCCAGCTATAGCTCCTTTTGATGCTATCAATTGGCGGCGCATGAAGGCTCAAGTTGCCGAGGTTGGCATGAGCAATGAAGCCGTGGCCGAGGGGATTGTGGCTCTTGCTACGCTTTATAAGGGGCAGATGTACGGTCTGCCGCTGTCCAAGGCCATGTCTCTCTATCAGTCTGCCAAATCGACATACGAAGAGCTCTTGGCCGATAGTACCCAAGATTTCGACATCGTCTTGATAGCAACGTTTCTTTTGAGTTTATTCGATGTTGTACAATATTACGAAACTGTTCCTCTTCTCAGAGAGCCGAGCGAAGCGTTTCTCACCAGATTAAGGGCATGGAAGCAAAGTCAACTCCCATCTTCTCCACTTGTAATCAGAATTATTGCCTGGTTGAGGATACTTCATACAACAACAATACGCGGTGGAGGTACGGGGCTCCTCTCGGATGACATTTATGAACTTTTCTCTAGCTGCGGCGATAGCATGCCCAACATTGCTGCGCCGTTGAATGACCCCTCGGACACATCGACTCACATTTATGAGATGCTCACCACTCCGATCTTCTACTTTTATTTTCAGCTCCAGATGATATCTGGTGAAATTGCGCAAATGACCCATTACCACCGCTCACGCACCACTGGCGTGGACCAAAAAGATGTAGTAGAACAAATGGCACACATCAGCTCTCGATTGCATACTCTGTGGGATAATCGCTGTGCCACTCAGCGCCAAACTTCCGAGGACCTGCGTGCTCACCTTGCGCCCAAGGTTGCCGATCCCATCATTGCACTGGTTGGAATGGCTAGTGCGGCGTACCATGCTGAATTTATTGAAATCGGTCGCGTCTTAGGAGACCCCATATCTAGATCTGCAGAATCAAGGCAGGCAATGCACCATTTACGAGAAATCGTTGACGGGGATTGGAATGCTCAGGAGGAAGGCGTTTTGAAGACGGGATATCTCCGCCCGCTCTTTTTATATGCAATTGAGTGCATGGATCAAGCCGAGAATAAATGGGCTGTAGAGCGGTTGGAGAAGATCAAGAATCCAATCTGCCGGAGCGACTTTTTCGCTGCGTTTGGCAGGGAACTTTCGGAGGCACAGCTGCGAAAGGAGAGGAGGGTTACGACCAAGTTTTTCTGTATATGGTATTTTGGAGTGCCGCCTCCATTTCTGTGAGGATGTAGCGTGGAATGATGGGCCCTTTATTAAAATGGGATTAATGATTGTAAATACCGGAATGTAAGGCCAATGGGAAATGTATTTGGTTTTTGGTCAGGTAGTTATCTTGGGTGGGAGGCGTTGGTCAGGGGAACGGTAGCTATTTTCACCGTTTGTCATTACTTATATACATTGATGCACATAATCTCCAGACAAAAAGCCCATTGAAAAATTGGAGAGGTTGAAGAATGGATCGGTTCTTTACTTAAGTAACGTAGAGCAAGTATAAGGATCAACACTGTCTTATCAACTACTGATTCGCCGTTTATATGTACTACCATCATGCTCTACCACCTTTTTGCCTTTAGTTTTCTATCTCGTCATCTTTAAATCTTCTTTTCATCGTCCCCGCAAATAGCCTCAGTCAAATCAACCGGCGTCTTGGAAAAGTTTCGGGCGGAAATCTTCCTCTCAAACAAGATATCCAACTCGGCCGTCGTCCGATCCTTGGGCTCAGGAACGCAAAAGTAAGTAAAAGTGATGGAAATGAGACACCCGCCGGCCCAGAACAAGCCCGTCTTGGCGCCCCAGTTCCAGGCCGTGGGGTTGAGCTGGTAAGGGGTCAGGACGCCGGCGATGATGGTGGTGACGGCGTAGGTCCAGCGGGCAAGGACGACGGACTTGCTGCGGAGGAGAGAGGAGGGGATCTCGGAGCAGAGGGTGTTGGTCAGGGGTCCGATGGAGCAGTTGTAGAGGAACGAGGAGACGATGAGGAGGGAGCCGATGGCCCAGGCGAAGGCGGGCGTGGGGGATCGGGATTGCGGGACACCGAGGGCGCCGACGAGGATCGTGATGATGAACATGAGGACGAGACTCCAGAAGTAGATGGTGCGGCGGCCGAAGAGGGGGAGCAGAACCCACTGTGTTTTTTTTTTTTTGGAGGTTAGTATTGTTACGATATGATCTAGTCATCCTGAGATAAAGGGGGTGGTAAGTTCTCACAGAAAAGAAGCCGCCTACAATGGCGACTGCGAAGCCCACGATTGTCATGTTAAAGGCCTGAGTGGTAGGCAGACCAGCCTGCTGCAGGAAATACGTAGAGTATCCGCGGAGAGGATTGCCGTTGAGCGTCTGGATGCAGTAAATGCCAATGACGATGAGGGTTCGCCGAAGATTTGTCCCCTGAAAGCAAGCGAGGTACGATGTCTCGGCGTTGACCGAGCGCTCGTGCTCTGTGGTGACCACCATGAGGGCAATGTTCTTGTCAATGTCAAAGTTGACGTTTCTGTCCGACGTGAGACGCTTGACGACGGCCCTGGCTTCCTGGAGGCGGCCCTTGCGGACGAGCCACCAGGGGGATTCGGGGGCGAAGAAGATGGCGGGGATGAGGATGAGGGGCCAGACCCATCTAGATGAGACAGAATGTTAGTCGTTTGTTTGGATGGAGGTTGAAATAGAGATGGTGTTGAGGATTTGACTTACTGAACTGCGAATGGGATTCTGTAGGCCCATTGAGAGGTCATGGGGAGGACGCCGCGGAGGATTCCGGTGGCAATGAGTTGACCAAACGCCTTTTGAGCTGTTAGCTTGAAACTGATATTGAGGTGGATTATGATTGATGGTACCCAGCAAAAGTTGACGTAGTTGGTGAGATAGGCACGCAGGCAGAGGGGAGAGATTTCAAGAGCATAGACAACGGGGATTGTCTGGAACAGTCCGAGAGGGATACCTGATGGCCATGTTAGTGACCAGCAATCAACACTGTTTATTATAAACCACTCACCGAACAAGACCTGTCCAACCTCAAGAACCGTCAAACTGGGGGCAAAGAAGGTAATAAAGATGAGCCCAATGACACTCATCATGCCCAAAAGCATCGTCTTGCGGAACCCAAACCGCTCACTCACGTAACCCGCCAACAAGAGCCCAATCAACTGTCCCGCCGACGACCCATTGCTCAAGCCCGTCTGCCACGGCGCCGAGATCTGGTACGAGCCCGGCTTGACCTCCTGGCCAAAGGCCTTTTGAAAGGTCGGCTGGGCGAAGAGCGTGCCGATCAGCTTGGTGTCGTAGCCCTCCATGACGACGGCGGTGGACATGACGATGCTCCAGAAGACACCGGTGGGGTAGAGCGAGAGGGCTTGGAAGAAGGTCAGGTCGTGTTCTTGGGCGTTGGCATCTTGGGCGTCTGATATGTCGAAGGCTGTGGGCTGGACAGTTTCCGCTGGGGGGTCTTGGGATGGGCGACCCATTGTGATGGGGAGGAGGAGGAGGAAGATGAGGATGGAGATGGAGATGAAGCAATGGTGATACTAAACTAAGATGATTATTTCCTGTTGTTGTTCTCTTTGTCTTTGCAATTGAGTAGATAGAGGCAAGTTTCAAGAGGAATTGGAGGCCTTGTGATGATGCGGTGTCATTGTCGCAATTGGCATTGTGCTCCTCTTATAAGATTTCGTCTGATCCCTCACAACTCCCAATGTATATGCAGAGTAGTACTAAGTATGTAGTACCAAAACACCAAGACAAGCGTTCAATAATACGAAAGGGAAAAAACCTGGGGAAATAGAGTCTAGACCGGCGGACCTTGTCGATGCTAGTCCCAGCTTCTAATCCATGCCAATTGAACAGCCAAGCCAGTCACAGTGGCAGATCCGGCAGCGTGGTTTGCCTTACCAGGACTTTAAAGCAAGGTAATACATATAATTTTGGAGAATGTGAAGCCAGAGAGCTCGGTATAATTGCCGAAGAGACGAGTTGAGGCAGTTGTTGGAAGGGTGTCTGCTTATCTCCAGGCGAGGCGCTTATCTGGTGCCGAGCAGCCAAAGAGAATACGGCTAAGAAGCACGCCGGGTGGGCTATTTAGGCAAGGGAACTTTTTTGGAGGCTTATTTTGTTGTTTTAGAGTAGGGCGGGTAAATAGTATTGGTCGAGGCTAACATGACTCGGGAATGTGTAAGACGAGGTTGTCACTGTTTGGTGGTAGTATAGTTTACATGTGGTTTTCTTTTTCTCTCGGGTGATGGCCGAGAGCTATTGAATTGAGTTTTACGAGATGGACATGGGAGTAAAATCTAATAAGCGATGATATAGTCAAGGTGTTTATTTGGTGGTAGATTAATACTGAGAGCTGTAGTGGAAATACATGCATTAGACGTGATCACATTTATGAGTGCATTCAAAGGCTACATTAGATTATATGCATGTGTATCTGTAACTATGTATACAACAAGAAAATCCAGCACCGTCTTACTCTTGCTCCCCGAGATAAAACAGTCTCGGAAATGCATACATGTTTTCAAACGTGCAAAACTCCACCGGCCCAAGATCAAACTCCCGCTGCAGCGCTGGCAAATGCTGCGCAAACACCTGATTCAGCGCATCCCTGTTCTCGCCATCAATGTGCCTCATCAGATACGCCATGCTAATATGAAAGCCGTATGTCTCGTGGTTCGGCGCTCTGAAGCCCAGGGTATCGGCAAGTCTGTCACGCAGCCGCCGCATGCGCTTCTCCTCCTCCGGTGTTGCTCCCTCAATTTCCAGTCCGATGCCGATGACGGCAGGGTCAAAACCCCGGATTCGCATCTTGTATGGCGGCGCGAGGCCCTCCTTTTCCAGCTCCAGGCCGAGGGCCCTCAGCTTGCGGGAGAACTCGCGGGTGCACTCGTCGAGAGGCAGCTTTTCCATTCCAGGAGGCCACATGCCAGGCTCACATTCCTTGTCGCGGAGGCCGTCGAGGACGGTCATGTGCCATGAAGGCTTCGGCAAGAGATGGACGAGCTTGGAGAGCACGGGATGTGAACTCAGAGATGCGTGGAGGGCGTTCATGCCGGGCTGGAGAGGAGAGTCGGCGGGAACATGGCAGACTGTGGTGTTTCCGGGAAACCGCTGGACAACTCCATCGGCTGAGAATTTCTCTGGGATGCCAATGGGATAGAGTGGCCGCTCAGCTGTGACGGCAGCTGTGGTTACTGTTGTTGATGTGGTAGACATATTTGCTTGAGACGAGGATGTGATGATGTGATGCCGTAGATCCGCGGCCAGCAGGGTTGAGCGATTGAAAAAGATAAGAGTGAATTGGATGAAAAAACCCGCGTCTCGTCACATCTTGTCAAGATTTCTGATATTTCACGACTTTATAACAAGCACGTGGGATGCGAGATGACGATCGGTAAACCATCCATGGGATGCTCGTCGCTACGAGATAAGCCCATCGCCTGGAGATAAGCTTTGGATGTCTCTTTTATGGAGATGCGAGACCGGCATTTTCTTAGTGCCAGGTACGGAGCTTTTCATAGACTTTGCAAGTGTACAGTAGTGACGGATCGGATGTGCCAGTTGCCACGTGCGTGCCGGAACGCCAAGTCGGATGATGCCATGATGGGTTGATGATGCTGACAGATGGATATGACCAAAGTATTGAAACTTGGAAGCGAAGCTCGATTGTTTGTTTGGGGGGAGATTGATATAAGGTTAGCATGCAAGGTACTGGGTATTGAGTGGTGATCATGCCACTAACACGATGTTGGATTATCTAAGCAAAAGACCATGTTAGCAGCTAGATATACCAATTGGCAGCTTCTCTATTCATCAAATCGTTTCTTTACATTGATTATCTCTTCTATAAAGTCATATTCATAGGTTAACTGCCATTGTTGGTCGCAGTATTTGACTCCAAGTTTCCGTATTGCAGCTCAAATTAACATCATGCCTATCCGCTATTTTAAGCACTGCAGTTCAGGCACCATGTACCCAGACAATTGACAAAACAGGCAAAAAGTGGGTTCCGTAGCATTGACTTTCGTGTCTTTCTGGCGTGTCTCGATTTGGTCATCCCTCACTCGACAGCAAAATCACCATCACCATCTCCTTCCCAGCCATTGACGAGGGAATTCTCAGGCTGCTCGACGCAATGGCTCGAAGCAGCGCCTTTAGGACTCTGGCGGCGGCATGCGTCTTTTTGCTGGCGGCCTGTGCGGCGGCGTCGCAGATCAAGGGGGCCCCGGCAGCTGTCGAGAGTCTAAGCCTGGAGGAGCTTGATGGCCAGCTTCAGGTACGGGTGCAGGATATAGCTTCACACCTGTGATATTCATGGCATATGCTGACTGAAAACCTTCTCTTCTTGCGCGTCTAGACATGTCCCGTTATCCAGGAGCTCAACGCCGCCAAGCGCGCCCATTTCGAGACTGCGCCGTCGTCCTTCACAACGAAGCTCTTCTCCGTGCTCTTCCCCGGCTCGCCCGCAGTCAATGCGCTCCTCGCCACGCTGTACATATCCGGCCCGCCCAACTTCCTGCTGGCCCTCGTCCCGACCAACATCGACCCGTCCTCTCTGTCCGTCATGGTGGCCTTTGCCGTGGGAGGACTGCTGGGAGACACGCTGTTCCACTTGCTGCCGGAGATCTTTGTCGGGGAGGACGAGCCGGATAGGGCCAGGTTTGTGCTTGTCGAACCAAACCGCAACCTCATTCTCGGATTTGGCATTCTGGTTGGCTTCATGACGTTTGTGGCTATGGACAAGGGCTTGCGGATTGCGACTGGCGGCGCTGGACATGACCATTCACATGGACATTCTCATGATGAGGGGCATGCTAAGAATACAGATGTCGGCATCTCCACTGGAGCAGACACTCACAAGAACGAGGCCAAGTCTCGCAAGACAAAGAAGGGTGACAAGAAGAGCCAGGCCGACGAGCAGTCGCAGCCCAAGGAGATCAACCCCAGCGTAAAGCTGGGAGGCTATCTCAACTTAATGTGAGCACCCCAGACAGATACAACAGACTCCAACAGAGCATCAGTCAAATACTAAACCCTCCCCTCCCCTCCCAGCGCCGACTTCACCCACAACATCACCGACGGCCTCGCCATGTCCGCCAGCTTCTACGCCTCCCCCACCATCGGCGCAACCACCACCGTCGCCGTCTTCTTCCACGAGATCCCCCACGAGGTCGGCGACTTCGCCCTCCTCGTCCAGTCCGGCTTCTCCAAGCGCGCCGCCATGGCCTCCCAGTTCGTCACCGCCATCGGCGCCTTCATGGGCACCCTCATCGGCATCGCCGTCCAGGAGTTCGGGTCCGGCCCCGGCGGCGACGGCGAGCTCATGCCCCGGAATGCGGGGCTCTGGGGGACAAGCCTTGTAAGTTCAAGAACTAACCCCCCTCTTTATACTCTCTCTTTTTTTTTTTTAGTAGGTTGGCGTATTAACGTGTATACTGTTAGACATGGGGTGACATGTTGCTGCCCTTTACTGCCGGAACCTTTTTATACGTCGGCACCGTCGCCGTCATCCCGGAACTGCTAGAGACGGGCCCAAACAAGATGCTGGAGCTGCGGAAGACACTGACACAGTTCACAGCCGTTGCTGTCGGCGCGGGCATCATGTTGTACATATCATGGCATGAGTAAGAAAGCGACTCAAGGAAGCATATACTGAAATAGACACACTAGATGTGTGAAGCCGATATGGCCAAACATCATATAGACAGATAAGCATATCAAAAGTCTAACTCGGCATTTCAACCCTTAAATCATCTCTCCTACCAGACGATGCTCAAAAAGAGGTCAAATGGAACACGGACTCAATAACTGTGCATCATATCATGTTCATCAAATGTAATACCAAAATAAAAACTACTCAAAACCAATGTTCAGGCTATCCCTCCTCCTAATCCGGTATGCCATCCAACAATGAAACAGCCCTACCATCCCATCTATACAAATAAATTCATGGTGCCTAACCCATGAGCGAAGAAAGAAAGAACAAAAACGTCGGTATCTTGAAAGACAAGAGGAAACAAATAACTGAAATGAATATGATGAGCAAGCCATTGGGGAATCTCCCGTGTGTGCCAAAACCCTCCGTTCATAATCCCATCACTATCAAACTCCACAGGTCTCATTTCAATGGACATGTTACTTTTTTTGTATGCTTCTTTTTTTTTCGAGCTTGAATTTTCCCGGTATAATCATTGGTGGTATCATTTGGTATCGTCTCATTCATGCGTGCATCCTTAATCTTGGAAGAACTTGATGACTTGCTGCAAATCTCTCAAGCCGACGCCGTGCTTGGGGTAACAAATGTAAACCTCTTCACCCAGGGCACCAAACTTTGATCGGAAGCCAGCCTTTCTGCGCAGCCCAAGACTCTCGACAATGGAGCGATAGGTGGTGGCAAGGAACTTGGCTCGAATGCCGTGAAGGTGCTCACCAGGAGTCAGCTTCTCCGACACACCAACACCGAATGTCACCTGGCCGGTGACGCACGACAGCGCGTGCTCAATGAGCACCTCGATGGCGCCGTTGACGGCTCCGGGGAAGTCCAGAGCCCACTTAACCTGCCAGCCGTGGCGGGGAGACAGCTTGGCCAACACCACCATGGCGTGCACCTTGCCGTCCTTCTCGGCGGCGAAGTAGCGTCGGTGCTCCGGGTCGACCCAAGGGCGCACCTCGGTCAAGTGCACCTGCTTGCCCTTGCGGTTGGCCTTCCAGGCCTCAATGGCAGGGTTAGCGCGCGAGATAAAGTCCTCGTCGGCCTTGACTTCGTGAATCTTGACGCCCTCACGCTCGACTCTGCGGGCCTTGGGTCCGCCAGCCGGGCTCTGGTGTCTCGCAGTGTCAACACGCTGCTCCTCGGTACAGGAGAGGGTTCGCCAGCCCAGGTCGTGTGCCAGAATCTTCTGCACATCGTACGAGACAAGCATCCACATGGGGACGAGGCGGAGCTCTGTCACGACGTACTTGACATACGATGAGATGACGTCCTTGTACTGCGACTTATCACAGAGAGGATCACCAGTGATCATGGCAAATTTCTCCTGCTTGACAAATCCAATGGCAGCGCCAGACTTGTGTCTCCAAATCTCAAATCGCTCGTCGAGCCAAGAGGTGTTGGAGGCATCGCCATAGTTGGCAATGAGCTTCTCGACCGGGGGAGTGTGGAGTGCGGCATACGGCTTGGTGGTATCGGCCTCGGGGTGGGGCAGACCGGGCTTGCGGTCGGGGAGAGACTTGGGGTCGCGGTAGAAGAGCGAGGCATTTCGTACATCTCCGAGCTCGAGCATCCAGGTCACGATACGCTCGAGACCGAGACCGGCTCCGGCATGGGGTGGTGCACCGAGGTCGAAACCGGCCATGTACTCTTCCATGCCCTCCTCGGCGATGCCAGCAGCAGCCATGTTGGCACGCAGCTCAGCGGCATCGTGGATACGCTGGCCACCAGAGCAGATCTCTTGGCCGCGGATGAAGATGTCAAAGGATCGGGTCCACCTGGGATCTTCGGGGTCTTTGTGGGTATAGAAGGGGCGAGCGTTTGTGGGGAAGCGGTCTAGCACATAGTAGTCGGTGTTATACTTCTCCCTGACAAGTTCGCCAAGTCGGATCTCGTCGGATGTGGAAAGATCCTCTTCAGGGGCCTCACGGCCATCGTCTCGTAGCATCTGGAGACCGTCTCTGAAATCGAGAATGAGCGTCTCGTCCAGATACTTGAACTCGCTGCTAGGCCATCGCTTCTTGAGGACCTCGACCTCGGGCATTTCGTAAACGGTCTTGAAGACATTCTTGAGGAATATATCAAGCACCGCAATGACCTCGTGGTAGTCATGCTCAATGGCCATTTCAATATCCAAACCAGTGTACTCGGTAAGGTGGCGATGGGTGTTTGAATTTTCCGCGCGGAAGACGGGACCAATCTCATAGACACGACCAAAGTCGGCAGAGACAGACATTTGCTTGGCGAGCTGGGGGCTCTGGGCCAAGAAGGCCTTGCGACCGAAATAGTTGACCTTGAAAACAGAGGCGCCACTCTCAGTGGCAGCAGGCTGGAGCTTGGGTGTCTGGATCTCCAAGAAGCCTTCCTTCTCGAGAGTGTCACGGAACTGGCGAGCGACCATGGATCGGATGCGGAACAGGGCCTGGTTAGCCGGGTGTCGTAGATCAAGGATACGCGATGACATGCGGTTGCGCATGGCCTCGGGGGGTCTGTAGACGCTGAAGGGAGCGCTCTGAGCTGGGTTCACGAGCCACAAGCCATGAATATCAATCTCGACATTGGAGACGGTGGCGGATCGGACAGGCTCAGGAGGCGCCTTGAGCACGCCGTTGATTTGAAGCAGCGACTCAGCAGGAAGCTTCTGCACCCATTGGACCATCTCCATGTTTTCCCTAGAAAGGACGCCCTGGATGGAGTAGGTCTGGTCACGGAGGAGAAGGAAATCGAGGGCCTTGGAAAGCTGGCGCTGGGTGTGTATACGGCCGCGGAAGTTGACTTCGGTGCCGATGGGCAGCGTATCCAGCTCGGCAATGGTGTTGAGCTCGTACGGGTGCGTTGGCCAGTCAGAGCCGCTGCTGCGTACGCTGTCAAACGACGTGGTCGAGTTGTCCATGCTGGATCGTGGAGAGCCCTGGGCCGACCTACGACCGCCTCCCTCGTTCATCGTCGCCAGAATCTGGCGCGTGGCCTCACTGTGGATGGCCGGAGCAACGGGCGAGTTGGGGATGGACAAGGATGAACCCACGGGGGTCGCAGACGTGGGCGTGGCATTCATCATGTATTGATGGTAGCTGTTGCGGTTGCTGCTAGTGCTGCCATAGGCCTTGGGGAGATGGTCGCGAGGCACGGAACGGTCAGGGCTTGCTCGTCTGCTGCTTCTCGTGCTATTAGACCGCAGAGGAAGGCCAAAGGCCGAGAGGATGGGGGAGTTTCTCCCGCTGTCTGTGCCCGGCATGATGACGATATATGAATGACAGGCTTATTTTCAAGGGTATTGTTGACTGAAGGACTGAGATGTGTAAAAACAGAGGTACAAATAACAAGTAGCCCCTGGTTTATCGCCGCCAAAACCCGCGGATCAACTTGATTGATTGGTTCAAGAGTCAAGATTGTAGATTGTACAATGAGCGAAGAGAGTGTGGCAACGCAACGCAACTGGGCGGGCACAAGTTCCGCTATGCTGTCGACGTCCGGAGCTCGCGGGGCTGGTTGGCGGGGTCGCAATCAGTCAACGAGCAGATGCAAGCTGCAACTGACTGGGGCTCTCTAATTGGTGCGGCGCTATGGTTCCCTTTCAGGACTGATGATGTTATCGAAACCCTGGCCCTGACAGCTTTTGCGTCGTTTTTTCGCCTTGCTTCACGGTCAATGACGCTGGACTGAATCACTGCAGCGTCGAGGAGGAAGCTGTCAAGCGGTTGCTGGGGGTCTGATTCGCCCGTGGGAGCTATTTTTGGCTGTCTGGCAATATAATCCGGTAGTGATATCTCGAGGGAGGGTGACTAGCACCAGGATAGTGGCGAAAGCAGAAGCAGGTTCAGATTTCCACTGCACTGTTCTGATTCCTATGTGTGTTGTGTGTGTGCCTTGAAGCTCCAGGCAGCAAGTCAATGGAAGCGGAGGATGAAAGGATGGAAGGGAGGAGGGGGAGGCGGCAAGAGCTGCTGCTGAGACTGCTCAAGCCTTATATAATACAGACAGCAACTTCAAGCACCTTGGGGGGTGCAAGTGTCTCTGACAAGGGTGGGCTCAGAAAGAAAGAAAAAAACTTGAATCCATCAATACCTCTTACAGATGCTACCAAATCACAGTCACAGTCTCAGCAACTCGCAGATGGCCGAACCGAGCTACGGGGCCTCGACCTGCTGTATCCACTCCTCGGCAAAGCTCGTGAGGCCGTCAGTCAGTCTCTGCCATAACGCAAAATCCAGATCTCCACCCCTCAACCTTAGACTCCGCCCGAACCCGACAGCCTATCCGCCTGGCACGTTGGAGACGGAATTATCTGTGTCATTGGGTGGCAGCTGAGGGGGCGGGCGAGGTAACTCGCGGTTAGAGGTTCCAGTGGGATGCCATTAGTTAGCACTTATCTAAGCACATGCATGCAGGATTCCGTTTAAGATTCTCTCTTGCTAGTCTTTCTAGTCCCTGGGCGGCCTGGCTTGTGAAATTCTCCTCTAGACTCTGCGCACTTTCGGCCGGCACTGCTAGTTCTCTCCCGGCGTCACACGACGAATTAACGCTGTTGGGCGACAATCGGGCAGCCGCATTCAGCACGCACGCGGACTACGGACTCTAGATAGGGCGCGAGGAGCATGCCTGGGTCTCAAGCTGAAACCGCTTCCCAATGATGAATAATGCTGTACTCCGTAGGCATCGGCGCATATATGCAGGTGAAATTCTACAGCCCTGCATTAGTAGCCATGATGTAATTGTGCCATTATCTACAGAGTACAGAGTACCTAACTTCAGTCCTACTGTACCTCCTACCACGGAATCAAAGACTCATGAATACTCAGGGTACCTTACCACTTGTACGCGTACCGTGCCTGGAGAGCGCCTCGCCTGCGAATTGCATTGCTAGTGCTGCCGATTAGTGGTTAAAGTGACATTGTGCAGAATTTTCCTCGCCTGTCGCATACAGTATGAAGCGCAAAGGTGCAGTCACACACCATCCCGGAATGCTGACATGAGAGAATTGCGAACTAGCCAACCACAGGCCAGTAAGAAGGCTCAGAGCATCTGCCGGCGTCTTATAATCTCTACGCTATTCGACTTGCACCGCAACAGACAAGAATCCTTTGAAGACTATGCCTATTAGGGCGTTGCTAGGTGCTGCTGCTACTGTGCAGATGCTGGAGTTGCTGCAGGATTGCCCTGTATAGCGGCCGAGACCGGGCAGCTTGATATCGCGTGGGATGAATGAATATTCACGCATTTGCTCTGTCTCTATCATTGAACCAACGCACTCAGCTGGAGAGATTCATTCAAATGTTTACTAAGTGATGTGCTCTATAATGACGTCAGCCTTTGTAAGACTCCAAAAACCAAGAGAAACCCACACACAGCAAAGCACAAGGATATCATAGACCATCATCTGCATCGATGCACGGACCGGCATCGTGCGATCAGGTCGCCAAGCCATCATATGAGCAGCGCCAGATCCCGCATCTCTGTCTGCAGCCGCCGCCGAACTCGACCGACGTCATGGCAGGTCTGTGCTCGCTTTCCAGCTCCTTCTACTGCTGTACAGCACTATGTATGCTGCCGGACCCCTGCAAGAAATTACGGAGTAGCCTCTCCGTTTTACTGGGGTTGCTGCACTACTACTGCATGCAGTATCGAATTGCCCACGGCCTCTGTCGCCCTGCTTTCTAGAAGTTCGTATTTCGAACAACCAAACGTCTTTCAAAGTCCCGGGCCCCAACAATCTGCCAAAATGAACAAACCAAATCGCCTCCTCAGCCATCGTCGGCGCCATATCGCAACCACCAGCTTCTCCTCCTCCTTTCAGCCCCTTCAACCCATCAGATAGTCTCCCAATCCCCCCCCCCCAAAGAGACTTTTCGCCGATCCCAACTCTGCTAGCGCCAGTCCCGACGCTGCCGAACCCGCTTCCGTCTCTTGTGTCGCAGCGTCTCCACGAAATTGATCAAGCCAGCCATCAACTATTAGTCCGTGGTTCCTTTGGCGTTGCACCCACCAAGTGTAGTGTTCCATGCAGGCCTTTCTATTCTTTCTCCTCTCGGTTTCTGCTGTGTAAAACGCGCGCTTGCCATCCTCACACACCTTCTTCACTGGCCGTTCCCTACTTAGATAAGGACTATCCCAATGCTTGGAACTTAGTAATAAGCCCTAAACGGGGGGAGCCACTTCCACTCGTAGTAACAGGGCAAAACGATATGGGACTTGTACTCCGCATTTCCCAAGGTCAATCGACGACCTCGGAGTACCGATGACGCGTTATCCAGACTGTAGCAGAACAGCCGCAACGTGGCAAAACACAGTACTGGCGGTTCATCCCCAAGATCAATCTCAAGTATCGCCTAGTACCTCGTCTTCTCCTCTTCCATCTAAGCCAAGCCGTACCTTTTCCGTGCCTCGTGCGCCACCCCTCATCTGATCAAACTTTTTTTCTTTCTCTTCCATCTTTCCATCTCACCGGATTCGCTCCACGCCCCTCTCCCTCCATTCACCCCGCCTGTCTCATCTCATCCCCAGAACAGCCAATCCGCGTTCGCCCAGCCTTTCCGCAAGTCTGGCTGTATAGAGACCAAATTGTCCTTCTTTTGATACAGAAATAGAGGCGGATGACACTGAGCGCGCCTGCCACATGGAGATCATCCCGGAACCCATCAGGAAACCGACAGTCCCGGAACCTGATGACTATGTCAACCCCTTAGAGGCAAGTTCCCGCTGGACCCTGAATGCGCGTGCTCAGGCCATCCGCTATGCCTCCAGCCTTGGCTTCAGCATCGCCAACCGCACTGAGCCAGCGGCACCTACGCCCTCCACCGAGTTTTGGGTTGATTCGACGCTCGCCGAATGCAAGGGCCCCAAGAAGATCAGGGTCGAGGTGTGGACTCCGCCTCGCCTGTCCATCGGGCCTCGTGCCGCCGTCGTGGCCCTCCATGGGGGTGGATGGATCCTCGGCCAGGGCACCGACAATGCGCGCTGGGCATGTGCTGTCATGACCTCGCTGGATGCCGTCGTCTTCACTGTCAACTATCGCCTGGCCCCCAATTACCCCTTTCCGACGCCCATTGAGGACTGCGTCGATGCCATCCTGCAGATCGCGAAGCGCGCTGCGCAGTTTGGCATTGACCCCAATCGTATGATCCTCTCGGGCTTCTCCGCAGGTGCCACCACAGCCCTCTCCAGCTGGCTCATTCTGAAAGAGCCTGCGCGCTGGAACTACACGCTGCCATTCGCCGTCCCCCGCATCACTGGTCTCGTGCTCTTCTATCCAGGCCTGGACTGGACAATCAACAGGGCAGACAAGAGGCTGAGTTGCTCCCGTCCCGATCTCACCTTGTCCAAGGGCCTGACAGACCTCATCGATGCCTCTTACGTCTATCCTCCTATTCCTCGTCACGAGCGTGCCGACCTGAGGCTCTCTCCTGGTTTGATGCCGGATGAGCTCATCAAGAATCTGCCGCCCGTCCATCTATGCTTATGCGAATATGACATGCTTCTCGCCGAGGGCCTCCGCTTCTCAGAGAGACTAAAATCCCTGAAGAAGACGGTAACTGTCCGTGTCGTCGCCGGGGAAAAGCATGCATGGGACTGCCCTCCGCCAATGGTGCAGAAGGAGAGCGTCGAGGTTGAATACGGAGAGGCGACCCAGGCCATGGCCAATTGGTTGGGTCAGGAGCACGACACGGACCGGGAGTCGATGCGGTCCATGAAGACGAAGCGTCTGCGGATCCCCCGGCCCAGTCTCATGGCCTTTCGGTCGAAATCAACAATAGGGCCCTTTTGATTATTTTTCCTGTGATTTCACGAGCCTATAGCGTTCCCATTTTTCACTTTTTCTTTTTTTACCGCCATCGTCTCTGATTACCTCAGCCACTCATGCTAGGCAGACAAAGGTTAGAAGACAAGACAAGACAAGACAAGACAAGACAAGACAAGACAAGACAAGAAATGCGTGCATGGGGTATGGTTACACCCAGGCGAATGCTACTGTATTTAGCGAATGGTTATTACTGGCGTTGGGGCATGCATAGAAGTGGCGAACGGGAGAAACCGGTGTTGCTTTGATATAACCGGGAAATGCCTGGCAAGATATAAATGTTATTTTTATTTCAACCATCAACGGAAGCTGAATATAATCGATTATCTTATGTCATCACTAGCCATTCTTTGTTCATCTCAAATTTATACTGTAACGTTAGAAGTTTCATACGAAGTAAGAAGATGTGATGAATGGATTTTCCCACGCCTCCCATCGCCCACCCCTTCATCACATCTCTAATGTACCTCATGCACGCCCACGGCTTTCACATCCGCGGCTTTAAGCATGAAGCACCAATCAATAGTATCGACACTTTAGCCTTTTCACTTCCAGTCTCCGGAAGCATGGAGCCGGGAAGTCAAGTGGATTTGGGTGCCTTGATGCGGGTCAAGCACGTGGATCAAAGGTCCGTCCGTCGGAGAGAGGCATGTGCCGGGGGTCGATCGATGGTGTTGCTTGGCAAGATCCGCCGGAAGGGCGCTTAACGACAAAATAATAGTCGTTGACAACGGAGTACTCCGATTCGTTCTGGCACAGTGAAGATGTACGGAGGGTGTGTGGGATATCTAGTTGAAGCTATTTGTGGTGCCGGTTCGGAAGGTTCGGATAGGCTATTGGGATCATGGGGTGCGGATTGAGCACGAGGTGGCTTGATGTTTTTGGAGAGGGATTGGTGATTTTGAGGTGAATAATAGTACTTGGAGTTGGAGGTTTTTTTTATGATTGTGGGTTAATTAGAGTGCTGACGAGATGGCCGAGGGAAGATGTGCCGGAGGAGGGGGTGTTCCCTATTTTGAGAGGAGGGGGGTGATTTTGGTGATTTTGGGGTTGCACAACTCTGGATGCCTCACGTAGGGAGAGATAGATGGACACATGATGCTGCTTTCGGGGATATTGATGGATGTGATGGCTGTTGACGAGGTGTTCCGGAAGGGATTCCCAGATGGGCAGCCTTTAGATGATCTGGGTGAGTGAGATGGTGCTAACCTGGAGGATATCGATGGTGGCGATGGGCGCATTCAACGACCGACTTTCAAGGGGCAATGAGCATGGAAATACTTATTCTAGATATATGGCGTTAATTTGTGGATGATTTGATTTTATTTCCTTTTCTCTCTTTCGTGGTGATGGGTATTTACCCGCTTTGTTGGGTTTGATTCATTGTATGAACATGGCCTTGTGGTGTAATGCGAGTCAATGTATATAGTATTTTATATAGACGAGGCGTTGACTGGACTACACCCAAATTTCTCATCGAATCCGATATTCTTAACTGTATTCTTAAAAGTATCTATCATAAGACATAATGCAACCACGCCTTCCGGCACATTGGTTTCCTTGGGCTTTGGGCATCGCGCAAATAGAATCCTTGATATTGCATTCTACGAGATATAAAGCAATATTCGAAAAAGCTATCATTAAACTAAAGTCTTGTTTCCACTAGAATAGTGTGATCAATGCATTGGCTACGCAATAAACGTAAACTCACAGTTTCTTGGCGTACGCCCGGCTACTACCGAGGTAGATCTTGATCAAAGCTGCGCTATCATGACTCTCGGCAACGGAGCACATATCCAGCATCCACCCACCAGATATAAATCACAATTGTAATGTAACAACATTTCTAGGCATTCAATACTGCCTCTGAAATGCATTATATCAAAGGACACGCAGCTTTCAATTCATCTCCAAGACGCTAGTATGTTTGACCCAGCTAATAATAATAGATATACTCGCCTCATGTCGTTCCTTCGTAAAATTACTAATATGTACTAGAACGTGCTAACAGGCCGCTTGAATGCTAGCCAATTTACCACTTAGCCTCCTTGCTCTCGACAAAGGCCTTCAGAATGGTGACAATCTTCTGCAGAGCGGCCAGGTAGACCGTCAGGTCAGAGGTGACCTTCTCCTGGTCGGCTCCCAGCTTGGTGTAGAAGTCGTTACGGTAAGGGCAGGCGCTCATGGCAGCACTGAAGACGGGCTTGATCAGGAAGCTGTGGTGAGGCTTCAGGGTTGAGCCATAGGCGGTTCGGAAAGAGTCGGCAAGCTCCTCGGTGGGCTTGGCGACGTTGGCACTGAGGGCCAGGCAGGTAAACTCGAGACCACTGGTTCGGGAAGCCATTGTTAGTGACAGAGTTGTTTATGCAGAGGGCCTGGTTTTACGTACCGGACGAGCCACAGAAGGCCCTCGGTGGCAGTGTGCTTCTTGGTCTTGAGCTCGTTGCGGCAGAGGTCCTGGATGTTTCCAGACTCGGCGGGAGCGGCGAGCTGGCGGTCACGGAGTTTCTAAGCGTGAAGTCAAACACGTCAGCAACTAAACAACTACCCAATTGACTAGCTACCTTGTAGGTGGACTTGGGGGCTCGACACTTACCTTGACGTTGCCAAGCATATCATTCTTGACGGGAGAGAAGGCAACAGAGCCCAGAACATCTAGACGAGCAAAATGATTAGCCGTAAAGCTCTCCCCGGTGAGTCTGAATGCATAGACGCAGCAGAAACCTACCAAACATGGTGGTCAGGGACTCAGCAGCATCGAGGAACTGCGTGGTAGCAACGGCATTGCCATTTTCGGCATCAATGGGCACGTCGACAAAGGACTGCTTGAAGGTGTGGACGATGGTGGCGCCCTCGGGGATGGAAAGAGCAGACATGATGAACTGAGTTTTTGCTTTTCTTTTCTGTAGATGCTCTGCAAAACGGAAACAAGAAAATGGAGACGAATTGAATTGGGGGGAAAAGGAAAGGAAAAGAGTATCAAGTCGTAAGTCGGTGAATGCTCGACATTCTGCTTGGGGAGCTGGTGGGGGCAGAGGCACAGGTGGGGTTTTGGCCAGGTGTCTCAGGAGAATGCGAGAAAGGGGCCAAGGGTCAGGGAGATTTTATGGGGCAGGGCCGGATGTACCTTTCCGTGGCTGGGGCGGCGAGGAGGTACTTGTACTCGTACACATGCATGTACTATTTGATATACGAGGCTGCTTGAACTCAGTTCAGTTCAGTACCTACCTAGGCAGTATTACTTCGGGGAGACGAGGAGGATTAAGGAGGCTGGGAATTATTGTGTCCAATGTACGTATGTAGTACCGGGCAGGTACATCGGAGAGAGACTACATGGACAATGTTATTGAAGGTATCGAGAATGTACTCGCATCCCACCGTCAATTGCTTCCACAGCTCGCCGCCAATTGGAACACGTCCATGCTGCTGCATGTGCATGTACTCCGCATTTATCGAGGCATGGCATTGGTTTCAACCAGATCGCTACCGGCACCGAAGCACCTGGAGGCTTACCTAAGGCAAAGTCAAACCCGTCCAAGCAAAGGGACAGCAGTGGACCTATTACGCGTCAGTAGAGCGCATGTGAATTGTGATTAAACGATGTTTACTGCCACTACAGAGTTCAATCACATAATCTATTCAATTCTATAGTCTAAATTTAAATTCAAATGCATAGATATAATTTTCTTTTTATTACCAAGTCCAGAATCGGATGATTGACGGCAAATCTTCATCTGTCTTGCCTCCATCCCATGTGCCTTGCAGCGTCAGGCATCTTGCTTCTTTGCAGCTAGCTTAGATCTCCTAGATTCAGCATTCAATTAACAGATGCATTCACACATTCTAACATTGTTATTTATAGTTAATTACAAGAATAAATCAACTCATATGAGAGCTGAAAACAATGGCATTGAATGGCTACGTCACCTTGCTCAACCAACTTGTCCTTTCGGTAGTCTCCAGGGTCCTTGAAAGTCATGACGTCACGATTTTGCTGCTGCAACAATCAGGCCCCTCCACTCAATCAGCCATCGAAACCTGCCCAAACAAACGAATTCGGGTGTCACGCAACCCCCAAACTTGAATAACCCGCCAAGGCCATGTGAATGCCGCCCAGCAGCCGCAGCTGGAACAAATTGGCTTTGCATTATCACCCAAGCTCGCCAATCTGGAGCCGCCAATCTTTGCTGTCATTCGACCTCAGCCCCGTGGCGCCGCCAACATCGGCCGCCAGTTCCCCCTCTCCGAGACAGCTCTGCTGCTTGGTGATGGACAGGGTTTGTTCGGCTAGCTCTCTTCGGGTCGATCCTTCGTCATGGTCTCATCTTGTCAAAGTCTGCTGAGCTTGGACCCCCGCTTCCTTGATGGCTTCGTCTTGGCATAGCTACCATTCCAGCTATATATATAGTCTAGATTGTTTTATTAGATCCTCCCATGTCGTCATGCCGCTTTACTGAACCATTGACCTGCTTATACCATTTAATATTGTCTTATTTCATCAGCTGTTTCCTCAATCTGTGATGCCCATCTCCCATCCATCTCCTATAACGAATCGCCTACCATCAAACCAGTATATTAGTTCCATCAATTTCAGTGGTCAAAATGGCAGCTCCTAAGCCCGCACAACAAACTGGAGGCCATGGCTTCCACGGCTTCATGGATAGCTTAAGAGGCAAGCTCCACGAGACAAAGCTCCACGACGCCAAAGTAGCCGTATCAAATAAGAAACACCAGATCGGAAAGTTTGGCAACTTGTTCAATAGAGACCACCGCCACGACGAAGAGCACGAGATTCGCTGCGACAAAAAGAGGACTCAGATCTGCGCATCTCATCGTTTCCAGTCGTATTTCCCTGAACGGGAAGGGAACCTCGTCAAGTGGTATGTGGATGGGCGGGACTATTTCTGGGCTGTATCTGTCGCTTTGGAAGAGGCCAAGGAAACCATCTACATTGAGGACTGGTGGCTCTCGCCAGAGCTCTTCTTGAGACGGCCGCCCCATCAGAAGCAAGAGTACAGACTCGATCAGATTCTGAAACGAAAAGCGGAACAGGGAGTCAAGATCTTTGTCGTCGTTTACAAGGAGGTCGAAGCCGCACTTACCTGCAACTCGGAACACACCAAACATGCCCTGCAGTCCCTCTGTCCGGAAGGCACTCCAGGATACAACAACATCAAGATTATGCGACACCCAGACCACAATGTTCTCGAAAATGCGGCGGATATGACAATGTACTGGGCACATCACGAAAAGTTCATCGTCGTCGACTATGCTATAGCTTTCATCGGCGGTCTTGATCTCTGCTTTGGGCGATGGGATGCTCGCCATCACCCGCTGTCAGATATCCACCCCGATGAGGTGCAAAAACAGGTTTGGCCAGGCCAAGATTTCAACAACAATCGAGTCATGGACTTCAAAAAGGTGCAGGACTGGCAAGACAACGAGCTCAGCAAGGCGGACTACGGCCGGATGCCCTGGCATGACGTCTCCATGGCTGTCATCGGCCCTTGCGTGTATGACATTGCTGAGCACTTCGTTCTGCGGTGGAACTTTGTCAAGCGGGATAAATATAAGCGTGACGAAAGGTTCGACTGGATTATTCTAGAGGGCCGTGAAGGCGAGGATGAGGACTTGATCGGAGTACAGCGGCCAAAGTATCCGCAGGGCGACTATATCAAACATCCCCTGAACCCCCTGAGCACCAAGAATCTGCTCGGTCGAGGAACTGTCAATGCTCAGATCGTGAGATCCAGTGCCGACTGGTCCAGCGGGATCCTGACAGATCGATCTATTCAAAACGCATACGCAGAGACTATTGCCACCGCGGAACACTACGTCTATATTGAGAATCAATTCTTCATCACTGCTACCGGCGATAATCAATCCCCAATCCACAACACTATCGGTGCGGCCATTGTTGAAGCTGTGGTTCGAGCAGGGAAGGAGGGTCGGAAGTTTAGGGTCATTGTCGTTATCCCTGCTGTTCCAGGGTTCGCAGGCGATCTTCGAGACAATGCCGCTTCTGGCACAAGAGCCATCATGGATTACCAGTACAAGTCAATATGTCGCGGAGAACACTCCATCTTTGAGCAGGTCAAAGCTCAAGGAGTTGACCCTACCAAGTACATTTTCTTCTTCAACTTGAGATCCTACGACCGCCTAAACAAGACACCGGCAATTACTCAAGCGGAGGAGAGGACGGGCATCAAGTACCAAAAAGTCCAGCGAGCCCTCGCCGAAGATATCATGGGTGAGGGAATCCATGGGACGTCTGATCCCATAGAGAACGAAAGAGACAACCACATGGGCCAGGAACGCGAACAAGAAAAAGGTCGCATCGAGGCACTGCAAGCAAAGGAGACTTTTGAAAAGGCCAAGCCCAAGGAAGAGGTTCAGACGTCGATTTCTGTAGCACATCACGCCATGGCTGACCAAGATCCTTTGGAAGACGAGCCATGGGCAGACCCAGAGTCTGAAATGAAGAACTGGATCCAGGAGGAGCTCTATGTGCATGCCAAGCTGCTCATTGCCGATGATCGAGTGGTGATTTGCGGCTCGAGCAATCTCAACGATCGCAGCCAGATGGGAAATCACGACAGTGAGCTGAGCATTGTCATGGAAGACACGAATATCGTGCGAACGACTATGGATGGAAGGCCGTTTGAGGCAGGATACCACGCAATGAGTTTACGACGATTCCTCTGGCGAGAGCATCTCGGCCTTCTCCCTCCGCAGGATTTTGATGCGAAGGATGACATCAACGCCCTGCCACCCAGCGTCGAGCCCAATAACAAAATTTACGATAATGATGAGAGCTGGAAGTTTGTAGAGGATCCGCTGAGTGACGAGTTATGGAATATGTGGACGAGTCGAGCAGACAAGAACACGGAGCTCTTCCGCCACCTCTTCCACGCTGATCCAGACAACCACAGTAAGTCACTTCCCGCAGCCTATTGGCCGCAAATGATAAGAAGCAACAAGTATCACAAGACTAACCACAAGAGCTACCTAGTCAAAACATTTGACGATTACGACCGCTATCTGCCGCCCAGAGGCGTCAAGCCGGGCCACATTTTCGACCAGTTCATGCCGCCCGAGGAGGCGAAGAAGAAGCTGGCGCAGATCAAGGGGCATCTGGTGTGGATGCAGATGGACTTTTTGAAGGATGCAGAAATGGCGGAACGGGGGCTTCAGCTTAATGCATGGACGGAGAGTGTGTATACTTGAAGTGCTGTCTCTTTCATTTTGGGGGAAAGGATTAATAAATATTCACCGCCTTGAGTTGGCTATAGTAACAGAAAGTCGTAAATAATTCCAGGTACTTAAGGAGCTGTGTACCTACTTAAGTAATATTGACCTAAAAGATCATTTCAACTTGGGGTGCTGAACAGCCACTCCCTAGGTATTTTTATGATTCTTCGTGGGTAGGGCTGTTGACATTGAAGGGCTTGAGACGCCGCTGATGAGCAAAAGACGGCAGTTGCAATAAACGAACAGTGATTATCCATCCATCCAACCATGAATTATGCACCTCGGCGCCTAAATCGTAGCCTCCAGCCACATCGATGCATTATCGGCCAATGCCTGCGAATTTCGTGCATCTACCAGAAACCTCGTTGCCGAAGCGCGGCCGCATATACGGTCGCATCAAGCAGGGGGGGAGAAGCGAAGCCCTATGCGAGAAACTACAAGACAAGTTAAGCAGTAAAAGTAGCACCAGAGTCTTGTTTGTCACAGGCCAGTCATCGCGCTCGATGGGTGTGAAAACGAGAGGAGACGAGATTTGGGACACAGTAGCGGCTTGCGCTTGTGGACTGGAAGCGCCGCAGTGGTGGCCAATGGTAGGGGCGAGGTGGTCACAGAGGGGACAATCACACGCATAAGCTTGGTGACATGAGGTTGATATGAGTGATGGAAAGGTTTTGGCGTTGACAAGGAGCGAGTTTTGCTTGTTTCCCCCTCTTTTGGACCTTTGACTGCTCTTTGGCTTTGGGTTGGCACCTGTTTTGGGCAGGAGGTGAGAGTTGAAGCAGGTATTGTGTGATGTTGAGTCGGTGAAGACGATACGAGTGGTGGAGGAAGCTGGAAGTTGGGGAGCAAAGAAGCTGAGCGGCAAACATCAGCAGCTGGTAGCGCTGAGTGACAGCAACAAAGACTGCCAAAGGGGCAGAAGAAAAAGAAGAAAAGCACCCGACAACACATCACCCGGCGCTATTGCTGGATCAGCTGTTGCCGTCGACTATGATCTTCACAGTTGAGGCTATACTCGTATACTCGCAGATCCTTGTGCAGGAACCCTTGTTTCTTTGGGTGCCCAAGCCCTCGGCAGGATTCGTTTGACAGCGGCAACACGCCGCAGCCTGTCAGTCCTTCTACCAACGAGGCGGCAGTCATCTGTTGTATGCCATCCATATCTATATATCCATATGTGTGTATCATGCTTGCGGTCTCGTTTCAGCCTTTCCATCTCCTGTCGGCCCGTGCTGCGTGGTACATCCATGGTGCTGCTGCGCTGCTTTGGGCTGTCTTCAGCAGCTGCACGAAATCAATGCTCGCTTCACGCCGGTCCAGGGGTCCCCCGCCAGCTACCAGCTTCTGTAGCGGCTCCTGTAGCGCCCCACAGGGCCTCTAGCAACTCTAGTTACAGAGCGGTATGCTCACTGCAGTAACACTAACAGTACCTAACAGGCGCCGCGCCCCACGCTCGCCGCCCAAACCCAATCCAGCGGCTATTCCTGAGCCATCATGGCATCACCGCAGCAGCCCAGCAAATCACCAGTTCAGGCCAAAAGCCCTGGCTGCTCCCTAACCCGCTGGTTGCTTTAAGCTTTTTTGTCCTTTTCTGCAACCTTGCCTTTACTCTGCTGTGCATCCAGCAATTCACAGCATCTCCATCGACTCGCCTCGATCCGATTGCTGCTCTCTCTTGCCGTCGTAGCTGTCAAGGAGAGACCCCGCTTCAGAAGCCAAAATCCACGACCACGAGATACAAAGGTAGAGGTGGCACAAAGCCTACGTTGCAGCTCCTGATCTTACGTTGCCTCCACACAAAACAGCTCGAGACACGCAAGGCTACTACGCAAGCCGCTTCGCCTCTGCGTCTTGCTTCGACCTCGACCTCAGTCTTGGCCTGCGTCGACAATCTCCCCTTCGACCTAGCTGGCATACAAACGGCACCAGTGCTTACAGCTCCCTCTCGTTCGTTCTCCGCCACTTGTGCTGCTGCTCTTCTCCCCTCTCGCCAGCAACCAGCATCCCGATTCCGATATACATCTCGTGCAGCTTGCCATCGCACCACACTGCTGCATCCCGCTGGCCGTCTCTGTCCTCCGCGCCGCCGACGCGCATGCGACTTGCTGGCCGTCTCAGCCTTGGCCATTGAGTCTACCGCCAGTCGCACAAGATGACGCAGTCTCCCATGATAGCCGCGCCGCCCAAGGCAACCAACGAGATTGACTGGGTCACGCCTTTGAAGTCCTACATCCGCGACACCTACGGCGATGACCCCGAACGATATGCCGAGGAGTGCGCAACGCTCAACCGCCTGAGGCAGGACATGCGAGGCGCGGGCAAGGAGAGCATCACAGGGAGGGATATGCTCTATCGTTACTATGGACAGCTGGAGCTGCTGGACCTGCGCTTTCCTGTGGACGAGCAACACATTAAGATATCATTTACATGGTGAGGTTCCGTTCCATAATATGATCGATATCCGCCATCCGGTCGAGAAATGCTAATTACAAATCTACTCATCAGGTTCGACGCATTCACCCACAAACCTACGACGCAATACTCGCTCGCATTCGAAAAGGCCTCCGTCATCTTCAATATTTCGGCTGTTCTTTCCGGCCACGCTGCCATACAGAACCGAGAAGACGATTCTGCACTCAAAGTTGCCTATCACTCGTTCCAAGCGTCGGCCGGCATGTTTACATATATAAATGAGAATTTCCTGCATGCTCCTTCATTCGACCTGAGCCGAGAGACTGTCAAGACATTGATCCATCTCATGCTTGCCCAGGCACAGGAGATCTTTTTGGAAAAGCAGGTCAAGGACCAGAAAAAGCCTGGCTTGCTGGCTAAGCTGGCTTCGCAGGCTGGATACCTCTATGGGCAAGCTGTTGAGGGCGTGCAGGAAAACGTCACAAAGGTCATATTTGAGAAGGTCTGGCTGACCATGGTCCAGGTAAGCTGCAAAGTTGCCAGGGGAATGTTTACCCTGCATTCCGCATTATTCTCTGAATTGTGTATGCAATGAGATGGCTAATCTAGCAATGAAATCAACGCAATTACAGATCAAAGCCAATCTTCTCAACTCCATAGCGCAGTACTACCAGGCAGTGACAGACGACGAGGCTGGCCAACATGGCGTGGCGCTATCACGACTCCAGGCTGCCGACACCCTGGCCAAGGAAGCCGACCGATTAGCGAAGAGCTTTCCTACTGCCGTTCCGACCAATGCCAATATCGGTGCCGATTGCAGCATCCATCTGCAGGAAATCACAAAACGACAGTGCTCCATAGTGCAGGAACGGCTACGAGAAGCCATCAAGGACAATGACTACATCTACCACCAGACAGTCCCCGCGGAAGCGAGCTTGCCCCAGATCGCCAAGCTACCAGCCGCGAAGCCGATTCCTGTATCTGAACTTTACGCAGGTCAGGACATCCAGCGCATCACCGGGCACGATCTGTTCTCCAAAATTGTGCCCATGGCGGTGACTGAATCCGCCAGCTTATACGATGAAGAGAAAGCCAAGCTTATACGGGCCGAGACGGAAAAGGTAGATACGGCGAACGGCGAAATGGCAGCCAGTCTGGACTATCTGCGACTTCCAGGGGCGCTGCAAGTGTTGAAGGGCGGTTTCGATCAAGACATTCTCCCCGACGAAGACTTCCGGCAATGGTGCGAAGACGTTGCCAATCACGAGAATCCTGTGAGCATCTTTGAGTTTCTGCGGAGCGAGAAGGAATCTATTGTGTCTACTCTGGACAAGAGCTCCAAGCAGCTGGATATGGAGGAGAGCGTGTGCGAAAAGATGCGATCCAAGTATGAAAACGAGTGGAGTCAGCAGCCCAGTGCACGCCTCACGACGACCCTACGGGGAGATATTCGCAATTACCGAGAAGCTCTGGAGGAGGCCAGCAGGAGCGATGGCCAACTAGCAGCGAAACTGCGTCAGAACGAAGCCTGGTTCGACGAGATGCGGGGCGCCGTTGCGAATGGACAAGTTGACCAACTCTTCTCAAAGGCGGTTTCTCAGGCCAAGGGAAGAGGCAGTAACGCCGTCAGTCCATCTGGAAACGAGCCGAACCTGCTGGATGCCGACTTTGACGAATCTGGACCGACGGTCGTGGAGCAGATTGCAAGGGTCGAGGAGACTCTCAAGAAACTCAACCTTATCAAGAGAGAGAGGAACCAGGTCCTCAAAGATCTTAAGGAGAAGGTAAAGAAGTCGTCTCATAATTTCGCCAATCTTATTTTGCGGACGACAGACTGATAATTAATGAAACAGGTGCACACCGACGACATTTCGCAAGTCCTCATCCTTAACAAAAAGACAATAGCAAACTATGAGCAGCAACTCTTCAAGCAGGAATTGGAAAAATTTCGTCCTCACCAGAATCGCTTGCTCCAGGCCAACCACAAGCAGTCGGCCTTGATGAAGGAACTCACGGCTACATTCAACACTCTGCTGCAGGACAAGCGCGTGCGGGCGGAGCAGAGCAAGTATGAATCCATCCAGCGACAGAGGCTATCGGCGATTGGCAAGTATAAGCGAGCTTATCAGGAATTCTTGGATCTGGAAGCTGGCTTGCAGAGCGCCAAGAACTGGTATTCGGAGATGAGGGAGACGGTGGAGAGCCTTGAGAAGAACGTGGACACCTTTGTGAACAATCGGAGGTCAGAGGGTGCGCAACTGCTCAACCAAATCGAACAAGAACGGTCGTCGAACAAGACGCAGCAGGCAGAGCTGGAACGGGAGCGGCTACGAGGCCTCATGGAGCGGATGTCGATGGAGCCGGGGCAGCCAGCGGCACCACCCAAACCGCCCTCGCAGAGGCCAACACCTGCACCCCTGATGCAGCAGCAAAACCAAGCTCCCCGGTATGGGCAGAGCGGCAGCAGCAATGGCTACCAGGGACAGTTCCAGATGCCTACATCGCCGCCACCAAACCAGCAAAACTTTCCGGGTTACGCCAGCCCTCCTCCTCAAAGCACCTTTTCGCAACCTGTATATAATCCTAGCACATACGGCAGAAACCCTGGGCCGACATCGCCACCACCGAACCAGACGTCCTTTAATATGAACGTCATGAGAGGCCCTCAATCACCACCGCCGACACAGACATCTTTCGCACAGCACCAGGCGTATAGCACGTATGGGGCCTTACCTACACAACAGCAGCCACCGCAGCAGCAGCAGCAGCAGCAGCTCCCTCAAGGAGGATATATACCTCCTGGCTTTGTGCCACCACCGCCTCCACCGGGCCCTCCTCCGCTAGGTCCTCAGCAGACTATTCACTTCGGGCAGCAGGATTATGACTCTGCAACTGGCCACCCACAGAGCGCACAGCCTCGGTCAGCTCAAGCACAGCAGACACATGATCCATGGGCCGGGCTGAATGCATGGAAATAACGAGAAACAGCGCTTCTGGTGAGGCTATCTACCTAATGGGTATTGAGACAGTTGGTTGGATGATAATGTGAAGGCATGGTTTAAAAACACGCAGAAGAACCAGGGTAGTTTTGAAGGGTAATGTCGGACCAGGGGAAGAGGGTGTAAAAGAGACGGACAAAGGGATAGAAGTATGTATGCTGACGGCATCAATAATATGTTTCTTTCTTTCTCTGTTCATGAGCATAGATGGCAACAGTGTATTGCGAGAAATTCCAAACGGCTGGGCCATTGGTCTTATTGCTTAATCCTTACTCCCACCAGTAGCGTCACTGCTATTGTAATATGCCAAGTTCATGTAGCGCATCTTGGCGTTGTGTTCAAGTGATTGGCCGCAGATCGGGCAAAGGGGCTGTATAAACAACGTGATTTGCTCCCACGGTTCACATTGATCAACCGAAAACCGGACAAAGTTCCCCCATGAGCAAGACAGTAGCACAAAATTGGAGAAATTGCGGAGTAGCCAAGCGTGGAATCCAACTATTTGGCACCCCGCAAAACTCGGTCCCCCGGAATATTTAGAGCCGGTGGGAGGCGTTTAATTCGACCGCTAAAGGGGAGCCATAGCGCCTTGATGTTGTTTTAGCAAGAGTTCGGCTTTTGGAGGCGAACAGGGGGGGAATGGAGGCGAGACGGGGTTTGTCCTCCGCTTTCTTTGGTGGCTGCGGGTGATGCTGCAGGTGTTGGCAAGGAAGTGATTATTCTGGGAGGCTGGAGGACAATTGAGATGGGCAATGGCGGATTATTGAATCGATAAGGATATGAGTGGTTTAGATGAATGTCATTATGGCATCAATCAAATTGATATGGAGGTGGAAATATCCGTCGGGAGAGACTGGACAACTCGAATTGACGCTGTGGCAGTACAGCTGGAGTCTGTAGGTGGGTTCTTAGGCCTCGAGTTAGTGAGCGAGGCCCTGAAGAGCCACCTGCAAACGGAGTCAAGACACCCCGCTAGCAGCGTCGAGTACGTACCGAGTCGCTGGCTATAATATTAGCCGACGGCCAATGATGTATCTCCAAATAAATCATGCAGGCTAAGGTAAGATATCTATATAGTCTATCTTGCGACGACAACCGACAGGCGACGCGCGAGGACAGAACTCGACCCTTTTCCCATCTTCATCTTTCTCTTGGCGGGCATCAATTGCATTTTATTTTGAAAAAGGACGGATTGGATCGGCGATTGGCGTGTTTGTTTGGTTCCTGTTTTGGAGATCCCGTCAAGACCGGCTTTTCGGCCGTCATCACCGCTCGTCAGCAGAAACAAGAGACAGACAGACAGACATAGAGAAGATGGTGCTCACAGGCAGCGATGTCGCCAAGCATAACGACGAAAAGTCATGCTGGGTGATTATTCATGTGAGTCGCTCTCTTGCTTGTTGGTCCAGACGGGGTGAATGAAGCTGGTGGACTGACTCTCTCTCCGTCTCTCCCTCACTAGGGCAAAGCATACGATGTCACAGAGTTCTTACCGGGTATGTCATGAGAGAGCCGGAATAAGCATTCGTTTGCCTACTCTTACTGACGTGGGATATCAAAACAGAGCACCCTGGAGGAGAGGAAATCATTCTCAAATATGCCGTATGTCGCGGACTCCTTCACTCACTCATGACCCCCTCATATCATGTCCCTACCTACTTGCTGACACCAACATCCAGGGCAAGGACGCGACAGAAGAGTTTGACCCGATTCACCCCCGGGACACGCTCGACAAGTATCTCGACAAGTCTCTGCATCTAGGGCCCGTGGACATGTCCACCGTTGCTCAGGAGACCAAGAGAGAGGACCCCGAAGAGGCCGAGCGCCAGAAGAGGATAGCGGAGATGCCGCTGCTGTCGGAATGCTTCAACCTGCACGACTTTGAGGCCATTGCGCGGAGAACCATGAAGAAGGCTGCGTGGGGATACTACTCCAGCGCAGCCGACGATGAGATTGTACGTCTTTGTTTCTCCGCCTGTCAATCCAAAGCCGAGGTCTGGCTTTTCGCTAATCATCTCATGTAGACACTGCGTGAGAATCACAGCGCCTACCACAGAATCTGGTTCCGCCCCCAGATCCTCGTCGACGTCACAAACATCGACCTCTCCACCACGATGCTCGGCACCAAGGTCGACGCCCCCTTTTACGTGACGGCCACGGCGCTGGGCAAGCTCGGCCACCCAGAGGGTGAAGTCCTGCTCACCCGCGCCGCCCACAACCACAACGTCATCCAGATGATCCCCACGCTCGCCTCGTGCTCCTTTGACGAACTCGTCGACGCCAGGCAGGGCGACCAGGTCCAGTGGCTGCAGCTCTACGTCAACAAGGACCGCGACATCACCAAGCGCATCGTCCAGACGGCCGAGCGCCGCGGCTGCAAGGGCCTCTTCATCACCGTCGACGCCCCGCAGCTGGGCCGCCGCGAGAAGGACATGCGCCTCAAGTTCACCGACAGCGGCAGCAACGTGCAAAAGGGCCACAAGACGGACAACAGCCAGGGCGCCGCCCGCGCAATCTCCTCCTTCATCGACCCTTCCCTGAGCTGGGCCGACATCCCCTGGTTCCGCAGCATCACAAAGATGCCCATCATCCTCAAGGGCGTCCAGCGCGTCGAGGACGTCCTTCGTGCCGTCGAGGCCGGCGTCCAGGGCGTTGTGCTGTCGAACCACGGCGGTCGCCAGCTCGACTTTGCGCGCTCTGGCATCGAAATCCTCGCCGAGACGATGCCCGTCCTGCGCCAGCACGGACTGGACAAGAAGATCGACGTCTTTGTCGACGGCGGCGTGAGGCGCGGCACCGACATCATTAAGGCCATGTGTCTGGGCGCAAAGGGCGTCGGTATCGGACGGCCGTTCTTGTACGCCATGAGCACGTACGGACAGGCCGGTGTGGAGCGTGTGATGCAGCTTCTCAAGGACGAGATGGAGATGAACATGCGGCTAATTGGGTGCGCCAAGATTGCCGACCTGCACCCTGGATTGCTGGATACGCGGGGTCTGTTTGTGCATAGCAACTCGACGCCGGTGGATTCGTTGTCACAGATTACGTACGATCCCCTGGTTGTTCCCGGCCAGAGAATCAAGGCGAAGTTGTAGGCTGCCGTGGATGTTTAAGGGGGAGAGGGGGGGTTTTGGATAAATAATCGTAGAGAAAGAAAGACGAGACCAAGAGCAAGATAGTGTATGATAATAAACGAGCAAATGGATTTTCATAAACACAAGTCTAATCTATTTAACCAGATACTTCTCCAGATTAGTTTATACGTGCCTCATTATGTGAAAAAAACGTCCAATATCATAATAAAACTTCATCCATCTACAGTAACCCCCCTCCTCATCACAGTCCGCTCAAAAACTCCCGCAGCGTCATCGGTTTCCTCACCGCATTATTCAACCCTTCATGAAACGTCACCCACACCTTCTCCTGGCTCGCCGCCTTCTTCTCCGCCAACCCGCCCGTCACCTCCGCCAGCGGCTGCGCCTGGATAATGCGCCCAAAGAAGTCCTTCTTCACCACCAGCCCGTCTTCCACCACCGCCAAGTCATGCTTCTGGCTCTGCGTCGGCTGAAGGAGCTGTTGCTGCGGCTCGCCTTCGCCGATGGCGTATCCGGCTTGGAAGCGCGCTTGGCGAGCATGTGTCTCGCGGAGGGCGAGCGTGCGACGAAGTTCCTGGTCGAGGACCTGGCGGACGGCGAAGCGGGTTGGGGCTTGGGATGAGAGAAGAGCTGAGGCTGTTTCATAGGTGGCCAGGGAATCAATGTCACTATGAGTTGGGTTGTTAGCTCGTTCACTTATACACGTAGGTGTGATGAGGTATTGGAAAGGGGCCAAACTTACGGGTCCATGCGGTAGACAAACTGCGGACCGCGACTAGACATCACATCGCTCTCAATCTTGCCTTTATGTAAGGCAATACCCACCTCGGCGAGCACTTCCGACGCGCGCTTGACCATTGCTCGCTCACTCTCCTTGCGCACACTCGCAGTAGTGCCCTGACTGCCGCCGACGACAACGGGCTTCACATCGGGCGACAGCATGCGGGCCAAGTAGGGCATGAACTCCGTTGAGACGTCCTCTGCGCTGCGGAAGAGGCGCATCATGGTTGGGCTGAGCTGGCTTTGGAGGGACTGCAATTGGGCGCGGGTTTGCTTCTCGGCTTCAAAGGCCTGGAAGTCGGCGCGCGGGCCGGAAAAGGGGATTGTAGGGCCTACTTCTTCTTCTCCGGGAACGCCAGATCGCTGGTTGTGGTTCGACCCCATGCCGCTGGCAAAATGCCGAATTGGTGACGCGAATAAGTGGTGGCAGGCTAGGACAGGCTGCGCTAGATAGGGCGCGAGTTCCCATTCCTGGCTGGCAAAGAGCTTCGACTGGCAGGCATCGTGAAAGTACAGCCAGTCGTAAGCTTGATTCGGCTTCGAGAGATAGGAATCGTCGTTGAACTCGCGGTTCGGATACTCTGCGAATATCTCCGTCACAATGTGACTGATTTCGCCGCTCGAGTCCACCATCTGCCGAAGACACTCCATGGCGTACTTCTTTTGATGCTCTCCAAACCCAAGCTCCGTCTTTGGCTGTTCGTGATGCGTCTTGGACTTGGCCAAGTTGAGAGCTTGCTTAGGGAAGCCACCTCCTTCTTGAAAGAGGCGAGAGATGATATCTTTGACGCTGCCTCGCCCGAGTCCTCGAGCCCCCGCCGAGCCATTAGCAAGTTCCTGGAGGATGTTTCGCTCGATCCAGTCTCTGGTGAGGCGTTGGTTATCATTCAGGCTCGAGGCCTTGAACCGGGCGGCCACCCATTCACCCACGACCATGACACCTCGAAGGTCGCCTTGCACGGTACTTTCTTGCCCTCGCTTGGCATCAATGCCACTGGCCATTCCCCATGCCGTTTCACATAGTTTGCGTGCTGCATCCTTGTCACATGGAATACCCTCCTTTTCAAATACTGTCTTTAAGCGACCAACTACAGTGTCCAGTGTTGGACGGCCGACGTGAATAATTTCGGCAAGATTCGATTGCCTAAGAGGCCTCAGAGAAGGATGGTAGACGTCGTTGCATATTAGAATCAAAGGTCGCATCAGGCGGAAATCGTCGCCCTTTTTCTTTTTGCCATCATAAGACTTGGTTACCCCTGAAGAGTTCTTTTGGTCGATGAGTACCAAGTCAATCAGGGCTTTGATGAAGCCACCCTCCCCTGAAGCGCCAGATCCCGTTACCACGCCGTCCACCTCGTCCACCACGACGCAAGCAGGCTTGGCAACTTTCTGAGACCCGTTCAGTGCCTTTTGATTGCTGACATTTTTGACGCTCTCCGTCCCAAGACTGGTCCGGATTCGATTCTTGACAACGTCGCGACTGCGGTCATCGCTGGCGTTGACTTCAATCACTTCGTAGCCGGCCTGTTTAGCGCAGACATGAGCTAGTGTAGTTTTCCCCAGTCCAGGCGGCCCTGTTAACATCAAGATCTTTCGATGAGGCTTCTCCTCTTCAGCCTGAGAATGAGGGCCGTTGCGTCTCTGTACTTTGGGCTTTGCTTTGGCTGTTCCGGGAAAGACGAGCGGATCCCACTTCTTCAGCCAGCGTAGGACAAGTCTATTTGTGCTGTCGTCTCCGCATAAATCCATAAAGTTTCTCGCGCGGTATTTCTCGGTCCATAGCATAGTCTTTTTGGGTTTCTTATCGGATATAGATGTAGCCTCCATAGATCGAACAGCTGAATTGGTGTCCGGGGATGGTGGGTTATGCTGCTTCTCAGCCAATTCGCTTGTGGCGGCGTTGATCAGATTGTGTATGTCCACGCCATAGTAGTCTCGCTTCGCCCGCCCTTCCTTGGTTTTCGACCTGGCTGCCACCATAGATTCGTAAGATTGGGCAACAACCTCTTTGCGCTGTTTAATCGTAACTTCACTACCACTGCATGTTTTTAGCTTATAAGTAGTCTTTGACCGGCTTCCAAAGATTGGCGCAGTAAGTAGTGAGCTTGGTTGGGACCAGTGAGGCCCTGTTTGTGTTGCAGTATTCTGAGTATCCTCGGTGAGAGTCGCATGAACTGTCGGGTGGTTGACTACTGGGCGCCCCTCGCGGAGGGCGATGTTGCTGCCATCTCCATTCGCATCTCGAGCACCAAATATGGGGCTCTGTGGCCTCTGCTCGTGTTGGACCTCTACTTTACGCCTCTTGGATGGAGACCTGGAGCTAGCTCTAGGCCTATTCTCTATATCTGATTCGGAGTCGGAGTCAACGAAAGGCCCAGTGACGCGAGGCTTCTGTGTGGGATATTGGATATCATGAGGTTTGGCGCGCTTTGTTGGAGGAGACGGAGGGTCGCTCGGAAAGGTAATTGGCGAGGATGCTGACAGCATTTTGCTTGGATTAGTGGTTCAATGTTGAGAAAAATAAGAGAGGCTCAAAATATACACAAAAGAAGGGAAGAATTGAGAATGTCATCAGCCAAATTCAATGGTGGCTGCTCATACAATACTTTGTTATACCAAGAAAACTCTCGACGCGTCTCATTATGGGAAGTGGGCTGGGACGCGTTGAGTGGCCCCGCTTTCGGTGGCTGCTCGGTGGCTCGGTGAGTCGGTGCGGGAGCGTCACACCGGCCGGCAGAACATCGGCTGCGTGGCACCACCAGAAAAAATGACACCCACATATCGAGCTCTAAACAACGGCCTCAGTGATCTCGTCAAGCCGCAATTGTCACCGGTCGGCTCGCCAAGATGAGAAAGCCGTACCGTTTCTACAGTTTAGCCCGTCCGGTAAGTTCAGAACTGCCTTGGAATTGGTCACGCTGCCGGAGCCACGGCGGCAGCATGAGGGTTGAGCTCGTGTGATGGCGGGGATCCTAGTTGCTGATGTTGAAAACCCTACAGAAACTGCGACAATCATGGAACAAATACAACCTGTATAACCTGTACCGCCAAACTGGTCGAGAACCCCAAATTCGAGGCACTCCCACATTCTTCCAGCAGAAATGGGCGGCCAAGGCCAAGACCCGATCATACCACGGAGAGCACATTCCCGAGAAGAAATGGGTGCGGCTCTTCTCCCGTCGACTCCTCTCCGCTGTGGACATGCCACCAGAGTATTTGGCGGCGCATGATGGCTCTGAGCAAGCCGCCGGCCGTGGTTCTGGCTTGACGACGTCAACAGTTACGGCCGAGACATTCTCCAAGGTTCCCGCACTCAGCACCCAGGAGCGCTCAAGGAGGAGACCCCTCTTTGGCGATGTGAACAAGCTGCTGTCGGATCAATTCAACAACATGACCCCTTATATGCAGATGACATTTGCGCCTTTGGAGAGGAGGCTGGATACGGCAGTCTTTCGGGCTCTGTTCGCCAGCAGTGTACGACAAGCCCGTCAGTTTGTCATTCACGGAGCCGTCACAGTCAATGGAAAAAAGGTTTGTTACATCTGTCTTTACGATGTGCATAGTTGGATGTCATATATACTGACGCAGTTACGCAGATGGTTCACCCATCTTACCAGCTGAATCCCGGCGACATGTTCCAGGTTGACATTGAGAAAGTCATGTACGGCACGGGCGTACAGAAAGAAGCACAGGCGCACAAACGACTTCACGAAAACCTTGAGGCAAGACAAAAGAAGGCGGATCAAGCATTCCAAAATGCTGTGAAGAAGCTGGGCGGCGATGCCACCACTGAGCAGGCCGCCGCCGAGGGAGAGACTGAAGGCGAGAAGCCTGAGGCTGAGGCTGAGGCTGCCGAGGGTGAGGCCGCTGCGAGCGAAGACGCCGGATCATTGACCCCCGAGGCCCAATGGAAGTTAAACAACAGGGCCTTGAAGTTTTTGTTGAAGGATGTCAAGAAGATTTTGAAGAACAACCCCAAGGACCTCACTGCCAAGGAGAAGAAGCAGCTCCGTCTCTTCCGAGCAGATGCTAAGCGCTTCCTCTCACATCCTGAGAAGAGCGAGGCCGATGCTGTGGAACTCATTGATGAGCTGCAATTACAAATGAAGAGTCACGAGCTGATGCGAGAGAGCTTTGAGAAGCTTGACCTGAAAGAGGGCCAGGACCAAAGCCAAGCTGAGGCTGGAGCTGAGGCTGTCCAAGCCACTTCAAAGGAGGGCGAAGAGCAGCCAGCGGTCAACAGAGAACGAGAGGTTGAGAAGGGTTTGGAAGGCCTATCAGATGAGCAAAAGACCAAGGCCAAGCGGATAATTGGCGATGCCCAGCTATCTAAAGATGAGATGAGGAAGCTCGCCCGGCTGCTTCAATATGACGAAGAGAACCCCATTGACGACTCGAAGCCATACGCTACCCCATGGAGGCCCCGCCCTTACATGTCAGCGTTTGCCTTTATTCCCCGTTATCTCGAAGTCAACCCCAACATCTGCGCCGCCGTCTACTTGCGACACCCGGTTGCTCGAAAGGGCACGGCCGAAGTCCCAACACCTTTCAGCTACTTGACTAGTCAACTTACCCATAACTGGTACCTTGAGCGGGGTTAAGGAGAGGGCGTTTAGAAATGTTTAGGAAGGGTGGCGTGTATATGATGTATAACTCTGCGAAAAAGAGCGAAAAGGAGAAAGATTACAGTCCATGTAGGCTATGTATGATGATAAAAGTTGAGGTTGGGTTGGATTTCCTCCCATGCCTCGGCAATGTAATAGTATATACAAAGGAACTATGATATGAGAGCCTGAAAGAAACCCAAGCCCCGATTGTGGATATTTCGCTGTCCTACGCCCAAAGGATACAGAACGCAATAGTCCCTTAAGAAGATGATATTAATCGGGCTATTTGATTACCGTGGCATGTGAAAGAAAGCTCTTTTTGAAAACCAGTGCCCGAGAATAGTTGCCACCGATAGACAGCGCAGCAGTTGTCCTATTGAGTCAGCGAAGGATGAAACTATCGAGCTAAAGATGTTGTAAGATTTTAAACAGTCATACGAGAATGCTCCTTCTAGAGAAATATTATAGCAGTTGCTAACTATATGCGGAGTGTATTAACAAACTGGGCAATCTTTTACAATGGCGCTCTATGTATGAAATAGGCAAAACACTACGAAAGTTTCGTTTTCTTTCCTGACAAATTCATGGCACGGCCTTCCTATTGGTGATTTCCAAGTTCAATTTGTCCAATCACTGTTAACCATCTTGATTTGTAATTTCTTTACTACTGTCTCTCTTCTCAATGCTTGTTATTTCGCCATTATGCCTTTGCCTCCCTTCATAGTCACGCGGAATCCCCCGTAATTTTTTTTATACACTATACAAATGACCTTACATATGCATCTATTCCATAAGCGGCCAACGGATAGCCATTTAAATATTAACCTTGAATATTCTCTTCACAGATCAGCAGCAGGAGGCAAAAGTCCTCACCACTAGTCCTAACCAGGCAGCGGAGCCAGTGTTACAAGTCCAAGAAAGAGGCTGCTCGGTTTCGCGTGCCTCGCTCGCGTCGCCTACACGCTGTCTGGAACGGCCGATGACAAGAAATTCTCCGTGTCGAAATATGGGGAAAACAAGACGCTGCTTTATAATCGTGCTACTCGTGATGCATCAGTCCACCAGGTTTTTTTTCCCTCCCAGTCAGGTGCCTGGCCAATCCCGACTTTTCGTCGCGGCCTGTGCCTGTCCACTTTTTACGAGATGTTGCTATTACGGGAGAGAAACCAGCAATTCGGAATAACCGGTTGCTGGCGTTCCGAGAACTGCCTCCGTTGTTTGAGTGAGTGTTTTGTTTTTGCTTGGCCATGCGACCACTTTACCGTGACGGGTCAATTCTCCAGCTGCTTGCTGTAGATGCCGTGTAGAACCGCCCAAGAACCCGGGGTTTGATACTTGAACAAGTACAAAGGACAATTGCCCCATACATGTACAGTTTATCTGTTTGCTCGTCAATGTGATTTTGCCCCGTGAGACCGGCAGACCGGGTCCAAGGCAATCAGGCAAAAAGAGGGCGAGCCTCAAAAGCCGCTCCAGCCTTAGACCCCGTTCTGCCGGATTTTTTGGAACATGGAAGCTTTCGCAGCGGCCGCGATTCCGACCTAGCGGCATTCGCCACTAAAATGTTCCAAGTTTCGGCGAGCCGCCCGGCCACGGCCTGAAGGACAACCCAGCAGGGCCCTGACAAAGCACCAATAGCAGGCGTCGCATTAGCCTGTAGAAGCTGAAGCTGTACGAGGCTTCAGGGCATTACGGCCACCGAGACCCGTCTGGACCAGAGCCCGTTCAAAGCCCGTTAAATCTCGAGGCGCATGTCGTGTCGTCAGTCTCACTCCCGATACTTCATCTCAACTCTTGCCTTCGCATCCTTGCTAGACTTGTCCTCCTCTCTCCCTGCACTAGAGTACTACTCCATTCACATAGTCCCACCACTGCTTCAGCACCGTTTTCGCCATTGCATTTTATAGCAAGTCGCTGCTGCTGTGCCTCCATCCCACACATTGCGCAAAGTCAATCCGACCGGGAGTCCCCCGCATTTGTCTTAACAGTCTCTAATCCGACCTCCGGAAGCGCCGCGACCAGCAACCGACTGTTGAATTGATTCAACATCGCGGCTGCAGGGCGTGTTATGACAAATCACTAGAGTCCCATAGGCTGGATCTTCGCCCAGGAACGCCAAAGGCTGCGAGACTCCTCATCACGACATCCTCCGGCTGAATCACCGCCAAAAGGCGTTTTATCCAAGTCATCCATTCCGAAGCCATTCCGCCCCGACTTTATCCCTGTAAACACCCCAGAGTCGATGTGACACCGCGCGCCAGCACAGTCGATGCTAGCGCTCGATTTGGCTATTGCTCTTTGCACAACACAATCCGCATCTCGACTCTCCAGCCATAGCTGTAACCCCCGTTCCTCCCTCGCCATGGAGGGCATGGACCTGACGGCCGCCTCGTCCTCTGCCGCCTCGACGCCTGCTTCTCAGGCAAAGAAGAAGTCCCGTCGAGGAGCCGACTCGACCAACCAGAAGCGAAGATGCATCAGTACCGCCTGCGTTGCTTGTCGGCGACGCAAGTCGAAATGCGATGGCGCGCTGCCCAGTTGCGCCGCTTGCGCCAGTGTCTACGGCACTGAGTGCATCTACAACCCAAACTCAGACCACCGCCGCAAGGGAGTGTATCGAGAAAAGGTCGACAGCATGAAGGCCCAGAGCTCGACGCTACAAATCATTGTCGAGGCCATTTTGAATGCCACCGACGAGGAAGTGCCCGAAGTCGTAAACAAGATCCGGACCTGCGACAATCTCGACACAGTGGCTCAGGAGCTCCTCAACATGGGCTCGGGGATCAAGGGAGAAGATTTTGACGACCAGATAGATGATGAGTCCATGGCTTTCCAGCCCGTGACAGGGGAGCAAGAGCTCGCTGGCAAGATGGGAGAGCTGCGACTCGAAAATGGCTCAGTGCGCTTCATTGGTGGCACCTCTCATCTCATCTATCTGGGAGATCCTCACCACGATGGCATCGAGTATGATTCACCTTCTGAGCCCGGAATATGCGAGAACCCCATCACTTCATGGACTCGGGTAACCACTGATCCACGCCTCATCATGCACCTCATGAACATGTACTTTAATTACCACTATCCCTACTTTACCACTCTCTCGCGCAAGCTGTTTTGGCGCGACTTCATGAGGGGCAAGGCGGGCTTGTCGCAAGGCACCGCATACTGTTCTTCGCTGTTGGTAAACGCAATGTTGGCGCTGGGTTGCCACTTCACCGATATCCCGGGTGCTTTTGGCATCCCCGGCGACAGCAGGACGAAAGGAGACCATTTCTTCGCCGAGGCCAAGCGACTGATTATCGAGAATGACGAATATGAGAAGCCTCGACTTGTGACGGTGCAAGCCCTAGCACTCATGTCTGTGAGAGAGGCGGGTTGTGCAAGAGAGGCCAAGGGCTGGGTCTACAGCGGCATGAGCTTCCGAATGGCTCTCGACATCGGCCTCAACCTCGAAGTAGAGGGCTTAGACAAGGAGCACATGTCGGAAGAAGAAGTAGACGCCCGACGCATCACGTTTTGGGGGTGCTTCTTATTTGACAAGACCTGGTCCAACTACCTGGGCCGCTTGCCACAGCTCCCGAGGAATTCCTTCACCGTTTCTAAAATCGACGTCTTCCCTGACGAAGATGCGGCGCTGTGGTCGCCTTTCACTGATAAGGGCTTCGACGAGTCTCTTGCCCAACCATCAAGGACACGAGCAGTTGCTCTCCACTTGTCCAAACTCTGTGAAATCAGCAGTGATATACTTGTCTTCTTCTACCACCCAAGCCACATAAAGAGGGCCAGCAGCAAATCTCTTGAGCTCAAGAAACTCGGCGAGCTTCACCAACGGCTTGAGGAATGGCGGAAGAATCTGCCCAAGGAATTCGAACCAAAAGAGGGCTTGTTGCCAAACGTGATATTGATGCTGTAAGTTGGCCCGTCTGTTTGCAACTAACAACCCATGGGAAGTATGTGAATAGCTGACTTGAAGCTCCTTTAGCTCATTCTTCCACCTCCAATATATTCACCTCTTTAGACCTTTCTTGAAATATTCTCCAGCCGCATCGCCTCTGCCATCTCATATATCACCAAGACGGATTTGCACCGCAAATGCAGGTGCCATTTCAAAGCTGATGAGGCTATATAAGAAATCCTGGAACCTGCGGCAAATCTGCAACATTGCAGTCTACATGATACACAGCGCATGCACGATTCACCTGCTCAATCTACCAGAAAAGACGGCAAAGCGAGATCTGACCCATGGCCTAAAGCATCTGGAAGAGATTGCGGAGGATTGGCTCTGTGCAAGACGGACGCTAAGTATCCTCAGCGTTTTGGCTAGAAAGTGGAAGTGCGAAATGCCAGAAGATGCCGAAATTATCCTCAGACGGACAGACGAGAGATTTGAATACTACAGCACATCTGAAGTCCCCTCGCCTGGATCGAGCAACATGGCCCCTGTTTCGCCAGTGACCTCAGAGGAAGGGGCGGTGCAAGCTCCTCGGCATGAGTATGGACTGACGATGCACCCGACGTCAGAGCCCATAGCTCAGCCGGTAGCACAGACGTCTATCGAGGAGCGGATGTCTATGGAGTCACCCATGTCCCTGGCCAACAGTAACCCTCATCCGGATCAGCAAGGCATGGCCATGGATCCCACGCAAATGGATTTCCAAGATATAATGGGGTGGTCACAGCAACTGGGGATTCCCTTGAACTCGGGGTCGCCGGGTCTCTCATCCGCCACTCAGAGCCACGTCTCGTCGGACATGGGCCACCACCAAACCCGAACTCAGACCCAAAACCTAGGTATGGACAGTCGCGAGTGGCTGTTGAGCGACTCGGCGCGGCTACACCAAAGCTTCGGGAGCTGGGATATGAGACCGCAGGCAGGACCTGCGAATCAAATGTTCATGTTTGGCAATGGTCAGGGAGACGGTGTGGGAGTTGAGACTCCGGATTTGAGCTCCTTTGACTCACTCACCGAGTCGTTGACGACGCTCAATGCGTGGTTGCCGTCTGGGCTGGAGTAGAGAATTTGATAGGGAGGAGTTTTTTTCTTTTTTTTCTCCTTTAATACACCAAAAGTAATGCTGCACACATGTGGTCGTGCTTGCACTTGAATGACAAGCCCTTTTGGCAAGACATAGGGGAAATACATCAAGGTGTACCTTTTTGGCTATGATTTCATTTTAGGTAAAATGATGGAAGCTGTGCTTTGAGAGCGAGGGTACGGAGTAGCTATAGGTCCAAGCCATCTAAACTCGGGATACCCTATCTTTTTTTTTTTTTTTTTTTTTTTTTTTTTTTTTTTTTTCGCAATGTTGGCCCTTTGTGGTCCATGCAACGTGTTAGCAGGACAGCGGCTGAGAAATAGTGCCGTTTATCTACATGTAGGATTATGTAGTCTAAGACATTCCCCTTTCTATTATGGGGCGCTAAATGGATGGAGTCGTGTATGAGCATGTCACTGAGGATACTTGTAATCACTTTGATAAGGAGACGATGTAGGAAGAAGGCGTGGAATTGGTCCAACTACATGTTTCCTGAACGGGGCAATGGAGAGAGAGAGGGAAGAGTTTCTACAGTTTGAGATTTGCCACGAGTGGGCACAATTCGATAATTCCAAGTACTTACCCTTTATCAAATGGTCTTCTTGTCGTCTGCCGTGTATCTTTACCGTGTCGTTGTCGTTGTCGTTTGTTTCGAGGCGATCCGCTCTCTAGACAGGGATCGGCAAACCCTTGCAAGGAAAAAGCAAAGAGAAAAAAAAGTCACTTTATCGATCTTGATGCGCCCGCTCGGTCGTCGGTGGCTGGCCCCTTAGCTCGCCTCTTTTGTTCTTTCGAGCACCTAGAGACAACATTTCATCAGCGCCAAGCGAAAACGAGACAAGGCAACCATTTTTATGGTCTTCAAATCGAAGCGAAGTGCCCCGAGTATTCTCCCACTGACGTGCCGCCGTCCTTTCGTTAGGGCCCCCCCCTCTCCCCTCTCCCCTCTCCCCTCTCCTTCTCTGCCTTGTGATTTTTTTTTTGTTCTGTCTAATATCGGACTCGGTTCCAGACACCGAAGGGACCCCGGGGGATTTCGACTTTGGGGTAATTGGGCGCATTGCTCACGCCGTCGTACTGCTAGTGGAAAGGAGGGAGGTGTCTTTGGGCGGGCCATTCCGAAAGGCCCAGCGGCCACAAGGCACACGTGAACAGGCAGGGGAGGGACCGTTTTTCCTGTCTGGGCCTGGAGAGAATGGGGTCAGTAGGTCATTCGTCTCTTCGGCTGGGCTTGTCTTTTTTGGTTCCCCTCAGTTCTTTCGAGGGAAGGAGAACGGGCAGAAGGGAACAAGAGGCAATTGGGTCGCTTTTGAGATTTCGGGACGGCTTCTCTCCCACCCCTTGCAATATAGGTATGCAGAGCATCGAGAAAGAGGCCGTTTTGCTGGGGGACAAGGGGGGGTGTTGAAATTAGAAGGCTTGAGATGACATACCGCAAAACAAGATACTCGTACAGACCGGTGGACCGCGTCTTGCTTATCTTATAAATCAGACAGAAGCCATTGCCATTGGCACCGAAGTCGCTGAGCTCTCTCGAGACAGAAACCAAACCAAACCAAACCAATGAGTCCCGTCCCAGGCAGAGCTAGTATTAGTATTGCCATGCCTTGCGAAAAGAAGCGGAGCGCCACTAGCAGGCTAAAAGGCCCGGCCATGGGGCAGGAGGATACCTACAGTAGCAAGGCGGGATGGAAAACAAGCAAAGCAGCCGAAGATTCGCTTGGGTAAACATGTCATATTTTTTCTCTTTTTTGCCTTGGATACAACTTTCTTGTTCCAGGCGAGCCGCAGAGATTGGGTCTCCGCAAGACACACAAAGAGGCAAATCGGGCGGACTAGAGAAACATGCTCAGCGGCTCGAGCTGCAGCAAAGATTGGCGCGGGTTAGAATCGTTCCAAGAGGTGAGATTATGGGGGGGGGGTCCCCTCACGATAAGACGGGCCACGGGACAGGGGGAAAATGACGAAGACGCACTCACACACCCCCAGTCGGCCGCAGGAGACAAATCTTGTTTGCAAGACGCCCACATGCGCCCCGGAATTACCTGTAGCGGTGCGGTGCAGGCACAAGCACGCGTGCGTACAAGCGCAGAGGGGATTGGCATTGCCAATTGAGCTTGAGCATTGGCTTCGGCATCGTGGCCAGTCCTCCAATATTCGTTCTGCGTTCGTGAGGTTTCGCCGCGTCTGGGGATGGGCAGGAGATTGCTGATTGACTATGAGAAAGAGGCAATTGGTTAGTATCTCATCAATTCGCTCACCCACACACACAAACACTCTATCTCGCCTGTCTTTTTTTCCTCAGTGTCGTTTTTTCGCCTACCATGCGGATAGGGCCGATATTGACAATTGCGGCGACGGGGAATGGGGTGATTGTGAGAATGAGAGCTGATGAGCAGACCATGACTTACCGTTAATTGCCAATGGGCCACTTCACGATATTGCATGGCCTGATCCCCAAGTACATTGTAGAAATGATTTTTTTCAGCTCTGGGAGCGGCGATCTCCCTCTCCCTCTCCCTCCTCCTCCTCTTCTCCGTGTGGGAGGGAGGTGCGCGAGCTCTACGGAGTATCAATTGTCGGGTTAACAAGTTTAATAATATCACATCTCCATCTCGTCGGGATGATCAGGACAACTGCCTTGGTTTGTAATCGGAGTTTAAGGCTGTTTCTGACTTTAACCTTTTGCCAATTGCCGGGAAGCCTGAGTCTGGAACCATGTCGATGATGCTATTTTGCAAAAATACGAAGCTGTTTTGAATTGCCAAAAAAGCTCCTTCTTTTTGTCCGCCGTCGCCCCGATTCTCCTGTTCTTACGAGCGATGTACGGAGGAGCTGCCGAAATGTCCCCCAGGAGTCGGCCCATGCGTTCCCACTCCCCAGCTTTGGGGCTTGGGCTTTTGCTTTTTTCGGGATGCCGGGCTTGTCCTTGTCGATCCAAGCCAAGCTGGCCCTTCCCCCGCGGTGGCGTTTCCTGGAGAAAAACCAAGGACGACAGAGCTGGATTGGATGTGTCAATTGGGCTGAAACGGCAAATTGTCATGATACGAGGACAGGTAAGATTTCGCGGTTCCCCGTCAAAGGTCGCACGTCGGCGTTTCTATCTCGCTCTCTGGCGTTCCGCAACATGGGAACGATATCCCGTCTGCTTGGGAGCAGGGCAGGCACCGGGTTTTGAGCATTTGGCGGGGAAACGGGGAAATGGGGAAATGGGGAAAATCTGGAGATGTTCCCAAATATACTCCGGAGTGACAGCTTTGACAGATCTCGCACTCGACAAGGCTGGGGCGCGGGTCAGGGTCGCATTGGCAATATAAAGGCTGCTCGGCCGTTGCATCGTCGCATCGTCGTTTGTTGATGATGCATAAACTCACCTCCAGGCTCAATTCATTAGGCAGCGGATCAATGCCAGACCTTGGCTTTGCGCGACTTCTCGTGGGCGCGTCACTGGCTGCAAAACTCCGGGGTTCGGCCCGAGTACCGTTGGCCACATGCAGGTCTTGGTCGAGCTTGAAAACAGGGGCCTCAGCGTCCCATTTCGGCGCTATACTAGGCGCTATACTCCGTACTAGAGCACTACAGTCTACTATACAGTGCCTTAGTAGGACAGGCAGGGTGAGGCAGGGTGTGGCAGAGACTTGGCCCGGCCGATGCCTTGCGGGACGCCGTTGGTACGAAGTACGCGGGGCTCTGCCGGCGAATCTGGGGCATGGCCATGTATCGAGTACCGCGCGGAGGAGCCACTGCCAGGTCCCGGCGAGGTAGCTGCGTGCTTGTGTCGGGCTTCGTCCACCAATCGAGGCGCCATCGACATCACCCTCTTTGTCAATCTTAACTCCCCCGTCTTAATTTCGTCGTGTCAGTGATGCGGTAGCGGGTATCGTCACCGGTATTCGCGGTTCAGGGGGCTACTGATCGCGCTTACATACCGAGTACCTGCTTTATGCCGTAGCAATACGAGCACAGCACAGACTGCCACCCCATATTATAGAGGTGGTATATAGCGGTAATACGACTCCCGTGTCGTGTCTTGCGCGGGTATTCGTATCGAAACTCAACTTGTACGAGGATTCGTATTACGACGACACGACACGGACGAACGCATACCTACCTACTTGGTCATTGTCATTGTCACTGTCATCACCTGCTCAGATCAAGTGGCCTACAACTATTCTAACCGACATATACTATTCATAGCTAAAGCAAACTACTATACTTAGCAGGCAATGCTCTCTTCTCTGCCGCCGCGGCTCTTACTGGGTTGGGGAGTTGACGCATTCAGACCTCCTCCATGTGTACAAGTTTCCCTCTCCGGCCCGGGGTAGCATCATATATAGTCTTTTTTCCCGATGACTTGTCTGGAAGTAGGATGCCGCTTGCCATCTGCCCACGTCTGCAGGAAACATGAATCAGGTCCCGAAGGCGCTGAGGGTGTATCGCCGCAACGCAATATATTCCATCACCCCCGACTTGGACTTGGAGGGGAGATTTGGCCCGCGCGATGCTACCAAGCACCAGCGCCAAGCTTCATCAGAGCTCTCTGCTTTGGGCTTGGCCTCGCTGCTGCTGCTCTCGTGTGCAGTCCAAACCCCGGTTCCCATTCTGCCGTTTTAGCTTAGCTTGCTGGGGACAGCGCTAAAAGCTCGCGAGCTGGTCGGCATCATGGAGTTTCTGGAAACGGTTGCGAGGATCCGTTAGCAAACGGACGGAGAATTAACATCGACCTGGTTATGTAATATATCCCGCAGCTCCATGTTGCACCCTGACTTTGAGGTTATCTGCGGTTATCTGCCTACCTAAGACACCAAGCCTGCTCCAATAGAAGCCGGATAGAAGATGCTTATACGAGTACTTGGAGCTCTCAATGGGTCGTATTCCCTGATGCAGAAATGGCAAATAGGTAGCAACGTGCAGCACGTGACTCCAATGTTGGCTGGGCAATTCGTCGTTCCTTTGCTCCTTTGCTCCATCCACAGGAGAATCCTCTTCAAACTTCTGCTGCTGCTTGTTTCTCTACGGCAATTCATCGCCCTCGAGATGCTAGGCAGACAGGCAGGCACCTCCCCTCCCCGATCACGTTGCTACAGATCGACTATTGAAAATTTTATTCTCCGTCATCTTTCACATCTCAGAAACTCCGGATAGCTCGCTTCACAACCACCCTAGCGTGAATTGCCGCTGAAATCGTCGGAGCTGGAGAAACCGTCAGCCCATCCATCACACACAGCATGGCTAGGCTGTCTTGTTCTAGGATTTCTCCCACATGACACCATGTTACGGCGCGCCTCAACTATCGAAACCCACCATATCCACCGCGAAACTCGGTCAATTTCAACAACTGCCAATGCGAATGCGTCGACGTCTAGGCAGTCAGATGGCTGAAACTCCCTGCTATTATGCACTGCCATTGGTAGCATCGTCTTGAAATGCCTCAAGGCGTAGCCAGCGAATGATTCAGCACAGCTGCCGACTTTGGGGCGGCTAGTTGGAGATCAAGCGACCCTTTGTCTTAACAAAACCAGCCGATCCGCAGATCTCATTATAGTTGCCAATTAACCTTCTGAAATGGGAGCTTCTTCCGGGCGCTAGGTCAAAGGATTTTGGCCATTGACAAGACTCAAGCCGGTGCGTAACGTGCCCATGGCCAGAGTTTGTTTCACCAAGACGGCAAGAAGCCAATTGCTCCTAGTGTTCTGGCCAATACGTTACCAATCATCCGCTCTTCATGGTGTTTTCCCATGTGAATCGCAGGACAAAATAAGCGGGACTGCAAATTGCCAACCATGACCTCGAGACAATACGGTATACATACGCATAGACATTATAAAGTAAGTGAGAAGCAGTCTCTCTTTTTTGTCCCTCTCAATTTCTGCAATAGTTAACTTACATCTATCGGGTTTTCCCACTACAGTGAGTGTTGTCTCTTTTGCGGAATCGCCTCTTTCGTCTACCGCTTGCATGTGAATCGGCACCTACCCTGGCAGATCTTCCGATCATCCGCCAATGATTGACAAAAATCATGGCACCTACCATTTTCGTCACAAGCCCCGTCCAATGATCGCCTCAACGCTTCTCTGCGGTTTACAGGTACGAGGACTTGCTGATCTTTCAAGTATCTGATGTTAAATAGGGCTCGCCAACGTCCTTGTTTCATTTGGCTTGGGCCATCAAGTCTGTCTGAGACCCAACTCATCAAGCTGAGAATAATCAGGGAATCAAAAAGAAGAAAAAAGAGGCGAGAGAAAGGGGCGGAGAGCAACTCAACGTGGCAGAAGCTGGGGCTCTTTCCATAGAACCGCAATCATAATGCCTTCTCACAACTCCATTTCTTTTTTGGCTACATTGGCTTCCGTTGCAGCCGCAGCCTCTAGGATTTGTCCCAGCAACACTCCACTCTCATGCCACAACACTACCGTCGTCAACGACTCTTGCTGCTTCATTCCATCTGGTCAGCTGCTTCAGACTCAATTCTGGGATACCGACCCCCCCACCGGCCCTTCTGGTAAGTAGTTCCCTGTAGCCTAGCACGATGCAACTCAATATTACCTCCCAAAGTGGGGATAACTGCTTAATGGTGCTGCTAGATTCCTGGACCATCCATGGGCTCTGGCCGGACAATTGCGATGGTTCATTTCCCCAGACGTGCGATGCCAGCCGGGCATATTCCAACATTACTGACATTTTGACTGCCATGGGTGCCGATGACACCCTCCATTACATGCAGACCTACTGGAAGGACTATCAGGGCCATGACGAGTCTTTCTGGGAGCATGAATGGGGTAAACATGGCACTTGTATCACTACCCTGGATCCCGGCTGCTACGATGACTACGTACCCACCGAGGAAGCAGCCGATTTCTTCTCCAGGACCGTGTCGTTGTTCAAGACGCTGCCTACTTACCAGTGGCTGGCTGATGCTGGCATCACCCCGGACGGCTCAAAATCTTATGCCCTGGAGGACATCCAGTCAGCACTCTCCCAGCAGCACGGCGCCGACGTGACCCTGGGCTGCGAAGGCAAGAGTCTGAATCAAGTCTGGTATCACTTCAACGTCAAGGGCTCTTTGCAAGACGGCCAGTTTGTCGCCACGGCCCCGGATGGCGCCAAAAGCACCTGTCCCGACTCCGTCTATTACGACCCCAAGAATGGAGGTGGCGATGGCAGCCGTAACCCCCGCGACTGAAACGGTGGATGGGACGATTCGAGACGAGGGCCAAGACATACAAGGCAAGACAAGACGGGGAAACAGAGAAACATGCTTGTACAAGGCCAGAGTGTGGGGATCGGCGGACGGGACGGGGATCTTTTGTTCATGCATGTATATTTGCGCTTCGTCATGTATACTACACTGCCATCTTGTGACTCGCCAATAACGGTGATGGCATCTTTTGGCGATGTCGATGGAAGCGCAGACGCCATCATGGATGTCTCTTTGCTACTGCCACCCGGACGTCTGTTTATTTGCACCTTTGGCGGCCCGACAAGCGGCTTACGAGTGCAAGGCAGAATTATTGTCCTAGCAGCAGGCTACTGTCAGTTGGTCCGCCACCAGAATTGATCAATGTACAAGTACGGAGTACTAAATACACACATACCGAAACCCGCTGCTCTCGGATTGATACCGGTGATAGTGGCATTGGCCCCTATAATAATCGGTGCTAATGTACTCCGTAGCTAAGGTACAGTTCAGTAAACTAAACTAAGCCGCAGCGATGCAGAAAACGGTGCCGAACAAGGGCAAGTGGCCCGCGATGACACGGACCTGTGTGAGTCCTTGGCGCTTTCCACTTGCAACATGCGCTTGCGACTTGCCAAGCAACGAAGCAAAGAGGCAAGCCACCGCAGATTTTAAAGCGGCGATGGTCAGGCACTAAACGGCTGCCCAATCACAGGCCGCCCACGGGAATTAAAGCTGTCTGCCGCGCGATCTGGTTGGCCCATGCTTGCCCCAACGTCTGCAGGCAGGTGCGAGCTACTTGGTTACTCCCGTGAGCGTTCCTGCTCTTGCGGCACGGCTTTGTTCTCCGCGCAAGGACCTCAGGGTTGAGTCTGACCTGCTACTGCCTTGCTTCGTATTCCGTGTTTCGCAGGTCCGTGCTTTTTTTTTTTTTTTTGGTCTCTCCATCTGGGAATTTTTTTTTCCGTGTCTTTATTTCCACTTACTTAGCCTCCCCTCTTTTATGTCGGCGACTCGCTTTTATCGTTTTTACTATACTGTACCCATGGTGGACGCTGAATCTCTTCTCTTCTTTGTCTTCCGTCTGCCTCATTTCCCTCGATCGCCATGACAACCATCTAATCAAACATGCAGTCAGATGAGGGGATGCCAAAAATTTTTCCTCGCTTAGCCCAACGGAGACCATTTCCGAGCGCCGACTCCCTCTCTTTTCTCCCCTTGTCCGGTTGTCATTTCCCGGCACGCCCTGTTCTTCGTTCGTCTGGTTGGGGCAGCAAGCCCAAAACCGTGGCGCCACTTGGACGACCCCATATCCGTCGCATGGCCCCCCTGTACGCCTTTCCAGAAGCGCTTAGAGTGGCTTGACCCATTGGGAAACGGCTCCGACTTGCCATCTTGCTGAGCTCAGGTCCGAGGCCACGGTTGATGGACGGCAGAGGCAAAAGCCACTGCCCACAAAGAGGCTGGCCTTGGTCTGGCTCGAGAACTAGCCCACCAGCAAAATGGCCACCAGCATGCCGCCAGTGCCTGCTGGGACGGTACACCTTCCAAGCGCCTCCACGGCCGACGACTAACCCCGCATAATGGTTCGCTGCTGAAACCGGTCCTTACCACGGCAATAAACTGTCGGCTTCGATACGCGTGGCGTCAAGTCCCAACAGCCTGCTAATGCATGTACCTGGGACTCTGAGACTGACAGGCACTGCAGGTTGCCCGACGGAAGAGCATCGGAAAATACGTCGGAGGGACGCGGCTCTATCGCCTTGAAACGGTATATCGATTCGCCGACCCTGGCGGCTCTCTGAAAATGCTCCGTTTTCTCGTCCCATCTTGGTTTATACAGTACACGAACGTGTTGGACGACGAAAATTGCGGATTAGTACCTAGCCTTCTCTCTCTGCCGCGTTTACGCCATCACCCCCCCTTTCTTTTCTGCCTCTTCTTTTTTTGACTTTTCTTTCTGTCTGAGGAACAATAATAATAGTCCGTCTGCCCCTTTGACAACGACCACGTTGTGATGGCGCGCCTTTGCGGCTTTGCCTCACCCCCCCTTTGCTCGATCGTGATGTAGCGGGCCCGGGAGTCATGGAGACAAGCAGCTCGAACTGCGAAAAGACGGAAACACCTGCTGGCAAGCACCAGTGTGATGATGCTACTAGTATCTCCGAAAATCCCTAGCTATCTAATAGCAATCGCCCTAAGGAGGCGCACCAATTGTGAATGCATCACTGCACCCCAGCATCTCCACTCACAAGTCCACCTCCACAAGGTGCTCCATCCCCATCCCATCCCATCCCATTCTCCATCCATCCATGACCATCACTTGGCCACCATCAACTCCGCCTCCACACCCATCGACGGCTTCCCTTGTTCGCCCACCCTGGCGAGGTCTCCTACGGGGCCGCCCTCATAAGCCTTGTCTAATGGAGGCCCTCCAGTGCGTTGCGTGAAGCGAACAGCAATAAAAATTCAAGGCGTCCCCATATATTAGTTCCATGATGGATCTCTCTTGTTGTATTCTTTAACTAACACCACCCCAGTCTCTGACCTGACTGCCACCTCTTTCGCTGCATTGTCATCATTGTTTTGTTTCCGTCATTGACTGGTGCTTTTGCCATTGTCAGGCTGGCAGCCGTGTAGCTCGTCAAGGCGCGCTCGCGATACGGAGTTTTGCCTTTTTACCTTTCCCCTCTTTATGCCTCGTGCTCAACAAGTGAAAGCTGTCATCGGCGAGTCACGTCTCCGTCAAGAGACCGATTGATTTGCAGCCGAACAGTTCATCTCTGGAGGATGCCGGCCTAACGAACAATCAATCAGTCTCTTCTAAGCGCTTTCATTGGGTGCCTACTTTGTGGCAGAAGCAGTAATTGTCATAGGAATTTTCTGGTCCCGAGTTTGGCGCATTTTCTGCGCATTTTCCTGTATAGCGGTTTGCTCCCTTTTGAGGGCTACAGCCCCGTCTCCTCAACGCAGCTTTTATCGGAAAGATAAAACCAGCAACAGCAATAGCAGTCCGAGTTTCACACGGAACCACCGCTCTGAAAGCATCTCGGACTGAATATTCCAGTCCTGCTTTCGAACAGTGCTTTGCTGTCATACAGCTCAGCCGTCTCTCCTATTTCATCATCTGCTGCTACCCATCCCAGCACGCGCTGCATCCTACCAGCCCGTCTCAACAAACAGCAACTTGATATCCATACGCTCATCATCCTCATCATCTTCGAAATAAATAATAAACGCGCCAAAATGTTGTCAAATCCTCTCCGTCGCTATTCTGCGTATCCCGACATCTCCTCGGCGTCCTTTGACCCGAACTACCATGGATCTCAATCTCACCTCCACTCGATAAACGTAAACACGTTTAACAACAACGGCCACCCCTATCCTATGCAACACCTTTCGCAACACGCGGAACTTTCAAACTCGCGTATGATAAGGGCCAACCCGGCGCAGCCCAAGCAGCGCCAGGGCTCCCTTGTTGTTGCTAGAAAGAATTCAACGGGAACTACTGGGCCAATAAGGAGAAGAATTAGCCGCGCCTGTGACCAGTGCAACCAGCTGCGTACTAAATGCGATGGTTTACACCCTTGTGCCCACTGCATAGGTATGATACCTCTCATTCCCTATGGTAAAGCTGCTTCTATAGATATGTACTAAACGTTACTAGAGTTTGGTCTTGGCTGCGAGTACGTCCGAGAGAGGAAGAAGCGAGGTAAGGCTTCGCGCAAGGATATTGCTGCCCAGCAGGCGGCTGCTGCAGCGGCACAGCATTCTGGCCAAGGCCAGGATGGCCAAGAGGACCGCAAGCTTTTACGCCAGCACAGTGAGTCCTCACGTGGCAGTACTGAACTACCTCAAGCAGCCCACGACCCGTCTCAAGGTCACATCGAGGGCTCCGTTAGCTCTTTTAGTGATAATGGGCTGTCCCAACATCCTGCGATCGGGGCGATGGATGGTCTTGAAGATCACCATGGCCACGTCGGAGTTGATCCTGCCTTGAGCAGAGCTCAGCTGGAGCCGTCGTCCGCAATGAGCTTGGGTGGATATGGCGATGTTCACCACAACTACGATAGCCCCGGCATGAGTGGGCATGTGATGGTGGCCCCTTCATATGGCCAGACTCAAACCACCATGCCCGGGTATTCGGGCATTAACTATGCCACACAAGCCCCGAGTCCGGCAACTTATAGCAGTGACGGAAATTTCCGAATCAGCGCCGGTCATATCCACGAATACCCCATGGCAAATGGGAGCTCGCCTTCGTGGGGAGTCTCACTAGCCTCGCCTTCTGGCCAGTTCCAGCTTCAGCTTTCGCAGCCCATTTTCAAGCAGAGTGATCTGCGATACCCTGTCCTTGAGCCCCTATTGCCTCACCTGGGCAACATCCTCCCCCTTTCGTTGGCTTGCGATCTGATTGACTTGTACTTTTCCTCATCTTCGTCGGCGCAAATGCACCCAATGTCTCCATACGTTCTGGGCTTTGTGTTCCGAAAGCGCTCTTTCTTGCACCCCACAAACCCAAGACGGTGCCAGCCTGCACTTCTTGCGAGTATGTTGTGGGTAGCAGCGCAGACCAGCGAGGCGTCTTTCTTAACAAGCTTACCCTCTGCGAGGAGCAAAGTCTGTCAGAAGCTGCTCGAGCTGACTGTTGGACTTCTCCAGCCCTTGATCCATACCGGCACAAACAGCTCATCCCCCAAGACTAGCCCGGTAGTTGGTGCGGCTGCCCTGGGAGTTCTCGGCGTTGCCATGCCGGGTTCACTGAACCTGGATTCCCTGGCCGGCGAAACAGGTGCCTTTGGCGCCATTGGCAGCCTCGACGATGTCATTACCTATGTGCATCTCGCCACAGTCATTTCAGCCAGCGAGTACAAGGGCGCCAGCCTGCGGTGGTGGGGTGCGGCATGGTCTCTCGCCAGGGAGCTTAAGCTTGGCCGTGAGCTGCCGCAGGGCAACCCCCCTGCCAATCAGGAGGACGCTGATGCCATCAACGAAGACGTGGATGAGCACGACCTGAACAGAAATAACACACGCTTCGTGACGGAAGAGGAGCGTGAGGAACGGCGACGAGCGTGGTGGCTTGTTTACATCGTTGACAGGCACCTGGCTCTCTGCTATAACCGCCCCCTATTCCTCCTTGATAGCGAATGCAGCGACCTCTTCCACCCAATGGATGACATCAAGTGGCAAGCGGGCAAGTTCCGCAGCCATGATGGAGGTAGCGGCGGCATTAATATTGATAGCTCCATGACAGATGAGTTTGGCGACAGCCCGCGCGTTGCTCGTGGGGCTCACTACGAGTGCCGTGGCCGCAGCATCTTTGGCTATTTCTTGTCTCTGATGACAATCCTGGGCGAGATTGTCGACGTTCATCACGCCAAGAGCCACCCGCGATTCGGCGTTGGATTCCGCTCTGCGCGGGATTGGGACGAGCAAGTTGCTGAGATCTCCCGACACCTAGACATGTATGAGGAGAGCCTAAAGAGGTTCGCCGGGAAGCATCTTCCAATGTCCACGAAAGACAAGGAGCAGCATGAGATTCACGACAACGGGGCCGTGCCAGACATGCAGTCTCCGCTCTCGGTGCGGACCAACGCGTCCAGTCGCATGACGGAGAGTGAGATTCAGGCCAGCATCGTGGTGGCCTACAGTACCCATGTGATGCATGTCCTCCACATTCTCCTCGCAGATAAATGGGACCCCATCAATCTTCTGGATGATGACGACTTGTGGATTTCATCAGAAGGATTCGTAACGGCAACCAGCCATGCAGTATCGGCTGCTGAAGCCATCAACCAGATTCTCGAGTTTGACCCTGGCTTGGAGTTTATGCCATTCTTTTACGGTGTCTATCTCCTCCAAGGGTCCTTCCTCCTCCTCTTGATCGCCGACAAGCTGCAGGCTGAGGCGTCACCAAGTGTCATCAAGGCATGTGAGACCATTGTGCGAGCACACGAAGCTTGCGTCGTGACTCTGAGCACAGAGTATCAAGTAAGTCTTATCATCCTCAAGGTAAATACTTCTGTGAATCGAAGACTAACAGGTTCATTAGCGGAACTTTAGCAAGGTCATGCGAAGTGCGCTTGCTCTGATTCGGGGTCGTGTGCCAGAGGATCTTGCTGAGCAACAGCAACGACGTCGCGAGCTTCTTGCGTTGTACCGATGGACGGGTAACGGAACCGGTCTGGCCCTTTGAGGAGACGACTTGATGGTGCCCAATACACCGGAAGAAATAAACAATACCAAAGAGATAAAAAGCGATCAAGCGGTGATTGTCTCTGTTTCAACATATCAGCCAGTATGGCACAGACGAATTTTCGTTTCAGTTTGTTAGCAAGTGTGCGTTTAGGTTAATTGGTTCTATGGTGTTTGAGGATATTTCATTTCTAGGAGATTTTGACGGATAGTTTAGGCGGACTGAGGCGCCTGGTCAGGTTGGCAAGAAATTATGAGCGACATTATGGTTATGACGGAAAAGATATCCTTGTGATTGTGTGTATGGCAGGCATTGGTCAAGGACATGTTATCTGTATATTGGTATAGGATTTTGGTTTTTTCTCCGCCATCTTGGTGGTGGGCTATTTACTAAGGATACGAATTCAAATTGTTGTACGTCTAGGCAATGACGAGCTTTTGACTGAAGATTAAGAAGTGACTGTTTGGTTTCTGCCTCGAAATAATAGTGAGGGCTGACTGCTTATACGGTTTGAAGCAACTTTGCTGAGGCCGGTGCAGACAAACGGAGATGGCTGGCAGCAAATCGACGGTGAGGGCATGGTGGCGCATATCTAGTAGATGTTTTGTTCGCCTTAGTTGTAGCCTCATGACCAAATACAATATGAAATCGGCCTGTTGCTGTTTCTGCCAAGTAGCGGAAGTAGCAGGTCAAGGAGAGAGCAAAGGTGGTTGATTCACAGCAACAAGAACAATAGGGGCCGAAGCGTGAGTTTGACATGTCTGTTTGCTGAAGCAAAGAGCATGGGTAAGCGGGAAAACGAGGGGGGGATGTATTTGTTGGTGGTACGGGCCGTGATTTTCACCGAGAGCAAAGGCGTGTTTCTTTTTTATGGGCGGGAGAGATGAGAAGTGGCATTGATTCACCCTGAGCTGGCAATAGATGGGCTTTGTATTGTTCTATTGTTCTCGTTTGTTTTTTGTAGGTATGCTCAAGATTTAGGATAGATGGTTGTATTAATTTCTCTAGCTCAAGGTTCTCTTATTACTTCCCTTCATTCTAGTGGTTTAACATATAAGTTGAAGGCGAAGATCTTTGGGTATATGTGAAGCGAAAGTGAAGTGAAAGTGAGAAAAAAAAAAAAGAGGTTCGTTTCTCTGCCACCACCCCTCTTCAGCAACGCACTGCCCCCCCTCGCTCCCCTTTTCTTTTTTTTCTTCTCCTCCAAACATTTGTGCCAATCTTCACCCTTCTTCAACCACCGACCTGCAATCATCGCCGTTTCACCCCCCCAAGCGACGACATTGTAAGCTCCTTGTTCAACCGACTCATATATCAATCTCGTCTCCCGAACGCAACAAGGCTATTTTCTACTTTCCATTTTTCTCGCCCCAGACAAAAAAACGAGAGAGGAAGAGTCTTCTGTTCTATAAAAAGCAAAAGAGAACCATGCTCTCTCCACAGAGTTCAAACGGGACTTTGGGCCTCCTCTCTCCGCCTTTGGCAGGCAGAAAATAAGAAGAAAAACCGCCGGCACGAGCAAAAGAATTTGAGACGCAGGATTTCTTTGTTCTTCTTCATCTTCATTTTCCCAACCCTCCTCTACACATATTTTTCTTCCTTTCTCTCGCTCTATATATTTTGACGGCTCTTTTTTTTTTTTCTTGCAAACATTGTTTTGCCCCTGTGCTGACCCTTTTTTTTTTTTTTTGCTCTTCTTCTTCGTTGTTTATTGATAGGAGTCTGCTAGGACGATACGCTTCTTCTCCTGACATACTTCTCTCTCTCTTGTTGTTGTTGTTTCGTTTTTTTCTTCGTTTTAGAGAGACACTGGCTTGTTTGCTTGTTTCTCCGCTGAAGAAGTACCAAGACACACACACGCCTACGCCTACACACATATACCGTACGCAAGCCCAAGGGGAAAACGCTTTCAGATGTCATCCGCTGGCAAACGCTCGCTTCGTTTGCCCTCTTCTCCGACTCAGGGGCAGGCGAAGCGACGTCGAAATGCGGCCGCCAACTCACTGGCTGCTAGTTTTGGCTCAGCCAACGGCGAGGTTTCTTCGTCTTCTTCGCAGCTAGGCATGAACATTCCAGAATCGGCGCTGTTTGATCCAGCTTCGGCATATCACAGTCTACCGCAGAGGTCTGTTGAAGCAACAGGTCCAGCCGCCACGCCAATTATAAGCATGTCAGCACCCCAAACATCGTCTCGAACACAGACAAACCGCCAGCGAACATCATCGCTCCGCATGGGAGGCTGCTCTCTCGACGAAATACTCCTGTCCATCCCCCAAGGCCTCGCCTCAGCCGAGCACGCCCGCCGCAAAGACGCACTCCAGCACGAAATCAGCTTCCAAGAGCGCAATCCGCCGATCCTGCCGCCGTCCCAGGTCCAAGACTTGCCGCCAAAGCCCTTCATTGCGGACTTTCTTAAGTTCCCTGATGGTATCAGTGATCTGGAGCGTCTGCAGATTGAAACGCGAAACAATGAGATTGCGGCCGAGCACCAGAAGATTGATCGGCAGCGGAATAACCAGGCGGCCAAGAAGTCGCGCCAAGCTCGTCTTGAGGCTTTGAATAATACGCGGGTGCTGCTCAATGAGAAGACGGCTGAGTGTGCTTGGTTCAGGATGAAGGTTCTCGCGCTGGGGGGAAGCACGGCGGATTGGAACATGGTGCCCGCGGGCGTCAAGACACGGCTCATCAAGGAGATTGATGGACGGGTCAAAGTCGTCGAGGGCGAGATTGCGGATGTGAAGAAGCGGGAGGAGGCGAAGAAGAGGGCGGATAGGAACAAACGGAGGGCGGAGGCGAGGAAAGACGAGGAAGAGCAACATCTGCAGTCTTCACAGTAGGGGTATGGGGATCAAGGTGTTGGGTTTGGGATGTTCGGAATGGAGTTTGAGGAATACGAGGACTGGGAGTGATTTATTGTGGATGGCGAGAGAAAGATCGGGAGGGAGGCGTTTGAACCGAATCAAGGATGATCCAAGTTGAATCTACATGTTGGAGAAGGGCGCCTATTCTTTCGAGGTTGCTTTGGCTTTGGAGGAACGAGAGCTTGTTGTTCAATCGCGACGCTCCACGATGCTTCTTTTGGGGGGGCTATATGAAAGGGGCAGGAATTTGTTGAAAATGGTAAAGGGAGAAATATCGAAAAAGGGCGCGAAGAGGGTGTTTTGACATTTGATGAACGTTGACGGGTCTTTCTTCATTCTGCTCTAAAGCTCTAGTCATACGAAATGCAAAGCCAATGTTCTCTAAACCAAAAAATCTAATAGTCCCCCTCTTTCTCAATCTATATCCATGTCCTAGCCCGCTCTTTATAAAATTTCTTCATCATGATGGATGTGTCTGTTTTTTCGGATTTCGTAAGTTTTGATCATGCTCGTCATCATTTCCGTCTATGCACCAGCCTGCCCTTGACCCAGACCTTCTTCGTGTTGCGGTCGTCGCCATTGAACAGCCACTTGGCCACTCTATCGTCCCACGTCTCCCACCCAAACATGTCGACGAAGCCGTGGTCGTCATCCTCGTCGTGCACGTCTCCTTCGTCATTGACCTCGCCCAGGGTCACCAGCTGCGCGTCCCACTCCATGCCCACTTCGAAGCCCCCGATCTTGTCCTCCAGCCCTACGCATCGGGCTCCTCCCCTCGTGGCGAGGTACAGCACCTCTTCCACCGTCAGCTTGACCCTCTCCCTCTCCTTCTCTTGCTCGATGCCCATGGCTACATGCCGGCTCACCATCGCAGCCTGTCTAGCCGCTTCCAAGATCGAATGGCTGTATCCGCCGCTGACGTCCGTCCCCAGCCCAACGTCAATCCCCTTGTCCCACATCCACCGCACCCTCGCCGACCCACTGGTCAAACACGTGTTACTGCATGGGCAGTGAGAGACCTTGGACCCCTTGAGCGCAATCAGGTCCGCCTCTTCCTCCGAGATGTGCACCGCGTGGGCCAGCACCGTCCGCGGCGTGAGCAGGCCACACTTGTCGTAGAGGCCAGTGTACGAATCGGATTCCGGAAACAGCTGCGCCACGAGCTGAATCTCGCCGGGGTTCTCCGAGACGTGAGTCTGGATGGGGAGGCCCGTCTGGCGGTGCAGCTCTGCCAGGCCGGCCATGGCCTCGCTCGAGCATGAAGGGGCGAAGCGAGGCGTCAGAATGGGTGAGACGACGTCAAAGCCGGGGTCGATGCGGCGCACGTGGTCAATCGTCTGCTGTGTCGCCTCCAAGCCATCGGCGGCCGAGGCATCGCGGTAATAGGCGGGATTCATGTCAGTGCTGTCCATGCAAACGCGGCCCACAAACGCCCGTTGGCCCATGGACAGACACAGGTCAGCCAGCAGGTTCGTCGCGGCGACGTCAATGGTGGCAAAGTAGGTGGCCGTTGTGGTTCCGTGAGAAAGCGTGCGGCGGATGCATCTGGAGTAGACTCGGCGCGCCTTGGAGAGGTCCTTGAGGCTGGCTTCGAGGGGGAAGGTGTATGTCTCGAGCCAGTCCAGGAGACTTGATTTGCCAAATATGCCTGCGTTGGCGTACTGAGAAGCGTGGATGTGCGTGTCTGTGTTGTTTGTTTTAGTATAAGCATCCAGAGACTGTGACAATGCTACTGCTGGTATTCCATAACTCACCCACAAAGCCCGGAAAGAAAAACTGTCCCTCCGCAGCCTCCGTCACGTCCACCTCTGCCTCATCCCACCCCAGCTTGCCCAGCAGCCGCGCCTTGACCTCGCTCAAATCTTGCGCATCCCGTTCAATGGCGGCAATCTTGCCTTGGGCGTCGATGGCGATTCCCGCCTTGTGCAGGAAATCCAGGTCCTGCCGTGTCTTGGAGTGCACAAAGGTGCCCAGCAGCAGGAGCTTTCTCTGTGGTGACATGTTGGATTCTGGCTTGGTTCTTGTCTCTTGTCTCTTGTCTCTTGTCTCTCAATCCTTCTTCCCCGTCTCTTTTCCTCTCTCTCTCTCTCTCTCTCTCTTTCTTTCCCTCTCTTTCCCTCTCTTTATACGCAATGATGGCCTCAATTCCGCCTGATTCTCCTATCTCTCTGTGAGGATGAAGCTTTCTAGTTATCAGCCTCCTTTCAACACGACTAATAGGAGACCACAGACGTCAGCAAGCCCCACAGCAGCAGATGGAGATACTGTATATACTAGTAATACAGTACAACCAAGTAATCATAATATGCGGCTCTTACCGTCAGCTATCCAGACTTCAATTTCGCAAAATCCAGCAGGAAACGACTCAATCCCTCCAGAAGCTGCTCCGCCGGGCTCTTAAATAGATGTCGCTAGCCAAGGCCTCCCCCATGGTGGCTCCCCATATTGCGGGCTCCCAGGATTTGGGGGAAGCAAACAGCCACATGCAAGGGACAAACTTGGTTGTCAGAAATGCGGCTAAGCTCGGCGGTCGCCGTGGACCGACGTGGGCAGAACGGTTTGCACCGCCTTTGAGATTAGTCAGCGGGAGTGCAACTGATAAGGCCTCAAATATTGATGTGATATATCAACTTCACTCAACCACGCATTCTCTATGCTGTATGACTTGACAATGGCGTCTTCTATTGAACCAATCGGCTAATGATTAGTGCATATATGGCCAAGTTTGGTGTTCTAGACCTGTAATTGTCGCACAAGATGTGCTCGCGTACAATACGAGAGGGAAATACACGACAAGACAAGCGTTGTAGTTCCTGGAATTCACTTATACTAAGCACCAAGCACACGCTTCAACTAACTGACAATCTAAAAAAGAAAACATATTCGCATTACATATCTATTGTCATGTTAATTGCATCACTAGTATAAAGAAAATCTTAGGCATCTATTGGCCTCCCATTCCATCCATCAAATAAACATGTAGTAACACCACCCTTTTATTTCCCTCTGTACGCCCCTGGCCTTCACTCCTCTCTCTCATAATGTTTGTGTTGCACCGTTTATTTTCATTCTTTACGCAGCCAGTCCAGCGCCCTCGTGGTCGGCACTAGCGCCACTCTCGCTTCCAGTGGTCTCCTCGTCCTGCACATACTTCTCCCAGTTGGCCAGGATCGCGCCAATCTTGGGCGAGTTGGTCAACTTGTACACATCCTCAAAGTACTCCTTGGTGAGCGCAAAAGGCTTGGCTGTCACGTTGGGAATGTACTTGCCCACCAGCTTGGACGGGTCAATCGTTGTCTTGTGGATCTTCTTGAGCAAGAAGGATCGGAAGGGCTTGACACCAGATCGCAAGAAGGTCGAGTGGAAGGGCACGTCGATGCCTCGGAGAGGGATGGTGGCAAAGCCTCGCTCCAGCTCCAGCGGCAGGGGCTTCTTGAGAGTTGCCTCAGCGCATCCGCGGATAATCTCCCGCAGAGCACCCTTGGCCTCCTCAATGTTGCTGCGCATCTCCTCCACATCAATTTTCTGCATCTTGAGGAAGTTGGTAACTCCTCCAAGAGTATCCAGAGCTCGCAGATCACCAGCGCAGACGTACTGCATGTTGGCAATGTTGTAGTTGACAATCTCCAGCAGCCAGCCAGTCTCCTCCGAGATGTTGTTCACGACAAACTGAAGCGCCTCTTCGTTGAATGTCTTTGAGATACGGCTGGGGTTGACGGCACACATAGAGTAGTTGGAACGACCAGTGGCATCACGCTCGACGGCCACCTGCATCGTCAGACCACGGTAAAAGACGACCGAGACCAGACTCTCAATGGGCATGACGTCAGCCAGGGCAGCCAGGGCTGAGTATTCACCAAGAGAGTGTCCAGCAAAGGTGCTGTCTCGGGGAACAAGTCCCTTGGACTTCATGTCCTCAAAACTGGCCTTTTCCATCAGTGTCAAAGCAGGCTGAGTAAACTGCGTTGCCGAAAGGAGACCGGTGGGTGATCTGTATGTGTAGAAAGTCGTCTTCTCGTCAATGTCCTTGAAGATTCTCTCCGACTTGACGGTGCCATCCGCGGCCACAGTCTCAAAGGTCATGGCCATGTAGTTCTGGCGGATAGCCTTACCCCTGGGACCACCAAAGTGCACGGTGAGCTCCTTGGGGTTGTTCTTGACAATGTTGGTGATGGAGAAGCCTTGAAAGAATCAGTTAGTAAGAGGCATGTATATGTAAGATGAAAGAACAATTGAAACTTACCATAGTTGTCGAGCAGGTACTTGTCGGCACGGTCCCAGACCTCCTTGGCCACAGGGCTGCTGCCATAGAGATCCATACCCATACCTTGCTCCTGCGAACCCTGTCCAGTAAAGACGTAGGCAGTCACAGGCTGCTCCACCTCGGCCTCACCCAGCAGAACCTTCTCCTCAGTCTCGGCGTTGATGGCCTCGAGCTTGATAATCTTGCGACCCGTCACCATGCCCACGTGCTGCAGCTTGACTTGGATGGCGTCGTTGGGGAGAACCATGCCGACCAGGGAAGCGTGGAAGCTACGAACTCGGCCAACGTCGTTCTCGGCAGCCCACGTCTCAATCAGGCTTCGGACCGCGGCACTGCTGTACATGCCGTGGGTGATGGTGCCAGGAAGGTTGGCATACTCCGAGAAGACGCGGGACACGTGGATGGGGTTGTAATCACCCGAAACACGTGCATATGTCTCGTTGGAAGCGGGTGCTCGGAGCTGCAGAGGAGTTCTGCCGCTCAGAGGAATGGCATTCTCAAAGTTGATCGGCTGGTCAAGCAGGGTACCGTGACGCTCAAGGTAGTCAATCACGGGGTTACCGTGAGACTCACCAGCCTCATAGTCTACGCTGGCGACCTGGATGATTTCCTTCGTGGGAAGCTCCAACAAGACCTGGCCGCGAGTCTCAACGCTGCTGAAGACGCTCTTGTTCTTGAAGCGCACCAAGCTCTGCAGGCGGAATGTCAGGGTCTGGCCCAGCAGGTTGATCTCGTTAGGGATCTCGTCAAGGGCAAACCACTGCTTGGATCGCAGCACGGCCACGTCTTTGGTGGTCGCCAAGTGCACCTGGACCGGAGTCTCATCCTTGCGCTGGAAGGTGTTTTCGTAATCCGTGTAGGCACCACGGTACAGGAACTGAGAGGTGACCTCCATGACCGGCTTGCCGTCTCGGGTGATGGTGCCGCAAACTTCAACCATCTTACCGGACTCTTGGTTGATGACTGCGTTGATCTGCGCAGTGGTCGTCACTTCGTCACCCATCTTGAGGGGCTCAGCGCCAGGGATCATGCGGAAGCCGTTGGACAGATGCACCAGCTTCAGAAGGTCACCGTCAATGGTGCGAGGGAAGATGGGCTTGGTGATGGCCTTCCATCCAAGCACAATAGCAAAGTCCATGGGCGCATACATGACCTTGCCAGGTCGGTTAACGAAAGCTTCACCGGTGTTGCCAACGGCATGAACGAAGTCGTTGATGGCTTCGGCCGTGATGGTGGTGCTGCCTCCGTCAAACTTGCTCGTGACCATGGCATCAAGGTCAAGGGGATCATTGCCGAACCATGCCTTCCAGTAAAATTCCTTGATGCGGTCGTTGCGACCCTCCATGACTTCACGGATGGGTGCGTATCCAGCATCGGGGTGGTAGGTGAACTTCAAAGGCAGCGCAACCGGAGTTCCCAGGGCGGTTGTCTCCTTGATCATGTTGATGAGGATCTCGTTTTCGCCGTTCAGCTTGACCTCAATGACATCCACATACTGGTTGTGTCTTGGCTGCTCCTTAACGACAATAGTAGTCTTGGAGGGCTCATTGGGGTACTCAATCTCGACGAACAGGCCACGGACAGGGGCAAAGATGCGTCGAATGGGGTTTGTCTGGAACTTCTGGCCCTGCACAACGACATCCGACATGAGGAGAGCATGTCGCCAGTTGCGGTTGGGTCCTGCAAGCAGAGACAGCCAAGAATCAAGCGAGGGCATGACACTGGCAGGAGATGAAGAAAGGCGGTATGTGTTCTTGTGAGTGTCATAGCTGACGGTGAGGCCTTCAACATCAAGAGGAATCTCCGTCTCAACAAGCTTGCCACCGAAGTACTCAGTGGCAGGAATAGAGGCCTCATCATTGTTGTAGAAGTCCTTGGTCAAAGACGCAATGTGGGAGTTGTGAATGTTGTCAAGAATGTCCTGAATGGGCTCATCAATGACGGTAGAGAACTTGGCGGCAGTGGGGCCCTGGAGAATACAAGTTCGGCCAACATCCTGGCCAATGACGGCGTCGAGGTCTTCAGACTGCCACAGGGAATCCTTCTTGAAGTAGAACTCGAAGTTCTCATCAAGGGCGGGAATGAAAGTGACAGGCTTCTGGCCTGGTCGCAGGCAGAGAATGAGGAAGTATTGAACGTCCTGTGCGTTGATGATCTGGTGCTCAGCCTCGGGGTAGTTGGCGAGGATTCGATCAACGGCGCTGTAAGGCTCATCAAGGTCGGCGTAGCTCTGGAGGAGAGAAGGCTGGCCAGACTTGGTGGTGAATCGCTCCTCGACTCGGTGAATGAAGTCACCAGTCAGACGAGTGTAGGATCCATCGATCCATCGGGACTGGTGCTTGACATAGAGGAGCTCAACCAAGCGTCGGACAACCTCTGCGTAGGTCATGTCCTCGAGGTCCACAGCCTTGCCATCCTTGTTGCAGCCGAACCAAACCTTCTGGAAGTCATCATTCAGCTTCTTGATGATGTAGTCTCGGTTCTTCTTCAGCTCAGCAACTCGCTTCTCCTTGGGGATGTTGAAGATCTTCTGATCCATCTCCGCCCAGAACTTGACACCGCGAGTAGCCAGCTTGTGAATTGGCTCGCCCATTTCGGAGCGCACGGTGATGACGCCACCAGCAGGGCCCTTGTAGGTCTTCTCCCACTCTCCATCATCGAGACCAGGAGCGTCGATAATGGCCTGCTTGGCGTTCTTGCTGGTGTGGGCCTCCTTGGCAACCATCATGCGGCTTCCAAACAAGCAGCCGTCAAAGGGCATGGGGGGGTATCCGTACTTCTTGGCCCATTCACCAGTGATGTATGGGTAAGTGTCATCGGCACCACCAAAGCCACTGCCTGCAACCAGGACGATGTTCTCCTGTCGGCGGATTCGGCCGTACATCTGGAGAACAGGCTGGTGGAAATCTTCGAAAGAGTGGTGGCCACCGCCACGGCCACCAGTCCACTGCAGAATGACGGGGAACGTGGGGTTCGCCTTGGCAATGTTGATGACTGCCTGGATGGCCTCGACTGAACCGGGCTTGAATGCAATGTGCTTCAGGCCCAGAGTCTCAATGTACTCCTGAGCAACCTCG